GAGCATCGCCAAGTCGTACACGAAGTCCTCCGTCGTCTCAAGAAGCACGACCTCTACCTTCGTCCGGAGAAATGCGAGTTCGAGCGGGAAGAGATCGAGTATCTCGGCCTGGTCATTAGGGAGGGAGAAGTCCGTATGGACCCTGCCAAGGTAGAGGCAGTCCGCAACTGGCCTATCCCCCGCAACCTTCGCGCTGTCCGTGGGTTTTTGGGCTTCGCCAACTTCTACCGCCGTTTCATCAAGGATTTCGCTACTATCGCCCGACCTCTCAACGACCTTACTAAGAAGGACATGCCCTGGCAATGGAACGAGCCGCAACAACAGGCGTTCAACACCCTCCGAAACGCGTTCACCTCCGCTCCAATCTTGACGTTATGGGACCCCGATCGACCGACTCGCGTTGAAGTAGACGCCTCTGGGTTTGCCACTGGAGGAGCCCTCCTTCAGAAGCTCGACGATGGACTCTGGCACCCCGTTGCTTTCCGCTCCGCCTCCATGCAACCGGCCGAACGCAACTATGAAATCTACGACCGAGAAATGCTGGCTATCATCGAAGCACTCAAGGACTGGCGACATTTCCTGGAAGGACTCCCCAAACCGTTTGAGATCGTCACCGATCATTCCAACCTGGAATACTGGCGCACAGCACAAGACCTCAGTCGACGACAGGCCCGGTGGTCCCTCTATCTTTCCCGTTTCAACTTTACGCTCACCCATCGTCCCGGAAAGGCCAACACCCAAGCCGACCCCTTGTCCCGCCTCGACATTCATCAGGTCGCAGACGCAGAGGATAACAAGCAACAAGTCGTTCTCAAACCAGAGTTGTTCACCAAGCTCGCAGCTGCCCACACCGCCCTTGCCAACCCCCTCGAAGACCGACTGCGTCGAGCCAGCGCCCGTGAATCTCAGGTCTTAGACGGACTCGCCCAGCTCCGCAAGTCAGGACCTCGCCGTCTCACATCTGGACTTCCCGAATGTTGAGCAAGACACGGCTTGTGTACTACAAGGGCCGTGTGTACGTGCCCTCGTACGACGAACTTTAGCGCGATGTCCTCAAGCAGTGTCATGACGACCCCACGTCTGGACACCCTGGAGTGCATGGAACCCTCGAGCGAGTTGAACGACAGTACTGGTGGCCCACGATGCGGGCCTTCGTCAAGAAGTATGTCGACGGCTGCGATGTCTGCGCCCGGAGAAAGCATACCCAGCACCCGCGAGCCACCACCCAGCCTCTGGACGTTCCCGAAGGGCCTTGGGAGACAGTAGGAGTCGATCTCATCACCCAGTTACCGGAAGCCCATGGATACGACGCGATCATCGTCTTCACTGATCACTACAGCAAGGTTCTTCACGCCCTCCCTTGCACATCTGACATCACCACCGAAGGTGTCGCGGACATTTATTATCGTGAAGTGTTCCGTCTCCACGGCCTCCCACTCCGGTTCATCAGCGATCGAGGACCTCAATTTGCTTCTAAGGTCATGCGCACCCTTCTCAAGCGCCTTGGAATCGAGTCCAACCTCACCACCGCCTATCACCCTCAGGCCAACGGACAGACCGAACGGGCCAACCAGGAAATTGAGAAGTATCTTCGCCTTTACGTCTCTCGCCGACAGGATGACTGGGACAAACACCTACCGATGGCTGAATTTGTGATCAACTCCCGCGTCCACTCCGCCCATGATCGTTCACCCTTCGAAGTTCTCTATGGGTATATTCCCCACTTCAACATCCCCATTGGCAAACGTACCGACCTTCGCCCCGTGGATGAACGTATTCAGCAGTTACAAGAAGCCCGCAAGGATGTGGAAGCTGCCCTACGTCTCGAGAAGGCCCAGCAGAAGGATGCGTACGAGTCCGGCAAGCGAGCGGCTCATCAATTCAAGGTTGGCGACTATGTTTGGCTTAATGCGAAGGACATCCAGATCAAGGTTCCGTCCCGCAAACTCGGCGACCTCCAACTCGGCCCGTACAAGATTACCGAACGCATCGGCGACCTTGACTACCGCCTCGAACTTCCCCCGTCCCTCTCCCGCATTCACCCTGTGTTCCACGTCGACAAGCTCTCCCCCTGGAAAGGCAATGATGTCAATGGCATGTTGCCACCTCCGCCTGAGCCTGTCGAACTGGAGGGGGAGCTTGAATACGAGGTTCACGACATCTTGGACAGCCGTTGGAGAGGTCGAGGGAAGAATCGCAAACTGGAGTACTTGGTTAGTTGGAAAGGCTACCGGTCGACGGACGACACTTGGGAACCGGAGGAGAACCTGGAGCATGCGCCGGAGATCGTAAAGGAGTTCCATCAACGACACCCCTCCGCACCACGCCGGATTTCCGCTGCCATCTTCAGCTCCCTGCCCTGGCGTCCACTCGAGAACTTCACTGACACTCCGCCTACCGACTTCGATTGGGAACTTGGACGCCGCCTACCGTTGATCATCGAGGACGATGAGGCTTAGAAGGGGGGTAATGTCGTGAACAGCCGGTATAACCCCTATTTTTCATTTTATCTTATCTGATCTGTCTCGCATCTTATCATTTCGCTTTCCCCTATTCCTTCGCCTCTTTATTCCCTCTATGGACTCTTTCACTCATGGAACACTGCCTCGTATTGCCCTTCGCCCTATTTCCATTGTTCTTATTGTTACGCACTGCCTTCTGACACACTCTGACGTCTTCTCATTCCATTATTGTTTTATCCTTGTTCTTCGCGCAGCCTCCGCGCAGCCTCTGACCTTTCTTATTGTTCTTCGACGTTTACTATTTGTTCGTCATTCTGACTCATCGCGGCTATGTAGACTGTAGAATAGGTATATAAGCTAGGTAGTCTGCTCTGTATTTCCTCAGCTTGACCTCTTCGTCAATACATCTGCATAGCTTTCTGGCTTACAAGTCGCTCATCGCTCTCGCCTCTCTCGTCGCTCTCAGCTCTCTGGCACTTCCGCTCTGGTTTCAAGGTTTGGTTTGGTTTAGTGTTCGCTCTTCGCGACACCTCGGGTGGGCGCTTCGTTGGTGTTTAACGTGATGTATTTCACGTTTGCGGTACGTCACGTTCACTTCCCCACTCCATCTTTCAACGCAACTAAGTAGTACTTATGCATGACGGTGTTTCTAGTCTCTCGCACCGCAGATGATCATATTCAGAGTAACAACCGGCCAATCCTGGATGACACATGAGGAGTTGACAGCGCCGCCTGGCGAGGTCTCTCAGCCTTTGCGGTTCAACCACGCACATGATACGAGTTTCATTGATTCTACTGGTATGCGGAGTCGAAGATCGTATATCGACGAGGAGAACCACTCGACTTCGGTGGTTGGTAACGTTCCTGACTCGGAGAAAGGAGCAGGTATTTAGACGATGTAACACTAGTACTCTCTATTTAATTCCTATGTACGCATCCTGGATAGCCCGACTCCGTGGTCTCTACATCACCTTTTAGGGCGCTTAGTGGACCCACGACAGACTCGAAAGCCGCAAAGAAGCGTGCGAGGTGTTCTGACGATTCGAGTTGAATCCGACTCGGAGCCTCGATTTTGCCCCACATGATTAGATAAAAGAAAAGAACCTCGATCGTGGTTCGGTCTCAAATAATTTTTGCCTTGCCGATTCCCTTGGAATATATCTTTCCCTTTGACCAGTGCCACCATGTCGAGCCCTCCCAACTCGCTCGTGCACGCAGGTCTAACCAACATTAGTCTAGGAGCAGCAAAGCACTATGGAGGTCAACCCTTCAACCACCGGGCCGAAACTCAGCCTATTCCCAGAAGTTGACCCTCTTTGGTCCAATCGAAACCGACAATTTCAAACCCGTTTTGCATTTATCACGCCACAAGATATGTTCGAAGTTGGACGGTCCCCATACTCGACCAGCTACGGCTTCCGCTTCATCCACAAGGACGACGATCTCCGAGCGCTGGTATTCACCGACGGCGCCTGTTCCCGCAACGGGATGACCGACACTTCGCCCATGGGTGGGTCCGCCGCCGTCTTAGGTCCGGAAATCCAAGCCGGATCCGCTATCATCATGGAACCTCTGCCTGAAGACGGACGAACTCACACTAACAACCGAGCCGAGCTCTGCGGCGCCCTCCTCGCGCTCGAAAAGGTCCACTGGCCTTCCGAGGGGATAAACTACGTCGTAGTTGCCAGCGACAGCGAATAGGTTGTCTCAGGTATCTGCTCCTGGATCTTTGGGTGGATGAACAACGATTGGCGTACCTCTGGGGGAAGCCCAGTCGAGAACCAAGATTTATGGGTGCGCTTGTTGTCTGCTATCGAGAGTTTGGAGAACGATGGATGTCAGGTTCGGGTTCAGTTTTGGAGAATTCCAAGGGAGTGGAACGAAGCTGATGCGTACGCAAAACGGGATGCTGCTGTGAGTTCTTTATTCGACTGGGAACAGATACGACGAGTCATGGCCTGATGCGCGCGGCCGCACGATGCACTGAGTGAAGCGAATGCACGAAGGAGGGATTCTGCTTTCACGGAACGACTCCGCAGGCTCGAACGGGACAATGACGCCCTTAGCAGTATGGGGAATATCCGCGTTCCGTACTGATAATGACAGTGTAACTCTCCTTAGCAATTTTTTCCACATACCTTTTCTTTGGTTACGACATCGTTGTCGGAACACCGCCGAACTATGTGCAGCCTGACAAATGCCTAAGTGACAATCTCACATCCCCTCGTCCTAGAACCTGGTCTCGTCACGATTGTCTGTGAGGCCAACATAGAGGGGCAAGAGGTATGACCGTTAGGACCTGGTGGTGCGAAGATGACAGTGGATCCAGGCTGGCAGACGGTGGACCAGAGCGTAAGGCGATGGGCGCATGGTACTCAGAGCGGTTAGGGGCTGATCTTCCACATTCGGATCACTAGCAACCAGACGAACCATTTGTCATGGTGACGGAAACCGGCGCCCTGCGCGCAGTTGGTTCGCAGCGCGCCGCAGTAATACATATATCATTCCTTTCTGCATACTTACCATCAATCCCCAACCATGTCTATTCAACACCTCCCTCCCGAAATCGTCGACTTCATTCTGGAACTACTGGTTGAGAACGCGCCTGACGGCCATTCGATCTCCCTAGCCCGATGCAGTCTCGTCTGTCGCACCTTTCGTCCTACTTCCCAACGCCTTCTCTTCAGATCTATCTCATTAAAGGTCATCCTGGCGTCAAAGATACCTCCGCTCATCGACACTCTTAAATCCAACCCCGATACCTTTGGGTCATACGTCCAGAAGCTCAGCCTCACGCCTCTGCGCTGGTCCAGCGTCGGAGGAACCCAGAGGGTCACAGTATATCCCAACGACATCGACAGGGAGAATAGCCCTCTCAACACCTTTGTCGACATCGTCCCTAACCTGAAGCACATACGCATCGATGCAAGCGCAGGCTCGTGGGCGACTTTCCCTTCCCGAATGAAGGAGCATATCGAGGGAATTGTCAATGGTACTATACCAAGTCAAGTCGACTCGTTGGAATTCTTTTCCGTTCCTGACCTTCCCCCTGGTCTATTACTCTCTGCATCTCGCATCAAGTCTGTCACCATCTCGGACGGTGTACAAGTCCAACCTCGAGATTTGCGCGCGTTCCTCCAGAACGTCACTTCGAATTCATCGTCAGGCGCAGAAGTTTCTTCATCTACAATCACCCTTTCGCTCCAGTCATTGAACTTCAGGTCCCTATTCTTCCCACCAAGTCTGTTCACCATCAGCCCTTCGGTGCTTGCCAATCTTACAACACTTTCGGTGAAGATAAGCAGCCGTAACTTCCCGCCTGCGATTGTCGCCGCACAGGGCATGCTCGACGCGTGTAACGGCTCTCTCGAAACGCTTGACATACAGTGGAGGATGAATCGACACTGGAACTTCAGTGCCGTCGGTGAGCTACTTGTTCGAATGAAGGAAAGGGAGAGGATTAAAATATTAACCCATCACTTCTCTACAGGAACACTGGACCTCAGGGGGTTCAAATCGCTGAAACACTTGAAGCTTCAAACGAATAGCGTCGAGTCTATTCTACCCGCCTCACTCGAGTACTCCGACCTCGCCCTGTCGCCAAAGGACCAAGCAGACCCCCGACCTTTCAAACTCCTCGTCGATACTTTGGCCTCCATCGGGTCTCCATCCTCCCTCCAGAGCCTTGAAATAGCCATAGAGGGCTTGCTCTCGGTCGAGGGAGACGAAATACCTCCTCTTCATCGGCGCACAAACCCTACTTTCTTCATGAGACCTCTCGCAGAGTCGGTCAAGGCATGTTGGGATGACCTGGACGAGATGCTCTCGAGCATCACCAAGTTTCCGACTCTCCGAACTGTGGACCTCAACTGTACATTGGAGACAAGGCTGAGTGGTGGGCAGATTTGGCCGACGCCAGTAGACGAGACAACGCGACGCAGTCGACGAGATGAGTACCGCCGGTACTGCAGTCTGCCCAGTGATTTACTACCTCGTACGCAGCAGACCTCTCGAGTGCATCTCACCTCATATTTCCACTTACTTTACGGGTGCTGAGTCTGTAACATAGTAGCGTAAATACAACGAGAACGAATAATTCATTTCAGTTTAGCTCAGGAGAAGTTTACTCAGCGAGCAGCTGAGGAGAATACCCGTTATTATGAAGGTATTGTTTGCTTACTGCCTGAGATCCAAACAAAGTGCCAAAACCCGATGTTGCGCGCGGCACGCCCGAAAATGTTGTTCCAGCACTTTTACTCATTTCCTTCAAGGAACTTACGGTGCCAGATGGACGAGCTACCGTCAGAATTTTGGAATACATTCTCGAAGAATTCACAGAGACCCTCTACAACGACCTCGCCAACTGCAGCCTCGTGCCCCGTGCCTTCCGTGCGCCTGCTCAATCGCTGCTCTTTCGGTCGATCTTTCTGCTGGAAACAGCCGAGAAAACACGAAAACTTACTACCGCACTGAATAATAGTCCAGAACAACTATCTCTGCACGTACGCAGCCTAGAAATTTGGGTTCCAGCTGACAGACCTAGCGACAGCCCTCCTTACGAAGCGTTGGCTGGTACTGAGCTTCCCAATCTCTGGAAACTAGCAGTCGGAACGCCGACCTCCCGAGACTGGTACACGATTCCTGGAAGAATACGAACCTAGATACTTAATATCTGTACCGGCAGAACAAGTACCCGACTCAGATCACTGTCTCTTCAAGGCTTTGACCATCTTCCTCCCTCCATCCTTCATACGGGCCCAACCCTCACGGAACTTGCCCTTAACCGGACTGCCTTCAGTACTGAAACGCGTGGTGACCTCAGTATCACCATTGACGACGGCGCGCCCACAACGACCAATCTCTGTCAACCAAGATCGATAAAACTCAGTTGGCTCCAGCGCAACATCCTCTGCTTCGACCCCAAGGTCTTCTCAAAGCTCCAAACGATTGCGATTGAGTCTACTTCCAATGGTCAATTGGACTACCAACAGATGAGCCATGCGCTCCTGGAATCTGCAAACTCCGTCACCGCCGTAAAGTTTGTACTTGTGCCATTTCTTTCAACTGCCTTCCACAACCCAGGTAAGCTGCCTCTACATCTGAAACTCATCTCCGCTTGACACTCGAATGAACAGCACTGGCAGACCTTGGGTCATTTAGGAACTTGACTTCCCTTACGTTCACGACTAATTGCGGATTTGAAGTGCGCCATATTTCAACCATCAGCAACACCCTCTCCACCCTTCACACCGACATCCCACTGCGAGAACTCGAGGTGCGGTTCCAAGATCACTCTGAATTCTATGGGAATGCATATCAAGGGCTAATGCACATCCCGTTCATGACGCCTGTGCGCGTTGAGTATGTTGCAGCTTGGAAGAAGTTGGACGCGACCATTTCGTCGCTTGCGCGCGACTTGAGGTCGACCTTGTCGGAAATATCTATTTTCTTCACGGTTAGTTTGCTGATATCTCCTAGTATCAACTTGGGCAGGCCCCAGAACGAACAAGTTGGATGGCCTGTGCATTGCGGGAGGCTTCGGGAGACGCTGGTGCCTCGTGGGGAACTGTTTCCCGAGACCTCCAAGCGCGAGATATTTCATTTCGACTTCGAGGTTCTGAAGTTCTAGTATGGTTACTATTTCTCACTCCGCCTATCAGCACGCGAGACTTTAGCATGTAATAGACGGATTGTGGGCTCTAAGCTAGAAGACATAATCTTTAACACTGTACCAGTAAGATATGTCTATGAAGGACGAAAATTTCCGTTAATCCCCTGCCGCTTCCGAGTCCGGGTGCGGCTGAGTTGTCTCCGGAACCACATCAGAATTCCAATGCACAAAGCCTCAGCAACTTTGTTGTATATCCATGGCATCCGCTTCCCCCTGAAACCCGAAAGCGCAAGGCTGAGAAGTAAGGTGTCTTCTCTCAGGGGTTGAAGATTCTCAATTAGGTGTCGTCGGAGAAATAAGAAGACTGACGCAAATACCGCGTGAGCTCCTTATATTTTAACGTTAAAACGACCAATGAACCCGAATTCATACTTAATAGAACTGAATCCCATTCAAAGCTGTGAGCAAGATTCACGGATATCATCCCACTTTCCAGAGACGATGGCCCTCGCCTTACTAACAGGGCTTCTGTTCTTACCCACCGCCGTACTTACCAAGGCGCAGCTTGAGACACCTCTAGCCACAATGACTCGCTACCCATCCACTCCACTACCACCACCACCCACAGCGGTCCCGCTCTTCGGACAGTGTACGTTCTTCTACAGCCTGTCCGAGTGTTATAGCCTCTCAGTGCTCATATCTGATGAATCTCGTTCGTATCCAGGCGGCGGAACAGGATTCACAGGACAATCGATTTGTGCGACTCCAAGGTAGCCTGCTGGCGGATATATTCTCTTGTCTGTCTCTCTATCAGGTTCACAATTGTCATCGTTAGCGCTGGAATTGGCGGAGTAACTTGTAGCTCCCTCAACGAATGTCAGTTCCGCCCCTTTCACGGACCGGCCCAATCAAGCTTCAAATGAGTCCGACGAGCTATACTCGTGGGCACCAAAAGTGATGGCACTCTCACGGTTTCTCTGCCAAAATCGCGACATTGTAGCCGCGATAGGCCAGTACCTACTGCACGTATTCCTTGCAAACTTTGCATGAAGAGTTCGTTCTCAGCCTTGTATGAGCTATCCAAAGATGAACCCAATAGATCCAATACTCGCCGAGATCCACATTGGTCTCAAATGTATATTTTCGACATAATTTTCCTCTTGCACTTTCAGTTTAGGAGTCATTCCAACTCAAACTCCTTGATATGGTAGGTACGTACAGCCTAAACTTATATCTCAAGCGGTTTGGTGAAATCTTTCTGCATTGCTGAGAAAAGTCTTGAACGAGTTGCCAGTAACAGGGTGCCATCACTTTTGGTGCCCACGAGTAAAGTGCTTACCGTTCGAAATTTCTACAGGGTTCCACCAATGCATCCCGACACCCCACACAACAGGGACGACCGTCGTACCCCCATGGCCCCTTCCACCACCACCAGACACCTGGACCCAAACGTGCAACCCACCCTGCATCCCAGGCATCGAGTATACCTCTCGATCAGTGTGGACTGAATGTTGGTGTGTCGCGTGTCCGACGCCAGCGCCGACGGCTGCCTGCGGAATGGGCAGTACCTTGCGATGTTGGGTCGACAAAGGTTATATCAACTGATGACAGAGGTTGCATGAGCTGTCCGTGTGTCGGGACCTCAACTTTGAGAGGGCCTGTGGAAGTGATGGATGCGACTGCAGCACTTCCAACTATTACCCATTTGTAGTTGACACGGATGCATTGACCTTATGTCGGATTCAAAGGTACAGAAGTTGGCCCCAAGGAAAAGAAAGAAAACCAAGTTGTTTGCGCGTCAGATGTGTTCCACTTGTGCCCAGAATTCATGTAGAAGTTCATCTAGGGACTATTTTATATCCGTCATCCCATCTACGGAACAGCGCATGGTATGGATTCAGAAGCGCATCCAGGAGTCACCTTTCCTCCTAAAGATGAGTAACCGCGGCTCCCACTTCTTCCAATGTCCCACCCATCACGCCAGTCGCCGTCTGCGTAGGGACACACGCACAGGAAGGACACCCGCCTGTCTCGGGGGTCGTAACCGTCGTCTTCGATCCAGAACTACAGCTCGAACACGAGTACGTGGCCATGGCAATCGCACACCCTCTTGTACTAGTGGTCGGCGTCTGCGGTAGCGAAAGGGCGCAGGAGCATGAGGGACACGCATTGTAGGGCGATGGTACGAAGGTGACGGTGTATCCAGGCTGGCAGGCGGCGCATGACGCGACGGGACATGGCACGCAAACACACTGCGATTGGGGTGAAGTTGAGGTGACGTCTCGCCCTGGGGTGCATGGACATGAGGGGAAAGGCGGAGGTGTGACGATGACAGGCGGCGGTGGAGTGATTACGGATGGAGGCGGCGTGGTGGGCGATGGCTGTTTCGTCTGAGGCATGCACATCCAGTACCCTAGACGAGCGAGAACTTTTAGACGCCGGATTAGTGAGGATTCGACGAAAGACGCTCACAATCATTGAGCGAACTGCAAACAGCCGACTCGGGTTCGCTGTGGATTCAAGATTAGGAATGGAGAACAGACTCTGTTATTACAGTGAATGGCTCACCCTTCGCAACTGGTTGATCCAAAATGATTTATTCCTCCGCCTAGTGTGGGAAAAGAGACGATCAGAACCACAAGAATAAAACCCCGAGCCCTCGAAGACCACTCACATTGGCCCCAAAGTGGCACTGGTGTAGGGCTTCCCCGCCGCAAATGCGCGTCCAGGTCGGTAGCAGAAGTAGGCGCCGTAGATAAATAGGCACAAGTCGACGAGACCAAGCAAGCAGACGCCAAGAGTAGGAGGAACATCATGGACACGCGTACTCGTGAGGGATCGTTGAGCAAAGAAAAAGTCGGCGGCGCGCAAAGCAGGGGCAAAAAAAGCTCCTAATAGATCTTAATCCAGCAATAACCCAGCCGTATTTATACCCACAGTGAGAGTCTCCAGCGGCGGCTACAATTCATTCGTGTTTTTCCGAGGAAATCATTCGACAAGCAGCCAGCTGAACACTTGAGACAAGGGTGAGAAATGCGCCGTACAAAGTCCTCGATAGAATCGTCGGAATGGGGGTTAGACTCGCATTATCGCTGTCGTAGGTGCCTCCATATACAGAGAATGGTGTTGGGCGAGATTGGCCTCGGTGGTGTGGTGGCGGAGACTGAAGGAAAGTTTGGGAGCGGTGGAACGAAAATGATGACTTTAAGCGCCGATTCATTTCCGTTGATGGGCCCCTATCTCAGGACTTGATATGTCGTTCCGGCCCATTTCAAAGAGAAACCAACGTCGGCACACTCACAGCTCCAGTAGATCCAGAACCCTTTTCAAGAGTAAAAATACCAGCATGTATTACGAGCCTGACTGTTGAACAGGGTTCACTACACCATAAGCCATGGGGTCTGCTAGCCTACTACGAGTCTTCTACTCCCGTCCAAGAATATTCGACTCATAAATCGCGCTCAGCTTTCCCGTATTCGAGTTCTCGATCTACGCAATATTTGCCGGTCAGAAAGATTATGTTTTACTTGGGTTGATTACGCACCTCATATCGCGGATCCTCCGCACTCGCGTTTACGTTCCGATCCGCTTCACGTCCAGGGGAAGTAAGGACGTCTCGAATGACGCCGACGCTCTCTGGGGTGTTCGAGTGGGGGCCTTACCACTCAGTCAGCGATTATGCCTCGAGATGTTTTTGTTGAAAGGAAACTAACCTCCAATAGGCTTGTATCGAACGGTCTGTCCTTTCTTGAATTGGGGTGCCATCGTGATACCAGGTCGTGATGTTGTGGTGGGTGGGCTAAGGCAAGGAGATATAGGCCGGTGAAATGCGGCGGCGAGGAATATATACCCCTCTGGACGAAGGTCTGAGATGTGTTGCATTCTGTTTGAGACCTGCGTCAGTCGCGATTGGAGTAGTGATCGAGATAAGCGCCCAAACGGACGCCCGAGCCCGAGCAACGCGAAATGGAACATAAGTTGCCTGCTTGTAGCCCAATTTCATTCGTCCCTCTATAGGTCCGAGAGGAAGGATATAGAAGAACAAAGAAAATTGATAGATAGATAAGTAATACACCGCGCTATTGGCAATAGATTTTTTGATACAAATAAAAGTACAGAAGCTCGACTCTAAATAATACAACAGAGAAAATCATGATATGCGTTAGGATTCGTGAAGATATCGTGAAAAGAAGTGGGGAGATTCGTGTCTGTCCGTGACATGGGAATACAAGAACAAAAACATAGAGATTTCCAACCGAAAAAAGCGGGAGCGAAAACAGAAACTGGAAAACGGAACCGGAAAACAATGTCCACGAAGCCAAACCGACGACACCGGAACTCAAACAGTACTCACAGAATTCATGCTCCAAATACTACTCATCCGTCTCTTAACCACCTTTCCCCTCCTCACCACCTCCTTCTGCCACTCCTTCCCACCCGTCTCCCCTCCCTCCCTCTTCGCTTCCCCAGCGGAAACCTCGACCTTCTGGAAATACCTCCTCCGGAAGGACGGACCGACCAACGGGATCCCCCGTTCCACGACCATCATCCCTTCGACATCCCCAGTCGATGAGTTGGTGACGACGTCGTAGAGCCCCTCTTGTTTGAGATGGTTAGGACAGCTCTCGCGGGCCCAGCGGATACTGATTTGCTTTAAGGACGGAAGGTCTTTAAGGATTCGTGTGGCGGTTTCGAGCATCGATTCGTCGAGATATTTGTGGCCTTTAGTTAGCGAGAAGCGCTTCAGGTTGGGAAGGAGGCGGAGTTGCGAGAGGAGCTGCTTGAGTGGTTTCTAATAACGTCGTCCATTAGCTTCAGGAGAGAGCAAGCCAACAGGGGGAGGACACTCACAACTGTAAACGAAGTCGTACACATCAAATGCAAATCCGTCAACTTGGGACAGCTCCCCACAATCGCCTTGAAAAAGGACGTATGATCGCGATTCGGATCCAAAAGATGCACCCAGACATCCAACGACGTCAACCTCTCACAACTCTTCAACGCATCACACACCGCCCTCAGCCTGCTCTCATAAACAGGCTCGCACGTCAGATCCACAGTCTCGATCTCCTTCAAATTGGGTAACACAGCAAGCTGCTGGTAGACCCCGATGAAGGTGTCCAATTTGGGAAGAGCATCGGGTGAGAGATCGAGTGGGATCACGTCGGGGCTCATCCAGCGCTTAAAATTCCAAAGGAAGCGGATGTATTTCAAGGTCGGGTGATCCTCCAAGAACCTAGCCAGTTCACCATTCCCCAGCGCCGTCGAAGGACCCAAAGCAAAGTCCTCCTGGTACCCAAACGATCCAAGTGTGAGACTATTAAGCTTCGGCCAGCTGCCCTCCACTATCCGATCAAAGTCGAACACACGGGCGGAGGAGGAGAAGGAGCAGATGGACAGTTCCTCGAGGTTCGGACAGCGCGTTAGGATCATGTCCCAGAACCGTGGAGGGAGGGCCTCGGGGGTGGGGAAGAGCTCGGAACCGGGTAGGCCGTGGCGGACGATTACGGAGAAACTTGTGAGATCGGTGAAAGAAAACAACGAGGTTTCGGGGTTGAGAGGGTTTTGTCCGATGTTTGTGAATACACTTTTGAGGAGAGGGCATCTGAGCATCCATAACAAGATGTGAGTTATGAGGATCAACCGCAAATGATGGCTGGAACAATGGAACATAAGAAACCACGCACTTGAGTCGTAATGTATCCCATAACCTATCATCCGGCACCTCCAACCCATCCCAATCAAACGTCACAAGACCCTTCAAATCATCCGCCAAATCTATCAATCGATCCACGACCCACCCTTCATCGAGGTAATCGTCCTGCTGCGGCCACGCGAGGTAGTAGTTGGGTCGAACAGCCAGTTTTCTAATGTGCCGACATAAATGACGTTTGGTCTGGAGCATCTTGAGCGTCCGACGACAGTTCTTACTCGATTTGAGGACGACGGTTTCGTAGAGCGCGGGGAGGAGGAGGTAGCGGAGCTGGGAGCTCTGTAACGACCAGGTCGACGCGAGGTAATCAACAGAATTAGGGGTAAATTCCTCATGAACGACGAGCACAGAACACCAACGCACCGTCATACTAAAGCTCAAAATATCGCTCGGGGCAAGCAAATCCGCAATCTCTCGTACAACGTCCGCATTAATCTTGCCCACCGCCGTCCAGCCCGCTCCCAGTGCAAAACTATTCGGTCTTGAGCTTGAACTATTGCCATTACCTGGGCTGGGGAGGAAGAGGCTGAGACTCTTGAGGCTGCGTCGGCGGAAGTTGGCAGTCCGTCGTCTGTTGGTTATGGCATCTCGTGTGCGGAGGGAGTCTTCGGCTCGTGCTTGGGCTTGGGCTTCGGCGCTCGCGCTGGTACTTGCGGTACCGCTGCATTGGGGATGCATCGTCGTAGAGAACGAAGGGTGATGGAATTCAGCAGGGACGTAAAGCGTCGGAACGTTGATAACGCCAGGATGAAGAGGGGTGGGAAGACAGGAAGCTACGACGATTAGGGGGACGAGGAGCGAGTGAAATCAAGGAAGGATAGAGTAGAAGAAGGAAGCGGCAATAAGAACAAAGGAAGCAAGGAAGCAAGGAGGGCGACAGGCGCCTTACACGAAGGCAGTGAACAGTGGGTACACCAAGGAGGTGGTCACACCGTGAAACGTTGGAACGCTCGCCACGCAGCAGTACGCACTCGCTCCCTAGAGGCTGCACAGGCAGAGATGGCGGAAGCACAACATGAGGCTTGTCTCAAGTCAGACGCGAGGCAGACCGTGACAACTGTACAAGCAAGTTGCATCATTTGTTAGGACTAGATGTGTTCACCGGGGTTTGTGAACAAAGGAAGACTCACAGCCACCTTTTCAAAGAACGAGCTATTTCATGTAGGATGATCCTGATCCTTGGGACCCGTCCTAGCCCGTACTTATCGATGGAAGGCCTTGACTCGTGAATGATGACGATACCTGACGGAGGCGTGGATGGGGCGTGGGGAGGGCCAGGTGGCGCTCAACGCAGCCTTCCTAGAGTTGCCGAGAACTGAGGACCCTTTAAGGGGCTTCATTACTATTAGGGTTAGGAACCTGGGACTGATGATAGCAACGATTGCTGATTGATGATCCATTTATCTTATCTTGACGCTTTTGATTCACGGGGCTCATGTATTAGTGCGGCGCTCGACGAGTACTGCATACACATTTGGGTAAACCATGGGCTTGGTGGGCTTGTGATATAGCTGTCCTATTGCATTAAATGAAGAGAACGAGCCTGTCTGAAGGCAGTCCAGCTGTCCGCAATCAGTAGTAAGTAGGTACGAAGCTGAAATGAATGAAACCTAGTGGCCGCGCCAAGCACACCCGATCTGACGTACTCGGGTCACCTGGCACTATTCAAGGTCCAACTCGCATTCGTCCCCGCAGCTACACAACTTGTGATTCAACGAATGATCGGTTCTTCCTTTTAGAAGTAGAGCTTAAGCGCTCACCTGCATCACACTGAGACTCCTCTCCGTACGTGGCGCACGTCACCAATCCTTCTCGTAATCCAACCCAGGGTCCTTTATACTTGACATAGAAGCACTCGTGTTTCAACAACCAATGGATACCTGCTTTTAGAAGCGAAGCTTAAGCGCCTTCAAGTCTTCTTGATAGATAGAGATATGCGCACCACTTCTCGTCCAATGACTATCCATGAATTCTCCGAGATGCTCATATCCATTTAGGCGCCGGCTTCTTGATATTCATCGATATTCGTTGATCTCCGCCCTCGTCGCGAATAGTTACACAGGAAAGTAAACAACGGCATCCAATCCTTAAGCGCTCGTGAACCGTAGTGTGATAGGCTGAAGTTAAACACCGATCCAAGCTCTGCCTTGCAGTCAGGACTCAGAACTTCGGAATTGGTGTGGAATTGAAGGAAGGGGTGGTGATAGATACCGCACATCAAAACATCCTCGGGTGATTAATTGTTTCGGCGGATACAAGCGAAGTACTACATACGAATGGACTATACATAGATAGTAAGCGCTCGTTTAATAGGGCCAGGGCCAAATTCAGACCCGGTGGACATCGTAGGTGTGCAAGGCGATGTTTAACACTTCAAATTTCAAAACCGGAAGCCAGAAACGGCTGTAATAAGTACACCTGACTTTCGTTCCCGGTGAGATCCGGATTACCCGCTGGAGCCTGGATGGTAATGAACTTGAGAACCGTCTACGATTCATTCCGAGTCTCTCAGCGCTCTTCATACTGTACATACACCACATATTGATACAACACGCAGTACATCACCTACTCCACAACACCGAGTACACTAAAGATACGTACAGAGCTTTATCGAATGATGCATAATACAAGACACAGGCTGGCTTTTCATTCCGTCTCCATCGTTCGCGCTAAAGCCACGAATCCAAAGCAACTAATTCGTCTCATGGTGTTCCCCGTTCGATACTCAGCCCCTCACGAGTCCCAAAGTAACGGCTCTCCTCTTCTCCTTGAAGTTAGCCCCCGAGGAGCCCTCAGAGCCCCTACCGCCTGCCTCAACACCTACATTACCCCAAGCCGTAAGAGGCAACAACCCGCCCCCTTCCATCACCTCACGTCCATCCACAACCGTGCTGCTTCCTTCCAACACCCTCTCAAACGCCTCCGCCGCCTCCTCAACAACCATCACATCCTCCATCCTCCACTCCACGTTCGAGCTATCCTGAGTCTGACTCTTAACTTGCTGGAATTGGACGTCGAAGAGGATGGTAATTTCGTGCAGGTGAGGTGAGAGGGAGAGTGTTTGGTCGAGGCGGGTCCATGGTGTCGACGTCGAATTCGAGTTCGATGTCGTCGATGCCGTCGATGTCTGACCTGGCCCGTCCAACCCTCCACTACCTATTTCCCCGCCTAGACCATCCAACCCTCCTCGCACGAACCCACACAACGGATCCACGTCCTCCCACTTAACAACCACCTCCAACCTCTGCAAGCCATGTTGCGGGATAAGCGTGCACGGCCCAGCCACCAAACCCATCGGCAGACCGTACGGACTCGATTCGAACGGAGTCGTCAGAAAGATGGAGAGGGAGGGGAGGGAGGGGAGGAAGGGGAGGTGGAGAGTGGGCAGTGTGGCTTTAGATATACGTATTGAATATACGTAGAGTAGTATAGGTATTGAATAGGCATGGTGCGAGTATCGTTGTCAGCGATACGACACTAGCAGTACCACGAGTGGTAGGGACGTACCATCATCCGTCCCGACAACAACCAACTCCTTCAAGCTCCCTGAAGAACTTTCCAGCAGCTTCGCGATTCTGCTAGTGGCACTCTTTCTCTCTGAGTCCTGCTCCAATTCGTCCAAGTCGTTCGTAGTACCCAAATCAAGCGTCAACGACTCCAACGACGACGAAACAGTGTCGAGCCCCATGGAGGTATTAGCGATCCACGATAGGGTGAGGAAATGAGTGTGAGGTGGGTTAGCGAACAGCTGGACTCTGTGGTTCCTTTCGTCGCGGTGCTTCCCGACGACGGGGGGTGTGCTCCAGGTCGAACTTTCGAGAAAGGCTCGGACTCGCCGTCGTCGTCGTCCACCGAACACCCCTCAACCACCAACCTCTTCAACCTCCCCGCCTGAAATACAGCTTCAATCGGGAACCCACGGACACCTGCAACCGCCAATTCCTCCAATTTACCACCTTTTATCACCTCCAACAATTTGGTTCGGAGGGAGGAATCGAATTGCGTCCACGAAACACCTCCCTTCCTTTCCCGCCCTTGATTTTGACTGTTGTCGTTCGAGCGCGATGTGGGGAAGGTAAGATGTAAAACCCGTAGCGCAAATAGTCGTGCCAAGATTTGAGAGAGATCGGGGTCCCAGTACCCGTCTTCGATTATCAGCTCTTTCACGTACTGTCCTACCCCTCCAGCTCCACTTAGCTGTCCGTCTCCTCCGCCGCCACAACCATCCCCACTCCCATAATCCAAGATCGCCAAAAACCTCTGAACATGATCATACTCGAACGCATGCATCGACGATTTGAACCGAACCTGGCGGAAGATCCGTGCCCGACAAGGCGCGAGGAACGATTTGGAAGCAAGTGAACATGCGGAGAGGGATCGGTGGGTTGGGTAGTCCAACTTTGAGTTGTTCGAGTTGTATTTTAATTTGGTGGTAATCAGTTTGAAGGTCGAGGAGGACGAGTGTGGTGTGAATCTCGAACTCGAGTGTGGTGTACATCCCAAACTTGAAGAGCGCACAGATGAGGAGGAGGAAGAGGAGTCGACCAAAGCCCCAACTATAGCTTCCACGATTTGCTCGTTCTGTAGGACGAGTCTCCCAGCTCCAAGTGACACTTCTTCCATCGTGGCGGACGTCGTCCCATCCTTTTGCCGAGTGAAGGGGTTGTTCAAATTGAAGAAGTTGAGTGATTTTAGTCTGGCGTTGGTTAGTTAATGGGTTAAAGAAGTGAGCGCGGTAGTTAATGCGTTCAAGTTGTGGAGCGGGCTTTGGGGAGTAAGATGGAGAGATTTGGCTTACCGCATTGTAGTGTCAAAGGTAAGACAAAGACTGAAGAGAGGAGGAGGTTGGGATAGGAAGAGGATGGCGGAATAGGAGCACAAGTAGACCGATTCGGGTTCGAGGAGCGCTCGCTTATTTATATCCCTGCCTTACCGCGTCGGAGTCCAACATGAGTCGACTGTCGTCCCCGCGATGTACGTTTTACACCGCCCGAAAATTATGTACATCGCCCGAGAAATACTAGAAACAAATAAGTAGTGTCGTGATCGTTCATGTACATCGTCCGAGGGCTGAGAGGGCATTGCTCCTTACTTCGTTGCCGTTCCAAACAGTCGTCCAAGAAAGAAAGAACCAAACCACGAAACCCCAAGTGCGGCTATATCTCGCTCATTCGTACGTACGAGCGCATCAGCTCCCTGATATCACAACACCCGTCCACGAGAACGACAGTTACAAGCAAGGACGATCTGGGGATTCAATGTAAGTAGATTTTAGTCCATTTGGTCAGGTAGAGTTGTGAAACAGCTAGCAACGAGGCGGCACGAGGCTGGGATGACGAGAGGCTCGGAACGAGAGTTTCAATTTATCAAAGTTCTTTTTTTCAGAGAGCGAAAAGATTTCCCAGAGCGACCCAGTGAACAGGCTGCATAAAGACATATAGTGGGCGGCTGAGAAATCTTTGTTGACTTCAGATTTCCGATGAGAGTGGGCCAAAGAATTTCCCCCGTTTGGCGTACAAGAGCGAGATGGAGTGGGGTAAAAGACCGACACGAGGCTCAAAGATCAAGTTTGACGTTACCAGAGTCCACAGATGACCAAGGTAGCGCCCAAAGGAACAACAGAACGGACAAGAAGCTACGACGACTCGGAGAGAACGAGACTGGAGGCGGCTGCGACGCGGAGGAAGAGGGCACGAAACGGAACACAGCGCAAAACGAAAAACGCATATTGGAGTTCACCACCGGATCAAAGGCGGACCGACGAGGCGCCCTGGAGGCTCGGGCCGACGCTCCGACCCCCTCTCGTGGGGTTTGCCAAGCCCAAGGTGGCCTCCACTTGTGGGGGTTGGCATGAACGCTCTTGCTCCCCCCACGTTCATCCGTCTACCATGGTGATTTGGAATGCCTGCGCAACCTCGACATGAAGCTATAGCAACAACAACAACGACGCCCTCTGAATCTATACCTCGTCGTCAGAACACTGGATCTACGATAACAGATGGCAGACCGGAATTCGAGGTGCTGAGGGAGGAGCCGACGACTGCTTCGGGGATTAATGTGGAGGAGGAGGTGAGGTTGTACGAGGAGCTGTGTAGGGAGTACGATGAGGAGGCTTCTCAGGTGCGTCTTTATTCTATTCTCTTCTATTCTATTGTCTTCAATGAAAAGCCTAAGACTGAAATGCCGATAATTAGTACGACAGGCGGAGCATGCACCTCCCTCGCCCAGCTGAATCTATTTTCTCGGCGGATATCTACCTCGGGGACAACAGAGGAGGAGGATCGTTCGCGACTGACGTCAAGATCTCTGGATGGACGACTGTAGCTGGCGATAAAGTCCCTTCGTTGGAGAAAGGGAGGGGGTTGACTGGGTTAGGGTCGGGTGCTTATGTTGGTGCGTCTGCCTCCTCTCTTTCTTTTGGATTTAAGCTAATCCTCTCTTTGGTAGTATACGATTGCGTCGTAACGACCAAAGAGGTTCGTCTATACCCCCTCCCCCATCGCCCCCTTAACCCTCTTTCTTATCCACTCGCAGAACACAACCTTCCACTTCCTCAAGCGCTACACCGCATTCGAAGACCTCGAATACGCACTCCGCAAAACCCTCCCTCCAGTCCTCCGCCCCGCCATACCCAAACTACCGCCCAAAGCCCCCTTTGCCCGCTTCAGGCCCGCGTTTCTGGATAAACGCCGCCAGCATCTGCAGTTCTGGCTTGCGAGGGTTCTGTTGCATCCTGAGATTGGACAGAGCGAGGCTGTGAAACGATGGGTTATGGCGTAAGGGATCTGGGAATGTGGGGAAGGGCGATGCGATATGCGGGTTGGGTGAATCAGCTCTTGCTCTCATTTCTTCCTGCTTTCCTTTGCTTTGCGTATCTATGGACTATTTGATTTCCCTTTCCATCTGTACAGATACTGTGACGCTCTAATTCATCCTTTTTGCTTTCGCTTTCGATCCCAGATTTATACTTCTTCCGCCTTGTTTTGATTCAGATGCCCTTTTATCCATTCCTCCCATTGACTCGTCGAGGTGGCAAGATCAACACCAGCAAAGGCGAGGCCGACGTTATACGGTTATCCCAATTCCGACAAAGCGCCCCTACTCTCTATATATGCCCCACGTTCCACCGGAATCGGACGCTCCGAGCAGATACCTGTACTGCCATGTCCCCACCTCTCACCCGATCTCTACTATGGCAACCACTCGTACACACCTGCTCCAGCCTCGAACGACACACCCCCTCCCTTTCCCCTGTCCGAGATCTATCTCTTCGTGTGCATCTAGGAAGTACGCGATCAGGGAGGTTCATGGTCAACTACGCCTCCCCACCGTTCTTGAGCGACGAAGAGCACGCTAGTAGGGGAACGGAATTGACGCTGCCGGTGGGGAGGGGGAAAGAATTGGATCAGATGAACTAAACGGGTGGTCTGGCTTGGGAGTCTGTTAGAGGAAGAGACAGAGGCATGGTGGAATGAGAGCGGCGAGGTGAGGAACGAAAGCGGCGAAGGGAGGCTAACTCTTACCCTCGCAATCGCCTTGTGACCGCGCTTTACAGTATGTACCTTTGGAATGCGTCTCGGCGTTTGAGGGCATCATACCCCCGCTCGTGGATTCATATTACTCATAATTAGATGCATGGTGGGCGATGTTGTATCATCGATTCTGGGGTATGGCGACTCCTAGTCAATTGCCCTTTACGTTACGAACTCTGGAATCTGCAGAGTGAATTTGAAACAACGAAAGGTCCAAACTCTATCATGCGTATACATCTAGCTAGCTGCTAACAAGAAGCGAACAGAAATCTTTATTCTGTGCGTACGAAATGAAAGAGAAGCATAGGAGGTTCGACGGTGATACTAAATGATAAATGCTCAAAGAAAAACGCTCGAGGAGAAAACGTGAAAGGGGAAAACGGGAACGGAGAGGGAGAAGAAGAACAAACAGCCACACTGTATGCTATAGAATCGCACGGTAGGAGAGGCCAACTGGAGTTTTTAGGAGAAATTGCGATTAATGCGTGGAACTTCGGGTCTGGAGTAACTTGAACATGCCTATGCGAAGCGATCAAGAGGGCTGAAGGATAAAGGGGTGCGTTTGAAAAAAGAAGGGTAACGTTTGAAAGGGGGAGATAGCGGTAAGAAGAAAGGTAGAGTTAAAAAGAAGAAGAAGAAGAGTAACGTCGAAGAAGATGCCGCCAAATAGTAAAGAGAGAACATAACCCGAACGTAAACAGATGAAAGAACACAACCTCCAAACAGAGAACACAACCGCAACCTCCACAGAGAAAACACGAAATCTACGAAGCTTTAGCTTTCTTAAAGTACCACCCCTCCGGCGTCGGCCTCGTCCTGATCTCGAATTTATGGATGATAGTCGCGATGAGGAGGAATAGATAGAGTGCCCCTGTCACGCGTCAACACCGTCATGTCAGTACCTCTCGAGAAGGGGAGTCTCTCAGAAAAAGGAATCTCTCAGAAGAAAGAAAGAAAGAAAGAAAGAGAACAACTCCTCGCCCGTATTCACACCAAAAACCCAGATGAATCGGAATAACAAACCAACACACAACTTGAAGCCAAACCACTCACATAAAGCCCAAGCAATACCCTGCAACGCCACAACCCTCGCACACTCCCCTGCATAAGGCTGCCACTGCGGTGGGTAAGCAGATACCGGTCTGGAGGAGCAGGAGGTGCCTTTGTAGGGTGTGCTGCGCTGGACGACGCCTGCGCCCGTGCCGAAGAAGACGGCGGCGACGAGGGCGCAGAAGGACATGACTTTGAGAGGGAAAGGGAGGGTTAGTATGGTTTGATTTTTGGAGGAGAAGTTGGTAAGAAAGAGAAGAAGAGAGAAGAGAGAAAAAAAACCCACGCACATCCAACTCCAAACCACAAATGCGGCAACACGATCAATAGCGAAAGTATGCACGCGAACAGCAAAAGTCCCAGTGCATAATAGTACTGCTTGGATCCATAATTCGAGTTTCCCTCGCCGTATCGGTGGAGTTGGAAGGATACGAGGCCGAGTTCTGCGACGGCTGTACACGATGGGTGAGATGATAAAGAGAGTACAAAGGAATGAAGTCAGCCGTTGGAATTCTTGAATCCTCTACAAGTCAGCCTAATCCTCCAACACACACACGACCCCGCACTCGTCGAGATAATCCTATCCGCCTAGCTCTCCTGTCCACCCTACCCAGTAAGAAAAAAAAGCGAGAAACTCACTCAAGGAAAATATCAACCCAAACATGATCCCATAAAACACACTCCGGAAGTTAACCACGCATCCGTATCGAGAAGGCCGGAATACGTTGACGCCGGTACGGAGTTTGGACTCCATTGCGTCTTCTACTCTGCGTTCTGTTTTTCATAGCGTGGGCGAAAGGTGATTGTAGGTGGGATGATAACGTTGGCGGGAGGTGATGTTGGGTGAGATGATAGCGTGGGCGTTGGGCGAGATAATTTGTGGTCAGCTACCCTAGATTTGAATGACAGCCGGGTACTAATGGAGAACATACCAACGTCACCCATCGTGGCTCGTCGTCTCTTCGCGTGTGGTGGTCGTAGGTATATGCAGTACTAGGGAGGCCAATGGACGTTGAAGAAAATCCAGGGAAAGGAGGTTCAAAGTACGCAATGGAGGGGGTGGATGAAAGACACGTCTATCAAAACCGAAACCGACTACTATGAAGTCTGGTGTCAGCGCTGAGGCTGACATACTTTCGAAAACCCCTGGCGCCTCGGCCTCCGCTCCCCAGACTCCGTACTTCCCGATTTGGAAATCGGGCACCCATTCTGGGATTCGCGGTGGGCCGGTAGCCAACTCGTATGTAGGCGGCTTGTAGTAGTAGCGCCCGATTATTAACGATACTGTCGTCGTCCAGCTTATACGGTATACTTACACGGAAGGATCTTCGATTCAGGTGAGTCCACATCCAAAACCCAGTTGTGCTGTGAAATTCAAATTGTACGAACGTGGCCGCGGCTGAAACACCGTGACGCTCGGTTGTTCGTAGCCGTAAACCACGCTGTACGGATTCCAGAGAAATTGTACTCATGTAGATGGTGATATTGTTTGTGTAGACTGTGAGAGGGCGGAGAAATTACAGTATCGTTGTAGTACTGGAAATTCTTGTTCGTCGGTTAGAAAAGAACCGAAGGAATGATATCGACCTAGGTACTGAGCCCACGCTGTACCTGGGTTGCTACGGGTTGAGGCTTCGATACCGTCATTCTGAAGGTTATAACTCAACTGGTACTCCGAGTCGCAGGCACTAGTGGAGTATAAAAGCCAGAGTTGACAATTGTCAAGACTAACGCTTTCCTCGCATAAGTAGTTCCAGCAATGACTCTCGCGTTCAAAGGTCGCCTTCCAGCTCTTCTCTCCCTCGTTGTTCTCGTCAATGCTCGCGCAGGCGGTAACGACGGCATCGACCTATCTGCGCGGGCCACAGGCTTCCCTAACCCTTGTAAGTCGCACCTCTCGTCTACGGGGCCGCTAGAGACCATCATTTTGATGGTTTGAATAGGTGGAAGTGGGCCCTACGGAGGCGCGATTGCCTGCCCAAACGCTCAAAAGCCCTACTGCACCGTCAGCAGCGGATGTAAGTTCTCCTTCCATCCTCACACCACTAAAGTCTAATCTCTCCCAACCTCCCTAATACCTAAACCTAAACAGCCGTCTACCTCTGCACGGCAACCACCACCACCTACACACCCAGCACGACCTACCCGCCCACCGACCCTCTCGCAATGTGCACCCCAGCGTGCACACCCGGCATCAACTTCACCACCCGAACTGTGTGGACTGAATGCTCCTGCATGGCGTGCCCTACGCCTTCGTGCAGCGGGTACTGCGATCCTGGATCCACTAATGCTATTACCACTGGTACGAATGGGTGCTCGAGCTGTGGTAGCTGCGTTCCTACTGGGAATGTGAGGCGTGAGCCTGCGGCGCAGGCGACCCCTGCTGTAACCCATTTGTGATTGTCATATAGGTAGATGGAGTGAGATGGAGTGTTTTCTATGGGACGTCGGAGTCACGCTGTTAGTCTGTAGATAGTAGATCGGGTTGTCCACGTGAAAGTACTGCGTCCCAACACTCTGTCTCGATACAATTCGAATATGCAGCGCGCGATTGAGCAACTTGTACACATCATATTCTTTGCATAGACCTAAGACTACACCGTCCCGTCTTGAGCATCAAATTAACGGCTTTATACTCCTACAGATGTGTGATGGTTGGAGCTGGTGGGGGCACGGTTATAGTAGGAAGCCATGTCGGTGTATGAGTCGCCCCTGGGTGGAGTGTCGGGATGCATTGGTGATACCCTGCGCAAAGTTGTATCAGTGCTTCGGTAATGAATGACTCGATGACTTGTAAAGGTATAACGTACACTCGTTGAGGGAGCTACAAGTTACTCCCTCGCCTTCCTCGCTTCCAAAGTGACGTTTATTTCAATGCGAGGCAGATGGGGGGATAAAAGGTAGAGGACGTAGGCTTACGTTGGGGTCGCGCAGACTGTTGCTCCCGTGTATCCTTTCCCTCCACCTGGAAAGTATGGCAGATTGGTGTATGTATGTGAGCACTACTACTCAGAGCGCTTGAGCTTGGAAAGGAGGAAGAACGCACACTGATACCAGAATGATTTCGAGGAGATTGACGTGAGCTGCGCGTTGGAGAGTAGTACAAGGCCGGATACGACGAGAAGTCCTCTTAAGGTGGCCGCCCACATCGATTGTTACTGGAGGATTGAACTCGGGGGTGGCGCTAATACTTATCAGCATCTGTGAAAGACAGTTCCAGCATTAAATGCATCATTCAGTGAGATGCTTCGAATTCCTAAGCCACTGAAGTCTGTCCCGAGCTATAGAATACAAGTACTCACATGATAGTCTATCTAGTCTTCTTATTTATCCGACAATATCCACCTGAGGATCCCAAGCCCTCAGTGTCGTGGTTCGTGTTTCACCGGAGATCTATAACTCTGATGTGAGAATGACAAAAGGAGACCGATGTGTTCGAATTCTACAGACTGTCCAGTGGATAAGGTGGAGGCGTAACCGAGATCACCTTCCTTTATCAGGAACAAGAGAGAAGGACTTCATCAAGCTTTCACCTCCGACAAACGCGTGAGCTCAGAAGATGAGTTCACTGCGAGTCAGTGACGGATGGATATCGATCGATCGCCGCAGATGGCGTGAGTTCGTGGATCGCCGCTGTCGGGTCCTCTATATCCAAAGTCCCGGTTTCAATTCCAGTCACAGCAATCGATTTACTTCTATCAACTCATGCGTAGACTACGTTAAAGTATGAAGCGATATGAACTTTATATCTCTTCCGAGTACGAGGGAGAACACTGGCTGGCTCAGCGCAGCACCTGCGAATCCCGTCTTCCCATCTTGCCCCCGTCATTTCGCCTTGCAGTGCACTCCCTGTAGCTTCCAAGCTATAGTCGAGATCCACATTGCGAAGCGCCGGGAACTTGGTAGAACTGGAGAGTATCTCGTCCAGGTCATCCCACCGTCCCTTGACGGACTCGGTCATAGGGTGTAGGAACAGCGTGGGGTTGCCGTGCTCTGGAAGAAAAAGCCCGTCGTCTACAAGAGGGAGAGAGCCCTCCATGGCCAACCGGACGCTCTCGACTAGGGAGGGGCTGCTGATCGACGCCAAGCTGTCCACAAGGATACCGAGCGGTCTGGGATCTGCCACGACCTCTGGGTCGCCCCAAGACACAGTGTGAAGGCCGTTCATTTGAAGCTTCAGGTGTTTCAGGGATTTGCAGCGGCTTAGGTCAAGGGCTCCTACAGGTAATGGTTAATGCCAATCCCTTCCCTCGTATGGGGCCTGATCACTTACTGCTGTTATTGTAGTCCCAGTCGGAGTGGCGAACCTTCCATCGAACGTCCAACGTTTGGAGTGAGCGGTGACAAGCATCGACCATAAATTGCGCAGCCCAATCGTCCCCACTCCAGGCGATATTCATTGAAAGTGTCGTAAGAGTCGCAAGGATCGAAGGGACGGCAGTGAAGAGTTTGACGGGATAATACAATGATCTGAAGTTCAGGGACCGTAGAGAAACTGCGAAGTCGGTTGCGGCTTCGTCGCGCGATGGCGAAGGTCCGCCGTCGTCGAAGTATTTGTGGAATGGCGACAGATCTTCGGGCTTGACTTGTACGCTTTCCGCGATCGTGACCGCCTTGATGCGAGATGCGGAGAGAAAAAGCTTCGGCGGAAAGCATGGGATATGCTGGAGCTCCAATGCCTCGACTTGGTTCGGGATGGTGCCCTTGAGGATGCCCTCGACGTGCTCCTTCATCCTGGACGGGAAGGTATCCCAGGTACATGTTCTGCCATCAATACATAGGCTCTTGAGGTTAGGGACCAGGAGAATAAACGTGTTGAGGGGGCTGTTCTCCTCTTCGGTATCATTGGGATAGAGCCTGATTGTCTCCTTTGCACTCATGCCGCGCCATCTCATGGGCGTCAGTGTGAGCTTCTGGACGTACGACCCAAAGGTATCCGGGTTGGAATGGAGGATGTCAATAACTTGGAGGATATGGTGTGCAATGAGCGCCCTTAGTGAGATGCTTCTAAAGAGAAGGCGCTGGGATGTAGAACGAAAGGCGCGGCAGACCAAGCTGCCCTGGGTGAGGGAGGTCGAATGGCGGTCTGGGGCAGTTTCAACCAGAAATTCGAGAATACAGTCAACTATTTCGGGAGGAAGGTTGTAAATGGACATGGAGTCGTTGATGGCAGCGGAAGAGAAACAACGGCGGCTCAGACAGCGGGTTCAGTGATCAAGGTGGCTGTGTCTTACGGACGGGGGATGTGGGAATAGCCGTCCCTTGTTGTGTAGGTTCCATGGGCTGCCTTGTCTTCTACCTGTCGTTTTATGGTTGAAGATGTTGAACCGCTGTGGCGAAGATACGACTCGAAAGAAGTCGAGTGTTTGGCGGTCTGTTTGGCGGCAATCCGAATATGGAAAAGCCAGCCCCTGATCGTCAATGGCGAACTTCAAGAACGAAACAGGTGTTCAAGGTCGTTAGCCAAAGCGATTTCAAATGGAACTATTGTAGAAAAGAAGCCCCGTCGCTGTGCTCAGTTTTTCGATTCAACACCGTTGTACATTTTCTCGGCAGCAACATATATACATGAACATACGGGAATTGACTTCAAACAGGGAAGATATACCCCGCAACACCCTCTTTAACGTACCCTAGCTTCTCACTCGCATTATCCCTCTCCGCCGTGCTCATGGTATAGAAATGATCTCTGGCCCTAGGACTGTAAAGCCTCCACAACGGCATTCCACCGCATCCTGAATCGCCATACACATACCCCACCACGCCTTCATCTAAGTACCCCAACCTCTCAATAGCATTATCCCTCTCCTTCGCATCTGTAGTGTAGAAATGATCGACAGCAGAGGGGCTATAGAGTCTGTAGAGGGGTACCGTGGAAGGTTGGTGGAGGGGGAAAACATATCCTGCGGTTCCTTCGTTCGTGTATCCGAGATTAGAGACGGCGTTTTCAAACTCGGGTCTGGAGGTGGTGTAGAAGTGGTTAGGATTGGGCGGATAATAGGCTCGGTAGAGGGGCACTGCGTGTCCGGGATTGCCGCATGCGAGGGAACCTTTAGTCTGACAACAAAAGCGAAAAAATGTTTGGTTAGAGCTGCATAGCGTAGTTAGATGGGGAAGCGTGATACATACAACTTCAGATCCTGGTTCACTCCTCGAGCTATCAATCAGGTCAGCCCTGGTAGATAGCACGAGGCTTAAGGCAGCAACGAGGAGAGGCTTGAAGTGGACGTGCATTCTTATTCAGGCGGGTGGTTTCCTCGAGTGATCTTTGCTACCGGATACCTTGGTGGTTATTTATGAGCCAGAATCATTTCCCTTCAAGTGAAGAAATAGTCACACGCTCGGTCGAGACACTGTCCTTCCCAGAGAGCATACATCATCATTGTCATCATCATTGCCATCATCATCATCTAGGGACATCTCTCCGAGGAAGCGAAATGTGAGCCCACGAGGCGCAAGTCTCCTTCCAATCCTCTCCATACCTAAGGTGAAGTTCGATGCTTGATATCAATAGGTAGTATCAATAGGTAGTATGAGGTTCTCCCCAATCTGAAAGACTTTCAACAAAGTTAGAAGTTCGGCGAAGTCGATGGTCCTCCCGCCCGAAGCGTACATGTACTCATATACTACAATCCTGTTTCAATAATCAACGACGAGGTCGTCAATCGAATTTAGGAAATCGCTTCAATTAACACTGGGAAAGAGGAGAGGCGACACTCGTCGAACGAGGTGCAATGTCCTAGAATAGACCCGCTGTACATCGGAGTCCGATGATCAATAGTCAATGCCGTAGGTAAGTACCAGAAAATTGTCCCCTGACCTCATTCCTTCATAGACAAATGCGCCACCTTGGAGGAAGACGAGCGTTATTGACACTATTCTGATTTCCCGCCAAGTGGCGCAGTGGTAGTCAAAATTAGCGCTGCAGCCGCGGTAGTCGTGGAATCCACTGTTCTGACACAGGCCCAGAGTTTACATCATTCGCTGGCCTGTGAGTTCTGGACGGGCCCAAGAAGGCCGGAGAATTAATTTGGAGGATGATTGGCAGACATCGCCAGGAATGGAACGCTTGTACTACCATCTGCTTACAGATCAACCAAGGAACTAAGCTTCCTTACAAGGAAGATCGGCGGAGCTGAATACAATGAGACAACCTCTCCTTGGCGCTTCCTTATCCCTTGAGGTCAGTTTGAAGACTTTACAACGGCATTCAAGTCGGGTTTCACGGAGAAGAGGAATGGTAGGGGTAAGTAGCTCATGTGTGTGGTATCATTTCCAGAGAAGTTCTCGAACTGGACGTGGCAAATCGCACCGCATCGACAGAAAAGCACAATGTCTGTATTACAAGTTAGAATTGCGAATATTAATGAAGGAACCCCTAAGAACTGATATTAAGCGCGATTAACCTGGTACAAGTATTGTATTTCTCTAATTACCCTGTATTGAAAGTCCGACGAATCTAATCGAAGCCGGGGCATCCGACGACTCGAGCGACTCGACGAATCTCAACCTCCCTCCTTCTAGCAAGTGCTGGAAGGTGCTTCGACGCCTCAAGGACATCCTCTACATCCGTTGAGACACCCGCCCCAGGCCCACCCTTCCCCGCAACGACCTCCACATAAAGCCTCGTCAAGCTCGGGAAAACATCAGTGGCTGCCAGGCTCGAGTCCACTCTCCTCCACAAATCGTCCATCAGAATGGCCATTATGTGGTAAGGAACAGCTTTAGTTTCAATCGAAGGGCCAACCGGAGCGATTGTGGGTACGAAGCTGGAGTGAAGGAACAAGTTGACACTGGTGAGCGAAGGATAGGAACGTAGATGAGCGAGGGATGACTCGAAGAACGCGAGGTGCTTGCAAGTGTTAGAGCTTGGGTTAAGGAGTTCCCAGTCCTGGATTTGGAGGGTCATAGAGCGTAGCTGAGGCATCTCGAAGGGGAGGCTTAGACCTAAGTTTGAAGGATTAGAAGACGACATCGACCTATACTGCATGGACGACTTACTCATAGCGGCATGGGATTTGACGGAGAGCTTGATGAAGACCTCGAAAGACTCGAGCGTATTTGCGCAGGCGTTCAAAACACACTCAAGGTCTCGAATGAGCGTCAACGAATTGGTGACCTTCTTGAGTCGGAAAGACGTCAACGAGCTGAAAACCGAAGGACTGAGGGACAACAAGTCGCGAGTTGCGCACATGTTCGTCGCGTCGTCCTCGTACGTCTTGAGCTGCAAGGACAAGGGGTATCTGGATGAGACTCTGGCGAGCTCCTCCTCCCATGGGAGCCCAAGGCCATCAAATCCCGAGGTTCGAATTCGAAGGTGTTGGAGGTGGGGACTGGATACGACCAATTCCAGGGGCAATCCCCAAATTCCACTAATGGATATGGAAGTTAATCGACGAGGACCGTCGGTGACTCCAGAGCCATGGAAAAGGAGTGCTTGCTGCAGAACATCGGAGAGGGTTTGCCACGAACGTGGTAAGCGCGACGACCATGAAATGGATAGTTTGTCAAGCGACGATAACTGAAGGAGGAGCCTTCCCAGATGGATGTCGTACTCTTGGTCGCCCCACAAATTCGGCGAGAGGGAGCTGCCGTTGTTGATGAACGGGAAACGCGGGAATGAGATGTCAATGCTTTGAATGTACGCAGAAAGGCGAGGTTCTCGAACTAGAGTGTCTGCAAGTTGCATTACCCGCTCGGTGGACCAGTTGGCGACCGACAAGTTGGTAAGAAGAAGACGCTGAGCGACATTTCGGAAGTTGCGAGAGAGGAGACTGCAGCTTGACAATGTTCGTCGGCTTGTGGTGGTGGTAGGTTGTATTTTCTCGAGAACGGCTTCTACTAGCTCTGGCGGAAAGGTCACGGACATGGTAGACTTCGTGCTCTGGTACAGGAGGTGGAAGCAAGAAAGGTGTTGGGAAGGTGACTTATGTTTGGCGCCTGATGAGGTTGTGACGTGGTACAGGGTGGGTGGGAGAAGTGGACCGAGCCAAACGAGCCGATCAATGATGCTAAGAGTCTATCGTAACTCTGATAGGCGACTGAAATGGTCCCATATTCATCTGCGGTGGATGCCGACGCGGATCAAAATCAACTTTGACCGGAACAGGGAAGATAGGGAGATTCACGAATCTATTATAACAAACGTGCAGGCCCCTGGGAATTCCGTCCGCATTAGGTAGTACCCCCAAATAAGGAAGGTTTGACGTTTTCGAGCGCCCTTCACCCTCTTACCACCATCTTTTTTCACATTCGTGTTCTATGGGCTCCTACGACTCACTCTGTGTATATAACACGCCATGAAAACGATTTCAAAGGGATGAAAAACCTCGATGGTGGCCTGTTTGGCCAGCCCAAAAGCCCCGTTCGGTTCGGAGATATCGCTCCACATAGGGCGGCATGAAATGCGACGCCTCCCGCCCCTTTCGAGAATGTTCGGCGACGACGCGGGCATCTGAATGATACACAACGCGAGCGAGGACGCGTGTTGAGATCTCCGTCTCCGTGCTCTCTAACGTCTGCTCGAACTGGACAGAGAAGAGACGAGGTGAGTGTCGAATATCGGGAAATTAGCATTTTTCCCCTGACCCTCTGGGCACAGCATGTCCGGATCCACAGGTCTTCGCCGGAGTTCGCGCCAGGCCGCTGCATCTCCTGCACCCACACCACCGTCATCTGCTGTTCTACCACGTTGGCGTGCGAGGCAATCGAATAACGAAAATGTTCCCCCTCCGAATGTGGCTCAGCAGACCCCTGGGCCTACGTTAAGACCACCCGGGACCGGTGTCCCACTCCAGAACATTGGCAACTTTGCATTGAGTGGGCTCCAGCATTCTTCGCCTTCCTACAGGGTGCGTCGTCTTGCGAGGTTTTTTGAATCACCACAACTCTTAATAAATTTCCAGGATGTTTTCCGCCATTGGCAGGCATCTTCGTCCTCTCCGTCAACTCATTTATCGTCTGAACGGGTGAGTGATGATTGTACTGCATGTCCTAAGTCTCGCTGATGTGTTTCTAGGATTCCTTTCGCCCCTGGCAGCCTCTTCCCACTCCCCCAGCAACACAGCCATCTGTGAGTCTTCTCGCATTTCATTGGCACTGATAACGATTGACACAAATGGCTTCGCGCGCAGAATACCCCATCTTTGGGTCGGCATTTACAGTCCAGACCGTCTCGCAGAGGTCCGACAGGTGTGCAAACCCCACCTGCCACGCAGAACAGGAGGCATTTGCAAGGTGCCGCTTCGACGTCGACCGGCTTGCTGACACCTGTCGCTACTCAGCGTCGTGTCGGCCCCGCCCTTCCAACCCCTCCGGCAACACAGTCTAACACTCTGTCAGATCCGCCTTCAACGACAGATTCCACACTCGAAGCGGAAAGTGCCCGGATTCGAAATCTCGCACGCAATTCAGCGTACGCAACCCCGCAAGGATCTCCTCGGCGTCGACGCGTCCAGCGTGTCCGTCTAGACGACTCAGAGGTGAGTTTACTTTGCCCAAACTCCAACTCCCGTGCGGTTGCTCATGTCGGTTTGCAGTCATCGGCATCGGAATCTGACGCGTCCATGACGTCTACTTCAAGGCCAAGGACCACCAGGGTTTCGTCAGCTAGGCAGGAAGGAATGGTCAGACGACGCAGTCCAACTCGAAACGGACAGATACGTGCGTGGTTCAGTTTGCATCAAATCGGAAGCATTCTAACCCTGCTATGTAGCTCGACGACGGCTTTTTTTGGCTGCACGCACACAATATCTCGAATCCAAGGTGCCTCGACACGACCTTGGACGCATGGATGTCCCATGCCCACACTGCGGGGCCCTCCATTGGCTCATAGAACGCACGGATGGGTCCATCGGTTCGCCTCTTTTTGGCACTTGCTGTCGAAAGGGGCGGGTACGGATTCCGTTGCTGGAGCAGCCTCCCCAGCCGCTTCAGCTCCTTCTTACTGCGCAAACCCTTCAGGCCAAGGCGTTCCGAAACGATCTCTGGAAGTATAACCGCGCGTTTTCCTTCACGTCGTTGGGCGTTCTCGAGGACCATGCCATCAACAATGGTTCGTCGGCACCCGTGTTTCGTATATGCGGTGAGTTGCACCACAACTCTGCGGCGCTCACACCGACCGGTGGACGAACCCCAAAATACGCCCAGCTCTACATCTACGAGCCCCAAGCCGCCCTCCAACACCGAATCAACCAGAACGAAGACCTCGATTCCGGGATAATGGCTCAGCTCCAAGCCATGTTGCTGGCTTCAAACCGCTTTGCTCACCTCTATCGGTCTGCTTACCAGATCATGACACGAGAAGGCCAGCCACCAGATGTCTCAGTCCGCCTCCGACTGCTGCAAGGTCAAGACCGACGACGCTACAACACGCCGACAAGTGACGAATTCGCTGTGGTCGTCCCAGATAGGCAGGGTAATGAGCAGGGCAGGGATATTATCCTTCGACTGCACGGAGGGGGCCTGCACCGCATCAGCGACCTACACCCCGCGTACGCACCTCTCCAATACCCTCTACTCTTCCCTTATGGGGAGCGTGGTTGGTCTCCTGACCTCAAGCTCAAGAAAGCTGGAGATTTCACGGCCGACAGCAACGAACGACTCAGCCAAACCGAATACGCCGCCTTCCGGATCCACTATCGACCCAATGAGGGCCAGTCGTTGATTCGAGGTGGCCGCCTTTTCACTCGCTACATCGTCGACATGTGGGCGTCCGCCGACCAAAACCGCCTGCGCTTTCTTCGGGACCACCAGAAGGAGTTACGCGCTGAACTCTACAGTGGGCTTGAAGATGCTATCGGCACAGAAGACCATTCGGACTTGAACCAGCTCGGTCGTCGAGTCGTTCTTCCCTCATCCTACATCGGCGGTCCTCGCAATATGATGCAACGGTATCAAGACGCCATGGCCGTAGCCCGACACTTCCGTAGGGTCGATCTCTTCATCACTATGACCACCAATCCCCAATGGGAGGAGATTACTAGAGAACTCCTCCCAGGCCAAACAGCTTACGATCGACCGGACTTGGTAGCACGGGTGTTCGAGATGAAGAAGGATGCTTTGCTGGAGGATATTTACAAGAATGGGATATTCGGAAATGCGGTAGCCTACGTGTATACAATCGAGTTCCAGAAGCGTGGACTACCTCATGTCCATATCCTGGTGTTCCTAGATACACCATATAAACTCTCCACCGTTGACGCCATTGACTCCTGCATCCGTGCGTACTGGCCTGACCCATTCACTGAACCCCGCCTTTTTGAAACCGTCAAGAATTGCATGGTCCATGGTCCGTGTGGTGCACTCAACCCGCGAGCACCCTGTATGGACAATGGCAAGTGCACGAAGAACTTCCCAAAGCCCTTCCAACCTGCCACCGAGATGAACGACGACGGCTTTCCGAAATATAGACGGCCTGATGATGGACGACGTTATCCTATTGGCGTGCATTGGGTGGATAACCGATGGATCGTACCTTATTGCCCCTACCTCTCCTCCAAATATGACTGCCATATCAATGTCGAATGTGCTGCATCCCTCGGGTCAATTGGTTATGTTGTCAAGTACATGGAGAAGGGTCCAGATCGAGCTACCTTGGAGATCATGCGCCAGCAAACCGGACGGGATATCGAGGTCAACGAAAACGACGAGATCCAACGTTGGGTCCTTGGGCGATACATTAGTGCCCCAGAGTCTGTGTGGCGAATCCTCCACTTCTGGATTCACAAGCAGATCCCAAGCGTCGAGAGGCTTCAAGTTCACCTGCCCGGTCAGCATATGGTCACGTTCGACCCTGATGAGGACGTCAGGACTGTGATGGAACGAGCATCGCAGGAACGCACAACTCTGACTGCCTTCTTCAATGCCAATGCCGATGATGGGGAGCTTGGGGTGGTCGCTCGCCAGTGCACCTATCAGGAATTCCCTCAGAAGTTCGTCTGGGACTCAAGGAGCCGCAGATGGAAGATACGCCAGCGCGGCTTCTCGCTTGGGCGTATGGTTTTTGTGCCTCCCAATGGTGGAGAGCGGTTTTACCTCAGAACCCTCCTCACTGTTGTCCGTGGTGCCAGGTCATTCCAAGACCTTCGGACGTACGATGGTATCGAGTATCCAACCTTCCGGGAGGCGTGTCTTGCACGAGGACTACTGGAGGATGATGGGGAATGGAGACAGTGCTTGCAAGAGGCGGCAGAGATGGGTACTGGGACACGTCTTCGCCATCTATTTGTCGTCATTCTGCTCTTTTGCGCCCCGTCACAGCCGGAGGTACTTTGGGAGCAGTTCCGTGAACGCATGTGCGACAACCTTCGATATCGACTTCAGAATTCCGGTATCGTGAACCCGACAGAAGAGCAGGTCTATGATTATGGCCTGTATATGATCAACAACCTTCTCTCGGAAAGTGGGCGAAGCCTGGAAGATTGGCCGTCCATGCCGCAGCCCATTATGGATTGGGATGACCTTCAAGAGAACCCTCTCATTGCTGAACAACGTAATTACGACCCTGAAGCGGAACAGCAGTCTCTTATCACCCGCCTCGCTCTCCTCAACAATGAACAGCGCGCAGCTTACGACGAAATTGTCCATTCCGTGGAAGGAAACGAGGGGAGACTGTTCTTTCTGCACGGTTCTGGGGGGACTGGGAAGACCTTTGTCTACAAGACGGTCTGTAATAGGATTCGGAGCAATGGCTCTATCGTCCTATGTGTTGCTTCATCCGGAATTGCAGCCCTCCTTCTCCCGGGAGGGCGGACAGCCCACTCCATGTTCCGCATCCCTGTAGGAACTCTTCATGAAGATTCCTTATGTGACATTGCAAAACGAAGTCCTCGCGCAGACCTTCTTTGCCAAACCCGCCTTATCATCTGGGATGAAGCTGTTCCACAACATCGCTACGCATTTGAAGCGTTAGACAGAACATGTCGAGACATCAGGGACAACGACTCACCCTTTGGAGGGATCACAGTCGTCTTTGGAGGAGACTTTCAGCAAACACTGCCTGTTGTTCGCCGAGGGTCCCGGGAGGGAATTGTAGGGGCTACTATTCGTTATTCATATCTCTGGGAACACATCCATGTCCTTCACCTTCGCCAGAATATGCGACTCGATGCCCAGGACCCCTCTTCTATCGGATTCGCACAGTGGTTGATTGATGTCGGCCATGGTCAAAATCTCTCCGATGACAACCACTTGGACTTCCCTCAAGACATGCGGTCTCCAAGCTCAAACAGCCTCATCAACTTTATTTACCCCGGCATAGACTCTCCCACTCCTCCACCAGCCCAATACTTCCTGGACCGCATGATCCTTGCCCCGCGGAATGCGGATGTCTCTGATCTCAACGAAGGAATCCTCGATAAGATGGCAGGTCAGAAGCGAACATATGTGAGTGCTGATGAGCTCCTCACTGAGTCTTCTGCCTCTCATCCTGTCCCTATCGAGTTCCTTCGCACTGTTAACGCCTCTGGCCTTCCCCCAGGAGAGCTGTCAATGAAGCTCGGTTCTCCGCTTATTCTACTCCGAAACCTATCCCCAAAGCATGGTCTCTGCAATGGGACTCGAATGGTAGTGACCAGAATGAGCGACCGTGTTCTCGAAGTGCAGATCATTGGAGGCGAGTGCAATGGTGACCGGGTCTTCATCCCAAGAATCTCGCTCATACCTTCGGACAATGACGACATCCTCATCAAGTTCCGACGCCGACAATTCCCTGTTCGATTGGCCTTCGCACTCACCATTAACAAAGCTCAAGGCCAATCTGTTAAGTACGTTGGCCTTGACCTTCGAAATCCTGTTTTCGCTCATGGCCAACTTTATGTGGCACTTTCCCGAGCCACATCCAGGCAACGTATCAAGGTTCTCTTACCAGATGGAGAACAAGAATGTAGTACTCCAAATGTTGTTTACCCTGAGGTGTTACTAGCTTAATAAATTATCGTTATTGCTCTCCCATTTCTTTCTTTTTGAGAGATAGGTCGCGTCTGAGGCACGTGGGATTTTTTTCCGAAAGTTCTCGCGGTGCAAAATCTGTGGCCAGCTCGAAACCGGCCACAGATTTTGCACCGTGGGAGTAAGGCAGGAACACCATCAGTACGATCTCGAGTGCCCATCAATATGCCTGATGTGCTGGGTTGTATTTCTATGTGTAGCAACGATGGTCGGAATGGGTTCAAGTTCAAGACATAGATTGATGTTCTGTGTAGATCCAGTATAGGGCTGTCAAAGTAGTATCTTTTATATGTCCTTTGTGGCTTAGAAAACCAGCAATAATTACAAAGCTCCAAGACGAACTGGCGCTTGCGCGTGCGCGCCTAAATATTTCCGACCAATGGTACCGGGAATGGTACCGGCTTGGTTCCGAATAGAAATTGCTCGAACTCTTCTGAAGTGTTCCACCAATACTGAGGCTCTGGAAGCTTCCATGAGTGAGATCTTCACAGTTGGGTCTTGCAGATATATAGGCCTAGATGGAGCACCAGACGCACTCAAACAAGCATTCATCTTCAACCGCCTTCCTCACCACTTGCTCTCTCTCTCTCTTACTTTTCTAACCTCCAGTATGGCGAATTCTCTCTCTTCTATGAGCACTTCCCAGACATCCTCAAAGTCTGCTGTGGTGTCCTTGCGTCCTGGCCGTGTCACCTTCGCCGGTGTCGTCGTTCTTGAGAATGGTCGTGTTCTCGAAACTGGGAAGAGTAAACACAATCATATGTTCGACGGGCACCTCCACATTGCAGGCGACACTACAATGGCCGCTCTGAGATATTTTAACACTTCAGGCGAGCCTCTACTTACACCATATGCATATTTTGCTGTAGGCCAGGTAAGTCGCCATCTTGGAACAAGGAATTCTGATACTCATTGAACCCATAAAGGTCGCCTCTTTCCCTCAGAAGCTCCCAGAAAAGCTCCAGGACAATGGTCTTATGTCTGGGCAAATGGTTCCTTCCGACTATGCTTTGGTTGGTGATATCAAGGATGTAAGTAAGCTGTTTCATTTGGCTAATGTGCCAACACTCATTTTGAATACCTTCAAGATCATTCCCTTGGGTCATATTAGCCCGGAAGCTGCCACCGCGGAGGGCGTTGATCCCGTTGACGCTGAACGCCCTGTCTACTTAACTGTTTGCGGGGCTGTCGATCATGTCGAGATCTTACCCGACCGATTGAAATTCAAGCTGCTCATGGATCCGTACATGGCCCCGCTCGGTACTACATCGCCTATTGGTGTTTCTTGCACCATTACCATTGAGGGTTCCCCTAGGTGGTCTTTCCTCTCTGATAACAGGAAGAGGCGAAACTTTGTACGCAAGGGCTCTTATGTTTCCGTCGAGGGCCGTCATACCGGGACAGATATCATTACCGAGGGTGACGGGGAACGCTCTGTTACACTGTGTTTGCAGGTTGAAGACGTCACCCTACTTGGGAAGGCGCCAACCCCTTCGGAGGATGTCATCGAAATTGGTATGTTGTACAAGTTGTCCCGTCAAGCGATGACTAACTTGATTTCCAACGCTACAGTTGACTCGCCTTTGACCACCCAAGGTGGTGCAAACCCTGCTACCCCTGTCAAGTCCTCCTATAAGGCACTTCTCATGTCGGGCGCCTTATCGTCTGCCAAGAAGATCGGGAAGCGCAAGGCAGATTCCGACGAAGGTATCAATGGCACCCCGACCCCCGGTCCCTCGAAGATCGCCAGGACTTAGTCGTAGATACCACTGGCAATGCGTAGTCCATAGCATAAGTAATAGATTCCTTATTGTTTGTCTAATGCCAATTGTCGTATCACTTTAAATCTAGCTTGGTTCACTACTGTCCCAACATTTGAATTTGAATTTTGAGTTCGGTCCATCGCGCTCTAAAGAAAGGAAACTAACGAAGGAGTTCATTTCGATGCCATGGACGAGGAAAAGTGCATGGAGAAGATGTTTGTCAGCGAGCATCCGTGCGAAGCACGGGCAAGCCGCTAGTTTGAACAAACGAGGGGGCCCCTAACGTCAACGTTCAATTTGGGTTCAAGCACTACCCTTTATTTTCACACAATGAGTCGAATGGTCACCGTTTCTCCAGGCATAAGATTCGCAAGCCATGGTTCTGGACTCACTTCAACTGAAGACCCCTCCGACCTTGGCTCAAGCCTCCTGGTACGAGTAACTGAAAGTACAACGCACAGTGAAGGTCATAAATCAGTTTTGAATGCAAAAGGTAAGATTTCGGATTCAAACGAGAATCCAGAGTGGCTGAAACCTCACAGAAGCGACGCTTATGCGGAGAGACGAAGCCCAACTCTGATACACACTTATTCTCAGAAGCATCCTCAAGAAGCCTCGACGTCCTCATGACCATCCCTTGAGAAACACCAGCTATGTATACCAATCTGCTTTCATATCAATTGGCTTCCAGATCCACATGAGCGCGGCGTATGTCATCCTCAAGGCAATCATGAAGCGTTCTACCATCGGATGGCTCTTGATAGCTCATATCTCGATCGCTCTGGCGTCAAACTCGGGAAGGGTGATTGCTCGAGTTCGAGCTGATACCCCTCAAGTTACTTGGGGCGCGACTGATACGGCCAATGTAGTTCCTTTGGGAGGCCAATGTGCGTTCGCCACGCATCGTCCAATGCTCCATCTGACCAACCTTCGCACTGTATTTTCCTATAGGCGGTGGACGAGACTATACAGGGCCAACGACTTGCCAACTGTAGGTAAAGCACTTGCAGTAAGACCCAGAGTGCTCACTGACCCCTCGCCTACTAGCATCCCTGACGCACGGGTAGAATGCGTTTTCATCAACACCTGTGTGTGACTTCTCTCACTTTGAAGCGCCCATCTTACCAACCTCCCAAAGACTACAGCCAGTGTCAAATCATCGGACCAACGACAACAGCAACACCATCCCCAACCATCACTTCCTCACCCTGTCCTTCTCCCCCATGTCCTCTGTGCATTCCAGGCCACGGAACTACCACATGGATAATCGGCAGTTGTCCTCAATGCGCATGCGTGCCATTCACCTTGTCCCCCTGGTGTGTGACCCCGAAACCCACCTGCTCTTGTACAGACAACTGGATCCCCGTGACGACCACAGGAAGTGACTTGTGTCCCTACTGCAGCTGTGCACCCGACTGTCCGCCTCACTTCATGCGCATCACCACCGGCACTGCAGGATCGTGCACCTCAATACCGTGGTGGCAGCCAACAACGACCAAAGACGCCGAGCCCACCATCACATCTCTGTCATCGTTCTGAAGGAAACCGCACGATAGCTGATGATCTTTCTCAGAGGAAGTATGGATTAAGGAGGGATGTCGCTTAGGATTGATACAAATACCAATCCGAATTCCTAACCTATGCCGCCTCACAGTCTGCCCGGGTTTCATCTGCGATGCTAACGTACTGCACCACGCGAATTTGCTTCGATAATCGAGGTAGGAGATCGTTCGTAGTCGCCACTGCCTTCCTCAGTTCGTCTTTATTGCTGATCCCTCCTTCCCTTCCCCTGGTCGACGCCAGCCCCGGACCAACGTTCACCGCCATGTCGACAATCACCTTCTTCAAACGAGGATAAAGCTCCTGGTTCGAGAGGAGGGTATCCAAATTTGCCCAATGTTGCTCTGCTCCGGGATAGACGACGGAATGACCACTACCAACGTCTAAGTGGTCGGTTTGAGAGTGAAGGATACTGGAGATGACGAGCTCGATGGTCGACAACGGGCACGAAGGAGTGATGGTCTTGAGACAGTCGAAGATCAGCGCAAAGTTGTATTTTCCCGCTTGGATATGGCTGGCTGGTGGTACGGATCGGAGCGAACATCGACTGAGAGTTCGGAGCGTGAGCGTCGTTAGATTCTTCAGACCTTGAAGATTCGGAAGTGCTGAAACAGTAGAGTTAGAGCCATACGAATCGAAAGGGAAATAAGAATAACCTCGACCTCCAGGCATCACGGCAACAGCCAGCGCTGACCACTCCACATCCAACGTCGTAAGCGTATTTGAGCACGACTCCAACAGGAATTTAGTGTCTTCTGGTTGAACCGAGTCGTCGAGATGAAGCCGCATGCGCAAAGTCTTGAGTTCGGAGAATATAGTCGGATCCAAAGCGACTAGTCGATTACGGATATTGGGATTCCTATATTGGAAATGTTGTAGGCGCAACACGACCCGACTCTCCTCCGCGTTCGCCTCAATAAACGACTTTGGCGAAAAGGGCGAGCTGTAATCGAAAGTGGCGTTTCCAATGATAAGCGTTTTGAGCGATGTCGAGAACAGAAATAGAGTCGGTGGGAGAAGGAAGAGGGAATTGAGTTCCAATGTCTCCACCTGCCTTGTTGAGCAACCGTTGAACAGAGCTTCGATGGCTTCGCGCACGCCTGGGCCCAATGACTCCCATTTCGCGAACTTGGCGCAGAAGCTGAGTTTCCGAAGGTTTGGAAGGAGACCCATGAGCTCAGCTATGAGGTCGTCCTGCTCCCCCTCTGTCAGCACCTGTTCACCCCGCCCTTCTTGAATCTCCCTTGGATTTCCGAGTTGAAGCGCTTTGGTGTACTGAGCGAGTTCTGGAGCACTGATTTTGAGAACGTCGACGAGGTGGCGGATGCCTTCCCACTTGAGGCTGTTGAGCGATATTGACGTGAAGAGGAGCTTCTGGGCCAACGCTCGGAAGTCATGAGAGACGAGACTACATCTCGCCAACGCTGGTCCATCGACTGTCGGGTCCGTTAAATGGCGAAGTATTTCTTCGATGAGCTCTAGTGGCAGGAAGGGCGGCATCGTTATCTGAGAGGAACAAGGAGGGGAGGAAGGCAGCTGGTGATCGTGGTACAAGATAGAGCTTATTCCGGCCCAAAGGCTATACTTAGACTCCGCAGGCCCAAGCTAACGGCTTCTGCAAGCCCGTGGCTGCTTTCATAACGGCGTGAAATGAAATGTCCTAACAGTTTCATTGCAGTTTCATCAAGACAAGATATCCAAGCAGGGGAACCGATGACGTCGGGAGCGGCGATGTACGAATGGACTTATATCGTGGCCGTGGTAGCTGGCCCAGGCACGACTCGGAACGACTGACTTCGATGAGCGCTTATAATGTCGACGTCGCTATCGTGAAACGTGTTGGAGCGGAAAGAATAGTATTCCAAGAGTGGCGTATTGCTACTTGGGTAATAATGTCCATGACAGCTGGGATGTTAGACCGACATCGTGACAGGCACCCCAATTTGCAGGAAATGGCGCTCTAGGCGGGTCATCTGTTCGCGTTCTTCTGGTGAGCCAATGGGTGGTGTTCGAACAAAAAACTTCTCCAAACGAGACAGGGACAGTCGACCGACGATGGCTTTGATGAACTGGTAAATGGAAGGTGAATTCGAAGAAAGCGATACGTCGACATGTTCCAGGTGGTCAAGTCGGATGGGGGCAACAAGGTTATCGCTGGAAATGGGTACGTCGAGAGAAGATAGCTCCAGTTTAAGAGACTTGAGGTTTACCGCCGAGCGAAGGAAGTAGAGGACATACGGTACATCCGCAGGATGAGCGATCTCGAGCCGAGTCAACTTCGCAACTGCTCCTTCAACGGTGAGAGGCGGCATAGGTACGAGTTCACTGAACTTGGGAAGACCGTCAAATCGAATCGACTCCAACACGGGCATGGAGAACGTCTCCAAGAACTGTCGAACTTCGAGGCCTATCGCGATGGTGACACTACCTTCCACCTCGACTGGGCTGGAGCCGTCGTGCTCGATGACCAAATGCTTCAGTTTTGGAAAGGAGGTCGGTAGGAGTCGAAGGACGCGTAGAACATGGATGTGACTATCCATCATCGTCAGCGTCTCCCACCGTTTTGCTGAGTCTATCAAGTTCTTGAAGTGCATCCCGACGTTGATGGGGTTCGAGAGGCGCCAAAAGGGCACCAAGCTCGAGAAGAACGAGCATGGCCAACCGGTGAGCCTGACGTGGAGTGGAAGGTCGGACGAGAGCTGGAGGTGGCGAGTGAGCGAACGCGCGATCTTGTTGCAGTCGCTCTGGAATGTCCAGTAGAAGGAGGCATCGAAGTGGAGGGTTTGCCACAGGGTGGGTGAGTGGGTGATGATCGTTCTCCACCGAGCGCAGACGTGGGTCAATAGGATCTTGGAAGAGAAGGTGTGATCGAGGCTGTCGACGAATCGTTTGCGGGACTTGGTTCCTTCTTCAAGAGACTCCGGGTATGATGAAGACGCCTGGAGGAAGCACAGAAAGATGAAAGCAAGAAGTTCGTTGGGGAGGTCGTTCATGGGACAGGCCTGCACGGTAGCGATTCCTGTTGAGCTCTGGCCGGTGGTCTTGGGGACGTCAGGCGACATATCGCACAATATGACAGAGAGTTCCTAGGAAACGTCTTAGCCTTTGAATTTTAACTATATCTGACAGAGACTCACCTGAGGCTGGCGACCAACCAGCTAACCCAGAACGCTACCCTTGAGAAGGGTCATTCCAGTCTTTATACTCCCAGCTCCTCAAGCTCGTCAGAAATAGAAGAGACACTGACGTCAAAGGGGAGGACTCCCACCACCCTATCCAAACCCTATCCCATTTGGACTGACAAACGGCGATCCGTCGAGGCTGAAGCAGAGCTCCAGTTATAAGCAAAAGTTCGACCCATGAGACCTTGCCGATCCTGGCCTTCAACTACCCGTGCCGTGTCGAGCATAGCATTCGGTGCATTGAACGACGGGAGAGAGTAAGAGGGAGCGAGTCGACGAGGAGAACTGAGAACAGAGGGAAAGGAGACGACAAATGCCTGGGCACTAGAAGTGACCGGGTTTCAGTGAAAACGTACTTCCCAAAAAAGAAATTGACTGATCCGAGCCGGAGAAGTTCTTGAAAGTTTTTTGATATCACGTGAAGTGAAGTTTCGCGTTATCGCGTTTCAGTACTTTCGCGTAGGGGCCTGGTCTCGCGAACCAGGTCTCGTGCGATTTAGAGCCTTGCTCGAGTTATTACGCGCTGAAGAAACCTCGGCCTTTTTCTGTAGAGCGAAACGCTTGTATATTGAGTGATCTGTTATTAATAGAGAACTCCAGCCATGAACCACATCGGTTTCACATTCAATATTCCCCGAGTGAATTCCAGACGTAGAACAGAACAGGAGGATTCGACACTAGGAATAAGGTGCAGTTACGGGTGCATGAAACGCCAGCGACTCTCACTTGGAGGTCGCCTAATGTCCGTCAGTAGGTCCTGGAGCTCCCTCATTGCATCGGCTGCGTCAAGTTCACGGCTTTCGACAACACGTTTGACTATGGTAGTAGTGAGGGCTAGGATATAGCGAAGTGACTGGATCTCGCGCTGGGCGGTGTTGGCGCCTAATAGTGAAATTATCACTATCACATGGATAAGGGAGGAATGAGAAGACTTACGAACAGCGGCACCGAACGCGAGATTTCTGATTTTGAAAATAGCCTCTCTGAGAGGATCTCCTTCGTAGTGGGCCTGGTCGAGACCAAAGTCACCAATGACGTCCGATATTTCTTCCACGCTTCTGTGAGATTTTTAATTGAAATCCAATTTGGTGTACATACCGCTCATGATTTCGGGCATTGCGCGCGCATACGTTGAGGACCGGATCATTCTGCAGGACTCTCTGAACGATTTGAGGTATTCTTGAGCTTCCTGGTTATCGTGCCAGTATTTGTCCATCAAGTGGTCAAGTAGCATGGAATCGATAAGAGGGCAGCGCCGAAGATTGATAATGCATTCCCTGCAGCCTGGACCCAACTTTAGCGGATGTACGTCATCTAAATGAACATAAGAACGAACTTGCCTATAAAGGACCTCGAGGCCTGGCACCGTTGGCCGGATACCACGCAGAATCTACAAGATTCGAGGGCTTGGGAGGGATCTCCGACAATAGACATTATGTATCGTCTCCAATCTGGGATTGAGGCTTCCATGGTAAGGATGTCACGGGCTTCTTCATCCTCATGAATATTGATGGTCGGGGGCATGCTGAGGTGTTCAGATATTCGATTAATCCGGTACAGTGCAGTATACGAACCTTTATATGTTTGATCTCCGAGCTTCTTCGAGCCCGGAAGAGTAGAGATCTGGTATCTGGACCTGACCATTTCCTTAGAAATTGAGAGGTGGTAGTTCGATTATGAGTGCATCAGTAGTAAAAAGGTCTGTACCTGGAAGAATCGCCAAATGGCCAGTCATAGTAAATCGAAATGAGGATAGTGACGTCACTGTCCCCTTCTCCTGTTTTGAGTGCCCATGGGTAAACACGTGATACCAGCAAGCGCCCGGCGGACATTTCAGCGATCATGCTGGTTATAGCTGGATACCTATATTTATGGTTTGGTTCGACGCTTGTGTACCCCCGTTTTATCAATCTACTTTCAATACTTTCAAATGCCCCCCATCAGGACTGCCTATCTGTACGACTCTGGATCCTTGGAACAAGGTGTGTAGCATTGTCTTTCGTGCGAGAAATACTGTATACTAACCAGTTATGTCCCTGCTGTCGTTGACACAATTATTCGGGCGACGTTATCACAAACACAATGGATGAATACCAGAATTTCAATATATGCATTTCCATGACCAATCTTCGCCGCCTTTAGTGAAAAGCAGGGGTACGGCAGACCCTGCGGGTTTCGGGTAGGGGTAAGGGCGGGTCCGGGTCCGGGTACGCATTTTCGTACCCGCGATCTCTAAAACAAGCCCTTACACGTCCAAATCGGCCATGAAATGGCCGAGTTATGCTTGATTTAAGTAAATTGAGCATAACTCGCCCATTTCTGGGCCGTTTTGGACGAAATAAAGCTCAAACCCTGCGGAAAACCCGCAGGGTTGCGGGTAGGGTTTTGGCAGGGTCCGGGTCCGGGTCCTGGCTTTCAGACCCGGGGTTTACCCGTGGTGAACACTAGCCGCCTTCGGAGGAGAGAATGACGATCCGAAGATTCAATGAATACTACACTTTCTACTGTGTAACTAATCAATTATCCGAACTCACGGACCGATTTGGTGATCCTGGGTATCTTGTAATGTCTATGTCTACCCAAATGCTCGTAGATGTCCACAGATTTCTCGTTGGACCTGCGTTGAAAAGGTTATCTCGGTACCATTCCATACCTACTTTCAACGTCCCTGTTTCAATGATCAAGGAAAACCTGAGGTCTCACGTGTGTACAAGTACTTGCACTCCGTTCGTTATTGTCTTCAAAATCTCGAATAGAGCTCGTCCCAACATCGAATCCCGTTTCATCATTGGTCAGGTCCCAATTCATGTACAACGATACAGTCCCTTGCAGGAATACAATGGTATCCAACACAGGCTTCCTGGCTACTGCGAAGCGATAAGATCCCATTCTAAAGAAGACCCCTTACAGTATCTAGACATACCAACCAAAGCTAAATTGGAATCAATCATTCGCCAGTGGCAGTCGGATTTTTCTGTTTCCAACTTGAATCGTGGAACCTGTGCGGTGTGCGGCGAGCGTGTTCCTTGTAACAACTTAAACACTGTAGACCCGCGAGTCATTGACCTAACATTACTTCGAAATGAGAACTTACCTATTTATGTGCTTCCTCGGAGTTATAATCTTTCCGCCTACCGTTACGCTATTCTACATCCCAATGGTCTTTTGGTCCCGGACCGACTTGGACCTGTGCGAATCTGTAATTCCTGCTTAAGTGACCTGGATCGAGATCGCATGCCCAAATTCGCACAAGCAAATTTCCTCTACTATGGGAGAGAGGCGCTGCCGTTTGAGGTTAAGAAGGCATTTGAAGAAGCATCACCGTTTGACAGGGGCATGATATGTCGTGCACGTGGAAACATACTTTGTTGTAGATTTGATCTTCCCGGGAGTGACACTTCAGGAGATAAGGAGGGAACTTACCGCAAAACAGCAAAGGGCATGAAAGGAAACGTTATTGTTGCACCCTTGGACGTGATAGAGTTGAACGCCGTCCTCCCTCCCCCACCGGAAGTGATTCGTGACTCCCTCTGTGTTATCTTTACTGGATCTGACCAAGTCCCTTCCAAAGAAACGATCGAGAAGTATCATCCAGTCCTCGTTAGAAAAAGTCGGGTCAAGACTTTACTTGAGTTCCTATTGAATTGGAATCCTCATTATAAGCAAGTAGATGGCTTCAAAGGTTACAGCTCCGAATATCTCAATGGTTTATTTGGCGGAGAGACCGACCAAGGGCTACCGCAGGCTGTGGAGGTTACATATCTGAAGGCCAACGTAGAGATGGAGAATGCTACATCAGGGTACACCCAAGATACTATTCACGATTCTGATGTTGATACCAGCGACGAGCTTTCATCTTTGTTGATGGAGAATGTCGGGTACACCATATCGGATAATACCCCCGTGGCGTACGAGGAGATGAAGCGTCGCACTGTCGAAAGATGTCTTGCTGGAAAGGCGTTCATCAACATTTCGTAAAGGGAGAAAGCTTGTACCAGATTTCAACAACCCTTACCTCTTGTCGTGGATGTTCCCTCATTTGGACCCTTGGGGAATCGGAGGTTTTTATCATCCCAAGCGTACTCGGCCTATAAGTATGGAAGAACAGCTGAAACATCTACTGCGTACCGATGATGATGCCTTTGAAGGAGACATTCAATTTGCTCTAGTCTTCTACAACGTAATCAGGAAGAAGCTCGTGTCCTCATCCTTGCACTTTACAGCACCCATAACTCGGTATCGGCGAATTGTTGGATGATATTCTAAATATTGAGAAAACCACGTTACTGCAGCTGGCAGATAGGTATCAGAAAGACCCGAAATATCAACCGACATCGGAGCAGGAGCTACATATAGTCAGGACCTTGAAGTCCGTCGGCCTTGTTGCAAGGAGCGTACCAGGGAGTGCAGCACAGAAGATTCAGATGAGGAATGAAATCCGAGCCATCATCAATAATCGAGGATCACCTACTATCTTCATTACACTTAACCCCTCTGATAAACACAACCACCTAGTAGAGGTCTTCGCGCGAACAGATTATAATATTGAGGATTTACTTCACGGGACGTCATTGACCGCCTTGTGCAGAGAAAGCTATTGGCCTCTAAAAATCCAACGGCTCTTGTGCGTTGTTCTTCGACGCCTATATCAAAGGTTTTATCAGAGTGATTCTGAGATATGGTGAAGGGGAAGGACTATATGGTAGATGCGATGCCTACTATGGAACAGTTGAAGCACAGGGACGCGGTACCCTCCACTGTCATATGTTGATATGGCTTCACGGGCATCCGTCGCCACTGGAGTTGCAGAAAAGCCTCGAGAATTCGGAAGAACATCGACGACGGTTGATCCAATGGCTGGAATTTGTGATGCAAGGAGACTTCGAAGGTAGCAATGGCGCTGAGATTGGAAGATACGCGTGGTCAAAGCGAATGCAGCGGAAGCTATTTGGAGAGGGAGGGCCTCACCCAGGCAGTATTGCAGGTCCTTTGATTGAGAATTACGCTGTCATGAATCAGACCTTTCTTTTCCTTTTCTCGCCGAGACTTGTAGTGAGTAACATAGGATATCACGTGACTCAGACACGTGATGAGTCATGGGACCGTACCCCGCCAGCTGAACAAAACACTGCGCGCGCACAGACCATGGACCAAACAAGTACATACAACTCAAGTAGTATATATAGAGTAGACTTGTAAGCGTAGTTTCCTCAGTCTTTAGCTGGTCTATTCCTAGCTACAACACTCTAGTCTTCACTAAATCCTATCGCTTCTCGCCAAGTCTTTTCTAGTGCAGCTATTGATTGCTTGAACGACTAGATCAAGTAGTTAGTTGCTGACATTAGCTAAAGACTACCCCTTCTCGACTGTGTCTATCCCCGGCACCCTCGAGTCTCTCATCGCCCTCCGCCCTAACAAGGCAACCCCCACTCACGCTACTTACTCCCTTACATAGTTCCTTTTCTCTTTCCCCTTTCAGTAGGTTATCCTTGGCGACGCCCCTTCTGTAGGAAGGCAGCAACCAAGAGAGCTGCGGAACTTAGGTCCAAAGCACATAGTGTAGCTCCCCTCTGTGTGGCTAACACAGTGACAACCGGGAGATAGTCTAGCTTTTCTTACCTTACCTTTTTCTTTCTCTTGCCCACGAGCCCATTATTCTTTTTACGATACCATGTCCACCCACCCCTCCCCCCTACAAATACCCCCTGCCAACGACGGCCAACCCGCCCCTCAACTCCTCCAGCCTGACCAGACCCAGGTCCAAGGTCAGCAGGTCTCCGCTTGGGACTACATGTACCAAGCCCTGGGAAGCCTTGCCGATAGCGTGGCAAACCTAGTGGCTGCCGTCTCCGGCTACCAGCCAGCCCTTGCCCAAGCTTCAGAGGCGTTGGCCCAGTCAGCCGCTGCCAGCACCCAGGTCTCCGAGGCCCTAGCCCAACGAGCCGACAAGCCCAAAACCAAACCGGACCCACCCGAAACCTACGACGGGAAACCGGAAGATGCCCAAGCCTTCCTTGATGCCTGTGTCCTCTACTTCAAGCATATCGGAGAAGCAGATGAACTACGACAAATCTCCTATGCTCTCTCCAAAATCAAAGGAGGCACCAACGGCATGGCATCTGCATGGGCAAATTCTCAACGGGCTGAGATCATCGCTGACACCCTCGCTTACGATGACTGGAAGGGCTTCGCCAAGGCCTTCCTCGCCCACTTCCAGGTCCAGAACTCCCGAGCAGAGGCGATCCTAGCCATTCAAACCATCGAGATGGGAGATCGCTCCTGTGAGGCTTACAACACCGAGTTCCGATCATATATGACTCGTTCTGGATACAACGAAGTAGCACTCATCGAGGAATACAAGCGAGGGCTAAACGGCAGGCTGTTGGACAAGTGCCACGACCAGGAGAACCTCCCCACGACCCTTGCCGGATGGATGGAGCGAGCTGCTAACCTCGATCGCCAGTACCGAATTCGTAAACGGGAGAAGGCTAGATTCAAAACGGAAAAACCTGCTCCCAAGGCAACTAGCGCTCCTCCACCAAGGCCCTTCTTCCCTTCCTTCCGACCCGCTGCCCAATCCACTCCTACTCCGCCTCCCCCTCGCCCCGCCGACCCGAACGCTATGGACATTGATGCGCACCGACGACAGGGTCTCTGCTTCACCTGCCACCAGAAGGGACATATTAGCCGAGACTGTCCCAACAGAGACCCAGAAGTTTAACACTAGAACCATCGACATCAGAGCCCTCACGGAGGACGAACGTGCCGCGCTGAAGAAACAACTTGAGGATTTTTACACGGACCGGGAGTGAGCGCAGACTTGCCGGTCGATAGGAGTACCTTTGTTCGATCCCCATATGTACATATGCCAGAACTCGAATCACATGAAGTTTACGCACGATCGAAAAGGGACAATGCGCGATTTTACGGAAAGAAAGTGGAACCGGGCTCCGCAGAATGGGTAGCCCAACGACTTGACGACTCAGAACCCTCGATGGCAAGAGGAATCCTGATGTCTTGGGTACATCCCAAAAAAAGGCAAGAGGTCACGGACGAAAAGATATCCCAGCTCAGACAGCTATTGGACGGACCAGTGGTAGAGGCCCTAAAGGAGATGGCTCGACCCAAACGATTTATTCGTGGCCACAAGGGCAACCAGCTGGATCTGGACATGGTGATGAGCACCCTAGACGACAAGCGAAGCTTCCGAACTTCTGGACTCTTAGATAGTGGTTGCACCGGAAGCTGTATAGACAGGGACTTTGTCCGACGAAACAATATCCGAACAAGAAAGCTCCCCATCCCCATCCCTGTCTATAATGCTGATGGTACGGAAAACGCAGGAGGAGCTATCTCCGAATGTGTCGAACTCCACGTCAAGATCCGAGACCACATTGAGAGACTGGAATTCGGAGTAACCGAACTAGGGAAAACGGACGTCTTCATCGGGTTCGAATGGCTAAAACGGCATAACCCCTCTATTGATTGGAGGACCGGTACGATAGAGTTCAACCGGTGTCCCATAGAATGTACCCCACTTGTCGGATCAGACCCTGAATCAGAGGAAATCGAATACGAGGACCTCGAGGATGGGGAACACATTCTCGTGGTAGACATTCAACACGAGATCCGACTACGGGCATTCCAAACGACATCCGGAAGAATTGCTGAAAGGAAAGCCAAGGAGGAAAAAGCCAAGACATTTGAAGAACTGGTACCGTCACATTACCACGACTTCAAATTTGTGTTCTCGAAGCAGTCCTTCGATGAACTACCTCCCAGGCGACCCTGGGACCCATGCATTTGACTCATCCCTGGAGCAGAGACCATGGACTGGCAGATCTACCCGCTGAATCCCTGAGCGAGCACAGCACTTGATGCCTTCTTGGAAGAAACCTGCAGTCAGGGAGGATCCGTCCGTCTAAATCCCCCATGGCCTCTCCGTTCTTCTTTGTGAAAAAGAAGGACGGCTCCCTCCGACCAGTCCAGGACTACAGAAGGCTTAACGACATCACTGTGAAGAATCGATACCCCCTGCCATTGATCCAAGAGTTAGTAGACAAACTCAGAAAGGCACGGTACTTCACCAAACTAGATGTCCGTTGGGGCTTCAACAATGTCCGTATCAAAGAGGGAGACGAGTGGAAAGCGGCGTTCCGAACCAATAGGGGACTGTATGAACCTCTGGTGATGTTCTTTGGACTCACAAACTCTCCCGCAACGTTCCAAACCATGATGAACGCCATATTCCGAGAGGAAATCAACACCGGAAAAGTCATCATATACATGGATGACGTCCTTATCTTCACGGAAACATTGGAGGAACATCGGGAAATGGTCCGAAGGGTCCTGAGGAAGTTTGCCGAGCACAAACTTTACCTCAAACCGGAGAAGTGCGTTTTCGAAGCCAAAGAAGTGGAATATCTCGGCGTCATTGTCTCCCACAACCAAGTACGCATGGACCCAGCTAAAGTCGATGCTGTCAGAGACTGGCCCACTCCACGATCGAAACGCGAAGTTCAACAGTTCCTTGGGGTTTGCCAACTTCTATCGACGTGTTCATCAAAGGATATGGAGAGATTGCTAGGCCACTCACAGAACTAACCGGGAACAAGGAATGGAATTGGGGACAAGCGCAAGAAGCAGCCTTCCAAGCAGTTAAGGATCGAATCTGCTCTGCACCCGTCCTCGCTATTCCCAATGACACTGGGAAGTTCCGTGTTGAGGCTGATGCATCCGAGTTCGCAACTGGGGCAGTCCTCTCCCAACAACAGCCTGATGGGAAGTGGAAACCGGTAGCTTTCATCTCCCATGCCCTGAACCCGACCGAGCGGAATTACGAGATTTACGACAAGGAGATGCTCGCCATCATGCGTGCACTCTCAGATTGGAGACAGTACCTCCTTGGAGCTAAACACGTCTTCGAGATCCACTCCGATCACAAGAATCTCGGGTATTTCCGAAAACCCCAGAAGTTGAATCGCCGCCAAGCTCGCTGGCTCACCGAGATGCAACAGTACCACTTCACCCTTCACCACAAGCCTGGAAAACAGATGACCAAGGCTGACCTCCTCTCACGACGAGCCGATCACGATCGAGGAACCAACGATAACGAAGACGTGATCCTCTTAGAAGGAAGAAACTCTTCAGAAGGGTCGAAGTGGGCATCTCAGGACCAGATGCCAACTTTTTGGAACGGGTCAAGCGCTCTTGGAGAAGAAGGGACAAAGCGGTGGCCAAGGCTCTACTGCAGAAGGACCCAGACTGGATCGAATCCGACGAACACCTCGTGACGTTCAAGGGAAGAGTGTACGTGCCAAAGGATAAGGGACTCCGGGAGGACATCATTAGATTCCATCATGACTCCCCAGTATCGGGACACCCTGGTCGATATCGTACCCAGGAACTGATCACTCGGAACTACTGGTGGCCCCGAATCCAAGCAGACATCCGAACCTATATCGATGGATGTGGCATGTGTCAACGGACTAAACCCCGTCGAACCGTCCCGACTGCGCCACTACAGCCAAACGAGGTCCCCTCTCTCCCATGGGAGATAGTGTCGGTAGATCTAATCGGGCCCCTCCCAGAGTCGAAAGGATTCGATGCCATCATGGTAGTGGTCGACAGATTCTCAAAGAAGATAGAGGCAATTCCCACCAACGTGGAGCTCTCGTCGCTAGGTGCAGCGAAGCACTTCCGGGACTACGTGTTCAAACACCACGGACTCCCCCGAAAAGTAATCAGCGACCGAGGCCCACAATTTGTCTCGAACTTCATGAAGGATCTGATGAAACTCCTCGGCATTGAAGGAAACCCCTCCACGGCATTCCACCCCCAGACTGATGGTCAGACGGAACGGATCAATCAGGAGATAGAGCAGTACTTACGGATCTTCATCAACCAAAGACAAGACGACTGGGCTGATTGGCTCCCTCTGGCCCAATTCTCCTACAACGACAAGATCCACCAGTCAACCGGGTACAGTCCGTTCTACCTGAATTACGGTCAACACCCATACAAGGGAGGCGAACCAAGAGGCCCAATACGGAATCAGGCTGCAGAGGACTTTGTTACCGAGATTAAAGACATCCGCAAGGAGGCCGAAGCAGCCTTAAAACAAGCTGCCGAGACTATGAAACATTACTATGATCGGAAACGAAAACCCTCCAGGCCCTACCGAGTGGGCGACATGGTGTACCTTGAGGCAACCAACAATCAATACGCAGCGCCCAGCCAAGAAGCTCGACGATCGGAGATATGGACCCTTTAAGATCACCAAGAAGGTCGGAGCTTCTGCCTACGAACTCGCCATCCCCAAGACTTGGAAGGCCATACACCCGGTGTTTAACGAGTCACTCCTCACTCCATACCACGAACCCCATTTTCCCTCTCAGAAGAAACCTCCACCTCCTCCTCCCGAGCTGGTAGATGGAGAAGTAGAGTATGAAGTCGAATCCATCGACGACTCCAGACTCTACAAGGGAAAACTACAGTACCTGGTGAACTGGAAGGGATACCCCAAGGAGGAGAGGACGTGGGAAGATGCCTCCAACCTGAAGAATTCTCCCGAACTCGTAGAAAAGTTTCATCGAGAGAATCCCTCCGCACCTCGGCGGATCACCAAGAAACTCCGATTCATACCCTACGAGAACTTCACCGAACCTTCCGGAAGGATCTTCGACTGGACTGCTGGGAAGTTTAAGGCCTCCTATTCCCCAAACCGTCGACCCAAAGGGACTGCCGAACCAATGCCGGAAAACCTCCCAAAGTGCCGAAAAGGGTGGTGCCCTAGATGCAATGACGTTCACGAGGACGTGAACCTTAAGGGGGGGGTGATGTCATGAATCAGACCTTTCTTTTCCTTTTCTCGCCGAGACTTGTAGTGAGTAACATAGGATATCACGTGACTCAGACACGTGATGAGTCATGGGACCGTACCCCGCCAGCTGAACAAAACACTGCGCGCGCACAGACCATGGACCAAACAAGTACATACAACTCAAGTAGTATATATAGAGTAGACTTGTAAGCGTAGTTTCCTCAGTCTTTAGCTGGTCTATTCCTAGCTACAACACTCTAGTCTTCACTAAATCCTATCGCTTCTCGCCAAGTCTTTTCTAGTGCAGCTATTGATTGCTTGAACGACAGATCAAGTAGTTAGTTGCTGACATACGCAGTTGACGCATTCTGGGAAGAATATAAGTGTTACCTTAATCATCTTCTAGTCGAGTATAATATCCACGAACACACCAGTACCTGCTGGAAGTACCTGGCCAGGGGACAGCCCAAGACTGATGCAAACTGTAGATTGGGAATGAACGGTGAGATACAACGCGAGACCGAGTTCGATCCTGAGACGGGTGCTATACTGGTCAAGAAAACGCACCCCTGGATGACGCATTATACTGGTATCGTAATGTTCCTCTTGAAGTGCAACATAGATGTACGTTTCATCGGATCTGGTAGTGGGGCGAATTCCTTCATGTATTATGTTACTGATTACATTACGAAGCCCGCCATGACGATGCACGTCGGGCTTACCGCACTATCCCATGCGATTAGACGAGCAACATCCAGGATTGAAGAGATTCAAGAGACGCACTCACTTTCTGTAAGAGACGCAAGGATTCAAGCAACCCTCCCGGCAATGATTTCAGCTGTGAATAGCATGATGGGTCGTCAGGAGATATCTCAGCAGCAGATCATGAGCTATCTGGTAGGAGGTGGTGATCACTACACAAGCGAGCGCTTTGCATCCTATAACTATGGCGAGACCTTGAGGTTTGTACAGAGACTCGACGAGCCTATCGAAGACGCCAGTCCTGATGCAAGTGCTGCGGGCCTGACGACTCAAGTCTCGCTATCAATCAGCGAAGAAGGGATAACAGCCTCCAACAAGAGACTTGATTATATGTACAGACCGACAGAAGACCCCTATGACACCATGTGCCTGTATGATTTTATCTCCATAGTTAGGAAGGAGATCCTAAGAGCAAAGGTCAACAAGGAACCAGTCGGACGGGAGCATGTAATAGACGAGCTCCAAACATTAGTTACGGATCCACAAGACGAGCCACAAGCATCAGCTACGGGTCCACAGTTTGAATTGAAGCGATTTAGCTCTGAAGACCATCCGCAATATACCACCCACGGTGTTGCCTGTCGACTCCAGGGTCTTACCCCGGTACTGCTGGGCCCGAACCTGGCTCGACGCGGGGATGGTACCGGCGAGTCCTGGGCGCGCGATATGCTGATCTTATTCAAGCCTTGGAGATCTCCTGAAGATATCCGTGAACGAGATATGACTTGGATAGATACCTTCGAGCTGTATCGAGAGAAGCTATCACCTAGACAAAAGCAGACGATTGCCAACATGGGTGTTCTCTCCCAGTCGAGAGAAGATCGATCGAGAAATCCGCGCTCCAGATCGACGAGGGAATATCCTACGTTCGTGGATTCTAGCGATCTTGCTGATATCCTTGATGCTGAGACGTTTCTCTCCCGCTCGGCTACAGTATGTGTGTATGCGACGGCGAGCCAGAAAGAAGATCAAGGGGGTATGGTTTCTGCACAAGGAGACCCCAATGGCAGATTGAAAGACATCATCACAGTGAAAACTTTTAAAGAATTTGAGCAGTGTTATCCGAATGAAGCCCTAATGAATATCGACGCCAATGAGAGCACCGATGTAAGCCAAGTCTCTGTAGAGTCGCTGGACGTCGCCGAAAGTCAGATTCGCGCACTTTCTTCTTTCAAATCGCTAGAACAAGGCGAGTCGGTATCATCCCAAGCTTATAACGGAGCTGCAGGTGCTGGCCATGTTCGTTCCAAGGATTCACAGTACCCTCCACTTTTCAAACCTACTGCCAGTATAGCCACTTTACCAGAGAAACACGTACCCCTTCCTCTAAGAGAAGCCATTAACAGTCATCCAGACGAGCGATGGGGGGAAGTAGGAAGGATAATCAAACTGAGGCGTCTGGATCGCAACCTGGAACAGCTTCGGGCGTTTATGATCGTGGCAAATCACGTCATACGGGGTGGCGATCAACTGTTGATGTATATCAATGGAATGGGAGGGACGGGGAAGTCCTATCTGATTCAAAGTATAGTCCAGTTATTTGAAGCGTATGGCAGACGGTCAGATCTTCTCATTGGGGCGCCTACTGGTATAGCAGCTGTACTTATAGGAGGTAACACGTTACACTCCCTCCTGATGACAGGCATTACGAAGAGGAAGGGGGGAAGCGAGCGTCTTAGAGATAAGTGGAAAGACATTACATACCTTATTATTGATGAGATATCCATGGTTGGAGCGTCGTTCCTAGCCACAATATCTAGTCGTATTAAAGTGGCGAAAGGTGATGATGTTCTGAACTCTGAGCGGCCCTTCGGAGGGGTAAACGTTATATTCCTCGGCGATTTTTGCCAGCTGAAGCCACCCCAGCAACTTCCATTATACTGCCACTCCCTTGTTAAGAATCCATCTTATGAGCAAACACGCGATAATTCAGCTTTAGACACGCTTGCGGGCGCCTATCTATGGAGGCAGGTAAATATAGTAGTGACCCTCAAGAAGAACCAGAGACAAGAAACAGACCCAATATTTGGAAAGGTGCTTGAGAATATTCGAATGAAAACGTGGAGGACACCTATAGAATCCGTCTCTTGGACTGATGAAATGTATGTAACATACCTTCGGCAGAGACAAGTCGACCGAGTAAGTCCAGAAGAACGTATCAAATTCATGGATGCACCTATTATAGTAGGCCATAAGGTACTAAGAGACGCGATAAACACCAAACTTATACGCTATAACGCGCGGAGACTCGGCCAACCAGTTCATCTCTACCATGCCAAAGATTGTCTGGGAAGTACACCCGTTCCTAAAGGATTTAGAAGGCTTCTATGGGATCTGCCTACTACACAGACTGCTGAGTCGGTTGGTAGACTTCCTTTATTCGTTGGAATGAGGGTGATGATAACAGAGAACATAGTTCTTAGCAGTGGCATCGTCAACAGTGCTGAAGGAACCGTGACAGGCATTAGGTACCACACAGACAATGAAGGGCATCGGGTTGCTGATGTAGTCTACGTGAAAGTGGAAGGCTGTAAGATGCATTTACCTGGGTTAGAGTACGGTGTTGTCCCTTTGGGCCCCGTAGGAGTCAGCATTCCATTCGCATTCGCAAATTATCATGCAAAGTTTAAAGCGAAGACATTTCGTCGTCATCAGATCCCTCTTATCCCGGCCTACTCTTATACGGACTATAAGAGCCAAGGCAGGTCGTTGGAACGGTGCATCGTCGACATTGTCACCGCAAGGGGTCAAGGTGTGTATGTCATGCTATCCAGGGTAAAGTCATTATCGGGGCTCCTGATTCTTCGATGGTTCTCCCCCGCCCAAATATTCCAAAGACTCCCGGAGGATCTAAGGGAAGAGCTTCGTAGATTAGAAACTATAGAGAGGGCTACCCAGAAGATATGGACATTCCAATAAATTCCAGAACAAAACAAGTTCTGCCCAGGAGTCCTTGGCTCTCCCGTTTCCTATCATAACAGATTTTTAGTTCCTTTTTAAATATCATTCATAGGTCTACCCGTTATATTGGACGTATCTCAGTGAAAGCCTTATAGGCTTTCGAATAGAAGCTGTAACTGTTAATCTGCTCTCGCCACCTCTGAGTGGTACAGTGACTGGAATTGGCACCCAATGAAGTGCCGATTGTGCTCCGTTCCTAATACTACCTGAGATAACCTATCCCAGATACATTCACTATCAATGTCCGACGTATCTCTACTTTACCATATCACGTCGCCAACATATCGTCGATTGTACTTAGTGGGAACTGGCATCGTCTCCTAGGTGCTCACCTGTCACATGCGGCGCATTGTATCCATTAATCTCAAACTAACAAATCTCAGAGAAACCATATGTAACACTATGTTGTGCTCTCCCATGGTGACCCTAAGCTGGGATTTCGTTGGGAAGTCGCATCGTCGATTTGATAGCGGTACATTGTAAACAACATACCCACCCCCTTCTCATACACACGTGCAGCTATGGACCAATACTAGAATTCTGTCCTGAAGTAGTCTGCGCTTGTGAGAACCCATATTGATGGCCTGTCGCTGGGCCTATAGGCTGTCATAGATCGGATGACTTCTAGAGCATCCCTATCCCGAATCAATTCCTGGGGCGGGTTCTGAGATACTTGTATGCAGTGTCTCTAATGCCAAATACGCACCGGTAGTGTATCGCTATCTCCCACGAATTCCACAATCTTGTCGTCGAAATGATCTTCACTGCTAGTGGCAACACGCCACCAGGGTGTGAAGACTCCCGCGTGTTTCGCCTCAATCGTCTCTGCAAGCTCTTGGGGGAAACTACCCAGGATATTCTCCATGACCCACAGCTTGTCTCGGACGTAGAACATCGAATCCATGCAGTCGTAAAGGAATGGTCGATTGATAATCAACTCCTTCATCAAGCATCCCAGAGAGAAAATATCCGTCTTGTAGTCAACGCCAATGCCTGCAGAGGATGAGAACAAATATGAGTTACGTTGGACTATTACATACCCGCTACAACCTCAGGGGAACGAAAACGATCGTGATTCCTGGAGCGGTTGTCGACCCCAAGAGAACCGAAGAAACATACTCGAAGCTCGGTGGACTTCAGTACTTTCTAAATGAACATTCGTCTCCGTCTCAGCATCTCTACGTGACCATAAAACATAAGACGGACCCGAGTGTCGAAGGAGCGACTTTCCCAGTCGAAGTATACTTCTTGGACAGTGGCGATACTCGACAACTTGATGTTGGAAGGACAAAGATCGCCGTGGGTTATACCATGGGAGTGTAAGACTAGGTCCGCGAAAGATTGGGTTCAATGCATCAAAACAACCGAAGCATGAATTACTCACAGTCCAACGCGTTTGCGGTTTGCCAAACAATTTCGCGTACTTGCCGGGGTGAGAATGTTGCTATATTATTGTTTCGGATGATAGAAGATAACGGTACTCCTTCATCTTCGAATACTAAGAAGGTATCTAACTCGGTCTGGAAGAGCCGAGTGAACCGCACAAAATGGCTTGTTCTTATTAGGTGGAGGTGAAATATGAAGGGCAGGTGTACTCACTCTTCCGCCTTTGACACGACTTCTACTGCCTGGAGGTCCTTGAACAGAGCATCCGGAAGGACACTCGATTTCCGAATGGCTCGCAAAAGCAAGGACCGACCAGTCCGTATCTCGCGAGCCCTTATAGTCTGGCATGGCCCCGAGAAAGAACCTAATTGGTAGACGCAAACTAAGGGAACGATGAGCCAAGGTATTGGACGCCTGGTAATCTCGTTCACTTACATTTCTTGTCCAGGAAGTCACCTATCTCAATCCTTCTCAGTGTGACAGCCTTAAGTCTCCCATCAACTGGTGAAGGCGCAGGTGACTCACCCCATTGTACACAGTTGTTGCCAACGAGGGCTTGCCTTGGCCCGCCCTAGTTATAACAGTAGGAGTGTGTTCACTCCCTTCAGGTCTCATTCAGTTTCTCGTGCTTCCGATTCCAGGAGGATCGGTGTCCGTACAGGTATCAGTGAAAGCATCCGATGGAAGATCAAACCGGGGCACACACGATAACAATAATTGTGCCATAGTGCCTCGATGACGACAATATAATTAAGGTACGAACAGCGAAAAATCCTCCAGGTTCTACGTCGTAACAAGTTGTGCTTGCATCAGGAAGGTGGGGGGCGCGTAAGAATGTATCTTGTAAACCCATCGAAAGGTTCCGTGGAGTCGCTCAACCTCCGTCTTGAAGACAAAATGACGTAAAGGTGTACTCGCGTACGCATATTGGTGTTCGTAGTCCTGTATCAGGTAATCCAAAACCAGTTCGTCTAAAGGCAACCGATGAGATTCAAACTTCACGGCTCAAGGTAGACGCTGCATACCGTTGACAGGCTGAATCCAGCAAGTGTTGTCTGCTAACCATCGCACTCCTAACGGGAATCCATCTGGAGGAAATCCTCGACAGGAGGAAGAGATCTCAAAGGGTATTGGGTATTTCTCGTGCATCGATATGGCGCACTTCACGGCGTCCTTGTCTGTGTGCAATAAGAACGAGACACGCTTGATGAAGGTGTGGGCCGGAAAAATGGAGATGGAACGACGCGGGGTAATGATCTGCATCATCGCAGCTAGGAGAATGAATAAATCCGTTGGAATTGCCATTCGAAGTGAAAGCCCTACTTACTGCATCCTGAGTTATTGATCACAAAGTCAATAGGATTGACATTTGTTATAGCAAGGGATACCCGCACAACTTCACGCCTTCCCAAACGAACAACCAACTTCTTGAATGGAAACCACGCTATGATGCCATAGGTGTCCATGAGCTGGCGTATCTGAGTCCCACCGGAAAGTCCAAGGACATCGCGTTCGAATTGACGGTACTGAATGATGGCAGGTACGTCGAAGCGGCCAAGAACATAACCAGCCTCGAATAGGTGGCGTCCGAGTGCTATAGCGCCCGCTATCCGCACGAAGACATCCAGTCCAGTCGAAGGGTCGGGCGGAAGTCGATCGAGGAATCGCAAGGCTTGCCATCCTGCACATATCGCGCCGGTAAGCTCCATCTTTGCAAGGAAAATGTCTGGGCCCAGATGCCATGCAGTTAGGAAACGCGGGAAGTACCAGACCCTCCTCCGATAGGCGTTGATTAGGTTGCGCAATCTTTGAGAAGTTGCACCAAGTTGCCGAAGGTCGTCGAGTTCAAGATGAAGGAGTATGGTAAACAGTAGGGGAAAACTCATCTTGATGAGCCATAACTCGAACCTGGATCCATTGCGACGATAAGGGAAGGAAAGCCCGGGAGGGAGCAGAGGGGTGGTATCCATCGTGAACGGGATATGGTAAATCTAGTTATGAGAAGGCGGCGGCTTAAATAGGTCATTCAAGGAGGCAGATAGGACGATCGAGCAACGGTACCTTTCGGATGAACCTCCTGAAAGTCGGGCGCCGAGACGTGGTTGTGGCGAGAAACCGGTAGATCGTAAAGTGTTATACCACAAACCCAAGTGTAGATTATGGATCCATTGGCTGCCTCGAGGACTTCAGTTTGCAAAACGGAAATGCCGATACGCCTATAAATCCGGTTAGTAAAGCGGACAGAATAACAGAAATCTTGTCCTCGCCAATCTCTCGCCACTTTTCAAAACACAACTAACGCCCTATCAGCCCATAAACCTTTAACGCCATCATGGATTCCCACTGGACTACCTTCAAATTCCGAGATACCGACATTGCTCTCTGCGACGTTACCGAAGCCCTGAACAAAGGAGTCCACAACTTGGTTATTGCAAAGCCAGCCTCAACGAGAGCGAAAAATCGATGGAATGTACGGTCAAGAATACCTTGTATAATGTAATAGGTCACTCACCTTCCGTCTAGCTGATCAACGTGGAGACAGGAAAGATCGCTATAATCAATCATGCCTTTGTTTGGGCATGGGGCTCGCCACCCTACACGGGTAACTTTGTTCCAGAAGGTGTTGTAACTCCAACAGGTCTGCCAGAGGGAAGAATGTGAGTATCCGAAACGTCGCCTACGGATGTATTGGAACTTACATTTTGAAGTCAAAGGCTCCCGTCCTATCAATGTGAGATATCATATGCGTTCAATACATCGAACGACAAGTCTCTCTACGAGGGGTTGGCGGTAAGTGAATATTGTTGAGTCTCGAGCTATACTTACCTTGCGGTCACAGGCTCTTGAGAAATACATCATTACCGTTCCCGATTTTAATCCAAACGGCAAGGCGAAGTCTACCTGGCAAAGCCTAGAAAACAACGACACTAATCACCGATACATCGCGTCTGCCAAGCTGTTTGTGAAGAGGACGAAGGATAACGCACCACAGAACGGAAAATACAAGGTTCCCTACACCGTGCATCCCTGGATCGAGCAATCGATGGACCCAGCTACTACCCGCCTCGTCCCCAACAAGGACCGTCCTCGGTACTTCTGTCTTGTGGATGAGAGGTTGAAGAAGCTGGAAGACGTTGAACCACGACAATTCCAGAAGGACGACGTGATCTGGATGAGCTTCTATGTTTCCTTTAACATACGCTCGAGCTCGTGGTCTGTAGAGATCACACCTTTGGAATTGGTTCGTGTCGGTCATCTTCTCGATTCGGAAGCCGGGGATGGTTATGCCGATGTTCCTGAACTCAACTATCAGCCTATCGAAGAGTTGATGGATATTGACAGTAAGTTCTCGTGCTTGCTAGCAGTTGGATGATTGCTCAGTATGATCATAGTACCGTCAGATAAACCGGAGAAAAGAAAGAGGGGCTATAGTTCTGACGGGGAAGAGTCAAAGACACCGAAGGCATTCGTTCATCATGAGAACGACGATATGGAGATCGAAGAGGACAGTCCAGCGACGGAGCAGATCGTTGATGGGATTGGTCCTAAGGTGTCGAGGAGTAGGAGGGTTAGAGGAGAGTCGAAGCGTTAGTTAGGTGACGATTTCCATAGTATTACAGTTTTGCCCACAATGGATTAGTTTAACATCTTCACAAACGTCCAGAACCTTTCCGAGAGTGGGCTACCTGGATAGACGCTAAAGAACAACAATGAGTTCGATGAATTTGATCCTGAAGAATATGAACCCTATCACGTGCTCAGGCCGGCATCGCGGGTCGGAGTCATACTAATAGGCGCTCGTGTCGAAGTATCATCCGCACCTTGCAATGCCTATAGCCCGAGATTAATTGCAGCTGGGCCTATGATGCGTCTCTATTTGTTGAATAGATACGTTCAAACGGACTGGAGATGGACAGAGTGTATTCCTGTATGGTATTATGAATGAACTATAAACACATCCACAATCCGACTATTTGAAGAGTTTAGATGAATTGTCGCTGTCATCGAACTTCACAGCGTCACCGTAAAGACCTGTAGCTATGACTTGTCTAAGCCAGCTAGGGTTTTGTATGTAAGACTATGCCAAAGACGTAAATCTGGGTACTTACAGAGCAACGACGAGGTTACAGAATCCTAATTCGGAACGGAGGATGTGCTGGAATCGAGATGACCCGCGACGAAACTTCGCCTCTGGGTTCGCGTAGCGTACGAGCATAATGTTTCCCGACCAAGGGATTCCAAACATGGTGAGGACGGAGGTATTGGCAGCACACGGTCCGGAGTAGTTGTCGACGAAGATGCGATAATCGTGCCATGTCGGGAGGCTGGTCCCTGGAAGCTCTACAATCCTTGCGCTAAATGCGCCGTTTGGAAAGAAATTTCCGACGTGGAGATCTTCACCGCATTCTGGGAGGGGAAGGCTGACGATAGTAGACCATTTACAGCCTACCGCGTAGAGGGCGGCATCAGCGACGTATGTTATCTGGGGAGCAGTGTAGAACCCGGGAATAGGTGGCGACGACTTGATCCCCTTGAGGTTACGGAAAGAAAATGTTTGATGAACAAAACGGTTGAAGGTTTGGAGGGTCCAACGGTCAGTGACCGCAAGCTCCACGTTAACACCAGGGTTGTCCTCGTTCGCGTAATCAATGACAGTAAGTGTATTGGCTGAATGCTATTGAACGGTCAGTGCACGCCAAAGGACAGACACTAATTGAGCACACCTTCACGAAAAGACGGTCGCGATTGTGAAGATGAGTATTCAGGGTTGGGCTGGCCAGAGTGAGAACCATGACTGCTCGATGTTTTGGCGGTTGAGGATGGTAGTCGATCAACCGAACACAGTTCCTCCTCTTATATGATGTCCAACCCCACCTTTCGCACTGGATCACCAAATTACTGTAGAGGCTATATTCTGTCGTGGGAGAGCCGATTTCATAACATACGAGTCAAGGAGGCTGCCATATAGTCCCTAGTTACGTCAAATATATCAGGTACAAACTATCTATGAGGGCTAGTCTATGGAAATAGTCAAGAGCAGTTGGACAATGACACGGCCCGACTATCTACGAGGGGATAAGTGTAACTAGTCGTAGCCAGGGCACTCGAGGCCCCCAACTTCGTCACGATTGCTGAGCTGTTAGGAAATCTGTTATGACTATGTCTCTCAGTAGCTGTTATAAAAACGGACCTTAGTATAAACGGCTCCCCAATGCGCAGGTAGGCCTCTCCTTCAACCACTCCTGACCTGACGTCGAAGACCTCAAAGGTTGGTCCATGGTATTGACCAACGTCTTCCATGACTGAATCTGTACTAGCCTCAACACAACCTCCTTCAATCTCGATTCAGATAGACGACTCACCTCCGATGGATGCGGGAATGAACCAACAGTGCCTGTCACCCATGAATCGGCGCCCATTAACAACCTCCAGGTACGTTTGCGATCGCCCCGACCTGCCCGAGACCATCTCGTAATTTGCGATTACGGTTCCGCTGGAATATAGCTGGTACCTGCCCTCTTGCTTCATGAACCCTGATGCCTTATTTGCTTCGTCTCCTACAGCGAAAGAGCGAAAGGTAGCAAGGGTTGCTAAAGCGAAGGGGCAGACGGCTCCTTGAGAGGTAATGTGGCACATAAGTGCCGCTGTAGGAACGGTGGTCGATAAAATTCACTGACGGAAAACTGGGTACGTACTCGAGTGCTGGGAAAGAATGTATCGATGGGGCTCGCAGGTCACTAGATGCAGAGTGATTTCATGTATAACCGAGGTACCGCATGGGTATGCGGTGGTTCTCCGAAAGAGGAACATCATCGCAGAGAGGGAGGAAGCGCTCAAGCTTCGTTCTCCAGACCTGGAGTCCCTTGTGCTATTCCCGGCTGAGAATGCGACCTCCAAAGCGCGAGTGAAGCTTGAAGCATTACTGCCCGAGAAATCGACGAAGTCGAAGCCATCCATGAGGATTACGGTGGCTACACGATACACCTGGTGCACCGGGACACAGAGATCCAGGGGTTCTGTCTCATCAACGCCACGAAGAAAGAAGCGGAGAACATTGGCCCCATAGGCGGATGCTTGAGCGTCGTCCATCATCTTTAGTGCCCTGTCCGGCTCTCTGAACCACCGGCCAAGAAAATCGAGTACATTCCAGGTCCGATCAAGGTAACCTCTCACCAAAGTATACAGTGTGAGATTACAAAGTCCCAGGCGAATGATCGACAGAATGGGCCAGTCGCCAAAGAAGATGTCGAGGAAGGCGAGGTTGTTCTCTGTGCAGGTGAGAAGCACAACTTCAAGCTTGGAGAACGCGTCGTCTTGAGGGCAGTGTAGGGCCAAATCCATGTCGTCGTCCATAATTGATCGTAGTAACCATCAGGTGTAGTGGGTTTATATATACGTATGGAGCTTAGTGTCTAGGATAGAAGGGAGAAAGGGGAAATCTTATGGTAGGGTTCCCTGTCAGTTTCAAACTCCGAAACGGATGAGGTTGATGTTCTTCTGTTACATATGGTATGCTGTGAATACTTGAGGAAGCCCCGTATGGGCCGATTACCAAACGGAGGTGTGGCGCAAGGGTCTACTCGCGGAAGTTTACATGACTTGCAACAGGTATGCAGGTATCATCTGCGTTATGGGTGTTACGAGGTCTTCTCACAAGCACTGAACAATATGCAAAAGCAACGTCGTAATTCATTAACACAAAGTTCGTGCTACATAAGCGTTGGAGACACTAGGCAACATTACGGGAGGTGAAACTACGGACAAATACAGTGCCTGACAAGGTCATTATCGCCGTCTGTTCGGCCGTCCAGGTAGTAGGAAACGGTTCGTGCCCGTTTCGGTTAGTGGGGGAGTGTTCTCCTTCCCTGTATAAAGTCATATATGGTTAATGGTACGATAAAAAATGCCAAGAAGGGGTACATACCGGGATATCGGGGTAATGTGCGTCGACTCCGTAGTTCTCTCGAGTTCAGCTGAGTAGACAGATTGGCAAAAATACCGTACTGCTCCGTGCTTGCCAGATGCACAATGCTACATAGGTTTCTCCCATATACATTGGGCCAGTCCGATGATTTTCTGTCTCAATATGTACGCGCTAGTGGCTGCAATTTGAACATCCTGTACTAGCATATTCATCCTAGCAATTGGACTCTATATAATGGTTTCTGATCCCCCTCTTTACCCCAGGCAGTCGGTCTCATCTATTGTTTGAATTGTCTAACTGGTCTGAAGTATGGTACATACCCGGTGAAAAGCAAATCTGGCTCTAATTGTTACTCTCGATGCAACTGTCTGATTGGGCCTATGACGTTGGCAATACAGTCTCTCTAACCAACTCCTGTCCAGTACCCGTGTAGGAATCTACAATGAATTTCCGGTCGTGTCTATACCCAGTGTAGTGTCCGATTGGAGGTCAACGCACAGGCGCTCCGATTAATTACAACATGCGCGGTTACACAGTCACAGAGCGAAAATTTCCTCGGGTCACGGGCTCTCAGTTCCAATTGCCCGTATTACCACAGGAACGAGCATGCATCGACAATTGGACACCTCATGACCAAAGCCCGCCCCAATTGGGCTATGTTAACCACGGCTCAATCACATGCGTCGAATCGATTTAGACCCCTCAAGGCCTCACCCCCTCCTCCAATTGGGCTGTGTTAGCCATCGCTCAATCGCACGCGTCCAATCGGGCAAGTACAATCGCACGCGTCCAATCGGGCAAGTACAATCGCACGCGTCCAATCGGGCAAGTACAATCGCGCCGCCCCAATCCTGCTGTCCTTCTAGGGTTACCATCACTATGCACCAATTGGCGCCGTCCCAATTGTGCCGTCATTTCAGAAGCACTATCGATATGCACCAATTGGCGCCCATTTGTTGCTGGCCACAAACAGGCCAACCACATGCAGAAGTCCCGATCAGAGTTCGAGTTCCAAAAGCCCGGGAGTTCTTCTAGTTGTTTCCAACTCTAACATTCCCCACCACCCACTTGTGCTGTATCCACCATGGCTCCGAAGGCTGCGAGTACCACAATCCTCGACGCGCTTCAAGATTTCTTTCTTGTCATTGCCACCATCCCACAGTGGCAAGCCCTCGATGACAAGATAGTTACACGGAACAAGCTCATCTTGAGAGATTCTACGGTAAGGCCGATTCATGACCCCGACTGCCCTGGAGCGTCGATCGTTCTAACGTGTCCATGTGTCCGTATAGAGAATCATCTATGAATGTGCCAACAAGGAAAACCTGCGCCAATCGAAGCATCTCGGCGATGATCTGTTGCAATGGATCGGTAAAGATTGCCGAACGTATGACTCCCGACCGAACGACATTCCCCTCGCATTCTTCGAGTCTACAACATACTCTCAACCAGCCCCCATCCTTCTTCGACATCGACCATCATGCGCAAACCTTGTTACCGACCCAAACACCCTCCGGAAGTACCTCACGCTGGACACCGACGATGCAACCTCTAAACGGCTCCCGAAAAAGAAAGAGCCTGGTAATCGTCCTCCCAAGCGATATCTATCCGACGATGATGAGTCGAGCGGCCTTCGCCCCGACCCAACCTCGAAGAAGTCTCGACCTGGCCCAGCTTCCGTCCAACAAGCAGGCACCAATCATGCCCTCCAGGTAAAGTTCTCCACCCCCCAGTAGTCGAAGTCTTCATCCACTGGTTTCTCTCAGCGAACAGCACAACACAACCAGTCACAACGGAACCCCGCTATCGTTAAACCTAAACCGGTGCGTAGTTTTCTTGCCCATACGACCGCGCGTTCTGAATCGCGCGATTCCCCTACCCACCTACACAGGTGAAACCGTCCCAGTCGGTTCAAGAGCAGGCTCAAGATGCAGTGGCAACCGACGGAGGGGATCGTCACAACGAAGCTGACGATGTAGGCCAGGTTCGAGAGTCTTTTCGTTTCAATTTACACTCTCCACAACTATAAATCTTTTACAGTCCGCCGAACGCGAAGCTGAGCTCGCCCCTGCCACACACAACCCTCGATATCCGATCAGAGCTCCGAATCGTCATGATTTACCTTCGACAGACCCCGCCCGGGATCTTGCCGACCTCGTTCAGCTACATATCAGCCAGACCGCGAGCCTCAACGAGCTCCAAGGCCACTGTCGGGTACTCATGGACTACTACTCACGGGAGAGGAACTACTATCGAGTGCAGAACTCCGAGCTCAGAGAGGAGGTCGATGCCCATAAGGCCAAGATCAAGACGTTGAAGGACAACATTGACCAGATTCGCGCGTTCATAGGCTTTGGTCCGGTGTGTATCTTCTTCCATTTACTCAACCGTTCGCCGAACCCTTCTTCGATATTTATCAGGCTTTCAAACAGCAATCCGAACGGCAGTCTCACCCGCCACAGCGCCCCCACTCCGTTCCCGCGGTTCCCCATAGACAATATCCAACCCTCGACCCCCAGCAAGTACAATCGATGGAACCCCTGCAACCCGATCGACTTCTTCCCGGTACAACGCCTTCAGGACCTCAACACAACGCGAATACCTTCGACAATTCAACCGGCTTTTCCGAATCTATGAATTTCCAAGGAAATCAATTTAACAATGCCTCTGCTTATCCCCCCTTCCCCGCTGCTCCTTCCTCTCAAGACAAGGTGTTCAATGGGAACTCAACGAGCATCGACCTCCTGTCCCAAACCCCTCAACCCGTTACTCTCGCCCAAGCCTCGTCCGGTACCATGTAATCCTCTTAATTTTGTACATTAATGCATCTATAGTTTCCAAAATCTGTATATTTCTTTCTCTTTTGCTTTGGATCTTTCCCCTCGCTATCCCTACCTGGATTGAATAAGTATGGACTTGAATCAATGACTTTGACTATTCCTTTTCAATGACATAGACTTCTCTGTTGACGACGCAATGGCTGACACATTGAGCTGAGTTACTGAGTGGTTTCTGGATACGGCGTATTTTCATATGCCTGTACCATGTCCGCCCCTGGTTTCCCGATATTCAACCGCCCAATCAGACATCCACGTGTGAGGGAACCATGTAATTGTGACATCCCACAAGAGCGTCGTATGGGGCGGTACCAATTGGGAGCACCGATTCCCAAAGCGCCCCAATTAGAGTGATGATCTTGAGAAACGCAATAGACGACCCAATGAGACACACCAATTAGAGCGATCATCTCCCGGGGCTGGACCAACCGCCCAATCAGACATCCACGTGTGAGGGAACCATCCAATTGGGACATCCCATACGAGCATCGTATGTGGCCATACCAATTGGGAGCACCGATTCCCAAAGCCCCCCATTAGAGTGATGATCTTGAGAAACGCAATAGACGACGCAATTCCACAGTGGAGGGAAACATCTAATTACAACATACCACACCAACGTCACAGGGCCATCGCGCCAATCGGGGCTTCCCATTCCAAATCATCGGCCCAATTGGAGACTGACTTATGAGTATGCCATGACGGTAAACCTCACACAAGTAATGGCCTGACCCAGGAAGCGACCATTATCTACTGTAGTAAAGGGCCAATGATTCACGAGTCACAGGGTTCAATGTAGCAACAACGAATGAATAAACCCAGAAAAAGTATAACAAAAAAGTACAGTAGAAGAACTAGCCCTTGCCGCCCCTCCCTCCCCTGCCTGCGCGACCACGACTTCGCCGAGGAGGCTGTGGTAGCTCGTCCTCAGCAGCCCTCTTCCGTGCAGCTCCCCTTGTAGTCCTAGGCAAATTGAGCACCTCGTTAGGCAAAACCTGAAGGCCCAAACCGATGTTTTTGGGAACACGAGAACTCCCCGGTGTCTTGCCAGGCGGGTTTACGTCCACGCGAGGTACTGGTGACGATGACGGAGTTGATGGACCATGGCTACCTTGTTGAGATAAGGGTCCAGGCGAGGGGGTAGGCGAAAACCCGGTGAACGATGGTGCAGGTGACTGGCGAGGGGAGAAGCCGAGGAAAGCTGGCGGAGGTGATGGGGAGGATGGTAAAGGTGACGGGACAGGGGAAAACCCGGCGAACAAAGGTCCAGTTGACTGACGAGGGGAGAAGCCGCCAAACGCAGATGGGGGCGATGGAGGGGAGGATGATGGCTGATGCGAGGGTGTAGGCGAAAAACCAGCGAACGATGGCACAGGTGACTGACGAGGGGAGAACCCTCCAAACGATGATGGGGATGGTGGAGGAGGGGGGGATGGCTGATGCGAGGGTGTAGGCGAAAACCCGGCGAACGATGGCACAGGCGACTGATGAGGGGAGAACCCGCCAAAACGTCGTGGGGGCGACTGAGACCGGACTGAGGGGCTGCCAAAACCTGCTAGAAGAGTGTTAGATTTGAGGATCCAAGGTAACAGTTCCCAAGCGCACCATCACGTCGACTACGATCCACCTCCTTGCCCTTTGCACTCCTCTTCTTCGGTGGTTCCGGAGAGGGTGAAATGGAACCGGGTTTCCTTGGACTAGGGGATACAAGCTTGTAGCCATTCTTAGTTCGAACGGGCACAAGTTTGAAACGAAAGACTTCCTCAACCGAAGGGTCCTCCTGGCGGCTGAGGAAGTAGTTGTAATACTGCAACTGGGGGCCCACCTTCATATGCGCAGGGTCCTTGAACAACGGCCAAAGCTCTCTGTCGAAGCAAGTCTCGTCGAAGCACTGATCACGAAATTCGGCTAATGCAGCCCAAGGCGCAGAAGATCGGTCACTGTTAGGAGGAACCACTTCCGGGAGTGCTTTACCGGTGACGTGTATCTCTAGCGTGTCGTCAGATTATGGAAAAAAAGATATTTAAAACATTAAACACTACCGTAGTAACGAGTGAAGTAGCTTCGAAAAACATCTCCAAGCCATGCGTTCAGGTTTGGGGTGCGCGGCTTAGCATAAAGGGGAGGGAGCAGAGGTCGCCCCAGTTCGTCGCACTCAAGCGTCTCGAGCGGTCTCCCTCTGACTTTAGTGAGCTTCCCTCCAGAAGACTCTCCCCTCGCTTCCTGGCCATATTGATCGCTCACCCAATCCCTCCACAGGTCTTCGATCGTCGTGGTTTCCTTGGGATACGCCGTCGAGAACGACTCTTCACACGCACCCAGCTCTCGGTTGAACTCAACAGACACGGCGACTGGTTCCTTCTTCTCATCTCGGTAGCCGATAAGTAGAAAAACACGGGCATCCATGTCGTTATGCAGAGCGAGGGAGAATTCCATACATCTTGCGCGAATGTAACATTCTGCGCAGCTAAATACATAAGTGAGTGAATACGTCAACCTCATACTCGAAGGCAATAAAGGACATACCGAAGTTTCTCCTCGAGAGGCGGGCCCTGCTCCTTCCACTGCTTTGCCTTTGCTGCATAGTCAGCACGCTCGGCTTCATCGAGCGCACCCCAGAGGAGAGAGGTCGCGGTTTGATATTTGGCGAAAGGTGATGTTGTCGGAGCGCTGTCGTCGTCAGAGTGGGCGTCATCGGGCAAGAAGTCCTCAATGGACTGGTCGGGGGGGATGACGAGGTCAGGATCCTCGTACAAATCACGAAGGTCGGGGATGTTGGGATTGGGACTGGCAGCCAGGATCTTGGCGAGGAAAACGATTGCGCGGGTGTTACAGTACTGAAACACGAGACGCGCATGCCAGCGCATACCCCAGACCCGTTTGGGCGCGCCTTTGCTGGATAGAGCATTCTGCTCAAGCCATTGCCCAACGGCCTGCCAGACGACGTCACGTTAGGGATACCGATGAGAGTTGTCATGGGACACACCTTCCGCAAAGACTTCTCCATCTCAAGCGACATAGCTTGGTGAGTCATCTGCTCGTAATCCTCCTTCAACACCCTGGCGCTGGACGACGCGACCTTGTCCTTTGCAGCTTTCTTCTTCTTGTCGCGGTATTGATCGACGCGGGTTTTCAGATACGCGACCTGCGACGCGGTCAGCTGATATCCCCGAGCAGGTTCTAATGTCGTCGTTTGCATCCTAGGCGAGCAGTAGTCAATGGTTGGGGACTCAGAAGAGAGAGGGCGTGAAAACTTACCCGATAACGTGGCACAGGCAGATAGAAACGGTGCGGGGGTAGATTTTCAGACGAGACCAGGCCTGCCTGGGTTTTATGGCGAAAATTGGCACATCCCAAAGGGGGGTATTGCTGCCGAGATCGCGATTTGGCGATCTAAATCTCGATTTAGATTACTCCTTCCTAGGTCTGACCTCCACCTGTTATCATCTCGTTGCAAAATGGGTTTTGGGAAGGAGAGGAGAGGATACTCCAGCGGAGGAAAGGGGAGGGCGAAGCTCATGAAGGCGAAGCTGGTTCTCACAAAAGCTGGTCGAAGGAAAGTAGAGTTTGTACCAGTCAAGTCAACACCTTCGCCGACCAAGTCCGTCCATGGGTCTCCAAGTCCAAAACGAAGGAAAACGGGTCACCAAGACGCTATGCAGGATGGAGGGGTGTTTGTTCAATTCCAGGATAATGGAGACGCAGATGCGCCCAAGAAATCGATGGTGCATAAGTCCTATCCGTGACCGATCCGCTTCCAGCTCTAATCTCCCCGACTTAGGACTCGAACGACTATATGTTGGAATGGATACCCAAAGAAAGGCTGTATCTTGACGAGATCATCAAACGCGAGGCCCCTCCCAGCTCTCTAGTATGCGATTCCTGTGGCTCAGAAGAGTCCCCTTCCTGGTGGCGATGCCGGGACTGCACTGCGTGCTCTCTGTCTTGTTTCCACTGCTTCAGAAGTCTGCACGATCACCTGCCGTTCCATAGAGTGGAAACACTGTCGGAACACCATTTCTCCCCCTCCTGGCTATGGCATTGTGGCGTCTACATCAACCTTTGCATCCACAATGTCTGTCGTTCCGACGATACGCCCAATTTCAGCACCTCGAGTAGCGACGAAGAGACTGGCCATATTGACGACGAACAAGACTGGTTAGACGCCGATGATTGCAGCTTTGGCGCTAAGCCTCGAGGTCGCATTTTACACGGCATGAAGGTCGTCACCGTGGTCCACGGAAACGGTGTCCATCATCTCCCATTTCTATACTGCTCTTGCCTGGATGCCCCAGAACCGGAGGTACAGATGCTTCGACTGGGCTTTTATCCTGCAACATCGAAGGATATTCGTACTGTGTTCACCTTCTCAATGCTGGATGAATATCTTTTGGAGACCATCGAATGTTATACGTCAACACACCACTACTACTCGAAGCTTCGCCGACTTACAAATGAACCATACCCTGATACCGTCGCGGTAAGTCATTTAGAAACTGTCTCTGATGGTTCTAACCGTACTCCTTGACACTTTAGGATCGGACCAGAGAACTTAGGCGTGTAGGACGTCAGTGGAGAAAGCTGAAAGAACTCAAACGACATGGGTATGGTCACCGAACTGAGGAACCTGGAAAAGGCGACCTGGCGCTCTTCTGTGCGGCATGTCCGCAGCCTGGTGTGAACCTCCCTGAAGACTGGAAACAGGACAAAGATGATTGGAAGTATACCCGAAGCTTTGTCGCAGACGGTAACTTCACTTGCATCCATCGCAAACAGAAGAACAGCGATGTGGAAGTGGGATTGAAGAACGGCGAAGGGTACATGACGGAAACCAGGCGATACCGCAAGCATCTAGCCACGGCAAAGGAAACGAGCGAGGTGAGGGTCCATTTCATGTGTTGCGAATGAATTCTAACCAGATATGGATGGCACAGGCCCCAACCTGCCATGAACATCGAGCCATCGCGGACAAATCGAAAGTTCGCAAAGGTCTAGATGCGACGGGTATTGGTGCCATAGCCTGTATGAGGCATGGCGCGTTTGCTCCAGGTTCTGTGGTGGATTTCCAGAAGGGAGAACGGTGAGCTCGACGGATCCCTCTGCTACCAATGAGACGACTTACATATTTGACACTTCCTGGGATGCATCTAGCCAAGTGAACATGGACTACGCACTTTCAGAGGCGCTGAAGCTCTCAAACATGGAGGATATCCGGCGGGTCATCTTCGCTTATGACATTAACTGCCAGTATAGCAAGAAGTTGTTCGAGCGCCTACACACTGGGGAGTATCTGGAGCTCGACGAAAGCCTTGTCTTCATTTTTGGGATCGGTCTGTTCCATGTACATGGACACCAGGAAGCCTGTCTGCCAAGGTATTCCCTCACATTCATTCGGGGTGCTGGTGTCTCTGCAGGGGAGATTCTGGAGTCTTTGTGGGCGGTTATCAATGAGGTTGCGCGATGCACCTCAACGATGACACTCGCGCACCGACTCGAGGTGCTAGACGCCATAATAGCCGACAGCAATTGGAAGAAGATGCTTAAATTAGGTGAGTTCAATTCGCTCTCAGTGGAGTAGACAGCCTGAATGAAATGAAATACTTTTGACATAGTTTCGGTGATCTGCAAAAATTGGAAGAACGCCGGACGACAGTACGCTAAGGCCAAAGAAGACTTCGATTTGCTCAACGAGACCGCCTCACCAGCCCAGAGAGTCCAGTGGCAGGCACAGTTGGACGAGGCCCAGGAGATGAGGACTACGAACGTTGCCGCCATGGATATCCTATTAGCAAAGATCGATCGTCGTAAGTCCCTCCAATTTTCGATTTTGGCTGGACAAGGGCATTAACCGTCCGTCGAAGCGCCCACTCTCGCCAAAGTCCAAACAAGGTTAATGGAAACAGAGAAACAACTTGGGACCGATGTTGGTATCACGTCCTGGATTGCCTTTGGGCTCAGGATTCAGGAAGCGCAGTAAGTTCTTTCGAAAGCCTTGCGTAGTGTTGAAAAAATGGCTTATGGCCTCAAGGATCCAATTGAAATCGTATATAAGAAGCCTTCCCAAGGAAAAAACCGACCCTCAACAACTCGAGGTCACGAGAAGGCGCGAGTCGTTGTACACAGACATTAACGGTCTCTACGAAACAGCCGCAACCCTCTTCCCTGACGCAGATCTTGTTAACCTAAAGTTTGACGGGCCTCCGAGGGAGCGTGTTGACCTAGACGACGACGAGGAATCCGACGAGGAGGAGAATCCATTTTCCCTATCCCAGAACGAAATGGAAGACGTCAAGATACCGCTCCCTTCCTCTTTCTCCGACCGAGACATGCCAGCAACTCTTTCTCGCGCAAAGGCCAAGGAACTTGATCTTCGAATTGCGCAGGCGGACGACGTACTAGAAACAATACGCACCGAAATTGGCCACAAGTCGTTCCTATATCGATCAAACATTCGTCTGGCTGAAGGAAAGAAGCAAAAGACCAGGGGATACACGGCCGTTAGTGCAGTCAACCAGCGACTTCGCGACTCGATTCGGATCTACAACCAGACTAGATGGGCCATGCGACGGCTGGGCGCTAACGACTCTGTTATCCGACGGTATCGCGCTCTAACGCCCGAGGACACCAGGGCAGTCACAACAATATATCAGCCAAACATGCGTGGAGAAAGAAATCGGCCTCTCTCTTGGATCTGGAACCTGGATGTGAGTGGCGACTCTGCTCGGTCGGACTATCTGGAGGAATGTAAGTGGGTTTGTAAGCTCGTGAAGCAGCACACGCACTAATGGCTTGCCTTACTCTAGTGTACCGGGTGAATTGGCTACGTGCGCGATCCCGGGTTGACCGTTGGAAGGAGGAATATGTTCTCCTGTCTTCGGAAATGGTATGGGTTCTCAATTTCTTCGATTTCAGGCGGAAGAAATGCTTGGAATGGATAGGACTACGGGAGGATTCACCTGGGCATGTTGCTTATGCTCATCGGCAGGCCGAGATGTGGAAGTTGTTGTATGTGCAGGCAGAGAAAGCTTTCCTTAAGGTCCGAAAATCGTCGACTACATCGGTATGAATGACTCACTATTTCACTACTTCACCAAATGGTACTCACACGTTGGGGTGCCAGAACGCCTAAGGTTGTTATTCATTGCACGCGGAAAGTACTAATAAATATGTCATGAATTACGGTCTAGATGATCGAGATGGAGTCGAAGTTCCCGGGAAAGAGTCATGTAGTCGGCTGGACTCCACTTACGGTTGAAGACAGTGGTGTCTTCGGGGGTGGCATGTCTGACTACAGCCTCGTCGAACGACGCGATAGCGACGATATGAGGGTCGTAGCCGGCGCCTGTCCATCCGTGGTGAAGAACGCGAGTCATGCCGATAAATAACGTACCCGGGTGGAAATAGAATTCGTGGCCGATGTTGGGGCATACGAAGCGGTTTTCCTGTGACGTGCCAGCTGAGAGGATGGTGTCGAAGGCGAGAGGTGGTGTGACGTCTTCGCGGCGGACACCGGAATCGTAATTGGTGTAAATGCGCAGTAATGACTGAGGCATCGTCCAAAGGGAGAGGGCGTCGTTGAAGATGTACTGCGGCAATACGGCCTTGGGTTGCTTGGACAAATTCTCGAGAATTTGGAATCCGGCAAAGAAGGAGGGGGGATGAATAATGGACATTGCTGCGCCAATGATGGCCATGGTTTCGGATATATTGTCCAGGAGCCGCATTCCACGGTACCTCGATTCCAGGAGGGGGGGAGACGGAGAGAACAGGCCCTACAGACTAGATAAGAGAACATCAGAAAGAAAAAGGGGTGTTAAACGCACCCTTTGCTCGTCTATGAGCTGGGCTAGAGCTAGACGAGTGTAGCCATTACCCAGTTTCTCGTGCGTGTAGCCAGTAGCCTGGGGTGACGCGCAGGTCTCGTCGACGCGGACAAAGGGGCTGTTCGGGTTCAGGCTCTCCTTATCCCGGTTGGCAGATTGTTCCACGTAAATATTAAGCAAATCCTAGGGAAAGCCGAAGGTCTGCGTTAGATTTGAAAATACCGTAGACTGTGGGATAAACTTACCAGGCGGTGCTGTTGGATAGCAGAGGGAAGATGATATGCGACAGGGTGGCCTTCGCTGTCGACGTAAAAGCATGGACCCACTGCGATTTTGTGATGGTCAGATCCTCGAGGAAACCGCACAAGCCCTGGACCACGGGTATTCCTGGTTTGATACGCGGAGAGGGGAAGGAATGTAGGCTCGATGCGCCTTACTTCGAGGTGAACCGTGACTAGAGAGAGCCCAAACGTAAATTAGTAAAAGTGAACCGCAACGAACGCCAACGAACGCCATAGCCTACACTCTGAACGGGTTGCCTGGTAGATTACCGATGTCAGTTGGTGTAATTCGCTTTTGATCGCAATGGGAATGTCGGCGAAGATAGGGATTTGGTGGCGGGGATCGTGAAGCCTGTGGTAGACGTGCTGGCAATACCGACCGTATAGAAGTGAAAGCGAGAGCGCCTTTGGCAAGGTATAGTTCAAACGGAAAGGTTGGTGATGGTTCATGGGAGGGAGTCGATGGATGGTCAAGTGGAAAATTTGGGGGTAGAGGATCGAAGTGATGTGCCGACGTGCTCACGTCATCAGACGAGGGGAAGCCGTGCGTCGGATTTGAGGTATGTGTATACACGTGCCAATTGGGCAATGCGACTCGACGCCTGTAGTTCTACGGGCCAATTGGACTACTGCAAAGTAACATAGGCCAATTGGCCTGTGCGAACTGGCTGATAGATTGGCACCGACCAATTGGTGCCGTTCACACATGGATTCCTAATTGGGCTTTGGGGATCGACGTCCGAGATTCGGCGGCCTAATTGGGGCTTCCTTTGGGCGTGTATGGTCTGCAGCAGCGGACAATTTGAGTGTAAAAACCTTTCAAAGACTCACGTGTAGTGGTATTTTTTTTAAATGTAAAAGGCCATAAGCGAAAGAAACACAGGAGAGCATTGATGATTTGGAAGAAAAGCGTAGAAGAAAGTACATCTGATAGATACAATAAACATGTCACTGGTCATCGATTCCGAGCAGAGGGACGGGAGGCAGTTGAGCTGCGCGGAAGAGGAGATCGTGGGTGCGAGAGCGTGTAAGCGTTGCCAACGCCCTGGTTTGGGCAACGCTGGGGGATATAGCAGGGTCTTGCAACACTACGAGGGTGTCTCCAATGAGGCGAGACAAAGTCACCCAGGTTTGGCGCATGCGCACGGCGGCTAGTGGTATCAAGTGAGTAATGGGCCAACCTAATTAAACAATGATGCCTCACCGGCTGTGGCTCGGGCGTTCTCCTTCCTAAGGTACTCCAAATGGTCTTGGAGCTTCTTGACGGTGTCCTTGACGAGTTTTGGTTTGGCGAGGATGGAGGTGGTTTCTAATAACAAGGATTAGTACGGATAGCGGGTAGATCGTATTTGATACACACGACTCCAAGGCAATAGAGAATGTATTTCTTGAACGATGTCTCGAGCTTGTAGAAGTCCTATTCGAAAGTCGATGGAACACTCAGCACTCAGGGCTCAGGGAACGCCGAAATCGCGACGACAAAAGGAAAACTCACCAATAAACATATGGCCATCAACGCCAGCCCCAGATCGCGACATTGATTCATTACCGAGCAGTCGGGCCTTCAAGACCTTGTACTCTTGAAGGAACGGTTGGATCTCCTCGACCGGGGTTTCACAATCGGTTTCGAGGAAGTGCGCGATGAGCTCTTCCTGCAGCATACAGTTTCCTGTGATACCGCGTGGGGTCTGGAAGCAGTGGACGCAAGAAGGATGGTCGAGAAGAGCGTCGCACGAAGCGTGGCAGGCCTCCTCGCCGCAGTTGAGGGTGGGGTCGCCATTGCAGACTCGAGAGGCCCAGGTGTTCCAGAACTCCATGCGAGACTGAAGTTGGAAGGCGAGGTTCGTTTCTTCTTTGTCGACCATTTCTATAGGGATGTTTTCAATCCAGGAGGCGGCCATGTCTTCTATACTGGAGGGTGAGAGACGGAGGTCGAACGAGAGATGAAGGAGAGATGGAAAGGGCGATGATGAGGTCCTAAGTCAACCAACGTGGAGCGGATGATGTGAGAAAAAAAAAAGACCCGGAACTTGCACGGAACCCATGGGCCTAGGGTGAAAGCCTCCAGCTTCTCAGCCTGCGCTGGCCATCTAATCAGGTTGAACGTTCTGCTAGTCGATGTCGTCGGTCTAATTAGGGGTTCCCATGCCTACGCCTGTCTAATTGGACCGGTATAAGAGGTGGGACAATGTCGTGGGTCCAATTAGGGATCCAGATTGGCACGCGCGTCTAATTGTACCGGCGGCAGAAGCTTCCCAATGTTGTCTGTACAATCGGAGACCAAGATTACGTGTATCTAAGACCCAATTAGAGGGCCTGATTGCTACGCCTGTCTAATTCGGCGAGGTGAACTGATGACTCCATTGCACCGTTCCAATTGAGTGTTCGGATGGTGTCTAATTGGTCAGCATTTTAGCCACTACAATTCGTTACCAGTAAGTACCAACCCCCTAGTCATTTTGAATCATTGGTAATCGCGTATGTGGGATCTGGCTTCGGAAGGGGCTACAAACAGGGTATCTTGCCTACGGCTGTGCTATTTTGGTCCTCCTTGAGTGACAAAGTCCCAATTGCGCTGTTTTCTTCTGTCAGGGCTCGTGCACTTAGCAGAACTCTGATATACACTCGCGCCTTCCCTAGACTCGGCTTAGACTTCGACACTTCGACTTCACATCCCGACGTCTCGACTTTCGCTTCCAGCCATACTCGAACCCTCGACTTCCCCAACGTCTTCAGCCGCACCGCCACCTAGACTCCGGTCGTGTCAATGTCTACTGATCTAGACTTCACCGGATCAGGCAAGACGCGCGACTCGGCTCCTTCCGTGATCTCGGATCCTCCGGAAGTCTAGTGGACTTTAGGCGCGCGCTTGGTATTTCGAAGCCTTCGACTCTGTATTGTTCTTTGGAAGTATGTTCCCTTTTTAGACGTATTCGTTCTTTGTTGTTGTCCGAAGTTCCCTCGTACGTCATATCTCGACTTTCCTGATTTATCGATGTTATTATCTTTCTTTTCTTCGGCTTATCTTTCCTCATCACATGTTCTTTGCATCAAGACTTGTCTTCGACCTTTCTACTTCATGTCTTTGCTCTAGACTTTCTTATCATGTTGTGATTGGTTCGTAGATAGCTTCTTCGACTCTCTTGTGTTGTTCTTGGATCGATTCGCCTTCATGTCGTTTGTATTTCTCATTCATACATCTTAGTCTCGCCTTCATGTTTCTCCATCGTTTCTCCGCACTTCTCTTCGTCGAAGATTCTCTAGACGTGTCCTCTATAAGTACTGTATGGTTTTGTAGTAGATACCTCATCCGGAATCTCGACTAGGACTCTCCATCCTCCCTTCTCCATCGACTAGGATCTCCATCCTCCCTTCTGCATCGACTAGGACTCAATCCCCTCTCCTCCATCGACTAGGACTTTCCCCTCATCGAATCCTCTGTCCGAATTCCTAAGTCTAACTTAACTCTCTCCACGTCTTCGACCGTTGAGCCTTTAGCTCCAGTCGTCTCTCTACGTCGCGCTCTCGCCGCAAGGCGTCCGTCCGGTCCGTCGGCCTAGCCAGCCATAGGAACCTTGACGAAGGGTACACGTTCTTATAACGTGAGACCAAGGCTAACCTCCGACCCCGAAGTCTCCTCTCCATCTCAGACTTCGCCTCACTCCTCTTCACTCACGCCCATCTCCTGACAGTAGATTCCGGATTCGACTTCGTCTTGTCGTTCCAAGTCTACGTCTATGTCCGATCAAGACCGCTACGACTTTCGTCGCCCTCGCCCTCCTCCTTCAGCGTCCGCACTGGGCCAACCTCGACCCGTATCGCACTCCAGACACGAGTCCCTCACCGATCCCTTCTACATCTCGAATTCGACATCACCTGCCATAGCTGCAACCGCCCATTTGGCAACCTCCTACGTCTTTCCTCGGTCAAGCTACCATTTCGACGCGGCATGTCTAACGACGCTCGCGAAGAAGAGTTCGTAGCCTCGCATCTAGGCATCCCTGGTGGCCTCGCTACCAGCGCCTTCGGTGGTCTTCGCACCTCAGACTCTGGGTCTGGCAACCCCAGTGGTGCTGCAGGTCGCGTCTCCAACTCGCGTCGTGGTGATCCGTCTTCCTCTGGCAAAGGAGGCGATGATCCACTCCCTTTCGCCTTTGATCCCTCTGGCTCTCCCCCTCGCACGCCTCCTGGTGATCCGCCTGATCCCAGGGGAGGTGGTGGTGGAGGTCCCCCGCCGTCTGGCAGCGGTGGTGGCGACCCTCCTCCTAACCATGGTGGTGGTGGTGGACCTGGTGACCCGTCTGGCGATCCGCCTGGCGGAGACTCTGAGACTCAAGCTCAAGACGACTCCAACGACTTCCAACCCGTCCTTCGTCGCATTCTCGAGCACCTCGTCGAGGGTCAGCAGTCAAATGCTCGTACCCTTGCGAAGGCTCTCGAGAAACTCGAGTCTCAGTCCTCCAGTACCCCTAGACTTCGTGCTCCCGACCCTTTCGACGGCTCAGATCCCGAACTCCTAGACGCCTTCATCGCTCAGCTTACAGTTTATCTCGGTCGCTACATGCACACCTTCAAGCACCCGAGAGACGCTGTGGCTACTGCCCTCTCCTACCTCAAGGGCAAGGCGTACACTTACTTCGCATCTCGAATCAATGTGGCTCGCACTACCGATGCGACGTTGCCTTGGTTTGACAATCTGGACCTCTTCATCGAGGAGCTGACTCTCGTCTTCGGCCCCAAGAACCCCATCGGCGACGCAGAACGCAAAATTCGTGCGTTGACGATGACAGGACGTGCCTACCAGTATACCCTCGACTTCAATGAGCTCGCCGCACGCATCAACTGGAACGAAGCGCCTTTACGTTCTCAGTACTACACTGGCCTCTCCGACCGCATCAAGAACGAGTTGGCTAGACGTCCTCGGCCTGCTACGCTTTTGGAGTTGCAGAATGTCGTCTTCGATATGGACGAACGTTGGCCAGCCTGCTGTATGAGTTCCCCTCGTTAATAACGGTGGGATTGGGTGAAATTAATGGCGATAGTAACTACACAGAGGGAAGAGCTTGCAGTGAGCATACCTCGATAGCAATGAGGCACATCACAAGGCAGAGGTTCAGTGGACCCATATGTGTACAGTGTCATATAGATAGATGGTCCCTGTGCCATACATGAGATATAAGCAATAGAAATTATCATATATGAAGAATGGTAATGCCCCCTTGGAGACAGGAAGTCCACAGAGGCACCCCGTCAGTAGCACTACCTCACAGGCGCAATAACAACGCGATGCCTCACTGACTTTTGCGCCTGTAACTCACGCACAACTGATGCCGCGTTGGCTTTTGAGTGATTGTCTCCCGTTGATATCAGACCTGTAGGGCAGTTTCATTAACGCGGCGGGGGTTCTCCTTTGACAGGTAACTGCAATCGAAAAGCATATAGACTGAATACATCATAATGCCACAAAAAGGTGTAAAGCCGCTCCCCCACAGTACAGGTGCAGACTTTGCTGATATTTACGAGTGACATCGCGAACCTCTCTTCAGATTCCTCTCTAGGTACTGACCCCATCAAGACCCCAACAACGGGCTACCTGCTTCTCTCAACATGTCTCCCACCTGGGGAGCCTACCAGAGCCCTTACCATTGTGGATGTCCAGTCCTTAAAGCAGTGTAAGTGCCTCTCTTCTAAAAGGCGGGTGACTTACGTTAGTGTCGGGAACCTCTCCACACAAATCGTATATCAACATAGGCACCTGTGGTCTAAAACGACATGAATGCCGGATACTATGGAGAAATCAGCCCCCGTCACCAAACCGTTCAAGGTGGGTGTAATCCAAGCCTCGTGAAATTATCTTGGGTAGCTGTATGGACCTGCGGTATAGCCGTCAGCTTGTGGGCGATAGTATCGGGGAGGGTGCCGCTTCTCCACCTTTGATGCTCGAGGTACCCCGTGTCTATCGCCTATGTATTTGCCTAGGCAGATGCGGGAGTCCACCCAGCTCTGACTCCACGTACCAGGCTGCATTTGTGGAAGGTCAAATTCACGATCAGCAGTGTCGTTCGCCACTTTGGTGCGAGAGCAAATCCACGTTTACAGGCGTCGGTCGCCATTTTGGTGCGAAAGGTACCCCGTGTCCATCGGTGATGTAGCCGCCTCAACAGATGCGGCAGTCCACCAGTCCGGGCCCCACATGCCTGGATGCATGCGCGGTAGGTATGCACCCCATGTCTCACAGTATACACCCCACCCCATAGCATCAGGAAAAGTGTCTCGTCCTGACTTGCTGGAAAGGCACCCCGTATCCATTGGAGCAGATATCAGTCTCGACAGGTGCGGCACTCCCCCCTTCATTATCCTAAGTGGGTGAAAGACCCCCTCATCCCCAACCCTGACACCAAATCCTTCAAGACGCGCGTAACCCGAAACTTGGGCAATTATATAGGGTACTTGTATGTACCTGCGGTATAACGTGCACCACCCAGTCAAATATTGGGGAGGGCCACCCTTCTCCACTTTTGATGCTCGAGGTAACCTGTGTCGATGCGTGTGAAATAATCTGGGGTACCTGTATGTACCTGGGCTAAAACACCCAACGCGTAGTCGATAGTAGCGGGGGAGACGGCGCGACGTAAGACTCACATCCCTATATTCACCTCGACTTTAACTGAGCATCCATGGCCGATTGTATATGCGAAGAGGGCCTTCGTCATCCAACAACCTGGACAGGAGCGGCAATCCACCTACCTTATCCTAAGAGTGATCGTTGAAGAGGTCTACAACTTGGCGCTGGTCATTGTACAGACAATCCACTTGGCGCCAAGGCTACCACCTGGACTCCAACAGCAGTTCCCTCAAAGGCATCCTTTCCTAGACTCTAGAATAAGCGACACCTTCAAGTTCAGGCTGGTCTTACTTTAGGCACCTACCCCGAGGTTAACAGCCCTACCACCCGCCTTTACCTACGTCATGGCTCTCACACCCATGTTCAGACCCAAGTCTTGGCCTCCCGAGCCCTGTCCTCCATCGCTCACCCTCACTCTTGCGACGTCGTAGGTGGGCGTCCACATTCCTCGTCACTCACGCCGCGGAGTCAATCGTTAAAAGACGAGGTACATCAGCAGTTGAATCCCAAGCCAATGTCTGTGTGTCTAATAAGCGCCCAATTGCACCTTGGCACAAGCCAAGCGCCTGAGGAGCTCGTGGGAATGTCGCGAGATTTTCACCTGCCTGTCCTCGGTGCCTCTCCGCATTACATCTTGAACACCTGGCTCCCACCATAATGAGCGCTGCCTCGATTGAACACAAGGCAGAATTTGTCAAAGACATACATGATGGTGCGGTCGAACTCACTCTCCTTCATTCTAGGCTCATCCATATCCGTAGTGCTCGAGCGCCTCTACAATCTAGCCACAACAACCAACCTCCACATCGCAGACATCACTCCCAGGCTTGAATGGCTCCATGAATACACAGACCGCCTCCCAGAAGACGCTCAAGAAGATCACAGCGAAAACATTTCGGACTCGCAGGCGTCCCTAGCTACCATTCAAAAGCTTGTGGACAAAATGCTCAAAGAAGTGAGGGACGGCCGTCTTCGAGCAACAGAATACATCGAGCAGGAGATCCAATGACCCCGGTTTCTGTTTGGACTTGCTTACATAGCTTTCGATCAATAAGAATATCATATCTATCGCGCGCTTGTGTTTTTCTAAGTCAAAAACCCTTTCTCTCGACCCATTTCTCTCCGCAATGTCGAAGTGGGACGGTGGATACTTGGAGGGGCGATCTCGAGTCTACTCCGCTGTTAACTCAGCCTGTAATGACCGGGAAAGATTCGAACATTGGTTCTTCAACAACATCGGCGGGGTAGGTTGTACTTTCCCTTCAACTGTTTAGAAGATCTGACTATTTGCCTACAGTACTGTACTCAGAAGGAATGTATCGAGTCCCCAGGGGCGTGTATGTTGACAGAGGAGGGTTTCGGTTGCGGTCCTTGCATTGCACGGGGAGCTACATGTCCCTGGAAGGATGCCTACATTATCGCCGTCATCATGGGGGAATTGGACCTTTCATATGGCAAGGCGTTTGAATTTTTCACCAAATTGCTCAAAGATCCCGTAGTCCGCGACCAACTTCGCGGTGAATACTCAAGAGACCCTGATCCCCACGGTGAACTAAGCCCCGTCAAGATTCAGGCCCGCCTTAACGAAGTGCAACAGGAGCTCAAGCAGGCACGGGAGGAGATCGAGCGTCGTGACGCCAACCTCAAAAGGTTGATCGGTGGTAAGTGTCGCACTTCATATCGTCCGGTGTAAGTTCCAACTCATGTCTTTTAGATCTCCAAGAAACCAAGGAGAAGTTGCAGGAATCCAGAAGGGAGCTAGCGCATTATACCAGACGACATGTAGAGGTCGCACCTGCAGGCTCTAGCAACCCCGCCGCTGAACGCTCCTCACGACCGTTTTACGTGGGTAGCAAGCGCTCTCTGGCTATCTATCGGAAACGGGACAGCGTACCGTCACCTTCAGGCATGGCTTCCCGCGGAAACGAGAAATAACCTTTGTATTGCTTCGTACATTTGAACTACCGCATTCTCTTTTGCTTCCAGTCGTTGAAATTCCAAACTTGTGAGAGCTTAGCGCTGGTTGAGATTCTTGGCATTCGGTTTGGCAATACCCTCTTGGCAATCCATGTGGTATCTAGTAACTTGAATTCGCCAAGGCAAATCACAGGCCTCAGATTCTCAGTTACGGACGTTCTCTTCGCAATTCAACGTCTGCTTCATCCAAACGAATTGCCAAGTCATCGCTTTCACGGGATCTCAGTTGATCCAACTGGGGACGTAAGATTGACCTGAAGGGCATTCCTCCTGTCAGTGTCTTCTCCTTATCATCTTCCACCATGCCAACCCTCCCCGCCTTTGACTTGTCTTCTGCTGCGAAGCTATCTCTCCGCTACGGACGGTATTGTCAGGCTCTTTTCAGGAGCAAGTTGACGCTCGAATCTTCGCCGCCTGAGCATCCTGATCTCGACCTACACCTTCGAGTTGAGGCCCACCAACTGGTAACTGTAGCAGAAGTAGCCTACGACCATCAATGTGAGTGACATCATCGTATATTCCACACAAGTAGTCCCAATAACGTCGTCATGTTCTCTCCCACAACGTCTTTTCTAGTCACTCTTCAATGGAAGTTCGAAGATCTCGCATCGAATGTCGTCCGAGCACAGATGAGCAACGAAGATCCACGCGAAGCCAGTCTTCTCGCACGTTTTCCGCCCATTTGGTCAGCTAACCCAGACGGGTTGCTTCCTCTTCGCACTTCCCCCCTCGTATGCCTGGACAAGAAGGGTATTATTGGCTGGTGGTATATGCCTGGGTGCATCACCGAAAGCAGGCAAGTAAGTCGTCCTCTCGGCTCCTTCCCAAGTACCCTTTCCCTGACATTGCCACGATAATGCAGGCTACAATCTACAATGCTGTTAAAGCTCTCAGCAAACGACGTTCAACCCCCCTTCGACAAGACTCCCAAGGGAATTGGCGATCTCACCCTAGACACTTCTCTTGCGGCCAAGAACTCAAATCTGGCGTTGCCACTTTTGCTTCCTGTTGGTTCCAGCAAGCCCACGATGTACGTTCTTGAAATCGCTCCCTTTGTCTTATTTGACCCTTTCCCCAGGGCCCGCTTGACCTTCCAGCGCCTTCGGCCTCGTTGAAGAGCCCAAACAGCCAGCAATTCATTAGAGATATGATGGAGAGCTTTGCTGTCCTTGGCGGTGTTATTGCTATCACTCAGCCTTGGCTATTTGACACTGGGCTGGAGGTCCTGGAATCTCTGCACCGCCGGAACGTTAACATGAATGACATAGACATGTTGGACGCCGTTCTAGACTTTTGGTCCAACCCCTTCACTGCCTTCTCCGTTATCACCAACCGGGAATCAACCATTCACCGTGATATCTCAAGTCCTACTTGGGCGTTCGATCTCATATACACTGGAGGTACCTATCGTGATGGACGTCTCGAGAGTCCAACCCTTGGCGGGCGCTTTCTTTACGATCCTGGTACAGTGATTGTAGGGCTTGGCAGTCTCATCCGACACGGTGTAGCGCCCGTCGAAGGTGATCGCTTGTGCATCGTCTCGTATTTCCGAGAATCGATGCTTGACCGAGCATCACACTACCGCGGCGCCAAGCCACCTACTGCGACCCAACTTCGTGACTTCTACTTTGATACCCTGATGTAGACCAAGAGTTGACTTTAATCAAATGACGCCTCCATTTGCAGCCGTGGGTTTTCATGTTTCGAGTTTCCCTCCGATTTCCTTACAGGTTTTTGATGGATGTCGCTAGCTTGGCGTTAGACGCCTCTGATAGATGACTCATCGAGCGCCTTTGCTCATTGCATCGCGCGTAGTTCCACACCCTCGTCCCCTCCATGTCCCCCATCGTCTTCGACCTTCATCATGGTGGTCGCACAACCGAAGCCTTTGGTCGCCACTGCCAATACCTGCTGCGAACGAAATTCGACGAGAAAACCAACATTCCCAAGACGAAGTTCCCCCTAACCTTGCGCGCTGAAGCTCGCCAAATCGTCAACATGGCTCACAGCGCGTTCGGCAACAGAGGTGAGCTTGAGCTTGACGATCACCTTCATAATATCCTGCGGTACTCACGTTTTCGTGAAGCCCAGCTGAAATGGTCATTTGATAAACTTTCCAGGAAACTCGACGAACTTTCTTCAGGCCAGCTTACCCCTGAACAAGCGCAGGAGCTTCGCGAAGCGTTTGAGCCACTGGGGAAGCGCCTTGAGACCGGAAGGCTCCCTTGTTTAACGGAACCAGTGTGCTTCGTGGATTCGGACGGGGTTATCGGGTTTTGGAGTTTCCCCAATGCCATCCAGAGAAAGCGACAGGTCCGTGGGCTGATCTTCATAGTGGAACCCTGTCTTGACCCCTCCGTTGATTCTAGGACATCCTGTTGAACGCTGTTCAACAGCTCTCTCGAAGCAGTGGGTTGGACCGCGTGGACAATGGACCCCACCGTTTTTTCCACCACAGAGAAAATGCGCTCGGTTCGGGCGAAGCAGAGCTGGCGTTGTGCACTGTACCTGATGGGGTGCGTCGATTTCCTTTTCTCAACAGCCTCGTCGTTGAACTCCAGGGGTTAGGCAAAGGTGCCGACCCTGTCCCAAACCTTACTTGGGCAGAAGCGCGCAACGTACATCGGGTTTCTTGAAGAAATTGAAGAAAGCTTTGCCGTGCTTGGAGGCATCCTTGCCGTCACTCATCCTTGGTTGTTCGACGCCGCCCTCGCCGTTCTTTCTTCAATGGAAGAGGGCAAGATTGATATCTCGCAGCCGGAAAATCTTCACCAAGTCCTTACCTTCTGGTCAGCCCCGTTTACCAAATTCAAAGTCGTCACCAACCGCGAAACCGTCCTCCAAAGGAACCTCAACAGCCCTCCCTGGACCTATGACCTCGTCTGGACCGGTGGTACCTTGTCCAACGGCCGTTTCGAGTGCCCTAGCTTGGGGTATCGATTCATCAATGACCCCGGTACTGTCTTCGTAGGACTTCTCGGTATCCTCGAACACGGCATCGCGCTTGGCAAGTCCGAACAAGTCCAGTTTTTTGCTTCGTTCGAGGAGTCTATTCTTAAGCATGTCCCCCAGCATTACATACCTAAAGCGCCCACTGTGGACCTTTGGAGAGGGTATTGGTATCATAAGTAGTCCTGGTTAGTCGAGTAGTTTCAATACGATGGTGTCGATGTCGTTGCCAAGACAGGATCGGTGTGATCAGGAACACATGTCATTGAATATACACGACGTCATCGATAATCGGCCGGCTAAGCTAACGTACAACGTACAGGCGTGTACACACAAACCGCGCCTAAAGTTTAGCCTTTAAGTACTGCCAAGGATCTCTTGGCGCAGCTTCTCGGTTTGTTGAATTGCCAATTCGATGGCCTTTACACTCTTCAAAGCCAACACCACATCTCTCTCGACGAGATCGACAGCCTTTTGGGTAGACGCCGACGCACGCTCCAGGTTCTCGTCCAACGAGAGGGCCAGAACACTCTCAGACCCCGGCAGAGGCCTGGTCTCCGACCTAAACGTCTCGAACTCGTCGCGCTGGAGGCGCCAAGCCTTGAGCAAACCCAGCAGACTAAGACCAGTCCCCTTGAGGTTGTTCCACCAAGCGTCGGGGTATGTAGGGAGGATAGGATCGGGGACAGGCTCAGGTGTTTCATACTCTGCCATAGGGCCGTGTCGGCCAAGATGGAGTGTCCCAGAGAGCGTGGACTTGAAAAGCATTCCTAGCGCTATTGGGCGCCTGATGATTCCTGGGAATCGAAAACAGGCACTGGAATACAGTAGCAAACCCGTTTCCTATGGAGAAGGTGGTGAGGATCCTTATGTGTCAATTTGGACTTCGTACTGACCAGATCCCTGTACAGTTGTGCAGCAAAACTCTTGCGTTCGGCTGGGGAGAGCCCATCCCCGCGAGTAGTCCACACGGTCCCCGCCGCCCGAATTCGAGATGAAGCGTAGTCGATTAGAGACTGTATTTCACTTGCTGTTAAGGCTTGGAGGTGATGAACCTCAGTGAGGAATGGCTGAGGCGACGAGCGAGACATTGTTGGATGACAATTCAGTCGGTGTTGTTGTAAAATAAAGTACGGGATCGCGGTTTTATAGCTTAAACCCTAACCCTACTCGGATTTCGGCCTTTGGTTTTCACCTCCCCAAAAGCCTTCTCGGCATGCGCTCCCATCAGCCTCCACATATTTGCTTGGCGATTCGCATACGCGCGATGGCCCGGTAAATCTCGCGTCAGCGTGGCCCATGCTTTACATTCTTCCTCCTTGAACGCAAAGAAGTTTGGCACCCACTCCATCTCTGAGGTGAGTAAAACATGCTCCTCCCTCCAACGCTCTGCTCGTGACTTTGCGCGCAACCAATTCACGCGATAGACTAGGTAAAGTTAGCATAGAAACTGGACAAAGATGAAGGTGGATTACTTACGCTCTTCCAAATACTCTGAATTTGCCGAGTCGCCTTCTACATTTATAGTCCAAATCCAAGATAATGCCACATTCCTTTGATTCCGAGCGTTCGGTTCATACACGGCAGTTATTGCCCTGGTATCCTCCCTCCTTACTTCCCTGTACCGTTGCAACAACTCGGGTTCGGCATTCAATCTTGAAAGAGCCCACCTTGCTCGGTTGTACGATTTGAGGTGAAACCGCATGCTGCGATCGACTGCTTTAACTGCTGCATATCCTCGCAATCGCTGCTGTTTTCCATGTGCCAAGCGGATATTCGAGCGGTATAGGTATGACTTGTGGCCGATTTCGATCCTGACGGACTCCAGTGCATCGTCAGCCTGGGCAACACGCAATCTGAGTTCCTTGGCAGCCGCACTGCCAAGGGCATTGGGAAGGTCTCTAAACGAAGAGGGTAGAGGGATGTCAACGTCTTCTGGTTCATTCTGTGAGATGGAAAATGGGTTCCTGGGGTTGTCCTCGCGATTTCCATCATCATCCCCTTCTATCTCGATTGCCTCTTCTGGGGGATTTTCGCATTGTAACTCGTAGAAGTTGACGTTGGGGAAAATCACCGCACCATCCTCGTAAAAGGTATTGATGGCGGACTGCAAACTCTCCCTGCGCTTCATCAGGTCCAGGCGTTGTTGGTCGGTACGGAGGCTCTCCCTTGGCAAACCAGCGATGAAGGCTCTGAGGTTATCCCTGAAGTCATGCCTCAGAGTTTTGAATGACTGATTGGACACTGTCACATACTGTGCGTCCTGCAGCTTGATTCCTGACATCAGCCAGGATGTTACGCCAAGCCCAGTATTGAGTGCCTGCTCAGCGGCCATTAAATCGTGCTGAACCCTCGCCTTGGATGGTGCTTTTACGACGACTCTTTCAGTCTCAACACAACAGAAATGAGTATAAGCAATACTTACGCTTGTTGAGCTTCACATTCAGGATGTCCATGCACTCGACGTCATCCTCTCTTTCAATGTGAGTGTTTTCCAGCTGGGTAGACCACAGTCTACGTTGAGCGTCAGATGCTGTCTCATCCAAAAGTTCAAAGTCTTCTTGGGCTATGGCTAGTTCGACGATGCTTGTCAACCATCGCTTACTGATCCCTGGCACTGAGAACACAGTGGCTGTGAGGGACTTGGCACGGAAGCGCGAATGAGGACTCACCAAGACCCAAGAGTTTCTTCCAATTATTATCCGCCATCATGTCGTCGAGAACCTCGTCTCTCTGCGCCAATGTCATCATGGACGTGGGGCCAGCAGCCAGATTGATCACCGACCACAGTGGCTCGAGGATCTCGCCAGCGCTCATCCCCGCACCACGTATGAATGTCAGTGCATATCGCGCAAAACATGTATCTTGGTGTCCGTGAACATGGAACAGTCCGATGCCAAAGATTATGGATAGCTTCTCGTTGATATCGAGATGGTTGGCCTCTTCGATGCGTTCGAATAGGTGTTTACTATACTGGCAGTTGATGTCATATACCAGCAGGACTTTTGATAGCTCGTCCGTATGAGTTGTTTTCAGTGCTTCGCAAAAGCCGTAATCCATGTTGACCTGCCTGATCGAAAGAGAATGTCATAAGTACCTTTGCCTAGGGCCGTTAGACCAGGAGGACTCACCTTTCACCCTTCTGGAAATCCACTACACTCCCTGGGGCAAAGCAACCATGTCTCATGCACGCAAACGCACCAATGCCTGTGACATCGCAGCCTTTGTGGCCTTTGCTTCTATCAGCAATGGCACGATGTTCGTGACAAGTTTGAGGCTAGAATGACAATCTCAGTGTCGAGGACATTTCTTGAACATCCCACAGACATACCTCCTTGCGTTCTTCTGCCTCTTTGAGGTGTGCTTTGTACCTAGTCCTCTCAGTCATGAAACCTTCTCCCTTTTTCAAAAAGACGTCGCCCTCTCCCTGATTCTTCTGCTTTCGATGAACGCACACGAAGTTTCCATCAGCGACCAAGCTTCTCTGGTACTTCCAATCCTCCGGGTCGCTTCTCCAATTATCGGGAAGATTAATCCCAGGTTGAGGGCAAGCCGCGCAAAAGAGTGCCATCTCGCCTCGTCCCGGTGTCTTGTTTGTATGCCCTATTCCGTGGCGTTTCAAATCCTTCAAGCGCCGCCATTGGCGCCCAGCCCTACGGAGCTCGCGTGTGCGATCCTGTTGTAAAGGAAGTAAGGGTAGTCACACCTGGTTTAGTCTTAAGGGAATGAACATACCGGTACAGAATCCGGGAAGCTCTTGTTCGTCATGCGTCGGAGCTTTGAGTAATAATGATGTGTTGAGGTGAAGCACTCTAACATCTCGAGCAGGTAGTCGTCAAGGAGGGCGTGCGTAAACGCCGTCCTGATGTCTCTGAATGTTGCTGGAAAGAGACTATGGCGGAGCAGTTGAATCTCGTCCGAAGGGGCTTCCGGGCAGCGACAAAACACGAAAGGAAGATAATGAACACCATTAGTGTGCACGATACAGAGTACCTTGGCTCCTCGAAAAAGTCCAGGTGCTGGTTTCGCTCCAAACGTGAAGTCATCGTTGTCTGTCCAGTTGCTGGGAGTGTCGCCGTCTCCTTCTTCGACGTCGTTCGGCTCGAAGTGGGGCGGGAAGAGAGCAGTCAGATGGCATGAACTCGATCTGCAGAGAGAGACATGGACACCACATTTCCACAGCCAAGAGCGTTGAAAGAAGGACCCAACCCAACGCTGGACCCGATGAAATGGGTTCCCCATATGATTCTCTCTGCAGCAATCCGAACAATACACAGGTTGACCGACACAGTCCTTGCAGCGCCAAGTATCGCCCACTATTGTAGAACGACAGACGTGACACAGCAATGGATCTGGGAGGGCCTCTTGGCTGAGAAGCTCGTGTAAGTACAGCCTCTCTTTGGGAACCCATTCGCCCATGTACTCGTGGGTCGTCTTATGGTAATGTGAAAAAAGACTCGTGTTAATGAAGATTCAGAAACTAACCTTCGATCCAGATGTACCCAACACGTCGAAGTCGAGTTGGACAAATTCCCCCTGATCGAACTCGTCCGCTGTGCGCACAGGCTGGGTCGACGAATTCTGGTGTCTTGACAAAGTCAACGAATGTTTTCGTGGTGAAAGGGATAGGTGCTTTTTGGTAGGGGTGTGAGGGATTAACTTCAGCAATGATCGTCCCTTCTTCCCACCGCGAGTAAGGCGGCAGCGATAGAGTTCGACACGCTCCCGTTTCTTGACTACGTGTTTGTGCCCCGGCGCCATGGTAGAAGAGGAAGAAAGGGACACAGTGAGTTGGGGTTGACACCCATTTCTATCTTATCTGGATGTAGGCCGTCGAAATCAACGGATCAATTTCGTTCCCCGAACGTTGGGCGGATCACTCAAGCACCAAAGGCCCTGTGTTCACACTGATTTGAGCTGCCGGGAGTCGAGCCGGAAGAGGTGCGTCTATTTTTGCCAAATAAGTCCCGAAGGCCATCGGTCAGTTCAACAAACAGGCCTGGTCTCCTTCCACAATCACTAACAACCCCCTTTTTTTCAACAATGCGTCGCCACCTCTCTAACAACACCGGCCGTGGTGAAGACTACGACGACGACGACTTCCTCAACGAGCAGTATGAGGAGGAGGAGTGGGAGGGTTCCGAGGAGGAATACGAAGAGGAGCTCAGGGAGGAGGAGGAGGAGGAGGAGGAGGAGGAGGAGGAGGAAGAGGAGTGGTACGAGGACGGCAATGACAAAGAAGGAGAAACCCCCGATGGGGCTGCGGCAAAGGCTAATGGTTACGAGTTTACTGCATCCCAGATCGCCTATCTCAAGACTCGCCTTCCGCAGTATCGCGAAGGGTCGGTCAAAAGGAGGGGAGAATTGGTTACGATGTCGGCAAAGAACATCGTCTCCGAGCTGTATGCCATCTCAGGCAAACATCAGTCGCGCGAAAAGAAGAAACTTGTTGTGCAGGTATGTCCAAGGATTGGCGAATCAACAAAGACTTACCCACTCTTCTGCTAAGGCTGTCAGGGCCTGGTTTCAAAAGCGTCTCGAGAGCTCGGCGGTGAAGGGCAAGAAGTCTGTCTGGGGGGGCCGATATTATGGGCAGCTTGTTTTCAAACGGGAGAGGACACAGATTGTGCAGTATCTAGGCAATGTCATTGTCTGTGGACATCCACTTCCCGACCTTCGGAGACTCATAGACCATGAAGAGGAGTTCCTTGGTCGTCAGGGCGGGGACGACCAAAACGATGACAACGACGACTCGTACTCTCAGCAGAAACAAAGCCCTCAAGCATTCACCAGGTATCAGACAGCGGCATCGATGCTCTGGAAGGTTCTGTCGAAGAAGGAGAAAGAGCACTATAATTTGAAGGCCAAGAAGTGGAAGGAGAGCTCGCCTCCAGTGGAACAACAGCGGAAGTACGTCTCTGCGCCAAGGATACGAACACTAAAATGATTGATCCTTGTCAGAACGGCCGAGAAATGGGCGTCGAAGCGGATGCTTCAGTTCGCTGAAGGAGCTCTAAAAGAGATGAATGCGCGGGTTTACATGCTCGTCTGTTACGAGAACACGAAGGGGAGACCAATTGCGTACGATTTCGAATTGACGGGTGGTAACGCCGGAGCCCAAGGCCAAGGGTTTAGGGATTTGTACGAATCGCAGCTGAAGGAAATGGGTCTCTTGGAGTTGTGGAAGGACTTTGCTGCGGACGTGTTTCTTGATCCACTCGAGCAAGAGGAAGATGCACAGAGTCGCCGAATGGCCAAGAAATCGTTGATGAAGTTCAAGAGGAACGAATTCGGCGAGCCTATCGTCCCCCCTATGAGTGAGAAACCTGGTAGTGAGAAGCGATCCCTGTGGCTCACCCGATTCCTCCGCTCGTTCCTGACAATTCATTACAGTCAGTCGTCCTCTTGACCTTGGCGCTCCATGCATCTGACACAAACTACTCACAGACATTGCAATGGGAGATCCCACAGGGCGCACTCCAGTTCCTTGGAAAAGGTTGGGATTGAATGTTAGACGGTTCATTTCGTCGCGCTTTCTCCCCGACCACTTGGCCGAGATTCTCCAAGAACCAAGCCTTATGTCAACTGGCGAACGCGAAAGGCTTTACAAGTTTTGGCGCAAACGCCAGCGCAACCCAGAGGTTGACAATGTTTTCGAGTTCAAGAACTATTGGGTTGGAAAAACCCAGACATACAAGCCCAGGCATCCTCGTAAAGTCGCGGACGTTGGAGCTCAGCTTGGCGGTGGTGAAGATGAGGAGGAGGATTATGACGATTGGAATGCCGAGGATGTTCAACCGCCCGCACAAGCTCAGAAGCGCGCAAGCAAAGCCAAGCCGGCTGGTGGTGCCAAGAAGAAGCGAAAACAAGCGCCGGGAGGTCAGCCAGACACCGTTCGCGAGGAAAGCCCATGGGATAGCCTGAATTCGGAATGGGACATCGACCAGGTCAGTGTTAAAAATCCCTTGAGTCGAAATCATGTCTTCATGTCATCGTCTAACTCTTCTTTTATTGATAAGGACACGACTACCAACCGCTTGCCCACAGGCTCGGCTCAACGCCAAGCTTCTTCGAGCAACCCAACGAACGTCGTCGCCAATGCCGGTAACCTGGACAGTCCTTGGGATGACCTTGATACGGACTGGGGACAGCCTGAGCGAAGAAAGGCAAGTCGACCGAGAACTGCTGGCTTTTTTCTTTACTGAGTGAGCATTCATTGTTTCTAGTCAGTCTCACGCCCAGCAACGCCCGATGAGGGAAACTCGGTATGTCCACACCAAGAACGAAGCAGAGACGCCTACTAACCTTGACCCGTCATGTAGAGGCGAAGCCAGGCGGACCACCATAACCCGTCCATCGACGAAGACCAAGGCCAGGAGGAGGAGGAGCCGGAGATTGACGGACATGGAGGGAGACTGCCCCCTATCAGTGAATCGGACGAGGATGACGACGAATTGCCCACAGCCAACTCTCATTCCACAAGGAAAACACGGGCGCAACGACAAGCAGCTGCAGGTCTTGATCGTCCACCGGTGCGGCGCTCAGCTCGACCACCCAAGGCGTCACGACAGTTCACCTTTGAGGACACAAGGACCCCTGTCACACGATCCAGGCAGCAGGCCGAGCAACCTGATAGGAGAATCACGAGGTCAGCTGCCAAGAAGGCAGGATCAGACAGACCTCCTCCTCGGACGGTCAATGCCAAGGCTGGTCAGAAGCGCAAGGCTCCCAAGAACGATAAGACTGAGCGTCTGGCCAAGAAAAGGAAGGAGGGTGAGGTGGAAAATCCGGGACACAGACCTGCGTCTTCGTCAAGAAACAATGATGGTCCCCCTAAACCCAGATCTCGTGCTCGGCGTCGGTAAACTACGTCTTTGGTTTCCTCTCATTTCTTCCCATTCATGCTAGTGTGTTATCTGTTTTTCAATATTCAATACATTTCGCTCTCGTTTTTCAATTTGGGGTGATGAAAGCAAGGAAATTGATGTGAACTTGGCACGAAGATCTCATACTGACAAACAAGCCATGCATTACGACGATCTGGATCGGTAGATTACACACCATGACAAAGGACAAACGAGAAGAATGAAAAAACGACGAAGGCGAACAACGAGAAGACGGAATAACGAAGAGACAAGGGAAGGAAGAGGTCAACACACGTTCAAGCTGTTAAAATCACTCCTCTCGCATGAGGCGTTCGACTTCTTCGTTCTCTTGCAGTGAATGAATGCCTACCCGCCCGCCATGTTAATGTGTGTGCTTGAAGAAGCATATATAAACATACCTGTTACCTGCTCTTCAGGAGGATACTGGATGTAGTCGAGTATACCACCCTGCCCCTCGGGCTCTTGGCGGGGCTTGGCTTCAACTGAAGGACCAGACACGATGGTCGAAGCGGTTGGGAGGGGTCTGTCGGAGGTGTCCTGGGCGGTGGTCACATTGGCGGGATTGGAAGGTGGGTTGATGTCAAGGGGCATTGGGATCTGGACACCTTGGATTTCGGTATCACGAGGGGTGGCGACCACTGTACCAAGTTCAGCTTTGATCTTCGACGCGACCCAGTTATTGATGACGGTCAATGTGGATGCAAGGGACTCGATGCGTCGCGTGTTGACGGTATTCTCAGCGCCAAGTGCTTTGGCGTCGCTTTCGCGATCGTCGTGGATTTGTTTGACCGATTCCTGAGCAGCCTCCAGCTGCTCTTCCAACGTCTTGATTCTGGCCTCTTGGGTGGCCGCGTAAGCGAGGACCTGTTCATACTCCTTGGTCTCTTCCAAGAGCACCTCCATTGTGGCCATCAGGTAATTGATAGAAGCTTGTTGACGAGCGTTTTCCATGAGTAGGCGGGTGACGGTTCGGTCGATAGAGCTTGAGGATAACTCGACGGCTGCGGCAGGGGCAACTCGAGTGAGCATCGTCTGGGCCTGGTCGACCTGGGTTGCGCACAATGCTGGGTCGGTGGAATCTCAAGACTGGATGTAAGGCGACATACCGACGACGTGCTCTTGGCACTCGCAAAGTCTGCTTGCGTGCTCGAGGTGCTCTGAACCAAGGGGAGTCAGCTGCCGGTTTAGACAATAGTCGACCTGCGTATACCGATGAACCAACCTTGGCGATATTTCTTTTTCCTTCGCCCTTCGAAGAGGGGCCATAGTGGGTAAGCTCCCTTGTCAATTTAACGAACGCGCAAAACTTACCAACTCGGTCGGCTTGGCACGAGCACGACCATGCTTCGCGAATCCCGACTCAACTAGGGCCTCGAGTGCAGGTGGTTGAGATGTATCGACCCTCTCTGCCGAGGCAAAGTTGAAGCGTGACGCAAGTTGGTGAGACCCGCTTTGGCGGGGAGGATGCTTGGCCTAGGAAGAGCCATTCATTCACAAACCCTTGGCAAAGGACTGGAGCAATCTCACCTGGATAGCAGATGCCGAGTTCGGCACTTCCGGGGCCAACTCGTCAAGGTCATCACCGTTGACCTACAAGGGTGCTGGTCAACTAGACGGGACGCCAAGGATGGTATCCATGAACGCACCGTGGATGTATCCTCCGCGACAGACGGCTCATCCTAGTTTTGTAACAGATGTCAGTGTCGTCTCTCTCAATGAAGGGTGATATTCAGACCCTGGCACCATCGTCATGCGGACTCTTCTTCTTGCGAGAGCTGAAGCTGCACGTCGCCAGTCGTTTCTTCCCAGGAGGATTGCACCCAATGCAGGCGACGCGGGGTCGAGAGATGAAGCAATCCTGGCCCTTCGATTGGCACGTGGTGCAGGGAACGGGGGCCTTGTAATAGTTCGATTTAACCTTCTTGGCTGCAGTGGAGGTGGTGTCGTCCTCAGCTCGACCACGTTTGCCAGCCGCCGAGGAACTTTTCGTTGCCGCAGACTTGGTCTTGGCGTTGGTCTTCCTGATCGCTTTCGCATTACCCGAGTCGGTGTCTTCGTCGGAGTCGCTCTCGTGGTAGGAGGCGTCTGAGTCGTCCTTGGAGTTCCACGAAGGTCCTTCGTCCTCCACCCCTCTACGTGCTTTCTGACCCCCCTTGCCACTAGGATTCGATTCTTCTTCGTCAACCTCCATCGCGCTATCATCACCGGCCTCCGAGTGAGCGGGCTGCTTTCCTTTCCCCGATCCTCCCTTGGTTCTCTTCGCTCCCTCAGCTTTGGCCTGCACTGGTGCTACTGGGTGACGGTCGATATCGCTGGTGGAGCTACGAGCCCGAGCTTGATCATGTCCCGACTTATTGGACGGCTGAGGATTGGAAGGCTTGGCGTTCGGCTGTTTGACGGTGGACGCGCTGGTGGGCTGGTCGCTGGCCTTGTCGACGGATGAGCCGGGGACGTACGTCTTTCCGGAGAGGAGTGGAACATTGATGGGGACGGATTGGAAAACGGGATGTTGGAAACGCGACAGTTTCACAGTCTCTGGGGACTCCTGAAACTCGCGCCGATTGGCGAGGTACTTGAGCCATAAAAAAATCGCGTCGCCAATGTATTCCTTCTTGCGATACTCCTCGAATTGCTTGGTAGACAGTAGGTCTATGAGGGCGTACTAGAAGCAAATGTTAATTGTAACGCGTCGTGTAGAGGCGACGGACGTACCGATCCCATAACGAAGAGAACCTTGTCGTCCTTGTTCTCCTCCGACCAGGTGTGCGGTTTGCTGTCTATGAATTTGGCAACATTTCTGAGGGAGGCGGTGAGGGTTTTGGACGGCGGGGCGATTTTGGTCGACATAGTAGGGGAGATCAAAATTGTTCTTGGGGGTCAAAGTGACGCTGAACACAAGAAACGCGATGTTAGATTGATTGGTCGCGGAGTAGTAACAGCACAACTCCCGACGGCCCGCCTGATGTATCGGCACCAAGGCCTGTTGCGCCAAGGAGGGCGCGGGTTCGTTCTCAACCATCATCCCCTCGGTCACCAGTTTGCACGCCATTACAACCCCTAATGTTATGTGAGCGATTTTTGTTTTGTGTGTCCTGGTGGGTTGTTCTCTGACTTACAGGACAGTAAATACGACATCTCAATTTGACCAGGAAGAAGATGAGGAACTTCCTATCAAGTTCTCGGTCTTGGACGCGGGATCGGTTTCTATGCGTTCAGCCGCGAGTGAGGGTGAGTTTCTTCATTTCATCTCACATTCTTTCTTATTGCTCACCATTGACTCAAGCCAGCCGAGGCTTCGCTTCGGATTCCGATGAGGGGATGTTAGACTCGGAGGAGGAGGAGGGTGTCGCGAAGAGCGAACACTAAACCCAAACCACAACCAATACCAGAAACCGGCGGAGCCTTAGAACGCGATGAGCGACGTTGAGCAATAAGAATGTCTATAAGACAAGTTAAACAATAATTGAACTAAAAGGCGGTCAGTCGTACCTATAAGACAAGAGGTCAAGCTAAAGGAATCTATCCTACTCGCGTCAACTATAAGTACGACTACTCTAGACGATCCGGCGGATAAACAAAGGTGAAATACGAAGTGAAAATAACAATGAAGAATCATATGTAGTGCACCAGCCAATAGGAATATCAATGGAAGGTAAATGTCAAAGAAGAGAAGCCTACGGAGTGAAGTAAAGTGTCAAACGAGAGAAGTCTTCCGAAGAACAATGAGAGGGACTTTGGGCGGAAATGTCAGGTGCGTGACTTAGACATTCCGGCGGGTCGGATAACCGGGTGTGTAGTGTCCGGCGGGTGAAGTCGAGGGTTCAAACCAGTGTTGAAACGAAAATGAAAAATAAGGTAGGGTCTATACCGGCGGTTCACGACATTACCCCCCTTCTAACATTCATCGTCCTCGATGAACATCGGTAGGCGTCGTCCGAGTTCCCACTCGAGGTCAGTGGGAGGGGCGTCAGTGAAATTTTCGAGGGGTTTCCAGGGTAGGCTGGCGAACAACGTTGCCGCGATCCGGCGGGGTGCTGAGGGGTGTCGCGAATGAAATTCCTTCACCTTTTCGGGCGCGTGCTCCAGGTTCTCCTCGGGCTCCCAGGTGTCGTCCTTCGAGCCGTAGCCCTTCCAGTTGACCAGGTATTCTAGTCGTCTCCCTCGCCCCCTGCGAGTCCAGCGACTGTCGACTATCTCTTGTACCTCGTACTCCAATTCTCCTTCCAGTTCGACGGGTTCCGGCGGTGGTGGGAGGATCCCGTTCACGTCGTTGCCCTTCCATGGGGAGAGCTTGTCGACGTGGAAAACGGGGTGGAGTCGGGATAGAGATGGGGGCAGTTCGAGTCGGTAGTCCAAATCACCAAGTCGTTCGATCACCTTGTAGGGGCCCAGTTGTAGGTCCCCAAGTTTACGAGTCGGTACCTTGAGTTGGATGTCCTTTGCGCTGAGCCAGACAAAATCGCCTTCCTTGAACGAGTGTGCCGCACGTTTCCCAGATTCGTAAGACTCTTTCTGTTGTTGTTTCTCCAGGCGCAGTGCGGCTTCGACATCCCGACGAGCCTCGATAAGGCGATCGAGGCGTTCGTCGACGGGTCGAAGGTCAGAGCGTTTCCCGACCGGGATGTTGAAGTGCGGGTTGTAGCCGTAGGTGACTTCAAACGGGGAGCGATCGAGTGCAGAATGAACTCGGGAGTTGATGACAAACTCAGCCATGGGGAGATGTTGGTCCCAGTCGTCCTGCCGGCGGCTTACGTAGAGTCGTAAGTACTTCTCCACTTCCTGGTTAGCCCGTTCGGTTTGGCCGTTGGCTTGGGGGTGGTATGCCGTGGTGAGACTGGAGGTGATACCTAGGCGTCGTAGTAAGGTGCGCATTACCTTCGAGGCGAACTGTGGTCCTCTGTCGCTGACGAACTGGAGGGGGAGGCCGTGGAGACGGAAGACCTCTCTGTAGAAGATGTCGGCGACACCTTCTGTCGAGACATCCGACGTACAGGGGAGGGCGTGAATCATCTTCGTGTAGTGATCAGTGAACACAATGACGGCGTCGTAGCCGTGGGCCTCGGGCAGCTGTGTGATGAGGTCGACGCCGACGGTCTCCCAGGGGGCTCCTGGGACTGGGAGTGGGGTCGTCATGGCCTGAGGGTGCTGGGTGCGTTTCTTCCGGGCGCAGACATCGCAACCTTCGACATATTTCTTGACAAAGGCGCGCATCGTGGGCCACCAATACTGTCGGTCCAGTCGTTCGAGGGTGCCGTGCACGCCGGGGTGTCCAGAAGTCGGGTCGTCGTGGCATTGTCTCACCACGTCGCGTCGAAGGTCGTTGTCTGGCGGGACGTACACCTTCCCTCGGTGATAGACGAGTCCTCCTTCCTCTTCCCACTCTGCTAAACCGTTGACCAACCGACGGGGCCCAGTTCTCTTCAGGCGCTCTAAAGCTTCGAGCACTTCTGATTCCTTCGAGCTAGCCCGGCGGATGCGATCTTCCAGCGGGTTGACCAATAATCGCGCCATCGCGAGTCTCGCAAACCACTCAGGTTTGAGGACCACCTGTTGCTGGTTGTCGTCTCCATCGTGTACCTGGTGGGACTCTAGTCGAGAGAGCGGGTCAGCCTGAGTGTTGGCTTTGCCGGGACGGTGGGAGAGGGAGAATTCGAACCGGGACAGGTATAGCGCCCAACGCGCTTGCCGTCGGCTAAGGTCCTGCGCGGATCGCCAGTAGGCGAGGTTGGCGTGATCCGTTACGATCTCGAACGGATTAGGCAATCCTTCCAGGAAGTGGCGCCAATCCTTGAGGGCTTCGATGATGGCCAACATCTCGCGGTCGTAGATTTCGTAATTGCGCTCTGCGGGCTGCATAGAGGCGGACCGGAACGCGACGGGGTGCCAGAGTCCGTCGGCGTGCTTCTGTAACAAGGCACCGCCGGTGGCGAAACCGGATGCGTCGACCTCGATTCGCGTCGGTAGGGTTGGGTCCCAGAGCGTAAGGATCGGGGCAGAGGTGAAGGCGCGGCGGAGGGTGTCGAAGGCGTCTTGTTGGGGGGTCCCCCAACTCCAAGGGGTGTCCTTCTTTGTGAGGTCGTTAAGTGGACGGGCGATGGTGGCAAAATTCTTGATAAACCGGCGGTAGAAGTTGGCAAAGCCTAGGAACCCTCGGACAGCGCGTAGGTTGGTAGGGACGGGCCACTCGCGAACGGCTTCGACCTTCGCGGGATCCATTCGCACCTCTCCCTCTTGAATAACCAGCCCAAGATACTCGACCTCTTGACGCTCGAATTCGCACTTCTCAGGTCGTAGGTACAAGTCGTGTCTCTTGAGTCGATCTAGGACCTCGTGGACTACCCGGCGGTGTTCTTCGAGAGTGACAGTGAAGATGAGGATGTCGTCCAAGTAGACGGCGACCTTACCAGCGGCAATGAGATCCGAGAAGATGGCGTTCATGAGCGCTTGGAACGTGGCAGGGGAGTTCGTCAGGCCGAAAAACATGACCAGGGGTTCGAAGAGGCCCTGGTTGGTGGCGAAGGCCGCCTTCCACTCGTCTCCTTCCTTGATCCTGATGTTGTTGTAGCCCCACCGTACGTCGAACTTGGTGAAGTACTTGGCTCCACGCAGTCGATTGATGATGTCGGAGACGAGGGGGAGGGGGTAGCGATTCTTGACCGTGATCTCGTTCAACCGGCGGTAGTCTTGGACGAACCGAAGTTTCCCGTCCTTCTTTTTGACGAAGAAGACCGGGGAAGACAAGGGGGATTTGGACGGCCGTATGTATCCCTTCTTCAGGTTCTCGTCGAGGAACCGGTTTAGCTCCTCCTGTTCGTTCTGGGACATCGGGTAGACCTTGGTGCGCATTGTGGCAGGGGCCCCAGGGATTAACTCGATGGCGTGGTCCCACGGCTTGTGGTCGGGCAATCTGTGGGACTCCGTTTCAGAGAAGACGGAGGCGTGGCGACGGTATTGTGGGGGAACCATTTCTTCGAATGATTTCTCGGGTCGGGTCTCCTGGGTCTTCTCCGCGATTTGCTGAGAGTAGGTGAACCCGGCGGCGCACCAAAGTTCGTCACCTTGGTCCTCCAGTAGACCAGAACGGACCCAGAGTCGACGTAACTCTCGGTTTGCTCGGATTTTACAGAGGGGGGGAGGTCCGTCGTCTGGGGGCTCAGAGTCGCTGGCATCACTCGGCGGTTCTGGCTCGCTATCTATCGAATCCGTGTCGTAGATCTCTTCGAGAATGGCTCCATTCGCTGGAGCCCCTCGAGAGGGGGGAACTGCATCGTCGTCGAGAAGCTCCTCGACGAGGACGCTGGATCTGCGACGCGGTACTTGGAGGGTTCCTTTCTGCCAATCGATTGCGGGGTTAAGCTGTCGTAGCCACGGCAGTCCCAAAATGACGTCCTCTCCTCCCAGATCGGTGATGAGGAAGTCGTACCACCCGGGTACGCCGTCGACGGTAAGCTCTAGGCGAGCGAAGTGGGTGAGACTTCCCGCCTGGTTGGGGGTCCCGTCGATGTTGAGCAAACGGATGGGATGGCGTAGGGGGTGTTGGGTGATACGGTGCCTTTTCACGAACGGGAGGTCCAAGAACAGGCCAGTGGCCCCACAGTCTATCATGGCCGCTACTTCCGTACTGCGGTTCCTGCCTCGAAGTTTGACGTTCACACGAAAATGGGATGAATCAGGTGAGATTTCGCGAGTCAAACTTATCGTACAGGAACAAATCGAATCGTAAGCAGAGATGGAGTACGGAGTAAAGGGTGCACGCGACGCGGCGTGAGCGAGCACCCGGCCTAAAAATCCTGGTTGACCTTGGCCATCCCCTCGGTGAGTTTGGTCATGGTTTCCGCGAAGCGCTGGACATCCGGCGGAATTGAGGGGGTAGGGGTAGGGGACGAAGACGAGGCGGCGATGGACGAGGTGGGGGCGGACGAGCGAGGGGAGCAAACGTCGAAGTCGTTGTCTGGTTCAAGTGCGAAGGGCATAGTAGTGGCGCGAACCCGGCGGTGGGGCTGAGAGCGAAGTCCCCTACCAGTGGGGAAACCCATGAAACGATCTTGGCAGACACCGGCGGTATGCCCCATGCGTTGACAGTGGGTACACCTCAGGGCTGTATGATCGCCATCCCGCTTGATGTGATCTCGCGATCCACAGCCAAAGCATCGTCCGCGCATCATTGCCACGTAATCGTCGCGCGAGCGTCCGTTAGGTCCGACTCGGGTGGCGTCGATATCCATGGCATAGGGATCACGGGCGGGGGTAGACGAGGTCGACGGGCCAGAGGAACGGGGAGAGTCAACGCCGGCGTTGCGCATGACGAACTCGTTAGAGATACAGGTGTTGACGAGTTCTTGGAGGGTGGTGGGTTTCTTGACCATCGAGGCCATGGCGAGCCAGAGTTTGTCGTCACGGTTAAGCTTGCGCTTGAACTTGGACATGCCGTCCTCTTCGGATAGACCAGTACGGGCGAAGACTTCTTGGAACTTGGCGGCAAACTGGGCGACAGACGAGCGACCTTGAGCGAGGTTGTCGAGTTCCTGTTGGGCCGCTTCCTTGTCGTCGGCCGGTTGGAAGCGAGCGTTGAACTGGGTGGTGAACTCAGGCCAAGAACCATTGAAGGGCCAAGGCTTAGAGGCTTTGTCCTTCTCTTCGGCGGCGTCGTGGTCGACAATCTGTTGGAGGAAGCGAGACGCCCAGTTGGCGGCGTCGCCCTGCATAAACGAGAGGGCGGAAGAAATCCAGGCCCGGTCGTTACGCTTGCCGGTGGTGTCCTGGAGAGGTTGCCTCTGGTTAGAGGCCCAGTTGGTGAAGAATCTAAGGAACCGACGGGCATCGTTCATCTGTCCTTTGAACGGTTCCGGTTCCTTGATGGGGCTGCGAGAGGCGCCGGCCTTCTCAGTGAGTTGTTTGAGTAGTTGCTCAAGGACCTGGGCCTGGGCGGTCTGCTGGTTCCTGAGGTCCTGTAATTCCTGTGCGTTGGTCATTTCGACGTCAGAGGGGGTACCAGCGGGTGGGATGGAGACGGGGTGAAGCGGGGAAGCAGGGGTGGCGTTAATTGGGCTGTGGTTGTCGTTGAGCGGTTCGCCTTCGGTGGTGACAAACGAGGCGTCGTGTTCGTTGTCGGTTGTAGGTGGGGAAGAGGTGTTCGACGGCGCCCTCGACTCTGTGTTCTGGACACTAGAGGAGGCGACGGCGTCGAGGGGAAGGGTGGAGGGGAGGGGAACGACTGTACGCGCGGGTGACGCTGTGCGCGAACCGGCGGGAGTCGAGCGGAGTGAGGAGGTGCGAGAGACGCGGGGAAGGGGCGAGGTGGCGGCTAGTTGGCGTTGGGTGTCGTTGAACGACGGTCGAAAATTCTCGTTAGCGACGAGTGAGTGGTTTTCCTCACCACAGAGCTCGACGACGTAACCGGCGGTTCGAAGTCGGAATAAAACGGTGTGTGATACGGGTCGTTCCAGACGGTGGGGGCACGGCTGAACTTCACAGGGGGTGACTAGAGCGGTAGGGCTTCGTGCGTAATGCGCGTCGCGGGTAGGCGAGTACGGATCCTTCCAGACGAAATGCGAGAAATCCCGGCAGAGGAGTCGACTGCTGGGCGACGGAATCTTGACTTTCTTCCGGCGGTGGATTCGATCGGCGAATCAGACCGCGAACCTGAACACGGCGAAGCAGGGACAACAGTACGTCGTTGTCGGTGCGCAGAGGGGTAGCTTGACCTAATGTCGCGAAGAGCGAACACTAAACCCAAACCACAACCAATACCAGAAACCGGCGGAGCCTTAGAACGCGATGAGCGACGTTGAGCAATAAGAATGTCTATAAGACAAGTTAAACAATAATTGAACTAAAAGGCGGTCAGTCGTACCTATAAGACAAGAGGTCAAGCTAAAGGAATCTATCCTACTCGCGTCAACTATAAGTACGACTACTCTAGACGATCCGGCGGATAAACAAAGGTGAAATACGAAGTGAAAATAACAATGAAGAATCATATGTAGTGCACCAGCCAATAGGAATATCAATGGAAGGTAAATGTCAAAGAAGAGAAGCCTACGGAGTGAAGTAAAGTGTCAAACGAGAGAAGTCTTCCGAAGAACAATGAGAGGGACTTTGGGCGGAAATGTCAGGTGCGTGACTTAGACATTCCGGCGGGTCGGATAACCGGGTGTGTAGTGTCCGGCGGGTGAAGTCGAGGGTTCAAACCAGTGTTGAAACGAAAATGAAAAATAAGGTAGGGTCTATACCGGCGGTTCACGACAGAGGGTCGAGCGCAGACTATCGATGCGCGATCAACTGACCAGGATGATCGATCCAGGACCGGGCCGCTATCAGCGCCGGATTCCGATGCCGAGATGTCGGACACTACCAGCATGTCATGGCCCGACGACGATGATGGATCCGACTTCCTTAGCGCCCAGGTTAAGTCGAAAAAACAAGTATGTCATTGGTTTCCAAGTTTGAGGTAACGTACATTGAACTGGCGCAGGAGGTCGCGGCTACAAGTAAAGCCTCTACTGCTCTTCTCGAGAAAGTGCTTGCGCAGCAGCTCGAGCACCTTCATTCAATTCACGCAGACGCCTTGGCTAGGGTTGATGCTCTTACCAAAACGAGGACTAGACTGTCAGAACAACTTTTAGCTATCAACACAGCAGTTTGGTTGCGGCGAATGGCGAGTATGGTAAATAACGGGACTATCTCTGATCATGATGCAGCTAAACCTGCAGATGTAACTCCCGTTTCGAAATAGCCAAGCTTGGCCTCGATTGACCTGTACTTCCCAGCTTCCTTGTAGTCATTGTGTAGTCGGTAGAGATCATAAATTCCACATACAATTCAATCGGCGCTCCAACACACTCTCTTCAATTATAAAGCACTCTCAAGGGTACGGATTCTGCACAACATACCACCCCTGTACCTGGCCTCCATGGACACGACTCAAATCGATAGAGATATTGACGCTCTCCTGTCCCTCCGATCAAGGACATCCAAGGCCAGGACTTCCAAGCTGAAAGGCCAAAAGGCTTCTGGAAGTCGTAGGACATCACAATCCTCATCCTCGTCGCGTCATTTGCCAGCAACTTCGAAAAAGACCAAGCCGATCATTGACGACACCAAATTCACTGAGGTCTGCGAGGTTGACGAGGTTGAACGAGCTGGGGATGAGACTCCGTGGAGTTGGCGTCACCTGCGACAGGGTGAGTAGCCAAACCATAAACCTGGTTACCTTTCCCAGCTTACTAACGGAAGTGATTCCTGCTATAGCCCACCGAGACGGTATCAACGAGGCGATTCGCGCAAGCAAGACGGCGGTACAATTGGAATTTACGTTTAAAGCATTCATGAGCGGCGTTCGAGACAGCCTTGCCGATATGTATCCAGATGGAGGTTTCAAAGAGGTGCTCGGCGAGAGAGAAGACGAGGTCCTCAAGGGCCTTGAAGACTGTCGGAAACACCTGGAAGTTATCCGTGTTCAGCTCGAACTTGCGATTAGGTGGGGAAGATTGATCAAGCCTTTGGGTAACGCTTAGTTATAGATATGTGTATACGTACTTCGGGAGGGAAATGGAACTTGGTCTGGATATTTTCGCTGTTTATGTCTTGGCTTGGGAGTTCGTCTGTCAAAGGATTCCTCATACCGCGCAAGCCTTGGCGTTCGCCATGTGCCAGCCCCCAGGACTATTGAATAGCAGTATCTCCGGTGTTAACATTGATTGCCATCCATCCATTATATTTGATCGGAGAACGAAACAAAGAAATGGCGTTAAATTGAGCAAGGCGAGCAATAGCTCGCCTTTAGTACTATTGCCCCGCACCTTATACCCTGTCGCCATTCAATACGCCTTCTCAAGGATGCCCAAAGATCTTGACGACAAACAGACAAGGCATTCCACGCGCAAGGGGACTCGTAGGCCACCGAAACCGCGGGACAAGGACGTGGATTTCTCTGACGATGAGGGACCCTGGGGATGGAAGGAGGTTAGAAACGGTGAGTAGCGCGATGTATTTCAAGGTTCCAGAGCAAACTGTCTCCTCCCAGCACAAACCAAAGGGCATAAGGAGGCCACCAACGCCGGCGACTACGTGCGCGATATCAATGCTTCCGTGAAGTCCCTCCTTGCTGATGTCGACCAACATGTTCGCGACTGCAGTTGCGACTGCCATTGTTCCTCGGATCTCCTCAAAACTCTCCAGTACCACGAGGACTCTATTAAGGAAAACGTCGAGAGGGCCCAGAAGGCGTTGATTGAAGTCCTCACAGAGTTGGAGATGGCTTCCTATCTGTTGAGGATAGTCAAGTCAAACAGATGAATGCGCAACCCATGTACTTAGATACCTAGTCGTCATCAGTCAATATGTCTGGTTCTTTGTTATCTCTCTAAGACCTAAAGTCTAGGAGCACTGAGTGATAAGGCTTAGAAGCAGCCATCGCAGCTGCGAAAGCGCTAAAGCGGACTTAAGCGCCAGGATGATCTTAGGCGCCAAGATGATCCATAAGCGGCAACATTCCAACTGCAACAACCGTGCCACACGTTGGCGACGAGTCAGGATATGGCTGATAAATATGTCCTACCTCTTGGGCAAATAGAGAAGGGGAGCCTCGTTGGTATCCGTCCAGGGGTACGTGGAATGCCACGTCTGTCAGGGTGGATGGTAACCCGATAGTGACGGGGTACATGTCGACCAGGTGTGGAAGGGGCGGACCTCCCCGAATCTATCGGTAATCGATAGCGCGGTCAAGACCGGGGTAGATATGACATGGCTTGAGGGTGTGGGTATAACCGTGGACTTGGATGCTGATGAAATCGATGGTAAGTGCGTCGGAGGATGTGACTTCCAAGCTCACTCAGTCGTTGCAATCCCTGGGTTAAGAAGGTCACGGAGGCTGGTCTTGGCTAGAAGGATGGAATCTTGGCCGAATCAGACTCATCACTGAGGTACCCTGCCGCTGTTCATTGCCGTAGCGGCTAAGCGTAGTCCCTGCGTCCGTCACTCGATGGTATTATCTGTGATTACAGGCACTAAATAGTGGCTGTGGCTTCCTCTTTGATTCCTTAAGTGAGAAGTCGGTTTGGCGGACTTTGCAGAGCCCTTCACACTCACAGATAGACCCACCTTCCCTTATGTATTCCATTGGCAAACCCCATCGGTACGGATGGGCCACCCGTCCCTCGGTCGACTACGCCGGGTTTACCGGGATAGAAAGAGGCGATAACTATGCGGCAACTTTCGTGAGTTGTAAAGGCAAGGCATTCAGAACTGGTCTTAACTGTACACTGGTATACAGTATATATGAGAGGGCCCCCCACAGATGCTAAGGTATCACCTCGTACTATCTACGGGGGAACTGTCGTCAGTTGTGCAAAGAACCACTCTCAGCACTGGTTTTAGCACCGCTGGTTTCGCTCATGTATACAGTCACCTTAGATGCTGTTAGCTTTCGGACAGGTGGTGACCGATCTCAGCACCTGTCGAGCAGTCTCAGAGGGCCCAATGGAACGATAACGACGGGGCAGCACACCTCAGTTTCAATTGCTTAAGTGCGGCCTCCAGTGTATACCGCAGATCGGGGTGATCGATATTTACGGGATAGGTTGCTCTGGTTGTCCGACATGAACAGAGAAAAGAGCTGTATGTACTACGACGCAGTCGTTTTTCAGAGTGTGTAGCCTCCGTGGTAGATTTCATGTGTGTGTTGGCCCGCAATGTCTCGCTATTCACAGGATAGGTGGCAAGGTGGTTTGTAACCTTGGATGGGGCCTACATCTCTATTAGCTGTCCGAAGCGAGGATACATTCGGGGTAGTTCCCCGGTTTCAAAACAACAAAATTGTGCCCTTTATATGGTACACAATGACCAGGTACGTTTGACCTATTATGTGGATTGGTAGTAGATATGCATCCCAGACATAGACCAGCCATACGACAGGTGGTGCGGCTGAGCTGGGTCCTGTACATACGGCATACCTTCTCCTCCAGGCATTCGGAAGGTTAACTGTGGCGCAGCTGCCCCGTCGTCTCTGCTCCCCCCTAGGGTCAATAGCTACGGGGTACCTTGCAAGCCTGGCCAGTGCTGACATCTCTTTTTATAATGTATTCCCCTGGTAGTCCCTACATGGCACTAGCCCTTGGGTGCGTACTCTGCCCCGTCGTCTCTGCTCCCCCCTAGGGTCAATAGCTACGGGGTACCTTGCAAGCCTGGCCAGTGCTGACATCTCTTTTTATAATGTATTCCCCTGGTAGTCCATACATGGCACTAGCCCTTGGGTGCGTACTAGGGCTTTGGTACATAACACTATAGTGGTAGGCTGGTACACACCAGCATTTACCCCGTAGATAGCGGTGGTGTCTTTTGATAGCTGGTCACTCTCTATCGTTGATAACGATATTAATTCCTTGAGGCATCCCCGTTATTAACGGTCAAAGGCTATGTAGCAATGTGCGTTGGCACGAACGTCAAGAGGAGATTCGTCGTGATCAAGCTCTCCTCAAGGCCCTCCAAGCCAAGCTATCTGGCAAGGCTTCGTCTTCACCCTCTCTCTCGTCTGGCTCTTTGGCCACCCCGGCTTCGACTTCATCTAACTCGACCAAGACTTCGCCTCAGTCGGCCGGTAACACTTCGTCTTCGTCGACCTCTTCCTCTGCCAAAGGAAAGTCGAACAAGACTTCATCTTCTTCTTCGTCTACGACTCCCTCGACTTCATCGTCGACACCCTCGACGTCCTCTGCCCCTCCTCGCCCTTACGCCGACAAGCTTGACGCTAGCGGAAAAGCTCAAGCCTGAGGAGCGTGCCCGCCGTATCAAGGAAAGCCTTTGTATGGTGTGTGGCAGCACAGAGCACAAGGCGTCAGAGTGCCCCAAGTCTAGACATCGCGCTCGCTTTGCTTCCGCCGGTCAGCCTGCCACTGACACGTCTGCGGGAAAAGCTTGAGCAGTCTGCTGACCTCGCCTCCTCCAGTTGACTGCAGCCTCTCAGCAGGAGTGCCTGAGGGTTCGACTTAATGCTGCTGCTCTCTCCGATCCCCATGCTCTCTCGTTTTCGGTCTCCGTTTATTCTTCGACGTCTTCGCCTATCGACCTCGACTCCCTGGTGGATTCGGGTTGTACGGACTGTTTCCTCGACTCAGACTTTGTCAATTCTCATTCGACTTTGCAATTTTACGAAATTCCGCCAGTGCCCCTTAGACTCCTTGATGGATCTGTTCGTACTTGGCTCACTTCTGCAGCGGATATCATCCTCCGCTTTCCGTCTGGTGATGAGTTCTTTCTCAAGTGCTTCATCACAAAGCTGGATGCTCCGTATCCCCTGATTCTTGGACACAACTGGCTCCGCCGATACAATCCGTTGATTGACTGGCGTCGTGGTCAGATACTTTCGTTCGAATCGGCCGATAACCCCTCTTCTTTGAGCTCACTCGTCGCAGCAAACGTCGAGACCTCCGGTTTCTTCATCCAGCCTTCCGTCACAGGCGTCTCAGCCTTCCGTGGTCCCTTCTTCGACCAAATCTTCCGTCTCTCTTCCTTCCCCCATCGACTTCGACTCACTCGACTCCGACCATTTATCACCGCAGGAACCGATTGTTCCTTTACCTCAAGATTCGCCTCAAGACTCGTCGATGTCGATTCCTCCTTCCATTTCCCTTTCTTCTTCTACTTCCAAGTCTTCATCTTCTCCTTCTAAGTCTCCTCCTTCTTTCACTTCTAACCCTGTGCCAATCGCTTTTGTGAACGCTTCAGCCTATCGTCGAGCTGTTCGCATGAGTGGTTCGCAGACCTTCTCGCTTTCTATTTCTCCCTTCTTCAGACAACGTCTCGCGGGCTTGTGCTGCTTCGACTAGCACTACCGACACTCCAGATCTTTCCAATGTCCCGGAAGAGTATCACGAATTTGCCGACGTCTTCAGCAACGCCAAGGCTTATTCGCTTGCGCCACATCGCCCTTACGACTTGCGCATTGATCTGGACGAGTCTCAGCCCCTTCCTCCGAGTCGGCTTTATTCTCTCTCCCCAGCCGAAACCCTTGCGCTACGCGAGTTCTTGGACGAGAATTTGCGCGCTGGTTTCATTCGCTCTTCGACTTCTCCGCTAGGCGCACCCATTCTCTTCGTCAAGAAGAAGGATGGCTCCCTACGTCTTTGTGTGGATTACCGGGCGCTTAACCGCATCTCCAAGAAGGACCGCTATCCGTTACCCCTCATCTCGGACCTTCTTGCAGCCCCAGCTCGTGCCAAAGTCTATTCCAAGATCGACTTGAAGCACGCCTACCACCTTGTGCGCATTGCGGATGGGGACGAGTGGAAGACTGCTTTTCGAACTCGCTATGGCTCTTTCGAGTGGTTGGTGATGCCTTTTGGTCTCACTAACGCGCCGTCCGCTTTTCAGCGTTTTATGAACGACATCTTCGCCGATATGACCGACGTCTCGGTTATCGTATACCTCGACGACATCCTGGTTTTCTCCGACAATCTCTCTCAGCATCGTGAACACGTCAAAGAGGTGCTTAGACGTCTCCGCAAGCACGGGCTTTATGCTTCGCCTAAGAAGTGTGAGTTCCACGCTGACCGCGTCGAGTACCTTGGGTACATTCTTTCACCCGACGGCCTCACCATGTCGCCTGAGAAAGTCAAAGTCATCCAGGATTGGCCTGAACCTCGTTCAGTGAAAGACGTCCAGTCTTTCCTCGGTTTCGCCAACTTCTATCGTCGTTTCATCCACGGCTACTCCGACATCGTCGTTCCGCTCACGCGCCTTACTCGCAAAGACACGCCTTTTGAGTTTTCTTCCGCCGCTCGCAAGTCTTTCGAGACCCTCAAGTCTGCTTTCATTTCTGCTCCTATTCTTGTTCACTGGCAACCCGATCGACCTCTCATCATCGAGACAGACGCCTCCGACTACGCCTTGGCCGCCATTCTCTCTATTCAGCTCGAGTCTGGAGAGATCCACCCAGTCGCCTTTCACTCCCGCACTTTCCAAGCCGCCGAACTCAACTACGACGTCCATGACAAAGAACTCCTTGCCATCTTTCGAGGCGTTCAAAGTCTGGCGTCACTACTTGGAAGGCGCAGGCGACCCGGTCAACGTCGTCACAGACCATAAGAACCTCGAGTACTTCTCGACTACCAAGGTTCTCACTCGCCGTCAGGCGCGGTGGTCTGAATACCTTTCCCAGTTTAACCTCGTCGTCCGTTTCCGTCCTGGCAAATTGGGCACCAAGCCTGATGCGCTAACACGACGATGGGACGTCTACCTTAAACAGGGGGGTAGTGACTTCGCCAGCGTAAATCCGGTCAACCTTCGTCCAATCTTCGCGTCTGAGCAGCTGGCTTCGTCATTGAGGGCTTCGACTATCTACATCCCTGCCCTCCGAGCCTCGCTGGTTGTCGACTCTGCTAGTCTTCATTCTGATATCAAGGCTTCTTATTCTTCGGACCCCCTCGCCTCTTCACAACTTCCCACTCCTTCTGACCCTCGTTGGGAGCTTCCATCCGACGGTCTTCTTAGACTTGATGGGCGTATCTACGTTCCAGATAGTCCCGGCTTACGTCTTCGAGTCTTGCAGCTCAAGCATGATCACCCTCTCGCTGGTCACTTCGGTCGCAACAAAACGATCGAATTGGTTAGACGTGACTATGTTTGGCCTAAACTGCGTTCGTTTGTCGCAGACTACGTCAATTCTTGCACGACTTGTCGCCGTACGAAGACTCCTCGCCACAAGCCTTATGGTCTCTTGAAGCAGCTACCCATTCCCCTCCGTCCTTGGGAATCCATCTCCATGGATCTCGTCGAGCAACTTCCTTCCTCTGGTGGTTTCACAGACATCCTCGTCATCGTTGATCGCCTGTCCAAGCAAGCTATCTTCATCCCCACAGACCAACATCTCACGTCTGCGGAGCTTGCACGCCTTTTCGTCATCCACGTCTTCTCCAAGCACGGCGTCCCTTCGAACGTGACGTCTGATCGTGGTTCAGAGTTCGTCTCCCACTTTTTCCGTGCTTTGGGCGAAGCCTTGGACATGAAGCTTCACTTCACCTCAGGTTATCACCCTGAAGGCGACGGACAGACCGAACGAGTTAACCAGACCTTGGAGCAGTACCTTCGGGCGTATTGTTCTTACCAGCAGGATGATTGGCATCGACTCCTTCCCCTCGCCGAATTCGCTTACAACAACGCGCCTTCAGCTACCACTGGTGTCTCGCCTTTCTTCGCAAACAAGGGTTACCATCCAAGTCTTAACATCCACCCTGAACGCGACTTAGCCAGTTCCGCCGCGCAAGAATTTGCAGTCGACCTCGCCTCGTTGCACGAGTACCTTCGGGAATCTATCACCGCCGCACAGAAGTCTTACCAGCTATACGCCGATCGCAAACGTCTAGCACCCCCAGACTTCAAAGTCGGTGATCGCGTCTTCGTCAAAGCTGCCTTCTTCCCGAACCACCCGACCTACCAAGAAGTTGTCTGAACGATATCTCGGTCCTTACGAGATTATTGCTCAGGTTGGCACCCACTCCTTCACCCTTCGACTTCCAGACTCCATGCGTTCCGTTCACCCCGTTTTCCACGTCTCGATGCTCGAACCCCATCACGAGTCTCAGATTCCTCTTCGTCACGAGCCTCCTCCACCTCCGGTAGAGGTAGACGGCGAATTGGAGTATGAGATTGCCGAAATCCTAGACTCGAAAGTGGATCGTCGTAGACGCGCCCTGCAGCTTCTCTATGAAGTACGCTGGTTAGGCTACACTCCTGGCTCCTTGCTACCGAGTTGAGCCATGCCAGGGAGTTAGTCGAAGACTTCCATCGTCGATATCCCGACAAGCCTGGACCCGAGTGGTGACCCGTCCGCCTTCGCCTTGTTGTCTCGACTTCTCATTTTTTCCTTCGACTTCATTTTCTTTTCTTTCACATTCCTATGCTTCAATTTCTCTTCGACATCGACTTCACCTTTGGCCTCGAGGGCTCGGCCGTAACAGGGGGGTACTGTCAGGGCTCGTGCACTTAGCAGAACTCTGATATACACTCGCGCCTTCCCTAGACTCGGCTTAGACTTCGACACTTCGACTTCACATCCCGACGTCTCGACTTTCGCTTCCAGCCATACTCGAACCCTCGACTTCCCCAACGTCTTCAGCCGCACCGCCACCTAGACTCCGGTCGTGTCAATGTCTACTGATCTAGACTTCACCGGATCAGGCAAGACGCGCGACTCGGCTCCTTCCGTGATCTCGGATCCTCCGGAAGTCTAGTGGACTTTAGGCGCGCGCTTGGTATTTCGAAGCCTTCGACTCTGTATTGTTCTTTGGAAGTATGTTCCCTTTTTAGACGTATTCGTTCTTTGTTGTTGTCCGAAGTTCCCTCGTACGTCATATCTCGACTTTCCTGATTTATCGATGTTATTATCTTTCTTTTCTTCGGCTTATCTTTCCTCATCACATGTTCTTTGCTCAAGACTTGTCTTCGACCTTTCTACTTCATGTCTTTGCTCTAGACTTTCTTATCATGTTGTGATTGGTTCGTAGATAGCTTCTTCGACTCTCTTGTGTTGTTCTTGGATCGATTCGCCTTCATGTCGTTTGTATTTCTCATTCATACATCTTAGTCTCGCCTTCATGTTTCTCCATCGTTTCTCCGCACTTCTCTTGTCGAAGATTCTCTAGACGTGTCCTCTATAAGTACTGTATGGTTTTGTAGTAGATACCTCATCCGGAATCTCGACTAGGACTCTCCATCCTCCCTTCTCCATCGACTAGGATCTCCATCCTCCCTTCTGCATCGACTAGGACTCAATCCCCTCTCCTCCATCGACTAGGACTTTCCCCTCATCGAATCCTCTGTCCGAATTCCTAAGTCTAACTTAACTCTCTCCACGTCTTCGACCGTTGAGCCTTTAGCTCCAGTCGTCTCTCTACGTCGCGCTCTCGCCGCAAGGCGTCCGTCCGGTCCGTCGGCCTAGCCAGCCATAGGAACCTTGACGAAGGGTACACGTTCTTATAACGTGAGACCAAGGCTAACCTCCGACCCCGAAGTCTCCTCTCCATCTCAGACTTCGCCTCACTCCTCTTCACTCAGCTTCACTCACGCCCATCTCCTGACATCTTCCAAGACACCACCAAAATGAGGAAATTGGTACTATGACCATCGGCGGCGAGGACCAATTGCCGTGTCTGGCTCAGAGGTATTATCATGTTGAGGGGATTGGCGTTGAATTCTCAGCCGCGGTGCCCAATTGGTCCGTCTCAGTCGAGAACCCCAGAAGATCGAGGGAAGTCGTTCTTCAGCTTACGCGCTCGCCTCAATGGGCTGTAAGATTCGAGCGCCCGACTTGAGACCGGGAATTGGATAACCATGATCGGCGGCAACCACCAATTGCCGTGTCCGGCTCGAACGCTTGTTCAGGTCGGGGGGATTGGCACTTGGCTCTCCAAGATTAGAGTGTACGACGTGAGCCTGGGAATTGGTTGTTCCAACTTCAGTGCCACCACCAATCGGGCCATATGATTCGACCACTAAGTTGTTTTGGGAATTGGCTGTTTCGGCTTCAATGTGTCCACCAATTGGGCCGTATGATTCGACCACTAGGCGTGTACCCAGGCTCACAAACTGCTTAGAGTCCAGTGTTTGAAATCCCCCTCCCCCTGGCCCCAATTGGGACGTACACTATTGAGAAATGAGCTTTGATTTTGGCCTCCAATTGAGCCTTTGTTATTGACTACCTTGTCGTTTCCAATTCTCCCTACTAGACCGTAGATATTGAGGTGGAAAAAAGCCTTACTGGCCCATCTGTATTGGACAAAAGCTACTGAGTGCCCTGCCAGATGAGAAGGTTGGGCGGCGAAATCACTACGATCTGAGCCATCCTGAGACTGGTCTTCGTAATCTGAGCTGCTCTGGGATAGCTCTCCCACCGCAGACTCGGTGTCGGAGACGGAGGCAGATGTGAATTCGGCACTGTCGGAGCTTTCAGAGAGAGAGACTAATTCAGGCATGGAGTCGCTGTGGTAATCATCAGAGTCTCGACCCCGAACACTGTCAGAATCGGACACGATGAAAGATCGCAGTGAATCGTCGGAGGAGGGGGGGTCGGGACCATCTTCTGTGTCAGATTCATTGGACCATCGAGCGGCTTTAGATATTGAAGTCAATTACATGAATAATATGCGAACAATATAGGCCTTACCGTGTTGGCGCGGATGATAGTAACCGCAAACTAAGTCTTTGGAGGCGAGTAATGTGCTCAGATTGACTGGCATTGTAACTCTATCTGAGCCAGCGTAATTGGGAACCACTACTGACACACATACCATTGTAAGCACATCGATCTTCTTCGTCTCGAGGACATCTAATAATCACGGAGCAGTTTGGAGGACCCTGTAAGTCGGAGAGTTCGACCGTCGTGGTTTCCCCATGAACGCAGAGAGGCAAATCGAAGGAATACATTTTAGCGTATTCTTCCAATGCTTCCGGAGGTACAGGAGCACCATCGACACCAAGAGGACTGAGAAGTCAATAAAATATACCTGGAGAATTAGTGAGGTAGGTACTTACTAGGCTATCATTCTGAAAACTACAGTTCCATCGCCAGGGATGCATGTTATCAAGTTTGAGAATTCAATGGGGAGAGGAGAGGCAATTTGGGAAGTCATGTCGGTGTGAGTTACAGGTTAGAGGCTGATTCTTCTGAGCTGGTTGTCGAGGAATACACTGTTCAAGTTCCTCTTTTAACGCAAACACGCCGCCATCTAGTGATTGCTCAGGGAGAGTCCCTATGTAGATCGTTCAAGGATGATACCGGATCCACTGTCCCCGATGGGTATGAAAAAATTGGATATGGGACAGAAAACTCCTTGGCCAGTTAGATGTTTCCGCGTTCGTACGACATCCTAGACCATCTCTGTACTCAGTGTCTTTCTGCCACATAAAGTCAGTCAGATAGATGCCCGTCAACTCCAGAATTAGACGGGAAATCATGATAAAACCAGGCCGGATGGAAGACGAGTGAGAAGAGGATACCACCGGAGTCGTGGGTTGTGTATGTGGTTTGATTGACAAGGCCCTCCCGAGGCCCGATCTGGCTGCCTGTCCGTCGAGTCGCCTCGCGCATATCCGATAATCATGATCCTGAATGATACAGAGGTATCCATCTCTTCATGATCACTACTTGATCTGCGTTCTACCTCATACACAACTAAGGCAAAGCAGACGCGCTCAGGGAACGGCCGACTGCGGTACTCTGGCAAGGGAACCTTCATCAGAATCACACTTGGTATAAAAGAGACTTGCGTACACTTCTATCTGCGTCACAATCACCTACATGGATCTCAAAAGTACCATGGTTCTTATCTCTCGTGTTACCAGCAAGTCCAGGTAAGACTTACGGGCCCTGATGGAACCTAAATTTGTTCTAATCTACTTCATGTTCAGCCCAGAAGATACTGAATACCGTGTTCACACCCATTTCTCGGAAACCAATCCCTTCTATCGCATGTCCAACGAGCTTTGGGTTGAGATTGGTCAGCACCTGCGTCGTAGAGATCATCTCCGCCTCATGCTCGTCTCGCCCTCCATTCTGGATATCTTCAGCTTCCTCGTCTACCGAACCTTAACTTGTGAAGGCTCTAGCGGTCGAAAGTGCATGGCAATGTTAGCATCGGGGAAAGGGAATGCAATCTTCTATTCTGGACTTGTCCAGGAGCTGACCTTCTTCGCCTACGAGGTTGCCGATCGCTACCTGTCTTTCCAGGTACTTGCCAAGGCCCTCCGAGGGATGTGTCGACTCCGGGGAATCCAGCTCCACATCGCCACCTTCAATAGTGAATTCCTCCTGTATTGCCTCAGGCAGGAGGGTCACATCAAATCCAGCATCAGAGTACCTTCCCCTGCACTCTCAGGACTAACACGCCTCGCCGTGAATGGCTCAAGGATCTTAGTTCAGCTCGGTGTGCACAGGAAACTGGAAGAACTCGATCTCACGGACTTTCTCGACCATGAAGGTCTAGCGCGTGTCACTATGGACTTGACTGGTGGTCTATCGGGAGCGTCCCTCAGAACCCTAAGACTGAGACTTCACCAAGACATGGAACCCGGCATCGCGCTGGACATGATCGACGGTGCCTGTCCCAATCTCCACATCCTTTCTTTGGAACAAGAATATATGAGTGCAAAGGTGAGTCCTCCTACAGGTGTGGTCTTCCATTTAGCTCGAACTGACGGTGGCATGTAGGTGTACCTGACCTCGTTCTTAGAACGTCCGGATCACTTTTGCTCTCTGAAAGCCATTGCATTCAATCCATCCGCAGGGGAAACCCCCGACTTCGGGACATCCCATGCTCTTGGAGGCTACAGTCGGATCGGCCCGTTGCTTCGAGAACTTGGGGAGCCACGTCCTGACCTGCGTGTAGTAAGCTTTGGTTACATATTCTTCTGTAGATCCCCGGTAAGCGGGATATTTGTCGAAGAACGGGAATACGAGGACGGTCAGTGGTGGGCGTCCCATCTAAGGTGGAACGACTTCCCGATGATGGATCCACGGTGTGTGTTTGTAGATTGGACTTAGCAAATACATGGATTCATAACCTTTACCTACTGTTATAACAGTCCCTTATCGCATTGGCGCGTGATATCGAGAAAGTTGGGTGGCGTCTTGGTACAGATCGGATTCTGAGATCTGGGCTGACAATCTATCTGCGCGCTTGCGTCCGCGCGTCTATACCATCCTTTCGCACAAGCAAGGGTTCAGGATGCCGACCTTCTAAGAAAAGTATAAGACAGAAGAGCGTTAGTCGACTCACCCTTCAGAAGCTAACACCTGTCACCCTGAACCGCTGTTAATCATGCTCCCTGCTCACGAACTCAAGCGACTTATTGAGAGAAGATTCGAAGAAAGAGGTTTGTCCTTTTTGTATGACTTGTTGTCGTATACTAAAACTGACGAGCTTCAGCATCTATTGAGAGTACTATTAGTGCCAACTTTCATAAATGCCTTTTTAAAGGCTTTGACCATCGATTCGGCGTCAAGATTATCATCAAGGCCATCGCAACTGGGACAGACGAAAGGTTCGAGAGAAAGCGCATCCGAAGGCTCACCAATGCCCTTGACCGTGCAGCCAATATGTTCCCTCATGTTCAGTAAGTGTCGTTGTGTTACTCGTCCATCCAGACTCCTAAACGACTACAGGTCTCTTGCCACTCTTATGGACTATGAGGTCCACCCTAGCCACACATTCCTCGTGTTCAAAGCATACGGCAAAACGCTCACCGAGGTCATGACCATGCAGCAATTACTTCCATTGCCTTCAAGCCAGATTAAAGGGATAGCGTTCCAGATCCTATCAGCGTTGAGATGTAAGACTCGACAATTTTCTGCTCTGTTCCTGTTCCTCATGTCATGTCCCCTAGTCCTTCACGGTGAAGATATCGCGCATACCGATATCAAGCCCGACAATATTGTTCTTGTGGACGACGCTGTTGCGTCATACGAAGACTTCCAGAATGGAGAATTTGTAACTAAAGTGGGTAGTGAGCTATCGGGTCCAGTACACGGCTAACTCAATTACTTGCAGTACTTGCTCAAAAACATATCCGTCAAACTTGTAGACTACGACGACTTCACCGATCTCCATGCAATACCAAGACCTCGCCATCTTGTTGGAACGTCAATTTACAGACCGCCCGAAGTCATCTTGAGTCCGTCATTTCGAGATCATACATCCGACTCATTCTCACTTCAAAGCCACCAGATATGCCTTGGAGCACGCCTGTGGATATATTCGCATTTGGCTGCACCATTGCAGAACTGTATCTCGGCCGTCCCTTGTTCCCGCATTCTACTGGTCCAAGTCATCAGTTGGCAATTATAGAGGAGAGGCTCGGGAGATTCCCTCATTCCTTCATTGACAGAGTCAACAGGGGGGGGTTTAACGTCTTCAGACCTAACGGAGAAGTTGATTGTGCCGAACCCGTAGCACAGCATTTGGCAGTAGAGGAGAGGAAACATATATCTGTGAGTTTAGCTTGACACCCCTTTCTGAATAGGTTCTGACTGTACTAGCTCTGCATCTTGCGTCCCAACTTACTTGATTTGCTCAAGCTTTGCCTTCATCACGACGACAAGAAGCGATGCTCCGCAAAGGCCGCTTTGCAGCACAGATTCTTTAAGCGCCGATAAACTTATGTACTTAGGCAGCCTTTGATATAAACCTTTCAACGCTGTAGTATCTATATCGGAGCTCTCCTTCCGGAACATCCCAATCGTAGTTGGACTTGTCCCAAAATACCCAACGCACGAACCCGGGGTGTTGGGCACCTGTAGCAGCGGTTACCTTCCCAGTGAGAGGCGGGCCGCGATATCCGGTGTCACATGTTTGTTGATGTGTGCTTTTTGGGTGGCCTGAGCGATGCCAGGTTGGATTGGCACTTCTTCCTTCCTGTCGGTCTCGCTTTCGAAATTGTCGGTACTGTCAGCTTTGGTACAGATATCAAGAAGGGACACGCGCTCAACTCACATAATGAAGCAGTCGACTGTTCGCTAATCCACAATCTTGGGATCTAATGAGTGGCGGCAGTTCAATCTGACCCAAAGCGTTTCGCGGGAACAGGCGACACGATACACTATTGGGATGGCAAGGACAAGGGGCCATATGGATACGAGAGAAAGCTGCCGTGGGGAAAGTTTAGGAATCTCCTTTGCGTCTTGACGATGCGCCCTGATGCGCCCTGGTGTTAACTCGACGGGATCGCGATCGGACTCGGAAAGCTCCTGCCAAGGCTCGTTGTCCCCGCTAACTGTCAGGCACTGTCAACCCGTTCAATCCCCGCGACTCGCATCGGTGGTCGTGCAGCATTTGTATATCTAGAGAGTACGGACCCGGAGAGATGTGACATCTACTGGTCCTCGACAAACGCAGTCTGTGATGGTCAACGAGTGCGTGTGCTACGTCCTTTCCACGTCTACCCCCGCCTAACCCATGTCCCAGTTGTCTCCCAGTTGCTGCCGGCGAGCTAGCTCGTATCCGAGAGCAAATGGATACTTTGAGAGACGCGATTGCTGCAAATATCGCCAGTCGCGCGAGCGAGGCCTGTGACTATTGCCGGCAGCATAATCTTTCCGTGAGTAACATTTTGTACACTACACTGCTAACAGCATTAGTATTGATTCCAAGATACCGGACGGACGGGAAGTGTGACGAAGAGCGACCTTCTTGCGAATGGTGCGAGCTCTTCTCGAGCACAGAGGTAAGCCGCTCGTTACTCGGTGCCTTCCTAAATCAAAATGTTCCACTCTCGTTGTAGTGCTCCTTTTCGGTCGTACACGTTACGCAGCCCCCCATAATTCCGGGCTCTGAGGCCATCACAACGCCGCAGGTGGTATCGACATCCTCCGGGACAAGCGAGAGTGAAGAGTCCAACGCCAATCTGTCTGAAACTGATGAGTTCATCAAAGCGGAGCCGGTTTCTGGTAGTACTATTCCCGTCGACGGTGAGTCCTGAATGTTCGAGACAGCAGTCAAGTCCTACTGTTTCACTCGCTCACCCTTACCATCCAGGTGATTACCAATCCGCGAAAATGGGCGAACTATGCGGCGTAGTCGAAGTCGAAGATAAATTAGGTATGACTATCCTCCGTCGTTCTTTGAAGCCAATATGTTAATACAAACGTGGAGACTGTGCGCCAGTGGCAGAGGATCCCACAGAAATAATGCAAGTCGGGGAGGGGTCGTCATCGGGGTTTCCTATGGAACCCAGTCCTCTCACCTTTCCGAGCAAGGCAGATATATCGACTTGGTTTGACCCGAGTTTTTCTCTGCTGCCATCGAGCGGTAATGTGCAGCCGACACTACCCCAGTACTCTCTCGTTCCCTTATCCGACGGTGCGGCCATTGGCAACGCGGATGAGGAACCATTGGATTGTAAGTGAACCAAGACCGTTCTCAATGGTATCCGCCTTTCTCAAATTTGACATATGCGCGTTTGTAGACAATACCAGGTAATAACTCAGCTCTTTAGGGGGAAGGCTGTACTAATCCGCGTAAACATGTAGTTTTGGGTCGATTGAACTTGAAGTTCTCCGTCAGTACTTTGGCAATCACTTCGTACAGAACGGCTTCGGTCTGCTGTGATAGACATCTAACGTACTCATGAACAGTTGTATACACGTACATTCTTGTATTTACATGAGCAGTGTACGATATACGATATAATTGAGATGTCTCGTAACATCCCGCAGTTAGTAACTGTCCTACATCAGCTATCGACGATGGCGGCTGCCTCCCAGAACTGTACCCCGTCGCCGCAACTTCCCCTTGGCCACCGTCATCTGCTGTGTTGAGCATTGACCCCGGGCCTCGTCCTCGTACTCCCATTCACTGTCACTTTCCCTTTCGACCCTAATGAGATCAATTATCTTGTCAGTGCTTGTGGCCTTGTCCACAAGTTTTTTGGGGTGTAAATTCTTGTGTACTGCGAAATCCTGAGCCTTGTCGTCAAATAGGGCTTGCTCCTGCTGTAGCGTCAACCTGTCAACCGCAGATTCTATGGTCCCCCCAAGATGAGAAGAGCCATGATGGGTTTGTGGAGGTTGAGTGAACATGAGGGTGAGGTCCGCGTCCGTCCGATCAACCGCGATATTGACAAAAGACTTGAACACTTGCAAGATAACATTGGGGTATCGGGGATGCAGACATGTACCAGTCCGATCGTATGGCGAGAGTTCCACAAACGCGTAGCGATCGTCTTCCATTCGGTTCCGCAACGCGATGTATATCGGGGGCTCCCACGTGCGGCTCGTAGCTGGATTATATGAGAAGGGCATTCTCACAATGTAATGGTGCTGGATTATAAATGGGGAGCCGTATACTATCTCCTTAGGAATTAACTGGGGGCGAGGCAGTATCCTCCAGCTAACACCATAGAAGTGGGTGTCTTGAACGAAACTTGAGTTTGACATGTCGATAGGGAATGGGATCCGGCTCAGAAGGACCTCCATGAAATATGGAGTCAGAACTGGAGGGTGTTTTTGTGCAGACGGAAATGATTCGACAATGTCCCTCCATGGAACGGTGACTTTGAACTTCTGTTCTTTGTGCGTGCGCTGATCTGGACTTGGGCTCTCTTCTACTCGGGGGAGAGCAGAACCACCTCCTGTACGCCAGTGTGGATCTGCGGGGGTAAGGGTGTCACTGTCAAATACCACACTGTAGCGGGGCATAGTACAGGGACTAGTGGACTGTGGCCAAACAAGGCTCTGGTTGTTGTTTCCAATAGAGGGGCGACGAGAGGACATTTAAAGTAGACAGGAGATATGCAATGGGAATTACAGGCCACGGTATTGAGAAAATCGAGCTTATATACAACCAGGGTGCCAAGAGAAAATGGAATACAGTAAAATCTAAAACCTTGATATACCTAGAAGGAGTGGAAGAGAGAAAAAAAATGCTCAAAAAAGGAGGGTGAAAGCACGATGATGGGAGGGAGATGTCTGGGATACGATGACGCAATAGATGAGATGGTCCACAACAGTGGAAACACCGATAACGGAATAGGGTGTTCTGGATCCTGGTGCTTAGAAAGACGAGCCTAAGAAACAAAAAGTCTGGAACATACCCGGCCAGAACCTATTGGCAGCACTTTACTTGACTCCACCAAACTGAGAGCCTCTCCCTCCATGAAAACTTGACCACAGAGGCAGGGGCCTTGAGTGAAAGGTAGGTGCCATGATCCTCAGCAAAGGTGGTGACTTGCCCATGCTCATCAATGGACTGGATAGCAACGCGGAAGTGGACGTATTGGCTATCGGCATAGACAATCCGCTTCAGGACTCCGGTGCGAGTAGAGGTGCTGATGTAGATCTTGGGCCTGTCTGAGTTACCAGAGGTGTCGTCGGGAAGCATGTCTGACTCTGTCTCAAAGAAAGAGCCTATGCATACACGGAGGCCAGTCTGTAAGACAAAGTCTGGACGGTCGAGAACCTCCCATTCCTCAGGCCGAGACGAGTTGTAGTCGTTGTGGAATTTGATGACTCTATAGGCGTAGAGCTTGGCGTAGATCGGGTATGGTGGGCAAAATGCCTGAGGACAGGGGCCAAAATGAGTGGGACAGTGACAGCTGGCTGTTGGTTCGATGAAAGAAAGGACATTATTACAAAAAGAAAAGAGAAGGCTTGCTGGAGTTGGACCAAGGGCGGTGGGATGGATAATGAGAGCGAGTGGTAGTTAATAGACAGCAAGCTAAAAAGTGACACATTTAAATAGAGAAAATGTTATCTGACGTGTGTTTGGAGAAGTTTGGCACTAAATGGCCATCTGAATAGAAATGTCGGTCCATCACTGTGCCATCACCGTACAACCGGACTTCAATGTTCCAAGCCAGTTATAGTAAATGTTTCAATTTATTTGCTCAGGTACTCAGGTACAATAGCGTGGATATTGTCAAAGTGCTTCTATGAAAGAAAATGTGCCGGGCTTCTTAGAATTTGAGATACATGTGCCAGATGGTAGAGCATGTGAGTAAATTAGCAATTTCACGTGATAGTATGGAGGAAGGCATGCGATGAATGGTGCAGCATGTGATAAACCACAATTGCATGTGATGCTTTCATCCAGCAAACAGAAGATGCACAAACAATGAGTGTTCCTGTATATATGCTTGAGGCATTTGGGCTCCCTATCCTATCAAAGCTACTATTCTACTCCACAGTCTACCTCTCTACCTTATCAGTCCTAGTTATGGATATATGTCAGATATGCAATGTTGACCACTCAAGTAAGGTTATATATCCACTCATGGAAAAGATGAAAGACTAAATATGCTATAGATTTTGATTCCTCAAGGGCGGGATTTCCTCTGACTGTATTGGGGCATCTCACGGCTTCACAGGCCGACCCATGGACTATAGGGAAGCTACAGAAGCAATGTCCACTCTATCACCAAGCCTCAGCCTCAATACTGCTAGTCAAAGTCTATCGCTTCCTCCATGAACGGGGAATTCAGAATGTTGCACAGTTTCTTTCCCTATTGGATAGCCTTGGCTATTTGATATCAGGGCCCGAGCTTGTTAGTTCCATTATCTTCCCTTCCACCACCTCTGCAGCCCCTTGTCCAAGGAATCTTGAGGTCCATGCACTCTTGGACCGTTCATCCCGCCATCACTTCATAAACTGTGTCATTCAGGAAGGATTCAAGCATGCAGAATGTCACAGCAGCTATAGCTCAATATCTGAGACTATTGCATCTAAGCTCGGTTACCCTACATTTGGCCGCACAGTGCAGTATCTCGACATTTTTATCAAGAAGGATCCTGTATCTGGAGAAACATATAATATTTTTTATATCACCACAAAGTCAACTTTGACAAGTCTTTTCTCTATTCTTGAATATCCAACAACATTATTCATGAACTTCCTTGTCAAGACCGAACTTGTCATTCTCTACCCCATCCTGACCAATAATCGTCAGGGACTCATCAATGCACCATCAACACCTACTAAGCCACTCCCCAAGGTTATGCAATCATTCAAAGAGCTTGGATATGATTTCCAGCTCTCTATGGATGGATGGCGTGAGATGCATTCTCCCCCTGGTCATCATCCGTTTATCCCAACAAACTGCTCTGCAAGACTCCGGGAGACACACGATGGCCTGAGTTTCTCATTATCTCTCAGCACTCAGTCTCTCACACCTCTGTCACATCAAAGCATCCCAGTTATCTGGAGACTTAGATGTGCATGGGCATGTTCCTGCCATGACCAAGATAAGGCTGGGGAGGCGTATCTGAAGGCATTCCGTGCACAATATATCTGTGGGCAGCTTGTTATTAGTAAGTCTCTTCTTTACTATGGAATAATCCTCATACTTACTTTAACTTCACAAACTCAGGTGATTAGACGGTAGACCAACTCCAGTAGCCTTAATAGTAAGGTGGCCTAATCGTCTTTCAGAATATCTTTAGAGTTGATGAATCTTATCCGTTATACATAATAAGTAGGAAAACAAAAATTGTCCCTGCACCCGTTGTCACAACTCGGGTAGCCTACGCAGAATGATCCTTCAATTAATCACTTTGTTAGTACCTTCACTAGTGATTCGGTACTCAATCAAGTCTCTTATTTCCGGGTTGGTGACTTCTGCTTGTCTAATGCTGGTGATAGGAATGGGAGTTATGTAGTGATTAACTCTGCAGTAATCTTCTCCAATTATTCTTAGAATTTTTGGGTGCATTACCTCCTATATTAGATAGACCGGATTCGAGTCCAATCTCCGCCTACTCACTCCGTGGTTTCCGTACATCACGTGTCAAACTCCCAGCTTTGGTGCCCAGGTCCGCCCGGAGGGGCCATGAGTATCGATGATGCTTCTTAATATGGGAACGACATACCGAATTAGGTGCCTTTTTGCCGGGATGCCGGAGTCCCTATTACAGCCTATTACCCCCTATTACCCACAGACATACCCAGTACTCAGAGATTTGGCATGGAATCGATATCTCTCAGGCGTTCACACAAGCCACGTCTAGAAAAAGTACTTAAATCCTTCAAAACGCGATTTATTCTTCCAACTGAGGACGTTTTAATTAGGGTTCACAGCGGTATAAGTCGGCCTCGGCGGGTCAATGGTAATTTTCGGAGGCTGGCAAGTGCACGGACAGATGAAAGTCCACCCCGAAGGGCAGGCAATGGGGCACGCAATGCTGCAAATCGACGTGGTGGGCTTGGGAGGCGGCACCTTCGTGAGGGTAGGAAGGCTCGTAATGACCGGTGGTTGGGTTGGTAGAGGGATGATGGTGACGTCTGGAGGGGGGATATCCGGAGACCTCGTCTCAATGGGCTTTGCAGAAACCCCGAGCAGAGAAGCGAAAGCCAATAGCGAAAGGTACTTCATGGTCGTTCGTCGCTCGCTGTCCTGGCGGTACACACGGTCAGTTCTCTCGCCCACACTCGACGATGGAGAGAAAGAACTTACGTGGGAGAGGTACGTCCCAAAGCCTACCGTCTCTCTTGAAGCGCACTCCCGCCTATTTATACCTGTAGCTTTTCCCAGTGATGTCAGTGTGAGTACAGTCACGAGAACATCGGTGCGAAGATCTTTGGGAACACCCCTCTCCGGCATGTGAGGCATCGCGCAACCTCGGGTGTACCTCGTCAATTCAGAGAGCATCCCTCCCCATATGAATACCACCCGCGTCGCGGGTGCATATACAGAGCATACCCCGAGACATTGGGTGGGAGGCACAGCTGTCTAATTCAAAGTTTCGAAGCCTCACAAAGAAACGTGCATTGTCAACTTCTTGGAGTAGGAGGGTACTTCCTGCCCTGATTTTCATCTGCCAAGCTGGGGTTTGACTTAACCTTACCCACGTAGATCGCTTCTTCACCTCTAGATGGGAAAGAAAGACTCGTCAAGTATAGCGGAGCCGGCCGCCAGTGGAGCAAGTCGCCGACGAAAGGAACTTTCTAGCAGAGGGCGACGGCGTCGTGCGTCTTGTTGTGACTGTCTATTGATGGGAAAAGACGGATATTGACATCGTATTCATCGCGGTCGGCCGTGAAAGGGAGCAGTCTATCATATCCGTACCCTGCTCACTGTACCGATAGTCGGCGCAATGGACCAGGAAGGTCGAAGTACTTCTACGAGGAAATGTGCCCTGCCGAGCTTGGGCGCCAAAAAAGCATTGGAGCGTTATGATTCCTTCTTGGAAATATCGACAGGGCTTCCAGGACGGGGTGCTGCAACGGGAGTGGTTGCAGAGGAAGACTTGACGATCGACAAGTCTCCTCCTTCGAGCGCCTTTTGAGCACGAGTATTCGCCACACTGAGGTAGGTATCTAAAAGCATCATCAGAGGTTGAGGGTCCACGGACAGCGAATGCAAAGACGTACTCCAGAACAAGCTGACGACACCAACGGTGACCATCCTCAAATGCGGTGGTACAACCGTAAAGTTCACGATTTGGGTGGGAATGAAGACTCCCCAGTTACGGATGAGAGTCGGGACGTACGCCTGTAGGATGGAGGTGAGTTGCGTGGTAGAGTTATCCTAGAGGGTCGCCAACATACCTCTTGTATTCGTCCGAACGCCTTCTCCGGTGTTCCTTCCAGCGTGCTCATCGATCCATAGAAGAAAATCACGGCGACTACGCTTTCGAATTGAGCATTCCGCAGACGGGTCAAGGGGTCGGGTACTCACCCGGCGTAAGTAGTGCTTGGTCAAGCCACAACTGCGCGCAGAACCTCTGTCAGCTGAACCCTCAGTAGCCGAACAGTTGGAGAACCCACCCGATAAACCAAAGCTTTGGTCGGGCTGGGGAAATACAGCCGGTTGAGGAATTCGTACCACTTGGTCATCAAGGGACCGAACATGGCTCCTGTGTGGAAATTCCAAGGTAAGAGCGAGAAGAATCGCGAGAAAAGATGACGGACCTCCGTAGAACGTCAGTCGGGCTGTGCGGGCGAACTGGAATGAACCGAGTTAGCAAAATGTGGTATACTTTCGAATACCATGGATCGAAGAAAGAAGTCGAGAGAATTAGAGGCTTTAAGAGGTGGAAAGACGTACGTCGTGGTTATCCAACCCTTTCTTCTCCACCAACTGCTGGGCGATCACATCTCCAGTCCCAAAGAGCCCGGCAGCCGTGATACATTGGACCAGCATGGGTCTTCTGAGCAGAGCTGCACTACGTATCTCTGTATCAGCATGGCTGGATCCCAATAACAAACGCGGTAGAGACTCGCTTATAGGCGCGTAGCAGTTGTGCCATCTCGTTTCTGCGTGGCCGGAGGTCGTTCTATAAATTTTTCACTCTAACGTAGAGATAAATCAGTGTGTTAAAAAGCGCCATGCATACTCGTAGTTGAAAAAGCAATAAAACGAACCTATGAGATCCCTTTCGTCAGGATTTTCTATCCCTCACCGCGTGTATTCTATCGCCACGTAGGTCCTATTGCCAGCAATGTTTGCCAAATCAGACAATGCTCTCCACCTATATAGACGTTGTCGTTCAATTCAGAGCTTCGTAAACGCCAACTACTTACCCAGCGACCGTCCACGACCAACAACGAAGCCGCGCGGAAGAAACCTGTACGAAATCGGCATGCGACGGGTCAGTCGCTGGTGGCTGTGCGATGACCGTCGTTCTTATCGCGATTGGGCGCCTAGCAAAGTTCGAGCTGATCTTGGTCTCGACAGATACCTCGTACACCACTGCACGTCTAACATTGTGCACCTCACATCAATCTCAGAAATCCGTACAATACGGGAGGATAGAGTGCTATATAAGGAAAGGCAGAAATTCCAGCGAAAGAAGACGTCTAGATCTAGACGATCTTCGACGGATTCACCATACAATGTCTTCAAGTTAAGTACAGGCTATACGGGTGTTACAATGACCTCCACAAAACCCCCTGGTTGGGTTGTCGGAGTAGGATATGCAGCGCAAGCGCACGTTGGGCATTGGGTCCCGATAGTCGTCAGGGTGATATACGACCCTGGAGGACACTGAGCGCAGGAATACGTAGGACAATCCCTATACGTCGTTGTGACGGGCGACGGTGCGGTGGTTTGCGTGGTCAGAGTGGGATACGAGGCGCAAGCCCACGTCGGACATTGGGTTCCGACTGTCGTGAGTGTGATGTACGACCCCGGAGGACACTGGGCACACGAATACGTAGGGCAGTCCCTGTAAGTCGTCGTTGTCGTTGACGGTGTGGGAGGAGGAGCTGGGGTGCCGGTGAAGGAGCACGAGCACCATGGACACGCTGTTCCGGTGCTGGTAGAGGTAAGAGTGTATCCGGGTGGACAGGTGCACCGAGGTGGATGAGGGCAGGGTGAAGTTCTGGGGAGGCAAGTGCAGGAGGGGCACGAGCCACTTTCGGTGGTCGTCACAGCGTATGAGGAGCCTGAGCAAGAGCAGGTTGGTTTCGGGGTCATACACGAAGAGGATGAGGTGCTTGGCGCGCATCCACATCGAGGACAACCATTGACTGTCCAGGTTGTAGCTGTGTATCCTGGAACGCATGTCGGACATGGGAGAGGGGGACATGGCGATGAAGTGATGGTCGTGGATGGTGGTCTCGTTGTTGATGCGACGATTTGGCACTGGCTGTAATCTTTGGTAGGTTATTAAAGCTGGATGTCTCAAGTGAACGAATATAACCGCTTACAATCATTGATAAAAACGCATTTCACGAGTGCTTCAGGGACGCTATACGAGGTTTAAACGAGCGCTCTCAAGACAAGAAGTTCCTTACTTACGATTGACAGGCCGTGGGTCCATAGTAAGTGATTCCACCACCTATTAGAGAAGAAAATCAAAGGTAAGCGGGACCGAGAACATGACTAGGAGACATTTGAACGCACATTGTCCACCCAACGGAGCGAGATCGACAGCTTCGTTTGCAACCTCCGTCGCCTGGGGAGTATCAGGTCGAACTCGAGCAAAGATTCGTCCCGAATTTGCACCACGCCTCTTGCGTTCGAGGATCCCCGCATGGTCGGTAGGCGATGCATGCTCCGCGGCTCTCCGATCGCCAGGCTCGAAAGTCGGGGTAGGAACACAGACGCACGTCGGGCACTTCGCCGTCCCGGTCGCTGATAGGATATCTGTGGATCCTTTCGGGCACTCGGCGCAGACGGGGATTGGGCAGCCATCCCATGGGAGGCTCGTGGTTGTCGGAGAAGGGAGTGGAGTCGGTGTCGTCGAACTGGTAATCGGTTTACAGGTGCAATAAGGACAGGTTTGACCCGGAAGAACGTAAGTGGTGTAAACGGTCGTTGACCCGGCGGAGCAAGGCTCGCACGGAATGGGAAGACACGCCAGGGAGATTGAAATTTGGGCTATCAGAAGCCACCCGGTGGAGAAAAGCTTCATGATCTCCTCGAAGATGAGATAGTGCTCATTTTGGATCCGGGAGTCAATTTATATGAAAAGTCATCAGCACAGCTGGTGGTTTGCTGCACGATCACGAGGGCATCGAGGTTCTCAAGGATGCTTCTGGCGGTAGGATGCCGATGAAGTGGCTATCAGAGATGCGCTTCGATGCCTCCGTATAAGCATCGCTTCTGTGAGTTCAGCATCAGTGCGTCCTCGTTTCAACGAGATAGGTCCGAAATCTAACCACCAAGTTTAAAGTCCGCATACGTTCTGGACGGGTAGTAGTAGGACGTGGAGGAGGTTCGGATGCCAGGACGCGTCGTTTACGAGTGTTGCGGCCCTCAGTAGTAAATCAACCGCTCTGTATGGAATCGAACCTGAGGCTTGGAGGAAGGCATTGTTGGGCTACAGCCTCATATCCAAACAAAGACTCGAAGGGTCGCGAGCGCGAGATTCAACTATCTAATGTCATCTTTCAACGATCCTGAGATCTCTATGGATACTCTACCGTCAGAACTTCTGGAACATATTGTCGAAGAATTCACAGTGGACCCCAAGCATGATCATCAAACCCTCGCCAAGTGTAGCCTCGTTTCCCGTGCATTCCGCGCGGCTGCCCAACCCCGGCTCTTTCGGTCGATATCCTTGAAGACACAAGACGAGAACACTCAAAAGCTCATAACGGCGCTGAGTGACAGCCCCGACCGTCTAGCACTACACGTATCCAGGCTCGAAATGACGCCCTCAACTTTCAAGTCATGTACCGTTTGTACGGTTTCCGGAGGACGATGGGTGCCGGGCTGTTTGGATAATTTGCCTGCGTGCCGTACTTGGGCTCGCGTGAAGCTTCCAAACCTTGTCCATTTGGTTCTGGAATGCGGACTCGGCGGCGGTAGCTGTCTGAGCGACCGCTGGGGCCACTTCCCCGTTGCAATACAAAATTGGATCCTCGATATTTGCACCGGGAAAACAGAAGCTCGCCTCCAATCACTCGACATTGAATATTTGCGGAATCTGCCCCCCTCAATCCTCCAGACGGGCCCAACCCTCAAACAGCTCCTTTTTACAGACGCAGCCTTTGACCCTGAGAAGCTGCGGGATCTTCGGGGCGCTGCTGAAAGCAATGATAGCGACCATGGATGGACAAACCTATGTCGGCCTAAACGGTTGGGTTTGAGCCCACTGCACGGCGATTCTGACGTGCGACGCGATCTGCTCTCTTTGGACCCCAAGATATTGTCAGAGGTCGAAAAGCTCCTCGTTGAAACTTGACGCCATTCCCGACGATCCCCAAGATCTCCGGACAACAAACGACGTGTTGAAGGCGTCCGCAAACTCCGTCAAAACAGTTGAACTTGGCATACATGCGAGCTTTGACCCAGCAGTCACCCCGGGTGCGTAGTTCCAAGCATACTAGGAACACCTCTTTGTCTGACATTCGGCCTTTCAGAGCCGTACAACCTCAGTGGAATGCGGAATTTGGCTTACCTCATTTTCGACACCAAGAATTCGTTTTCCTGGAGACATATTTCTGCCATATCGAGCACCCTCGATACTCTCAACGCCGGCATACCCCTGAAACATCTCAAATTGCGGTTTGCGGACGACTATTTACTTGACCCTTACGGAGGGTCAAGGCCGGTCATGTTTTTGGCCCCCCTCAAAGCTGAAGTTGCCAGGGCTTGGAAGAACCTCGACGGGGCCATTTCATCCCTTACTCGCCGTTGTCAATCGACATTCTCGGAAGTCTATGTTGGCTTTCCGGTCGGGTCTAGGCTATCAAATTCGACCAACTCGGGGGAATGGGTAAAACGTCGTCGCGAGATCCAGGAAAAGTTCGTCCCTTCTACGGAGCTGCTACCCGAAACTTCGAAGATCAAGAGGATTCTCTTCGAGTTCAGGGTTACGGACTAGCCTTGGTACGAGCGATACTCGCTTTTCAACGCAGTATAAATCTTCGTATGCTGTAATTGTATTTTGCCCGAGTACGGCTGTCGTTACTCTTAGCACTAAGCACTCCTCCTACTAACCACCAGGAGTCAACACCTTACCGTACTTCACGCGTGTTTTTAGTTTTTCGTAGAAGTAAATTAACAGCCCTGGCTGGAATCGAACCTAAAGCCTGGAGGAGGAGGATGTGGAGCGACAAGCCAGGCGAGGCTGAACGTGGGTTCCACCTTGTACTGTCATCTACTCCGATCATCCTTCAAGTATCTTGCAACATCTCAATGAATACTCTACCCTCGGAGCTTCTGGAATTCATTTTCGAAGAATTCACGGAGAGTTTCGACGACGATCCAAAAACCCTCGCCAGCTGCAGCCTCGTTTCCCGTGCCTTCTGTGCGGCTGCACAACCACTGCTCTTTCGGTCCATCTCTCTGAAGAGAGCAGAGCAGACTCAAAGGTTTGCCACGGCAGTGACGAACAATTGCGACCATTTAGCACTGCACGTGCACAACGTAGAAATTTGGCCTCCAACGTACGCTGGAGACTTTCCTCCTTACGATGCGCTAGCTCGCATTGAGCTTCCTAACCTCGTTAAACTGGTCCTTGGAGCGCCGGATCACTGCCTCCTTTTTGGCACTAACCAACGCTGGAACGAGTTCCCCATCGCCATGCAAAACTGGATCCTCGACGTTTGTAACGGCAAAAGGACCGCCCGAATCCAAACACTTCGCATCGAATGCTATCTCGATATCCCTCCCTCCATCCTCCAGACGGGGCCGTCTCTCAAGAACCTCACACTTATACGTACCAGATTCGAACCCGGGAAGCTACGCGAGCTCAGCGCCCTTGCCAGCCGCGATGGCGACCCTGCAGGAGCCAATCTATGCCGTCCCAGACTGTTGGGATTCAGCGAATCGCAACGCGATCTCCTCTCTTTGGACGCCAAGATCTTTTCGCAAATTGAGGAAATTATCATTGACGTCAAGTCAGATGGCCTCGAGGACCGCCGGACGACGAACGACATGCTGCAGGCATCTGCAAGTACCGTGAACTCGGTCGGCTTCAAGCTTTGCAGTGACTTTACTTCCCCCCTCAGCCCAGGCAAGTCGCGTCTATCCTTGTGAATCCTTTCCACCTAACGTTCAATTCCTCAGCGTTGCACGACCTTGGCTCATTGAAGAATCTGACTTCCCTCATGTTCATCACTGAACGCGCTTTTTCCTCGACCCACATTTCGGCAATCGCCAACACCCTCTCTACGCTCCAACCTGGGATTCCCCTGAAAGCACTCGGAATTCTGCTTGATGGCTACAGCCAGCTCGGAGATCCTTATGGCAGGTTAAAGAACATCCCGTTCATGGCGCCCCTTGGCGTTGGGGACGCGATTGCATGGAAGAAGCTCGACGTGAGCATTTCATCCCTTGCTCACAGCTTACGCTCGACCTTGTCGGAAGTCTTCATTGACTTCCAAGTTCGACTACGACTACCCGACACATTTGAGGGGGATGAACAGCAGAGCCAGGGATGGAATGAGCATTGTGGCGAGGTTCGGGAGATGTTCATAGCTCCGGTAGAGCTGTTGCCTCAAGCGTCAAAGAGCGAGATATTTCACTTTGAATTTAGAGTTCTTAAGGCCTGATTCTATAATCACTGAATGCATACCTCTACAATATGTAGCTAGAGTGAATAAAATTGCAACGTGGCTCCTAACCGGACTCATAATATTGCCTCCTTAACAGTCGAATACCATCGTGTTCGACGAGACCAAATGTCTCTTTGACGACTAGATACAAGAAGATGGAGCTCGTAATATGAGGCGAGACATGTCACATATCAAGAGATTGGATCTTTGAGCGGCGGCTGCTCATCACTATCAATTAAGCGCCCGTGATGAGGACGGTCTGGTTTTAAACTTTCCGACGATTGCGGATTATGACAAGGGCATTGATGAAAGGTGTTTTCCAGTGAATAGAGTTCTGCCGCTGACCCCGAAAGAAACGTTATTTTTGGCCACACTGAGCGCCTATATACTACGATATGCATGCGGCGGGACTTGATCATGAGCTTTCAGCGCCTAAGATTTCAAATGCCGTAGCGGTTACGAATAACTATCGTTCAGCCAATTACGCAGCATAGACCTTCTCTTTCAGCCATAAGTATTTACAGCCAACGGTCGCACGACGTGTCACTTTCCTGAGTGGTTACTGATTGTCAACGTCGTAGAGCTGAAGACTGTCCCTCAAAACCAAGACTCACCTACTCGAGGCACGCTCCTCCTCACTTTCCATCCCTGACCACCCGGTAGAGGTTCCAACTCAACAAGGAGAATCAACCTTCTATCTCCTCTGTCCCACCGAACTACGAACTCGACTAAACGTGTCGCCGGTGCCTTGGTATTGACGTACTCGTCAACCAACGACCTGGCTCTCTCTTCCATTGCCGGACAATCGCCCTTTGTCTCCTGGTCCAAAGTCCACTTATGTATAGGCATCCGACATGTCAAGATCGGCTTGTCCGTCGGGCGATCCCAACATGTGTTTATCCTCGTCAGGATTTCCCATTCAGGCTGGTCCGGGCAAGACTGTTTCGGGTAAGTTAGACAATACAGGTCTTCGATACTCCGAAGATGAAACGCGCGAGTCGCTTGACGGTATCGTATGTTCGTCGCAGTGCGTTCTGAAGAATCGAATGTGAGCAGGCAGGGTGTAAACTAGAACTTGAGCTTGATCACTGACCATAGTATGTGTGACGCATGACATCGCATTCATGTTTGTGTCTCGCCTTCCAGTCTGCGCTCTGACATTTCCGGCTGCAGTAAGCGACCAAGTGGCATCGTGAGCAAGTCTTTGTGCCATCCACTCCCATGTGAGGACCGACCCATATTTCATGATGCTATGATGCCTCAGAAAGACTCTGCTGTAAGGAGAACTGTAACAACCACTTACCAAATCGTTGTCGCATAACCTCAGGCCTTTTCTCTCCACTTCCTGCTGCCCTGCCACTCTAAATGGAAGAGTGGAGTAGATTTGCTCCCAAAGAGGGCCAACACGTTCTCGCCGGCGGAGTCCGTCAATGACAGACTGAGGGAGTGCCGCCAAGGCCCTGCGAAGTGCAGCGAGAGAACGAGGATGGAACAAATACGCTCCAAAAGCCCGCAGCATGTCCTCCACAATTCTCCAGCCTGCATCCTCAAGAGCAGATTCCTCCACCTTCATCAGCGCGTCGGCAAGGAGGGTGAGTATCCCACTGTCAAGCATCTCCTCCGCTGCTCGGGGGTCCGTCGTCAGCAAGAAAAGCCTGGGGTAGGAGCACAAGATGATGTGCAGAGGGAGGCGTTGCTGTAGATTGGCCAACATTGTCACTGAACGAGAGAGATAATTGGAAAGGCGCAGCTGCCGAACGATCACACGGACTCCCTGCCAGTGGAGGCAGTGAAGGGAGGCCAACAGCATCGAACATGCCATGGAAATGTCCACTATATCGTTCCATCCACCGACCTGCGCGGGGGGCTGGTCGATCCGACATATTACCGCGTTGCAAAACAACTTCAAACGACCTGGGAAGGCCAGGACGACCTCGAGAAATGTCGCCAGACCTTCTTTGTCGGAGAGGTATACATGAAGGAGCTTGGTGAGTATACACTCCCCTCTTGCAAGACCTAAGGTGCTGTAGACGTTTACAGCGCTCTTGGAGCGAAAGGTCCACGCCTTCAGGAAGAGTTTGACGGCCTCCCTTGAACCCATAAGCAAGTCGGACGATCTGAAATCGATCATACAGAGTTGATAGAGGACGGTTGCCATACTCCATAGGGTCTCGCGGACAAACTGGGATTCAGTCGACACCGATAGACGTGCCATTGCGAATTTCATCCAAGCCAAGATGTTGTCAAAGTTGGCGACGAGTTTCGTGACCGTGCCTTCCTGAAGGGAGGGAGTTCGGGAGCAACCGTACTCGAGGGACGCTGCGATACACGCAAGGACGCCAAAGACCCGCTCGCCGTCCGCGGAGTTGCATTGAGCAGTTGTACGAGGCAGCTTTGCGTATTCCACATGAGGCAGAACGGCATCCAGGACATCCAGGCTGTAGTTGTCGCGGTTTATTGAATTGGCGAGATCGAAAAGTTTAAATGGGTCGCCTTTGGCGGCGTCTCGCAGTAGCTTCATGACGCAGAAAGGGTTAGAAAGGTTCCTTTGAAGGGGTGAAGTCTCATACTTGAGGTGTAATTACCCTAGTACTTCTTTGCATTTCCAGGACGTTGTGGTGGAAGGACAACCCGAAATCGGTGCTGCTCTTCCTCTGTTTGTTACGCCGGGTATTCCAAACAAACAACGCCCAAACTTCGACGGCTTCAAAGTGAGGTGAGGTGAGGTTTATTACGACGGCTCCAAAACTGAAGGTCTAGATACATGTAAGCGAGTGACTACATAATTATTCTAGACAAAATAAACTCGCATCGCGCGGTCCCAGCGACTGTCCCCTTCTCTAGGGGGAAAGTAATACCAGCCCGGGGACGTTGTCATTCTCTCACTCGGTACACTTCGCGCTTCTTGATAACACTCCCGGACGAATGAAGCTCCTGATCAACTCTCCCAACACGAACTGGCACGATTCACACCCGGCAACACACAGACAAGGAGTTTCAAGTTCGTGTTGTATTCTTCTACTTGTTCACTAACCTAACCTAAACTAAAACAAACAAAAAAGAGACCGATACCGTGACCATATCCAAGAAACAGAGATGGATAGAGTGAGAGATGGATAAAGTAAGAGAGATAAAGCGAGAGAGTCAGCGAGACGGATAAAGCGAAAGGGGGATAAATTAAATTACTACCAGTATCACTACGATCATGCACCTTGAAGTTGAGCCCAAAGGTCGACGGATGTGGATGAGTGACGGAGGTGGTTCATCGTGAATTCCGACATCGAGCGCAGGCACCTACCCCACGACGGAGGGTGAAGCGATTCGGGTCGACATCGAGCCCGGCTGAGAGTCGACTCTGAGAGATCCACAGGGTGTGGTCAGGTGAGATTGAGCGATTCCAAGACACCCAGTACCACCATCCTTGAACCGCCCAAGCATGACACGTACGACTCGCAGCACCGACGGACAGAGGATCCAAAATCCAAATGTATAAAAAGAGTAAAAAAAGCTAGTTATATCCAAAGTGAAAAAACGAAACACAGAAGAAAAAAGAAAAATAAATCCGAATTCCACAACAAGAAAAGTAATGGTTCGAAAAAACAGGAGTCCTCTCATGAAAGAAAAGAAAGAAGAGAAGAAAAAGGAAAAGGTAAGTAAAAGAAAAAAGATGTCCGAGTACGAGTAACGAGTCATACAAAGAAAGTAGGTAGTAGTAATGGTAGTGGTGGTAAGTCTCAAGACACAAAAGTAGGTAAGCGCAACGGTCGTAGTAGTAGTAAAAGGCGGGGTGGTAGTAGAAGGCAGTAAGGCGGGGCGGCAGTAGCAGTAGGCAAAGGGCGAGGCGGTAGTAGGGCAGTAAAGACGAGGCGGTAGTAGTAGGCAAAGGACGAGGCGTAGTAGTAAGAATGTAGACAATAGGGAAACAAAAAAATGAGAGACAAGATATATAGATATATATGTAGTCCGTCCGAGAGAGAGAGAGGAAAGAGAGAAAAATGGTGTATATATGCGACAGTGGTGGGTTAGAATATATAGATGGGGCGATGATAGTGAATGGGCGATGGAATGCGATGGAGGGTGGAGGATGGATGAGAAAGAGGAAGATGGGCGATCAGAGGGGAAGGTATGGCGATGGCGAGGAAGGTACGGCGATGGTCAATCGGAAAAAGGAGGAACGGGGAGGACAATATGGGAGACGAGGGAGGATAGGATGGCGGACGAGGAGTCGAATAGAATCAGAAGAAGAGGACTAGAATCCCGAAAAAATTAGTCAAACGACGATGATAAGATGGGTATGAATGGTATCAAATCCAAACATCATTGCACCGAAAGCGAGGAAGAGGAAAAAAATAAAAGCGAGCAAGGGGGAGAATTAAGGTATCAGGCAGCAGCGTGATGTGGAAGGTGTGTGGCAGCAGCGTGACGAGGAAGGTGTGAAGGTGTGTGACTCTATGGTCGTCATGGGCGAGGCGCAAGTCCGCAACACAAAGGCGCACGCAACACGAAGGCAGTCCGCAACTTGAATGCGTGAAGGCGACGAGTCGAATCGAGCGTCGAGCGGGTCGAGGGAAACTTCACATCTAGGCGGAGCCGAAAAGTCGCAGCCGAATGGTCCATCGAAGGGAGGGGTAGGGTGTCTAGCACGGCGAGGGCGAGAAAGAGGTATCAAAAACATGAAATCCGGGGTGTGCGGGAGGGAGGGGTCGGTGTCATAAAACAAGCAGTCATCAAGGGCGTCAAAAACAGTGAACGAGTGAACGAGCACCACCAAAAAATCCAATCCATCCACCATCCAAGGTTATGCTCGCAACGCAACAGCTGCACCGCAACTCAGCAGCAGGTCTGAAGTTCCGCTCAAAACGCAACATCAAGTCATCGCGCACGCCAGGACTATGAACGCCTCTGCTCCTCCTCCATCACCTCCCGAACTACCCTCTGGACATCCATCCCGAGGTAGACATGCTCAACAGGAAGACCCGGCCCACACGGGGACGACCGCGAAGAAACAGCGACCTGCTGCCGTGACGAAACAGCATGCCGTCCGGTAGACGACCGCAGGCGGTACACCCTAACCCGCTCAACACGACCCACAACGTCAAGGTTAACCTCGACCTGTTTGACGATTTTGCCCTCCTCCTCCTTCTCCTCTTCGTGCTTGTGTTTGTCCTTTCCCTCCTTTCCCTCCTTCTCCCGCTGCTTCCTCTCCTCCTTCTCCTTCCTCTTCTGCTCCTTGTCCTTGCGCTTTCGCTCCTTCTTTTCGTCCTTCTCCTTCCTCTTCTCGTCCTTCTCTTTCTCCTTTTCCTTCCTCTTACCCTCCTTCTCTTTCTCTTTCCTCTTCCTCTCCTTCTCTTTCCTCTTCTCCTCTTTGTCCTTCAGTACACGCCATCCGCCTTGGTTCCACTAGAGGGAAAGAAAGAGGGGGGTGTCAGCTAAACGTTCGTTCGGGATAGGGGCGAAAGAAAAGCAGACGAAGAAGGAAGACGAAGGTAGAACGGAACGTAACGAAGGCCAACGTAAACGAACGAAGAACCAGCAACAGTAAATCACCGAAAAAGAAAGCAAACCCAACAAAGCCCCGTGGATCTTGGATCACCATCCACACCATCCACAGACGAACACTAATACACTAATCGCCAAGCCCCAATGAAACCACCCATCCAATCGCCAATTACAATCAGAGACCCGAGGATCAAGGCATATCCATCGAAAGAGCGCTAAGCTCCAAGGCAAGCTCAAAACGCAACCTAACGAACGAGGAGGACCCAAGCTCAAAAGGCAAGGTTTGGGTTACTCTCGAGCAAGGAACCCAAAATCCCCCTCCCCAACGCCACAGCACGTAATAATACCAACTCGAGAGCATCGAGCATAGAGCATATAACCCAAAGCCACCCCTTCGAGGGGGTTGTATGAGTAAGAGCATAGACTCTCAGACTCTCTCTCTCTCTCTCGAATCCAGAGCCCCCAAGCCAAAGAAAAAAGGTAAAGCCTCCCAAGAAGGATAAAAAAGAGAAGAGATATAAAACGGTGGCGACCACGAACAAGTCGAGCCCCCCACCAAACCACCAAAACCAAAAACGAAAACCGAAATAAATGCTCAACTCACCACCAAACTCTCCTCCCTCCCCTCCCCATCCTTCAAAACCACCACCTCAACCAACACATCCTCCTCCAGATCAGCACCACCATCCGTAAACGGAACGCAAATCTCGGTCCTAGTCGTAGATTCCAATGACGAGGTCTATCGGTGGTCATCAAGAAATTGAGAGTAACATTGGACCGAGATGAGCGAGTCGAAAACACATCGGAGGCCGAGATCAGCGAGTTGAGAAAGCATCGGACCCCGAAGTTAGCGAGTGGCGAAAACGTGGCACGGTGGTGGGCAGGTGGAGGTGCACGAGCATTCAAGGTGTCGTCGTATCCATCCACCATGTCGGACGTCACGCCATACCAAAGTCGTAATCGGATTCGTATCGCAGGGCACAAACGAGTCGTTGAATTCGCAGGTGGCAAGTCGGGATCAAAGTCGAAGTCGAAAGTCGAGGTCAAAGTGGAAGTCGAAAGTCGAGGTCAAAGTCACGAGTCACAAGCCGAGGCCAAAAAGTCGCAAGTCGAGCGTCAACACCGCGTTTGTATCGAGAGTCGAATGTCGAGGCATCCAGAGTCGAATTGCGAATTCCAAGCACGCAAAAGATGAAAAAAGCAAACGAAAAAGCAAGAAACCGTCAGCAAAACGTCTCCTCATCCACGAGATACAAGTAAACGCACCTCAGCACCATTCCCATCATACACCAACTCCCAAACCCTCTCCGCATCGCCATCCCAAGAAGCAGGAGTCCAAATCCAATTCGAATCTCCCTCTACCCCTCCGTCGGAATTCGGATTTTCATTCCCAGTATAAGAGATAGGAATGGCAGTCTCAGTAGAAGCATATGGTTCCGAGACAGTTCTAGAGGGTATCGTCGAGCTACCAGACCGGAGAGGGCGTCGTTCACGTTCGTGCTGAAGAGGCTGCTGCTCATACTGCGGTCGACGGCGTTTCAACGAGGTAGAGAGACCAGGGATGTCGTACGAAGTCGAAGGGAATCTGTAAACGGGGGAGTGTTAGTCTAGGGATAGCGAAAGGGTACGAGACGGTACAAAAAAAACCGACAAAAAAAACAAGAAAAGGACAAGAAAACTCACGGCAGATCCCAATCCTCCTCCTCCCTCTTCCACAACCCCAATCCACTCCACCACCGTCGATCAAAAATAACACCACCCTGATTAATCTGCGTAACCGTCGTCGAAATCCTCGGGCCCGTCGGTGTCCCTCCTCCTCCCTGCCCAGGCGACCCCGTCGTCCCACTCGAATCAAACACATCATCCTCCACCGCCTGCCCAGTCGCATTAATCCTAAGATTACCCGTAATCCGCTCGTTAACCGGCGCATCGGTGTAAAACCGCACCATCGGGTACACAACGAATAGACAAAGCAGAGCAGCGACCATCGCCACCAGCGTCGAGATATTCACCACACCGCGCCACGAAATAATCGGCGATGAGTACACCTTTGGCGGGCGGCGCGGCTTTCCTGTCGTCGGTTTCAGATTACCATGCGTGCTACTCGACGCTGTAGATGTATTCCGCGTTGCGGTGGAGTTTTTGCGGGATGAAGAGCTGCCGGGGTACTCAATCTCGGGATCGTGCAGCCAGTCGTCCTCGCCGTCATCGCTGTCGTCGTCCTCGTCCGGGTCGTACGCGTACGCCACCAGACCCCGCGGCTCACTCCCATACCCTCCACCGATATACCCGCCAACCATACTCGCGGGGTACTTGCTGTCGCTCCCCATCGAGATCATCGAGTCCCCCGAGGTGGAGTACACCGACGCCCTATTCATCGCAGCGAACCCGGGCGGGGGGAGCAGGCCGCCCGCGCCGCTGTCGTCCGTGGCGCCCGTGTGCGAGGCTTGGAGGGGCGGGGTGTTCATGCCGCTCGGTGTGGGGACCTGGATCATCGAGTCGGCGCGCCGGTAGAGGATCATCGAGCCGCGCGAGCCGGTGGTGGGGAGACCCGGGTAGGGCGCGCTGATGCTGCTGTGTGCGCCGATGTCGCTGGGCATGCGGCTGAAGTTGATGCTTGCGCGGCTGCCTGGGCGGCCAAAGGGGCTTTGGAACGGCGGGGACCCTCCACCTCCGCCGTTGACACCGCTCAAAGAAGGAGCATTCGAGGCGGACGATGAGCGGGGGAGAGGATTTTGCTGCTGCTGCTGTTGTTGGGTGGCGCCGAAGGGCGAAGCGGGTTTGAGAGGTGACGAGGGGAACGATTTGAACGATGAAGCACGGGGTGAGCGGGTGAATGCGTTGTTGCCGTTGCTATCCTGCGCCGCCGCAGAGGACTGGTCGTGATGATAAGAACCCGAGCCGTATATCGACGACGTCTGGCCCTGTCCCTGCGACGTCGACGGGCGGGACGACGTGCTGGCCCCGAAATGCAGCTGTTGGTTAGGGCTGGACGGCGACATAACCAGCGAGACCGTCGGTTGCTGGTGCTGTTGTTGCTGGTATCCCGGCGGTATCTGTTGCTGCTGGCTCATCTGGAACCCTTGCTGCTGCTGCTGGTGAAACTGCTGCTGTTGTTGTTGTTGGTGGTGGTGGTGGTGGTGCAAAGGCGACGCGGGCTGCAGCTGGTGGTGCGCAGAAACAGGGGTGGACGGCGCCGAGGGCGTCCCAGGCAACATGCGGTCCCGCTCGAACCCCAAATCGTACTCGACCTCCTGGTACTGCTTCGTCCACGAATCCCTCCGTCCTGACATTCACGATTTCACGAACGATTAAGAAAAAAATTAATGAATGAATGGGGGGTCGTCGGTCCTTGTCTTTGTCGGTGTCTTTGTCTCGTCTCGTCGCGAGGTTGTCGGTGGTGGGTGGTGGGTGGTGGGTTGTTTAGGGCCTAGAGCAGGGCTTGGCTAATTTTTCGTCGCACCGCAGAAGACTCTGTACCCGGGAGGCGCTGGTGGATCTGAAATCGATGGCTCGATTGGATACGATTCAGAATCGTCCTTTCTGAAATCCCAGTCAACCCGGAAGACCCCCCTCGCGGATAACAAAACAAACAACAACGCCGACGAGCAAGCGGAAGGCGGGGGACTCGAGGGTGAAGGGGGAAAGGGGAGAAAATTAAAGAGGGTGGAAAAAGATAACCAAGGTGCTGAGGGAAGTTCTGGATGGATGACGGACCACGGTCGTCTGCCACCGCGCGGGAAGTGGGAAGGTGTGACCCAAACGGCAAACAACGACAGTCTGGCAACCGCGAGCAGTGTGCACACACAGCCAATCAACGATTGATCCCAATCTTCAATCTTCGGATTTTTGGCGAATTGAATCCTGATTGAGATTCCTAGATGGGGTGGTCAGCGGCGACGGCACAATATTTCAATGGGATACGGACACAAGTCAGTGGGGGATGTACAGACTGCGGCACGGCTCAGTCGCGAGGCAAGGTTGGCAACCCCGGACATCGATGATAGAACCACGGCCTGGCCCTGGGCCCCGTGGGCGCCTCCCACCACAGCATGTCTTGCGTCATCACGCTGACAAGCCTTCCAAGTGATGTGCCATGCCGGACATACACCGCTGATGGCCGGATTGGGGTTTCTCTCCGAGTCTTCCACCCTCTGCACTGAGTCTGTGCTTCCTGTCCTGTCTGACCTTAGGCCTTGAGGCTCGCCGCTCGAGGGTTGTCTCAAATTCATTTAGTATAGCACTACGGCGCAGGCTCAGTCCCTCCCCGTTCTCCATGATTCACGTTCACAATGGATCCTGAACGGTTCCAGCTGCCTGTCTGCCTGTCTGCACCGCCTTTATGTATCTCAATCCGCTCTTGTCTTAATGAGTTATAGACACGTTGTCGTCTTCAAGGGCTATGACTGCAGTCTGTAGGACGGTGGACGGTGGACCCCCTCAGCCCTGAGGCCTGAGCGCCGGAGCCCTGAGTAGAGAGGTGAGTAGTATATATGATAAGTAATCCAATTAATTCAATGGCGCACACACACAGAGCTTGCGTTGCATGCGTACTATACGCTTCGGTGGTCACCCGGAGAAACTCCCTTCTCTGACTCCCTTCTGGAATAGGCCTCGCATTGGTCCCAATGCCGTTACTGAGACATCCCGGTCGGTGATGTACATACTTCCTACTGACGAAAAAACTACGCTAATGACGCCCACTCTTACAGATCTAAGCTCTGCCAATCTCACACGCGAAAACTCTGACCAACGTTCTCGCACACGAAAAGTAACTGACCAACGTTCTCGCACACGAAAACACTGATACACAATCTCACAGAACACCAAACTCCACAGAAAGGTGAAACGCCCACCCGGGTCCTGGGACGTGTACACCAAATCCCTGAGACGTCGAACTCCAACCATAACCCTAGCCCTCGGGTTTTAACTTTTCGCTATCATCCCTCGGTCGAACCCCTCCGCTTCGAAGTTCGAGCCCTCGGTTAATTTGGGTCCCCATGCACATGTTCTAATACTCCGGTTGGACTGTTCGACCCCTGTCTTTCGAAACACAAATTCGAAACGTCGCAACGAAACACCGAGACCACCAGTAACGAAACTACTCCCATCTGTCACCCCTCATCTTCACCCTTGCTCGTTTCGACGAATACGTTACTTATAGGACCTCGCATGATTTCAAGCTGCTGGTATGCGCGCGCTACTTTGCATGTCATCCTCCGTCCACGTCGTCGTCTTTGTCGTGGGGTCTCCCCACCGTTCCGTTACAGCTGTCGAACTTCGTTCCTATGACGTCCATCCGAGTCGTCTTCTGACTCACTCCTCGTTCCAACCCCACCTTCACACCTCGTTCTCTTCCAACCCCGTCTTCCATACCGCTCTTCACCCTGGCTACTTCTCCAATTGGTCATATTCTGCATCCCATTTCCAGTCACTCAAGCTGAATAATGATATCCCCAACCATAGACGCTGTAATCATCGACACCACATACTAGTACCAGTGCAGGACTGACACTATCTCCCCACTCCTTCACGCTGAAACTAACTCTCCATTCCCGCATGCCGACGTTCAAGCTATCTCTCACTTCCGCACGCCGACGTTCGGGCTTTCCTATATCTCCACTATCAAGCGCCGGTACTATCGAGGGCCGAAACTGAGAACTCCATACCGAATCTCGAGCGAAAGCACGAATACATATCTCCATATCATCGAGCGGCGAGCGCCGACCTGGTCGAATTCCGTCATCGACTTCGAAACAGTTGATCGGAGGACGCCATCTCCCATTGAGGACTCGTTGAGTCATTGACGCTATCTCTCAAGACTCATTGACGCTACATATCTCTCATTGACGCCATTACGAACTCAAGTCGTCATAAGCTCAAGAGATGAGTTATGGTGAGCCCTAGTCCGTTGGAGATGGGATATCAGTTATCACCCAGACTTCTGCCTATCGACTGCCTGGGCGCTCGAGATGTCATCATTGATCACCCATACCTACCGCTAGCGTTCTAGCGTTCAGCAAGTTCTATTCGGTTTCCACCCTTCCATTGACATGACATACCCTCCTCCCGCTCCGAATCGACATAAGTTCACCTCGCCCCAGCTTCCGCTACCGTGAAATACATTCAACTTGAAATCCCCGCACCCACCCCCATCCCCATCCCCATCCCCGTGTGTACCCGTGCTCTTAGTAATTAGCGCCCACCCCCCTAATCCGAGCCCAAACCCGAATCCGAATCCGGATCCGGATCTAAATTTAAATCTAATCAACGACGGCGGCGCGCGTCCGAGCCCGTCGACACAACCCACATCTCCGGAGGACATACCGTTTTCAATGTCCTGCGGCCACCAATTGGATGTAGTACGTACCCCCAGCGTCAAACCTAGCATCCGAGTCATCCTTTCGACGCCCTTAGGCTACATATCCTGTCTTCCATTGAACCCTGCAAATGCATACCACCCCTCGGGACGTCTTGTGTCGAGACTACCCTCCCTCCCTCCCTCCCTCCCTCCATTCATTCATTCATCATTCCTCCATTCATTCTTTTCGAAGTTTATTCGACGCCTTCGGGTTAGAAACCGATTGGAACGCGAAATGAACGCATTTCGGCTAGATAAGATCCCTGAAATCCTAGTTCTCGCTTCGACTAGTAGGTATCACAAATGACAAAACCCCCACACTGACAAAGCCCACCACACCTTCGAAATCGAAGTTCCAACGCCTCCGCCACTCCCTACCAGCAATTGAGTATACATGTCCCGCAGCCTCATGGACTTCCCGCACGAAACCAAATGCCCAATACTGATAAACCCTATGTAGCAGATTCTTGGATTGCTTGGCAACGAGACGGGCGTCTATTTTCCCTTTGATCTGCATAGCTTTAGATTTCCTCACCATGTAACAGGATGCCAAAGACGTCGCGCTTATACACAGATTGATTCGGTCGTACATAGGTTTCAGATTGAACGCCCTTACTAGACCCTAGCGATATAGATGTAATCTGTAAACATTCGATGAGCGCTCGCCGGCCATTCCGCCATTCGCAATTCCGGCGTTCAAGGACTCAGAAGACTTGTGTGAAACGAAGCTCAGGCTGCAACGTTTCACGGTGATGACTGGTGATCATCATGTAGTACCTGCAACTGTGCAGTTCCCTGAGTCCTTGGTTCCCGGAGACACGACATTATGGACCATTGACTTCCCTGATGACAATGAAACCTCGAGGATTTCCGGGTATGAACTTTGGAATCCCGGACCTACACATGCACGCCTCGAGAAGTCCTCGAAGGACGGGATCCACCTGATAATCAAGGGACCAACTCGCATCCCACTCATCATGATCGAGCCTCGAGGTAAGTATTGCGTCACCTTTCACCTTTCAGCTTTAATTAAGTGCTTCGACAACCCTCGACTAAGTGCACTGACATCAAGCTCGTTAAATAACGCATTGCCACCTTCACCTAGTAAGTAAGTATGCACCTTCTACTCAGTCCGGGGTGCCTGATCAGAAGTTGTGTATGTAGCGCCGCGAGGCAGGCACGTTGCTCTGGATCCTCGAGTCCTTCAAGGAACTCACCACACCTGAACCGCACCTTCGCCAATTCGTACCGTATCTTTAACACGAGGCAAGATATTCATTTAGATAAAGACCCTGAAAGGGCGCTCGCTGGATGCATCATACACCGCCCATGTAAGACACCGTGAATGAAGGACTCATCGGTCTAGTCGGTCGAATGACCCTGCATGAGCAGGCGACCGCCCATTCATCCACGGGTGTTCAGAAGGGCATGAACGTGGTGGTGAAAATGTCTTCGGCGCTGCATCACCGCGTTATCAGCAGCGATGTCGTTTATTGACGGATCAAAGGAAGTCGCAAAGATTTAAGCGCCGAAATCCCTCATCCCGCATCCTCGTCTGATCGCATAGACATGGCTCAGGAACCATGACGTCCGAGTCCCGCTAGCCGGATGGATAAGACTGTACATGGGATTATCTATTCCTCTTCAGGTGCATGGCGCTGGGTGATTGGAAATTGAATCCAACAGACGTTGAGGGCTGCAGGTTCTTGGCGAGCCAAGCGCCCAGACTGAGACTGGTCAGGTCCGGGGTTCGATTCCGAGCGATGACAAAAGTTCCAGACGAAGTCGATGGCCTAAAGGTTAGGTGCTCTATTCGTAAATACGGGATGGGTAATCGAGTCATCACTGAGTGTAAATATATATAAAAGAGGGAGAACGAAATGAAGTCGCATCGAACCTCGCCTGTATAATAAGCGCCCCCGACCAGGCTGGTGCAAGGTAGACGCAAAGCTGTGGACAGGCGGAGCCACAACGTTAGATTCGCACGTGCATTCTATGCGTCAATGTCAAAGGAGAAAAACGATGATTTTTGACCCCAAAATTCACATTCAACTTCAAATTTGGACTTGCCTTTGAATCACTCGGTTGTTACCATCCGAGAACGTCGTGAACTCGGGTCGAAAGTGAATCATGACGCTTCGGGACTCTGAGTTTAACCCTGTACAATTGCCTCACCTTCTATCCTCTATCTGAGACGGCTTTCTATCACCGTCTCGACCATGAGTTCTCAGCTCACTGTGAGAATGCAGAGAAACCGCAGTATCACCGAAACATTGTAAGTTTTTGTTCCTCGGTTAGAAACAACCGACAAAACTTAGACTGCATATTAGGCAGCCTGACTTTAAACTGGTCATGGCGAATGCTCACGCTTACTTGGGATATCCACTTTGCTGACGACCGACACTCCTAGTCCTGTAGATGCTAGTCCCCATATTTCAGGGGGATTTGGATTTCTGACAATCGCTGCACTTACCTTCCATCGTTCGGAAGGGTTAGAGCGGACGGTGGTTCTACTCGTGGGCACCAAAAGTGATGGCACTCTCACGGTTTCTCTGCCAAAATCGCGACATTGTAGCCGCGATAAGCCAGTACCTACTGCACGTATTCCTTGCAAACTTTGCATGAAGAGTTCGTTCTCAGCCTTGTATAAGCTATCCAAAGATGAACCCAATAGAGACAATACTCGCCGAGATCCACATTGGTCTCAAATGTATATTTTCGACATAATTTTCCTCTTGCACTTTCAGTTTAGGAGTCATTCCAACTCAAACTCCTTGATATGGTAGGTACGTACAGCCTAAACCTATATCTCAAGCGGTTTGGTGAAATCTTTCTGCATTGCTGAGAAAAGTCTTGAACGAGTTGCCAGTAACAGGGTGCCATCACTTTTGGTGCCCACGAGTACAGTAAGTCGGAGGCCGTTGCCGCTTGCGCTTCTTTGATCCGCAAAACATATAGAGTCGCCATAAAGCTCACGTTGTACCTTTTACCAGGATTTTGAGGCTTCTATACGGTCATTCGTGAGGTGCATGGGATATTGAATCAATTCTCGGAGAAACAACGAGAGCTGTGACCACAGTGCATATAAACTTTACGGCTCGCCAGTAGGAACGTATAAAGCTGGAGTGTTGCGCCAGTAATTGATTCAAGCTTCAAAGATGGCCCACGGACTCAAAGCTCTCCTCCCTGTCCTTTTCTCCCTCGTCGTTATCGCCAATGCTCTAGGAGACGGCAACGATGCCCATCTACAGGCTCGAGCTACACCTGCCCCTGCACCCCACAACCCCTGTTAGTTCCGACGCCTCGTCTGCCGACTCATTAGCGCTCACGCTGATCGCATGTATAGGTGGAAGCGAACCCTACGGTGGAGAAATAGTCTGCCTTGACGGACCTCAAGTACCCTATTGCACCCTCATTAGCGGCTGTAAGTCTCGCTTCCTCACTCTCCTCTTTCACAACGAACGCCCTCAACGTGCCGTCTAACTCCCCATCCCAAATCGTAGCCGCCTATTTATGCCAACCAACCAAAACTGTCGTGCCCGTCCCGACCCCACCAATCGACCCTCTAGCGCGCTGCACCCCGCCCTGCACGCCAGGCATCAACTACACCACCAGGACTGTATGGACTGAATGCTCGTGCGCCGCGTGTCCTACCATTTCTTGCGGTGGTGACTGCGGACCTGGCTCGACGAACGCTATCACCACCGGTACGAACGGGTGTGCTAGTTGTGGAAGCTGCGTCCCTACTGGAAACGCGAGGCGCGAACCTGTGGCGGAGGCCACTCCTGCCGTGACGCACTTGTAAAACTTGCGAGAAAGTTGTAGTTGATTGTACGGCACTCCAGTGTTAATATCGGGCCGTACATAGATGCTATTTTACAGTCACTACCTTGTAGCCTATATCGAGCGTGATTCCCGATCAACACGTAGGCTAAAGTGAGGGTACATCCTACTGGAAGCCGTCGGCTTTGTTGCAAAGTACGCAGTTACTAGAACTCCATTTGGTCATCCCCAACGTCGAAGTCACCGTAGAACCCCGGAAGCTTGGAGGTTTCGGGCAAAAGCTGGGCAAAAGGGGGATAGAGTTCCCGAATCTTGCGACGATTTTCATTCCACATCTGTTGGCTCTGTGGTGCGTTCTTGTCGAAGCCGTCAGGCAGTTGCAGGTTGACCCAGAAGTGAACATGTACTTTCGAAAGGGTCGCGCTCAAGCGGCGAGCGAGAGACGAGACAGTCTCATCGAGCGTCTTCCAAACATCAGCGTGCTCGTCGCCCAGCACCGACATAAACAGGATGCGACCGTGGTACCGATCAACACCGATTTTACAGTCACCAAAGAGCCCCAGGCAAAGTCCCCGTAATGGAATCCCTGGGACGAGAGTAGATAAGGTGTTGGCGATTTTCGAGACACAACTCCGGGAGGTATTTTCAGCCGTGAGGTTGAGGTAAGTCAAATTCCTCGATAGCCCAAGGTCGCACAGTGCTGAGTGTTCAAGGTTAAGCTGGTGGGATTTCCAGAGATAGAGCCGACTTGACTTACCTGGGCTGAGGGTGGAAGAAATACCCCTCCGCAACATGAAGGCGATTCGGCGGATGGAGTTTTCAGAGGCCTTCAGCACGTCGTTCGTCTTCGGGTAGCTCTCAGGGTTGGAGGAGAAGACATCAAACACAATGCTTTTGGCCTTTGAAAATATCTTGAGGTCAAAATAGAGGATATCGCTTCGTGCCTGGCTGAATTCAAGGTATTTCGGTTGACAGAGACTAGCCACTGCGGGCTCGCTGTCACGAACAGAGCCACCGGGCTCGCGAAGCTTGTTGATGTCGAAGGTCGTGTGGACAAGGGTGAGTCGCTTGAGGGTTGGACCCATTTGGAGGATTGAGGGAGGGACGTCGTGAAGGTTCTCCAGCGTTAATGAGCAAAGTTGGGTGCTTTTTCTCCTGGTACAAATATCGAGGATCCAGGTTTGTACGACGATGGGAAAGTTGTTCCAGTGTTTGCGTGTGGGAGTGGAGTAGCAGTAGTATGGCCCTGCCACAGTTAGTTGAACGAGGTTGGGAAGCTCAACGCACGCCAACGCATTTGAAGGACAGAATCCTCCTGAATAGGCAGGATCCAAAAGCGCGCCATCGCTGGGGGGCATGAAAGGTGCAGAACGCAGTTCTAGCTTCCGTACGTGCAATGATAAGCGTCCGGGACTGTCTTTCAGCGCTGTGACGAGGCTTTGAGTGTTCTTGCTTTTTGTCTCCAGAGAGACCTCGCGAAAGAGCAGCGGTTGAGCAGCCACACAGAAGGCACGGGAAACGAGGCTACAGCTGGCGAGGGTCTTTGGATCGTCGTCGAAAACTGCTGTGAACTCTTCAAAAATGAATTCCAGAAGTTCCGAGGGTAGAGTATCCATCGAGATGCTGTCAAGATATTCGAAGGATGAGAGTAGATCAGCAAGACAGTCCAGCGTCGCCGCCTGCCAGTGGCTTGAGTGTTTGTTTGGATGTCAAGCTGTAGCACAACGATACCCTGCAGGCCTCTGGTTCGATTCCGGACGTCAGAGCTATTAATTTACTCCTCTGGAAAAGACCTTGACAACTCACGCTATCCCTACGGGTGCAAACGGGTGCGTGAGTTGCGGTTGAGCTTGCGTACAACCTGCGTTGAACCTGCGCCCATACAAGTCCCGGGCGCGAGTCTCCCTCAGTTTCAGACAAATACGAGGATTGTAGTCAAGATTTTCATTGGACATCTCGGTTCCAGGCCAACAGTAGGGTCATCCAAAATCCTGAGCTGTGGTCACAGCTTCCTGTGACTTGTGTCAGCGCGTTGGAACTTGAAACTTCATTGAACGGGGACTCACTCTACTCGGGGCACGCTCCTCCTCGCTTTCCATGCTTGTCCACCTGGCACAGGTTCCAACTCGACAAGAAGAATAAGCCTTTTACCATTCTCACCGAGTCACGAACTCGACTAGACGCGTTTTCGGAGCCTTGCTCTTCACATACTCGTCAACCAGCCGCTTTGCTCTCCCATCCATCGCCGGACAGTCGCCTACTTTCTTCTGCTCCACGATCCACCTGGGTATAGGTGCTGGACAAAGTGTGATGGCATTCTCCGTGGGCTGGTCCCAGCACGCGTTGATCATCATCAGAAACTCCCATCCACGTTGACCAGGCTGGCTCTCTGTAAGGAGTCTGTACTGTGGGTTACACACGCCTTCGATGACTCGTAGATGGAATGCGCGAGTTGCATGGCGATATTTCGTGTTGGTCGCACTGCGTTCTTATGGATTCAAGTGTTAGTATTCTGATCCAGGCAGCAGAGAGGGGTGGAGCGTATCCACGAACCGTGATAGCTGTGGCGCACAATAGGGCATTCGGGCTTGTGCCTCTCCTTCCAGTCTGTTTTCTGGCATTCGGGGCTACAGTAAGCGACCAAGTGGCACCCCGAGCAGGCCTTGACGCCTCCTCCAACCATGTACGGGCCTATCCACATCTCGTCGTGCTTATGATAGCGTCAGAAATTTGACGGAGCGGGAACGCAACACAGTTATGTACTCACCGAATCATTGTCACATATGCTCAGTCCTTCTTCTTCCAGACCGTTAAGATGGTTAGACTGAGGTCCAATGCAGTAGACCAGTTCGTCCCAACGGGAACCGATGTATTCGCGGTGATTGAGTCCTTCCTCCACGTATCTGGGGAGTTCGCCCACGGTATGGCGAAGGGCAGCAAGGGTTCGAGGGTGGAACGTATACGCCGCTAACGCCTGGATCAGGTTCTGTGCATGTTGTCGCTCGTCCTGCCCAACAACAGCCAAATCCACTTTCATCAGCGTGTTGGCAGCGACAGTAACAAGTCCTCCGTCGACCAACTCCTCCACTGCCTGAGGATCCGCACTGAGCGAGAAAATCGTGAAGAAGAAGCGCAGGATCGTTTTTGGAGGGAAGTGCTGTTGTAGACTGACGAGCGTTGTCATTAAACGGGAGAGATAGTTGGATATCCGAAGTTGACGATGGATCTCGCGTATTTGCTGGAGGCGGTGAAGGATAAACAGCAGCTTCATCCATTCATCGCCCACAAGCTCTGCTTTGCATACTTTGTCGATGAACGTCGAGAGTTGGTCAACTCTGCAGATCAACGCGTCGCAAAACGCTTTTACATGCTTCGGGGAGGCCATGGCGACGTCGACAAAGATTGAAAGCCATTTCTCGTCGCTGGTATATACGCGTAAAAGGTTGGTCACCATGCAACCCTCGTCGGACCCCAGCGTGCTGTGGACTTTTCTCGTGTTCTTGGAACGCAGAGTCCAGGCCCTCAGAAATATTTTGACGGCTTCTCGTGAGGCCATGACCATCGTGGTTGTTCTGGTATCCATGGTACTGAGTCGGTAGAGGATGGATGCAACGTTGAGGAGATACGACTGGGGAAAAATGGAAGCATCGTCCAACGCCGACAAGCGCGCCAAAGTGAGGTTCATCCAGGTCAAGATATTGTCGAAGTTAGCCATGACCTTCATGATCGTACCTTCCCGAAGAGAGGGCGATCGAGAACAGCAGAGAAGGGATGATGCAACACAAGCAAGTGCACCGGAACCTCTCTCGCAGTCTATGATGATGGAGGCATTCGGAGCACGGGGCAGTTTGTCGTACTGCGAATATGGCAGAACAGCATCCAGGACGGCCAGCCCATAGTTGTCGTAGGTTATTTGTTGCGAAAGACGAAAAAGCGTGCGATGGTCGCCTTTGGCCGCATCTTGCTAGAGCTTTACAAAGGGTTAGACTTGATAATGCCGGAAGGACAAAACTCGTACTTGAGGTGACAGCGCGGCACTTGGTTGCATTTCTGAACCCTTCGATGCCGTTGTTTGAAGTTGACCTGAAGGCGTCTGCGCTGGGCGTGCCAAGTTATTCCTTTTGCTGTCCTAGAGCCTGTATTCCAAACAAATGATGGCCAAATACAGTGACTCTGCAAAAGTTTTGCACACGGAGTTGCTGAGAAATAAGTGGTCGATTTCGAAGTTTCTATAAGGGATGGTCTGGGTAGTCTATGACAGTTTGACAATGCTATATCCTTTGAATAAATGGGTGGAATATGATAGACTTGCACGCGAAGCTGGGGGAGCTAGAGGTAAAGTAATTGATTTTGCTGATGCAATAAGTTTGCGTCATCACGGCGCCTAAACGAACCACCACTTCGTTCCATTGATCTAAACCCGATGCATTTAACTTCAGATGCTAGAATCGTTTGGAGGGTGCAGTTCCCAATGACCAAAGTCCTCCAAGTTTGTGCGATGAGGACATCGTCTCCTGCCAAGTTAGCGCCCGCGCCCGTGCCGGGCAAGCCAGTTTCAGCCGCCCAGATCTTGAAACGTCGGGATGGGCGGGATGGCTTTGGTCTCATCATCAGCTCCAATTTCGTGACCTTCCCTTCCCTGTGCAACTATCCTCTCTTTCTCCCTCTGTGCCTGTTTGCTTCGCAGCACGTCTTTCATCTTCAACCTTTGCGCCGTATAAGTTTGGACTTGGCGCCCGCGAGCGCACTTGGTCCTCTAATGTTGATGAACCGTCACCAAGCGACAACATTCAATTATAACATCTGCTGTAAGATAGGAACTGATTTGAAACGTCTGGTTCGGAATGAGGAATGTAAATACAGACAGCGCCGTCGTTGCTGTACACATTCTGCTCTTTCGTCAGCTCCCCCACCAATCCCCGTCCTCCTCTTCCGCTATGACAGTCCTTTCTTTCTCGCTGCTCCTTGGTAGGTTCCACCGTCCTTTGAATTACCAGAGCGGCCTGTTAACACGTCGTACTTAACAGCTCTCCTTCCTTTCACGATCGCTGAAGACGTCACTCTCTTCTATCCTGCAACACCGGCGCCGACTGGCTTGACCCAACACATTGTATCGGCGACTGTCCTTGGGGTCTCGCCTCTCTCGGTAGACGATGATGGCTTTACCCACTACGCCGCCACTCAAGTACAAAGCGTCGGTTTCTGGAGGCTCCCAGAGACGACAACAACCTACCTCACGACTCCTACGACCTTCACCTGTATGTTCGATCCCATTTCATCAACTCTATTCGACTGTGACTGAGTTGAAATCAATAGATACCTTCAAAGCGGACGCATCCCGCTACCACGCAACTGAAGAGATAATCCCGACGCCGACTTTGTCTCAATCTGGTGTACCAGCAGCAGCCACCTCCGCCGCCAGAGCCCACTCGGTACAGGAATGCACCAGCTTCGACAACGGGACGATGTCTTGCAGCATAGAGGTTCTCGGTGCACCGTTGTCCCCTTCAGGGACTTCCGAAACGGTCTATGCAACCAGTTGGCTGGGTCAGAGGGAACCCTTTGCGACGATTAGCAATATCGAGACGTTTAACATCCCAAGGCCTACACCCCTTGTGAATGTCGCCAACGCCGGGAAGATCAACGACGACTCCGAAGAGGCGTCCGGCTCTGGTGCACTTCAGACAGGGACTTCTTGCACGATGGTGGTTCTCGTCGCAGCCATGATCATGACCCTTCTATAGAGAGGGATGTAGGACCTACATCCGGTTCACTAACCCGCTCATTTATATCCCCCCTTGTTTGTGTGTATTGGTATTTCCATTCAATGTACTCGTGGGCACCAAAAGTGATGGCACCCTGTTACTGGCAACTCGTTCAAGACTTTTCTCAGCAATGCAGAAAGATTTCACCAAACCGCTTGAGATATAGGTTTAGGCTGTACGTACCTACCATATCAAGGAGTTTGAGTTGGAATGACTCCTAAACTGAAAGTGCAAGAGGAAAATTATGTCGAAAATATACATTTGAGACCAATGTGGATCTCGGCGAGTATTGTCTCTATTGGGTTCATCTTTGGATAGCTTATACAAGGCTGAGAACGAACTCTTCATGCAAAGTTTGCAAGGAATACGTGCAGTAGGTACTGGCTTATCGCGGCTACAATGTCGCGATTTTGGCAGAGAAACCGTGAGAGTGCCATCACTTTTGGTGCCCACGAGTATACCAGCTGTTGTAGCTTTTCACGGCGGGCAAACAGCTGTCTGGTGGTGATCGAAACCGTGCTATCCTACTGACTGTCTGGTAAAATGTCCAGTGGCACCTAGACACAGCGATACGAACCGTCTCACTTCTTGGTTTGGTAGAGAAATGTGAAAGAAAGGTTTGATTGAGCAAATGTGGCATTGCTGCCGTGAAGGGGCACGGGGTTCGACTGTGGAAGTCCCATTCCAGCACCTTTGTCCCGGGACCCAATTCTCAAAGGCCATGGGACCTCCACTCTAAGGTGTTTTCTTTGTCTTGATACTGTGTTTCTCGTCTGAACTGGTTTGTTTTTCTTTGCAGCTCAGTTGTCGTCCGAGTGGTCTTTTCACGCTGCCACTGGCAGTGGACAGATTACCAGACAGAGTACCGGTCAGAACACGGGACAGCGTCGACCGGACAGCTAAATGTCCCCCGTGTTTGTGGTCTATGATCAGAGTGGAGGATGTACAGGTAGGAGTGGAGGTTATCGTTCAGGAAGAATGATGTGTCTCTAAGTGTTCACCTTATCTTCGATCCCGAGCATCTTGCAAAACGCAGTGGTTTGAGGATTAAGATAATGCGGCGCTGAGGATTCAGTCGTCAGAACGAGACCCCTATCCATGGAGCAGATGGTACCCACGCTGTTCATTGCTGGAACTCGTTTCGTTATCGGGATCATGACCAGGAGCAACAGGGGCGAATTCCTGCCAGTCCTCAACACGTATACACCCGTCTGACGATTTTTGGATGTGGTTCTCTACCCATTCAAGCTCTTTGGCCACGAGTGCCCGGGCGTCTGCAACAGACGGGAGCTCCTGTTGAGTCATTGTCGACGAGAACCATGGGTGGAGAGCGCGCGTTATGGCAAGCCATTCAGGATCGAACGCGAGGGTGGGTGTCCCAGATGGCGTAGTGGGTTGAGGAGTATCAACTTCCATCACCTGCAAAGGTATTAGTAGAAAGTTAAAGCACTTCAAGTGAATAGGTGGCTAACCTCGAGATAGTGGCATTTGGGTATACATTTATCGAGGGCAAGAAACCGTGTCTGGGTTCCTACTAGGCGAACTAAGGTCAGCAATTGTCCCCATTGAGGGATGTCAACAAACCTTCATCGTGGGGCACCGTCGCCTCGAAGAGGACATGATGATGTGCGGCAAACCACCACCGTGGGCGATGGGACTTTATTAAGTACATGAACGGAGGAGATCCCAGTTTCCCCGAGTCGATGTCTGCTTTTAGACCTGGCTTGCTCTTGAGCAAGGTCTGCAGATCCCCGTAATGAGCGATATTCTGAGGCCAGTCGTGGGAGACGACGATGGGGAGATCCGGGGAAAGCTGCAATATATTGTCAGCTGAGATATAGCTGAAGGTCCTATTGTCCCGTACCAATGAGGCTCGAAATGCGTCAAACATCTTGACGTGGTAGATACTTCTCAGCGTCGCCCCGTCGTATGGTAAGCGCTCAAAATGGCCTTGAAGTCCAAGTCTTGATTGTAGTTTTGTAACCTGGGGACATCGAGATGCTCACCTAACTTGTAGTCCCCAGCATTGAAAATACCTGAGAGACCAAGAACGCGAAGTCCATTAACCTGCACGCATCCAACGTTCCCCATGTGGTAGATGTTTGGCGCTAGCCAGCCTCCATGGTACCTTGAAAGGATGAGATTATCGCTGCGAGCGATAAACAAAGGCGACTTACAGCTCCCAGAAATGGTTTGATGCTTCGTGATTCCCTCCTACGACCAGGGTCAAAACGGGAGCGCGTTTCTGGCCTGTATAATACCTATGTAAGAGCAGGAGTGTCAGAAACGACCGAGTCAGACAAGTTCCGGGGCTGCGAACCTGTAAAAGTCTCCAAGTTTGCGATACTTGCGAGGAGCAGACATGCACGCCAAGTCCCTGGCATTTCTGATTGCCTGAAAGTCGCCAGATATGATGAGGAGGTCGACTGGTCGACCGTCTCGGGCCTCTGCCGCCGCAACCTGGTCGTACGTCTCGTCGAGATGACCGTGACAACAGCCTGCTATTGCAATCTTGGTCGAGAACGCTCGTCGATGAGAGAAACGCCGCGTTAATGAACGAAAACTTTGGGGTAGTACCTTCATTGTGACCGGATGGTGAAAGCTCGAGGTGTCTCAACTAGGTAGAACCGTGGCGCCCCACTTTACGTGAAGGGCTCGCACAGTCATCGTCGTGGTATGTACCCACGGCTCGGTCCCGTCGACTGGGCGCGCGTCACGATAGGGGCTTGGTGCAAACACCAACAACTTCACCTACGGGAGTTGGATAAAGCGAGGCTATGATCTTCCAGAGCACAAAGATGAACTTGGGAGATATTTCAAAACGACAAAAAGCGAGTGGAATATCACAACTTCAAGTTGAAAGTTGAACGATAGTAGATATAGGATGAACCCGACTCGGAGACCTTGAAAAACAACGATCTTCCACCAAGTTAGTTATCCGAGAGTCTCTTGGAAGAAGCAGTTGTTCACCAGCGGACTCAAGGCACATACTTGACGCCGTGATCTTCGTATCTGAGGCTCCCTGAGATGTTCATTTTGTTATATTCAAGACGGATGCATAAATCACGCTCCCGTACATACCAGCCTGACATAGCTCATGCCGGACTAACGCTCATTCAGCTATGCAGGTAAAAAAAACTATGCCATGCATGTAGCTCCGGTTCATCCCTTCTCTTCCTTCATCCACTACCATCTCACTCTCGTTCTCGTCTAGTCCATCCTACCTCACTTCTAGCTCGTCTGTCCTTTCTTCTTCCTTTCGATCACTCCTATCCGACTCTCCTTCTTCGACGTAGCTCATCCTTAGCAAGCGTCTGGATAGACTACCCCGCCATTCATTACACCACCACGCTCCTTACCGTCACTTTTACCCGCATTTCTCCCACTAAAACCGAGCTGTCGACGACATGTATCTTCCAAGGAGGGATTTAGGAACAGGCGGTTCAGTTCTTGGTAGCCTTCCCGATGGAAGAGTTATCGAGGCCTCTTCGTCCCCCTCTAGCATGTAAGTCCCAGGCCCACGTCTCACATGCTACCTTGCTCAAAATCTCCACTACCAGAGGATGGGGAACGGGAACCATTATTGCTGTCGCTTTCTCAGTGGCCGCCTTCATCATCTTGTCCATCGGATTCTGTGTACGTTCTATGTGTCCGCCCTTTTCGTTACCCAGTCTTACAACTGACATTGTTTCAGTTCCTCGTGAGGAAAACTCGGCCTTTCCCTTTGCGATTCCAGTCTTCCGCGACAGAAAAGGTTCTCTGGTCTCCCATTACCTCGCTCGATCCGACTCCTCTTCCCAGCCCCACTCGCTCTATGATCTGGTCCGAGAAGCGCGACAGCAGTAGGCGCAACACAGCGTACGTCGAGGACGCAGACAGCTCTTTCAGCGCCACCAAGATGGACATTGTCGAGAATGGGAAACACATCGTCATCGAATTCGATCAAGTCGGAGGCCGGTCGGCGGCCATGCAGACTCCTTCACCCCGAGATAGCCAGGTCCTCGACTCCACGCCCAACGAGCTGTTGGAGGTGCCCCAAGTTGACGACGAAGATGTCGTTAGCAAGGAGTCGGAATATTCGCAACCTTCACCTCCTAATTGTATCTCTCCTCTCCCTTTGAGCCCGAGATTGGCGAGGCTTCCGTCTGTGAAGTACCTTCCATCGGCTCGAGTTTCCCAAGTTATCAGGCCAAGTCCCGTTGACGCCAATACTACCTGGGTGGGTACCTCCTCAACGTCTCCCGCATATACGCCAACTGACGATGTCCCATAACATTCAGGGCTGTCGCGTTCACATCTGCGATACCCCCGTGCAAGAGGGCACCGATACAGGGGACTTCGGATTCGTCAGCTCAAATCCCAAGGAAGAAAGCCCACTCAGCATCAGTGTCGAAGCCGCATCCATCCTCGAGAAACGCATGACTCTCGCCGAAAGGCGCAGTGGGCTCTTCCTCCCCAACGAGTTTCCTCATCTATTCGCGGATCGTGCTAGGCGTGCGAGTTCTCTTCGGAACTCTGCTCTCGTACGACCTGTCTGATCGCACGCAAGCCATTGGGAGGGTACTCCTAGTTAATAGTATTTATTTAATACCGTTCGCAGTTCGAAAACCTTTACGTAGCCATATGGACTACTGTGACCAGACGTTCTTTCACCCGACTATTATGGACACCTTTTCGACCTATAAAAATAAGCTATATTTTAGACTATGGCTTAGCGTAGTCTGTATACCCGCATTCAAATACATAGTGCACATCCTGTCTCCACTTATTTTGGTCAAGTACAAGCGCGCAGAGCTGAAGAGCTGGCTAGATCAAAATAGGGGCTGGGCGCTTAATTTTCTCGGATGTTTTATGCTCTCGCCTTGACTCTCAGTGACATCCCTGCGAATTCACATCCATTCAGACATAGGAAGGCTACTCCTTGGACATACTAATGATACACTCATCCGATACCAGAAACTATTGGCGACATGTGGGATACTTCGAAGTAGAAGTCCAAATCGACGAACCTTATCAAGCGTGCATGCCTCCCTCCGTCACAAAGCTCTCCCGGTGCGGCCCGCTAAGCTTCCAGGGCTGTACAGTATACACACAGCCAGTTCATCTAAATAAACCTCTCTTCTATCGCCTTTGATCACCATCGATCATCCTCCCGAGCTCTCCTCATGCCTCCACGACCCAGCGCCGTGAGCGACGACTATGCCGGGCGCACTCCTTGTATCAAGCACACGAGGGTGTATGCAGGGGTATCACGAGGCTCTATGCGCCACGACACTTGGAGCTCTTGCGAGCACACATCGGGTAATTTTACATGTCGCTACAGCCACACGGTATTCAATTTGAAACGGGTCATCGCGTTGGTGAGTTGGGCGCCAGCTCGGGATTATCAGGCTCATACCCTCCCTGACGTCGCATCCTACACAATGAAGGGAAGAAGAGGCCTCACTGAAGGCCTGCGCGTCGTTAGCCTCGAATATGGACATGGCTTCGAAAGATACGGTGCATATGAGAGCCCTGATTCAGGCTGGGACGTGAAGGTCGACGGCCGCAACCAAGTAGCTGGGAGACGGCGGGATCTTCCCAAGTCCCTGTTATTGGCAGAACTCGCAGTGGGAATTACATCCAAAGGCGCACCAGACGTAGGTCCCAAAACACTCCTTTCGGACCTGGGCTCATGAAACTTCGTTAGGTCCAATACGAGAAGAAGCAGAGTATGTGTACCGACCAACAAAAGCCCGCCGGATGTCCGCGCGGCGCAGGATGCAGATACGATCACGATATCCTGGACAGCAGGCGACTCGAAGCTCTCGCTTGGAAGCGCCGGGGCCCAGCTCCTGTCTTTGAAACTCGCGACTATCTTGCTCTGGAGTGTCATCTCAATGCCCAATCCGACTCGTCAGTGACTTGGAAAATCTTGTTGAAGCCAGACGCGTTCAGGGGGGTCAAAGTGGGCGACCCACTGAGGGCAAACTTCTCATCAGGTCAACTTTTGGTGGCAGGAGGTGATTTGTTTGAATTGATTCATCATCTGGAAAAGGTACTCGCGGACGAAGGGAATTCGGAGGTGCGTGCGTATCTGACTTAAGAGTTCGATTTTGGTTCACTGGATTCTTTTCAGGCGTGGTGAGATTGACTGACATCAAGTAAATTTCGTTGTTCCAAAAAATGTTCTCCGAATACCTGAAATGCTTGAATAAAACAAGACATGCCCCGCTTCGCTACGGCTCCAGGTTGCAGGTTGCAAGCACGAAGTACATTTGTATACATATCTTCACAACAGTCAGATGCGGTTCATCCGGGAATACGGTTGCATGAGCCACGCTCCAACTGACCACTTTGTGAGGTTTGAAATCAGGGATCAGGGAGTAAGAAAATTAAGATCTGTAAACGGCGTGAGTCGACGAGCTGAGACAGATGCAAGTGTAGTATGAAGGGCTGATTCCTGAATGGTGCAAGCATCAAGCTCTACATGATGAGAAAGGTAATTAGATTATCGGACTGGAATAACAAAACGAATTGGGTTTTCATTGTCCAGAACAGGTCCTTCGGTAGAAGGGAGGGAGCGGGGGGGGGGGGGTATCTGCAGAAAAGGACCGTCGATGAGACCACTGGTCGAAGGAATAACAACAATAAACGGTGGCTATTGTTCGTCATAACAATAAGGAAAACCTTTGTGTAAAAGAGACAGTAAATGGCAAGGGAGCCTTGCCAGGGTGCACCCCTCGCCATGAGAGAGACGAAAAAATACGTACAAACGAAATTGGATGGTAAGTTTATTAAGAAAAGGGATCATTCCGCCAGATATGGCACTCTTCCCTCCATATATCGTACCGCTTCCCGCGCAATAGTCACCCCAAACACCTCCCTCAACACGTCCAGCCTCTCACTCTCGCCACGCACCACACGAACCACGCGCACCCCCTTCTTATCATACCTCTTAACCTCGTCATTGACCAAGAACAGGCGGTAATAATTCGTCGAGTTTGCACTCGGAGTTGAGTTAGAATCGCCCTCCTCGCCATCGTCGTCATCATCGTCGTCGTCAACAAACGCCTTCCCGCAGAGAAGCATATTCCAGAATATCCCCTTCCCAGGACGCTGCGAAACGAGGAACGAAGCATCTTCATAATCACCCACGGAGAACTCCTCCTCCGTGAACGAGTAGAACCGCTTCCACTTTTTCGTTTCGTCCACTACTGCGCCTCGGGGATATCGTATGACTTCGAGATGCCAGCGTCGGTGAGGGCTGTCATTTGCGTTCTCTGATACATCTATTTATCATGGTTAACCTCCGCTTGCTACGCGTTATACTTAATTTTTAAAGTTACAGTGGTTCGACGTACCCACAGCAGAATCATGATTCACACCCCTAACCAACCTCTGCCACTCTCCATCAAACGCACCCCGCACAACAGCACCCTCGCGTAGCGGAACAGGCCTCGCGAAATTCAAAGACCCAAATCCTACATCAGCGATGAACGTTTCGTTGCTGTTTGGGATGGGCTGCACGAAGAGGATGGCGTGTGTGAGGAAGCCGTAGACGGGTGGTTTATCTGCTGTTTGGTGGTGGTGGTTTACTTTGGCTGCGCCTGCGTAGACTCTGGGATGGGAGTTACAGTAAGTCGGGATAAATTAGGATATGTACAGGAGTATACTGTATGTTACGGTGTGGCTCACCTGAATCCTAGGCCGCGCAGGATACCAAGGAGGATTGTAGTATGCCCGAAACAGTAAGACCCCTTCCCTTCCTCGACGAACCTGCAGTATAAACCTTCGGGTGACACATCCATCGAATGGTCCTCAGTGCTGAAAAATACAACCCGTTACATAACGACATTCAAAGTCCAGGACGACGCACGCACTAATGCATCGCAGTATTCTCCCAAGGGAACGTCAACAGATGACACCTCATAATCTCCTCCAGGGCTTCCAACGAGGGTTGGAACCGGCCGATATCTGAAGGAGAAACGGGGGACGAGAACTTGACATAGTCGAGGTACCGCGCAATTTGAGCAGGCGTGTAGAACGAGGGCTGGGTCTTGATCCAGAGTCCGTTGGAGAGGTATCCTCCGGTTGTTGTTGCTTGGGTCATGATGGACGGAAGTTCGCTCGGAAGGAATCCAGGTAGTCCTCTTTATAACCCTCGCAGGAAGGGAGTGCCAGATATGGACGATGATCACGGCCAACCCGGGAATCGTCCGACTTTGGCCACATTGCAGGGTCGTCAGCGGCTGCGCTGTAGGCGATGTTAGACTAGTGTCGTCCGACTGGGAAAGGATTCGCCATCCACTTGGCCCAACGGCAGGAGCCACTGAGATTAGACGATGGACCAAATCAAGGATTAGGTGTGGTCCATAGACCGACAGGCGAGGTACTTTCATTTTCATGGGCTCGGAAAATAGAAGCCTGCGCACATCGTATCAGTACTCGACTTGATATAGTTGAGTTGAAGGCTCACCGATGGAGAAAGGACGATCGGCATGAGTTGAATCTACTAATGTTTAAGAGGATGAGTCCAATCGTAGCGGCCTGTGAATTCAAGAAGCTGACGCGGCAGCTATTACCGCCTACCATGTACCATTGAGCCGAGGAGACGATAGAAGGAACCAGGCAGAAATTGTATCCATTTCGACGACGCTACAACATCAGGCAGCGATATTACCAATACCGGACTTATCCCCCTTCTTTCGCTTCTTTTTGCTACCCGATTCGCCCTGTCCACCTTTAGCCTGGGTCTGCAATTGGCCATTTTCCGAGCTGGCGACTTCTCGTGGACGTTTGGAGGGAACTGTAGAGCTGTTGTCGGCCGGCTCTTCTACGTCCATGCCATCCGCGACAAAGCCTTCTGGAATTACTAATGTTGGTTCGGATAGGACCGCACGATACGTTTTCCGAGTTTCTGTAAAGACAGACTCGTTAATTGTGTGAGGAATGAAACTGAGGCAACTTACGAGCACGGATAACCAAAGATTTCGGCGTCCTCGTTGACGCATCGTGGGCAGCGTCTTGAGGCAAACCGAGCAAAGTAATCCTAGCGTCATCTCGGTAAATGGCCTTCATATATCATCATCAGGATGATCCCAACTCACAAATTGCCAACATCTCGCGGTGCACGCAGATCCACATCATCCACCAACCCACTGCTAACGATGATCCCTTTGCCCTTCGTGACCCTCACCACCTCTCTCGCAGCCGCCCACCAGTTCTTCTTCGCGCTTGCTCCACTTTCCGCAGCATTGGCCTCGACAAGCACGGGGTCCGCGTTTCCCCCTAGCGCGCCGACATAGTTGATTTCGAATACGGCGCCGTTCTTGATGGCTGTTCGAATCAGGGTGTGCTTGAGGTGGTAAGGTAGTCGTGGGAGGGTGAGTGGGAGCGAGATTATGTGCGCCGTTAGCTGCGACGGAGCGCTGTGCGTCAGACAAGCCGCAGAAAGTGTCGCATGGGTCGTTGGAATCAAGGCGATCAAGTCGTATGAATTGAATAAGGGTATATTCGCGTTAATCTAATCAAAGTTAAGTTCTTGCCCTAGATGGAACTGTATTTCGAGACGCACCAAGCCAAATCCCTTTTCACTATCCTCGTCAAGGACGACGTTCAGTCGTTTTAGAAAAACGATACCAGGTCGCGGCTTCAACTGAGAAAGCAGGCCGTCTAGCGGATTACAATGAGTTTTCGAGTCCACTTTCTTGTGAACCGTCTGCGAAAAGGCGATAACGGTATATCCTACTTGTTGGTATATTCAGAACTCCCGTTTCCCTCAAACGAAATTGAGGGGAAAAAAACGTACAGTGAACGAGGATATCAATTTTTGCTTCAAGGGCTGCGATTTGGGCATTTGAGAACGTTTGAACGCTCTGTTTTTCTTTTCCCTTCTTCGACGGTGCTCCTGTAGACGCGCATACTGCGATATTGAGGTCGAAGAACATATCGGTTGGGAAGAAACCAGAGCCAGAATTAGCCACACGCGAGCTTGTGATGTGGCAGTGCTAGAGATAACGCGTTATCTTATCTAGGTAAGGCCGAGACGGACGGGCAGGACTGCCCTCAACCGTGAAAAATCATCAACGCCAGGTACTTATGCTGAACACGAAAGACAAGAAGGAACACAGCACAGGGATACGCTGCGTTGCGAGTCGAAACTTGGTCGAGATAGTCTCTGGCGACAATGCTACAGTACAACTGGTCGCCTTGGAGACCTATCTGGGCGCTGATGGACTTGCAAACGAGTTCTCTTCCTCAGTTCATTGAATCTGGTGCGATTGTGTGGTATCTGTCAACACCTGTACGACGATCTGATAAAATCCAAGTTTCAACGGACTGGACCGAGATTATAGCAATGTTGATATATACTCGAAGCAATGAATCGAGGTCAGAACTCGTTTTCCCCACTTTCTTTTCTTCCTTTCTAATTTCTCTGAGCTACAGGTAGCTCCAACGCCTAGCGTCATCCACCTCACCCACCTCGTATTCAGCAAGTCTGAGGAGCTGATCTGGTATCATGTACCATCCTTCATTCTCCAAGAACATCGCTGCTTCGGTTCTGTGCCTGCTTATGATCATCTCGGTGCTTGGTAGCACTACGATATCCGAAGCTCGCTCCATCAGCCACTTAGAGTGAGTCCAATTCTCATCCCATCTACAACGATCCTCAAATTCATTTTGTACTCCTTGCATACTAGATCCAGGCAAAGAAAGTCGGTTGGGGACGTTCCGGACCTCGGTGGCTTGGGAGGACTGGGAAGTAACGACAACGGAGGAGGCCTCGGCAGCCAATGCAACAACGGAGGCCTTGATACCGGATGCCCTGCCGGTGGTCTGGGTGGTGACCACATCGCTGTTGTCGAAGACGAAAATGGCAACCCCTCGCTTACTTTCGTTGAAGTTGGAACTTCTCGGCGCCCGCTCTTTAACGTTCCGACTTCTGAGCAGGGAGAGCCTCGCCCAACAGCATCTGCGTCAGGCAATGACCCGGTCAACGATAACGGGGCAGTTTCGGAAGCCAGACGAACGTTCTCTTGGTCCACAGTGGTCACTGCAATGGGTATCCTGGGTGCCATCATGGTACAGTGCTGATACTTATGGGAATCATAAATCCATCGATAATCCGGAATGTTTGTAAAGTTTACATGCAAGGCAAGGCTAAAATGACGCCTACCCGAATCAGACACCTCACACCTCGAAACACTTCCTCTATACACGTCCAAGTATGCATCTGGTGCTACAAATACGCTAAGATAAGCTCTATGTCCACCGTGACCCATGTCCAACGTTGCCAGGGACAAGGAAGCAAATCAGACGATACGACGACGTCATCGGATTGGCACCGGCATTTTCCACACTTGGCGCGCGCTTGATGACTTGGTCCTGATCTCTTGGGTCATCCCTTCGATCTGATATAAAAACAGGCCACCTTGGGCTAGGCATTATTACAGCTTCCGTCCCCCTTCCTCATGCCCCCGCCCGCAGCCCCCGACGCACCAAGCCAATAACACCAGCATGCATCCATTATCGTTGGCGAGTTGGGTCGTATTTCTCATTTTTGGTACGAATTCCTTCTCGACTCATCACGAGGTCCACGCACGCCAAACTGACAAACTCGCAGCTTCCATAACCCATGCGAAGAATATCACGCTTCAAGGCTGGACTGCTCCCGAGACAGACTCGAATGGACAGCCCTCCCTCGACAACCGCCCAACAATTTTAGGAATCGAGCCAATTTCTATAGACGGTTCGGGCGCGACACACTACGTTGTTTCTCAAGTATGGACCAGCCCTTCGGCTGAGCCCTCGACACACACCTGTGCGTGTTCTCCCACTCCCGAATTCGCCGACTGATGATGGGATGATGATTGACCCCCTCGCCACCCAGTCACCTTCCTCGCCGACGCGACTCGCCGGCAATTCTTTTTGACGCAGCTTCCAGCAACGACTGGCGGCCCCACGAAGGTCCACGATCTTGAATGTATAAACGACGAAGACGGAAGCATCTCGTGCATTCGGAGAGAGGTCGAGCATGTTTCTGGTCAGCCGGTGTCTACGAGCGTTCTCACTACTCAACCCGGGAGAACGGAACCATGGTACACTGTCACCAACGTGGAAGAGTACAATCTCCCAACACCAACTGGAGAGCGGCCGACCACTTTCGCGGATTCTGGGGCGCGGTCTGGGATTATTGGGGTTGGATTAACTATACTTGCAGTGGTGCCAGGAATCATTGCGGGCCTGGCCCTTCTTTGACGGTGTTATAGCGGAATGTTATTACAGACCAGCGACCCTGAATTCGAACTGGATTATATCCCAATCATATCCAGGCAAACGAAGGGTGATGACTCGACGCCAAGAGCATAAGCGAAGGTGCGTAAAACGGATCTCATCAATGACGCGCTGAAGAAGTCTGAGGCTGAAGCTTGAAGCGGCGTTGCCTAGACGCGTGGCCATCCTGGAGGGTGAAAGGGAATCTTCGAGTCCGACTGCTCGTTTCAGTGCTGGGTGCATCGTCAGCCTCAGAGGGTGGCGACGTGGTGTAACAGTGATGTTCATTGGGACTGTCGGTGTAATCAGGGATACCGAACCAAATAAAATTAATCCCTCTGCCGAACACAGTACACATCGACCCGACGAAGACCCGACAGCTAAGTTGGATAAAAATCGAACGCAGTAATCTGGTATTTCTCGGTTTCACCATCCTCCGTCGTAACCCGAACTAGGATATCTTGCCAGTCCTCCTTCCGCCTCGCGAGTCCTCCCACTTGCTTCCTCCTTTCCGACTTCTCATGCGGCCATACAATGCTCTCAGAGTTACTAAAGGCCTCCACCGTCTTCCTCGCCCCATGGAACGCCGCCTTCATCGCAGTTGGGAAAAGCGAAAGCGCGCGCCTTTCCTTCTCCATAGCATCATCGATACAGAACAGAAAGCGTGCTCCATGCCGTGAGTGAATCCACTTTCTCTTCTCCGCAGGCGGCTGACCTCCCTTCGACTTCTTCACAGATCGGGAGGCCCTGAGATAGAACTCGACGTCACCAGTTGGATGGGGAGCTTCCGTGGCGGTATTGGGCGCCTCCCAATCGAGCGCTTCTCCAGGCGTCAGGTAGTCCCACATGTGGGGAAAGAGTGTGATTCCGTTGACTCGATTCCATCCTGGAGTCAGGGAGGCTTTCGTCACGTCTGTGGCAGCCTTCCAATAATACCAGGACATCGTGTTCGATGGATCCACAGAATCGAAAACGAATGGCGATTTGGATCCTGGAGCTCCTCGTGTGAAGAAAGCGAATCGTTCCGAGTCCTCCAGGTAGATCTCGAGGGAGACGGCCTTGGGCAAGACGGTACGGGCAAAGTGGCGGAATGGGATCTGGATGGCTCTCGTCCCGTCCTTTGCGTCTTCCTTCTTCAACTTGACTTCTTGGCTAAGGGAACCAAGGTCCACTACGAGCTCGCCATCCTCATCGTACCACGCGTTGACAACCTTGCGTTTCCCGGTATCGTCGGCTGTCGTGGATTCCCAGTTATGACCCATCTTCCCCCCGGCGATCGTCTTCTTCAACGCTTTGAATACCTCTCCCTCGTCGCCCTCCCCTTCGATCTCGGCGTTTTGATCACTCTTCGCAACCCATAGTCCCTCGTCCTTCCATAAGAATGCGCAATCAGGTATCTCGTCGGTCGAAACCCAATAGCGCATCAAGTCCTCCCTGGTATACCCAAGTTCTTCAAACACCTTCTGAGCTTGGTCAATGTTGCTGACAGTGGGGTCCGAAGTTGGTCGAAGATATCTATGAGGATTGGCTAAGGCGTTCCACCGAGCTTCGATAGTCGAAATCACGTATCCTTCCTTCACCCATCCCAGCAATTCACCCACCACACCCCCACGAAGCGAGGACAAGCACCCCGTCCACGCCTTCCTCGCGTACAAGTGGAGAATATTGTGCCTCGCCATTGCTCCAGCCTGTCGCATATCCCGAAGCTTGACGATGAGCTGTTGCAGCCATTCAACGGCTGGTTTATGTGGCGTGGCGTATGGGAGCTTGTACTGCAGGTAGTGGAGGGTGCGGTTGACGGTCTCGAGGGAGTTGTCTGCGAGGATACGCTGCAGCATCAACACACTCGCGTTGAGCGTCAACGCATTTGTCGCCGCTTTATCGACAACAGAGTCGGTCAGGACGACGTGGAGGTGTGTCCACGCGTCCTTGGTCGATACCTTCTTCCTCCCCAACCGCTGATGGCCTTTCGTAGCAATCCGGTAGTCCGAAGACTCCACTTTGGCGTTTTCGAAGAGCTTCCGGATCTCGCGCGCGGCGTTCTGGTATAAAGTGGGGACGAGCGCCGTGACTGCGTGTGGCCAGAGGAAAGGCACGACGCTCCCGTCCTCCTCATTCACAAAGCACAAGTTGCCGTACTTGTTGATGAATCGACGGCACGCTTTGCATTGGTGTGGAGCTCGATGGCGTGCTGGGATGTGGGAGAGGAAGAAATCGAAGAGGGTGGTGTCGGGTTTGAGAGGAAGCTTTGCGTGGAAAAGCAGGTGGGTGAATGGTTTGTGGCGGTCTGCTGTCTTTTGGAACGCGTTGTTGAGCTTGAGGAAGTTGGGTTCGACGGTTCGGAGCGTTGCTGCCTGTTGGATAAGCTTGGACTCGAGAGTTGCACGAGATTCGTCGTCGTTAGTGGACGCTGGTGATGATCCGTCTACTTTGGCTGTATGGGTGGAAGACGTGTTCTCTCCCTCCGAAATATACACCAACTCGAAGTCGTCTTCTGGCGAGGTGGACATGTTTTAGTTGGGGGCGCTGGTGCGCGCGATGATGATGTGGGGAATAGTGGAACTGTTTGATAAAGGTCTTTCACCTCCTGCGACAGATTTTATACTAAATGTATGCTCGCTGGCAGTCCCAGGTATGTCGAGCGGCGTGTCAAGCTCGACGTAAAGGCTGTGTAACCGAGTCAGTGCGTGCAAGGCACGCCCTGGCGACAATCGATCATTCACATCATCGTCAATGTATTATCGGTCTACGTGACTCGCCCTGCTTTGTATTCTAGGTATAGAATTAGAATTGCCGCCTAGAGAGCGTCAACAGACATTACGCGTCGTGATTCTGTATGTTGGAGGCTATGGGGCTATGTATAAACCTGGGTTGAGCCCCTGTCGACCGCGCACCCCCAGTGGTTAACCCGTCTAGCACGGAAGCGCTATCCAGCTGACAACCCTTTTTGGTAATTTACATCCCCTCGCCCCGACTTACGCTCTGCACTTTGTCTGGTAGGTGCCGCCAGTGCAGCTACACGCGTGACGTCACGGAATCGACGACGCGATTCCCTTTCTAAAGCCCAGCCTACATCGGAGAGACTCAAGAAATAATTCTCCGATATTGGCTTGATATTTGGCACTAGATGCTCGGGATGCTCGGCAGATATCAGAAGGAGGAACACAACGCATGGTACCCCCGTCCCCGGGCGCTTGATCGGTCGGATTAATTCTGTGAAAAAAGGTATAAAAAGCAGTGGGACTGAGAATTATGCATTGTTAGGTCTCTCACTCTGAATCTAGCCTAAAACCCAAAGACCTTTCGACCTCCACGGATAGACGCGCAACCGCCAGCTTGTTGGGTCTCGTACTCCTCGGTCAGTGCTATATCTTCCAATCTATCGATTTCCAGTGCCTCCCTGACACTGAGCCGTAGCAACTCTGAGCAAGGCGGAGGACGTCACACTGTTCCAGCCTGCGCTTCCAGCACCCACAGAAACCCCCGTACTCGAGAATTTAGGCACTTTCTTGGGAGTCGAGCCGGTGTCTGTGGACGACGCTGGATGCCCTCTCGCGTCTTGTAACCCACGCGGTGGTTAGGGATCCTACAACGACCGAAACGCTGGTGGACCCTAATAACCCAATGACTGTAACATGTAGGATTTCCGGTCTTCCCCTTAGTACCCATCGCCAACCCCGTTTTTTTTTTCGTAATCCTGATTCCTCGCAGATTCCTTCCGCGCGGACGCGACGCAGCACGAATACGCTATCGAGACACTGACTCTGACTGACGGCGGGTACAGGGTCTCCGAGAGGAACTGCACAGATGCGGAGGACGGGAACATCTCCTGCGTTCACAAGATCGTCCAGAGTGTCCCTGACCAGCCGCTTACGACTTTGTACGACGTCACGTATGGTGGACCAAAGTCGGCATGGCATACAATTGAGAATGTCGAGACGTATGATATTCCCAGAGCTACCAGCAGCGCAGGGGAAGACGACGATGACGATGACGAAGACGACGATAAGAGCAACGACGACGACGACGACGATTCCGGAGCATCGGGCAAGATCCTTGGCTTTGTAGCGCTTGCGGTGGGAGTTGCACCAGGACTTTTGGCTGGTGTAGCGTTGCTGTGAATTTGCTCATAGCTGTACTTTCAGAGCCTACAAAATCCACTTTCTGTAGTTATTTCTTAAACGGACCTCAGCCCGATGGCTCTTTCACCCGTTCGTTTAACCTCGACCTTCAGGACAAGCCTCCCCAAGAGCTAGATGAAACACTTCAATGGCCGCGATCCCCGTGGTCCTCATTGGCAAAGTGTCAGAAGCGCATGGGCAGGGAGATATGGCGGCAGGTTGAGCCTTTAGAAGAGTATAAACGCACACACTCAGGCTTTGTATGAGATCGACTTGCCCGGTGCCGTCGCCCCTAAACAGGCTCGACGCGTGACGTCATGCTCCTCGGTCTCGCGACTGGGACCCCGGACGACGGAAATCAATGGAACCTTCCTGTCTGAAAGAGTTTTACGCTTATCTCTAAGGATCTAATTAGTGGCGACAAAGTTATATTGGAGTCTTGGTTGTCAATGCGACATGACGCGCGGTTCACTACGGTAGACGTGGTTGTTCCACGGTGTAAAGTTGAAGAGTTATAAAGCCTTGAGTATCGGGGAGGTCACCCTTGCGCCGCCAGAATTGCCTCCCATGATGACCGCAAGGGCGTATTCACTACTTTCTCTGCTTGCGAGCCGACTTCCCGTGCTGAAAGGAACAGCCATACTTATAAACCGAGTACAAGACAAACGAGGTGAGAGAATCCTTTGCTGAAGGCGACAGGTTGATGGACTCACTGGGCCAGAAATTCGGACAGTGTTCACGAACGCCGTGCACTCAACTATACCGACGCAACCAAAGAACTTGGAGTTCTTCTGCGACGCCTCTCCAAAGGGAATCGGGTTCTCCTTCGAAGGAAGAACCCTTTCCTGGTCGCTTGAACAGAATGGACGCCATTTCCCAAAGAGCCCAAACGGAGCCGTCGATTCAAATATCCTAGAGCTACTTGCAATAGAGCTCGGCCTATGGGCAATGATCGACTCAGGCTTGGCGAGGCCCCATTCCAGGATCGTGGTACACTCCGACAATCGTAGCGCCGTCGCCCGAGTCAATGGCCAACTCTTGAGATGGAGAAAGGCACTTCCAAACGAGTCGCAGACAATCAACGGCCGTCGCGTCCTTGCCAGAATACGCCGTCTTTGCAAACGGCATGATCTGGCACTCACTGCGGAGTGGATCCCCGGAAGATCAAACCCAGCCGACAAGCCCTCGAGATTGCGAAGTTTACCGCTGCAAGAGCGATTCACGCCACCCATTCCCCCTCCGAATCACTTAAAGGATGTAGTAGCATCGGTAACGAGTTAGGATATTTCGTCCCCTTTGTAAGGACTCATTGTGTATAGTAACCAGGTCGAACATGAATGTAATCTCTGTTAGTATATCGGTTAGTACACGCGCCTGTCAGTACTTCTGGTCGCGCGAAAGCTGGGTTCGACTCCCAGACAGAGAGAGAAAACATTTTTTTGACACTTGCGTAGTCTTTTATCGTTGAGCAATTCGGCATGAATGAAGGAAAATATGGTTATTGGAGGCAAGTGATTATAACCGAGAGAGACACTGCAGAATCCTGATAATTTTGAGTTCGCGTCCTATTTACGCAACCTCATGTTCGTGCTTCTCTTCAACCGACCCCGCCTTTTCCTTTTCCTTCTCCTGATTCTACAGATATACGGTATGAGCGATTCCATAAACCATCGCACATCCACACGAACGAGCTTACCTCGGTCTCCTTCGCCTCCTTCCTCTGAGCTCGTTGCGCCGACAACTCAGCGACTTTCCCTCTCCCGACATCCCTCCCAATCCTCCACGCCGTAAAGACATGTCCCTTCCCGAAGATCTCTTCGATCTCCTCCAACGAGCGGCCGACGGTTTCTGGGAACATAAACAGGACGTGGATGAAGCAGGCAAAGTTGAAAGTTCCGAAGATGAAGTAGGTTTTCCAGGCGATGGTGTCGAGGCCCGGTGGGACTGCGAACGCGAGGGCGGTGTTGAACGTCCAGTTTGAAGCCTATACTTCTGCCGTCAGCGAATGCCAGTTGGGAGAGAAACGGAGGGTTACTTACAGTTGCGAGAGCCACGGCCTTTCCTCTGATCTTGAGCGAATACTATATGAACGAGTCAGCGGCTGAACGGATCCACATAAGAAAGGGGCACTGACAATTTCAGCCGGATAGGTCCACGAAACGGGTCCCATCGTTACAGCAAAGCTGCAAACAAACAGGTAAGAGCAGACAACGACGGCTTTGGTTGCCGACGGGTTGTCGGTAATGACCCAAACCCCTGCAACAGCTGGATGAGCGTTTCTGGGATGATGCTGCATTGAACGCGGAACTCACGTTTCCCTTCGATATCGCCCCAATGACCAAAGCGACCTTGAAGACCTCCGACGAGATAGAGGAAGAACCCCATGAAAAGGGTTCCCGCGAGAAGCATGGGCCTACGGCCCCATTTGTCGATATAGATGATAGCGGGAACTGGGAGAAAGTCAGTACCAGCGCCTCACAGAGAGCTTGGATGCCGAGTACCCACCAGTCATGAGCACGTTCAAAACATATTGGACGGACTACCACAAAGTCAGCTCTCTCTCTGGATTCGCCCATTAGGAAGGGAGCACTCACATCGGCGATAAGATTACTCCTTCGTCCAGTCAAACCAGCGCCCTCAAACACATAGATGATATAGTACATCATCACGTTCATTCCAGTGAGCTGCGACCACATTTGAAGAGAGCATCCAAGCATGACTCGACGTGGGTTCCCGGGTTTCAGCAGATCCAAGTAGGACTTGGCGCCTTGAGTACGCTCGTACTCGACCTGCTCTTTGATTTCCTCGTATTCGAGAACGACGAGTTCGTTGGTTTTGTCTCCATTGCCGTGAAGATCGGCGAGAACTTGGAGGGCTTCGTCTTCCCTATCATGTGATGTTAGTGTTGCAGGTTGGTGGAACTGGGGGAAGATGTTGTATATTTACCTCCCATGGTCGAATAGCCAACGTGGACTTTCGGGGAAGATAGTCATACCAGCGCTGAGAACCATTGCTGGGATCATCTGGAGGCCCCAAGGAATTCGCCAGGACGCCACTCCGTCGATGTAGGAGCATCCAAATTGGACAAAGTACTGAAGAAGGATACCCCAGGTAATGGACCTGCAAGAGCGTCAGATTAAGAATAATGGAAAGAAGTCACTTGGCATCACCATTGTTGCAAAGACACCATCCTTCCTCGAATAGAAGGGTAAGTAATTTCAGATTGGTAAATCGGAACGACGGCGCTGGAAAGCCCGACCGAGAAACCAGAGATAATTCGACCAACGACGAGCATCGCCCGGTTCTGCGCTGCGCATTGGAGGACAGAGCCAACGATCCAAATCAATCCAGCGAGGATGATGGTCTTCTTTCGACCGATTCGATCTGCGAGTTGTGTGACCGTTAGGGCGCCTAAAAGGGAGCCGGCGGGCATGGAAGCTACGATGGCTCCTTGGGCGCTGGGTCCTGGCTGCGAACATGGTCGGCAATGCGCACAGTACGATCATAGTCAGGGAAGACATACGTGTCCGAAGGCTTGTAGGTAGTGTTGGTTCTGTGTGATAAGCGTCAGTCATTATTACCGTCATGGCTCTACTGCGACGGAACACTCACATTTAGGACACCCGACATGGAAGAGATGTCGAGGCCGAAGAGTCCTCCTCCGATGCAGGCGAAGGAGCCAACCACATACTAGTACATAGGCAAGTTGTTCAACGAATGACGGACTGCGCCGCGCAACAGTTGGAAACTCACTGGGTTGGAAGCAACCCTCGCATTGTACTAGTGAGATTATCAGTTTAAGTCGAATTTGCGAGGGAGTAATAGCGCGTACATCTGGCATTATCCCTCGTCGTCTCCTACGCTATGGAAGTGAAACGAGGATAGACTCGCCTGTACTATAAGTTCTTCTTCAAATAGGAGGTCACACCGATAGAAGCAGCCAGGAATATCAGTGGAATGAACCTCTGTCGATGGGTCACAAGGGAACCAGCATGTGCATCCATCCAGACGAGAAGTTCCCTTTACGACAGATTGAAGCTCCAGAAACGGTTATTTCAACGCCCATGACCAAGGAATCAGGCCGTCCAGTCCGGAAGAACCCAAGACGGACACCCCATGACGAGCGAAACGAGTTCTTCCTTTGAATCGGTGAGAACACGGGTTGTTGGAGCAGAGAAGGTCGACAGAGAGAGAGAGAGTCAAGATTGCGATCCGACAGAATCCGGGTTCTTGTGCGGCAAGAATAGCACAGACGGAAACAAGGATTTAGCCGCCGATTCTTTCGGCGCTCTTTTGAGTCCTAGTCATACTGAAGGACCCGGAGAGTCACTTTTAAGCCGTTTAAAGTGGAAAGCAGAGATCAGGGATCGCAACTTGCAATTGCATTGCCGGCGGGGAGAAAGATCGAAATCAATCTCAGCTCCAAGAATAAAAGGTCCGCCGTGGGAATATTCGATGTCCGATGATGAATGCTGCGCCGGCACCGGCCCAGTCAGCTCGTTCTTTTGGTTTTCAGCTGGTTTTCAGCCAATCCTCCAAACGTTCTTGGCCGGGCGCCTTCTCATAAACGCAAAGAAAATGCCGTTTTTTGTTTCGCTGAAAAAGTAAGATGTATTTCCATAGACAAACCTGCCAACAGGCATGGCGGAATGTGAGTTCAGCTATTTCGCTATTTCATGCTTCGACCTCGTGGATTTCGATTTCTGACTTGTTCATGATTAGGTTGACAAATCTAGACGATTGGCGAGCTCTGCTGGTTGCGCCAACGTGGTGATATACAGTCTGAACAAGCTCAGGTCTCCTGATCATTCTCCTGGCCAGGTTGGAGAATGCCTATTTCCACTGCGAGGCTGAAGGAGATGAATTTGTACTACGACCACGAACTTTTGTACCACCCATTCCTGCATGCGGGTTGTGGACGGCGTCCAGGGAGTGCGGATAGCGAATTTCGCTGGCCGTTCGTAGGGCCCCAGGAAATGCCAAGTGCCTGTGTTTAAATAATGGCAACAAAGGTAAGAAGCGGTGCTTGAAAGGAACAAGCAACATGGCCACTAACATGCGTTGATTTCAGTCCTTGAACCCTCGTCATTTCGCTCCGAAGATAGCAGCGTCTGCTCAGGGGCTCGCTGTGATTAGGCTGTGATCCACCGTGGCCCAAAGCCACGCAACACTCGGCTAAGAAGGGGAGGGAATGATCTCGACAATCCCGTACCGCCGAGATCTTCCTTTAGAGTTTCATCTTCAAAGGGACGACGAGCAGGCCTCGAGGCAGACGCGATGCAGCACGTGTAGAACCCATGGACGAGCACACGACCCTTGCCTCGACTTGATTCGAGTCGGCCAACAACGACCTTTCCATTCTGCATGCACCTTTGGCACCGGGACGCGTGCCCCCTTTAGATGGAAAGAGAGGCTATGTAGTGTGTCCTTCTATATGAAAATGTGACGAAACCACGCTCGGTCAAAAACCGTCTTTGGGGCCACATTCCATCGGTTTCCTTCCCACTCTATCGCTTTCTTTCCTGTCCTTAACCACTCCTACACCCGATAATGACTGACTACATATCCTATCGACCTCGACAAGAGTCGACCTACTCCAGCAACGCCGCTGGTCCTTCCAATCCCCTCGACTCAATCAGGAGGTCATTCACGCGTGCCTCGGGTTACAGCCACCCTATTACAGCGACCAACAGCACGCGCTCCTGGGTGCAGAACACCCAACAAAACCCGCCGCCGCCTCCACCACCAGAAGAAAGCGTGGTGGACAGCTCGTTGTCGCCCCCCGCCCGTCCTCCCAGGCCGTTGCCTACACCCCAGGGTCCACCACAGCACCACCAGAATGCTTTCAACCAGCGACTCTCGGCACTGCACACCGTCAATGCGGACCCACGAGAAGACGAAGACGAGTTCGACGAGGAGGAGGAATATATGAATATCGACGCGAACGTCTCTGGCGCACAGTATGGCTGGCCAAGTAGCAACGTCGATGGACGGGGAGCGTTCCTCCCTCGTAGGATGCTCACCCACTCGCCTCCACCTCTTTCCGATACCAACAATTCCAACAAGCAGCACAAGTCCTTTGTCGGCGGTTTCGTCCGGGGCTTGCGCAAGCTTCCAAAGAAACTCGTTGGAGGAGGGGGCAGTGCGGGGTATGGAGCGACGGGGGAGAAAAGAAGGTTGTTCCGTAGGAGGGGAACGTTCGGCACGGAGGATGGGGCTGAGACTGTCACGGCGACACTTCCGAAGTATCAAAGCAATCCGCCAACGCCAGTTGCAGGTCCATCCAGCCAATACATCCCCCCAGTTCCTCCATTGCCTGCGGGTGTTAATGGGATGGAGAGGAGCATGGTTGGGATGGGTCCTGGTGACGGTGTGCCCATGCCTGTTCCCCAACAGTCGACGCAAACCCCGTATGACCAACGCGACGACATCCTCCCGGACTCTCTTCTATCTGGCGCAGCCCTTCGACGCACCACACCCAGCTTTAGGATCACACCTCCCTCGGACGACGTCTCCCACGACAATGACGAGTCAATTTCCAACCTCACGCAATCTCAGTCGCAAACGCAGCCTCGCTTTTTCCAATCCGTCCAGCCACAGTACGCTCAAGTCGTCCATCCTCAGGAACAGGGGCTGTATGATCAGGGTGTGAATCTGAACGGGGAGAGGACGACGGTTATGATGTATGGCGAAACCACGACGAATGCGGATACGAGTGTCATTGATAGTGGTGGAGGTGCAGGAGGGGGAACAGCGGGATCGATCATGCAGAGGATTCCTTCCAGATCGAACAGACACTCGAGGGTTTCTACAGCCCGTGCTCCATCGATCCGGATCGACCCTACACCTCACCCCAACTCGTCCACGATTCCACCACCGCCTCCTATACCGACTACAACCAACGGAGGCTATAACGATATCTCGGAGGTCCAAAGCCCAGACACTGAGCACCTCCCTCCTTCACGCGACTACCTCAGGATGAATCGCTATACTGGTTCACCGTCCCGCGCGACCTTCTTCTCGCGGACCACGGCCACGTCGTTCTATGACCCTTCGTTCACTGAAGACCTCAGTCCCGTAGAGAGGTTCTTCAAGACGCTCTATTACCTTCCATGGGTTGCTCGTGGACGGGTTACGGTGGACTATCGACCTGGCTCCGACACTGGAAGTAAGAAAGGGAAGGGAGGGAAAGGGGGGATCGGGGTGAAGAAGCCTATGCACTCGTGGTACCGTCGACTTTCTCGGGCTTCCAGTCAGAAGGAATTGGACCTATTGAGCAACGGTACACCCGCGTCCGCCATCAGTGCAACGCCCCGGACGAGCACGAACTTCAGCGCGTCGGTCGCATCACCGCGCACGCCCAGGCACCGCCGCTCGAGAGGGAGTGCCTCGGATTTGAAGCGGTACTACAACGGCGAGAAGGTGTACACCAGCGGGAGGCACCACGGGAAGAAGAGGAGGCACAAGAAGAGGAGGCAGCATGCGATATCGGCCATCACTGAAGACGATGATGATGAGAGGGACGATGAGCGGAGGAGGGAGAGGGAAAGGACGAGTCCGAGCCCGATTTTGCCTGCTGTTTACCCATTCCCGTATCCTACGTACCCGTATACCTATCCCGGGTATGCGGCTATTCCACCGGCCGTGGTTCCTGGGGTACAGGGAGGGGTGCAAGGTGGTGGCGGTGTGACTGGCGGTCCACCAGTAACTGCAGGACAGGGAACGATGCTCGCCACCATCCCCGGTTCCCCGAACCCCATGTTTCTCGGCAACGGACATGCGCAAGACGGTACCCCGCCGGCGGTTGTGAACGTCTCAGCAGGCGAGGCATCGCCAGGCTACACGCAAGCGTACGCTCAGGGGTACTACCCTTACTATCCTCCCCCTCCTCCCCAACCGACGATGCAGAAGAGGAGTCCGAGAGGGCCGAGGGGGCATAGTGGAAGGAAGAGTTCGAAGAAAGGTGGCGCTGGGTATGCAGGAGGGTATAGTCCTTACCAGCCTCTTGCATTCCCTCCGCCTCCACCCCCGCCACCGCCTATCTACGTCGTGCACAGCAGTCCGACGATCTCGAACGCGGGGGTTAGCAGTGTCACCAGCTCGGGGGTGAATGGAGCTCAGGGCCAGGGAGGAGGGAATGGAGGCGTGAATGGAGTCAATGGCGCGCAGGGTGGAGGGCAGGCTCAGTACCATTATGTCCAGGTGCCAGCCATACCTGGAGGGTTTAGTACCCATTCGCTTTCGCCGCCTGGGACGCCTACTCCTCGGGGAGGGGCTAGTGCTGTTTCGAGTTCATCGTAGGGTTAGGCGTGTTGTCATGCTCTTTATGGACTTCTGGGTGATTTATTTCGATAGTATATTGGCGCGCTCCATGCCTTTTCCGACCTATGTTTATACCGAGTAACCTATGTACATATGTCAGTTGCGCAGAAAACACGATGTAGATTTCGTGGCGAGAGTAGCCTTATACACAATCTCCCTCTCCTTATGATATGAGGTGGGCGGTGCTTTGACCTCTGTCTAACCTTTGTCAATGTTCAGCTTGAAGATGCGACTGGCTGGGCCGGCTTCATAGGGAGCTTTTAAAGTGTCAACGAGCGCTTATCTCTCTTGGCTTAAATGTAGCAAGGGTGTCGGGCGCCTTTTGGGAACTAAGGCGCCTGTATGAAACTGAAGCTCTTCACGAGTGTCCTCAAGGCAAACCTCGCTATATATAGACTGTAGTCGCCCCGTATAAGGACATGTAACACAGTATGTAGCTTGATCAACGGACAACGTTCATACCGGGGTTATCGGATTCTGGGTTGTTGCCTGGAAGTGGGAATCTGTGAATTTTTACATATGTGTTTGTTTTAGGACACGCAGAGGCAAGTCTCATCCTCGTTCAGAAGCGTCACGAGACAAACTGAAATGTCAAGTTCAATTTCTACTGGCACTGCGGTAAAATCGCAGTGGCTTAGCGTGTAGGTACAGCCTCTCGGATGATGTAGAAACAACGTCATAATCAATTGATGCGTCCTAAAGGATGCAAAGGTGAAAGCGCCCATAATAAACTTCGCCCTCCGACCCCGTAAAGAACCAGGTGTGAGTCTCCAGGCTCTCCTTGCTAACTCTGAGCTCGACGAGGTTCATAATAAGGTAAGCCCCTAAGACGCGCCAAGCCTAAATCAAAGGCCAAGCATAGATTCGATTGATCTGACAGGTTACATAATTCAATTCTGCTTTTCCCAGCAAAACAGGTTCCTTCGGTGTCAGTTTCAAGGGCAACGCCCTTGTCCAGCGCAAAGGGTTCGAATTTCGCTCACCGTCGTTCCAAGGGCGCCAACGCCGACTTCGACGGCGCTTACTTTCGTTTCAATTTCCGACCCCCCCAATACCCAGCCGCTCCTTTCCGCCTTATAAAGCAACTTCTCCAAAATGACCAGCCCAGCCGACCCGTTTGCGACTGTGGACGCACATGATACCAGCAGTAATGCCCAGTATGCAACGGCTTCCGACACTCTCAAAAGCCCAAACTCGACGACCGACTCAAGAACGGGCCTTATGTCGCCTAACGAAGACTCTCGACTGCTTAGCCCTTCGACGTCACCCAACATGCAAGAGTTTGGTACAAGGCTGTCACGGCGGAGTCCATTGAACCCCTCGTCACCGCCGGTATCGTCATTCAACAACAGTCGGCAGCATCCAAGCAGTAACGCCTCAACGTCCTCGAGACCAGCTTCAAGAAGCAGTAGCACCCACCCCTTTCTAGCGAGCAAACACCACAACGGCAGTAACGATTCGGATTATTCGGGACCCCCCTTCTCACCGTCAACGCTTTCTACAATGGGGCTGGGTGGTAGCACAGGACTGGGTCTACCTCTTTCCAGCGGTGGAGGATCGGCAAGGGGTTCTATGATTCTGTACCGCCTAGCCGACGACCCGGCGACGCTGCGCGATTCGTCCTTCCTGCAACCACCCCGGATGACAGCTGGGATGCGTGACAGCGTAGCTTCTTCTTCGGGCGAATCGATTCTGTCATACGCCGATTCCGACTCGAAATACCCGTCCGGTGTAACAACGCCCCGAGGCCTCGTCCCATACGTTTACGATCCCACCACCGACGAAAACGACCCGCCCGATGACGAGGACTTGCTCCATGATCCTGACTCGAAAGAGTTCTTCACGAAGCATGGAAAGAGGGAGTTTCCGTGGAGAGGGGTGCTGAATGTGACGGTGTTGTGCACGCTGATCCTGGGGTTGCTTTGCCTATTCGTGTTCTATCCCGTGCTCAGCGCTTATCGCAATTCGGAGAGGGATAAGAAGATCGAGGGGAATTTGAGGATAAATGGCACGGGACAATCGCCAGTCTTGTAAGTTTTATGTTCGGTTTTATGGTCGACTCACTGTTGCTGACCTCGGTTTTTTCGCAGGTTCCAAATGCCAGAACTCATCGACCCTGATACACCTCACTCCGCTCGTACCCGCATAGGCTTCGATGGACACGAATACGAACTCGTCTTTTCGGATGAATTCAACGTCGACGGTCGTTCCTTCTACCCCGGCGACGACCCCTACTGGGAGGCTGTCGATCTGTGGTATCATGCAACGGGCGACTTGGAATGGTACGACCCGCAACAAGTCACGACAAAGGATGGCGCATTGGTGATCACGATTGATTCAGTTTCCCAAACTCAACCCGGACTGACGCATGGTGCGTACCTTCTGCTGCCTTATCTTTCCTCTCCTCCCTTCATCCCCGTCAAACGGCGCAAGTGATCCGGAAGGTGGAGCAGAAGCGGGTTTCATCCTCTCGCGTTATTCGAGGAAGCCTCTTCGCCTATTCCTCGCCTCTCGACGGGCTCTAGCCTCCCCTTCCGCGAAGCTTGGCTGTCGACCCGTTCTCCGGCCTGGTTGGAACTCTAGCTGGAAAGCTGAAGCCGGGAAACCCTACGGGAACGTGGCAACGTTCACTCGGTTTGCCCTTCTCTTGTGGCTCTGAGAATGGGCCTAAAATAACTGAATCTGACTGACTAACCTTGTTTTATTTTGCGTCGCTGCACAGGTTCGACGGCCCCTTTTACGACAGCTGAAAACCACAACCTCGAATACCGCTCCGGCATGGTTCAAACTTGGAATAAGTTCTGCTTCACCAGTGGATACATTGAAGTCGCAGTGACATTTCCCGGTCCCAATGAGGATACGCAAGGTTATGTGCGTGCTTCTTCCCTCTCCTTATTTTCCCTTCGCTCTTTCTTGACGGATTTCGGGCGAGTCGATCCGGGATACGTGCTGGCCGTTGCGATGTCAGATGTCGGCGTCGTTTTCTTGCTGGACAGATCGGTGGATGGACCCGGATGAGCGGCTGAATTGTAATTCACATCGTCGGGCTTCGTATCGCATACCCGGATAGGCTGTAGAGGAGCCGATAGGGGGACGCGGTAGTGAACAGGAACAGGTGGAAGAACAGAGGCAACGAGGAGGAAAGTCGTGTACCTCATGGCATGAGGGATTTATATCCAAGCGGGAGGACACGAGGTTCCAGGTCCCTGATCTCCGTTGAGACTTTGCTGGGCCCTCTTTCATTGTAACAGGAGCTAGGCGTTCTATATTCAGGCATTGATCTCGCGCTCCGTGATCTTCTTTATTCTTTCAATCCCTGTCAATTTCTGACTCCGATGATCATCTTGATTGCTTTACTTCGCATTCTTTTTTGCTATTCGAAGGCTTCGACTTCTTTCCAAAGATGGTTCAAGTCAATTAACCGATGTCGAACCAACAGTGGCCAGGTGCATGGACAATGGGCAATCTCGCACGACCCGGTTATCCGGCTACGACGGAAGGAATGTGGCCTTACACGTACGTTTGACCCTGAATCGCTACCATTTCATTTCCTCTGATACCTATTGACTACAGATACGATACTTGCGATGTCGGTACCTTCCCCAACCAAACGCGTCCAGACGGCTCTGGTCCAGCCGCTGCACTTTACTCGAATGCATCTCGAGAAAGGTACAACAACGAGCTAAGCTGGCTGAGTGGGCAGAGGTGTTCGTGAGTGTCATTTTTTCTTACTCGAGACGCCGGAATGTTGATATGGACTCTAATCCAGCGCCTGTTCATGTCCCGGCTCTGATCATCCCGGCCCTCGCCACGACTTTGGTCGCGGCTCTCCCGAAATCGATATCTTCGAGGCGTCGAGAGACAAGTCGCGCCCTCCTGTCGGTGGTACTGTCTCGCAGTCTGCACAATTCGTGAGCGATACTCAACATGACCTTGACGATTAACTGACCCGTTATTTCTTGCCAGGCCCCCTTCACACACGATTACATGATCATCAATACGACTACTGACCATTGGCAAAACTTTAATCCTCCTTTGACAAGACCCAATGCATTCAGGGGAAGCGCTGTGCAACAGTCAGTATCTGGTGTTACTCGTGTTCCCAGCGACATGTTCCAGGGATCGCCGCAGAAGCGGTTTGTCACTTTCGGTATGCGGGCTGATCGATTTGGGAGGGTCCGTCTAACTGTCTTGTAGGTTTCGAATACTGGGCCAACCCCCGCAACCGAGACGAGGGCTACGTCTGGTGGCAAGTCGACGACCAGCAAACGCATCGCGTAGGCGCACGTTCCGTAGGCCCTGACCCTGAAGAGGAGGGCGGCGCTGGTATTGGGCCTCGACTGATCCCTGAAGAACCAATGGCCATTATTCTGAACCTCGGCATGTCGCGTCCGTAGCCTGTCTCTCTATCTCTATCTCGCGTCTTCTAATTTCCTTTGCAGCGAACTGGCAGACGATCGACTTGTCCACGATGATCTTCCCCGGTGAGATGTTGGTGGACTACGTGCGTGTATACCAGAGGAGGGACGCGATCAATATTGGATGCGATCCCCCCGACTACCCGACCAAGAAGTATATTGAGGATCACTTGGAGGCTTACGAGAGTGAGCGGCTCTTTGCTAGTTTTCTGGCGAGATGAAGCTGATCGACGTCCTCTAGATCCTAACATGACCGAGTGGAGATGGGAACGACCACGGAATCGCTTGCTCGACGGATGCTAATACACCCTGTTGTATCATGATTCAATTAATTACTGGACCACCAACATCGGGAAAGGGGGACATTATTATTACTTGTGTTCAAACGTACCTACTTTACAGCCCTTTACTTTCAAGTTGTTGTTACTACGCGTCTACCTGGCTCGCTACTTCCCTTCTACCTTCCTCCCTGACTGACACTTCCACCGCTATTCCACCCTTCCTTTTCACTCTTACCTGGTTTACTCTTCCTCTTAGCTATGGTGCAATTAGCTTCATCATCGATGGACTCGGACATTCAAACCTCAATACATACATTTCCTTCATTCATTCAAATTACCTTCTGTTACTTTGTTTTCGTTGCATTAATTTAGACGACGTTCGCTGGTAGAGACGGGATACGATAGTGACGTCACGCGTGACACGTCGGTCGCGTACATCTAGGTTGTCGATAGGGGCTCTTTGGTTTCTCCGCGACTTTCAAACTTCCGGGTTGGGGATGTAAGGACAACAACATCGGGTATATTGGTAACTTTTACACGGGACGAATAGATAGGACAGAGCAGCTATTGTGATCCTGAGCTCGACTCAGGAACCGCGGAGGACAAAAGGAAGATGAATCGGATTTCTTTACAAAGGCCCGATCTGGGCGAGATTGTTGGCAGTACCGGATGCTGAGAGAGTAGTTGTCAGGAAATTGAGCCCACTCCTGATATTTGACACTTACGGAGACCGCTGATAGCTCCTTTAACAGCAAGGTTCTGAATCTTGGCTTGCATCTGAGCCGGAGAGATATTCCCATCCTTTGAAATCAAATAGGCTACCAATCCAGCAATGTGAGGCGCGGCCATGGAGGTTCCAGAAACCCTGTTGCTCGACTAAAATGACTTCATTCAGCAAGATAGCTCTCCGAGGAAAGGTGGATAAACCCAGGGAACGCACCGCGTTATCAGCTCCGATCCAAGCGCTGGTCACGTTCTGTCCGGGTGCATAGACGGTTACAACAGGGCCAAAGTTGGAGAAGGCCGCCTTCGCGTCGAAGATGTTGGCGGCGCCAACAGTAATGGCGGAGGGTACTCGGGCAGGAGAGACGTTAAACGCGTCCTTGTTGTCGTTGCCTGCCGAAACCTATGAAAATTCAAGTTAGGTTTGTCGCGTGCGTCTGGCGCTTGAGAGACAGTACCGTAACATGAATGCCAGCATCGGTAAGCTAGGCATACGACAAGGTCAGCATAATACTGTATCTGAGTTGAGAGAAACATTGGAGCGCCTTACCCTGGTGACTGCATCGTCGAGCGCTTGAGATACACTGCCGCCCAGAGACATGGACACGACAGATGGCCTGCCAGAAGCGGCGGCTTGAGAACGGATCCAGTCCAAGCCAGCGACACTTTTAACGGATCATTAGTACAGTTGACCTACGGGAATGAGAATGCAGAGTAGGTCTTACATTCCAGAAACAGGTCCTTGTCTATCGAAGATTGGGTGTCAATGACATTCCCAAGCTTCAAGGGATGGGAACGTACCCGCTGTTACTCAAAACCCTGACGGCAATGAGAGAGGCGTTTTTCGCAACTCCCCATCGAGCACCTGCGGCGATGCCGCTGTTTCGAGTAGAATTGATGAACCTCGTCAATATGGACACGTCTGCGTGAGGATGACGAAAGCTTACGCGCAGTGGGTACCGTGACCGTGTCCGTCTCTATCTCTGTAGAGAAGCATCATCACATGGTGGGACGTACAGTGAGAGTGGAAGTGGAGTCTTACCCTCCGACGCCAAAGGATCCTCCCCATCGTGCGCGACCCCCAAAATCGGTCTGGGCGATGTATTGATGGTCAGCACCTCAGTTAGTAGCCTCTGAGGTATTCCTTACATGAGTAGTCAGAATACCGGTGTCTGTTTGGCAGGTTAGGGCCGCTTTCAAGGAAGACAGATTTTTTATGACGGACCTGTAAGATAGATATCCACACCACTTCCAGCGGCGGAAGACTCGTAGGTGTACTTGAAGTCGAGTTTACTAAATAAAAAGGATGTAAGATTCGACGAAATCAACTGGGAATGAAAAGAGGTCGTACAGGAAATCAGTGTCATCTAGCGCTTGCTCTTGGCTGATTCTTTGCAGTCCCCAAGATGCGTCGTTTCTGAAAGCAACACCGTTAAGCACTTGATAAGCAACTAAAGTATTTTAGACTTCACTCACTGAGTGACGGGGGAGTGCATTTGCACGATACCGTCCTCGCTGATGAATTCGACGTCCTCGGAGGCTTGTAGCGCGGCGAGAGTCTCATCGTTGAGAGTACCTTGACACCAGGTAAGCTGCGGTCGTGCAATACAGAAGGGACCAACCAGAGAAACCGTTGATCAGGTTCAGCTCAACGGTGTCGGAGGGAAGCTTGAGCTTGCGCATCCACTGATTGCGCGACACGCCGTCCTTGAGTTTAACGATATGCTTGCCAGAAGTTGGCCCTGCATAGCGCTCGACCGACTTCAGTGACGCGCCAGGTGCTGAAAGCACCGGGGTGGCCAGCAGGACGGCGAAGGTGGTAAAGATAGTAGAGAGACGCATGGTAGAGGATGGAAGCAGAATATCTCGGGAAGGTAGCAGTACACTTGGGTTTCCAGTGTGAAGAGCATGGTGGGACTGCGCGTGCTTTTATACCTACCAGTCCCTAGAGCCAGAGGGAGCACCCACACATATGCATAAGCCTGTAAAGAGTGACTGTTTCCCGGACAGTGTCCCTCGCACCATGCACTTGGAAGCGTAGGAAGCCTCCAGCGCTGAGGTTTCACCGCTGAAAACACGAAGTTTACAGACTTCCTATGCTTCTAAGACTCTGAATACCGAGCTTCATCCTACACTCGCTTGCTAAATCCTTCATTTTCCATCCCACACAAATCTCAAAGAGTCCACTCTTTCCCTGTATGATGTTGACAATGTACCATCATCTCGTTTGCCATATGCTGCTGTCACCCGTTTGGAAGTTGAGAGCCATGAAGACGAGGCCGTACCGCAGAGGAAGTGATGCATGCACCTCCCCGAAGCCTGTTAATTGCAACAACGCATTCCAATTTCTCGACTTTCGTCCCATACAGCTGTCATCCTGGGACGTCTGTGGGGGTATCATACAAGGGAATACAATGTACACCCCGGAAAGGACAGCGGCGCATCGACGAGAAGCCTAGCCATTCAATAGGAAGGCATGGATGATGAGTACTATGTTGTCTGACATTTCCATTGCTATCTTAATCTGTCTTCCTACTCCCAGACGTCGTTATACATTAGTATCCCCTGATAGATGGTCAAAGACTTTCGAACTCTGGTGCCGATACTTGATCGAAGAAGTATATCCTTTTTAGGGAAGTCATTTTCCAGACTCACGCATCAGCCTTGTTCTCTTTTGAGATCGTCGTGCCACTACGGTTGAGTAATTTCGTTGGAGAAGCCCGTGTCAGAGGATCGGCCCGCAGGCTAGAAGAGAGCCTCTAGCTCTGTGTTGAGAAAGCATTTCCCGATCGCGATAGTCTGTACCTGAGGGACACGGGGACCCCATTTCCAGATAGCCTCGTTCTTGATACTAGTAGGCGACTGGTACTCGCCTTTTGCCTTAGCTTTACCAACTGTTCGACCTTTTAATTCCAGAAACTAAGACGGGGAATATCAAAGGAAGCATGACTACTTAGGGACCTCTCTTCAACCTTCCTCCTCCGTGAAGCCCGAGAAGTGGAAATGACTCCGTGGAACCCGTGAATGATGCCAATCTCGGACTCACCTTCACTCGGAGGCATGTGCCTCTTGAGCGCCTCATGATCTCATTGTATGTAAAAGGCATCTTCGGATAAATGAGAAGGTCGGGTGGCCATGCCACGCGTGGTTGGTGCTAATTGTTAGGAATAGACTCTGCTCACCTGCTGCTCTGCGTGCACGGCAAGGCTACTGTTTAATCTGATTGTGGTCATGTATACTTTGCTTCTGAATGCGTGTGATTGGACTCGACATGGCCGTAGTAATTACGCGCCAGACAAAGGCTGCAGTCTGCAACTGATGTGATTACTACTAGCGCTCCGATCGTTCATCTTCAGGACGGTAACAACTCGGAAGTAGAGGTTACAACGATAACAGTTTAGAGCAGCCCCACCACTCCGCCGACTGCGACACCCAGGCCCACAACGCTTGCCAACCCCAACACCTCTAGTTTGGATCCTGCGCCATCTGCGTCGCCTCCGCCTCCGCCTCCACCTCCACCCTTTCTGCCTGCCAATGCAGGGGCAGCTAGGATATAGGCGCAGGGTAATCAGTACGGGTGTTCATCCAGAGCCGGAAGATCGGTCACATACCGAGTAGGAGGGAAGCCAAGAAGATGCCTCTAAGGGAGAATTGCATTTTGTGTACTCGGTTGATATCAGTATTAGTGAGAGTGGTGTATGAGTGAGTTGTTAAGACTGGTAGCTCGGTGGGGTGCAAATTGGACTTGGGGCTCTGAGGAACTTGGTCACGTCTCTGCCCTTTTATATCTCGTCTGTGCCCTGCGGGCGGCTATTGCTGTAGACCATGGGAAACCGCACGAGGATAAATCGGTTAAAATGTGACGAGACGTTTTTAGACTGTACTAAGTTAACAGCGTTCAGCATCGAGCTTGCCTTTTGCGTAAAGGAAATGGGCGCGTTTTGGAGCCTCGTTGCGACGAACAGCGCCCTCAGATGTGATTGCCCTTGTCTACTTCATGAATTAGCTGTCAGCTATTGGTGTGATAATCGCTGGCGCGGACGGGACCTAGATTATTATCTGCCTTGAAGCGAGATTAAGCGCCTGTATTCCATTGAGACGATACCCATCCTGTTCGGCGACCGCTCGGCCAGGATCTAAGCGCCCAGTTGTAATCGATATTTTTGGACCAAACATTCACCCTCAATCACCGTGAGCCTTGTTCTCGCATGGTAGCCCATAGAACTTTGAATGAATACAGAGATCGGTCACAAGGTTTCTCCCAAGTATCTAGATTAAGCTGAAGGCATTATCACTGGTCGCACCGCAACCACTCCGACTGAACAACGGGAGATGGCGAAAAGAATAGGATGGGATTGAAGATTCAAGATGAGATTGCGTCGAAAAGTGAGTGATTGCCCCAAAAAGAGTGGGATGGGGGAATAAGAGTGGGATCCCGGCCGTTATCCCACTCTTTTCGTCGAGTTGTAACGGCAATCCCGCCTGCGGTACGCGCAGCTGTTAGGGTGCAGGTTGGTGGTTAGAGTTGGATTTAGGGTTGGGTTTAGGGTTTGGTTTGGTGGTTAAAGGTTGGGGAGGGGAATATCATGTTGCGCGCCTTCTTCGAAATAATGTGAAGTTGAATCGCTGAAAGTGGAGAGAGGCCACCCCTCCACCATCCCACTCTTTCGAAGGTGATCGCACTCTTTTTCACGACCTTTACTCCAACCTCCTAATTCCATCATATTCTTTTCGTATATACTCACAAACAACACTGGCTCAGGGCCGAACCCGTCCGCATTAAAGTTCAGTTAATAGCACTGCGCTCCAGAGTGATCATCGAAATTGTCGCCTTGCTCGTCGTGGCCGCTATCCCCATCTCCAGAGCTAACTCTAGTCCCCTAAGCTCCCTTCAGGTGGGGCACGCTCCCGGTGTATTGTCGTTTGTGATGCGAAACACCCTCCTAGAACAACTCTGTTTGGTAGATTCCGCAAATCTGCATAGTGCTTGAGTCGAGGGCCCTGCGCGGAGGGCGTACATCGAGAAACGGATACGTCTGAAGTGCTCTTACGAGCGTTGTACATGATCTGCTACTTAACATGGCAATAGAGCTGGAAATAATGATTCGGATGTCCATGTCGAGCTATAGGTACCTGGGCCGCCCCTTTCCTCCCAGTGCAAGCTTGGTCAGCATTGGTGTAATTTCAGTGAACTACTCTCAGACCATCATCATTACTACAAACCCAGATACCATCGGGGCAATCCAACCACCCACCCCTGCACCTCCCATCGACACCACGCTCCTCGCACCAGAGTCCTCGAGATCTTCAAGCTTCGCTGGTCCGGTATAGAGCGGTCTCGGCGTCCCGCTATATGTTCGATGAATAATGGTAATCATTCCAGTCCCAAGGTCCTCCGGTAGAGGAATTACGACCTCCTCTTCACACACCGCCAGCCCAGAGTCTCCAGGCTGAATGACACACTGGTTTGTTCGCCGGCTTCCCTCGATCTCAGGGAAAACAGTGTCCTCCTCTCCTGGAGCTCCGGTGCTGATGGCGCCCCGTACAGGGCCCTCGTTGAAGTAACGTGAAGCGTCAGCTCGGAAGGTGTCTGTTGGATGGTCAGCTTGAGGCAGAACTCAATTATCTGTGAGGGGGAGTGTACCCACAGCTTAAAGTGGTAGGTGTGGTCAGATATGTCGTGGTTGTAGTTGGCTCTTCCACCACCCCAAATGAGTACACGTGGGATGCGGCGTAGTGGGTCAGGCCCTCGTCGTCCACGGAGAGAGGGCTCGCTCCCAGGTGGCTCCCAGAGAGGATGTGCCTGAGTTCTCCGTGTGTGGAACCAGCAACGGCCTCTTGAGTAGTGGCCGGCCCAAAAGCTGTGATCACGTCTGCATCTGCGGAGAAAGCGAGAGGAGCTGGATGTGCCAGTGGAATTTGCCTCGTGAACGGACACAATGTAATTGAGAGGATACAACGTACCTGCGAATAGAAAGAGTGCGAGTGATCCTAATGTGGGGTGCATGATGGATATAACGAAGATGCCCTCATGAGCTGCTCCTTTTCAATGGAAAAGGCATCAAAAGGAGTCCGGGTATGGCGGACGAACTTTGCTTCTTTCTCTCCACAGCATCCGTGTTTTGAGCACTAAAGGAAAGCAGCTGCGTGGCTCTTTGTTACAGCAAGCAAATATTACAGGATCCTAACAGCGCCGAGGCTGAGAAACAAGCACCGAGTCCCAGAAAGCTGTAAAGCCCCGTGGTTAGAGGGATAGATAGGCCGGCTTGGAAGAGAAATTCGAGTCATCGTTGTGTCATCGGTTGAGTATAGAGAGAGTCTGTGACGCTGCTGCACCGTTGGTCACGGTATAGGAAAGGAACTGACCTTGTCCAGCACGATCAAGCATAATAAGCGCCGGAAGAAGAGGAATCCGGCATCCGGGCCGTAACTCACCGACACATCACATGACCTTCAAGTCACGTCCAACACGCGAACAATCGACGTCGCCAATTCCTGAGCTCAACCTCAACGCTCTTCTTGTCCACCCTTTGCCACCTATGACTTGCTGAAACCTCGGAAACTCGGACGTCTCGAAATGTCTCTCCCTTCGACACCCAAAACTCCGATTCGGGCAATCACCTCGACGCTCATAAATCGTGCCTCGCCGAGCGTTCCACCAGCGTCGCAAAATTACGAGCCTCTCGTTAAATCCGTCCTTGCATACCGCCTTTCGCGCTTGTTTTTGCAGTCAGCGACGGTCTGTTGGGCTACCCAGTCAGTATGGAGTATCTGGCAGAGTGGTGGAATCGGTGAATTGGGTCTATATGGCATCCTCCTCGTGCCTTTTAGACCTGTAACGTTGTTGGGGGCATTCTTGCTTTGGATTGCGGCATCTGTACCTGTCGTGGTTCTCAGAAAGACGTTCATTCACTGTGAGTGAACTCTTTGTACTGAGAATTGTCTGGAAATCCTGACAAATGAATTACAGCTGAAAGAACACCTGCAACTTCGCCTCATGCTTCACTGAAAGCTGCCCTGTCGAAAAGCAGTACAAAACCCGCTTTGTTCACGTATTTGGCCTCAGCGACTATCTTGGTAGTCGTGCACGCTGTTCTCGCGTACGCGCTCGAAAGTGGGAGCAGAGGCGACCCCCGTCTCTCCCTGTACGTCAAGTCAAGGTATGTGTTTTATAATCTTTGTTCTAATGAGTAAGAGACTGACTTTCGCTCAGAAAACACCCACACTACCTCAACGGACGCCTTCTGTTTTTGATTTTCTCCCAAGCAGCAGTATGCCTCTCATTCCTCTTCCGCAACATGCTTCGCGACCGATTCGCCTACCGCTGGGTATCAATGAGCTCCGCTGCACCTTCAACCCTCGTCGACATCACCGTGGCCGCCTTCATCGCCGTCATCTCCATCACCTCAGCGCTCCCTATTGCCTGCTTCACATTCGGCGCAGCCCGCATGCTCGTCCTCCCCGTCGTATACAAACTCCCCTTCCTCCGCTCGCTCCTCAAACCGTTCGTCAATCACTTTACAAAGGGTCCGTACACCTTTGTTCTGCCGCTCAAACACCTCACGCTCCTCATCCGCGCGTGGTTCCTTGGTTTTACGACGTTCTTCCTCTGGGAGTTGTCCGAGGCCATGTTCGATGGTCTCATTTCAGAGCCTGTCGCAGTTACGACCCAAGGTAGCAAGTCCAACCCTGTCGCCAACCAAACCCTCCTCGTCTCCGGTATCACCTCCAAGGACCCCGTCATGAAGTACTTTTCGTACGCAGAGCTTGCTGGTGTTGTGCAGAGCAAGGGATCAACCGCAGTAGCCGAGCGACAAGCATTATTCGGGGACCAGAAGAACGGGTTGAATTTGTGGGGTGTATTCGTACGCGAGACGCTGCTGCTGTTGGGCGAAGACTACCAGCGCCTGCTTCGACGCGGAGCACCACCGCCCCCTCCCGAACCGACAGCTACCACGTCAGCCACACCGCTCACCGGGAAGAAGCTCGTCGAAGGTGTCGAGGAGAGGATCAACGCCACGCCCGTTCCCCTCCTGCGCAGGTCGATCTTGAGGAACCAGTCTAGCTCGGTAATTGGATCCCCAGGCGAAGTCGTCCTCGACCAACTGGCGTCCGACGGTCCTATCGCTCAGGCGGTCGACAAAAGCGCTGAAGCGGCCCACCTCCCCGATCTCTTCAAATCCGTCTCGAGCCCACTTTCGAAGAGCATCCTCAAGCCAGTTGCTGAAGCCGTTCCAGTGCCTGCTCCTCCTGTCCCATCAGCAGGCTTAATAAAGAAAGCCAGGACTGGAATTTGCAACGCTGTGAAGAAGTCGTTCAATGAGCAAGCGCCACCGCAGTTGAAGGATGAGGTCGATCAGTTTGTGCGGTGGTGGACTATGGATCGGGTTAGCCGATTGGTGGACGCGAGTTTGCCGATGAGGGAGTTGGATGTGGTTGTTATTGAAGGTGTGTATCCGCTTTTCCGTTGCTTCAATCCTCGCACATGGGGAGCGTTTGCGTGTTCTATTTTTAAAGCATTGCTGCTTTGTGATCTGTCGTTTCATCTTCCCGGCTTTGTCTCGCCGCGCATCCGTTCATCCTCATGCTCTTCCAAATACTTTCGTTGTGTACTGGACTTCCTCTCTGTCACGTGTTCGCATTATCGTCCCTCCCTTCCGGCATCCGTCCGTGCATGCGCTGTAATACTAACATCCTCCCTATCTAGTTCTAACGAAACTTGTATGCGCTTCACTCGAAGAAGATCGATACGGCGTCGTCCAGCGCGATATCCCCAAGATCCTCGAATCGCTTCTATCGTTCCTGCAAGCAGTCGAAGACTACCAAGCTGAGATCGTGAAGAAGTACTCGCCTCCGCCGTTACCTTCCACCCAGCCCCGAGGTGCTGGCTCTGGCTCTTTCGAGACAAGCGACGGTGGGCAGGAGCAAGGCGAGGAAGAGGCCGGTCCCACGAAGAAAGAGCTTGAAGAGAGGAGGGCGATGGAGGCGGAGTTGGAGAAGGCAACTGATTTGTTGGGGTATGTCGGAGATGGTGCGTTTCCTTCCTAACTGTGATTATTCGCTGGTTTACTGAATATATGCGGCTCTTCCCCCCCTTTACCAATCCCTCGGGCGCATATATACACCTCTGTATGCATACATCGACCTCCAGGCCTCAAAGACGGTATCGCGCGCATTGTACGAACGTTCGGTGACAAGCTCACTGCGTTCAGATTCCCACCTCGCACGGCACAAAAGCTCCAGACTTTTATGGATTTCTGCCAGTAAACGTTTTTGGTAACGATCAACTTAGAGACGCATTGTTATGTTTACGCTCCCGTAATGTCTATCTTTTTGGGCAGATGGCTGGTTGAAATACGTCTCACCTCGCGGCTCACAAGTCGTTCAAAACAGAATTTCCGGACTTTCGCCGGTTCCTGTCGTTGCTGTTCTCGGGCGGCGCTGAACACAACCCTGGTTCGGTGGATGACGATCTTGGCGCCTGTTGAGTGGTTAATTGCCTTTTGTGGCGGCTCGGGCAGGTAGGTTAGGGCGCTCGAAGCATCGGAAGCCACGCGCAAACTCCACACGGATCAAGTGCCCTTGTCGCTCCTGTCGTCGAAGATCATTATAGTGCTTGACGGCTGCAATATTGACGCGTGTTGAGCGTGTTTTCGCCTTTTGGGGCAGCTCGGGCAGGTAGGACAGGGCGGTGGAAGAATGCAGTATCCCACAGTTTGAGACGTGTCTTTGGGATAAAAAGGAATGAATGTGAATCCGACAGGGTAACAATCGCTCGCGCTTTGATCATGCAACTCCTTGCCACAGCCGTCCTTTCGTCCATCGTGCTAGGTGCGTGCCACCTTCCCTCGCCATCGAACGAGGTCTAATTATCGTTCTCTTTAGGACGGGCATTGGCTCAAGATGCGAGTTCCAAAGAAGATGTGGTGACGATCTTCTGGCCCAAGGCTGACACCACCGCCGTAGACTGGGTCGAGGAGGCCAGTACGATCGGTGCCGAAGCGCTTTCCACCGACGCTGAGGGATACACCCACTACGCCGTTTCCCGAGTTGTAACACAAGGTGTGGCGAATGGCCATACATATCTCTCTGAACCTACGACCGCAACCTGTACGACCGCAACCTGTACGTCGCATTCGCCTTTTTCGCGTATTAGCTAAGGTGCGTCTTTGAACACCACATACAGACACGTTCCGAGCGGATGCCTCGCGCTACCACGCCGACGAACCGCTCAACCTAGTGCAGCCGACTAACGATGCTGGCGACCTTGGCCTCGTTCCCGTCGAGGGTGGACGATCGATAACAGAGTGCGTCACGCAGGAGGATGACACGATTGTTTGCTCCGTCAGGGTGGAGATCCCCGAACCGTCGGCTCGAACGGATTTCCTCACCTTCACGGGGGAGAAGGGGCCTTTGTATACGATTGTAGCGTTGGGTGCTAAGAAGGGTGGGGATGATGATGGTGATGATGATTCTGGGACGTCGGCGCTGAGGTTGGGAGGTGCGCTTGTTTGGTTGGGTGTTGTTGCTGGAGGGATGGCGGTTTCGGTCTATTAATGGGTGCTGGTGCTGGTGCTGCGCTGAAGGTCGTCGGTTTTTCACGAGTGGCAATGGAGAATTTGACAACTGTATACCTGCCTTGCATCGGAATAACTTTTGGTCACTGCAACGCCTCTATTGGCCTAGTCATTCAGCCTGGAACTACCCTAGTACGTGTGCTTCTCGCTCTTTCAATCTCGAGAGACCGCCTCCTTCGCTCGGGTCATGAGAGCGCTTTCCCAGCCTCTACTATCATTATCACTGGGTTGTAACGCCGACATAGAGTTGTAACGTGTCTTATCGGGGCTCAGATTCTTCTTTATCGGCCAATATTTTTGCATATCCTGTGAGAGTATACGTGGAGAATGTTAGCATCCACTTTCTACAAAGAAAGGGCAATTTGTAGTTGGAAGAATGCGTTATCAGTGGTAGAATTTTTGCGACAAGCGCAAAATTCTGACGTAATTCGTACTTTTCTAAAGGTCAAGAGCTCGGAATAGCGAAAAAACACTGGGAAAACAGATGCAGGTCATTTTTGCTCCAATTGTGCTATCTTTTCAGTTTCCTACTGTAGTCACTGAAGAGAGAGGGCAAAAGTGCTCGAGCGTGACAGGTACGAGGGACCATTCGCAGCAGGTTGCAGCTCCTTTCCCATCAAACAATCAAACTTCTGTCACGCTCTTCGCTTCGGGGTTGCGAATGATGTGACAGAGGAGTGATCGCAGGCATGTCACACTCGTTGCAACTCCCTGTTTTTGAGGCCTTTTGGATACCCTTCACCGGCTTTCGTCTGGCATAGCAGGATCCTCTTCGATCTTACAGAGATTTGAAAGTAGTATAGAGAAATGGCATCCCAATGTACTTGCAAAAATATGGAAGCGAGGACCTCCTACTTCTTGAGTTATTGAAGGATAACTGAAACCCGTTACAACTCTATGGTAATGATAGTATACGTGTCTGAAGCAGCTGATCTTCCTGTTCAAGGACCTACACTAATGACAGGTGATGGAATGTACACACATTACTAACAAGAGGACGGTGTGATGTGCGGTCAGACCACCTCCACTGATACCCAGGCCTTATGGCGATTAGTACTTCCCAGTGAACTCTCCCCGATTGAAAGGAATGAACGTTTATCGGAACATTTTCCGAGTCGTCTTTGACGCCCATTAAACGGCCTTTCAGCCAGGTACTATGTGGATCTCCTGCAAGTGTAATACATCTGGACTCTTTTAACAATTTTCGAGAAACACGAGAATGTCATGTCACTCGGGAAGATGGAATGACGGTACGCGCGTGAAACCCGTACCGGTGGGAGAGGCACCAATTCATGCTTACAGCTCTGGAGCAGCCACCTTCTTCTCGATCAAGGGACCTGAAAGGGTGGCAGTCAACAGTCGACATATAAATTACTACTGGTGGCAGTTGACTTACGCTATTCACACAAACGACAGGCCTAGAGTGGTCGTGACAGTGACTGGGGCTATCTCCACCGACACCCAGGCTGTACATACCCACATCGCCGGCGGGGTAGAATTACTAGTGGGTGTACATGTGTGCAACCCCAGACTAGTCTCGTAAACCAGCCTCGATTCTTTTGGAGACCCCAGACGACAGGAGCGGATTTGCCCACGCGTTCAGCTTGGTTCAAGCTCATATGTGATCACAGTGAGCTTCTTTTTCTTGTCTAATAGACATTTTCTGGCTTCGTTCTATTGGCCATCGGGATTTAGGGAAGCATTTGGATGTTTCTCGTCAAAACCCCGCTATCGGAGGCTCCACGTCCACGGAAAACGACATTTGAGTTTGGAAGAGAAAACCAAAGAAATGGTCACAGCTGTTTAGAGTTGGGATGCCGTGTGTGGTTGACGTTGGAGGTGGGATTCAGAGATGGCAGCTCAACTGCCCTCACGAGTCCCCTGCCCGCAAGACACTCTTGGGTGGATCCACATTGAGAAAGGGTCCGTCTGTATTGGGCGCAAAGTCGGATGTAGGTAAACTGTGATGTCGATTCCTGGACCTGTCACATTGGGTAGTTGGTCTTGCGGCCTTGAGAAGCGTCCCAGGTAGGATTTGGCCGGTTCTTTGTGTATCTTTTGACTGGCACTGGTTGCTGCCAGTTATTCGGATTGGGCACATAGCCTGATTCCCGTTAAATACTGATGACTACATGGTGCTTATTATGTGCGCCACTGGGTGCCCGGTGTGCTGAAGGGCCGAAGAGCACAGTGGCTACTCGTCGTCAGTCATCGAGGTAGTTCGGCGAGCTTAACCCTCAGTGAGAATGCATTCCTTGCACCCTTCCCAGCCCATTCAATTACTATTAGTATGGCTTCGGGGGCATATACCACAGGCTAAATATATCTTCCAATTCCCTCAGCTTTCACCGTCATATCTCCTCCTAAAGCGTTTGATGGCCGACCATACATAAGCAAAATCACATAAATGTTCGTTCTCGAGCCAGTTCCCAGCTTAAGCGCCCGCTGACCAAGTCCCCATGGTTATCTCCGTGGAGCTACGAACTCAATCAGGGGGTCAGCCCAGCGTGCTCTTTCAAGTCCTCTCACCTTCCTTCCATTCTTTTTGAAAGCTTGGTATGTGGGCTTTACTGCAAGAACTCTACTCCATTTCTCACACAATTAAGTAGAGCGACTTCGAATTTCGATTCGAAATTGATAGCAACTGGGCCTTCCCCACGGAGGCAATATCGGCAGCGACAAGGTTTACGACGCGTGACCTGGCGCCCATAAGCCTCCGTTGAACTTCCCTCGTGCGTCCACATTACTTATATCTATTCGGTCGGGTTGATTGGGAAAGAAGCGGGGGATTTCCCTGTCCACATCTCTCTCTCTCTCTCTCTCTCTTTCTCTTTCTCCAACCATGTTGTCAATCCCTGCCACGACGCTGTTCCGCACGTTTCTGCTAGGTGAGCTCCGCCTCCGACACTCACTATGTTCAACAACACCGGCATGCTACGAAGATCGCACATTGACGGACGTGCTTTGATTTTCGACAGTCGCGGCTGCGTTGCCTTTAGCGCGGGCAGAAGATGTGACCCTGTTTCGGCCGCAAGCCCCAGAACCGACGGTGTTTCCCTATACGACGCCTTTGATCGAGTGGGTGGGGATAAGTCCAGCCGGGGTAGACGAAGAAGGATACACGCACTATGTCGCCTCGCAGGTGTATTCAGTGGATGTTATTGGAGAAGAGCATACGACGAAAACTGTCAAGAATGCGTTTGGACGACCGCAGTCTTACACAAGTGCGTTTTGCTTTCCGTTCGTTACCAAGGACCTGTTTGCTAATCCCTGTTCAGTCACTTTCAAGGCGGACGCAACCCGGGATGCCATTACCATCTCCACTGACAACCAGTTCCAGACTGGAGCCACGGTCGGCGAGTGCTTGCACCACCCCGAGAACGGCACAGTTGTCTGTTCTCAAACCACTTTCGGCCGTCCACCTGGCGCAAAGGAGGACGAAATCACGACATATCATGAGACGACGTATACCGCGACGAGAGAACCGTACTTTACGATTTCGAATGTGGAGACGTACGCCATTCCGACGATCACCGCTGGGCAACTGGAAGAGGAGGATGATGCGAGGAACGACAAGTCTGGTGCGAAGGCAGTTGCAGTTGGGAGTGTTGGAGGAGCTTGGGGGGTGTCCGTGCTAGCGAGTTTGGCTGTGTCGCTTCTGGTTTGGTTTCGAGAACTGTAATTGGCATATCTAGGTTTGATTCCCCTATCGATCCCCAGCTCATGAGGTCGGTCACGATGATATCGAGAAGAAGTTGGTAAATCCGGGAATTATCCCTGCAATGGTTAATTAAAGCCACTCGCTATCGAGTATCGATTGGGCTGATCGTTGACATCTCGCTCTAACATGTGCCATTGGCTGCCATTGATTGGTGCGGTTGTGACCCCTGTCGATGCCCACTGCACCTTCGCTGGGTACGGTTGGGATTGCCAAAGGCTTGTCGGATGTTTAGTCCGGAGCTCCGAGACCCAAGTCGAGGCATATACCCCGAAACCTATGTCGAATGTCGCCTTATGGAGAAATTCTGCGGGCAAGTACGGACAGTTCCTCCAATGTTATCCTGTTCGGCGAGCAGGAGTATTACGCTGCCGTCACGAGGCTCTGAACTATAGACTTACATCGAGGAGGCTGGAAGAACCCCGCATCTGACTGCTCATTTTAACTCAACTGCCAGAAGAAGGAAGCTGCGATCTATCCAATGATACAGCGATTGGAGTGGGTGAAGAATCGTTTTGGCGGTCTCCTTTCGCAGGAGAAACTCGTCACTTTTTATTTCCAGGACGGAGTGATTATAACGTGTCGACTCGAGTCTGATAGAAAGTAGGAGGTGTAAAGGGACAATGACACGGCAGCGAAAACAGAACCGGTTTAAGGAGTGCTCAGTAGGGAGTCTGGTCTATGGGTGCCTGTTGCCAGCACCCCTGAAATTCAGTACATTGGGCCGCGAAACGGATCAAAGCAGCGCGTTTACCAGCTTGTCCGAGTCACACTGGGGAATGAAACCTTCTGACTTGTCTACATAAACCGGGAAACCTAGTCACGCCTCTCAGACCCTGCACGCAGCCTCCCTCGCAGAAATCGGGCCAATTGTTCCAATTGTAGCGGATCCCGATTCGGGTCCTGGAAAGTAAATTCCAAAGAGGGAACCCTAACCAGCATCGCGCGCGGAACAGCAGCTGGCGCGGTCTGGGGGCCATCGTTATCTCTTTCACCACGACCACGACGTTCAGATGATTTCAAGAGTATAGTATAGGCTCGAACGGCGACCACGATATGTCCAATGACACCCAGAAAGCTGATCAGATAGCTTTCCACTTCTACACCAAGCTTTTCTATGTTGTAAACCAGGCGCGGGCCACAGCAGAGCCGAGGACGCAGCCAAAGGTTGATAAATGGGTGCGTCGCAGGCTTATCTGATGGGTTTTCAAAGACTAACTAGGTTTCAGTTCAATATAGAAACACCCGATTCTGACCTCTTTACGAAAGAGGCAAAGGAACCGTACAAGAACATATCACTAGCACCACCACCGGGTCCACCTCCGCTAGAGATTCAGGTCGTTCTCGCGATCCCGGAACTTGCGAACAATCAGGTTCTGGTTCACCTGACCCCAGAATCGTCAAGAGTTCGAATCGAACCTACCCCGCGATTCATCGTGCTAGAGTCTTGGACCCTGTCGTTTGCGCCTCGACGAGGAGATGAGGACCATTCAATCGACGTTGCACTGCCGACGATCTACAAACACGGTATCCCCTTGTTCCGGAGCCTCTTCACCCTGCTGCGGGTCTTGCCAACATGGAAGCTGTACAAGCGCCTGAAGAGACGCACAGGAGGCCCACAGCACCTCTCTATTCAACTGCGTGTACGCTCAAGCCATGACCCAGACCATCTCATCCTTGATTTCGGTATGTTACAGCTTCGTGCCTTGCCTTGTTCCTACAGCAGATCATTCTAATTATAAACAACACAGACACGCCTGTTTCCCCTACTATTCCGACACCCTTATCTACCCAGACACACACGTTCTCCGCCGTTCCACATCCTTTGGGGTCTTTAACACTCTCAGCGCGCTTTCTGGAAACCCCCAACTTCCAACTCGAAGAACTAGAATCCGTCCTTTCCTCAAGGTTCATCTCCCAAGATTTAGGGGGCGGGGAGGGCTTTGTTCCAACTTTGACCAAGAACCATCAACGTGATTCGTCGATTAGCAGTAGCGGGATGCGCTCTGTTCTGTCGAAATCACCGCCGAAGAGTATTGGTCGCACCGTCTCCTCCGATGAGAGCGCCAGCATCGCTGAACGATTCATCCTCCCCGCCCGAACACCCAGCAACCCACCCTCGTCCGGTGCTGGCACTGGCACAGCACCGACGCCCGTCCGAAACATACCACAGCCACCTAGACAGCTGGCAAGCGGCGACTTTGCTGGGGTACCTAACCAGTCGCCATCGGGTCTCGCGATTTCGAGGCTGCGCAAGGAGAGCTTGGGGTCGTCTCCGTCGTCGTCTCTTTCTGGTAGGGATCTCCCCATGGGCATCCCATTCGCCACCACCAATCCCTCGCTGTCCTCCCTTTCCTCATCACCATCGTCGGGCGGCCTGCCCATCAGACGACCGAGCATCAACCCTGTACATCCCTTCAAATCCAACACAGTATCTTCAGCATCCGGATCCTCACCGTCTCTGTCCATCCGCCAGGCAGGAATAACCAGTGGGTCACCACTATCGACTGGCATCACAGGAAGCCATTCGCGCTCGAGCTCCATCTCCGGTGTCACGAGTCGGCCACCCCCGTCCCCGATCGGTATCGGATTACCAGGCGGCGCTGATAGTCGTCCGTCACCACCGCTATCCCACTTTTCCCCGTCGAGTTTGGATGTGGTGAAGCGTCCGGGAACGAGCGGTAGTGCGGGGAGTGCTGGTAGTGGGGAGCGTGATCGCAGAGTGAGCTTGGGTGTGGGTGCTAGTCCGGATGACGGGCGCGTTGCGGTACCCCCTCGGAAGCGCTACTCGAGTAGCTTTGGGCATCGGTTTACCAATAGTGTTGGGAGTACGGGTGGTGGTAGCGCCGAGGGAGGCAGCGGGGGTGCGAGTGCCGCAGGGGGCGGTACCGCCAGTGGAAGGAGTACACCGGCCATCCCGCCCTCCGGCTCTGGACTCGGGATCGACTTGGGGACGAGGGAGCGGAAGGAGAGCTCTGCGGCATCGTTCATGAGCACAGCCACCGACGATGACGATATCTCTCTCTTTGTCCAAGACATCGATTCGCGCAAGCCCTTGAGTGGGAGGTGGAAGGAGCGGGAGAAGAGGGATTGGGAGAGGCAGCAGTCTGCTTTGCGAGATGGGCTGGAAGGTGTTGAAGATCAGAGCCACGGTCGGGATACCTCTGAAGCGTCCACTGTCAAACCTCTTCGGTCAGAACGAACGATAACGGGAAGATTGTCGACATCGCCGCCATCCACCGCGCCGTCATCGAGATTCTCAACGTTAAGCGACGCAGCTCCTATCCCTTCTACTCTACCTTCTGCCATTGCCCGAGAGCGGGACCCGGCAGTGACGTCTACATCGCCTCCTGCGCTGTCCCTGTCACCGACAAGAGGGCCTATGCTAACGAGCCAGGGTGAGGTTTCGGAGAGGCTGAAGAGGATGAACGAGACATTCTTGAAGAGCTTGGAGGGCTTCGACCCGGGCAACGCAGCGAAGCGGAAAGAAAGGGAACAACGGAAGAGGGAGAAGGAGAGGGAGAGAGAACGGGAGAGGGAGAGGGTGCAGTCGACCACGTCCCCTCGGAAGCCCAACGGTGATGATACACGACCGAGTGGATCTTCTGCTAACCGCGATGATGCCCAGCTCGCCGGCTACGCCAGTCGGGGGTTGTCGATCCGGTCTCCCAGGGAGAGAACCCCTCTTGACGAGGATGGGGGTTGGAAGTCACCTGGAGCGGGTGGAAGCGAGCGTAATCGTGGATTTGCTTCGAGGGGGATGGGGCTGAGAGGCCCGATGCTTGGTGACGACGACGATTCGACGAGCTCTTTGGGCCATAGCGAAGTCAACGTCAGCCAGGGGAGCGAGGAAGTGATTGGGAAGATGGAGTTGTACGAGGAGAGGAGTCGGAGGAAGTACCATCGGTATTGAAAGGACCTGGCGGTGGTGCTTGTTCTTGATACCTTCCCTTTGCGCGTTTTGGGTTTCGCTTGTTTTTCCAGTTGTCATTTTTTTTCTCTTGGGGCTCTTCCACTATTTTGCTTCTCGCAGCGATCTTGACATCCTCATATCCAAGCTCGCGAATAATAATGTTTCACGATTTTATCTATATGCCATTCATGATTGTCATGACCGCGCTTTTTCTCTTCCCCATTGTTGTTACCGATGTATTATACACTTTCTAATCCTGGGCCCGTTACTCAACCTCTTGGACACTGTATACTGTCTTCCAATAACATTTGTACTATTCATTGAAGCCTCGTCCTAGAGAACAACATTCAATTGTATGTATTTATAACAGATCCCCAATTCCCATTCATCGCGTTATTTTGGACTAGGAGGGACGATGTCACTGAACCTTCGAGTAATCTCGACACCAGAGAAGCGGGCGAAGGAGAGGGCGCTGGGTTTTTGGGACCTGGCTGTTACGGCTTGCACGGACGTGACGGAAAGGTCTCGAAGGTAGAGAACGGCTCTTCGTACGATCTTCATTACAAACTTTTCCAAGGTGTGGTACTCGGACGTCTCCATTTCCTGGACGGACACTGATCAATTTCAACGCTGGATGGTAGAATGGATGGTAACCTCACCGCGGTGATTTTGCCCAGGACGGTCTTGTACTGCTCGTATGGAACGGGCGAGTCTGGGTTTTCGTAGAAGATGATGTCCGTGACGACGTTTTGCTTTGCGAGCCGTTCTGGGGGGTTGACGCCGATGATGACTGGTAGGGTGAGGCCTAAGATTGAGACGGTCCTGGTGGAGGATTGCCGAGTCCTTGGAATGAGGGTGTCCACGACAAAGTTTGACGCCAGCAGAACGAGTTTGGGTGCGCTGATTACGATCCTCACCGCCTCAGCGACGTCTCCAGCCAGCGCGAACGCCTCGTCCGCGATTTGATTCGCCAGGCCCTCTACACCTTCGAACCCGTCGTTACCCCCATCGCCCTGCTCAGAAGATCTCACTCGGATGAGGTTGCTGACCGCCTTGGTGAGATGCCCGTAGTGCACCGAATCGACTACATCATCGGATCGACCGGCTTTGTTGAGGAAGGTAGGTTGGAGATGGAGGTAGATGGAAATCTCCAGTGGTTGAGGACGAGCTTTGCCCCAGCAGTCGGCGCCAATGTTGGCGGCTGTTTGGAGCGTGTCGATGAAGACGACGTCAGTTGTTCTAGGAATTTCGAGAGACATTGTTTGCGAGCTGGTGGGACCGTTGTTGCGATCGCTCTACGAGATCGCTGCGAAGAGGATGACGTATTGGTCAGCAAGGAAATCATGCAGGAGGACCGCACCAATAATAGAAAATCCAATGTTTCCTGTGAACCTCCAGCATTTGCTCCTGGCCTCGTTGAACATTGGATGGTTGGTACCTGGTACGTTGGTTGATTCATATGGACGCGGTATTGATTGGGTATTTTTAGTTCGGTGACATCGTCGCGAAGGAAGAGCAAATGCATGATTCATATGGCGCGGACGGGAGTACCTCTGGCCGATGATGATCGCAAATCCTCTTTGTAGGGGTTCTTTGGGTAATGAATATGGTTGGAGCGAGGGGAGCGCGAGAACCTTTGTCCTGGCATCATCCGCGCCTGCTTTGGCCTGACGCCGCGGCCTCTGTTCAGTGTTCAACTTGCACCCTCATCCTCAGAGTCATATGGTCATCACCGAACACTCTCCACAACAAGCCGTCCCACCAATCCCTTCGATTCATCATGGAGCTGATTTTTCAGGATTTTTCATCCGTGCAGCAATCCGGCAATCATCAAACGGCAGTGGCTCCTGCATTCTCTCTCTTTTCGATCTTGTGTCTAGTATGCGTGTCTCAATTCGGATGATTCAGCCCGTAGGAGGATACACTCACCACTCGGTTGGAGATATCCTTCGAACTCCGGTTGATAGCTGGTCATTCCGCTTTACTCCAGGCTAACCGATATCATCATCCCTATTAAACCCCGTTGGATTCCACGCCCACCTGAATCGCCCCGGCCCAAGGAACCTTCACTCTCGCGTCCCCCTATATATGTCTCATTTGCAGACAGCGTCCCCGCCCCCTGCTGAAGAGATACCGCATAGTCCAGGAGTGCCCCCGACATCTCCTCCACCAAACCGAGTTCGTCGACCATCATGTACCTTTGCCGAATCCGAGCATCCCAGAAGCGGGCTGGCCAAGCCACGACGACGTTCTCTGCGCTCCCTACCGTCACTAGATTCTCCGTCTCTCCGTGATGCAGACGAGAGGACGTTGGGTGAAGAGACCGACAGCGAATCTACCTTTATACCACTCGACGAAGTCTTGACTCGAGAGGAAGAAGCCATTACACGATATGGCGGTAACGACCCCGAGGACCCACCTGCGCGAGATCCTATAACAAGATCCCTCTCCATAAGATCTGCAGTATCCGAGGGCAAGGATCGAAACCAGGTCGAATGGGACGGGCCTGACGACCCTCACAACCCACAGAACTGGTCGACGAGGCGGAAATGGTTCATTACCTTCCTGTGTATCCTGGCCTCTATCAACGTGTAAGTGATTTTTGGTTATTACACTGAATGTTCCTCGCTCACTGGGTTCCATGATAGTACTTTTGCGTCATCTGCACCGTCATCTGCCGTGGGGGGCCTAATCGTTCAGTTCCAAATAGGAAGAGAGGTGGCGGAGTTGATTACAACGATGTTTTTGCTGGGCTACTGTATAGGGGTGAGCTCTTTCCACAGCTTCCATTGCTATCGAGGAAGCTAATGTACCCGTCAGCCGTTATTCTGGGGGCCTGGAAGCGAACTGTTTGGTCGGAGACCGGTTTTCGTCGTCGCGATGCTCTCGTATACTCTCCTGATTCTGGGCCAATCGCTCGCGCAAAATGTACAGACCTTGTTGGTCACAAGATTCTTCTCCGGGTTCTTCGCCTGTGCGCCGTTGACCAATTCAGGAGGTACGTCCCGAGTCACTACTGGTACCCTTTGATGCTGACGCGAGTTCCAGGCGTCATGGCGGATATATGGGCCGCTGAGATTCGAGGGTTCGCTGTCAGCCTATTCTCTGCGAGCGTGTTCCTGGGACCCGTCCTTGGCCCTATAGTGTCCGGATAGTACGTCTCCTCTCTGCTCGTCTGAAAATCCCCCAGCTGACGTTGTTTAGCATCGTAGAGAGTTACCTGAGTTGGCGATGGGTATTCTGGGTTATGATGATCTTCGCCGGATTCTGCACGGCGATCATGATTCCATTCTTCCCGGAGACCTGCGTCCCAGTTATCCTTCTCAAGAAAGCGAGGAGACTTCGAAAGGAGAACCCGGAGAAGAACAAGGATTTGTATGCTGAACACGAGCGGCAGGATTGGTCGATGAAAGGGATCCTCCATCGAACGCTATTCAGGCCATTCAAGATGTTAGCCATGGAGCCTATCCTCGTGCTGGTGACTGTGTACCTTTCGCTGGTCTACGGCCTCCTTTATGCCCGTAAGTGTGTTTTGACACTGTCTTCGGCATCCACTGACCCTGTCCCGCAGTTTTCTCCGCCTTCCCAGTGATCTTCATCGGTACCCGAGGGTTCACCATCGCACAGACGGGCCTCGTCTTCATCGGCGTTGGTATAGGCACAAGCATTGGCGCCATCGTCAACGTTATCACCTCTCTCCATTATCCGGAGCTCATAAAGAAGTGGAAAGGCTTCCCGCCACCGGAAAACCGCCTGTTCAGCGCGATGATAGGCTCTCCTACCCTGGTTATTGGTGCGTTTTGGCTGGGCTGGACAGGTCAGTATTCGAGCATACCTTGGTATGTTCCGGCCATCAGTACTGTTGTCGTTGGAGCTGGGATTAGTATGATCTTTATGTCGTTCCTTGTGAGTCTCCACCCTCCTTTTCTTCGTAGAACGAAAGTTGATTTTGTTTCCTTGCCTAGACTTACCTGGTGGACACGTATCTCATGTATGCTGCATCGGCACTGGCTGCAAATACGGTGGTGCGGTCAGCTGTGGCGGCTGGGTTTCCGCTTTTCACAACACAAATGTTCAACAACGTGAGTCGTTTCGCAGCGTTCTGTCCAGTCGTCCGATAATTAATCTTAATCATCGATTCGTTTAGCTCGGAATCAACTGGGCGTGCACCTTGGTCGCTCTGATATCGCTCGTCTTCATGCCCTCGCCGTTTTTGTTCTACAAATACGGCCCTCGGATTCGGGAAAAGAGCACCTTTGCTCCATGTGTGGATTTGGTTGTCGCGAAGGCTATGAAGGAGGAGGCGCAGAAGAAGGCGGAGGGGGGAGATCTTCAAGAGACCCTCGTTTAAAACTGGACTTGCAAGAAGACTGAACTTTGACAGGTTCTGTACTTATCATCAAATCACTGATTGGACGTCACGTTTTGCGTATCTTCAAGCATTGAATATTGAAACCTCGTGTACATATACCACTTATATGTGCCTGATAGACTAGTAGGGACGAAAATGTAGCCATAGCAGTAATTGATACTTTTGTACTAATAGTAGTCGCAGAAATCGAATTCACTTCATGCGAACCCATAATCCTCCTTTGATATACAGAGTCAGATTCGCTCCCGGCATGACCTTGTCTGTCCCCTTGGTGCCTTCGCATTGGGCCCAACTGGCTGGAGGGGCAAATTGAGGATCCTGAGCGTCTTGCGCCAATTCAAATTCCGAGAACTGTTGGAGAAGGCGGATAAGGAAGAACGAGACTTCGTTGTAGGCGAACTGCATGTATGCCATCAGAAGACAGCTTCAGAGGGCAAAATAGGGAAGAAATACCTGTTGTCCTAGACAGATCCGAGGTCCTGCATTAAAGGGGACGAAGATGAATGGATTTGGGATGAGGTATTCTTTTAGGCGCTCGTCGAGGAATCGGTCAGGGTCGAACTTGTCCGCTGAAAATGGGAATGAGTTTGCCCTGGATACAAGAACGTGGAATACACTCACCGTCAGGGCCCCAGAGGTCTTTACGTCGATGCATTGCCCAGACCGAATACCGTACTCTAGAGGGGGAGTCTTATATTGTGAAATGATGGTAGGCTGAAAGGGAACTTACGTCGTTTTGGCTGGGATGTAGTACCGAGGGCCGTCCTTGGTCTTGAAAACCGTGCTTTTCTGTGGTTGCCTGCCCAAAGGGAGCGCTCAGATGATGCAGCGAAATTGTGGATAGTCTGGAAGGCTTACCTCCAGTTCAGAGGACTGTGAAAGATAATGAATATGAGCACCCATATTCACAAGGGGCCAATCCCAACTTACACCGGTGGATAAAGACGTAGAACCTCTACCGAAGTATTGAGATATAGTAAGCTGTTAGTCTAGTGCGTGTAGAAAGTGTGACCCACCATTGATGAAGGCCCTAATATACTTCATACCCTTGATGTCGTCGTAAGTGGGACGTTTCGTTGGACCAACATACTCCATGACCTCTTCTCGCAGCCGAGCAACGACCTCGGGATGTTGTGTCATATTGTACATGGCGTAGCTGAGGGTGCAAGAAGTCTAAAGCCATTGGGTTAAAGTCTGTTCTGCCAAACGCGTAGTCACGGCAATCAACGCACTGTATCTCGTCCGGCAACGAGCATACTAAACAGCTCGTCCTTAATCATCCGCGTATCTTGAAATGCTATCAGAAGCAAGCGGAAGCTTTGTGACAAAACAACTCACCCGTAGTCTTATTCAATAGATGCTCCAGAAGTGTATCTCTCTCTTCGAATTCAGCGCCCCCTCCTTTCTTTAGACGACCGTTGATAACCTTTTCGGCAAACCTATCGATGACCTCTCGACCAGGCTTTACAACATCGGACCAAAACTCGGCGAGGGGCCACTCCTGACCCCAGAAGGTCCTCCGAGTTCCTTTCGTGATTGCGTCCAAGAATGCATCAGCGAACAGATTGGAAGGGTGCTCCCTGTACTGATGATTGGACGCGTTCTCTTTGGAGCAGTTGAACGGATATGCCAGGCCAGCTGAGAGTGATTCGAGGTCCTCGTCGAAAAGGAACACTGAAGCGGAATCCAATGTGAACCGTCCCACAAGGTCCTGTGATGATGCTCAGATCACGGGGAATTATTGAGTGCGAGATCTTTGCGGCATACCTGAAAATCGACGGGATAGCCTGCTTCTAGTCTCTCCTTAGCAAGTGTCAAAGCCTTTGAGGCATGTGTATCGAAGATGTCAAAGTCACTGATCCTGTCTCGGGTGAAGAACGGACGTGTCATCGCACGATGGAACCTGAATGAACAGGTCAGGATTGAGCGACACGCGCGGAGACACGCAAATTCACGCACTTCCACTTTTCTCCTGAAGGTCGGCGATGCATGAGAGAACGAGGTTCTGGGTTGATGTCTAATGGAACTCACCGTTGACGCTAAATATTCCATCACCAAGCAGAGAAACCATTTGCTCGATGAAGAGCGACTCTGTATAATGTGAGGACAAAGGATGATTGGATTGGGCGACGCCGATGCCTACCTTTAGGAAAGTTCTCAAACTCTGTAGCGAGGATTGCCTTTTTACCAATAATCAGCTGCACACCTCGTTCTCGTAACGCTGTGGTAGCATACTTTCACATGTTCAGGTTCTGTTGTCCATATCTGTGCGGTAGAGGTTCCAAGTTCAATGATAGGGAGTCTCTTAAGTTCATGGAGGGTTTGGTCACTCACGAAACCTTCTGTCGGTAAACGAGTCTCGTAGATGTTCCCATGCTTTGAAGCCCACTCTTGAAGAGTGTCACCTAAAGAATGCCCAATGGGTTTGGTGTCAATGCCCAACTTGGCTTGCCCTCCACGTAAACACAGCGCTCACCAGGATATCCACGATCAAACATCTCCAAAAGCTTGGAGACAATGGCGAGGCCACTTTCCTGAACGTGAGGTGCCATCTTTGCACCCAGTTTCTGCGCTTCCTTTTCGTTCAAGTAGCGCCTGTAGCGAGTCGATACAAGAAACTGAAGCGGTTTGGCAAGGACTACACAGAGAAAGACCGCCCAGCCTGGGAGAGAGATTCCTGTAAATCTTTTGACATAGTGGGTAGTAGCGTAGGCGAGCAGTCCTGGGAAGAGGAGAGGGGGGACTTTTCGGAGGAGGTACGATATCCCTGGTGGGGCGCCCATGGTCGGAGTCGTTGGTCAAGCAAGGCCTCGTGCCGTGTATTTCCTTCTCATCCCCCTTGGTGACATACTCGGATCAGAGGCCAAATGGGACATTTCGCATGGAGTGTGGACGTATGGTAGGCGACATTGGGCATGGAACGGGACCATACTGCAACAGGAGTCTCCCTGCCGCATGGCTGGCCGAGTCGGAGCCGCTTTCTGGACGATCGGAGAATATCTAGGAAAGGATCTCCGTGTCAATGCCGACTCCGGGCGATCAGATATCAATGATACGATCAGGTGGGCCGCTGCGCCGCGAAATCTTGGCGATTTTACTTTCCTTTCTCCAACATTCGCTGGCAGCTCAGAGAGTTCATAAACAAGCCGGAGGTTTCAGAGAAAGCATCTTTCAGAATCCCGCATATCGAATCCGTAAGAGTTGGCTTACTTTCCTCGTTTCTCAGCTCATAATTTTACCAGCTGCCTAAGATTTCGTGCTGCAGAAGATGCTCCATACTCTTCCGGAAGAGACTGTCGAGCACATCCTTCGCTTCACGAGCATTGGCCAGCGGGCTTCACCCGACAAGGACACTCTGCACAAATGTAGCCTGGTTTCCCGACGTATAACTCTGGCTTCCCAGAGGGTTCTGTTCGAGCACATTTGCGTCAATGATCTGACTTGGCCGTGGCTACAAGGCTTCATAGACCATTTGAAAGCACGCCCGCGGTTTGCGACCTATATCAAGAAGATGAGGATCTCTCGGCATCCTTACCGTGGTGCTCCGCCCTCAATGCGAGCGCGCTTAGCTATGTCGAGCGATTATGGCCCCCCAGAACCCGTCGACGAATCAGATTACGACCAGGGTCGTTGCGGCGATCTGCTGGCAGAACTCCTTGACCTTCTCCCTGCCCTGCAGGGCCTCTCCCTTGCAAATCTCTCCTTCTTCCACCTATCCACTACAAGCAAGGACGCCTTTCGACGACTTTTTGACCCGCAATCAAACCGGGGTTTGCAGGAACTGTACGTGGGATGGATTGGAAGGAATGACAGCGATATCCAGATCATCTCAAGTTCGACAACCCTGAAAACCCTGGAAGTTGGTACCCTTTGGAGGATGGAAAACCAGCCTCTTTTCAACCCGTCCACAAAATTAATACGCGCATCGTTGAAGAAGTACCGCTACACTCAGGACCTCTGCGACCCGTTCGGACACCCGCTTCTGTCCTCCTTTCCCACTATCTTCTCAGAACTCGAGTCATTGGACTTTCCTCTTCCGTGTGGCACTCCCAGGGATCACCATCACCTTCTCATTGCGACCAAGCTTTTGTCAATTTCGTCGAGCACGCTTCGGGTTCTGACTATCCAAGTGGAAGGATTCCGAGAGGGTAAGCCCTCTGACCGTCACCTCATTTTGCCATGCTGAAAGTATCAGACCTCCCTGATTTAAGCCACCTGGGCGCTTTGAGAGAAATCAAACTACATGCTCGCAATGGGTGCATGAAGGGCAAGGTCCACTCTTTCAAATTTCCCTCCGGACCCACGACCTCCTTCGCGTGTAGGCGGATTCTATCGCGAATAAGTCCCGCCTCCCCCGTCTCCTGTATCGAACTCAATCTTCGCACTACGTTTGAAGACAACCTTCCCGGGAATTGGCTCGACACACAGTTTCTCCATACCGACTCGTTGTCGCAGCTTCGTCGCGTCTGGAACAAGTTGGATTTGCTGTTGTCGGATAGGGAACGTTTCCCTCATCTGATGCGGGTGGCGTTGAATTTTCGGTTGGACTTATGGGGAGTGAACAGGTTCCCTGATTCCAAGGATTACAGTGGAGAGGCGGAGATGGAGGATGGACTGTGGATGGATAAGGATCTCGCGGCGAGGGCCGAAGCATTGGGACGGCGGAAAGCGAAGCTGGAAGAGGAACACTTGTCGATCGAAAAGTTACTCCCGCGCACTGCGATTCGACTCACCGTGATCCGAAACTTCGAACTATCTCAGAAGGACTGGAGCTACCCGGGAAACGAGGGACTTTTGATTTGCTGACCACATGGTCAACGTGCTTCAAACAGCCACATAGGTATTATGAATCCAGTGCGTGACTTGAATTGCATCTCGCTCACCGGCGCCTAACTGCATCCCTGTTTCATCCCGCTCTGTAATATTCCACGCCGTCTCCTTAGATTTTTATCACCTGTCTTCATAATCTACACTGCCAAGACGCGTGATGACGTCTCTGAGTCATATCAGTTCGTATTCAAATACCAGGGATCAGCACGCGAATCTTCGTGTCGCCCAACGCTTGTGATCGCGATGTCGAATTTAACCGCCGGGTATCTCTCCAACAAGCTTTGGATCAAGAAGGTAGAATCTTTCTATACTCCAGCACAGGTTGCAAAATATCTCGAACGCATCGACTTTAAACCCCGTTTGTCGGAAGTTGATCTCGTCGATGGCCGCACATTCGTTCCCTCTCCAGAGGCGCTTGAGCGCGTCATGAGGGGTCATCTTTTGACCTTCCCTTGGGAAAATACTGCAATGCACTAGTAAGTGTTCGCACTCCTCTAAAGGCAACCAATACTTACACACGGCTGAAGCACCGAGAAGCACTGGATGGATGTTACGCCGGAAGGTGTTTATCAACGATTCGTCGACGAAGGCAAAGGTTCCTACTGCTTCGGTCAGGATATGTTGTTGCTTGGAATCCTGCGTGGGATGGGATTCAGGTCTGTTTCTCTCTCCTACATCTCTGATATGGACGCTCATAAAGTTCAGGGCATATTCCGGTGCTGCACGCGTCAATGTAAACCATCAAACTCCCGAGAAAGAACCCACCTACGCATCCCTGACCCATGCAGTCATCTTCGTCCAGCCCAAACCAGACAGCAACGAAACGTTCGTTGTCGATGTCGGGTTTGGGACCTTGAATCTGGCTCGGCCGATACCGCTCTCAGACGACCCCGGTGCTGTAGTGAAAGGGGCGTTTGAAGGGCAACTGTACAGGCTGACCAGGGCCCAAATGGGAAATTCCTCCGTCGGTGTGTATCCGTGATTCATGAGCTCATCGCTGATTTCCTGATGTGATGAGCTCCACAGAGGTACCTCCAGACGTAACAGACGCGACCCATCGCCGCTGGAATCTCGAGGAGACACGGAGTGTGGACGGCACTCCTCAGCCATGGAAACGTCTGTATACCTTCACCGAAGAAGAATTCTCGCTCAACGACTATCTGGACGGTTCCTTTGTCGTATCTCAGCAGCCTGGCGCAGGGGTTTTCTGGAACAACCTGCTCTGCGTCCGATGCTTCGTGGACGAAGAGGACATTGACCTAGATATCTCGCAAGCTAACTGGTACCGACTGGTATTGGTTGGAAGCGAGGTCAAGCGCCACGACAAGAACGGAACGCGAGTCGTCAAGACAATCACCAGCGAGAAGGAGCGGTTAGAGATCCTCGGGGAGATGTTTGGAGTAGATATACCCTCTGAGGCGGTCGCTTACATCAAAGGTCGCGCACCTGAGATACAGGGTAATGCGAGACGCGGGGACGACCATGGGTAGGCATTTGGGATAATTTCGAGTCTATTCAGAACGATCCAACATGTGGATATTGACGAATTAAAAGCATGATTGTTAACCTAATCCCTCCGAGCTCAGGCGTCTGGCTACAGGCCCAACGGACCGACCGTCCATCGCATGTTGAAGCTAGAAACACAGGTGAGATTGCAAGAAAGCCGGGTATGATTAACGAGATTCACCGTGTAGGATCATATTTCGCGTATGTTTGCCTCAGGAAGTTGTATTGCCCGTAAGTCGTGAATACTGGCTGTGTTTCATCGCACTCGTTGACATAGAGTGGTATTCCAGGTGAAGGTGGAATTCTGCGCGCGTCCGTCAGCTTTCTTCCTTCGTTGAACGGGAGAGTGGAGAAATGACATACCCTCGTAAGAACGCCGCGCGAGCGTCTTGGATCCTGAAGAGATCCGTGTTGAATCCTGGAAGAACTTGTACGTGGAACTGGATGAGGTGGTAATTTGCTAATGGAGGATCAATAACATTCCCTCCTCTCGCTCGGCCGGCGAGGATTTGGGATTTCAGAACGGGGGTGAAGGCGAGAAGGGCTGTCGATATCCCAGCATCAGTGGAACTTGGGGGGCCAGGCCAAGGGCCGGGGAAGATGGGACCAGGGAAGATGGGCCATGGAGGGATAGGCATCGGCGGTGGTGGGACAGGGGCGGGAAACGCGGGAGGGGAGGAAGGCCTGGGCCCGGGTGTACTTGGTGGAGGCGGCGGAGAAGGGGGAGGAGGGGGAGTTCCTGGCGATGGATAAAGCGGTATCGACGGCAAAGGAGGTGGAGTCCGATCCTGAATGGGGTCGATAGTAATTGGTGGGTCTGCGCTTACTTTTCCGACGAATTCCTGGAATTTGCTGAAGGCGTTTAGATATCGTGCAAAATTGGCTTCCGCAGACATCCCTGTCTTCTGTCTGTCGTACTCGACACTTCCGAAGGCTGAAGCACCGAAGAACTGGCCAAATCCACGCTCGTCTCCATTCCCGAGGATACTTGTCGCTTCCAGATAGCTGTAATTCCCCACGAGAGATTGGATGGCCGGTAAAGCGAGGAAGTCGCTGTAAATCTCTTGAGGATTTCCAGTCCCATTGTAGAAGAAGGTAATCACGTTGACTGGCTGCGCGGTCGTATTGCTGAAAGTCACGCCGAAAACCACCAGAAGCGCTGGAAAAGGCTGTTAGCCTAGCCAATGACCAAAGTTCACGTCCGACGTACAGGCACCCGGGTCTTCGACCTTATTGATGTAATTCGCCGTTGCTCTCAAGAGTCCTTCGGATGTCGAATTGTCAAACTGATTGCGATTTAGCCGTCGTCGATCCCAAGGTAATGCTCGGCGCTTACCACTAAAGAACCTCCCCAAAAGTTTTTATCGTCATTCGTGCCGACATGAACGGCGCTCACTTCGTATCGGGTTACAATGCCAAATCGATTGGCGCCGCCCTAGTTTACCCTGGTGAAATTCACATTCTGCGGTTTGACCAAAAACTCACCTTCAACGCCTTGAATAGATCTGAATACTGATTGGTCGCTGTCGCGGTCACTCTATCGCCGTTTACAAGTACGACATCGGCTTCGACGAGAAGATCCACGCTGAAACCATGTGCCGCTGATAGATAGCTCAAGCCTCCTCCCAGCAACAGGCCTGTTCCGACATCACTGCGCCCTCGGTGAGTTGTTGTTTAGAAGGCGAAACGATTGGACGTGAATACTCACGGAAGTCGTCCTCCTGCTGGAGCTACTCCGTATGGCTCAAGTTCAGTTATTGCCTTTCCCCATCGAACACCAGGTTGAAGAGTTATCGTGTCCCTTGTCGCATTATAGGACACGGCATTCATATGCATGAATGAGATGAGAATACCGTCATCGCCGACCCTGGAACGGAAATATTACCCCAGTCAGCAGGACAGCTCGGGGAAATAAGCAACACATCGGAGATTGTCGAAGTATTTTTAGAAGGTGCCCATGTTTTGGAAGCACTCCCATGCGAGCATCGAGATCGCCAAAGGCTGCGTTGATCTCAATGCCACGAGAGTGAACAAGGGAAGCAAAGGAGATTGCTTGAAGAAACAGAATGCTCACGTATTCCACCCTCGCATCGCACTGTGGCCACCAGCTTGTACTGCGTATCGTACGCCCCCACTCTGGTAGATGGCTTTCATTGCTGCTTGAACGTGGCCTTCTTCCCGAGGGAGCACGATGCAAGCGGGCTGAGACAGGGTGTTGTAGAGGTTCCATGCTCCACGGGCGACTTCTTGGAACTCTTCTTCGATTCGATTAATTTGCACAATGGTGCTGTTGAGCTGGGCTTGTAGCTGGTTGCATACCTGGAAAGCGGGAGGCAAAGGAGGGATCCCTGGGGTGGAAATATTAGAACGGAGCTGAGCTGTGACGAGGGATGTCACGGTGGACAGCAGTAGGAGGGGGTTGAGGAATAGCGGAGGGACAGATTTGCGACCCATGGTGGGGATACCCTTGTAACCTTAAGAGACTGGGAGCATGGGACTAGTGCAATCTAGTGGGGCATGATACGAGAATATTTATATGCTCGTCCAGAAGTCCTGGTGCCTAACACTTTACATCGCCGAAATGAAGTCCTGATCGGTAAGCGCCTGGATATCCCCACTGGGGGCTTGGGAAGTTCCTTCGCTCCGCCATTCCCAACAAGTACACAGGCAACGTTCCCAGTAGAAGCATTATAAGGCCACCCATTCTTCCATCCCCTATCCGTTAGCACCGGACGTCTATTTGGATATCCATTTGCTTACCTTTGAAGTTTGAACCTTCCCGAACGCCTTGTTATTGCCCAACGAGCGCATCCGATGACAGGTAAACGTCACTCAGATAGATGGGGACCTACGGTATAAGCAACTGATAACGAGAATCAGTTGCTCTATTGTCGCATGGTGTTGCATGTGATGGGGTATGCGTTCTTTCGTGATGTTCTCTGTCGAAAGAAAGTCTTAGCCTTTCCGTTACAACACGAAATGACGGTGGTATTACAGCAGATGCTGAAGGGTGTTACCCCAGACAGCATGTGGCTGTCGCGAGGAGACGATACCTTCAGTTACGGTTCTTTCGGAAAAATGGGAAGTTAGCGCGGCTGAGAGGATGGACATTCGATTGGCCTTAGCATTCGGAGAAGCCTTGAAAAATGTGGATACACCCGAGGCTGAAAATTCTCGGGGCTGCTTCCAGTGGAGGCATTAACCAGTTCTAACGAGACAACGAAAAGAGAAAGGGATACCCCACTTCCTACCAAGGAAGTTGTCATGTAGGCTGTCTCCCTGTGAAGGCAAATCGACTCGCCGAAGCACGCCAACCACAAGGCAAGGAATTCTACACAGTGCACGCCCAAATCAGTTTCCTCGATGGTCGGGCTAATACATTAAGGAACATATGTGCTCTGCCATTTGACATTCAATAAGTAGCACTGGAATGCAATGAGAGGCAATGAGTATACGGGTTCAAATTGGTCTATTTTATCATTACACAGGGATTACATCTGACGTACGAGCATGTCGACGTCGTCGGGGATCAGACTTAGTTTGACTGCTTGACACAACATTGCGTTGGGCTTGAAGACTATAGAGCCAAAATGCTCTCCCAAAAAGTAATATCTCCAGCTGTTTCGCCCATGAATATCCAGCTTTTTGCCGATCGAGAGCGGAGGCCCATCGAACAAAGGGATGGCCAATGCAGCCTATTGGCTTGGTACGTCGGCGTGAAGCCTCTTCTAACTCGATGTCAAGGATCCGGGTGACGTGCACCAGTTGACAGAAACCTCTGGGCAGCTTTCTGTGTATTCTTCTAATCGGCCAGTTCCTGGGAGAAAGGTACACGGAGAGATAGTTCACCCAATCCGTCAAATTCGCGTCATTTGTTAGAAGACACTCAATTCGAATTCATTGACAATACCTGAGTGACGTTGACAGAAACTTGAAGCTAGTCTATTCAAGCTATACAGGATTCAATGGTACACGCCAAGCAGGAACGTGAAAGCGCCCCGGAAGCAGATTCAAACGCTTGGGAAAGGTTGTGGATTGAGGTCGCGAAAGAACCGAATTGCTAACCTGCCAGAGCGCTTGGAGGAAATGAATACAGCCCCTAGGTCTGTCCGCTGTGCTGGAAATCCTGTTACCACGGTAGTACTAACAGAGACATCGATTCCTTAGGGAAATCGACCCGTTGCATAGAAGCTGCGGGAAGGGTCGAAAGAGATCGAGGATGGGCGTTCTCTGAGGATGAGTTGTATAGCCGTCTCCTCAAGTGGAGACTCGCCGCTTGACCTGTTCCCATAACATGCGCACCTAAGAGGAGATTTAATAGCCAACCCTTCTAGAATCTGCAGCATGCAGCAAGATCTTCGGCAAGTCTGGGAATGAGAGAAAGACCATCAGCCAGTTTCACCAATCCAGCAGTGAAATGCTCACCGATAGGAAGAAACAAGGAAATCCAATGAGCATATGACTCATAGAGCGTGGTTCTGAATCGGCTAATGCCTTGGGGCCAATCCCGAACACCATAACATGAGGCCGCTCTAGTTGTCGTCACTGGAAAGGCTGTCCCGACTCGGATATGCCTCACGAGTGCTCGCAGACTGCGGAAGTTCCAAAAGCTACAGATACACAACTTGGAAGGTCTGAGTCTAGGTTCAGTTCGCAGCTTGGTTTGTGTAGCCGGATTATCGAGAGACCCTTACAGAAATAGTCGGTCAAACATGTCGTTAGTTAAGCTAGTACATGGGCAACCTGGATCAGTATGAATCGGGGTGGGGCTACATGGTGTTAGGAGACATGTACAAGTACAACATTGTGGAGAAAAGACCTCATAATAGATGAAAAGCACTCGGGGAGAAATGGCCCCAATAGATAATGCGACGATGGCGAGTAGTGAAACGCGAAGCCTTAGTGGCGAGTCTTGACGCATCAGGTAACTTTGCCTGGACAACTGGTTAATCGCCTATACGGGACATGCAAGGGACACAACGCACGGTGCGAGACGATGAATTTGGCAAGATATTCGATCATGGACGAGGTTTCCTCCCCGACAGGTTTGATCCATTTGGCGGGTAGTGAGAAACCCCACTTTCCCAACAGCTCAGTAAATATAACCTAGAAGGGATATCGGACGACTCACAGTGCCAGTATCGCGCAGGTGCACCACATAGGAATACTTGATGTACGCTCTTTGGTACATCCAGTCGATGATGTTTCCAGGCGCTTTATACAGGTTTTCGCACAACCTGCCCACCTTGACGACATTGTCAATAACTGCATTGAAGATCGACAGGGATTTGAAAGAACCCACCTGGAAAGGCTCATCGTGGACGTCCTTCATAGCACGTGCAGCACCAAATGCCGCCTCGGCCTGGTCTTCACCATCCTTGGGGAATCGTTTGCAGGTATAAGAATATGGAGTGGATATCATTTGACCATAGCTTCGAAGGTCGACGAAGGCGACGGGATTGTGAAGAGTGCTGATGAAGTTGGCGATGCTGTTCACTTCGGGAGATTCGAAGGCTCGACTTCCCGGATACCAATGCGAACAGGGATCCGCAGGTTCAGCAGGATTGCCAGGAACCTCTTCTGCTTTCCATTTATATCCCTATCTATGGCGTTAGACAGAGAAGGCTCGGATAGCAAAGGAATCACGTACCCAATTCCGATTCATATCCACTCCTACGCATTTGGAATGAGGGGCTACGATTTGTCGGTTCTTATACCAGTACCTGTCCTTCTTCCAGGTGTAGTGATAACCGTCCGGGTTTGGTACAGGGATAATGTGGAAGTTGAAGGCGTCCAGCAAAGACGAGAGGCCATGCGGTTCGTCCAAAGTTTGGTCGATCGTCAATGCATGTGCAAGGTAAAGGGAAGTGGCCGTAGCGATCCACTGTAAAATGAAGCAAGAAGTTCAGGCGAGATGACATTGGACAATTGTTTTCAAAGCTGACCTCTCGAGCGTGCTGGGCTCCAATAATGACAAAATCAAGCTTTTCCGCCGGGCGAGGCATTTTCTTCTTCCCTCCCTTCTTGGAGACACCTTCTTGAGGCTCGCCCTCCGCGTATCCACTTGGTTTGACGATACTGAGAGCAAGAATGTCTCTGTTCTCCGCAGACAGGCCGATCCTCGACAAACTGGTTGTATTTGGATTTAGTTCGACGAGTTGGGTCAAGAACTTGCGAATCCCGGAGAGTGAGTGGTATGTTTCGTGGAAGGTGGAGTTTGTGAGCGACGTTAGGTTCCATGCCTTAATATTTGACGAGCTATCCGCCCCGTCCTGCCATAGTTGATGCGATAGGGGGACGAGGGTGGCCGTATGGGGTATGCCGCCGAGATCTTCAGGGACGTCCAATGCTTCTGGAGGAGAGTAGACGTCTATGTACGTTCTTCCGACATGCCAGACGTCCAAATCATGGTTCTACATGAATCCTTTCAGCAAAAGGAGCGGTACAGTTGCTGAATTCGGTTTTACGGACCTGAGCAATCTCCAGAACGGTCTCCCGGAAGCCGTTCGCTGTCGAGTTGAACCTTCTTAGAATTCCATGGGCGCTTGTGGGTGCAAGGGTTTGTTGCTCTGCGGCTACGACAGCACAGAAGAATGCAAAAAACGATATCCAAGCTTTGGCCATTGCTGGCGAGAACGAAAAGATAAAGGGGACAAAAACAGAAACCGAGTCCGTTTCCTCTCGATTGCCCTTGGCGTGGGTACCTCAGGCTGTGCCGTCCGTGCCGTCATTTCCACGGCTGAATCAGCCGGACCTGGTCAGCCGGCGGGCGCTTAAATCACCATTGGGCTCAAAAGCCTAAGACGAGGACCTGTTCGTTGAAAACGGAAAACGATGTTATAATGACCTGTATAGAATTGTCCAAAGGTCCATATTTTTTTGGCATCTCATATCTAATTCCAAATGCATTGAGTGATTCCGCTTCTTGCGCAATTTAAGCTTCGAGAACGAGAAAGTTGTGAGAGTCCGAAGTGGATTCATAGAAGAGAGCTAGGTGGTGCTTACAGTCTCGTTGGGTGTGCAATCTTAAAATATATCTCTTTTTGGGTAATCACAACGACAGTCCGGAAGGGAGCTCTTAAGTTAAGGGGACTTAAACGGTCACTTCCAAAGCACTTGTCTTCGGGGAGGGGTATCGCTGTAGCTATCGGTCTCCGTCAGTCCGGCGGGATGGATTACGCGCTACATTGGTCAGGACATAAGTAGGTCACTGCTGGAATCACCAGTCACACTTGCTCGATCGTGGGCGGCCCAGCGCCCACAGGCTATTTTAATAACAGCTTCTACGTTCTTCAGCGAGCGACTCTTAAGGCTAAATCAGAGTCCTATGACCAAAGTCGCTCTTTCGATTGTGTAAATTTGAAATGCGAGACTTCGCTTTTGAAGGTTCTAAGATAGGGGTCAGCAAGCCTAACTCGGGAATCGGATACTGCTTTCGGGGATAAATCGATAAAGCTGGGACTGTAAGGGTCTCCCGGCCTCGTTGCGAGGCGAAAGGAGAGCTTGGCGGTGCTGACGAGCGCCCATCCGGGTTTACACAAGCTTGACGGTAACTCAATGCCCGTGCCTCACCGCACACAACAACCACAACATCGCCTTCTGGCCATGCTGTGTCCTGCCCGCGATGGCACTTATATCCCGTCATACACTTTGTCTTTTCACTTCTACTTCACGACAGGCTCCCCTCAATACCCATCGTCCTCAGGCTCACTGATTCGTTGATCTTGAGCGATCACCATTTCTTCGACATGGTCTCCCCTTCGAGATGTTTTAAAGGAGGCCTTTTCGCTGCATCTCTCTTGTTCAGTGGCCTCGCTGCGGAGGCTGCCTCCATCAAGTTCAATCGGGTGAAAACACCAAGGTCGCTCATGCAAAGAGCACCACTAACCCTACACAAGAGAGCGAGCCATGATTATGAGGATCTTTCCTCGTTTTTGGATGGACTTGTAAGTACCCCAACCACGTAGTTTCCATTGCTAGACGACTGATCCTTGCACAAGTATACGGCTAGCGTAACGCTTAGCAGTGAAGGTGCGGGGTAAATTGAGGGCTAGTAGACTGACATCCGCTAACGCCTGTACAGAGTACAAGCTCATCCTGGATACTGGGAGCGCGGACATGTGGTAAGCTCGTGTTCACGATCTCGCTTCGGAAGGCGATAACCGACACGCGTATCTAGGGTCGACAAAGCGCCCGAGCACAGCTGGACGGACAAAGAAATCCCAATGAAGTTTCAGTATGAATATGCCAATGGCACTCTTAGCGTTGACGGCACCGTTGGAGTCGCCCCATTCAAATTTGGCACGTACAGCATCGATGAGCAGGGCAAGTCCGACATCATCACTGTCTTCTTATTACCATCCTGATCTCGCCCTTACTTTCAGCATTCCTGAATATCCACGACGTAGGAACTCCCCTGCCTCATCGATTCGCAATTGCTAATATCTTCTCAAACTACATGCTCAGGATGATCGAGAGTTCTTCAAACTCATTGGCGCCAACGGGATTATGGGTCTCGGATTGGATAGATCCCACTCCGTAATCGACGAAGAAGTCAAGAAGAAGGAAGGACAAGCATCTACATGGGGAGCCTCAATCCTCAACAACATCTTCGATGACGACGACTGGGAGGACAACTACGTCGCCCTCGACCTATCCCGCTCTGAAGACGGGGAAGACATCTCCGGTGGAAACATCTCTATTGGCGACTTCGACGAGCAGTTCAAGGACGTGTTCAATCAGCCAAAACACTACGTCTACCCCAAAGGTTCGCCTAGATGGACGATCATGATGGATGGTGTCGGAAATTTGCGACGGCCGTTGAAACGGCACCTCACGGCATTACACAAATGCCTCAGTACAGAGCGTCAGTACAAACCCCGAAAAAGTTAGAACAGCGTGCCGATGCTCCGGCTGTCGTTGCAACACCAGAGGTGCCGTTCCGATCACGGAACAGATGTCCGAAGCCGTTGGAACAGGAGCATTCCCTGGTGACACCCATTCCCAACGAGCGACGCGCTTGCTGGCAGGCTGCAGCTCTCTCTCAACTTCCCTATCGACCGCAAAGACTACAGGGCGACTCCAGCAAGTCTTTAGAAGCGCCAGAAGCGGAAAGTCCCCCCCAAACCTCACCTCTGCCTGCTCCTGCTGCAAACATCTCCTCTCGCACTGCACCAGCCCTTCTTGGTCGCTCGAAGAACTACTACACAATCGGGTTGTCGAGCTGAAAAGGTTATATCAACAGAAGGAGGGTGTTTCATGGCTTTCTGGCGCCTATCTATGGGCCTGGGCCTCTCGGGCGGTGAGTGCATCACCAATCTTCCCTCCACCCCTCTCATCTCACCCGCACTCCCACAGGCGTTTCCAATTCGCGTTTAGCAAACCAGAACGCGTCGTAAAGCCTCCTCCATGGTATGGAAGACTATCAGCAAAAGTTTGTGGCCAGTTTCAGAGCTAGGGCCTTTCGGGTGATGAGTACATCCCCGATCTCCCTCCACCCCCCTCATCTCATCCCCACTCTCACCGACGTTATCAATTCGCGTTTTTCGAATCAACACACCGCGTAATGCATCCTCCGGCCCCTGGACAACTGTCAGCAAAAGTCTGTGGCCGGTTTTCGAGAATCGGGCTTCACGATCAGGATTGGTGTCGCTCGGAGTGTAGGCAGGCAGCGAAGTGTGTACCGGGGTCGTATATGCAAGTGGTAATGTACAAGATGAAGGCTATGTGCTGTAAAGTAGAAAATCTGGCAAATAATGTTCAGTGAAGTTGAATATCAGTTGATGTAAAAGGTGACGCGGCTTCAATGAGATTGTATCAGTTGTCGGTGAAAGACATATGCACTTGACATCAGCGTAAGCTCTTGGGCCACTCCTCAATCTCGGCGATGGATGGAACACTGTTAGACTGAAGGACAATAGTAATTAAGTCTGCAGAAACCAATAGTTTCCTTCAGTACCATTCCGAAGATGTCTCGGTGGAGCGCCGTACCGTTTTTTCTGGTTCCTTTTGTGATCTTTCCAGGAATACCATGCACCTTGATCCACTCCCGGAGATGTTTCACAGTCCATGACTCGAGAGGGCCAGGTATCAATACACAAGAAACGAAATTTGGAGCATTAGGCAACTTACCCCGATCTTTTCCTTGACGTTGTCGGACACTGGTGGTGCGTGTTCCGGGTGAGCATCACTGTTGAGAGCAACACTTAATGTTGTCGACGCTTTTTCACAGATGAGTGAGTTCATCTAATTTTGAGGAAAATTGTGCATCAGTTCTGATACTCAAGAGTCAAGGAATGCTCTCACCTTCGCCTTGGCTAAAGTCAGTATCACGTTAACAGTACGCTCGAGATAGACGTCCGCAAGGTAGGAATCGTTATCAACTTCAATGCAGCGATATTCACACGAAATGCGAGCGACATGGCATGTAGCAAGCGCAGCAGCGAGAAATCGGGCGGCAATGTCAACATCTCCAATGTCGCTCCAATCAGTGAGTGTGTTGTCCAGATTCATCTCCCCTGCAGTAAACTGGTAATGACCCCAGCTGTCGTTGTGGTCTTCTGCTGGGATACCTATGTCGTTTGGGCTGGCCTTCTCAATACGGTTGAGGAGTTTGGAAACCTGGGCACTCGGCTCTTGACGGACGAAGGCAGGGTTGCTGGCGAGATCTCCGAGACAGTCGAGAAGATCAGACCCGCAAGAAGCTGAAGGAAAGTCGGCAAGTCCAGAACGAAGCTCGTCGAGATTGGAGCTGATCTGAATGGACGAGGTATCGACGAGCCAGCGAGCAGAAGGCTGATCTGATAGGAATATATTAGCACCCATAAGTGACATCCAACGTGCAAATCACTTACCAGGATAGGACTCTTCCTCAGCCTCTTCAGTGATGTCGTCGCCAGTGTTCTTGCAACCAGAGCTGGCATCACTGCCACCACAATCATCCCCATTGTCTGTGTCGTCGTCATCTCCAGTCATAGCACTAGCAGCCTTCTGGAAATCTTCGTCGTCGTTGCGTTGCTTCTTAGTGGTAGTGAGAAGATTAGCTTGCAGCCCGAGAGGAAGAACATGGGCATTCCAGAACCGAAAGATTTCTTTAAATGGTGCAGATTGATCTTTGCCATTCTTCCTTGGGAGATCCATACCCTCGATCATGAACTTCTTGTAGAGTTGGAATGCCTTGCGATATGGGAACCCCGACTGAGCACCGACAGGCTCAAGTTTTTGATCGTTGTTGTGAATAAAAATGGTCTGGTTGGGGACATTAGAACTCAGGTCTCGCCGTTATCAAGTACTACTACTCATTATAGACTTACCAAGACACACGCCGCTCCAATGATACACGGGTTTGCTTCTTTGAATGTTTTCGCGCCACGGCTGTTGGGCTCTGGCTTCCAGCCGCTCACTGTCAGCCACTCTGGGCATATAGAGGTCTCTTTAAAGAAAACCACACGTGAAACCTGACAGAATAGGTGAACATTAAAAGAGACATGGGTGGTTAAGAGTTAGACTCACCATCGGGAGCTCGGGGTTTAACAAAACACCCTTCCTGAAGTTCCGTGTGTAATCCTTGAAGAGACAGGGAGGCCATAGCGAGATGACAGCATCTTCTTCTTCATCCTTGCTGGTTTTGAGTTCGTCCGGCCACAAGAGCTTCGAAAGGAAAAAGTCGCACTCCCCGCGTTCGGCGAACTTGTCCCATGCATAGAGGGGAGCAACATCGGCGGGCGCGTCAAAAATGACTTGGGCTGCTGCTTTCTTCCTCAGATCACAGAGAACGGATCGCTTGAGCCTGTCGTGAACAGCCGGTATAACCCCTATTTTTCATCTTTATCTTATCTGATCTGTCTCGCATCTTATCATTTCGTTTCCCCTATTCCTTTGCTCCTTTATTCCCTCTATGGACCTTTTCACTCTTGGAACACTGCCTCGTCTTGCCCTTCGCCCTATTTCCATTGTTCTTATTGTTATGCACTGCCTTTCGACTCATCCTGACACCCTCTTGTTCCATTATTGTTTCATTCTTGTTCTTCGCGCAGCCTTCGCGCAGCCTCATGACCTTTCTTATTGTTCTTCGACGTTTCGCCATTTGTTCGTCATTTTGACTCATCGCGGCTATGTAGACTGTAGAATAGGTATATAAGCTAGGTAGTCCGCTCTGTATTTCCTCAGCTTGACCCTCTTCGTCAATACATCGCTTCAGCCTTCATCTGCATTCGTCGCTCATCGCTCTTATCTCACTCGCCGCTCTTCTCTGCTCCGCATCACTGGTGTTTGGTTTGGTTTAGTGTTCGCTCTTCGCGACATTAGGTCAAGCTACCCCTGTGCACTGGCAACGCCGATCGTTGTCCCTGCATTCCGGATCCCCTGGCACTCTGGTTGACCTGCCGATCAGGTCTTACTCTGGCAACTCTGGTTTTCCGACACCGTCAAGATTAGCTGCGCAGGATACCCACACTTCTTCGCCTCTAGTAAAGACCTCAACCCTGACAAGTGGTTTGGCATCGACTGCCACCTCGATAGCAAGGAAGAGGTTGTAGAGTGTGACAGTTCCCCCTGCCCCAACCGCCTCAGTCTCCGGCCCACCTTTCACCAGTTACGACGCCTCCAGACAGCCAGCTTCTACGCTGCTGTTTGCACCTCCGACAACGCCGTAAAAGCCCGCGAATTTGCCGAATCCAGGAAAGAAGAATCGAAGAAGAAATCCCCACCAGTAACTCCGCCGCCAACCGTCACACAGCTCTTACCAGAAGATTCTCCCCAGTCTTTCCATTCCGCCGACTCTACCCCTGCCCCAGTAACAGCAACCACCAGTACCGCACCGAAGTCCTTTCGCCTTCCGTCAACATCATCTGAAGAAGACAGTGAGGAAGAGGACGACAACGACAAGGAAGACGAATCCGAAGAAGAAGACTCCGAAACACCCGTCCCCTTTCACGTTACCTACGCCGCGTTAGCAGAAGCCCTTCCCGCAGTAACAAGTTTCCGCCGCTCCGGACACTCCACCCCCCACCACAGCCCTTACCCTCACTCCTCGCCGCGCCCTCACACCACTTCCCCATCCCCAGGGAGTCGGAGGACACGTCTGTTGCCCAACGCTCAGATAACGAACCTCCCCACTTCCACCTTATCACCATACTTTATTATGCCCCACCCACTTCTCTGCCGCTCGTCCAACAAGACCCCGTTACCAAACCCGCAAAGCCGACCCCCGATCTCAGTATGTCCGACACCACTCTTCTCAAGTTGCTTGCCGAGCAACAAGAGACTACCAGGCGTATCCCAGCAATCCCTGGATAAGCTCACGGCTGCTAAGACCGCTTCCACTAGAAGCCCCGTCAAAGCGCCTGAGCCCTTCAAGGGTGACTCTGGTGATACCCAGCGATTCCTCCGCTATTTCACCAACTGGGCCTCCGCCGAGTCCGAAACTCAAAGGAGATGACAAGAAGTGGATCTCAGCTGCCCTCTCGTACCTTCAGGGTGCTGCTGCCTCCTGGGCTGTCCAATACCTGGATCAGATTGCCGCCCACGAGGCTGCTGCCGACGCTGCTCAGAAGGCCGCCCACCCCTGGCCCTTCAGTGGCGATTGGTCCACTTTTGTGGCTGCCTTCAAGAAACGCTTCCAACCCGCCGACCAGGAGAAAGCAGCTGAAGCCCAGCTCGAGGCCCTTACCCAGGGTAAACAATCTGCTTCCCAGTTCGCAGCCAAGTTCATGGAGATATTTCCCCGCACCGGTCTATCCCAGAAGGATGGTATGGCACGTTTTCGTCGCAAACTCAGTTCCAACGATCGCCTCATGCTGGATCTTATCGCCATCACCAAACCGGACGATGCCAAGCCCAAGACCCTTCAAGACTACTGCGACATCGTCAACCAGAACGATTTTACGTTTCACGGAAGCAGCACCTCCTTCTTAACCCCGACCGCCTCGTCTCGCTCTGCCCCTGCCCGTGACCCCTATGCGATGGATATCGACGCGACCCGTGTTGGACCTAGTGGCCGCTCCCGTGAGGACTTCCTCCAAGCAATGCGTGGACGATGCTTTGGTTGCGGATCCTCCGCCCACATCAAAAAGGACGGCAATCACGGCTCACTTCGTTTGCAACCACTGCCAGCGTCTCGGCCACTCCCGCTAACGTCTGCCCAAGACAAGTTCATGGGCTATCCGCCCGGTCGAGGACTCACCCAACGACGTCGCGTTGCTGCCACCCAGGAAGCCCCCTTCTCGCTCTTTGATGACTCTTCCACGTCCGCCGCCACCATTGCTGCCACTTCGTCTACCCCACCTGCCGCCGCCTCGTCTAACGTCTCCCTCGCCGACCTCTTGGTTGCGCAGAAGAACCAACAAGACATCCTGGAGCGCCTCGAGAAGATCCAACAACAGGGTTTTTGAAGAGGGTGCCTGCTCGTGCTGCAAGGCACGCACCCTTCTCTCCGCTGTACGCCGTCTCTGAGTACGATTCAATTTATTCATGTACCATTAGCTCTATACGCGAAATACACCCCGGTTCCTCGCATTTCCGCATTCGCATCAGACTCAGAGGCAGAAATCGTACGGCAAACCCCGCAGCAATGATCGATTGTGGTGCCACCGGCAAATTCCTGGACAAACCTTTTGTGGGAGAAGCACCGGATCACCGCCTATCCCCTTCGACACCCAATCCGACTTCTCAACATCGATGGAACCCCAAATCAGGCAGGAAGCATCACCCACTTCGCTCGCTTGGAGCTCACGGTGGATGGCTACTCCGAGTGGACGGATTTCCTTATCACTGATCTCGGGGGAGAAGATGTCATCCTAGGTCTCCCTTGGCTTCGCAAGATCAACCCCCAGATCGACTGGCAGAAGGGCACGTTAGAGATCCCTCCTCCTCGCATCTCCAGTGTCACCATTGAAGAAGTCCCCGACGAAGACGCACAGCCTCCTCGAAAGGAACCACCCTCCGGCAATGCTATTATTGAACAGATCTACGACAACCCTGATCCGCCCACTCCTACCGTTCCCGATGACCCCTCGATACCCGACCTCAGCTTCGAACCAAGCGAACCCCCCCTTTGTCGCATCCGCGCTAACCGAATGACCCGGCGGAAGTGGGTTCGCAAGGGACTGATCGAGGACACAGGCGACGAACTTTGGTGTGCTGCAGGTTTCACATACTCCCAGCAGATTGCCGAGAAGTCCCAGAAGGACAAACCCCAGAAGACATTCGAGGAGATGGTTCCACCCCAGTACCGACAGCACGCTTCCGTCTTTTCTGAATCCGAGTCTCATCGCCTCCCGGAGCACAAGCCTTGGGACCATGCCATCGACCTCGTTGCAGGAGCACCGGCCACCATGCGTACCAAAGTCTACCCCATGTCGCAGAACGAGCAGGAGGAACTGAACCGATTCCTCGAGGAGAATCTCAAGAAAGGCTACATCCGACCGTCTAAATCGCCCCTCGCCTCCCCGGTCTTCTTCGTCAAGAAGAAAGATGGCAAACTCCGCTTCGTTCAGGATTATCGAAAGCTCAACGAGATCACAGTGAAGAACCGATATCCACTTCCCCTCGTCTCCGACATCGTCAACCGACTCCGCGGTGCCAAGTACTTCACCAAGTTCGACGTCAGATGGGGCTACAACAACATCCGTATCAAGGAAGGAGACGAATGGAAGGCCGCGTTCGCCACTAACCAGGGACTCTTTGAACCATTGGTCATGTTCTTCGGTCTCACCAATTCCCCGGCAACGTTCCAAGCGCTCATGAACTCGATATTTGCCGATCTCATTGCTTCAGGGAAGGTCGCAGTTTACTTGGACGACATCCTCATCTTCACGGCCACCCTCGACGAGCATCGCCAAGTCGTACACGAAGTCCTCCGTCGTCTCAAGAAGCACGACCTCTATCTTCGTCCGGAGAAATGCGAGTTCGAACGGGAAGAGATCGAGTATCTCGGCCTGGTCATTAGGGAGGGAGAAGTCCGTATGGACCCTGCCAAGGTAGAGGCTGTCCGCAACTGGCCTGTTCCCCGCAACCTTCGCGCTGTCCGTGGGTTTTTGGGCTTCGCCAACTTCTACCGCCGCTTTCATCAAGGATTTCGCTACTATCGCCCGACCTCTCAACGACCTTACTAAGAAGGACATGCCCTGGCAATGGAACGAGCCGCAACAGCAGGCGTTCGACACCCTCCGAAACGCGTTCACCTCCGCTCCAATCCTGACGTTATGGGACCCCGATCGACCGACTCGCGTTGAAGTAGACGCCTCCGGGTTTGCCACTGGAGGAGCCCTCCTTCAGAAGCTCGACGATGGACTCTGGCACCCCGTTGCCTTCCGCTCCGCCTCCATGCAACCGGCCGAACGCAACTATGAAATCTACGACCGAGAGATGTTGGCTATCATCGAAGCACTCAAGGACTGGCGACATTTCCTGGAGGGACTCCCCAAACCGTTCGAGATTGTTACCGATCACTCCAACCTGGAATACTGGCGCACTGCACAAGATCTCAGTCGACGACAGGCCCGATGGTCCCTCTACCTCTCTCGCTTCAATTTCACGCTCACCCATCGTCCTGGAAAGGCCAACACCCAAGCTGATGCCCTATCCCGCCTCGACATTCATCAGGTTGCGGACGCAGAGGATAACAAGCAACAGGTTGTTCTCAAACCAGAGCTTTTCGCCAAGCTCGCAGCCGCCCACACTGCCCTTGCCAATCCCCTCGAAGACCGACTTCGTCGAGCCAGCGCCCGTGAATCTCAGGTCCTAGATGGACTCGCCCAACTCCCGCAAGTCAGGGCCTCGTCGTCTCACATCCGGACTCGCTGAATGGGAAGAAGACAATGGCCTCGTCTACTACAAGGGTCGTGTGTACGTACCTCCAGACGATGAACTCAGACGCGACGTCCTCAAGCAGTGCCACGACGACCCCACCTCTGGACACCCCGGTGTACACGGAACCCTCGAGCGAGTTGAACGACAATATTGGTGGCCAACAATGCGAGCCTTCGTCAAGAAGTACGTCGACGGTTGTGATATCTGCGCCCGAAGGAAGCACACCCAACACCCCCGATCTTCCACCCAACCTTTGGATGTCCCCGAAGGACCTTGCGGAGACGGTAGGAGTTGATCTCATTACCCAGCTGCCGGAAGCCCATGGATACGATGCAATCATTGTCTTTACCGATCACTACAGCAAGGTCCTTCACGCCCTCCCTTGCACATCCGATATCACCACTGAAGGCGTCGCGGACATCTACTATCGTGAAGTGTTTCGCCTCCACGGCCTCCCACTCCGGTTCATCAGCGATCGAGGACCTCAATTCGCTTCTAAGGTCATGCGCACTCTGCTCAAGCGCCTCGGCATCGAGTCCAACCTCACAACTGCCTACCACCCTCAAGCCAACGGACAGACTGAGCGGGCCAACCAAGAAATCGAGAAGTACCTCCGCCTCTACGTCTCTCGCCGACAGGATGACTGGGACAAACACCTACCAATGGCCGAATTCGTGATCAACTCCCGCGTCCACTCTGCTCACGATCGCTCTCCCTTCGAAGTTCTATACGGCTACATTCCCCACTTCAACATCCCCATCGGCAAGCGAACCGACCTCCGCCCTGTTGACGAGCGCGTTCAGCAGCTACAAGAAGCCCGCAAGGATGTGGAGGCTGCCTTACGTCTTGAGAAGGCCCAACAAAAGGATGTGTACGAGTCCGGCAAACGAACGGCCCATCAATTCAAGGTTGGAGACTACGTTTGGCTTAACGCAAAGGACATCCAGATTAAGGTTCCATCCCGCAAACTTGGCGATCTCCAACTCGGTCCGTACAAGGTTATCGAACGTGTCGGCGACCTCGACTACCGACTTGAGCTTTCCCCGTCCCTCTCCCGCATCCACCCTGTGTTCCACGTCGACAAGCTCTCCCCCTGGAAAGGCAATGATGTCAACGGCATTTTGCCACCTCCGCCTGAGCCTGTTGAATTGGAGGGGGAGCTTGAATACGAGGTTCACGACATCTTAGACAGCCGTTAGGAGAGGTCGAGGAAAGAATCGCAAACTGGAGTACTTGGTTAGTTGGAAAGGCTATGGGTCGACAGACGACACTTGGGAACCGGAGGAGAACTTGGAGCACGCGCCCGAGATCGTGAAGGAGTTCCACCAGCGACACCCCTCTGCACCACGCCGGATTTCCGCTACTATCTTCAGCTCTCTTCCATGGCGCCCACTCGAGAACTTCACCAATGCCCCGCCTACCGACTTTGACTGGGAACTGGGACGCCGCCTACCGCTGATCATCGAGGACGATGAGGCTTAGAAGGGGGGTAATGTCGTGAACAGCCGGTATAACCCCTATTTTTCATCTTTATCTTATCTGATCTGTCTCGCATCTTATCATTTCGTTTCCCCTATTCCTTTGCTCCTTTATTCCCTCTATGGACCTTTTCACTCTTGGAACACTGCCTCGTCTTGCCCTTCGCCCTATTTCCATTGTTCTTATTGTTATGCACTGCCTTTCGACTCATCCTGACACCCTCTTGTTCCATTATTGTTTCATTCTTGTTCTTCGCGCAGCCTTCGCGCAGCCTCATGACCTTTCTTATTGTTCTTCGACGTTTCGCCATTTGTTCGTCATTTTGACTCATCGCGGCTATGTAGACTGTAGAATAGGTATATAAGCTAGGTAGTCCGCTCTGTATTTCCTCAGCTTGACCTCTTTCGTCAATACATCGCTTCAGCCTTCATCTGCATTCGTCGCTCATCGCTCTTATCTCACTCGCCGCTCTTCTCTGCTCCGCATCACTGGTGTTTGGTTTGGTTTAGTGTTCGCTCTTCGCGACAGAGCCCATCTGCAGCATATGTAAACTGCTCGGGGTTAGCATGAAAACGACATCGAGTATAGGGGAAAAACATACCACAGACTCAAATAGAGGAGAGGTTTGGAGGCGACCACGATATGCTGCGTCGGTTGTCTCATAAAGCTCGGAAATATTTGCATTAAACAGGCGCCTCCTCCTGCTTGTCCTTCTCTGGAGGATAGCGGCCTTCCATGCTGTTATTCGCCGGCTTTTCTTTCATAAACCAATTCTTGTCAATGAACATCTCGTTGAGAAGCCAGAATCGCCTGCCCATTTCACCAATCTTTTTGTCGTGGGCAGCATTGCCCGTTGTAGGACTGGGTCGCTTTGGATGTGATTTCTTGCTGTTGCCGTCGTTGTCGCTTCCATCATCATTGCTGTTGCTGTTGTTAGTGTTGGGACGTTGTTTCTGCTGTTCCTTCATGCTCTTCAAACCTGCTTGCAGTTGACGGAGTTGCAGTTTCATCTCGTCGCGTTCAGCTATGAGCTGTTGGTTGAGTAACTGGACCTCTTGAAGCTTCTACAGGTATTTATATCCGCTGAGAAGACCACGTTAAACATGATACCAACAGCTTGCATACCTTATCACGGAATTGCTGGTAAATCTCTGCACTTGAACCAGGGATAGTGCTGCTTGTTGCTCTGTGCTGGGCAGTCTGGCTGCTAAGAATAGAGCTGGCATCGTCGTCGTCGTAGGTGCCAGTGTCAGACTCATCTGAGTTCAGAGATAGCCCGTCCATGTACATGTCAAGAGCATTCTGTTCACCCGGAGTGTAGACTGGATGTGACTTGCCAGTTTTTCTGGCCATATCTGGTGGTTTTGGGTAGTGGGAGAAGGAATGGGAAAAAAATCAACGAAGAGCGTCTCCAGGCTGCAAAAAAATGGCCTGGAATATGCCGACCAGTGTTGATTTTACGAGGTAAAATTGGGAGGATCTAAAGAGGGCATGGACGACCCTGACATTCCGGAATAGGAAAGCAGTTAATTTGACATGACATCCTCTAAAGTGTCCCGTACGAGTCATTTTCTGTAGAAGCTATTGAAGTGAAATAAATAAGTAAAAGAAGGATAGTTATGGAGAAGATACGAACCAAATTCAACCCAAGTACTCAACGATTGTGGTCGACGCTGAAGTCAACAATTTTCCCACGGACGACGAACAAAGTTGATCCTACCATTAGAAAGCAGTGTCGCAAAAGATAGACAAAAGATAGGTACAAAGATTCTATCTAGCACATAGATGTAATAGTTCCTGAACACGGAGAAACATATCCGAATCTGTAACATCAAAAACAAGAAAATCGATGTTCCTTTCATTGACAGCAACAAGAACAGCACCACGAACGATGGAGCGAGCAAAAAAGAACTCAGCACGAGGGCGAGGTGCCTTCCGTACCCGGTAGAAACCTGCAGACGTGTCCTTCTTCCGTATTGGAGCTGGAATAGTGGTAGCGTATGGAAGCGCAAGTGCAAATGGGATCGCCTCGGTGTCGGGGGACCCTGGCTGCTGCAGGGTGAAGAGAGAAAGTAACCGGGCAAAGATGGGACCAGTTGTAGTCTGGATAATGACGCAGTCATAGCGTGGTCGGTTATGGAATGATGGCGAACACCGGAGAAGGTCTCGTTCAATATCCCATGATTCCTTAGAGGTGTAGAAGGCCTCCATGGAACGGAACGAGCGGATCTACGAAGCCCATGTCAGTTGCAATGAGAAGAGACCTGGAGCTTACGACTCACGAGGGTGGAGCCATCAACAGCAATAGCAATATCGTTCCCAGAACAAAACTCCTTCAACGCCTGCTTAATATCGATGCCATCGAGTGTTGATGCATGTTCTCCAAGCTCCTCCTCAGAATCGAATTGAAAGCTTCGCAAAGGCTGAGCCTTTCGTGGGCCTTGAGGAGCCTTAAGCGTGACATTACCAAAGCTGTAGCGTTGCTGGGGTTCTTCGTCTTGAAGATGTTCGGCTTCCTTGAGCGCTTCTTGATGGACCTCAATGATTGAGTCGATAAAGTCAATAGCTCTGCTGGTATCGTCGGCGGAAAGGATCTGTCGGCTACTTGTTAGTATTAATGGCTTGTATAGTAAAGAACGATTCTCACCTGCGACTCAACATCTTTGAAGTTTGACATGAACTGATAATAAAACTTGAAGGCGCGGTGCATGACTTCGAATATTTTCGTTGTGTAGTTCCGAGTTACACCCTTGTTGAAAAGATCACGGGGCAGATGCATCTGAAGGTGCATTTTTGGAAACAGCCAGCTTTTCTCTTCGAAACCATCCCCCAATTTCTATTGTTAGATTAGTAACAGAATTCATAGGCATGAGGCAGGCGGTGGTACCTCAATCTCGTCACAAAACACGCTGAGCTCCTCCTCTAGCTTGGCGACCGTCGATTCTGTATGGGTCTCGAAGGATGAGTAGGCATTCAAATTCAAGAATACCCGGAGGCATCTTAAGAGTTGGCGAGTCGCAATGTCGTCCTTCGCAATAACGTCGTCATACAAAATAAATGGAAAGATCTAAGTACCGTGAAATTAGTTAGTACCATTCTATATACGATAGAACATGTTGACTCACCCGTGCTATATCCTCCCATTTGTTCGAATCCTGGAACGCGGTCTTGTGAGTGATGTTGCTGAAATGACTGAGTCCAGGCCAGCGCGGCATTGCATTGGCACTAAAGTAATTTTCAATAAGATGTAGGCAAAAAGTGCGAAGGGACTGACCGTGAGTTCACTTTCTCCTTGACTTCGGGAGTTGCGTACGGTCCAGTCTTGAAGCTTTTGTACAATAGTTCCAGTAAATGTGTCTTGGCTAAACCCCCAGGATAGTTGTGCAAGCGGTCGAACGAGAGTGCTCGATGAGGGTCTGAGTTTGCTATTTCGGAGAACACGTTCTAATTGGGAGGGCTTAGCAAGACGTTGAGCCGGTGATAAAATTAAAAGCACCTTGATGGGGCGAATGTTCAGGTCGACGAGATTTTTCCGCGCTGTGTCTTTCAGCTCGTCTGGCACCTCAGGCTTTTCGAGAACTTTGATCAGCTTCCTTGCTGTTTGAGAATCTCGGTATTCCCAATTGTCGAAGAATGTTGCAAGATCGGCCTCGTTAACGAGGCATACAGGACACCGCTTGGTCTTGGATCCCCGAAGTCCTGCCATAACCGCTCTTACATGCCATTAGTCGACATATAGAGGCGGAGTGCTAAAGAACTCACTGTTCTTCATAATCAGCGGACAAAATGAGGATACAGGGGAAAAGCCGTCGCACGATACCATCCCCACACTTGTAGTATACCCCCTCCTTCGAGTGGGCTTTGATAGACTCGAGTATGGCACGAAAGCTTTCATGCCACACGACCCGCTTGTATTCTGCCCACTCGGTGCTCTTCTTGGACGACGTTGATGCCTCAGGTATCTGGCGGGGACCGGTCAGGGTGAAAACATAATGACAATGTCATATGGTATACGTACCACGGGAAGCCAGCCCACACAACACCCTCCACCAATGCCTTTACCATTCCGGACGTGCGCAGGGAGGTTGGCGATCTTGGCATAGACCGGGTAACCCTTCTTTCCTCCAAAACTTGACAGCTGAGTCTTGTCTGCGTAGATAGTCAAGCAGAGTGGAACACCGTCATCGGGCAAATTGCTCTACATCAATGGTCAAACCATCACCGCGCATGAGAGGCACACGACAGGCACATACCTCAATTTCAGCCCAGTCATCGCCTGTCCATGGCTCAGTCACAAACCTCTCCCAGTCGCCGTCATCCTTCTTCTTGAACATTTTGACACTCTCCCAGACGAACTCTCGTGCCAGTTTTTGGCTCCCGACCATCTCGAGTAGCCACTCCCAGACCGATCTCACCCAAACGTCGTACTCATGGGGGACATCTCCGTGGGGGACATCAATTTTCGTACATTCAAACTAGGTAATGTCATTAAGATACATGGAAAATTTGACGGAGTTCACAGGGCCAGCAACATACAGGTGTAATGAGACTCGTAGCATCCTTCCAAGCGTCATGGATGGCCTGACAGCCATTGAATGTCAAGCTATCCTTCCCATCCACACATTGGTTGATCAGAGACAGGAGCTCTTTGACGTCGTCATCCTTCATGGCGGAACGGAAAACCAGTTTTGCAAATCGGTAGTCAACGTCAGTCTGGAAAGGGAAGTGTGGCGGGCGTGACGTTAAAGATTCGAGAGGGATCTCGGCACCAGCACTGGTACCAGGGCGGTGGCGACGTGAGTTGTATTCTTCGATGGTGATATACTCGGACGGTCGTTTTCGTTTTGAGTGGTGGTCAATTCTGACGGTGGCCGCTGAATCCGTTCGTCGGCCTGGTTGGAAGGTCAGTTGTCATATCGCTTGTTACACGAGGGAACATACCATGGGCGCGGGGTCCTAATGAAGGCTGGCGAGAAGAACTGGCTCGCGATGAGGTCTTCCTGGAGGCGCCAGTCGTAGCGGCTACAGAGGGAGTTAGCAGAACTTCAACTGATCGTGCATCCCACTCACAAGGCTTACGGGACTGTGGTGGACGAGCTTGAGGTGCTGGGGAGATGTTCTCCCATGGCAGAACCGGGCGGTCAACCTCAATATGGCTCGAGGGAGGGGGGCCTTGAGGTTTTGGTTATCGCTGGTGTCTAGAGAGTATAGGAGGTGGAACTCACTCTCAGTTTGCTCGGCCCATCGTTTCCTATCTTCTTCGAGCACCATGTGTACCTCGCACGCCTTGGAGTGGCTGATTTGTGCCGATTTTTTGTCGAATACCTTCGTACACGTCGCAACTGTACATGGGAATGGCATGGTGAAGAGTAGCTGTTCCGAGTCTTTGCTGTCAAGCAAAGGTCGGCTTTCACCCGACCCTGCGTGGCGCCAAGAAATGACATAAACCCGTATGGTAATGCATGTGATGCCAACTGTTGCTGCATGATGGCCGACCCGGAGGTTCCCGATAACTGTACAGTTTCACTTTATCTCTCCGTTCGGCCACACTGGCACGTCACTGCTCGACGACTGTCCTTGAATCTCTCGCCGTATATGAATTTTCTATCAATCCTCATGTATGAAATCTTGTATGAAAACTGTTCTTCATTCAATAGACATAATTTCCAGTTACAACAACGCAAGAATACGAATCTCCGACGGCCGAAGGATGTAATTAGGGTGAACGACAAAAAGTGATGGTCGCAAAGGGCGAGAGAGTTGAGTAAAGTCCTGCCGAAAGTCTTCGTCCCGCCCGCATTCGCATAGCATTAAAGTTTGTTCACTTCGCACACTAGTCAGCGCGTTCGAGTCGGTATAAAACATCGCCATCTACTTACGGTACACGCCCTCCTTGGTCATCACGAAACCCTGTCCGTCGCTCGTTCCCTTCAGGCAGTTCTGTCCTCCCGCGAGCCTCCACACCAGAAGACCTTGTCCTTCGTGTTCGGTGCGGATGTCTTCGCCCTTGCAGTCTAGGAACCCTTCGAACGGGATGTAGGCGCCCTTCGTGTCCCCGATGGTTCGCACCGTAAGGGGGCAATGAGGAAACTGGCCGCATCGATGAACTTTGTTGAGCTTCGACGCGGAACTGAGCATCTTGTAACCGCGACGGCGATACTTGTCCAGGGCCTTCAGAACTTTGGGGGTGACGTTGTTGAACGACGCGTTGATGACTCCTGTGCTGATACGGGCTCCTTCGACGTACGGAATTACCATGCCGTGGTGCGCGATGTAAGTCATGACAATGGTGGAGTGAAAGAGGAACACGGGAACCAGGGGGGAATGCGAGCCGGATTCGATAATGTTGATGCACCTTTTGATTTCGCCTGCCGTACGTACGAGTCGTACAACCTTGCTGATGGCCTTGGAGAGCGGTGAGTAAATCCCTTCTATGGCCGTGATGGCATGCACTGACTCGAAGCTCACCTTTCCTCGCGCTTCGAAGGGGTCTGTGATGGGGACGGCGGAATCCTCCATCGCCGAGACTTCCTTGCCTTTGGCCTTGTCGGCCGGAGGGAGCTCCTCCTCTTCGTCGTCTGGCAATCCGGGAAGAGGGTCGTCTTCATCCTCATCCTTCACGTAAATGACATCGTCGCTGTTTTCAGTCGTCCCCTCCGTTTTACATACGCCTGTGGCTTCCTCTTCCGTTGCGTTGATCGTGGTGCAGTCCGACCCCTCGTCCTGTACGAATGGTGAGCCCCGGAATTTATGCAAGAGCGTCAGTGGCTTACGGCGTGGTCTTCGGTGATTACGTATCCCTGGTTCTCCAGAAAGGCAACGACAAGACCCAGGTTCCCTTTCGCGGTGAAGAAGTCCAGGTCGTTGGGAGGGAAGCGCCCGGGATGCGCTACGGGCAGAGGGAATGAACCCGAAACCAGAGTCTTGCTCTCCCGCATCATCGCTCGGGTGCCGTCCCTGTCGAGCCCGAAAAAGTCGAGCCCTTGACCAAAGCGCTCCTCGATGACTACGGAGCGTTGCTTCGGAGTGATCAGGTCAACGTCCACCAGGTGATCGAGATCAACAAAGTCAAGAGTGGAAAGTATGTCGTCCCTCTTCTCTTCGCTGTAGAGGTGCCAGTTTTCTGTACGAGAGACGTTGTTGGTGAACGACCTGCACGTCATAGGAACTCGAAATACTCACTTTCGTCAGCTTCCGTGAGAGGCTTGCATTTACGCGTGAAGACGGGAACCTTGGCTACGTTGCTTTAGATCGGTATGGAACGAAGGGAACAGTCGGACTCACGTTGGATCGGAACATGCTTGGGGACGGGGAACGGAAGCTTCCCATCGTTCAGCGCCATCGTGTCGAGCTTGTACGCGACGTGGTCCACTGTGAACTGTAGGTGAGCCCAAACCTTTTCCTGTGTAACAAGCGGCGACTTACTTTGTTCCTCGCGGCTGGATGGTTTTTTCTTCGCAGTACGACCGTGCGCCAGAACGAAGGGCTTGCCTAGCTTGCCTGTGCTGGGCCCTGCCTGCGGGGGGGAGTTGTACGCACGTATTTTCTTGGTCGGAGATCCTGGAGGGCTGGCGACGTTGGGAAGGACGGTATCGCCCATCTCGATTGAGCGGGATCGTTTGGTGCGTTTGGGAGTGGAAAACATGGTATGTAGCAGTTAGGAGAGAGTGGAATTCGGTGACCTTGGATGGACGCGAATGGCTGGGTCCTTTCCCTGTCCATATGTATGACGTGCTTCCTGACCATCCCGTCATGCTTGTGTGGATGTTCACATATTGCGATCCGTTGTGCTGGGACAATTAGACTCCCCACGTTCTTGACGCCTTTTCATTGATTTTCACAGACAAAATGTCGGGACCTGTTGTATACCTTATTGGTATCCAACATTGCGCTCCCAATGGCTTCTTTCCCTCTTATGCTATGCGTGGAAATAGTAACAAAATTGACCCGTAATCATGGCCTTTGTGCGACAAAAGCCAGCTGTAACGGTTATAAAGGCGTCTTCTCATTGGCGCGATTAGGAATTCGGTGGGAATATGTGCGTATCCAGAACTTTTTGTTGTCCCTTGATCATGTGGTGACTACATCTGCATTGGTAGATTGAATTACCAAAAGCGGTTGCACCCTCTCTTTTACCTGGAAATTCGGTTAGGCCCGTGCCGTAATCGCCCCTTGAACTTGGTCTTGTGAAAACCGTAAACTACGTATTGCGTCAGAGTAAAGAGGAAACCATGTGGAATGTCGTCTTAAAATCCACATTGGATGACCAGATGTTTAGGAGGCCCCTTAGCAAATTCATCTGAGCAGATCGGCTACTCCGAAAACCCTGCAGTATCCCGTCCAGAACCTTCTTGAAACTCTTGTCCGTTTGCGGTTTCATCGTCCACACCTTCTTGTCGCATGGTGCCCGTGCTTTGATCGCCCCTTGAACTTGGTCTTGTGAAAACCGTAAACTACGTATTGCGTCAGAGTAAAGAGGAAACCATGTGGAATGTCGTCTTAAAATCCACATTGGATGACCAGATGTTTAGGAGGCCCCTTAGCAAATTCATCTGAGCAGATCGGCTACTCCGAAAACCCTGCAGTATCCCGTCCAGAACCTTCTTGAAACTCTTGTCCGTTTGCGGTTTCATCGTCCACACCTTCTTGTCGCATGGTGCCCGTGCTTTGAATTGATCATGTGTCCCAAAAGAGGTCTCCGAATACTGACCTCCCTTTCGGCAGTGTAACTTCGCGCTCTGAAGCATCAGAAACTCATCCTTCTGATGAACCAAACTTTTCATTTGTGTCCGCTGGATTCAATGGGCGTCAACTTTCGGGCGTCGGTCCGCCTTGTCTGTGCAAGACTTACGAACGTATGAGAAACAATGCTCGACTTTGTAGACGAATCTGTTCGGTAGATTAACCAACGGATGACTGCAATCCAACAGTAACGAAGAAAACTCTGAATTGAATCGATACGAGGCTGATAGTACATTAAAGTAGTGACCTAAGAATCGATTCGCATCTTTGACAGTTGACGCTCTGTCTCACCAGAGTAGTCGTCGTTCACCGAATCATAAAAGATTTTGCGCTTCATTATAGTCTGTGCTGTGCTCCCTGGCTCCCCGCCGAACTGGTTATACTTGCTTCTCATACGAAGGATGGCTGCCCTCTAAAAAACAAAACAGATGCGCTCAGGATCTTTCCCCTACGTGGTGAGAGCGGACGTACATCTCTTTCCTTCTGGTCGAGTAAGACGATTGCCTTGAGGGTGACGAGAAACTTCACGGTTCTATTCTTTGTCGGAATGCCTACAAAAGCAATTGTAGCCTCCACGATATCACCGTCCTTGAAGACGGTAGGTGACACTGCCCGGAATCTGGTGTCGTCAGCTTCTACAGCTCTTGGTACTGAAGGAAAACTCACTTCGGATCCATGTCGTGCAACCGTTCCAGATATTGAACCTCGTTGTCCTCCGTGTGCACAAACTCGTTCTGCGCTAAGGAAGCAAGGACACCATCCGGGTCCACAAACCTGGAGAACGGCACCTTCTGGCGATCGCCAACAGCGGATACGTGAGTGAAATACCGAGTGTTCGCTTCGATAGCGGTGTGATTGTTGAAAGTTGCTGGGCCCCATCCTTCCAGGAGACCGTCCTTAAGGGAGCCGTTAAGTTTCAAGTATGCTTCTTCGATGCGTTCAAAAGCAGCCTGGAAGGTAGGATCTCCGAATCCTGTAATCTTGACGTGTTGTCGCATGTAACGTCTTCCGCGAAGGAGCGATTTGGAGGTCCTAACCATCATCAGTCCCAACGGCACGTCCAGATGAGATCGCGACCTACGAGTGTCCTTGAATAGGCGGCAAGTCTTTGCCGCAAAGAATGCCTGGGACTCTGAACACCGCTTCCTCGACGCTCCCATCCTCGCCCTTCTTCCCCAGAATCCAACTCTTTGGGTTCTCAACCGCAACGAATTCAAATCTGGAGTCGTCAAGGATCTAGGAGCACGAACAAGGGTAATACGGAAAAGTCGTTGCTCTCCAGACATACCCTCACCTTGCTGTCCGAAAGCCAATCAACGCCTTGGCTGTCTTCTTTAGCTGCAACTTCCTCTTTGCGAGTAATGAGCATCGTGTTTAGGGCACGCACTGAGGTCAGAGTGTCATTGGTTTCGATCCGGTCCTTGCGAACATGCATTACCTACCTCCACTGTCGATGTTGTAGAACTCGTCCATGTTGGCCGAATAGACGAAGGAAGACGTTTTGCTCTCTCTGTCTATGAGGAGTTTCATGAATCGCGCGTTTCATCAACATCTTAACATCTCATGAACTCGCCTTTTTGGACTCTCCACGTCGCACAGTCGATCTATGGCTCTGAAGATCGGCCGCCTTGCCAATTTTTTCTTTTCATTCCTTTTTGTTCCATCAGAAGGTCCGAGTTCTTGGGATGGCATATGGAATCTTTGCTGGACTCAACTGATTTCCTTCGGCGCGTCAAAGTCGGTCAAGAAATTCTACCCAATAGGGGAGCCCTGCACTTATCCGTATAAAGATCGCAAATTCGTCCTGTGGAGACTGACCATCATCTTCACTGCGAGTCCTTCTCTGAGTATCTGTGTGTTATCGAAATGGCTACGAGGCGATCGGCTCGTATAAGGTTCGTCTACCCGTCTGGTTAAGTTGAATCCGCGGCCTTATTGGCTTACCTTTGCGTCTAGTACTGGAGGGAAACCACCGTCAGTCGAAGTCGCTGATATTTTGGCTGACCATTTCATTACTCACGAAACCAACACCTTTAGGAAGAAGAAAAACATATCTCCTCCAGTCGTCCCATCCGATAGCGAGGACGACCTTCCCCTTACGCAGTGAGTCCATTAATTTTGAGTACTGCAATCATGCTGTTCATTAACAACTGTGTAGGCCAGACTTTGGCAGTTCTCGAGGGAAGGAGAGTGCGACCTCAAAATCCACGCGCGGCAGAGGGGGGAAGAGTTCCGTCCCCCGAGGACGCAAGCGTGGTGTTATTGTGTCGGATGACGAAGCCGCTGTCGTCGACGGTGACGCTAGGACGTGAGTGTCAGCTTTTCCATATGAATCGATTAGTTCTAACTTGGAGTAGGGTCAAGCGCAAAAAGTCGGATCGTGACGGTGATGATGATGGACATTCGGGAGTGGATGATGGCGCGGTTGTTCGTGTTGATTTTCGATCGGTTTGACCGTGCGATAGGCTGATCTCGAACGCTGCCTTATACAGGAAGCCATCGACGGCACTGCCAACGATGACGTTCGAAGGGGAGAAGATAAAGGCGGGGAGGGAGGCGGTGAACGTGAGAAGGAAGATGTCGAGTTGGAAGGTGAAGTCGCGTCGGTCGCGCTTGGGTCTGCAGATCCTACCGAGCAGGTGAGATGTCCTTTGTAGCTGCGGAGTTTTGGTGTCGTCATTGAATCGTCTACCTAGCAGGATGTCCCCGAGGACGATGTTAGAGCTTATACGTTCGAGAGCGTGACCGAGGTTGTCAAAGGGACTAAAGTGCGCAGGGTTGTGTGCGTTGATTTATCTTCGCTGGTCGACGCTTGCTGACATCCAGTCCAGACGTCTTCCAACTATTGATTGTTGCGATGACGAGGCTCTCTTGGATCATGCCTTAGTCAAGCAAGGCATATACAAGGATCTTCCACACCTGGCGTAAGTCGTTACTCTTTATCTTGTGGGAGGCTCCTGCTGATCGGTGCGGTAGGCCTGTTTACGCTAGATCTTGGGCGACTAAGAATCGCGGCGAGGAGGTCGACGAGGACGGGAACCCTATCCTCAATGCTCTGGATGTGGAGGCCTGGATCGCGAATCATCCTACTCTCAAACGCAGGTGGGTCATGCCTTCAAAATCTTCTTCTCCTCAGTAGCCTCACAATTTACGATGGACGACAGTTTCCTTTACAAAGCTTTCGGTTTCCGTCGGTCGAGGCGATATGCCGCCCCCGCCCGGTGTGATCCTCGAGATTTCGCTGCTAAGCACTGGTCCAGCAAGTACGATCGATCGGATGGGAAGTCTGTGACGCTGGAGTCTTGGGATGTTGTTTGGGGTCACGACATGTCCCAGGCATTGTTCGTTTCCTTTGTGGCCGTTAACCAATCTTTCGTCTTATCTGCCAGGTATCCATCTGACGGCGGAGGGGTCATCTATCGCTGTGTCACTGGTCTTGGTCAGAAGGGGGACATCGAGAGGACTTTGTGTTTTTTCCCAATGGTCTTGGATATGGAAGGTATTACTTTGCAGATGGACGGTGAGCGAGTCATAACTTACCAGTCTAAGACCAAACCTTTCAACGGTCAGTCGTATTGCCTTGCATTGTCTCCTCGTTATTGGTTGCTGACAAGCGCTGTCTCAAAACTATAGAACCGCGTGCTACTGCCAGCCCAATGAAGGGTCGGCTCATCACGTCGAGCTACTCTAGCCCTCGCAAGAAGGCTTATAATACGTCTGCTGTTCCCTCCTTCGCTCCCCTGGCTTGGGATGTGCCTAGTACGTTGTTTTTTCCTTCTTCTTTGATGCGAAGAGCTTCAGTGTTCACTCTCGATCCGTCCAGTTCCTGTCTGGGATGCACGGGGAGTCAAGGACTTCGATTTCGACGACATTAACAGATCTATCAGTCGCTGCAAGCCTTTTGAGGAAGAGATTCCATTCGGGTCCTTTGCGATGGTCACTTACACCGCGACTGCTTCTCGTGCAGACGATGGGCCTTGGCGTCTTTACTTCTACATTCGTAATGCTGTGTTGTTCTCTGTTAAGGAAGAAAATTAGAGTACTTGAAGATGTAGCCATCAGATAAAAACCAAAAAAAAAAAAACGCTTCTTCGTCACTTGATAGTGTTGCCTAAACTACATCGACTTTTCGCCAGTGAAAAACAAAAAAATGTTATTATTGATTGTAACGAACATCCAGCCGGACTTAGTGACGCGCTCAGCTTGGGCATACATGAATTGACCTTTCTTCGCGGCTAGTTGTGATACCTTGCCACGGAGGATCTGTCCACTGTTTCTGAGGTAAGATTTGATAATATAAAACTTTTGCACTGGTAGTCACTTGCCTTGGGATGGATCCAACCCCGTTGAGAAACCGTATACGTGTCTCCGCCGAGTTACTGAAGGAGGGCGCTGGCAGTAGCCAGAATTCCGCGGTCGCCAGATCAGGGACCCGATCGAGCCGTCTGTTCTATCCACTTCCCGCTCGATTGTGCAGTCGAAAGAGCCGAGACCAGGCCAGAACCTCACGGTGTCGGGGCAGCAGGGGTGGAAGGCGCATCTATGATTGGGGAAGACGTGAGAGCTAAACTCGGCGACAAGGACACCTGCTTCCTGCATTTCTTCTAGAATTCGTGCGTCGGTTACTTGCTGATCGTATTGAGCTCCTCTCGTGAAATCACCTGGAAGAGTGGATAGGGCGATGTTGTTGATCGTTTGCAGGGGGTGCAGCGAGACGATTCGCCGTGCGCTAAGGAAATTCATCAATGCACCTGTTGGGAGCCTGTTGATGACTTCGAGAGGCACGCTGTTTTCGTTTACCTCCACGATCACCGCAGTCACGTCCCCTTTGGTGAGGACGAAGGACTGTGCCATCCTTTCCTCGAAGTGAGGATAACCAAGAATGTAACCGACTGGCCTTGGAACACCACGGTACTTGTTTGTCGTCTCCCACCCCTGCGTCTCCTCCATGTGTGCCTGCATTCCGCCCCCTTCTCCACTTGCCACCGCAATCTCGAGGAGTCGTGAAGGAAGTGTACTCGGAAGGAAAACACGAGTGGGCACCCGACCAAAAACAACGCCCGAATGCTCTTGAAGAGCGTCGGAAAACGCCTTGTTGTCGACAATTCCGTGCGCAGCGAGCTCTCGTTTCACCTTTCCTTCGAAACATCGCTCTACCCAGAGAGCACCATGATGGAAGACTTCTTTAAGCTTTATAAGAGTTTTGATGTCAAGGTAAGACATTATCTCGTCGCACGTCTCCTTAGGTATCATAAGGAGAGGGCTGTCCTCGTCTGCGACAAAACGTCAGAAGAGATCGGCGAACGCCAATCACATCCGGAACTCACTGTGGAATTTTTTGCACTCAAAGCAAAAATTTGTGTCCTCTAATGTCGAACCTCCAATTCTTTGCCCGTTGACAATCCAGTAAGTCGTGGTCTGAGAGCCCATAGTGCCAGGATGAGAAGTAGACGGCGAGTAGTGCATCGAGAGAGAGTACGAGAAGAAACCGGAATTTGCCAAGTCAATTTGATCGCAAATGACCATGTTGCTCGCGTGAGAAATGCATCCTTGGCGCGTATCACTTGCCTTTAAACTCTCCCAACAGGACAGGGACTTCGAACTCGCGATCGGCCACCCTTGGGGACTGTACGCGCATTCAGGTTACTGGAGGTATGTGTAACAAAATGTTGCGATAGCGAGAAGGTCGGGATGTAGGAAGGAAATAGCCGATGATACTGGAAGCGCCCGCGGGTGTGGTGATGGTCAGGCTATGATGTAATCGTTGCCAAACAAAGAAGGTGGTTCAATTTCATATTTGGAAAGTTTGATCCTTTCTCATCTCGAACGTCTTCGCTTCATCCTGTGCTCACCATTCGTCTTCAATCTCTAATGCGTATCTCATTCAACGATGTTACCTGCGTGGCTTGCGCTTATACGCCTCTAGGCGATGGACATGTTTCTACGGACATATGGCCGGGATACTTAAACCTACTGCTTTCTGCAGGGATGATACCTCACGCGATGCTCGTTATCGTTTTCTGTCTTGGAATTCTGCTTTTCTGGAAGCTTGTTTCGCGAGTACGACCGTCTTCCGATACTAGGCCTGTCCATTGTGGAGGAGGAAGAGTCGCTGTCTCGCGAACCACATACGAACAACTGGCAAGTCTAGGTGCCATAACGACATATGGTGTTGAGGGTCCACTGTCGAATGCGGATGTTTTTCAATACATTTCGAGCGTACCAGGTGATCTTGTGGACGAACTGGCATCTGGCTTTGGAGCGTGTATCTCGGTCACAATGCCATTAACTGAGGCTACGCGGTTCATGCCTGCGTATGAATTAGGTCGAGTCGCTATTCTACATTCCGTGCCTAGGATCAAACCTACATCTGCCTTGGAAACAGCATTGGCGAACCACAAGTGCACTTCTGGATGTCCTAAGCTATTCTATGTCTTCAAAATTGTCGTTCAGAAACCTCGGGTCAGAAAGACTAAGATGGTACAACCCAATCCTGCGGGCCTTCCGTCATATCAAGTCGTCTTGGACAAACGTTATACTGAAGCTCATTCACAGATTCCTTTCCCACCGAAGCCAATAAGCTTCAAGGAGAAAATCAAAATCATTCACGACTTCTGCATGGACCTCCATCCTTCGAAAATCGAAGAGGCTGGGTGTTGCGTTTGTGGCCAGCTTACGCTCAAGTCTGAACTAACTCCCTTGCACCAGGATCTGGACTTGAGTCTCTTGGTAAACCCTGGAGTTTGTAGGAAGGCAAGATCTACTGCGGATGAACCTATCTGCTTTCCAGAAATTCCTGTTCTCGACGATACTTGCTCGGATATATGTCGCGCTTGCCATGAATCGTTGAAGTCCGGTAAACGTCCTAAGTATGCTTTGGCAAACTATATGTGGTTGGGTAATGTCCCTCCTGAGCTTTCCGAGTTGTCGTTTGCTGAAAAGATTCTTATTGCTCGAGTACGGCATAACCGATGCCTGGTAAAGGTCGCATCAGGCAGGGCTCGAATGATGGCTAATGCGATCATGTTTGCCAGTCCGGTGGTGAAGGTATACCATGCCCTACCGCCGCCAAGAACTGAACTGGAGGAAATTCTCGCCTTCATTTTCATTGGTAGTCAATTCCCCACCGAGGAAGATTTCAAAAGGACTCCTATGCTGGTGAGACGCGAAAAGGTTGCTGCAGCGCTTCAGTGGCTAAAACTCAATCATCAGGACTACTCTGACCTATTTATATCGAAGGAAAATCTCGATATGTATCCTCTTTCAGGTGTTCCCGTTACCGTGGACTTTCGACGATCCGAACCTGGTGTTGATCCCACAGACAAGGAGCCTCTGGAACAGAGTAAACACGAAGACGATGTCACTCAGGGATCGGAAGAAGGACCATGTCCCTTTGTGGTGAGAGGGCTCACATCGAACGAATATGCTCATATTGATATTAAAAAGCTGAAAGCGGTTGCGTTGAACCATCTGGACGCGAAGGGTAAGACTCTCGGCGTTGGGCACGACCCCGCACCTCAATCGATGTACGACAATGTTCAGGCATACCCTCAAATGTTTCCATGGTTATTCCCTTATGGTTTGGGAGGTATCGGACATCGTAAGCATTCGAAGATCTTGTCGGAGCGCGAGCACAAGCGTCGCCTCTTGCTGTATCATGACAAACGATTCCAACTGGATCTCTATTTCCCAATGATCGCGTTCAATCACGAACAGCTCAAATCCAATATAACCGCGAGTTTCTTGTATGCGAGACGTGGTAATTTTCCGCAGGTTTCTTCTAAATTAGCTACAAGTCTGAGCAACGGAATGGTGGCTTCGATGGCTGAACTTCTTGAGCACGGTGATGTTCCGAAACTCGATACCCCCGAAGAGCGTGACTGTTATTCCTTGCTCGACGACATCGATCATGTAGGAGCACGAACAGACGGCTTTCTAACCAGTAGGAAGTTTATGCGTAACGAAATTTGGTCGTTGGTGGCCGAGAAAGGTGCCCCTAATTGGTTCATAACTTTAGCTCCCGCGGATAGCAAGCATCCTTTATGCATATACTATGCTTCTACAGACCATGAGTTTCGTCACGACATTATCCTTCCTGTAGACGTACGTAATACCTTAATAGCCCGAAACCCTGTTGCCGCCGCTCGATTCTTTGACTTTCTGGTGAGACTCGTCCTAAAACATGTGTTCGGTGTGGAAAAAGGAGATCGAGGTGTTTATGGTAAGCCAGCAGCTTATTATGGGACTGTCGAACAGCAAGGAAGGTTAACTCTACACCTCCACATAATGCTTTGGATAGAAGGGGCCTTCAGTCCTCAGGCTATTCGCGACAGGCTAAAGAGTCAAGACACAAAGTTCACGATGGACTTCATCGCATATTTGGAGTCGTGTCATCAAGGCGAATGCTTGACAGGGCCGTTGGAGGAGGTAAAAATGTCTGTTCCCAAGACACGCCGCAATGGAACAGAGGAACAGGGCCATTCCGAATTGGAAAGCGATGAGTCTCGAAGTAACGTCAAGCCTCCGCGGGGTTACACAGATCCGACTTTGACGTTGCCCGAGCCTCCACCATCCCCTCCTTGCAGCAATTCTGATGACTGTACAGATAAGTGTGAGAACTGTCGCGCTCATTTGGAGTGGTGGCAAGTCTTTTTGCGAGTTACCGATGACCTACTTGTACGATCTAACGAGCATAAGTGTCGAGATATGAATAGTGGAGGACCAAAAGGATGTCTTGACAAGGATGGGTTATGTAGAGCCCGGTTTCCTAGAGAGATTGTTCGTGAAACTATGGTCGACTTGGAAGACGGACATGTCACGATGAAACACCTTGAGGCGAAAATGAATACCGTAACGCCGATCCTTACTTATTTACTGAGGTGCAATACTGACGTGACTTCGATGTTATCAGGCACTACTCTAAAAGCAGTCATTAAGTATGTCACAGACTATATTACGAAAGCCAGTCTGAAAAGCCATCACATTTTCTCCACTGCTAACGACGTCTATCAAAAGAACATCGATCTCATAAATGACTCCGACAATAGCAGGGATGCAGGCAGAAGGATGCTATTAAAAATTACCAATGCGTTGATAGCTAAGATGGAAATAGGGAGTCCAATGGCCAGTCTATACCTGCTGGGCAACCCCGACCACTACACGAGTCATACATTCACTCCGTTCTTCTGGAAGAAATATGTAACCAAAGTAAAGGCGGATTGGGCTTTAAGCGCCCAAGACGACTCCTACAAGGACGCTCTACAGAATTATGAGAACGAGAAGGTTCTACTGGAAGTCCAGGATGGTGAAGTAAAGTCGAGAACTCTGGTTGATGATTACACTCACAGACCGAAGGTATATGAGGATGTACCGCTTTACGATTGGATGCTATACGTGAAAAAGAGGAGAATACCCGAGAAGAGGAGAAAAAAGAAAGATCTAGAGGAGCAAACGTTGGAGGAGGGGTCAGACGACGAACCTGATTTGGAAAGCTCGCAAAGATACATGCGTTTCTTAGAGGGCCATCCCCAATATAACAGCCATGAAGTCTACTGCGATTTTACGCGAACAGACCTTCCCATTTTGAACTGGTTAGGGGGAGTAGTTCCGCGAAGAGATCAGGGGGACCGAGAGTACTATTGTCTAGTGATGTTAGCAATCTTCAAACCTTGGAGAAGTGGACTAAATCTCAAAGATGAGTCCCAGTTGTGGGACGAAGCGTTTGCTGAACATAAATTCCAAGCGCATTTCTTGAATGTCATGGACAACCTGAACTTGCGTTACGAATGTCTAGATGCCAAAGATGACTTCTTCGCTCAGTTGAAGAAACGAAAGAATGCTCTGAAAAATTCTCTCCCATATTTTCAGGGAGATATTGGTAGCTATGAGCAGTTGGAAGAGTACGACGACGCTTACCTGGATGCCCTTGCTGCGGATGTAGACGAATACGGTCATATGCAAGACGGTTACATGCTAGGCTATAGAAGAAGGGCAAAACTGCTAGAAATGGAACAAGCGGAGGACATGATATCGAGAACGGGTTGGTTAGAGGGATTGGGCATCGGCTCAGACACATCTAAGGAGAGAGGGCATGGTACCCTCAAGGATTTCGAAGAATGCGTGGTGACGAATGAAAGTGATGGGTCGCATTGGAAGGCTATCGTAAAGGATCAACGAGCACAAGTACTTGCTAAAAAGCGAAAGCACGCACCTGCAGTACCACAGAACGAGAGAGGGAAAGCTAGATGGGGTGCTATCAACGATGTCTGTATCCTGGATGCTTCATACTTGCTCCAGAACTTCACTGTCCCTAAGGAGGAAACAAAAAAGATAATTAATGACACTGTCAATGAGTATTCGTTAAACAAAGAGCAGGAAAGAGCGTTCAAGATCGTTGCCAACCATGCTGCTTGCCTGGCCCCTAAACAGCTTTTAATGTACCTTGGAGGAATGGGTGGGACAGGAAAGTCGCAGGTCATAAAATCCTTGATAAGTATGTTTGAAAAGAAACGTGAAAGTCATCGTTTTATCGTTCTGGCACCCACAGGAACTGCTGCAGCCCTCCTAAACGGATCGACCTATCACTCAATGCTTGGAGTGAGACCCTCAAAGAATTCCGACGACGCGTTAACTCGAAACGAGCAGGTAGGTGTAACCGAAGCGAGGGAACGTCTCAGAGGCGTTGATTACATCTTCATAGACGAAATTTCAATGGTTTCCTGTCAAGACCTTTGTAACATAAGTGCTCGACTCGCCGAAATCACATCTGTGAAAGACGAACCCTTTGGTGGCATGAATATGATCCTAGCGGGTGACTTCGCTCAGTTGCCTCCTACATCTGGAACCGCTCTATACCGACCTACTTCAACCAAAAAAGGAGACATCGAGGGAAAACTCGGCGCTCAGAGAGCGGCCCTCGGAAAGTTCACATGGCATCAATTTACCACCGTAGTAATCTTGAAGCAGAACATGAGACAAAAGACTCAGTCCGTGGAAGACGCGGCCTTCCGGACAGCCTTAGAGAACATGCGGTATGGCGCGTGTACCGAGGAAGACCTTCTCTTTCTCCGAACACGGATCGCTAGAAAGGGGGATCCTAAAACATCCCTCGATCTACCTAGATACCGAAATGTATCTATTATAACTTCCTGGAATAGTTACAAGGACAGGTACAACGAGCTTGGTTGTAAAGGGTTTTCCAAATCTCTCGGCTTACCCTTGGTGACTTTCCGTTCCAGGGATGTTCTCGGTTATACGGACGACGGGGCCGATTCGGCCGTGAAGAGACCGAGTAAAAGAAAAGGATACTCAGCAAAACGAATGTCGCCGGCACTTCAACAGCTATTGTGGAAACTTGAACCTCACACAAGCCAACATATTGCAGGAACACTTACCCTGTGCATAGGGATGCCTGTTATGCTGCGACACAACGATGCGACCGAGCTTTGCATGACCAAAGGGCAGGAAGGTCATGTAGTAGGATGGACGTCTTCTCCTGGACTATACGGGTCGTTATGCCTCGAGACTCTATATGTTCGACTATCAAACCCTCCTCAAACTATTCATATCCCGGGCCTTCCTACAAATGTGGTACCTATTGTGAAATCAAGTCACAAAATAAAGTGTCAGTTACCCGATGACAGTGAGCCGCTCAATGTCGAAAGAGAACAAGTCAATGTGCTTCCAAACTTCTCGATGACCGACTACGCGTCTCAAGGCAAGACGCGTAAGGTAAACATCGTAGACCTCTCATGTTCCAAGACCTGTCAAGCAGTGTATACAAGCCTTTCCAGAAGCTCAACGGCTGCAAACACTGTCATCACTCAACCTTTCAACACCTCGAAAATAACGTCCGGAATCGACGGTTACTTAAGACAAGAGTTTCGCGAGCTACTTGTCCTGGACAAAATTACTGAACTCCGATACTCTGGCCGACTGGACCCTAAGATTGTCGGAGACTTACGTTATCCGCTACTAAAAACCTTCAGAACGCTGTGTCCCGACGAGTTAAAAAACATTTGGCCAAAATCCTTAAAGGAACCAAACCTAAAAGAAGTCGATGAAGGTGAAGATGATCTCCTGTGGAATAGCTCCCTCGTAGAAAGCTATATACCAAGGAGGAAAAAGAAGGTCACAGGCAACAATGACACCGACTCGAAAAAATCAGTTACGGCCTCTGATAGGAAATCAACTCAAGCCCCACCTAACGTACTCGACACCTCAGAAAAAGGTGCTGCGAAGATTAATGGGCAATCTGCAAACTATCAAAGAATCCGTCATGAAGTCACTGTGTCGAGTAGTACACGTTCTCTCAAACGCCCCTGTATAGACGACTCACACGAGGTCAGTAGGAAATCGAAACGAGTGTGCACATACTCGATTCAGGGTCGAGACGTTGAAGAGCCCCTCTTAAAAGGTTTCATATGGGATGCAGAGGACTACAGCTGCGCTTATGACTCCTTGTTTACTATCTTGTACAACGTGTGGAAAGAGAGAGGTGAAGAGTGGGCAGTACGGGTAGGTGAATTAAGCACCTACATGAGTCGTCTGACGGTAGTGTTTAAGAGAATCGAGGACAATGAAATGACGTTCGAAGAAGCACGAGACGATGTGCGCGGTCTATTGCATCAGGCCCATCCTGCAGACTTTCCCATGGGACCAAAAATGACTGCAATTCAGACTCTCGTACAAAAACTGAGTTCTCCTGGTCCTGACCGCAGCTACGGAACTCTTGTCCAGACCTGTTCTTCTTGCGACTTCTCACAGCATGATCCTGACTTCTCTTTCAACCTCGTTAACTCCCTATACACAAACCTCAGATACGAAGCAGAACGAAACAATAACGGTACGGCCTTGTCTCAGGCTTTGTTTTGCGATCGTAAGAAACTTCCTTCACCGTGCCCTGCGTGTTCGCGCGATGACATCCTCACGGCGAGACTCCTCACGTCTGACTCCCCCCCTCTCGTTTTCTTTGAAATTGCCGACGTTAACCTATCAAGCATCGAAATCGTTATTCGCTTGCCTGCCTCCTCGGGCTATCACGATATAGAGCTAAAAGGTATCATTTACCACAGCGAAACTCGGGGCCATTTTACGTGCAGATTCTTGGATTCTGAAGGTCGTGTTTGGTATCACGATGGTATGACAACAGGCCGAAGGTGCTCGTACGAATTCTATATGGATGTGAAAAACGAAACAGCTGAGCCCCTGATGAGTGGTCCCGAAGATTTTAAGCCTGTCTTTGCAGTTTACAGCAGCAGATATCGAAGCCCTACATTGCCTTAAAAACTTGCAAAGACTCGGATCTGCCGTGCTCCGCAACGGCCCTCTGCACCAAGTATCGACTCTGAGCGGGGACGAAGAGGAGCCTAGACGGCGCGACCGAATTCAACAGCGTTAACCGTCACAAACGGACCTGCCGTTCCCACGCTGACTCAACACTCGGCCTGCCGTGGGGATAAACGACGGGTAGTCCCAACGGGCGACAGACCATTACAACACCGTTGATATAGACCGGTCCTGGGTCCAACGGAGCCGCAACGGCAGGGCCGTTGAGACGCCGGTCCGAAATTTCCGACAGGTATCACCGTCGGGCATCATCATGTTAAACTTCACTCGAATGTCGCAGGTGTCGAGAGCGGAAAGGCTGTGGCACTGGTCTCAACAGATATCTCAGCTCCCGCTGGATATCTTCCAAGAACAGCCTTGGACGAGATATTCAAGAAGGCGCATGGATCCGTGGCGTATACCCATCCCACAGAAGGCTGGACGCGGTACATTGTACCTTGCAACGACACGCTCAAGATCACTTACACCATTGGGTGCGTATTCGCTCCATGCCTATGACTCGGTCGATCTGACATTCTCTCCAGGGGTGCCCAATACCCCATTCATCCTCTCGACTTTACGCAATTCTGGGAAGACCGACCCGAGTCTCTGAAGGACTACACCGTCTGCATCAGCACAGTCAGGTCATACGAAGGGTCCAAGGCAGACCACGATATCTCGCTGGGCGCAGCGTTTCTGCGCAACGTCTATTCCATGTAAGTGGTGCTCTTATCATAGTCAACATCTTGTTCACGAGCAACACCAGCTTCGACTTTGGTGACTCTCAAGAAGACGGCACCCTCGGCGAGCCCTACCTCCAATTCCTCCCTCAATGGACACACGGGGATGGCGACCACTGGAAGGACCTGCACCGAAACATGGACGGTCGGCCCCCTGAGCTCGAGCCTGCCAAAGTCGTCCAAATCCTCTCTTCCTCTTCCTCCGGTTCATCGTCTGACTCTGGAACATCGAGTAACAAGTCGACCAACAAGCCTGAAGCCCACTCTGGCAGTAACCACAAGACAGGTAGCGACATAGACGGAGGAAACATCCTGACCTCCGCCAATTCGGCCAACCGACCTGCCTCATCCTCTTCCGGAAGTAGCATCGACAGGTTCATGCCAGCGGTTATCGCCCTATTGGCAGTGAACCTCATCATCGGACTCATCCTAGCGGTATTGAGCGTCTTGAATTACATCAAGAAGAATGGCGCGGCAAAGAAGGCTGGGATTCCGCATTATATTCCCGTTAGCAAGAGGGATCAAGTGTAGGTCTCGTTTCATTTCAGCTAGCCAGTCTCGTGTTATATCTGACATACCTCCTCTCGTAGGCTCTTCGATGCAAATGACAACCCCTCGGGCCACGCCAATCGATACGGATATTCGTCCATGAGCGAGTAGAGTACTGTAGACACAGATTAACGGACAACAACATTACAACACGGACTTCATTACAACGATTAACCTAATTTATAATAAAGCATTTTCCCTCCTCACAGCACTCATCCACCTCCTCGACCCTATCCAACGGCATCCCAAGCCTCCTACGCCGCCTAAACCTTGCCGAACGGCCGTGTTGCTGCTTCGAATACACCGGTGGAGGAGGAACTTCGCTCGGAGCAATCCAACCGGGATCCCTAATCCCAACCAGAACCTCTATTGCCAACCGGACCTCCCATTCCGACGCGTTCTCCCTAACATACAACCTCTTCGCCACCGGGAGTTTTGAGTTGAGAAACCTGACCACGTCCATGAGCTGCGACCGCGACATCCGCATCAAGTCTTCATGGCATTGGAAAGGGTAGCTGGTCAGGGTCGATATTACAACTGCACCAAAGGCGTCGTCTTCCTGCTGGATTGCAACACACGCGCGACTGGAAGGAGCCGGTGGGAGGGCCTGCAGAGCTGGTGGACTGTTTTCGTCCGTCCGGCGACGAAGTGAGGGTCGTTTCCTCTTTCGCAGTTTGTTGCGAGGTTTTTGGCGACTCTGGAAAAGTGATTTCAGGATGGCCTTGATGCTAGCTTGCGTGGCGACCGGGCTAGTCATTCGGAGCAGGAGCGAACAACGAGGAAGAAGAGGCACGGCAGGACTGTTGGGATGCGGACTGGTGGGCTGAAACCCCTCATCGGGCCACAGATAAAGGAGAAGAACAGCATTAGCGTTTGACCCTATCTTTGATACAACCGAATCGGAAAGTGTTAACCCAAACGGCGTCAACAATGAATGAAGAAACTCCATCAATGCCTCCTCTTGTACCTGCTGCTCCCACTTGCCACTTCTCTCTCGATGTCCATGAACTTCTGCCTGTGCATCTGTTCCGCTCGTTCGTTGATCTCTCCGACCTCCTGTGTATTCGGGAATCCGATGTTCCAGTAATCTGGAGGCGTCTTGGCTCGCTCCCAATTATGTCGATGACGAGAGATGCCTTTCTTGTGTGCGTCAATGTCCTTCTGTCGGCGGGTTGGCGTCTCGTGATCTTCTTCGTCCTCCTCGTCAGCCTTTCCAGCCCGGTGTTTGCAGCGCTTCGGTGTCGACGAAGGTGACGCCCACAACAGTCCCGGGGGGCGAGGAGGGAGGGGCCCGACAGCGTTATAGTACTGCACGATGCGATTAGCACGGGGGAAGGTGAAGTGGATGGAATGAAACCTACCTCTCGACAGCACTCGCAATCTCCAGCGTCCATTTGACGCCGTGCTTCTCGACCTCTGACGACTTCATCGTACTGGTGCCCGACGCCGTTGTTCTTGGCGGGATCAATGACGAATTTCGCATTGATCGTAGAGGAGCTAAATCCAGTTACAGTTAGCTCGACAGTCCACTCTATTCGGCGGATGAACTAACCTGGGACCTGGCTCTGAACGCCGAGGAGCATACCTCCCTTTCCCTTTGGTGGCGGAAGCGGAGGGAGCTGCGAGCTCCAGGCCTGGTTCAGAGTGACGAGGGGCACGTCTTGCCTTCTCACTAGGACCCTTGACATTCAACAGACGACTGACAGGTCCCTTCATAGGCTCAGTGCGAGGAAGGGGGCGAGAATTCTCGTCCCGTCTCCTGGGCGTCGCGGAGTCCATATCGTCAACGTCGTCAGTCCCATCGACCCGACGAATTTTTGACGGTCGTTCGGAAAAGGACAATGGCTCGAGGGGGCGGCGAGCGTTAGAGCCACTGGAGGAAGAAAGGGGTGTTGACTTCGCGGCTGCAAACGGCGATCCAACTGTAGAACCCACGCGTCAGTGGTTACCACTATGATGAAGTTGAGGGAAAAGCGATTACATTGGGAATCTTCCGTATCCGAGGAAGCCATACTGTCCTTGCACGGGCTGGATGGATGGATCGAGGCCCTTGCCCCCGACAAGTCCGCGATTTGCTGGGTTAGTGCTGAGGAAACAGTTCAGAAAACAACGACATGGGCAGTTGAGGAAATACTCACATATAGATTCCTCTTCCGTGTCTGAGGAGTAGGAAACGTGTTGAGGTAGCCGAGGAAGCTTAAAGGTGCCACTACGCCTGAGCGGGGGCTGACTATTTGGGAAAGGAGCTGCAGAACTTGGTTAACGCGTGTCGAATGGGATTTGGGAAACTCTTACGCTGGGGATCAGGTTCTGTGTCAGAAGAAACAGCTGGATCGTCCGAGTCCTTCAAGAAGATCGTAGGCGAGGCTGAAGGTGGATCATGCTCGCTCCGAGAGAGCTGGTCCAGTCGCGACGGCCGCTGAACAGAAGGAACGGCGGTGGTTGAAGAGGAAGTCATTGGAAGACCTTTGGAAGGGGGACGAGGAGTTTTGACGTGTGCCTCGAAGGCTTCCTCGTAGTCTTTGGTAAATCGTTCAAAATCTGGAATTGTTTCCTTCATCTTCTCGCTTCTGCGAGCAAAATGCTCTGTATCCCGTCGGATCTTCTCTGTGCTGGAAATGCCTTTCTCGTTTCTGTACCTGCGATGCCTCGTATCCTCTGAAGCAGACCAGCGAGCAAACGTTTTCCATTTGGCATAGTCTCGCTTGTAAAACTCTCCGGCTCTCTGATATTTGTCCTCTAGAGCTCTGAGCTTCTCCGTGAGGCTCCCGTTCTGGAGCTTCAGAAACTCGTTCTCGGAACTAAAAGCCTATCAATGACCACTAAATGAGTAAGATGAGTGGAAAACTCACCTGAGTTCACTACATCTTCCTTCAAGCTCTTCTAAATGACCCCTGAGATCCCTCAACTCCTTCTCTTGAGACTGAACGCGTTCCAAAGTGCCTTTAAATGAGGTCGGGTTATCTACCAAGTCTAACGCTTCCTGAGCTTCAAATGCGTTCTCAAAGCCTAGAGAATGCACAAGACGGTTCGAGCGTTGCACAACGTCGAACATTTGCTTTCGAACGTCGTCGTTGGACCGCCTAATATTGTCGATTTTGCGTTCCAAAGCGCTGATTTCCTTTTGATGACGCTCCTCGATTCGCTTGTCACGCTCCTTCATTTTGGCGCTGGAGAATGCGCCATTGTCTGTGTTCATCGCGTCGTCGTTGTTGTTGCTGTTGTCGCCGTCGTCGTAGTCGTCGCCGCCGCCGCTGTTGGCTGGAGATGGTAGCCGGAAGCAGACCGTCGCGTCCGCGCACGCCGCCCACTGGCCGCCCAGCGCGGTGCTGCACGGTCACGTGACCCGGGAGGCTATTCCGAGTCGGGCACAAGCCCCTAATTTCCAAGTTCAGACTCAATCCGGGTCCTCCTCGACTCGAAGAAGATTGCGGAGGAGAGCGCTGAGAGGTGGAGCATCTGGCTCATAAATCTGGATAGAAATGTATAGCTTCTCGCTCCGGCGGGAAAATTTAGATCTCTTCCTAAGAAAATGAGGAACTATGGGCGGGGGAAACATGTTGTACTAGAATAAAACGATTAGTGCTTGATCTAAACCATGGCACCAGAGTAGCTTAAGTGTCCAAGAATTTAAGGGATGATGTATCTCTACCAGTTCCTTTGGCCCTTATGCTTAATTTCTGATAAGTAACGCCTCTGGCGAAGTCACTGGGTACCCACGATTGTCATCCTTGGCATCTCACCGTCTATGACATGAATAGAAATGCCGGGTTATGGTTGTATTAAGTGGGATTATTTAAAAACAATGCCCTTGAAAGTAGTACGTCTTATTCTGGCCTGAGGGAACCCTTAGCATCCACTGGAGTATGTGTAAAGTTGAGCAGTGGACCTTTCCGACTTTTCTCAGCTGGAACTTGGACTTCACCTCTAAGAGGGCCTAGATAAGAGCTTCTGAGAGCAAGTGAGGGGCTACCTTACTCCGTCCTCCCACTACACTAATATCGTTTATTGCTCGATGGTGAGAGAGCGCCCGATTCCGAGATGGAAATGGGTGGGAATCCATTATGTTATCCGCGTCTTGGCACCAGCCTTGAGCGTCGCCCCCACCGGCCTCCCACATCTAGCACTCTAATGCCACCGGCCTGGCGGCACTGAGGCCAGTGGACTCTGCCAGTGACAGCCCACCGCTTCCTCCTTCTCTCCAGCCATTCGTTCAACCTATACTCAAAACGCCCATTTGTTCTTCTTCCTGGGGAGCAACAGGAGGAATGACAACGGCAGTTGATGGTTCATCAATACGCCTAGATGCTCTCTTCACACGAAATGCCTCTTCACGTACGTCAAAAAGAATCTCTCGTATTGACTTGTTTTACCTATGCTTTCTCTCCAGTGGCTGCGCTTGTCCAAGTGATATGTGAATACCTCCTCAACTTGGAAGATGAAATTCGCTACATCTGGAGGTCCGTCTGAGCCAGGGATTAGGAACCGCTGCCACTGTTGACCTCTTAGGTAGATGGCCACTGAATCGGGTTAGGGCGATCTACTTTGTTGCGAGGTATCTGGGATTATTTGGCCTTCTGTGAGTGACCAAAACATCACCTTATATCCGTTTCGTTCAACTATCGTTCAGCGCGAATGTTATTCTGTTATTCTACGGCCCGTTGGCGACTATTCCGAACGATGCAAACGATTGTCGCACCTGGTTCGCTGTGTACAGTGCCGTCTCGTGTCTTGTTCTATTCTCTGTCGACGCAATCGCGATGCTTCGAGGTTTGTGGCCACCTTGGTGCTATAATCCTTTGACTCTGACCTCCCGCAGTTTATGCCCTCTACAACCAAAGCCCCAAAGTCGGCGCCTTGTTCTCCTCTCTCCTGCTCACCGAAGCCACGCTCGTCACCACTTGTTCTTCTACAACTCTCAAGATTGTACCATTTAGCCCGATATGCGACGTCGAGAAGACCCCGTATCAAGTAATTTATTTCGCGTGTGTCTCTCCCAAGTCGCTGCACTCCTCGTCTCTCACATTGGAATCTCTCTAGATGTGGTGTCGTCGTCACTCAGCTCGCCCTCATGCTCTTTACATTTCACAAGCGCAAGGTTATGGCCGGCCAGCTGCACATTCCTATCCTGAAGCTGGTCTTTCGCGAGGGCGCTTGGATATCATCCCTGACTTGTTGTACGTACTCTTTATCTCGGAGTGAATGGCTGATGATAGTCAATGAAGGTATATTCTTCTTCACTGTTCCATACTCCCTGATAACCGGAACGGCCAAACCACATCTAGTCCTAATGTACGTTCCGTTGCCGATCCCTTCAACTGCTTCCCGCGGCAGAACTGATCGACACCATGAACCCTATCTATCTGACAGATGGCCGACTACACTTCTGTCAAACGTGGCTTCCCGGGTGATCCTCAGTCTACATCGCCTCCCAGCTGCTGGACGCTCTCTCAGAAATCCAGACGGGGCGCCAAGCGCTCAGGGAACAGATACAGATATCCAATTTACGAGCTACTTCATGAACGAGTCTACTGACTTTCATGTTGGAGCGTCGGATTACTACCCAGACGCATTTTTCACTACCCGCTCGCTCGCGAACACTGCATCTTTATCATCACTCTCGCTTGGCCGCCCGTCATCGAGCTCGTCCACCATCTCATCTCTGGCCAGTGGATTGCTACTACGCAAGGACACTCGTTTGGATGCCATTCCTAGCTCACCGGATACCCGTTGACCCCTCGCCGCCTCCATATGACAATGTACACTACTCGCACCGCTACTTTCAGGGATCGATCATGATGGATTGTTGCTAGACATTGGACGATTTTGCGGCTGAACAGCGGTGAGGCTCGCAGCCAAGTGTTTGTGTTCGTCGCTGGACGGCGATAAACAGCCCTCGAACCCATAGATGGGGATTCACCGGAAGCTTCGAGTAATCGACCCAAGGAGAATGACCCCAATCTTGATCTCTTGATCCGTGATACTCATCTAATACTCCCCCATTGATGTCTATCCTAGAGCCTCAGCAATACTTAAGTGTAGCAGAATGGATGCCAGCCCTATACAGGTCATTTAAGACTCCACCGGCTCACGTCACTCATACTGCTGTGACACAAGGAATTGAAGCACTATATACATATCGCCAGACTGTGCTTTCAACTTCTAGCGTATTGGCGGTATTATCGGAAGTGCCTGTCTCTTCCTCGCAGAACAGGAGGGAACGCCACGGTGCTGTTATTCAACAGCTTGGCAAGTCTCGCCCTTTCGACGTGTTGATAGAACAAATAAATAGCACAGATCACCCAAAGGCCGAAGCAAGAAATATTAGCAGTGACCCACATGAACGTCTTTGGGCGGTACTTGGGCTCGACAGGGCTCGACACATTCAGCTAACACCTGCCAGTCCTTTCCAATGCCCGAGCCTATCCCATTCAAATCGATCCACCTTCCCAAACCGGAGCGTACAGGGAAGCTTCTGCCGCCGGGTTCGACAGAAGTTGTCCAGTGGTCTCTAGACTTCCAGGGGTAACGAAGAGGGCTTCTTCTCTTCGATAACTTCGGGATCAGCACAGTCAACTGTTCATTTCTCTTCCATCGGACTTCGACGCTTTTGGGCTACGCCTGTACTCGCGGACCCGATAATCATTGTGAGTGGTGAACCTCGAGGTTCGCGGTTCCTTGTGAAGCGCCCGTTCCTTTTCTCCATCACCGTGATACCCACTGAGCTTGACACCACCAGCGGCATGTGTTTTGTTACGAGACGGTTGCATTCGCCCTTCGCCTTTCGAGTATGTACCTTGACCATTTCCTTTCCTATTCGAATTTACAGCTCGACCTGGCGACCCACTCGAGAACTCCGTAGGTCGAACGCCTCCAGCTCTTCCAAGCAGCTGTAATATCACCATTTCAGCGCCAATGCCGGTTAAATCTCTCCGTCCACCATCATCCACTAGGGTTCTCCGGTCGTGGATTCCAGCAACCCAGACCTTATCTCCACGATACACAAAAAAAAATCACGACTTCACAAAATCCAGATGGTCACCTTGTTATCTTTATTGTTATCGTGAACTGACCATACGCTCGTGTTCCTAGGGTCGCGATGCTCAAGATATGCAATGATACGTGCCGACGGACAGCATGACCAGCGTACGACACGGGTGCATCCGTCCACATGTGTTTCATCTTCAGTGAACCTTGTGTAGCGTTCTTCTTTCATCTTGGTGACCGGGGCTGAGACCCTGCAGGACTTGGGATTCGCACAAATCCGGACCCATTTGAGCTTGCCGACATCTCGACATACGGGCTCGATGATGCCATCAATTTACCCCGCTTTTCATCTCGATCGAGCGCCTAAGTAGATACGTATGTTGGAGAGAGGGCACGAGGCTCCAGGACAGCAAGAGGTGTAGCGCTTCTTTTGAGCTAGTACTATTCTAGTTGTCCTCGAGGATGATTAGGGTGGAACAATCGTCATGTCAGGAACAGGCAGGACCAGAGTATTCGGCTTCGGGCTGTAAAGTGTACCTTTCCTACCCCAAACCTCCCCTCTTCGAAGTCACCTTGACGAGGATAAAGAACGTGATGCTTTGAATTGACATTGACAGGGAATTTGGGGGACGTTGTCAACACCTTCTTGTGCCTGGACTCCACCGGGTAGGTCGAAGTAGAATGGAGCTTCGCATAGCATTTGGACATACATAGTCCTTATTGCGCCTAGTTCCGGGCAGGACTCTAGGCGAAGGGATCGGACAGGACCCCTGTACACTTCACCTGGGATAAAGAAGGAATACTAGTGAATCCGTTGTGTTTGTGTACGTACCCAGTCATCATTTGGGCACCCAGTTGATTCTGAGAGTCGACATGAACGCGTTCTACAAGAAGTGTCGAGGCTGCTCATGAACGACTTCGTGCCATCCAGGCCGGCAGGCCCGCCCAGGCCAATGGTCTTCACCACAATTAAATTGGGTGCTTCCGCGGTCACTTGAGAGACGAGACATGCAGGAAGCGCCGAAAACAGATATTCGTACTGGTCCCGTGTCAACTGCATCAGATACTTATCAGCATCCGCGAACCCACTCCGGTTCTCCGGAATCTTGACAGTTCACTTCTCTCCCCCTTCGACGAGCCATTCGACGATGTCGAACGTTCATCAATGGCCTACGATGTCGAGGAGTCATCGGAGGGCCACTCAGAAACATATTTGGTGCATTTCTCTCGGCCGAGGTGCTCCAAAACGCGCCTATTTATATTGGAAGGATCAACCAGTGCTCGAACCCGCAGCGGCTGTAACATGTGAAGCTGGAGTTTAACCGCCGTCGACATATCCCGTTTAGGAAGGCTATCGACATTTCAGCACATGGAAAAGTGGCGCCAAGACCGGGGATCCACGAGTCGTCCGAGCCATGCCAAGGTCAATACGGCAGTTGCAGTCATTCCCTACTCAAGTTTTGTTCCAATTTAACTCCTTGTATCGCTTCGAATAGCGCTGGGGATAATCATGTGGGATGGCTGGAAGAATTGGGCCAATTGGAATGGCCAGAATGTGAAGAAAGAGCAGTGAATTCGGTGTACGGCGGCAGTGCATTGAATTCAGGCGTCGGGAGAACGGAAGGCGGCTCGGGTGATTTGGTGGTTACACCCCAGTCCACCGAATTGAAAATCTTCAAGCTCTATGTCGGGGCCGGGTTGAAATCAGCGCTTTCTTCAGACATGAAGCGATGGAACTGTCAAAGAATCGAGGTGTCGCGAACAAATCCGAAGAAGCCGTTAGGAATGCTGGAGGACATTGCTCAGTTCTGTCAGGGTAATTCTCTGTTGTCGCGGGTGCGTCTGCCACATGGCTGACGCTCATGAATTGCGATAGCCTGACTGCTTCACAAGCTGTGGAGATCATCGTCAATGGGCGCCACTGTCGGCGCAACTCGTGCATGGTCACGGCGGTTTCCACTGGTCCGAAAACGATCGAGATTGGGTAGGTCCATTAGAAGCCCCGCACTAACGCACCGCCATTTGGCATCACCTTTGATCCCGCGCGGTGAGATCCTAAAAGAGATCTCTTGCAACCCCAATCTCCATCGAAATCCCTTCTCTTATCGTTCGCATGGCTCCTCCAGTACCAATATGGATTGTCCGATTTAAGAAAAATGGACATTCAGTTAAATAGTAGCGGCTCGAGAAGGGCGGTTCCCCCCAGATCCTTCTTCTCCACCCGCCCCCTTCCCAGGCAATGGATCCCAAGTACGAGAAGGACAGCAAGGAGGTCGAATCCTCCAGCGTGTCCTCGCAACCGCAGGCACGCCGCGTCGAGTTCTACGACCCCTCCAAGGAGTCCAAATGGACGCGAATTGGTCTCACTCTCGAGAGTTTCAAGCGTGCTCCCGGCACCACTGGGTACGGTGTCCCCCAACCCTGTCTCTTCACCATGTACTGACCCACAACCAGTGGCCAGGTCGTTAACGGCGCCAACAATGTTGAGGACCTCGAGAAGATCATGGCTGACGCCCCAATGCTTCAGCAGAAGATGAAGCCCCGTCACTTGCAGATGATTGCTGTCGGTGAGTAGCAATGTCCGTGGCCTTATGCGCTCCACTGATACATTGCCTTGCCCCGACCAGGTGGAAGTATCGGTACAGGTCTCTTCGTCGGCTCCGGTGCCGCCCTCTACGACGGTGGTCCAGCTGCCCTCCTCATTTGCTGGCTTCTCATTGGTATCATGTTGATTAACGTTACTCAGGTATGACATCGTCTTCTTACAACAGTAACCTCAGGCTAATGCCATGCAACCTTCGTAGGCTCTCGGTGAAATGGCAATTCTATATCCCGTTTCTGGTGGTTTCTATACTTTGGCTATTCGTTTTTTGGACCCCTCCTTCGCTTTCGCCATGGGCTGGAACTACGTCTTCCAATGGGCAGTCGTGTTACCTTTAGAAATTACAGTCGCTGCAAGAACGATTCAATATTGGCCAGAAACACTTAAAGTTCCTCTGGCTGTTTGGATCACTATCTTCTGGGCTGTCATCGGTGAGTGAGAGGTTTCACCATCACCATGGCTCCATTCTGACGATGTTGGCCAGTCATCTTCGCTGTGTTCGGAACCATTGGTTTCGCCGAGGAAGAGTTCTGGTCGTCTTGCCTCAAGCTTTTGGTCGTCGTCGTGTTCGTCATTATCGGTATTGTCTGCATCTGCGGCGGTGGACCGAGTGATGGAGAATACTCGAGCTATGTTGGAGGCAAGCACTGGAGCGACCCAGGAGGATTCGCCAACGGCTTCAAGGGCGTTTGCGCTGTTTTCGTCACTGCTGCCTTCTCGTTCGGTACGTCTTCCTTCTGTTGCCAGCCTCGCCAGTCTTACTGAATTCTGTCCAATCAGCTGGTACCGAGCTCGTCGGTCTCGCTGCCTCCGAGACCCCTAACCCCCGCAAGACCATGCCCACCGCTGTCAAGGGTACCTTCTGGCGTATCACCGTTATCTACATCACCTCCTTGACCATTATTGGTCTCCTCATCCCCTACAACGAGGAGCGACTCGTCACTGGTGAAGGTGCCGCGGCTTCTCCTTTCGTCATCGCTCTCGACAACGCCAAAATCCCGGGATTCAACCATCTCGTCAACGTCACCATTTGCATCTCCGTCCTTTCTATCGGTTTGTCCTGCGTCTACGCTGGATCCCGTACCCTCACTGCCCTCGCCGAAACTGGATACGCCCCGAAGATCTTCACCTACGTTGACAAGTCTTCCCGACCACTCTGGTCCCTCATCGCCATCCTCGTCTGGGCTCCTTTGGCCTACATCAACGTTCGAGATGTGGGTGACGCAGTGTGTAAGTTCTATTCACCCATCCAGATACGAAGTAAACCCGACATTGACACATACCTATAGTCAGGTGGTTGCTTGCCCTCTCCGGTCTCTCGACCCTCTTCACCTGGATGGCGATCTGCTTGTGCCATATTCGATTCCGAAGGGCTTGGAAGGTCCAAGGCCACTCTACCGACGAGCTTCCCTACAGAGCCCTGGGTGGTGTCTATGGCTCGTGGTTCGGTGTGATTCTCGTCATCCTCGTCCTCATCGCCCAATTCTATGTTGTACGTGTGCCTCATGTCAGTACTTGGCAGCTCGTGGATACTCATGCTTCCTTTCAGGCGCTGTTCCCACTCAATTACGACCCAGACCGAACACCAGGCGATGTCGCAGAAGGCTTCTTCGGTACGTCCAGGTCCCCACATGGTCCCATCAAACCCTAACGTCTCTTCCTTTCACAGCCTCTTACCTCGCTCTCCCCGTCATGATCATGTTCTACATCATCGGATATGCATGGAAACGCACTCTCCCTCAACGGGCACACGAAATCAATCTCGACTCTGGACGAAAATCGTGGTTGACCGCAGAAGAAATGAACGCCTGGCGCGCAGAACGAAGAGCTGCACCACTCCACATTCGTATCTTCCGTGCTCTCTTCACACATTAATGGCTTACTTTATTGTTCGTCATGTGTATTCTTTCACACCTACCGGTTGTTTTTTCTGTTGTCATGTCATACCCTCGACATGTTGTATCTTTAGCATATATATCCCCACCAGCCTTGTAGACTTTCTTCATAAAGTCGCGCTCTATCGTAATAGATGCTTGCTGTGTAATTGTATACTTTCTACCCCAATCGACTGCATTTATTCTCAACCCTGATTCGAGGAGGCGAGACATGTCATACCACGTTAAATTTAGGTTTATTGAATGCAGACCCGCGCCAGGGCAGTTACCTGAGGTCGACAAAGGGCATCGCGCCCTTCCCGCTGTGGGACGACATGTACCAGCCCCATTCCGTGACTAGGCACTGGCGTCATGAACACGCGAGATATGGAGACAGCCTCTAAAACGCAGGATCGATGGGGATAGGTAACTGAAATGGACTTCACCTTGCGCTTAGCGGTCGTGTGGGGTGCTCCGTATCGTGCATCAAAGATCCAAACTCCCATCGAATTCATCATCGGTTCCATCTACATATCTTACTGCACCCTTGATTATGACATTCAAGGTTGGCAGGGTTGTGAAGGGGAAGCCCCATTCACCAGTCGTATCCCTCCGATTTCACCCTGCTTACTCCCTGGGCCTGAAATCTCGATGGCCGAACAACAATGTCAGTGGGGTTCTTTACATTTCTGAGGCCGCCACCCCCATCGTTCTCCACGCGCCATTCCAACAAGCGGTCAATTCTGACGGAGAACGAGCACAGCCGACGCCCAGAGTTAATCATGTGTATTCGTTCCATACGTTGCGGCTTGTCATTTTAGGGTGGGGTGGTGGCCACTACTAGTGCACTGGTGACTGGGCGACGAGGTCGCCGTGGAAGGGGTGACACAGGTGACACGGCCACGGAGGTGTAGGCGTTGTGCACCATATGGTCGATCTGTCCGTGTACGTACTGTACACCCTCCAAACTATGGAAGCCCCGAAGTTCCACACCAAGTCCTAAACCCAATCACGACCTCTCGTCCACTTTGACTTTCTGAGGGAATCTGGTCGAGTCTGGGTGGTGTGTGTGCGATGGAGGTTTTAGAGACGAGTGATGTTGTGTACTCGAGGTATAGCTTCTCGACGTTCTTCAATGCAGATAAAGGCTTTCGAGCTCTTAGAAACAGCGCACACGAGTCAACCTGTGTATCATGTTGGCCGTAGAGGGTGATATTGCAACGTCGAAGCGAGGCATTTTCTCCGAGAAGCATGGGGTGCAGGAGACTATGGATAGAGGGGTGGTTCACACCGTTATCCTCTTTCAATTCGACTACAAGATACGAGGTAGTATTTATCTCGCAGTTGGAGTTCAAATGTCTGCCAATGATAGTTGGTACCTTCAAATTCGACCGCGATGATCAAACAAGAAGCAAGAGATAGTCACATAACTCTCTCGAAATAAGTCTGAACGAGGTACTGAATTGTTACAAGTACTCTGGTACCATGCGGTTCAGAAGCTGCTTGTGCCTTGAGAAAACAAAGCTCGTAAAGGTGGGCTTCTTTAAGTTCTTTTGACTTGCTTCGCGCCCTTCCTTTGATTTTTCCATGGTTGCTCCGTTTAGACGGCTAGGATTTGGAAGGGTTGGGTCTGTTTCGCTGAGTTACCCCCTCCGATATGCAAGGGCTCGTCGCTACAATTGTTGGGCATCGCAGACCAGGTCGATAGGAGAACCCAAGGGTTTGAATAGTGGTCTGGCGCTTCGATCGCTCCGATGGAGTAAATTTAAAGGACAGTGCTTGAAATATATATGAACATTTCTGTCCACGGCCGGAACACGAAATCCAGGTATCCTGAAATGAGAAAGTGAGGTGAACAAGTGACTTACCGAGAAGTGGTGACGGAAACCGCTTGACATCGAAGTGTTGATTTTAGAGCATCGGTGATTGGAGGGACCGACAACGTACTAATCTTACTATGCGCGCCCACATTCCTCTTTCTTATGGCTTCCGTACCGTGACGAAAAGACTTGTAACGGTTGAATGATTTTGACGTAGGATTCTTATGTTTGTTCGGGATACTTTGCGTCATTTGGATTTCATGGTCGGGACACGCGAATAAGAATCCTTGGATTCAAACAAGTCATGTCCGCTTGGAGAGGGATTTTGATATTAATAGCTCAAGGGCTAAAGATTAGCAGGGACCTTCAGGTACTTGCCCTTCGCTCTTATTTGCGAAGACGGTTGGTTTAGAAGCGTCGAGGACAGGCGTACCTGGATTGGAGCGAACAAAGGCTGTCCGGTAAATGTGAAGTCGCCGGAAGAGACCGTTGCGCCAATGTTGGTGGAGAAACCTCATCGTTCCTGTGCACTATTCAGTACGAAGGGAACATATCCATGTGGCGCGAGACTAAGTAGTCTCGGGGAGGGAACTGAACCTCTCTAACTCAGCGAGCGTGTCTGCGGTCAGAAGAGACAGATGCGCATATGACGATTACGATCTTATCAATTTGGCGAAAAACGTGTACTAAGCGCCCAAGATTTAGTAGCTCTCGGTAGGTTTCTGAAGACTAAATGGTCTAGAATTTCTCCCAGAAGGCTGTCCGAGAGGTACCTTGCGCGACTATTAGAGGCATAGAGGAAGGTAAAACTCCCATTTGCCTGGCGTTGGAAGCTTCCTTGACGGTCAAGTCTCTCTCAGAGTGGTGCATGTTGGGGACCTAGGTGAGGACTCCTTATGCTTCAATCGAACACGACCTGAGTCCGTTTTCACCTTCTCCAGTGCAGTTTACAACGGATTGTGTCGTTCGCGACTCCTAGTTTTGTCCGAGTCCTGTGGTGGCTCGGAAGAGGAGGATGAACAAGTATGCTTCAATCCAAAGGGTGACTCCTCCGTCAAATGTTCTCTTTCGGTATATCCTCTTATTAGGTTCCGGAGGTCGGTCATCTTTTGGTACGATTCGCCCCTGTAGGCTATAAAGACGCTTTCAACCCTAGTCGACGGGATAGAGTAAACAGGGGCAGGGATTACATCCGGAAAACAACAAGACAAACTGCGAAAGGGTTGATGGCAAATCCCTGATCCACTGATCCTCAATAGTCTCCACAAATCCTTCAGGTATCGTATTTTCCTCGACAAACAGGGCCTAGAAAACGACTTTCCGTTGGATTTCCGAGAAACGTTTGTGCCTCTGACGACAGAAAGCCGAAAACATATGAAATTGATGGGGGGCGATTGATGGGGACGTGACCGACACGGTGCACGTGAGGGTACAGATAGGCGCACGTGGAGTACTATCCACGTGCCTGAGAACATCGCGGCGGGGTTCAGGAATCCAAATCAACAAACCAGCGACAGTTGGCTCTGAACGCGTTCTTTTCTTCTCCTCACCAGGTCTTCACCGACTTTCCTGGATCTCACCTCGTTCCACAGAGTCCAACAACGCTAAAATGCCCCGAAAAGCAGCAGCGGCGACGACCGACGGCGAGGCCCCAGCGCCGCGACGCTCAAGCAGAATCAAGGAGCAACCCAAGCCTGAACCCGTCGTGAAGAAGGCGCCAGCGAAACCAAAAACCAAGAAACCCGCCGCTGAAAAGGAGAAGACGAAAGAAAAAGACGAAACGTCTACTGAAAAAGAAGAAAAACCGAAATCGGCTGCTGGGAAGAAGAGGAAAGCGCCTGAAGAGACCAACGGCGACGAGGCTGAGCCTCCCGCTAAGAAGGTATCAGTCTGTTTTTCTGTTTAAATTATTGAAAAGGTTGCTTAAACCATGTTTCTCTTCGTGATTTAGGCCAAACCCGCGTCCAAGGCGGCTAAACCTGCTTCGTCTGCGAGCAAACCCGCTTCCAAGGCGAAACCCGCCTCTAAAGCTGCAGCGAAGCCTGCTTCCAAGGCTGCTGCTGCTACTAAACCTGCGTCAAAGGCTTCTGCAAAGCCTGCGTCCAAGGCGTCTGCCAAACCGGCTTCTACGGCCAAACCCGCGTCGAGAGCTGGCTCTGCTAAGCCCGCTTCACGCGCTGGTTCCAAGAAACCCGCTTCCAAGGTATGTTCTGCCTCTCTCTGGATGGCCATGCGCTCTGGGCGGCTCGCGTTACCGATTTTGCATGTCCAGAACCTCTCTTCCTTGGGGGGACAGCCTTGCTTCAACGACCTGTGCTTTTGGGGGCACTGCTTCCTCGCATCGGTGACTGTTTGTCCCAAGCGCTGTGTTGGGACTTCCTGCGATCGTTAATTCCGGGCGGTCTGAACCGAATCCGTCGCCCAGGTCCAATTTCGCTTGAGGGGATCCTTCTCAATTTCCTTGGGGGATGGCCACCCTGTGCTCTGGGACCCTTTCGTCTAATATTGGGGACTTTGCCAACACTTTCTCCCGGGCGCTCCCAACCGAATCTAACCTCTCATCTCGCTTACAGGTCGCTGGACAAGAGCCGGCCGCTGCTGCCAAGGTCGACGAGACCATCGCAGAGGAACCCGAGGCAGAGGCTGCTGCCGCTGCCACCGAAGACGGCGACAAGGTGGGTCCCATCGATCAACGGACTTGCGCACGTTGTAACAGCATCTCCTAGGCCTAAACACTCCAACGCTGTTTGCGTCGTGTCCACACCATCCCCCTTGCGATCCCCCTCTCCATCCGCTGGACTCGACGCTCCCAGAAGCCCAATCTGAATGTACAATCTACGCTTTGATTTCTCTTCCGCTAACTCTTGGTTCCCGTGTCCCGTCCTACGATTCCCCTTCACCACCTCATGTAGCCTATCCTTATCCTTTCTCACCCTTCAGACCTTCTATCCATCGTCCACTTGGTTGCTGTTGTGATGTTACCCGCGCGCAACGGTCGCCATCGTTCGTCGCTCTCTCTTCACCCGCTATCCCTCGCTGTCGCTTGGACATCGTTTTCCGTACACCCTGCCCTTTCTAGTCTAGGTTCCTATCTTTATGGTCTTGGTTTCCCAGTTCTCACTTATCACTTTCCCAACCTTTCCTACCTACCCCTTGGATTTCACTTGGTTTCTATCTTTATGGTTTTGGTGCTACCCTGTGTTGTAAAGATTGTTTTCTAGTTGTTTTCCGAGCTTTCCAGATTCCTCTTTCCTCTTCCTTTCTTCCTTTCTTTATTTTCCTGGTCTGCGTTGTTTGTTCGCTTGGACTCGTCCTCGTCTTCTTTCCGCTGGTAGTAATTCGTTATCGCTTTTGTTGTATGTATGTACGTAGTAAAGCGCTAGCTGTATATCCCCGAAATTTTATGTATCTTTATGCCCTCCTCGGGAGGATGATCAGTTTTTCCCTCTTCCTCGAGTTGGGAACTCGAAGTAGGTGCATGCATGGGAAGCACCCCTCTGAGTTACCCGGTACCAAGAGGCGGACAGCGGAGATCATGGGTGGGGACTGATACGCAGACACGGGGGTTCGAACCTCGTAATAGGCCACGTTTTGGAAGCATCGTGACCTAGCGTAATCCGCCACCTCAAGCACTATTCTGTGGTTGATCGTTGCTCTGTTCGACGTTCAATGCCAACACGCCTTTTCGCTGCTGGAGATTGATCGACCCACGTGATGAGGTAGGCCCCTCTCCCGCTCGTACCTCTCCGGCTATGTGATTGGTGAAGCGATCGCCGCCAATTTCTCTTTGTAGGGTTCCTGCTGTGCGGGGACAGGCTAGGGAGAGCATGAGGAAGGCTAGGCCACGGATCTCGATCATGCTTCAAGCTGGCCGAAAGCTCCATGGTATCAGGAGGCGGATGGCGTGGGTGATGGTGTCGGAGATGCGAGTGTTCGAACCTGGCCGGTCACTTCGTTTTATCAATACACCCTTGTCAACGAGTAAGAATGGATGCTGCACGAGATACCTCTGCGTCCCACTGGCCTATGTGTCATTCCTGCCGAAGATCGCTCGATGTAGGTGAAAGAACTTACGTGCTCCCGCTCGTATCTCTCCAGCATCAGGAAACCTGGCTTTTCATAGTCACAATGTCTGGGTCTGGCTCCGAAGGTGTTGGCGACCGTTCACGACGTTGCACGGGATTGGCGTTTGACGAAACAGCAGATGATGGATGATTGAGCGCCTGGCCAGTGGACTGGGTAGATGGATCAGATTAGTGGTAGGCGCATCACGGTGACCAATCTATTTACAAAGTCTCTTGAAGCATGGTGCCCGAAGCCGAGTCGGTCGACACACAGGATGTCATTTCCCGTTCACAGGTAAAGAGCCTACCATTGACGTACGCAAGGCGTCGTTCCCCAGCCGCCCCTTTGCCTTTGACCCCGTCGTCAATCCCAGTAAAACCCAATATAAATAATTAGATGCGTCGAAATGTACAGTGTTGTATCGTTGGTTATGCGATATCTGCGATGCGCGCCCCTTCAGAGTGCTCAGACTTGTAGAGGACCGACGAGATGCTGGTGGTAAGTCGTGTCGGTTACGGACTATGCGATGGTGCATTCAGGGTTATTTGGGTCCAGTCCTGGGAGGTTGCCGTCGAAGCCTTCAGGGAGGTCGCCCATCAACTCGGTCGGTGGTGATCCATGGGATTGCATCTGTTCAAAGGGGTTTTGTTAGATCGTGTAAAGGCAGAATGAGGTGCGGGGGAACGCACCTCGGACATGAGATCAATAACGGCTTTGTTAGAGGCTGGGTCTGAGTCGTTGTATGTTGGCTTCTCGAACAGGTCGATGATTTGCGTTACGATGGCATGCTGCTTCTCGTAGCGAGACCGGTCCTCATCCGAGAGTGGTTTTGGAGGGTTGGCAAGGTATCCAGGGAACTATCCATGTGTGAAGTTCAGTCAAATGCGAGGATGAAAGACGACAGAACGCACGCTATCCCGGAGCTCCTTCAGAGGTTCATACAGAATCTCCTTGCTCATCAACTGGGACATCATCGACTCGAGGAACCCAGCGAGTTCCGACTCGTTTTCGCCATCCTGGAGACCAAGGTCACTCAAGCCCTTGAGCAAATCCTCCATCGTTTGTGGACCTCCATCCGCCCCGGACGGGGCCTGCCCACTCGCTTCCCGCGCCTTGTCCTCCGACTCCTTCAGCTTGTCCATGGCCTGCCGAATCCTCTCCTGGAAACCCTCCACGACCTTCGACTCCCCAGACGGCCCTCCCGCAGCACCGGACGTGGATTTGTCCCCTAGGATCTCACCCAGAGACGGAAGGAGCTCCTCTCCTGCCTTGCCGTTCATGCCCTCGACAAGCATAGCTTCCCAGGCGGCTTTCAGAGCCTTGGTTGTCTCGTCGTCCTCCCCCAAAGGATTCGCACCGCTCCCACTAGCTCCAGCAGAAGACGAGGATGCTGCGGACGGCTCGCCGCCGCTGATTTCGCGCATGAGGTCCTCCATACCCTTTGCCAATTCACGAGCAAACGCAGACGAAAGCTCGTCCTCATCTACCTCTGCTGTTGGGTCCAGAGACGGTGCAGCCCCAGGAATCGAAGCTGGTTTGGCATCGACACGGGTGTTCGTGCGCGGTCTCCCCGACGTTGCGGTAAACTCGCTCGTCGCTGCGGTTGGCGGTGGTGCAGATGGCGCTTTCTCTGCGAATTCATCTAGGACGTCTATTGTTTTTATTTCAGACTGTTAGTTCTGAACTGATTCTGGACGGTGTTGTGGGGAACATACCATCAAGATCGTCGAGATCGTCCTCGGGGTCTGCGATCTTCTCAAGCTTGGGTTTAGTCGATTCTGACATTTTACTTCAAGACCATAATATAAGACTTTGGAATACATTGACTAGTTCAGAACGTACCTAGAAGTCAAGTTGGAGGGTTGGTCGTCGTCGTCGTCGTCGTCGTTGTCGAGATTAAGGAGGTCGCGGTCGATTGGACCGGGTATTTCACGTGCCTGGAATGATGATGAATGTGACCGGGCCATCGAATTGCCCATTCATCCGACTTTGCCTTCAACCGCCACCATCTTGGACGGCGGCGGCAGCAACCACGGCGACGACGAGCGGCATTGGAGTTTAGGATACCCACAGCGACAGGGGAAACGGTTCCGAGGGGCTACAGAATGTGCCATGGCCACCTAGATCGAACTCGGACTGTCGATCGAAATAACCTGGGCAACGACAAAATGGTGGCTGGTCTGGTTGAATTGGACTTAAATTCATTCATCGGTTTCTGGCATCTGCGTATCTTTGTGGTTCAAATTTTATTTGTATTGGACCTTTGGAATGGAGAAGGACTGTGTGACTTACCCCTGGACTCGCAAATCTGGGCAGCGTTTCCAACTCTTCTGGGTTCAAATGTATACCTTCCAGGAACGAGGCTAGTACAGTATACAGATCCTAAGAGACATCTTCGCAGGCCCGTTCATCAGCGATCGTCTTGCCCACCTGGCACCCCCGACCGAGGACCGGCCTTTTGAGTTTTCCTCTCCGCCCCCGCCATACGAATGTTCTGCATGGTGCGACCGTACTCACCTATTCATCAAGCATCTTCTACCTTGAATTAATCACAAACGTATCGGGCTACCTGATCAAACAATATAATCCCTCAGAAGCCTTCAGAACGATCAAACCGCCCCCCTTTTCTCAAGCCTCCCCTCGCATTGACACATTCACACAAGCGCTTGAACAGAAGCGTACAGTTGGCGCCCACGAGCAAAGCGGCTGTCCTGTTTTCCGAGTCGCGTTTTCTCACCGAAATCTCCTTGTGGAATTAACCTTGCGCATTCTGTTGCCTTTTATTGCAGTCTCGGAGGCTTCTGGAAAGCAGGGGAAATCAATCAGAACAGGGTCATCTCGTTAGCTGCTTATGAGAAGGTGTGTCGGGATTTTGGATGCTGGAAGACCGCATCAGACCCTGACGCTCAAGTGATTTATGCATTTTCTGGTCCACGTCGTGAGAAGTAAGAGAACAAGTGGCAGAACGAAAAGGCGAACGAACAAACACTCGGACGACGTCTATCGATGCAGCACGCACAACACAGCAATAGTGTATTCAATACTACTTTCCTCAGCTGTTCCAACCGTACAACAGCGTATACAACAAAAAAAGCCTTGCTTGCAAAACCAGCAAGAAAGCGTTTACATACTACAGGAAAGCGTGATATGTATGCGGAAGACCGCGAAAGAGTCCAGCCCTGCGTCTAGTACTTAGTGAACAACAAGCAGCGACGGACTTCGAGAGTTTACAGGCGAACCAAGCGCGTAAGGGGGGTGGGTGTCAAGTGACAGAGAGAGAGAGAGAGAGAGAGAGAGGAGAGAGGTGGCCCAGCCGCGAGGGTAAGTAAGTAGTACTACCACTAGTAGCGTGTAGGGTGCGGCGAAGGGGAAAGGCCTGTTAACAGGCCACATCGGGTCGTCGTCGTCTAAAGTATGAATGAATAGTCCGTATTATGGCTCCATCCATAATCTGATTAAAACCATCCAACCAAGTGTCCGAAAGGAAATCGAGAATTAACAAAAAAAAAAAAAAAAAACAGGCCCAAGAAAGTCAAAAGGCGAGGAATTGTACGAGTCCGAAAAAAAGCAGAGGCAGAAAGGAAGAAAGACTGAGGGTGGCAGAAAGCCTTGTGTTGACAAAAGGAATGGAAGTGAGTCCGTCGCGTGCGATGAGTCCGTTGAGAAAAAGTGAGTGCGTGAAGAGTCGGAGTCGAGAGATGAGAAACAAAGAGAGAGATTTAGAGGAGAACGCTATACGAGTAAATTTACTCGTCGAGTTCGAGTTCCTAGGCGCAAAGTTGAGTATAAACAAGCTCAGTGGAAAAAACCAGGAATAAGGGGACATACGATCTCATACGCACGAGGGTTCCTGCGGAGGAAGCCCCAGGTATCAGAGACGAGGTGGAACAAATCATCATCAGGGTTGTAGAAGCACTTGGACTCTTGACGTGCTCCGCCAGTGTTAACCCACTTGGCTGTAAAGAGGCCAATCATCAGTAACCTACTGGAAGGACAAGACGATTGGACGCACATTCGAACTTCCTGTTGTTCCTGGAGTAATACCAGACCTGGGATTCAGAGTTGGCAGCCCAGGATGAGAAGGCGTTTCCGACGTTCCTGGGGCCTTCGTGGATGTTGGTCTTCCTAGTTCCAGTCAAGACAGCAGAGTTGCCAGAGCCGAGGTTGTTTCCGCTCCATCCGAGGAAGGGGAAGTCTCTCTTGTCCTAAAGTAAGTAGTTCGTTGGATTAGAACTTGAAAATGCGGATTAAAGTGTCCACGTACGTGAATCTTCATGTCGAAAGGAGTGACAGAGTTCTCAAAATCGACCTCAAGAGCCTTGTTCTTGTCCTTGCAGAGACCGAAGCTAAAGATAATAACGCGATTAGGAATTCGAACGACAGTGGAAGTCACCCCAATTTAGATAACTCACCCTCGCTTGTTCTTCTTGCTCCAGTCCTTACCGACATAACCGATAGTTCCTCCGCCCTTCTTGACACACTTGATGCGAACCTTCTTCTTGTCGTCGCAATCACTGAGAAAATATAAAGTGTAAGTGACAAAAATGTGTATATGGACGGACGGAATACACGTACGGCTTGTCGGGCTTGGTCGCGGATGGCTTAGGGGGGCTGGGGTCTTTGGGTTTGCCACCCTTGTCCTTATCCTTGCCCTTGTCGTGGTCCTTGCCCTTGTCCCAAGGATTGCCCGGCTTCTGAGGTGGCTGTCCCCAGCCCCATCCGGGCTGAGGCTGGCCCCATCCACCGTGTCCCCAAGTACGACCTAAAGAATCAAAAAAGCGTCAGGGCGAGTCTCGGAGGATGGCTGACACAGGGGGCATACGTTCAAGCCCGGCAGGCGCCTTAGGGGGAAGCCCGGCAGCCATGCGAGCAGCGTTGGTCTTGAGGGTCACGGTGGGTTCGTGTCGGCGGTTGAGGTGTGGGTTGGCAGCGAGCGAAACTTGGGCAAGAGCCAAGAGGAGGACGGCAAAGATGCCTTTAGTGTAGACCATCATCGTTACGCGATGCAGATAAATGAGTGGCGGGGTGAAAAGAGGGGACTCGAGAGTCAGTCTTTCGTCGGGGACGAACTCGACGGGAGAGGGGGTGGAGGGGGAGAGAGAGGGGATGGGGGAGACTGAATAATCGTTCGGAGGGAATACAAGTATTTGAACATCTTGGTCAAGGCACCACCACCCGCGATACGGCAGAGCCAGTTCCTTTGAAATTTCTCGCGGTGCTAATTGTGCCCCATCAAAGTTTTTGTTGCCGTGTCCATATGATCTTTTCGAGGTCTGATGAGAAAAGTTCTGGCCCGTTGAACCGTTGACGGATTGTGTTGCTGGAGCAACTTCCGTTCGGACGGGTCGGAAGTCGGTGCTTTGAATGTATTGTAACGAGTTGAAAAATTCGAGGATCGCGCTCTCTTTGCCCGGTGCAGAAGGCTGGTTGGTGAATGGCTAAACCCACAACAGCACAAGCGCCGTCCAAAACAAGAAAACAATCCTTTTTTGTTCGCCGCCGTCGGGGGCGTCTTCCACGTGGAAAGTGCCAAGCCTCGATTGATGATTCGATGGGCTACTTCCGGAAGTCGCGCGACGAGAGCATCAGGAGCAGCGATGATTCATGAACGATGGTCCTTTCTAAAACTCTCTCGCTTTCGCCACAGTCATCCGACATCGAGTCCGAACGTACACAAGTTAAGGGTGTGGATACCCAGGGAATAGCACCTCGCCGGAACTGGAGATAGCGACAGTCCCATCGCAATATAAATTCGTCCGGGTAATCATGGATGACGTCCATCAAGCGGGCACTGGGCCGTGCTAGGTCTTCAGTCCCACGAAGAGGAGGCCGGCGAGGGTAGAATGGGTGCATGGAGCCAACCTCCACTACTACATAGATGATTGCAGCGTCGGCTCACATGACCATTAACTAATCTCAGAACCCCTTCCCCTTTCCGACAAACTGTTCGGGCGCTTAAGGCCATCGTAGCAACTGCGTATCACACGGCGAACAAAGTGCTGTCGAATTAAATTTGATGTGACGCTGTCCACCAGGTTGGAGCTAGGTTGGCACTAGGTTGGACATCTGTAGAAAAGTCAATCGATGACCTCTAAGGGAGATGACTCACCTATCGCGATCGTTGAGCCCAGATGGCGACAGAAATGGCCTAGCACTGAGTTGGAGGTCAGCGAGTGGTCGGTCTGGGTACAAAGTGACGTACCGGTGCCGGGTGGTCTGGTGTTCCTCTCCAGGTTACGACGGGTCTCCGTTGCTCCTTGGGAGTGCGCAAGATCCCCGCAGGGTTCGCCAGATCTCCATCGCTCTGTACAGGTGGCTCCGTTCTCCTCAGGCTTCCACAGAGATCCTCAGTTCCAGGAGGAGTACACAGGGAGTAGTCAGGCAGCAGACATCATCCATTAGAGTAAGAGACCGTAAAGTACACGCACACGAACATCTTGAATACGACTGCAAATGGAAAGCAATAGAGACAGAACGTTCAAAGCAGGGAAACACGAGAGTGAAAGCAGCTAATAGCAAAGCAAGGGTAGTGTGAAAGTCTGGGGAAGCAAAGCGCGAAGACGGAGATCTGATACTGGGAGGAAAATAATTCTAGCAGGAAGTCAGGTACATTCGATGCTTAAGCTGATAACCACTTACCTGATGCATGCGATTGTCAATGGACTACTTCTTCTTCGCCTTTACTGGCTTCTTCGCCTTTTCTGCCTTCTTCTTCTTCCTCTTTGGCGCATCCTCCTCCTCGAGCTCCTCTTCCTCATCGTCACCCCCATCTTCCACCACGTCGGTCGCTTTTCTCTTCAACCGAGACCGAGATTGACGCGAAGCATTCACCGAATCGTCGACTGGCTGTTGCTTCTGCCTGGCTGAGCGAGACCTGGAGGGGACAGGTTGCTCGTCGTCTTCGTCGTCACTGTTTAGGTGCTGTGCTGCCGAGCGTGAATTGCTTTTCTTTTTCGGAACTGCGACCTGAATTGATACCAATCAGTAGCAAGAAAGACGGCAAGGGAATTGTAACGCTACCTCGGGTTCATCTTCGGGAAGAAAATCGAGTTCTGAAAGCGGACTGTCAGACCGACCATTTTCCCTGCCCCCAAACACCGCGAGAAGTAAGTCATCGTCATCATCGCAAGCGGTTTCATTGTCCTTTCAGATGGTGAGTCTTGAAGCTTGAAAGCAAGAGTTTAACGACAGATATACACACCTTTCCATCATTAGTACGTCGTCGTCGTGCGAATTGGGCACCGGCTGCATCCTCTTCTTCGTCCTCGGGGAATAGACTCTCCTCCAGGTCGGCGTCATTCTTCTGTTGATCGTCGTTTCGTGGACTCGGTGCTGGTGGTGTGGGTTGCTCTCGAGAAGGAATCGGTGATGTGGCTGCGCGTGGAGACTGCGTAGGGGGCGGATTGGTTTGCCGAGGAGGCTCGCTGACACGTTGCTGAGACGCTGGAGGTGGTGGAGGTGTCGGAGGTGGCGGCGGGTGAGCTTCAGCCTCATCCGCTTGGGCTTGCTCCAACAGCAATGCAACAGGGTCAATTTCCCGTTGCTGGATTGCTCGATTGTTGCCACGACTACCATTCTTGACCTTGTGCAGTCCAGGAACCTGGCTGGATACGCCAGGATACCGAATCAGTCAGAAAAAAGGGTGTACGAATTACTACGCACGTCTGGTACCATTCCAATGTCTCCTTTGCCCACGGGATGTCAAGTGAAAGGACTGCAATAATGTTCTCGTAAAAAAGACGTAGTGAGAACTGGTTGTCGAGTTCGCTCCAACTACTGAGGGATGAGAGATGAAGGTAACACTGAGTGGCGGCGTAGGCGATATGCTGAGTTTCGACTCTGTCAACCTTGTGAAGTTGGGCCTTGCTCGACTTTGCATTCTTGTCGGGGTCGGTCTGGAACGCGGTCGAAGGGCCGGTAAGGATATGATTTAGAGTCTTGTAGATGTCAGCAATAATAGACAGAATGACGAAGAGAGTACAACGCACCCGGACAATCAAATGCCCACGGAAGAGACCAGAAAATGTTCGCTTACGATCGTACTTGGTACCTTCGGGATAACAAAAACGTGGCCATATCTCTTCAGTGATTGTGATTTTACCCTCCTTAAATTTATTGCGGAATCTCCTGCATAATCTTGTCAGAGACCACCGTAGAAGTTGTAGAAAGAAGGAGCGACGCACGCGGGATTTTTTTGCCATTCATCAAAGAGTTCAAGCGGGACCAAAAGGCCCCCAGTCACGTCATGGTTGTAGCCACGCATCGCCTTCGAGCTTCCTTTCACAATCGGTGGGTTCACATGATCGATGTTGGGGTCAAGAGGGATATAGGCAATGATATCAGACTTCAGACTCTTGCTATCGTCGTTCCTGCCACTGTTTGCCTGGTCTCGGCATCTAGAATGTGAATGTCTCAGCAGTGGCAAGAATTTCAAGAAGTCTGATTCACGCACCTCGTCAAGGAAGAACTCGAGCAAGTCGGGGTCATCAGCATGAATGGCCTTCAACGTCTTCGGAAACTTGGGTAGCATCGTCAGAAATTCTGTACATGCAACTTCCGATTGCTTCTTGCGTTCCCTATATGTCGATTAGAATTTAGAGCTTGATCTTTCTGACCAATCGGTAGAACTTACTTTTCTGCTCGCTGAAGCCGCTTCACGACCGCTGGATCAATGCTATTGACACCGTTCTCGAGAGGCTGTGATTCCTCCGAGATCTCCTGTGATTCCTGAGGAGCGGCCGTAAGCTCGAGACCCAATCGAGCATATATGGGCTCATGGAACTCGAAAAAAAGATGCACGCCAATCTTAATCCATCTCGCCTTTTTCATATAAAGGCTCAGAATCTTCTCACTATAAGATATAAGCAAAGGAAACACGCGAAAGAAAGGAAGAAAACACTACACACTGTGGAATAACCTTTTTCCTCTGCTTTTTGGCCTTCAGCGCCTTTACAAGGCCCTTTATATGTTGCTTGAACTTGTCTTTTCCATTCTCATTGTCAGCGCTAGGCATCGCGGGCTACGGAAATCTTGGGAGACGATAACGGCAATGTGGGTGCAGCAGAAAAAGAGTTTGATGGCGACGCGACATGTGTCGCGTCCAAACTCCGCGCTTGTCGCGTCCAAACTCCGACCGATTCAGGTTCGACACGGTTCAAATCCCAGTTAGCAAAGGGCCATTCTAAGAGGTATAGATTGTCAAATGTGCAGTATAAATCAGAACCGAAATGTAATAGCTCAGAAAACTTACTGAGCGTTGTACCACATGAACAGTCCGGGAAATCTGGGACTGGGGACCGGGGTAACCGTGACTGACAGCTAGTATGTTGCATCGAAGCTTTGTGTGTAACTCTAATCCCAATTAGGGATGCTTGGGAGGCATTCTCTGGCGCATCGGTTTCCCTTGTTGTCGCCTCCCCACCACCATGGTTCTCCACTGCAAATTCTGCAGTAAAAAATACCCTACTCAGAAACAGGTCAAGTCGCACCAGTGGCAATGTAGGAACAACCCAGGACGCAAGAAGAGTATTCCCGGGAAAAGGAAATGGCGCGGAGAACAAAAGACAACACCAGGCCTCCGAGATTCTGGCTTACCCAACGATGGACTGGAGAGCGATTTTGAGATGGAGGATCTTTCCGATGGGGATGATAGTCCAAGAGACGCCAGCATGAGAGGGAGTGAGCCAGAGGATGCAGGGATAGAGATTGCGCAAGCTGACAATGTGGAGAATTCTAACGTACGAAATCATACATGCTTTTAGAGTCTAAAATTAATATTATTTCCGTAGCTTGATGACGAAAACTTCGATTTTGGCGACACGAGGTCCGCCCATTCCCTGTCTCAGGCGCCGTTTGCAGCTGGGGCGTCTCGTGGTCCGACTCGGATAGGCGCCGATGAGCCAATGGCGCCTGCCCCTGGCGCTCTCATCTCCCGTGCACCATCCCCAGCTCCAGAGTTATCGAGTCAGACTTCTGATAGCAGTCACTCAGGCGGCACCAATGACGGGGGATACTACACAGAACCCAATTGCTACAAGATCTTCCGGTACTACCCTCACGGAAAACCCTCCTATATCCCCGATCAATTTGTAACCCTCAACGACATTGCGGATGCACCTACATTCGCTTCATCACATCGCGTTCCACCCCCTCAGCCATCGTCGTCAGCCTCTACCACATCAGACTCTACCCTATTTCCAAACGAGACCACCCACATGATGATGAACTGGTTTATTGAGGGCGGATCAGGCCAGCTCTCGATTGGGCGCTTTGAATCGCTCATTGGTGTCATGCAACAGCCCGAATTTCAATCTCGATGACGCGAGGGCTATCCAGGTCAAGACAGAGCTTCGTCGAATAGATAAATTCCGAAGCGGACCTGCCTCCTTAATTCCTGCACCTGATCCATGGCTGGAGGGATCCACGACATTCCGCATGGCTGCTTCTGGTGTCCGCCATCCTTCAGAGGAGGATGCACCCACATTCACCATTGATGACATATGTTACCGCCCAATACTCGAAAGTCGTCAAGTCGGCCCTCCAGGAGCCCGCTGCGGAGAGGTTCCACCTTTTCCCGTACCGAGAATTCTTGCTCAAACACGGCACATTCCCCCCAACATCTCCTCACCAGACTGACGAGCTCTTTTCGGAGCTCTACACCTCACCAGCCTTTCACGATGAACATCAAAAACTAGTAGACTCTACACCGCCAGGGGAGCTTGAGCCTGTGGTCATTGCCATTGCCCTCTATTCTGATGGAACCCATTTAACCAGCTTCGGCAGTGCGACACTCTGGCCGATTTATCTCTACATTGGGAACCAGTCGAAATACGAGAGGGCAAAACCATCATCATTCTCCGCCCATCATCTCGCGTATATCCCGGAACTTGACAAGACATACGAAAAGGCTTTTTTCGAAGCCTTTGGGAAGCTCCCTATTGCAGAGGAGATGACACATGCTCGTCGGGAGTTCATTCAGGCAATCTGGCTATTCCTACTCAACCCTGACTTTATGGTGGCTTACGAGCATGGTGTTGAGTGGGAGTTTGCTGATGGCGTTGTCCGTCGGTGGTTTCTAGGGATGGTCAAGGGGTTTTAAAACCCCCGGGGTAGAGGCCAAGGGTAGAGCGGGGGTAGGGGTAAGGGTAGGTCTCCGGCTACCCTTGGCCAAACCCCTACCCCCAGTCGGGGGTAAGGGTTTTGATAAAAATCAATCAAAACCCATTTATTTCAGCATCTATGTATATTTTCTACTAAATAACTGCTGTATGCGCAATAAAACACATAAAAATATACATATAGACAACTGTAAGTGATTGTTAGTGCCAAAATGATTAAAACCCTTGGTCAAAACCCCCAGGGTTGGGGGTAAGGGTACTACCCCCTACCCCTCAGTCAGGGGTAGGGGTTTTGGGGGGTGGGGGTAAGGGTAGGTGTCCGGCTACCCAGGGGTTACCCCTGTCCTTCCTTAGTGGTTTCCACGTTTCTTCACGCATTCTATGGACTATAAAGAAAAGTGAGTGGTTTCTGATCTGAGAAGTGCATCAATGCTCACAATATGGTGTTAGAGTACTACACATGTGCATTAAAACCCTGCACGGTGTCCATGTCCTCAGTGCCTTGTTCTAAAAACGGATGGTCCCAAGCTTGGAACAAAATCGGATTACAAGACCCGGGATGAAAACCCTCGCGTTGATACACATGCTCGCCGGGTTACAGTGGAAAATGCAAGGAAGAAGATGTATGTGAAAGGGATTCCGATAACAAGTACCTATGTGCAGGAGAGCCTCTCGAAGACTTCACTGACTCCTACCCGAGTACGTCTCCCAGCTACTCAGAAGGATCAAAGGTCTAATATCAAATTAGAATGCATTTTCAACTCGGCTTCACGAATTTGGTTTTAATTTCTATTCGATGGCCGTTCCGGACCTCCTCCACGAGTTTGAACTAGGTGTTGGCAAGGAGATATTCATACACCTTATCCGTATTTTGAACGCGTATGACCCTGCCAAGCTGCAGCAATTAAATGACAAGTAAGGTGCCGCATTTTGTTTACGAGACTCCGAATGCTAACCAGTGGTAAAGCTATCGTGCTGTTCCAACTTATGGCCGCAACACTATCCGTCGGTTTCCAAAACGTGTTTCAGATATGAGGAAGCTAGCTGGGCGCGACTATGAGGACATTATCCAGGTTCGTTCCTCCTGTCCCATCTGCTTTAATGCCCTTATACATCGGTCTCCAGTGTGCAGTTGCCTGTTTCGACGGCCTTCTTCCCAAAAAGCACAATACTGTGGTGCTGGACCTTCTATTCGAGCTTGCTACATGGCATGGGTTAGCCAAGTTACGTCTTCACACATCCACTACCCTTAATGCCCTGGAGACCTCCACTACCCGACTCGGGCAGAGAATCCGCCGGTTTATTTCTGTTACTTGCAGTGCATTTGACACCCGGGCCCTTCCAAAAGAGATCCTCGCAAAGGCAAAACGACGAGCCAAGGCTGTGGAGAGGAAGGGAAAGGGAAAGGCAGCTACTACACCGAAGAATTCAGGGCCTAAAAAGCACCACTTTCAATCCATATACATACAAACTACACTCACTCACACATTATGTTACAGCAATTAGGGAGGTATGGCACCACTGATGGATACTCAACGCAGACGGTATGTTGCCATATAACTCTCTCTCATTATTTATTCTGACCGGGTTCCAGGGCGAGTGCGAGCACCGGCGTGTAAAAAAGCTGTATGAAAAGTCCGATCGCCGTGATTACACGCAAGGGATTGCCAAGCTCCAGCGACGCGAGCGTATTATGCACCAGTTCAGAGCATCTAGAAAGAAGGGTCAAGCCATGAAGACGAAAGGCGAGCCGCTGAAAGGTGTTAGGGCATCAGTCGACTTCGATATAGATGAACCCTTACCCGATGGCGCTCCCGATCTCCCCTACCAGATGTCGCATGAAACCAAACGCGCGTGCCAGTTGTACTTTCCCCAATGGAAGCGGGACAATCCGAATGACCCAGCCCTTGAGGGTAAGTCATCCCTGTGTTCGCAAAATGTCGCTTTGTCTGATTCATTTAGCGTAGACTTTCTATCGGGATCTACTCACGCACCTGCGTTTGCGCCTCATGGGCCTCCCTTATGACGGTGACGATGAACACCAGTTCACCGATGAGGAGCTCGCCCAGGTCATTATTGTTGATGACATGCTCTTCCGCCACAAGGTCCTTCGAATCAATTACACAACATATGATATGCGACGAGATCAAGACTCACTAAATTCCGGACGACACGCTGACATCATGGTCCTTGCCCACGAGAATTCGGACACTTCATACTGGTTTGCCCGGATTTTGGGTACATTCCATGTTCGAGTGCTGTACACTGGACCTGGTGCACCACCAGGGCCTGCACGAGAGCGCACCATGGATTTTGTATGGGTACGATGGCTGGCCAAGGCAGCTGACTACGAGGGAGGGTGGGCGAAGAAGAGGCTTCCCCGAGTAGGTTTCATCAACCCCAAGAAAGACGACTCACCTGCGTTCGGCTTCCTGGACCCCAAGCACATCATCCGAGGAGTGCATCTCATTCCTGTTTTTGGAAAGGGAAGGTCAAGCAACGGAATGCGGAATACCATTGCGAGGCCCGAGACCGACAATGGGACTGACTGGAACTATTTTCATGTCAACATGTAAGTGACATCATCATTCAGAGAGCACAACACTAAAAGAATGTACAGATTTGTTGATAGGGACATGATAATGAGGTTCCGGGGGGATGGGGTAGGCCATATTGCAACCCACGATGCAACGAAGGCACTGCTGAGGGACCGTGATGCGCTCGACATCCCCCCAGACCCCGGCACAGAGTCTAGTGGTAGTAGTCAGGGCATGGAAACAGGGAGCCCGGAAGAGGATGAAGAGATGGATGCTGGAGAGGATGAGGATGACAATGAAGAAGGCGATGATGGCGAAAACGAAGACGACGATGGCGAAGACGACGATGAGGATGAGAGCGAAGATGATGATGAGGATGAGAGTGAAGACGACGATGGTGATGACGACGACAGTGAGACCAGTGATGGTGACGGTGGCGACAGCGGGGAAAGCGACCATGGCGATGACACAGGACAGGAATCTGGAACAGACGAGGGATCTTGGGATGGCGATGACGACGATAGGTTTATTGATCCAGATGACCTCGGGGCTGAGGACGGTGAGGACAGAGGTGATTTACTTGACGAGTTGGATTATGCGCCCCTTTGACTTGTGATACACGCGCTAGAATCAAACCAGTGAGCAATCGCGGATTAGGGATAGCCAAGAAGAGACAACACAACATACTCACAAAAAGAAAGTCATGAATATCTGGGCGGAATGTTTCCCATCCCTAAAACAGGCCTTCCATCTAGGTGAGGCCGTCTTATGGCTACACCCTCCCGGCCTGATTCAGCTCAGGCATTCCGGTTTCGAATGGAGTGAACTGGAGATGGTGTGGGATGTGCTTCTGGGATCCCCGGCGCGCGCGTCGCCCGAAACATCCTGGTACAAGCACTCCAGCGTTGGCTTCGAATGAACTAGAGACGGTACTGAAGCGTGAGAGGGGAGAGGTGCAACGAGAATGGCCACTAGGGGCTTGCAGCGACGGGTCCCCCGCCCCCTCGAGCGCTACAGCGTCTGGACCTGTCAAGGGGTCTAGTGGCCGGGCGCCACCAGACTGGAACCGTGAATGAGACTGAGACACCTGAATGTCTCCAGTTCAGCGATGGCGAGAGCAGAGTGGGACCGTACGTACCTTGAGAACGACAACGAGGTTGCAGTCAAGGTCGTACCGCAATCTCAACGACGTGGCCGCGGGAAGGTCCGACCCATCTGATCGGAATCCGGAACGAGCGATGCCGGAAGGTCTTTGGAACGGAATACTCAAGGCTGCTGGTATGTCCCAATCTCAGACTTGAACCATCGTGATTTCAACCAGATATCGATACAGTATTTATGACATTGCTGCGACCTGAGCCACCGTGTACGAGTACACGAAATCTCTGAATGACTTTTCTACTGATGGAACTCACCTGCACCCAGCTGTCACCTTCGATTACACAAAGAACATATGAGGGGCTGTGTGCGCATGGCAGCAATGAGGACGGGGTCTCTTTCAATTTCGGCCTCTAAGTACGGACGGCCGGGGGTTTGGCTGCGTAGGATCACCGTCCACTCGTGGCAGCCAGGCATCATCAGATGATGGTGATTCAAATCTCATTGAGGGGTATCCAGCCCTTTTCCGCCTATCCAGAATTTGAAACCCAGTCTTAGACGCAGTTACAGTTAGATGAGCTGACGTTCAGCTTTGAAAACGGTTGCGGACCTTCAACATTTCCATCTCAGCGGACTTGAAGAGAATTCTGGTAGAACACCTTAATAACAAAATTTCCCTTTGTCATCGCGACAAAGGCAAAGTTGAGAGACTCAAACATCTACTGCATTTCTGGATTTTGTGTACTTTACGAGGTTTATTGGTAATTGATAGTATTATTGCACTGTAACCCACCACCCGAATATCTGAAGGACTTGCAAGTCTTTTTTGCCCTGCGAAAAATATGATAGATCGAGGTCGGTGAAACGTAGAGGGGTTTCAATCCCCCCGCTGGCCGGTGCTTGTTCTCGGTGACGCCAGCCCGAATCCTTACCTGGCCAGTGGGTATAGTCCGGCTCACGGCCTTCTTTCTGCCTCGCGTTTGCCACGCGCTGCCATAGCCCTCGAGTGCCCCTTTGTTTCTGAACGGAAAGGTACTCACAATGCTGGCTCCAGGTTGGCTCCAACCTAGTTCCGACCTAGTTCCAGTTCAGACGACTGCGTCACCCACGATCAAATTCGACAGGACTTTGTTCGCCGTGTCATGCTGCGCTGACAAAGCAATGGGATAACATTTCAACAGTTTCGATGGGATGATGCTGAGAATTTGAAGTATCTTTGTTCCGTCGATCTCGACGACCAATTGCGAGGCAACAGAGATAGGATGCTACATATTTTCACATTGAGCAGCAGTACCTGGGCTCCCTCCCCCGCCTCGTACCTGGTACTGAAGATACAATCGAACAAGCCGTAGTCAGCTCCCTATTGTATAGCTGAATCGCGATGGTCTTTGCATCGAACGAAGTATCATTTGGGTTCACGACTACACATGATTGGTATCAATTGTACAGACGCTTCCTTCCCGATCGTGAACTATCCTTTGAGAGATATTATGCTTACTTAAAGACTACCTCTCCCTACGAGAAACGACATCCGTTCTGGGGGAAGGCGGCGTTGAAAGTGATACTTTGGGCTCCCTACGGGATCTGGGCTCGATTCTTAGCCATGGAAGCCCCAAGTCATACTATATGGCTGAAAATTGGTAGAATGGATGCACCTTTTTATTAGTGCATGCCACATCTTCAGCAGGAACACATGAACGTTGGGCAAACTCAGAAAGCCCCCTGCCATTAAGCGCCCGCCCTCCCTAAAAGGCAAACCCCTAACTCGGCCGTCTCCGGCACTTTTCGCACGCGGTCCAAAAATCACATTCGGCATCACTCGTCCTTTCAACCCATCGTCATCGACCAGTCACCAGAACGCAAAACCAGCAACAACAACTTCCAAGAATATGTTGCTCGCCATCCCCTTCATCTCAAACTACTCCTTCTGGACTCAACTATGGATCCTAACCTCCCTCTTCATCCTCAGCTACACCCACAGAACACCCCGGCTCGTCATCGCAACCGTCACCTCCGCCTATCTCGCCTGGCAAATCGTCGTACCACTCGTTCGTTGGTTCACAATCGCGTTCAAGGCTGTCGCCTGGTTCGGATTCTACCTCCATTTCTTCTGGATAGCTGTCACGATGGCGTGTAATGCTGTCTTTTGGGTCCTTGAAGAGGCTTTACCCAGGATGCTACGGGAAATGGAGGCTGCTGCACAAAATTAACTGGGTACCGTGAGTTGGCCACAGATTATCTTATGCAGTCGGTAGCTGACCTGTCTCCAAGTTTCTTGGAGGAGTGAAGCACGATCGAATATCTGCGGCACGAAGTTGGTCCCTCGAACCTATGCCAAAGCACCCAAGACTTTGAAGTGTTCAGCGGGTTCGCCGCGGTTTTGCTGCAATTGCGTCGACAAACAGCCATCGCCGAATGCACAGCATCTTGGAATCTTGCCAATTGCGCGGGCAGAACGACTAGTCGTAGAAATTACGGCTGCCCGCGAAAACCGACGTATGGAGCCCTCAAGAACGCGAGGAACGACCCTTTCTATCCCAACGCGTCTAACCATCGTGGCCACGCACCCATTCGCCCTACCAATGCCATGTACATCGTACCCCTCGACTCGACTTCGCGTAACACCCCAAGTTCGACGAATATTCACGCTGGGAATCTCCTCTACCCTGGTCCTTCCCAGTCAAGACCCCGGTCCGGCGACCTGCGTACTTCTGTATCCAAAGATAGAACCACGGAAACCCCAGAGGTGGAGGGTATGATTAGGGTATAGCATGAAACGGGGCTGGATCTCGAAGGCAGACTAGGGAAAACCCATCCCAACATATAAACTACGCTAACTGGAAAAAAATATAAACACAACCATGGGGGTTGGTCTAACGCGATTCAGATTTCATATCCTCGTGTTCCCCCCGAATTTTGAGGATATCCGCCCTGGAAAGGTTGGCTTCATCGCAAAGCGCTCGGAAGATAGAACCTTCCTTGTCATAGAGGTTCAGGACAGTGTCGAACTCGGCAACCCTGCCTTCGTCCATGACAAGGATGCGGTCGTAGTAGGCTGAGTTTGTTCGGGTTATCAGGTAACCAAATCCAGGAGTGAAGAACGACATCATACCGATCGTGTTCAGCCTGTGTGCAATGCAGAGGAGGGTCGAGGAGGCAAACTCCCTCTGAATCGTCTGTTGCAGCTTGGAATCGGTTTCGACGTCCACACTGCTCGTTGCTTCGTCCTATTCCGTCTTTCAAAAAACTTGAACCCAACCAAGACGTTCAATCTTACCAGAATGATGATACGGCTATTTCGGACGAGAGCCCTACAGAGTGCAATTAGTTGCTTTTCACCTGCGCTCATGTTGGATCCTGTAGACGAAGAGTGTTAACGGTGGCGGGGAACCACATAGTAAATCGCCATGCTTACCTTCGTTCCCGACAACAGCATCTAGACTGAATTTGGCTTCAGCGACAGGATCTGAAACACCGTCCGGAGGGAGTAGCGACGCTCGTTGAAGGACTGAGATGAGCTCTGCATCAGTCCGTTGACCGTGGGGATCCCTGTCGAAAATGTTAAATGCGAATTATCAAAACCCATTTTTGTTCACTCACAGGTTTTCACGCAATGTTCCCAAGAATAGCGTACAATCCTGAGGGACGAGAGCCAAGCGCGTTCGCAGAGTTTCCAAGCCAATGGTGCTGATGTCGACGCCGTCGATCTCAATTTTGCCTCCAGAGAGCTCTACAGTTCTGAACAAGGCATGTAGAAGCGAGCTCTTGCCTGGAATGCCAGTCAGTCCCAATTCTTCACGGAGAAAGTGCATGAACTCACCGGCACCTGTACGACCCACTACCCCGACCTTGGAAATGTCAGCCGCCTGAATAGCGCAGGTAGATAAAACATACCTTTTCTTGTGGATTCACTTTCAAGGAGACGTCCTTTAAGACTAAAGGAAGTCCCTCCCTGTAAGCCATCTGCACCTTTTCGAACTTGATTTCCCCGTTCTGCGGCCACGAAGTCGGTGGGTCGTTCTCGGTTGTCAAAGCAGCCTCCGGAGGGAGGTCAGCGTAATGCATAAGGCGTTCAGCCGAATTCATGTTCTGCTCGTTTTGAGCAAACTGGGAAACCATCTCCGCTGGGACAAGAGTAAGGTGTCAATAGATCAATAGAGCCCAACTTTAAGCTCACCGAAGATAGTGGTCAGCGCCAACGTGTTGGAAAGAACGACTCCAACCATAGCAGGATTCACAGTCTTCCGGAATCCAGAACCAAACAGGCCGATACCAAGGACGAGAAGATTGGCAAAGACGTCCAACCGAATTGCCAGCCATCGTTGAGTAGAGATGGTCATGTAGTAGGCTCTGTTTTGAAGGTCGTTGCCGTGGTCCACCCTTCGAGTGGCCGTTTCCTGTTCGCCATGGTCGACATCCCGTTAGCTTCCTATCCTCGAAAAGGATTGGTCAACACTTACTCCCATAGCGTAGGCACGGATTGTCGACAACCCAGTTAACGACTCTGTTCGAATGATATTAATCGCCACTTCCCATGAAACGACCGCAGCACGTACCCGAAATAGCAGCATACAAGGTGGATCGGAGTATCGCTTCGAGGCGTTTCGTTTCAATGGAGGTGCGACGATAATAGGAGAACATGACATAGTAGAACACCCCGATTGGAGCGAAGCTGATCCCGAGGTAGGGGAAGGTGTAGAAAACCAGCCCTACCACTCCGAACATACTTGCAAAGATGAGGAAGAACTGTAAAGATCGTCAGTTTCAAGAATGGCGGAGGCTCCCAAATTGGTATCTTACACTGTACATCGTAGGTGACAGCTCGTTATCAAGGATATTCTGGTCCTTCGACAACCTGGAAACGATGCGGCCTGCAGAGATGGTCAGTCTTGGAACTCCTGAAAATGGTGCATTCTAACCCATAGGAGTAGTGTCAAAGAACGAGAGTGGTGAGCGCAGGATGGCCCTTAACGCAGCCTTGAAAAGCTTCAGTCCTGCTCGCAGCGAGATCAACCTGGATGGCAGCGTAAACGAGGCGTTCAAAATCATTAGGGTTGGGTGCTTACGCGAAGGCAAAGCTGAGACAGAAGGTCAAAATCGCTTGGGCGGCACCTGTTGTGTGGTGAGGAGAGCAACGTGAACTGTATGTTTAACCTCACTCACCGAATGCAGCATATACCGCCATATAGTCCCCTTGACTGAGGCTAGGGAACTCCAGGGACGTCCAGAACCCGAGCCATAAATTGTCTCCAACTGCGATTCAGGTTAGATGGAGGACCGTAGGACGAGAAACGAAACTCGCGCACCCGCAGCAGCTTGATTTAAAATCAAGATGGATAACAAAATGAATAGCCAAATCATCCCTCCAGCATACCATAGGTATCGCTTGTAGACATCCCAGCTGACAGCGCCAATGTTTCGTTCTTCTGCTTGCATGAGCGCCTCCTTGGCTACTTCGGGAAGGTCGTCCTTGATTTGAACTGAAGTCAATTCCGCTCGTTCGTTCAAGTTCGAACCTGTGGAAGTGAATGCGGATTTCTGTCCATATTCTTCGACCAGTCGCGAGAAAACCGGCCCATTAGCAACAAGTTCCTACACAATGACAGCGTCGTCAGCATAGCCTTTCGATATCGCCACAATGAAGGCTAACCGTATATGTCCCCTGCTCAATTACGGTTCCGTTATCTAGCACGTAGATGTAGTCTAGTTTGTCCAAGACTTGAAGCGAGTGAGTGACGAGGATACGGGTTCGTTCGGCAAGCGGGCCCTTCAAAATGCAGTTCTCAAGGATTGAATTTCCGACATGGGCGTCCACTGCAGATAGCGGATCATCAAGCAAGACAATATCCGATTGAGAATAGGCCGCTCGGGCGAGCGATATACGGGCCTATTGTGAGACGTTCGTCAGCAAAAGCTGGATATACCCCGCGACACACGGATGAATAGAACAAACCTTCTGTCCTCCTGTATAAGCAAACGCATGAAACACAGACTTGGATCGATTGGATAGAGAACGTACCACTCAGGTTAATTCCTTTCTCCCCGATCTCGGTCAATTCTCTATGAGGGAGCACTGCCAGGTCATGTGTCAAGCTACAGGCCTTGATCATCTCTTGAAACCTCGTTTCGTTGTCGGGTTGGCCGAAGATGACGTTCTCCCGTACGGTTGCGTTTTGAATCCAAGGTATCTGGGGCACGTAGGCAACGGTACCTCCAACAACAACCTGGCCACAGCCGCCGTTAGTCAACGGTGTCGACCCATCGAGATGCTCGGCATACATCACCCCGTGTCTTGCGCATCTCACCGATGATAGCCTGCAGAACGGAACTCTGGGAATTGCTTAGCGACAAAGTTTCGCATTGGGAGTTGAGCATCGACGCGTACCTTTCCGCTACCAATTCGACCAACAATACCAACTAGTCCACCCCTTGGGAATGTCAACTTCAGATTTTTCAGTTCGAAGGGCTTCTCTTCTTCGGTCATGGTGCGGTGCTTTCTGTCCCGTCGTTTCGTGAGGTCTCCTTGAGTTCCACGTCGCCTGTTGACAGAGGGAGCTCTGATTTGGATCCTTTCTTGTTTTTCTTTTTCCTCTCTTTGGTGCTGAGTTCCTGACCGGTAGGTTTCTCCTTGCCTTCGTCGGATTTCTCTTCCCCATTGTCCTTAAGCGACGGAGCAACCTCCCAAGTGAAATCGGCGTCAACACTGACCGCATACTTTGAGTCTGCATCGAAGGTATAAGGATCCTCGAGGTCGGGTGACACCAGCAGCTTGCCAATTCGGGGTAGTGTAACCATGGCCTCCGCGAGCATGCTCAGCGAGAGGGGAAGCAATAGAAGAGGAAGTTTTATCAACTAGAATATTGGTTAGCTATGCGGTTCCGCTTAGAGTCGGTTTCGACTTGCGTTGAAAAGCTGCAACGCGGTGAAGACCGTCGCAACGGTAAGTTCATGGCCCGTAAGAGCATATGTAATCTATTATGGGGTTGGACAGTTAGCCGGATTCAAGAGGTGTGAGGGACCGCGACATACGAAGGAAAGGATGGTTGCCACCACGGGTACAAAAGAAAATACCGAGAAGAGAAGCGATGCTGCGATGCTGTGAGCCGGATAGGTGAACAGCCAGTCGGACATTTTGGAAAAGAAACCTACGAGACGTTCCGAATCCTGTAAAGTTCTTGCTCTCGAAGCCTGCCGATTTGTTGGATATAGAAAGATTCCCATCCGTAGAATTTAATCAGCCGAATTCCATGGAGGACCTGTAGTAGCGAATGAGTGATCTAATAGACATCTCCAGACAAAGAGTTTTGATTAACCTCGTTGGTCAGTAGCACGCGTTTGTCCGTGATCTTGATTCCTTTGTTCCGTTGAGCGAACATAATCTGGACGAGAAGGCCTTGGATCGGGAACCCGATGATGATGACCTTGGATACGTGATCTGTCAGGTTTTCGAATGGTGAACAAGCCATTTAAATATCTTACTCCAAGCCCGACCAGCGCTGAATATCCAAGCTAAGGCACCAGTTATAGTGATCAGTGCACGGTGCCGTCGGTCATTTGTGCAGCAAACTTACAGTGCCAATCAACAGACCAAAGCCGAGGATGAGCTAAACGGTGGGCGACTCATTAATCGACGGGACAGGGAAGCGTAAAGGTAAACCTGCCTGGATTGGGGCTATCCACAGCCTGTTTTGTGACGAGTTCAGCACAGGCCCGGAGAGAAGCAAAGGGGAATACGCACTGATGTGCTGCGAACGCCACGAACATGTCCAAATTGGTCGCATCCGTGGATACCATTGTGATGACCTGACCAACGCTGTGGTCCTGTCTCGCGCGACCAGACATTCGCAAAGCTTTGCGAAACACCATACCGGTAATCTAAGGCCAGGCTCAAGCAGGTCGCTGTTATTCTGAAACGAGATATGCTTACCCCCGCACGAACGGATTGACCAAGCGTCATCGTCACTAATCCGTGACCTGGTCAGTGCACGAAACATCAGATGAAATTCGAAGCCTTACTTTGAACACTGTAATTGACGGTCTGCCGCATGGAGGTTAGTGACAATCATTGCCAGGCTTAGGTCATCTCACCAAGCTCGCGATTTCTGCCAGTTATGCGTCAGTCATGCGTATATGAGCGGCATACAAGGAAAATACCTACGTTGCATTGCGAAAATGGCAAAGGCTAGACCAATACCATATCCTATACCCTTTGGCGCTGGTACACCGTCGGGAAGGTTTTCTTCTCCGCCTGACTGATGTACGAAGTATGCCTCGGTGAGCCATTTCAGAAACACCTGGCTAACGAGCGGGGTAGTCGTTCGCAATGTGTCTGGGAAGAATCAGATGTCAGACAGACTTATGAAAGCCGGAACCATGTGCTCCATACCTGATATCAGGTTCAAAACGCCCGCCACCCAGAAAGGTAGAGCAATCGTTTGATGAAATGCCTTGAACAGAGACTCGTCAAACTGTGAGTTTTCTTTGTCTGCCGGGACATTAGGCACTGCCTCTGGAGCGGAACTATCTTGGCTAGGTGCATTCTCTTCGTCCAAAGAAGGCTTTAAGTGTTTCGGGCGCTTCGATGGGTCGCATCGCCTATAGAAATTAGCCTCAACGCGCTCGGTGATGTCCTGTGTCAGATGCGACGCTGGGAGTGACCACAGGTCTATTCGAGGATAACTTTAGTTCCCTGCCAATGCGCTATTCAATAACAGTGGGAACTTGCCTTCCTTCTCCAAAGGCCTAGAGTAGCCGACCGACAAGAAAGAGCCAACCCAGTTGAGAGTGATTCGCGACGGCCAACTGCCAGCGCGACAACAACTGGCCGTGAGTAGAGCACCAAGAAGGCTGTAGGCAATAATACTCACGACGCCGTCGCTTCAGGTATGAGCTGTCCATTGGCAAAACCAGGCGGCGCAGGCCTCCTCTTGAAAAACGAACCAAAAGGCATCGTTTGAGTGAGAAAAGCGAACAAAGCCTGAAAGGGCCCTGCCTCACATATATATTTTACGCGTCGCGTTCTTTATTATGGCATCGCGCAGTCGGCGCGTGAGTCACTGGGAAGTGCTTGGCCAATACAAACTCACGGAACCGAGCTCTGATAGAAATCGTGACGACGGGCGCGCTGCCCAGATTTCCCACTAGGCGGGTTTGAGCGACCAAGTGCGTCGACATCGTGGTTCAAAACAAAGAGCAGCCGACGCCCGACGCGTCGGCGCGTCGCGCCTCCTCATTTGAGCGGAGATTCAATGCTACCATCAATGCGCCAGCTTTCGGCACCTCTGTATTCCGTTAGGCGCTCGATGGCACGTCCCCAGCGCACTGATTTGGACTCGGAGACTCGGGCTTCTTCCTATGCAATAGTATGCGGGGCTGCAATGGATGGGTAAGAAATGTATGCATCACTGAACGGATCCTACTGGCTGGCAATAGCCGTGGTTATCGGACGAAGGTCATTGAAAACCTTGATTCAGAGTGCCTGGGGCGCAGTTTGGACGAAGGGAAGTCACAGCAGTCTTCAGCCTCAGAGCTGTGGCAGATTAAAGTGACAATTTCAGCGTCCTCAGGACCTTTCAGCTGAGGCGGAGCTACCCTGTGAGCTGTGGCGATCGTAATGAGTTTAAGCACGCTCTCCCGTACCGCTTTTAACGGGAGGTCGACGTCACCGTATGTGGCGCCACATGCCTCTCAGGTGGAAGTGCCCCAGAAACTTGTTTATATGACCTTTTCAAGCGATGCATTTAGCCTTGAGAATGAAAGAAGATCAGACAGAAGGTGCGTAAGCCTTCATTTCGTCCCCGGGACTATCTAACGCGATCTCAGGGCGCTGAGACGCTCCGATCGCACTGGTTCTCCCGGTCACTTGCTTCCCGGCCAGGGGATCTGTGGGTACATCATATCATGAGTTTAATTCTCCAGAGCATCTGATAGAAAAAAAGGGTGAGTATCTGGCACTTAGGCTCCATCGATGCTTGTAAACCGATGTAGCAATACGCTTAAGTGACCGGCTGATTGAACTTCTAATGACATCGAGTGGCAGTGGGGACTTGCATCTTCTCGTTTCAGTAATCGGATATCCGGGCGCGTGCCCACATCCTTTGGCCTTACGGGGCTGCGGAGACTGCGGGCTATCTCGAATCAAGTCTCAATATTAAGCCTTTTAGCTCGTTCTTATTGACCTGCCTTACAAGACACTCTGTCTGAGTGGTCTAACATAGGGATCAATTTCGACATCGGTGCGAAGCGAAAAATAACAGGGTTTTTCCATTCCTTCAACAGTCCCTGCACCCACATCGACTTGCAAGCGGAGAGGATCCCAAAAGGGTAAAACTCCCTCTCGAAAGGGCCTAACGTGATAGCAACCATCCCGCCGGGCTGATGACCGAGGCTGACCACGACTCGGACATCTGTGAATGACTCCAGCCATCCAAGCGGTAAAGGAATGTAACACAAAGCCTCACAAACCCGATAGCCGCGCATGATATTGCCTAGACGCTAAGGGTCAAGCGCAAGGCTACAAGCCGGGCCTGATATCAATTTCGTAACTGACGTCTCCAATCGCCAGTATGCCTTGTACTCAAATTTGATTCCGGTGTTGGGAGTAATCATATCGATATCTCCATTTCAATCTGCAGCGGGGCAGAGAGACCTGCATGGGGTTCGCACCACCCATGCAAACGGACTGCCAGTGAGGTTAGCTGGCCTTTCAACAGAAGGTTTCAGCTTCACGTTGGTTTCACCGTTGCGATCTATTTCCGGTGTCCATATGCCTTGCGAATGGCTTTAAAGAAACCACAGTGCCTCACATTTCGCTTACCTTTCCATCCCCTCTTCAATTTATACTACAACAGCCCTTCCTCTAATCATGTCTACTAGCTCTAATACCACTCATCATAGCTGCGCCTCCACCGTAACCCTCTGCGAAGCATTCTGGTGGACTCAACGGTACCAGTGGCTACTGCGCAATGGTTACCGGCTTCAGTCCAACCACAATCCCGTGCTTGACGAGAAGACTAGACCAAAGAGGTCTAACAACCACTCTGACCCCGAGGTACGATCACAACACCCGTCATTCACGGCATTCGACAAAAGAGTAAACTTGTTCCTATTTTAGAGAGAATACGTCAACTACGGCACACGCCTGACTGATGGCAAAGAAGTCGTATTGAAACGACTCACAAGCCCCGAGGATGAGCAAGAACTAGCTCTACTTGACTTCTTGTCCCAGGAACCTCTAGCCTCCGATGCTAGAAATCACTGCGTTCCTGTGCTGGATACCCTTCTGGTCCCAGGCGATGAAAACACAGTCGTGATCGTGATGCCCCTTCTCCACTCCCTCGGTGATGCAAAGCTTGAAACTATCGGCGACGCAGTCGAACTCTTCCACCAGTTGTTCGAGGTAAATAGTGCTAGGCTACAACGCGCGTTTCATTGTATTGACCCGCCATCTCCGTCTAGGGGGTCCAGTTCCTTCACGACTACAGGATAGCACATAGGTGAGTCATCATTGACTTTCGCCAATCGATACTTGCTGACCTGTGCTGATAGGGATATCTCCTATGGTAACGTCATGTATGAAACTTGTCGTGGACGCACTCGATACTACCTGATTGATTTCGGGCTCTCAAGATGCTACGATCTTGGGTCGTCACCACTCGAGATACACCACGAGGGGACTGATTTCAGCGTGCCGGAGTTCTCCACTCTCCAACCCTACGACCCTTTCCCAGTGGACGTCTATTGCCTGGGGAACTTCTTGAGACACGAATTTCTAGAGGTAAGAATTCATTCTTTCAAGTAGCGACATAATTCTTACCTGTCCACAGACACGAACAGGATTCGCGTTCCTGCGTCCATTAGTCCAGTCCATGACTCAAGCAGAGTCATTAAGGCGCCCAGACATAGCCACCGCCTTCAAGCATCTCAAGGCCCTGACCCGCGATCTCCCTCCCCGCAAGCTCAAATCACGATCTCGCCAAGTCGACGTCAAAAAGCGCTGGTCAATACTCTCGTTAGCAGCCGCACTGCTTCAACTAATTCTTCAATTAATACTTACCCTCGTATTCCACTGGGTTCCCAACGCCCGCAAGATCCTTGCCAGCTGGGATAGTGCCAAAATAACCGCAGAGCACTTTGCCGAGCCACGACGAAAGCCCCGTTGGACAGACGGCGTGGATATAATACTTTACTTCTGCCTTGGTCCCTAATTTACCATAGTCCAATAATAATGAGAACATTGTCCGGGTTCCAACATCAGTTATGACGCACCATGACTCGCAATCCCCTTCGAAAACAAGGGATAGACGGATCAAAGAGTCGAAACACAAGTTCCCTACCGCGTTTTACAGTAAGCTTCACCTGAATATTCACCATTCAGGCTTCATCTGCTGCGCTCCCTTTGCGCCGTCGAGCACTGTAAAACACCAGACCTGTTATTTAAAATTAGACGATCGTCAATACACGCCGAAGCGCTGTCAATTCATTGCACGGGTTGTGCAAAGTTGCGACTTACGCGAAGACCTGATTGCCATCCCCCGCATGAACAAAGCCAGGCGTTTCAGGATGTTACTCGCAGCGATGCGCCAAAGCCGGAGCAACGTTACATACAACGAAGAATCAGACGTTCCTGAATGGTGAGGGCCATCCAACGCAAACAAGATGAGGTCAAGGCAGCAACTACTGCAGACCGAGGGCGGACAAAGCCCAAGGAGCTGGAATACGAGTTCTTGGAATTAGCACTGATAGAATAGCATGCAGAGGTTAGTGATTCAACCAAGCTGAGACACGCGGTTCACACTGCAACGCAGCCCAGCACCGGCAGCGGAAATGACCAGCAAGCTGTTTACTGGAAGACGACTTCGCACCGGATTCGGAGCCATGCGGTGGACAGAGAGATTTAAGTTCAATGAACCCACCAACCAAGCTCATTAACGCAATTGCAAGGCAATGGTGAACACTGCATAGAAGGGAGAAGGGCGGCTAGTATTTTCTACACATAGCCGTTAGGCTCGTGGTCCATATGGTCGACGCCAACTTCGGCCACTCCAAACTGCGGCCAAAGGTCGTCCGACAAAGCCTAAAAAAGGGGAAACTCACAATCAGCGCTGATGGGCCTCCATTATTGCTGAGACGAGTGCTTCATCCTGAAGCGTAGGCCCAGCGCCGGCAGCGAAAATGACGGCTCCAGGGGCAGGAAGACAACGTCGTACTGATTCGAACCATACGTCGAACGAGAGAAACATCATCCAAGAGCTCCATTTTGGAAACTAGAAACAAGGACGGCGAAGCCTGACTCGTTCCGAAATAGTGTGAGGGGGGGAGCACCATGCTGAAGGTCACAGCCTCGACTGAACCTCAGAACCGTAGCGCGTGTGGGATGAGTCTAGCCGATGGATGGAGAATGTTCGACAGCAGGATGTCAATCCCATCTCGCAAGGGCTAATATCATGATCCCACTCATACCGCGAGATCCACGAATAATTAACAGCCAGAAGGCAAAGATTAATGTACACTGATAGGACGTGGTCACTGCATGGAACCGATGCATCATATGGGCATAAGCATATCGACGATAATGATAACTGGTGTACTCTACTTGGCATAGCGAGACCTCCCCAGGGACACGACGACAGCGACCTTTTAGAGCTTGGTGATTTGGGCAGCAGTGGTCGATTGACCAGCAGCCTTGGCACGCTTGCGGAGCATCTGGGCGGACTTGTTTCCACGGATACCTCCACCCCATTGGCGGCGCTGCTCCTCGTACTTGTCAGTGCTAGAGAGGCGGGTCAGTGGGAAGGGGAATTCGTCAAGATCATATGCAACTCACAAGTTGGCCTTGGCGGCGGAGACGAGGGTAGCGAGGTCACGCTGGTCCTCGCTCTTGACCTCCTGGAGGGCAACAACGGCAGCGGTCTTCTTGTGGACAACGGTACCGAGACGGGCCTTGCCCTTAACGATGACGTAGGGGACACCCATCTTGCGGCAGAGAGCAGGGAGGTAGACAACGAGCTCAATGGGGTCGACATCGTGGGCAATGACGACGAGGGAAGCCTTCTTGGCCTCGACCAAAGCGACGATGTGGTTGAGACCGTACTTGACGAAAAGGGGCTTCTTGGTGTCCTTGACCTCCTGGCCCTCAGCAGTGGCGGCAGCAGCGGCCTGGAGACGAGCCTTCTTCTCCTGCTTGGACTCGGGGCGGTACTTGTTGAGGAGCTTGAAGAGCTGGGTAGCGGTGTTCTTGTCCAAGGTGTGGTTGAACTGAGCGATGGCAGGGGGAACCTTGAGACGCTGGTTCAAGATGACCTTCTGGCGTTGAAGGCGAACATATTCGGGCCACCTGACGAATCGGGTGAGGTCACGGACGGGTTGGATGTCCTGGCCTATTGTCCTAGTTCAGAAAACGACAGTGAGCCAAATCGCAGCGGTTTTACGCACCGATGCCGAAGTTTTTGGGGGAAGCCTCGAAGAGAGGGTTCTTCTTGGCCTTGGTGGTCTTGCTGGCACCGAAGGGGGCAGCAGCGGGCTTCTTTCCGCTTCCAGGCTTAGACTTGGGGGGCTGGTCATTGAGACGAAGTCAGCAAAACTCAAAATATTGAGCAGCTGCGCTTCGGAGCTCTAGCGTCGTGCGGTAAAGCGACGACCCAGCGTTTAACGCTTCATAGCTTTCGCTCAGCGTATCCAGTTCTCGTATGTAAGAGAAACTATGGGGGAATCTGGAATGCATACACATCGGTTAGATCGTGCTCAACATCGACATCGACGACTGAGACTCACCATCCAGCTCGCTGTTCATCGTCTTGCGAGTTCACTTCACCGCCAACGCTAGAGCTCGTCGTCGCTGACAACGAATGCTTACCATTTTGTCGTCGAGGTCGTCGGTCTTGAGGGTGAGGTCGGCGGGGTGTGGTGTTGGTTGAGGAAAGAAAAAGAAAGTTTAAGGTTTGCGCCACATCATTCATCTTCAACCTCCGCTCGGGATCATCCGCGCGCTCTGATCTGGGCGAGCTCAGCGCTCGAGCGCATATTACTTGCGCTCGTGGCACTGTGTACCGCTTATTCTTGACGTTCGCCACGGTCTCGAAACTTTGAAAGTCTATATGGACCCTACCCATGAACCCTACACGGTCTATACCCCAGGATACACAAATAACATGGCCATTCTCATTCGGCAGAATCTCTAGACGAACTCTGGTGGAATTGCTTGCAAATTGTCTTGGTTAACTTTGAAGCCCTTAGCCCTCTGTCAGAACACACCGGTGCCAATCGGCCATGAACTTTGACTATGACTTTGAAGCACTATGGTCTTGAGCGCTTGTTCTTGCCTCAGTTTGCCTCCGCCGTGCGAATCAATTCGTCATGTCAGTACGATCGCGACTGTTTCCGCGTCATCGGCTCTGGTACCGCCGGAAGGCTTGGGGTGTGGAATGGGATGGAACTTTGTGGTTCCAACCTTACCACTGCGACCTTTCTCTAACACCCAGATTATTTTCTGATTTTCCTCGCATTTATTGGAACAATGTCCGCAACTATCAAAGTCGGCGATGCCATCCCTGAAGCTACTTTCAAGTATATTCCCTGGACTGAGGCTTTGGAAAACAACGTGCGTTTGTATGTTCTGTCCGCCGCCACTTGGAAGCTTACGCGTCGGCCCCTTCGAATTACATTGACTCTTTCCCCCTCTCGTTAGCTTGCCTGTGGATCCCGTAAGTACCTCCGTCCACGCCCAGTACATCGCCTTGTCCAGAAGCGAACTAACGCCCTTTCCAGCCGTCGAGCTCTCTACCAATGACTGGAAGAACAAGAAAGTCGTGATTGTTTCTGTCCCCGGTGCATTCACCGTACGTTTTCTCCCTTCAAAAAATATACTCGCCTCTAATATATTCTCTCTAACGCACGCCCGCCACCACGCCATTTGCTACCCCTATCCATATGAACACCGTCTCTTTGCCGTTGAAAACGGTTTATAGCCCACCTGCCATACCAACCACCTCCCGCCTTTCCTCCAAAAGTATGACGAATTTAAGAAGAAAGGGGTCGACGTTATCGCCGTCTTGGCCGCCAATGACCCCTTCGTCATGAGTGGATGGGGTCGCTTCGAGGGACTTAAGGACAAGGTGGGCATTCATGTTCTAACCTATGTGATTCATTGGCGTCCCGCCAAGGCGCACTACTAACGCTCAGATTTCTTCATTATCTAGATCCTGACCATCTCCGATACGAATGCTGAGTGGTCGAAGAAATTGGGTTTGGAGAAAGACCTTTCCGCCCACGGTCTCGGAATTCGCACTGCTCGATATGCGATCATCCTGGAGAACAACGTGGTCAAGTACCTTGGCGTAAGTAGCCTTGCGCATTGTACCAGTTGGCAGATCATCTGCTAAACGTTTGGCTTCAGGTCGAGAGCGGTCCTGGAGTCACTGTCTCCGGAGCTGATGCTATTCTCCAGAATCTCTAGACGTGCGACCAAATTTCTTGCCTCAAAGAAATAGAGATAATAGAATAAAGTATAAATCGCTACATGTAGTTTGAAGATAATTCGATTCCAGTTCACTTCACTGTCGTAGTCCGTTGTCGCCCGTACGCGCGCTTAGGAGGTCAGTTGCCAAGGCTGAATATTCGATCTCCGATTGAAAGTGCTCCAATGATGCACTGAGCACCGGCCCCGAGCTACCGCAGCTTTAGCCTCTCCTTCCTCTACAATCCGCTCAATTTCTGCCAATCTGGCAGTATGGGGTCTGGTTCAGGCTCCAAATTGCCTGCACCAATCCTATGGCTTGCAGGCATATGTTCGTTCGTCGCTGTTGCGGTCTCAGCATGGTCGATATATCTTCAGTTCAAGAATTACCGGAAGCCTAGCTTGCAACGGTCAGTCCAGATTGTTCCTTAGGAGGAATGTAACTAAACCTCTTATAGGATGGTTGTAAGAATCATGGTTATGGTTCCAGTATACGCAATAGCTTCGATGGTTTCGATACATTCCGTTGAAGCTGCGTTTGTGATTGACGCTATTCGCGACATATACGAGGTGCGTCATTCTGTGAATGGGACGCGTTACAGAATGACCGAACTTTCGTAGGCATTTGTTATCTACTGCTTCTTTGAGCTGCTATTGTCGTACCTCGGCGGAGAGCGCTCGTTGCTCATCATGCTTCACGGGCGTCCACCGAAAGAACCTGTGTTCCCAATGAACCTGTTCAAGCGCGAAATCGACGTGAGCGACCCCTACACATTCCTGTTCCTCAAACGAGGGATATTGCGTAAGTTCGCAACTTATTGGTCAAGCTAGTTGCTAATCGTCTTGTAGAATACGTGCAAGTGAAGCCTATTCTCGCCGCCGTAACTCTGATTCTCAAGGCCTGTGGCAAGTACAACGAAGGAGACTTCCGCGCCAACTCTGGCTACCTCTACATCAGCATCATCTACAACGCAAGCATCTGTACAAGTCTCTACTGTCTCGCCATGTTCTGGGTATGCGTCAACGACGACCTCAAACCGTTCCGCCCTGTCCCCAAGTTCCTCTGCGTCAAAGGCATCCTGTTCTTCTCCTTCTGGCAATCAGTCGCCATCTCTACGCTTGTCGCCGCCAACGTCATCAAGAGGCTTGGACCGTACACGGACCCGGAACACGTCTCCACGGGGTTGAACAATATATTCATCTGTGTGGAGATGCCGTTCTTTGCGTTTGCGCACATGTTTGCGTTCTCATATAGGGACTACATCGACCCGCATCACACCTTTGTTGCGAGGATGCCGGTTTACTATGCGTTCAGGGACGCGTTTGGGTTGAAGGATGTGGTGGAAGATTCGAAGGCGACGCTTCGGGGCGAGGGGATGGATTATCGCGAGTTTGAACCCGCGGAGGGGTTCATGCATCAAGGGGAAGGAAGGGATAGGCGGATTCGGGCTGGGCTTCGGTACAGCAAGGGAGGACAGAGGAAGTATTGGCTTCCCAGGGCGGTAGACCACGACCCTCACACAAGAGGCGAGCGTATTCTCAACAAGGCCGTCAAGAAGATCGCGGGCGACAGTGAAGCAGAGAGTATACACGCGCCATTGCTCGAAACACAAGAAGAGGATGTTGTGCACCTAGCGCCGGACATGATGCAAGACCGCGACCTTTCCGTGTGGGACACTGCGCAAGTCGAGGATGGATACGAGTTGCCGTTTGGAGATTTGGACGAAGCCGATGAAGAGCTGTTTGAGCACAGCAAGCGATATCTGTTCGGAGACTACAACTATCCCTGTATCGATGTCAGTTCGGAGGGAGCGAGGCGGATGATGTGGGACGAGGAAGAGCGCGTGTTGAGGGACGAGAGGGGGGCGTGGTTCTCATCGATAAGGGGGGCGAAGGGGCAAGAAGAGATCCGCAGCAGAGATCGGCCAGTGTGGCAGGGTTACGGAGCGGTCGATTCCTCGCAACCCCGGAGTCGGATGAAGGAGGCTTGGATAAGCAACAGGGAGGACAGCGAAGCTGTCCGGCCCATACGACAGTCGGGTACCTCAAGAGTCATCGACTTCGATTCTGACCGTGCGGCCGCGGATTCGCCGTACAGCAAAGATGGCGTGCACTTGAGGTGGACGAAGGGGTCTCAGCAGCCGTCATCCTCGAAACTTCCGTCGCGTCCTGCACCGAAACAACGTCCAGATTCGTCTGCATCTTCGTCGAGTAGTGGCAGCGGTAGCAAAACAAGGTTACTGCGCTCGCCTCCGACACTTCTATCCAGGTCCAATTCTCGACAGTCAAACTCTACGTCGCCTGTTCTCCCTCCGGACGCCGTGGATCTTGTCGTTGAAGATCCCGAGGCAGAGGAAGAAGACCTGAGCCACGAGAGGCGGAAGGGCGAGCCCGCTGTTCGTCCTCCTCCTGGCTTGAAGAAGGTGTATCGACGAGGGTTTGAAACGGAGGAGCTGGAGGGCGATGGCGAGAAGACCAAAGTACGTGGCGAGGTGGAAGTGGAGGAGAGAACCGACCACAACCGACGACGAGTGGTCGCTGGGGAGAGGATCATAGATTCCATACACCGCGGTGGGTCGGTAGAGGAAGGGAGGAGGCCTGATGTCATTGGTGAACGGGATCCGTACGAGGATAGGGGAGGAAGTCGGTCTCCTTGGGATGATAACCAGCCTCCAGTGGTCCGGGCAGAGACTCCGCCTCTTAATGCCAGGATCAACGCCTACCATTTTGACGACATCCCTGGAAATGACGATAATCCATGGGCTTGAGGGTCTAGTCTCTTCATTACGTTCGTTCTGACTGTATTGTTATTCATGATTCACGACACCTTTCGTTCGCATTGCATGTTGCATGGTATTTATTCCTTCTCGCATCTTCTGTTCCCATTCTATCCCCGTCGTGTACCTTCTTTCTTGTTGTCGCTGTACTGTAGACAAGTCTGCGTTGACTATAGTGTTCGTGGGCCAACTTTGAGCAGATGTGATTCTCCTATCCGGATGATTCGTTGTGTCGGTTCGTTTCGGGCGAGAGCGCTTCTCCCCAAACTATTATAATCCTCCGAATATCCTCCAGATCGCGATGGAGGCGGCGAGCACGTTCGACTAGACAGTCACAAGATCGACTTACGACGAGTTGGCTGCCTTTATTACGTCCAATACATTCCAACTCTATAAATACACCTTCGATTTCAAATCCGGTGGGTGGGATAGGGTACGATGAGGCAAATCCAACGAAACAAGGTCCCGATTAGATAAGATTAATGGGCCTCGCGCACGTGCTCTGGCATATATTTCTTACGTCATCGACCAATTGATGGATGACAGGAATTCCGATCGCGATTTATATACCGAGCTCCCTGGTCGTCGTCGTCTCCAAAATTCTTGCACCCCAACCACAATGACCACCTCTCTCGACCAGCTCAAGCAGACCGGCACCGTCGTCGTCTCCGACTCGGGCGATTTCGAATGTAAGTCGTGCTCACCGTTCTCAACGGCGACCAGGACTGTTAACCGCATCGATGATAGCTATCGATATTTACAAGCCCCAGGTATGCGTTTCCGAGAAATCGCGACGGTGACGAGGAACTAAAGGACGTTTAGGATGCCACGACCAACCCCTCGTTGATCTTGCAAGCAGCCAACAAGCCGCAGTACGCTCGTGTTATCAACGCTGCCGTTGAGTACGGTCGCTCAAAGGGCAAGACTGTTGATGAGCAGGCCAATGCTGCTATGGATCGCCTTGTAGGTTTTTAAATATATACACGCACAAAGCCTAATAGTACTAACGCCATGTTTTAGCTCGTCGAATTCGGCAAGGAGATCTTGAACATCATTCCCGGACGTGTTTCGACTGAAGTCGATGCTCGCCTTTCCTTCGACAAGGAGGGCACCAAGGCCAAGGTAAATGGCTACCATCGTGCGGTGGACTGTTACTTATCGTTGAATAGGCCAAGGAGCTCATCGCCTTGTACGAGTCTGTTGGTATCAGCAAGGACCGTGTCCTCATCAAGATCGCCTCCACCTGGGAGGGTATCCAGGCTGCCCGCGAACTCGAGCGAGACGATGGTATCCACTGCAACTTGACCCTCCTCTTCGGTTTCGGACAGGCCGTTGCCTGTGCTGAGGCCGGTGTTACCCTGATCTCGCCCTTCGTCGGCCGAGTGCGTAATTCCATTCTCCCAGACCTTGGTAAATAACGTCTAACCACTGACTTTTTCAGATTCTTGACTGGTACAAGAAGACCACCGGCAAGAACTACGAGGGTGACGATGACCCAGGTGTCAAGTCCGTGAAGCGCATCTTCAACTACTACAAGCAACACGGCTACAAGACCATCGTCATGGGCGCCTCTTTCCGAAACGTGCGTTGCCATCATTCGGACTTTTCATTTCTCACACTGATCCATCCCAAACAGACTGGAGAGATCAAGGCTCTCGCTGGTGTTGACTTCCTCACCATCTCACCTGCTCTGCTCGAAGAGCTCAAGAACTCGACTGACCCCGTTCCCAAGAAGCTCGATGCCAACTTTGGTGAGTTGTGTTACGCGTTTTACAACTCCGGTCTTCTCTGATCCGTTCCCTCCCATCTCAGCCGCCAAGGACGAGCCCATCCCTAAGGTCTCCTACATTGACAACGAGCCCGAGTTCCGATGGGCGCTTCTCGAGGATCAGATGGCCTTTGACAAGTTGCACGAGGGTATCAAGAAGTTTGCTGAGGACGGTGAGACTCTCAAGAAGCTCTTGAGGGAGAAGCTCTCCGCCTAAATGGTTATGAGCGCATCTAAATTGAAGTTTATTGTGTATCAATAGTCCAATTGTATTTTTGTTCATGGTTTTCAGGATTGACGGGAGTGAAACATCCAGATGTCAGTGTTTGTAAGAAGGGTATATTTACTTCGTTGTGGTTCTGATTGAAGATTATCGGGCGCGATTAATATATCGCTTATTGAACAGTGCGTGCATAGCGTTCGCTAAGCGCCCACCCTGGCGATCGCTTCTCCTTCCGGAAGGAGATTGGTGTGTATGTCGATTCCACTACCGATGTTAGTTCTTGCTCGAAGGTGCGCGTCCGCAGTGGCTTGTGACTCTTTCCGTGAGTGATCAACGTGCTGAAAGGGCAATTACCTCCCTAAGCCTGCCGACCAATGCGGATGCTACGCATTAGCAGTAATCCTTGTCGTACAAAGTTCCTGCCGCAGGGGACTCTGGGTTCAAAGTTCGCACAGTATCAACTATCAGAGCGTCCGGTTGCATTAGATAGAGTTCAGAGACCAGAGTTATAAGGGCACTCTCCGTGCTGCATGAAGGTCTATCGCGATCGTGACGAGTTTGGGACTCGTTAGAGTCTTTGTTGTACTTGGCTTTACGCAGTTTCGTGGAAGTGAGACGATTACATTTCGGAGTCTTTGAAAGGCTGGGTCTTTTCCACGGCCTCCGCCGTGCAAAACCCAGCGACCCCGAATTTAGCCCTCGGGACCTGGGGCAAAAAGATTCCAGTATGGACTAAGTATTTCTTCAAGAATAGCCTGGGCTCCGAAATTTGAGGAGTACTCGGACAGGCGAGAAGAATGACTCAAAAAGAGGGTGCGATTCCATAGGCTCTCTTGGGTCGTTGAGCGAGAATAGCTGCGGCTGTAAATGAAATGCAACTTAATCATACCGTTTGAAGATCTGACAATTGATTCTTCAACAGATCCGGGCCCTTCTCCTTTACATAAAACAATCTTCTACAGCATCTCTGTTTATCCTTTTCAGTGATCAGAAGATTTATGTGCAGCACCGGCTCAAAAGTCCCGTGTGCGGCGTTGAGGCGCATAAAGCATGATAAGCGCCCGTGGAGGAAGATGGAGACGAGTGAGTCACCCGAAGTTGATCAATGGGTGATACCGTCATCTTTTTCTCTCGATTATGGCGTTATGTCGGCCTCCACGTCCTTCTCGTCAAACGTCTTCGTGTGCAAAAGTGAAAACTGAACAGAATACACCCTTGGTTTTCAGCGGCGCATACCTAGAACCGGACATCGTTGTTGCTATGGGGGTGTAATAGTATGATCTACAAGTATGTACAGAGCGAGTGGGATAAGGAAACATACTATGCCTGACTCGAGGAACCAGGTATCCGAAGAGGTAACAAGGGCAAGGCTTGGGTTACTTGTGAATTTGAGTGGGGAAGAAAGGATTGAGTCATGAATACCATCAATTTTGGGCCTCGAGGCCTTGAAAGATCAGTTCTATTACATTCCCGACGTCAGAAAGCCGACCTTGGCCCCTTTCAAGAGGGTCCATGGAGGCGACTGCCTAATTGGTGTACTTGGTTCGTCGGCGCTGGACATCTGCGGTCCCTTTTTTGTATTTTTAGTTTCCGCAACTTGTTGGGCCGGATTCCACCGCTCATGGTATATGTTTTCTTCTACGCTACTCCTTGAAAGTTTTAGAGAAGATGAGTGAGTCTGGGGACTGGGGTGCTGGGTGAATAAAGTCGTCTATGGCGGTGAATTGCTGAACGAGGTGCTGTGCATGAATTTAACAGCACTTTTTCGAGCGGTATCTACGGGGGGATATGCCTCTAAGATATCTATTAAGGCGCACGTGAGGGTACACTTGCATCCTAGGAACACATACTCCATGTTCAACAAAGCAAAGTGTCCAGTATGTGAATTATTCTGGAGGTTTGGAAGGGCCGACCTTGGAATTCGGTTGGCGCATGCAACTGGAAATTCCAAATGGAGATAGAAAGCCCCTATGATGACATTAACGAGCCCGCTGTTAACTCCATTGGCGAGGGAGGGGTGCATCGCCTGAGCCGCCCGCGTTTTTCGCTGCACTCTCTACTATCATTTTTCTGTGTTCGAGAAGGATTCAGTCTCCACGTGCATAGCAGCGGTCTAGGTTTACGAGGAGTATTTGCGGTGGTGCGTTCTGTCTTCGGCCTCCATTGTGACTAGAACCCCCATATAGTGTTTGCCATCAAACATAAACGACTATTTCGAGTCACCGACGTTTCAAGTCCGTGACTACGGTATTGAAAAGTACAACGACAGCCCTTGCAGATCATGAGTGTGCCACACCGAACCTGATAGTGTAATTCCAAGGATACACAGATCCCCCAACCAAGCCAAACGGGAATGATATCAGCGCCTGTTCCGATTGCCTTTTCTGTCTAGCGTGTATCCAAGGGAAAGGCAGGCGCCAGTGGACGGTTCGAGTGTGTTGTTGTATCGCAGATCTGGTGATTCCCTCTCCCGTATGTGTGTCATGACTGGATCTGACTATTCTCGGGTTTCATCTGGCAAACGGGGTGCAACGAGGTTATAAAGAATGCGGGGTTGTCCAAATGTCTGTTTTCGTATCGTCCTCTCTGTATACCTTCTCGGCTTGAGAAGAGTAGTCCACTGTCATGTCGTCCCACTATTCAAGCTCGAGGTCTGCGCCCCCGATGATCACCCTCTTCGACGTCCCAAGGAACACAGCGCATTCATGGGCACCTAACATATGGAGAATACGGTATGTCTTATCGCGCCGTGTATATAGACTTCATTGCTCACGTCAACTATTGTAGGTTTATCCTCAACTACAAGCGACTTCGATATCGGACCCAGTGGGTTGAGTTCCAAGATGTGAATGCAACATTGTACAAGATGAATGCCCCACCGACCGGGCAAAGCGCAGACGGACAACCCATCTACACTTTACCTGTCCTCGTCGACCCAACGCGTGACCCCCGCCGTCCAACAATCCTCTCCAATCCCAATATAATCGCCGAGTACCTCGAATCCGCCTACCCCGCACGACCGGTTTTCCCTGAAGGCTCCCGAGCCCTCCAAACCCTCTTCGTCCACTACGTGCAAGAGGTGTTCTCCAAACCCCTGCTACCCATCATGATCCCCATGTCCTATCAGCAACTACCACCTGCGATGCAAAGTCACTTCCCCGGAGGTGCTGCGCTGTCGGGACCGCAGAAGGAGCATGCGTGGAGGGCGGTGAAAGAGCAGTTCGACTTTTTGGCTGCGATCTTGGATAAGAACACGGGTGATGGGGACGGGGATGGCGTACTTGCGATGGGTCACGAACTGACCTATGCGGATTTTGCGCTTTGTGCTGTTTTGATTTGGATTGAGAGGATTGCGCCGCACGATGGGTGGTCCAGGATTAGGACCTGGAATTCTGGTCGATGGCATAGGTTGTATGAGAGGTGCAGGGATTATATGGATGAGTTTTAATTTAGAGTCTGAAACTTGCTGATCAGCCTTACTATGTCTCTACTTGACGGAACGATGGCTTCGTTCTTTTTTTCCCGTTTCCGTTAGTTTCTTTTGTGCCGTGGACTTTCTACTTAAATCATGTTAACTATTGTATTGCTGAAGGGCTTTTTGGACGAAGTTGTCGCATTATTTATGTATCTATACCACAGGACACACGAGTATTACCGATACCACACTCTACAAGTCAATGTATCTCTACGTGCCTCGACAGAATACGAATATACTACTACACTTGTTGCTCATCTCACCGATATAGTTTGCTCTCCAGTTAACTGCATGTCGTCCCCGAGTCATAACACATCACAGTACTTTCCTTACCTTCTCAAAGATGGAATAGAGTTATGTATTCCATTGCTACTTTCCGTGGTTTACAGCACAAATATTTCTGGAATTTGACGAGGTACGTCGTAAGCGCCTTGTATAATTGTTATCGAGCCTTTACTTCAACTGTTGAAATGGAAGAGGAGCGACTCCGATGTGTACTTTGCTGTCGACATTAAGCCTTTTTTGTGAGGCGCAGTGATAAGCGCACTGAAACTTGACAGGCATCAGGGGCTTTTATACCGGAAAAGGGAACACCCCTAATGCGTGCTTTGTAGTCGTTCCGTTGGAAGAGTTGACTCGGCGCAGCTTTTGCGCTAGGGTCGTACTCGTAAAAATGAAAAGAAATTCGGAGCCGTCCTGAGCATCTGTCATTGCGTCAGCTAAAGTAGGACAGGGATCGAATACGTGACTGTAGATTGGCACCGTTAATATCCAAGGGTAGGGAACGTTGCAATGGAGATGTGGCCTTGGAAGGAACCCCCGAGTAAACAGAAAGGATGACATACAGAAGCGGTTCCGCTTTACAGTCCTGTTCTAAGTCAGACAAAGCTCGCTGTTCTGCCCACCGCGACTCGGGAACATCGGGGGCTAATATGAGATTGATCTGTACCAGTCAGATTGACTGGGTATGACGGCGAGCATGTTCCCGATGCTTCCCTACACTGGAGAGAAAACTACCAGGAGAACAGCCGTAGAGTAGACGAGGCGAACAGTTCGTTAGCTGTGCTGGTGGACGTGGCCCTGAATCCACTATCGCAACAGATATCCAGGGAAGACACCGATCACGTTCTCAACTGCACTCTCTGTCATGGCCAATCCGGCAGTTGAGGAGAGGAACCCAAGTTCGATGCACTGGCGGTTGGAACCTCTCGTAGTCGTTCATCCAAGGGTCTCAGTCGCTGACGACGATGAAGTCATTCATCAATCGTGCAGTTACAGCCACCGCAGCCTGTAACAGCTTGACTGAAAAAAATGCCATTCCGGTTAGAATACCTCACTGTCAATGGAGGCGGTAGCAACATAATTTTACTGGGTGCTTTGGACCCAAAGGCTGAAAGGAAACCCCCATCCTGGCCCCACTGGCGCGGAGAGCCAGTCTGAAGGCAAGCAAAGTCTTGGATGATGCCATTAAGCGCCGGTGTCGGCGCTGTCGAGAATGATCCAGCGGATCAAGATCGAGCTCCGAGTTCGGTGAACTGAGTGGTCGAGGCGCAGTACTGAGGCGCAAGCTGTGTTGCCGTCGGTAACGACGAGGTCCACAGCCGTACTTGACGACGAACACGTCGATGGGCAAGATGGAATGGAATGGATTTGTCAATGACGTAGGAGCGGTCTGTTGGATGCGGTCCGTCGTCAAGTTTGACGAGGAATAGCCATTGAAGTATGACCTCTGCCACCCTCTCATCGTCCGTACAGGCGATTGCTCCGGATCCCTGAGGGCTAGTCAAGGTAAGCGACACGCTGCCGATCACCGTGCGGTGCTAATTCCTGTGTGAAACAGGTGAAGTTCGCGAGGAGAAAGCTCTCGGGTACCACTGGGAGGCACTTCATCGCTGTGAGGCAGGGCGGCGAACCTAGCTCGTCGAGACGAGAGCGAATTCACCTCAAATGGAAAATCACCCACACATGTTTCACCCGTGCAGTTCCAGCAAACGTACGACTTGGGGAAAGGTATAATGGCTCATTGCTTCTCCATCTTGCAGAGGAGGTTCGCGACACATCGGACGAAGTAATGAAGTGCAGGCGCTACATTCAGGGCTGGGTATCAGCGTTAGAATGCGTCGTTGTTACAGGTTATGATCCCTTTACGAACCTCTTTTCATCCTCGAGAAGTCACCAACCTTTGACATTCCGCTGGGCCCACAGAGATCTGACGGTGAACAGTGCAAGGAAACTGGATCACAGGGTGGTTTCAGGGTTCACCGAGAAGACGGATACCATGCTTCCTGCAGTAAACCAGGAATGTTCCATTCTGTTGTCTCCGCGATAACACAACTTCGAAGGTACGGGAGATTGGAAGCCGAAGACAGTTCGTGAGATTGACAAGCAGACGATTCACACCGCGGCGTCGAGCGGCACACCAATACTGGCGCTGTCAATACGACGTTAGCCTCGGATTCGCCTTATTCATATTGTTCACTGACCTCGTATGACTCTCGTTTCGGGTGCCGTTGGGCATCTAAAGTTGTCCCCCTCCTCGAACAGGCTGTCCGGGACGATGTCTGGCCTGATTGGGATGATTATTCGTTCAGAGTCCAAGGTAGAAACCATGGTCAATCTGAGGGCCAGACTGGAGGCTATCGTCTCAGGCGTTCTCTGGATATAGACAGAGCCTGTGGCCTCTGTTCCCAGACACGACAATCCGAAGTTTAGCGTTTATTAATGTTCATGAACGACATCCAGAACGGCTAGAGGCAATGATAACTGAATGATGATCAGAATTGTATTCTAGGCGAGATTTGGTTCCAATGCTCACCGTTCTGTACAACCAAGGACCCCGCTCATCGTCGTTGAAGACAGCGAGCAGGTTTGTGGTGGTGGTTTGGGACAAAGATTGGCGATGACAAACATGTGGTCGCCATCGCCGCCACCACGGACCTCTTGATCCCCGACCACATGGGCGGACAGTAATTTCGTCGTCGGACGCCGTTCACCAACCCGCCATGGCCTCTTCGTCGTCGTCGCCGTCGCACTCGCCACGGATACCGTCGTCGTCGGCGAACACGATCCCTGTCGTTGGCAAGTCGATTCTGAAGCGACCGCCACCTCAGCCGCAGTCGCTATTCTCGCGCATCAGCAAATTCCTGCCAACGCAGAGCCAGGCCAACCAGACGCCCGAAGACGACACGAAACCGCTGAAAAGGGCCCATTTTATTCTACCAGAAATCGCCATTGTCTATCCAATCTCGTCGGTGAACCCGCCATCGACGCCAACGTTGAAGGATGAGAAACGCGCCATCGAGGAACGAGAATTCGAACGACGACGGCGGGTCTTACGAGGGGGCAGCACCGGCAGCCCCGTCGAGCCGGACGCTGAAGAGTTCTGGCCAATGGACCGGGTCGATTCGTTCTACCGTGAATGTTGCCAGGGTTGCGATGAGGAGCCAGATCCAGCGATTAGCGCTGCTCTGAAGGTATCTTGTCGTCGTCGTTGTCGTCGCCGACGGTTTGGCTAAGAAATTGACAGCACGCATCGTCCAGCAGCCCACGAACTGTCGACTTCTCGGGCGTCCAGCTGAACCTCACCAAAGCCTCGATTTTGTCCGACATTTTCTCGATTGAATGGGGACTCAGAAAAGTAGTCTTTCGAGAATGCGATTTGGACGAACATGTAGGCTTTTTCATACTTCTAGTTACCCAAAACTAAAACTGAATCTACAGACCTTGAAAGTGATTCTACATTCACTTCTTATCCCTGGGACTTTGTCGTTCCTTTCTGTCGCTTCGAACAGGCGCCTGAAGACGGCAGCTTTCAGATTAATAGGGGCTTATTTGAAAAAGGTAGGATTTCGCGCCCCTTCATTAATTGACAGATGTCTGACAGCTGAGGGTTTCCAGGCAAAGAGTCTTCAGTTTTTGGACGTCTCTCAGAATGCCTTGGATAAGAAGGCAATTGAATACATTGTTGCTGCCCTACCGACAGCACCAGAGCCTGGACTGGTGTCGCTGCGCTTAGACGACTGCTCGTTACGCCCAGCAGCGCTGGAAACCCTTTGTAAGAACTCTACAACTCCATCGTTCTTCATAGGTTAAAGCTGTCTAGGTCGTGCCGTACGCACATCGTCGCTGAAGAACATTTCTCTCCGACACAACCGTATATCTGCGTCAGGTGGTGTCGCCCTTGCCCTTATGATCAGGGATTACCCTGACGTGGTGCCGACTCCTCTCTCTCCTGCACCGTCTATTGGCGCAACACCCACATCTTCAACCACATCGTCGCCAACGACGTCCGTGTCGAATCTTCCATTACCATCACCGATGACCCCGAGCCAATCGAGCCCCCTGCCTCGAGCCGGACCAATCCTTCCACCACCCAAGCATCCAGTGTCGGTTGGGCTGCAGACGACGTATACACCTTACGTCCCTCGCTCGCGAAGAGGCCGTGCTACCCCGACGACCGCTACTCATCCGCTTTCCCCGACCGGCGAGCACGTCCCCATCATCACCTCATCGACGCAGGGTGGCGTCACTGCGCGCCATCCTGTTCCGGGAAGTCCGTTGACTGCACGTAACCCCGATGGTACTCTGAGGCCTGATGCGGGGCCCAGTGCTGCGTTGTTGGACAAAGTCCGTGCGTTGGACTCTTTGCCTCGTTTGGGTGCTTTACGCACGCTCGATCTTAAGGGTAACGATTTGCGAGTGAGTTTTATTCATTATGGCCTGGAGAAGTTTATTGACGAGAGTTAGAACGGCATCACATACCTCGCGCAGGTCTTGAAACGAAATCGAACTCTCAAGTTACTGAACCTGAGCGAGAACAAGCTCGACGTTCAATGTCTGGTGACCATCGCTGAAGCATTGGTATGTCTCGCATTTGGGGTTCGCGGTCTAATAGCTAAACATCTGGTTCAGAAATACAATTCGTGCCTAGAGACTCTCGACCTCAACAAGAACCCTTGCTGTGGTCCCAGTTTGGACGGCGTAGGTCTACTTGAGAATCGCGTGTTGGTAGTTGACTGACAAGCACCCAGATTCAATCGCTGCGTACGGCGTTTACTCTGAACACAGCGCTGAAGCGCCTCTTCCTCTCCTCGACCGGAATGACTTCCGCTGGAGCCATCGCCCTGGCGGAATTCCTGCCTGAATCGACGTCACTGCTTCATCTGGATCTGACCAACAACAACCTCGACATTGCAGGTGTCATGGCGCTCAGCTCGGGCCTCAAGGCTAACCATGTCATGCGCTGCCTGGATCTCACCATTCCTCCCGGAAACGAGACATTCGCCAAGGAGTGCAGGGACATCTTGAACACCTGCATCCGGAACACCGAGGAGGCTGAGAAGACCAATGGCCAGGCTCGACCAGGCAAAGGCGTGTGGAACATGATTGAGGACAGTGAACTCGCCAAGTCAATACGACTTGACGAAGAGAAGAAGGTAGGTTCAATACGATATTCACTATGCCTGCCGCTGACATGCTCCCAGAGCGAGAACGACATCATCCTGCGCGCGCACTCGTGCATTGACATCCTCACCAAGGTCACCTCGGATCCCTCAACCCCGCCACCCGACGGCGAGAGCGTTGCAGACCTCGTCGTTCGGGCCCAATCGCTGGTTTCCGAGCTTGCGAATGTGATCCAGCAAACGGAGGACCCGATGCAATTGGAAGAGCAGCTCGAGGTTAACGATAAGCTTCTTGGGCTGCTTAAAAAGGTCCCTCCCGGCAGTCGACCGAATTTGACGCTTCACGGACTGGGCTTGAACATGAATGGATCCTCAACTTCATCGCTGGTGTCGCAGCACAGCTCGATCAGGAGCAATGGCCACCTGAATGGCGCCACTGGGTCTCCCGAATCGGGCAGCCTGCTGGGCAGTGCGGATGGTGGAGATGAGGAGCTGTCGCCTGCGACGCCGAAGGTGGACAAGGGCAAGAGGAGGGCCGATCCTGAGCCTATCGAGCACGAGAAGATTCTGAGCCCCACGTTCTTGATCACGGAGTCGGAGGATGAGGATGAAGAGAGGAGTGGGTACTTGACCCCTCCCGAGATGATGGAGGGCGCGCCTTCGCCAACCGATCGGTGCGTCCCTAACCAACAAGGTGTTGTGGTTCTGCTCTGACGATTAATTTCTAGCTCACGAAGCTGGGTAGCGGAAGAAGGCGAGGTGTTCAGGAAGGGACAGATTCTTCTTGGCCCCGAAGAAATGGAAGGTGAATACGCCGGAGAAGAGCTCAGAAGAGAAGTACGTCGTTTTCTTGACCCTGGGAATAGAGGAAGCTCATCGCACGTTCTTTAGTTGTTGGAAGCACAGGTGGAACGACCCCCTCCCCGGCCGATAACGGATGACTTTGGGATGGAGATTATCGGTGGAAAGGGGCTTGACTTTGATGAGTTGGGCTCGGCGCCTCCAACACCTGTGATCAGTGATCCGCCCAAGCCTGCACCGAGGCCGTACATCTCGAGACGCTCGTCCAATTCGTCGATTCTCAGTCTCATCTCGTCATCGGTGCCCGGGTCACCCAAGGTCGAAAACCCCGTGCCAACGCTGCCAGAGCATCCTGAACGCTAAATATTGAGTAAGATTAGGCTATACCGTTCACCCCTTCTTTCTGCTTTCAGGGACTCTTTTCTTCTCGTGGAATTACAAGCTTTCGCCCAATGCTCTGCTGCAACAAGAATCGCGATCGCTTACAGACGATCCAGCTCTATTTATTACTACACACCCGTTACCCACATCCACAACATAATTCCTACTTTTAACACAGCCTTTCTATTCCCGTTGTTCTAGTGTGTTTGTCTCCGCCGAACCGATATCTGTGCCGTGCGCCCATCTATTAGCTACTCTCTCCCCTTCTCTCCCTGTTTTCCCGAACACCCCCGTTTTTCTATTTCATACGTGCTATATCCTATCTGACAGTTGCACCTAATGTGTACGTACAAACCAAGGCCACGATGTCGTTTCACGACCAACACATGGTGTCACTATAGCACCATTCTGGGACAAGGTGAACTAAAATTTGAATTCGAAGCCCTAAATTGGGGGGCGAGTACGTGGCCGGTTTCCAACAACCTCGACGGGGTTTGCTCGTCATGTGCATCGTCGGCGGAACCGGTGTTTTGTGTGCCTGGGAGAGAGGGGGGGATTTTTAGCGTGCATATTGGGTACACGGGCTGTGGCTGACGACTGTGACGCTCCTGAGCTCTTTCCCTCCCTCCTTCTTTCTTCACCTCGATTCCCTCGATTTCCCTGTTTCTTGCTTTTGATATTAGGCCATGCCTGCCCGTGCCAAGTCGAGTGAAGGTGCTGCGTCGGCTGAGCCTCCGAGAAGGTCCAGCAGGATTGCTGCGCAACCACAACCGGATCCCCCAGCGCCCAAACCCCAGAGGAAGGCGTCTTCCTCGAAGAAACGTGCTGCGGAGGAGCCGGCTGCTGAAGAAAAGAGCGCAGAATCGTCCTCGAAAAAGGTAGGTGGTCGATAGTCAGAGCATGGTCAGGTTTTTTCGAGACCTGACTTTGAGGCTTGAGCCCCTTTTCCTCGTTATCGATTGGAAGCTGATGACAAGCTGATGATGGTTTTTTGTGGTGTTTGTAGGCGAAATCAGACTCTGACGAGGCTGGTAATGGTGACGAGGCAGCTAGTCTCCAGCCGATAGATATCGGTGATAGCCTCCCTTCTCTAGTTCTCAAGAATGAGAAGGGAGAGGACATCCAGATCGCTGATCTGGCCAAGGAGAAGGGTGTCGTCCTTTTCCTCGTTCCCAGGGCCGATACGCGTAAGTCTGATCCCAAAAACAAGCTCTATGTAAAGGATCGGGAATTCAAGTTGACCTCATGGTGATATGGCAGCCGGCTGCACAACCCAGGCCTGTGGCTTCAGGGACATCTACCCCGATTTCTCGTCCGTCAACTTCGACGTGTACTGTTTAAGCGCGGATTCTCCCACTGCGCAGACGAAGTGGCAGACAAAGGTGAGGTGTTACCGCCCGTCGTATTGCATGCTGCCGCAGCTTTCGCCCTGGATGGAACTGTGACTGACCGGACCTTGGGGACTGTGACAGAAAGAGCTCCCGTATTCCCTCATTTCTGATCCCAAGCGCAGCTTGATCGCAGCCTTGGGAGCTAGCGAGGGTGGAAAGACGAAGCGCAGCCACTTCATCTTTGAAAAAGGTGGTAAATTGGTGGAGAAAAGGAATCCTGTCAAGCCTGGGGAAAGGTAAGCCGTTTTGTGCTGCGTCGGAGCGGGAGAGGGCCCTAATAAATTGCATCCGGTATAGTCCTCAGTTGGCCCTCGAATTCATCAAGGGTCTCGAGAGCAAGGCAGAGTGATCGGCGTGACGATCTAATTGCTTTTGCGAAGTGGAAATCTCATATCTTGTCTTGTCATTTGTTTATCTACAGTCGCACCCGCTATAACGCATACCCCTCGGTGGACGGCCTAAACTATGCCTTTTCACAGGTTATTCCTTACGACAGGTATACCGTAAATAGTAATTATACAAGACTTCAGAAAGGAATACGTCTACACAAAACGGTGGTTGAAGTATTAACACGAGTAGGTCTAAGAGGCCTAGCCTCTTTAAGTTGTAAATCCAATCGCAATCCAGTCGAAAGACCGCCCAACTTGCGAGTATAAGGCTCGTTGGACTTGATAAGATGGCGGCTGTGATGACATCCTTCCCCGATTTGACATGAGCTTCGAGAGCAAAAAGGCCCAATTTGAGCCTTTCATGGTAAAGTGCAACGAAGTTCCGTCAATTTTAACCAAATATAGCATCGGACCAGGCCCGAAATCATCCGAAAATCGTGGAAATTGCCCGAAATATTCGTCGCCCCTATGCCTTTTGACCCCGCCGAGGGTATGCCTTATGCCTTTTGGGAGGTTTATGCCTTTTTGGCCAAATCTCCCGCCTACCAAGTTGGTGGACCGAGATTTCTATGCCTTTTCGCAGGTTATTCCTTTTCACGGGTATGCGTTATAGCGGGTGCGACTGTAGTTACTTTTGCTTCAGGGTATCATGCCACCAATTGAATCAGATTCCGAGTCGCCCGACAGTTTTGATTACACGGATGGACTTTTACAGGCTGCTAACTGGCCAAGAGAAACACAGCATGGACATCCGCAGCTCCGCCCGTGAACAGTGCATAGGGCGCAGTTACATTGCTCGGCGCTACCTGCTGTGACAAGAGCTGGGGGCATCACGTCTGCCCTGACCTTCCAGGCCTCGAATGCTTGATCTAATCTCGTACGCAATATGCTACCGGCTGTCCCTTCTATTGCTCCTCCTTGAGTACTTGGTTCCTTGAAGGGGACGAGGGTGCTCTGCGACCGGCGCTTGGTTCTTCTTGGTAGCACCGAAATGTCGTCCGACTGGAGAGATTCTTCCTCTGGGTCGTCACGCCCTCGAGTCAGCTTCCTTCGGCCCTATGCCTTCGCTAAATATTCCACTCGGGTGTCGTGGCGAGGATGATTGTTTCACGTTCTCTTTCGTTGCACTGGGATCACATCAATCAATACGTCTACTTCGCTATGAGAGAATACATTGACGACGAGAAGATGGGAACACACCTTGGTTTGAATTTGTTCTGGTCGAATTCTTTGCCGAGCCACTGGCCAGGGCATGCTCGGGGTCCGCTAGACGAGCGTCGTCGGATGATGGCACTGGGGCACCCTCCGGCCTCCGTTGTTTAATGAACCGTCTTCTCATCTGGATCGCCAGCAGGAAGGCGCTTCCCAACAGCCAAATGCGCGCAGGAGGCAGATAGCGGAGGTAAGTGAGCCATCCTTTTGCCTTGAGATCGAGCAGGAGTCGCGTTAGGGATGCCCGGAGGATTGCGATTACGATTAAGAGGGAGTAGATCCCTGTTACGAAGAAGTCTTTGATGGATTCGAGGAGAGGGGCGAGCATTATGGGAGAAGAGTGTCGAGGGTGGAGAGGAGTTGGACTTGGTGCAATAGGAGTCGGTTGTGCTCAGCGTGAGGTCCGAGTCGAACTTGTCCGAGTCGATGTACCTACAGGAGTCGAGGCTCGTCGAGGGCGCTACTTCAGTTTGCGCTGTCGCTGTCCACTCCTTATATATGAAAATCAGAACTTCTCGGGCGTTATTGCATTTCATCGTGATCCAACAGCCAAGGCGACATGTCTCCACGCTGGTGCCAGCGCCGGCGCTAAACAGAGTCCGTGAAACCCGTATCGAATTCCCGAAGTCCACAAACCACGGACAAGCAATGTTCCTTGTCGGCCTTGACGATTCTCAAGTTTAAGTTTATGCTCACCCTAATTTTTTTGAAAAGTGCCTCTCCAGGGAGAAATCCTTTGGGGGAATCATGGATGTGCCTCTTCAGCCGGCCGGATGGATTTGCCTTCGAGGTGAGAACTCAGCTGTCCTATTAATTTGGTTTCGGGTTGCTCGGTTCTCGGAACCCTGGGTTAGGTAGAGGAGAACTGGGTGCTGTAAATGGGAATGTCGTGCCCTCAAAGCGGAGACAATTTTTTGACCTAGCCAAGTTCTGGAATATAAGTGATATACATCCAAGCCTTGCTCACAGCGTCTGCGCGAAAGAGACAGAGAGTATATGTGCAACTCTATGAATTACTGAGATCGATGGAAGAAATAAGGTTCAACACAGGTACTATGTTGCGAGAAAAGCAGATCGGCGCACCTGTTTTAGAGGTAGCTCTTTGTCGGTTCTGAACGGAAAACCATTAAGACGAGAAGCCCGCAGGGATGATGTGGAGCATCACATGATAACAAAGATCCGGGTCGAAAGGAAGGTAGTCGCTGTCAGGAGGGTGCCGTACGGCAGAGACATTGAACACCAGCTGAGTCTGTGCCCGAGGACCTGGGAAAGGGCACAGTGACCACAGGGTGGAGACGTTATGGGCGGCAAGAACAGGATATGGGTTAGAAGGCGTTTGGATGACGGAGTAGACGCGAGAGTTGTCCTCTGGATTTGGGTACATGACGCTTCGCGACCATACGAGGCGTTCCCCGCTTCGTATAGTCGTAGCGTTCACGCACCAGTTCCCCCAGTCATCGAAAGCCCTCAAGGCGCGATTAACGAGGCCTAAGGTCGGATATTGGTTATATGGAAAGGATGAATACGTCTAGGGTGATCATCAGTATGGCTTGGCCAGCACACCTCAAAGGAAAAGCAAAATACGGAAGTGACATAAATCATGACTCCTCCCGTAGCACCTGCAGCATGGTAGTAAGCAAGAGGGCTTAGGTCATATGTGCTTCCAACGGTTAATACTAGAAGGCCGAACTCACCGCCTGCACCGAGAACTAGCGGGGCTCCCGTCAAGTCCGCGGCGTTGGCCAGGGATGCATTCGCAGCAGCCAAGGTGAAGTTGTAAGGCAACGTGTCAAAGCCAATTGACTCGGGTGCTGGGTTTGGGTCTTCGCAGTTCTGCGCACCTCTGACCAAGTCCGAAATAGAGATGACTGCGAGACAGAATTTGAGGACGCCGAGTCCAAGCAGACGGAGATTGAGGACCGTCATCTGGGCACGATAGTGAGGCAAGGAGAGAAGAGGCTTTAGAGTCGGATTTATAAAGTCGACCATAGCCTTTGTGTACTATTAGGTCAAGCTACGCCTCTTCTGGATATGAATCGTATGACCGCTATCCATGAGGCTTTTAATCGGTGGTCGCCCCTGAGGGAGGTACATTAGGAGTATATTTTACTCTTATCAGTCAAACCTTACCTGTGAGGTTTTGGTAGTGCTTTGAGGTCCTTGAGGTCCAGCTTAACAATACTGAGACAGTCATCATCAGGACGACTTTTGATTCTGAAAACACGCCGAGTCGAGGCTGAATCGAACTCGTCCACACGCTACCGTGACCCGTCAGCGCCGCTTTGTTTGCCGATCTGATCCGTGTGATTCGCGTTCCCGGCGGTCCCATTCCGTCATCGTCATCTCCGAGCCCCCATGTGCATGGAACACGGGACTTTGGGTCTAACTGCGACCGTTTGCGGTCCCACACAAGAGAGATCCACTTCGACGTCCTGCCACCACCGTCTCCGACAGCCCATCTGTCTATTCTATTATTCTTATCTCGGAATCTTCACTCAATTCCACAAATGGGACAGGCCAATTCAGTGGTCTCCAGTGCCGTCGATTCGGCGATATCTGAATTCAAGGAGAACATTCTCAAGTGGGCGACCCCGCGTACCACTCGATTCGTGCCTACCGAACAAGATGTCCTAGCCGTTGAGGGTTACCTCCTCCCATATTTGCCTATAGAGGTGATCAATATCATACTGGACGAGGCAGAGTACTGGCCGCACCTCATCTGCTCTCGAGAATCCGATCCACCACGGCGTGTTATTGCTTCAGCATCCCCCGACCATAACATGTCCGTATGCTACCTAATATCCCCAAAAATCTCAGAGTACTGCTTGACCCGAAGGACCAAGCTAAAAGTACGACGGATAGTGTTCCACACACTGAGCCACGACCAGGGATGGGGCGGGGATGCTGGTTTAACAGGTAATTGCCTTACTACTTAATTAATTCGCCTTCCGATGTTAATGACGCAACCGACACAAGGACTCTACGAAGGATCGTATACTTGGTTCGAAGCGGCCATCTTCCGAAATCTGGAAGGCAACGATGACAGCGACCCAGATGAAATTGCACGCTCGGTTCAGTCGCTAGAGAATCGAGGATCGGACTTCAGTCGGCCCTTTCAAGTTTCCAATCCGGACACTGGAAAGAAGGTCTGGCTTTTACAGAAGAACGTCCGGGCATCCCACGATGAAGTCATGCACGAAATCGTATGGGATGGCAAGGATGTCCCTCGTGAGGCAGACGGCCTCACATCCGAAGAGGAAGCAACATCGGAGAAGGGGTCAGGGCTGGGATATGGCTTCGTTAGACAGCTTCAAGCTGGAGATCATATCGCCATATTTGCCAGGGCTCAGGTATGTCCCATTACCCTACGAGACTCAGCTCGGAGTTGTAATGATGCGGCCTTGAACAGTATCCTGGTTGGACGAACCATGTCGTTGGGGTCGACATGCAGATCTTCTACAGCATGTAATCTGAGCGGCCGAAGGGCTTTCTGCCAGTACTTTACGATTTGAAACCCCTTTCGAATGGACAGTATAGGTGTAGCGAGGATCCAGCAAGGCTGAAAGTGTTCCGAGCAGTGCGGTAATGACGGAGGCGCCAAACCCGACAGAATCGCTTGGGGCGTATTGGGTGCGAGCATCCAGTTGCAGAAGTCCACTAGGTACAAGGTCACTGCGCCGACTCCCGAGCCACAACTTGAATGGATTCGGGAAGCGGTCCAACTGGAGTTGAGCCTAGGTTGAAGCAGCGCAAATTAGGCGCCCAGAGTCATCGAGCAAGTTTCCGAGTTCAGGCTAAGCACAGGATTCTGCATGACTTGGTTCTCCAGCCACATGTCCGTCACTGTTTCCTCCGATTCAACCGACCATCCTTGTCATCCGCGGTTAATCAAGTTAATTACTAGTATAGGTATCAAAGAAGATTCTTCATCGTAAATGAACATCGTGAGGTTAGATAAATAAAACATTATCATGTCAACAAATGGGGAGAGAAACAACGACAAAAAAAAAGAAGAAACACGGTCCCATATCCAAATCATAAAAAAAAAGGGTTTCAACTGGTATACTAGCTAGCATCTAGGCATCGCACCACAAGCCTCGGGGTGCTCCTCCACCAACAAAAAAGGGACAACCTATACGGAAGTCCCGGCGTTGAAGAAAGGAGATCAGCACGTTAGAAGGAGGGAAGGTGGTTATAATAAGCAAAGGAAGGAAGGGCGTGTCGTAGCACTGTTCGAGAGGAATGCACACAATATGTAGTCGGAAACAGAAACCAAACAATGAGTAAATTTACAACGCAGTAGGTCCATCCCATCCTGAAGCCGAAGGCGCTCGGGGCTGGTGGTGCCGTGCTTGCGTCTGTCCACGATCACCCGAATCCATAGTAATCCCTCCATACGGATCCTCATCCACAGTCTGCATCTGGTGGTGGTACGGGTTATTCGACTGTCGAGAAGGTCCCCGCCCATGCTGGTCCTCGGAGTAGAACTCGTCATGAGCAGTCGCGAACGATTCCGCGTGCGACGCATACGACGCCGAACTCCCCGACCTCTCAAACGCATGTCCATACTGCGTCGACGCATTTGATGGTTCTCGAAGATGCTGCGTTGGTTGGAGGTAGGAAGAGGGAGGAGGTGCCGTCGAGTAGGCCGGCTGCGTCACCATAGTTGGCGATGTCGGCGAAGGCACAGGCTGCTGCTCATACTGAACAGGCGTCCTCGTCCGCATCTCGAACGACATCTGCGACTGCGGCGAAATAGGTTGGGGTGGAAGAGGGGATGTCGGCATCGGGGCATTGGGTGGTGAGCGCAATGAAGCAGCTCGTGATGCGGCACTGGCTCGCCGACTTGGAGGTGGTGGTGTATTGGTAATCTCCCCCGACGAGTACTTGTACTGCGGTTCAGGAAGCGGGGAAGGTGGCGGTATATCGGAAGCGGAGTAGTATGAGGGTTGCGGAGAAACAGAGTTGTTGAGACGGTCGTAGACCATCGGGGAAAGGTGGTTATCGCTGTATTGGGTAGTAGATGGCTTTACTTGCGCATATTGCACAGGGTTGTTGAAGTCGTTCGCTTCAGCCATCGGCGGGGTGTATGACTCTCGGACCGCCGGTTGCATCGTTGCCGGCTCGTAAGCTGTTGTGTGGACGTCAGACATGGACCGGTTGTGAGGTTCGTGGATCATCGGTGCGGCTTCGAGACTGCTCGCACTTGTCGTTTCCTTCCGTAACTTGCCCTTCTTGCGGTGTCCGATTCCGAGCTGGTCCTTGAGATCGCCCTTGACCCACATCTCACGGACAATATCCTTATCAAGCGGGAAGTATACCGTGGAGATGTACTTCTGAATGAACCGAGGGGCTGTCACATCAACCGATTAGACACTCCCAGAATAAAACAATGAAAGTGGTAAATCACGCACCAAGGCAGATGGCAACAGTGAGCAAGACCGTCGTCCAGAACGGAACCGTTCCGAACAAGATCGCCGCCTCGTCGATAAAGTCATGGCTCGGGAAGAACGAGTAGATGATAACCCAAAGCCACATCACCACCGTCGAACCGATGACAACAATCCATGTCATCACTGTCCAACTGTAACAAACCACGTCAATCTCCAAGCAATCCAACGAGAAAATGACACAGAGATACGCACTAGTTGGTGTTCATACCGACATAGGTGTTGGCAGCAAAGATGGCCGAGACAGCGACGGTGGTACCAAAGTCGGAAATGGACTCGATAGTCTTGCCGGTCCAGGAGACGGGGGAGCCGTAGGTCCAGACGAGGTAGGGGATGAAGAACACAACCACAGACTGATAGAGACCGTCCAGCATGTACAACCAGAACTTGGTTCTGGTGTACTCGAGACCTCGAATTCCACGGACGTACAGTTGTGGGAAGGCTAGGGCTGCTTTCGCATTGATATCCTGATCGAAAGCTGGGGTAAAAAAGTTAGATGTGATCACAGTTCCGGTTAAGATGCACGTACCTCCAAGGACGATGACGGGTAGTGATGTGAATACGAGGTTGTAGAGCAAGATGAAGGTGTACTGGTAGAGATAGGTCGCCTCGAAGCTGTTGAAAGGCAAGTACCAGAAGAGGGCAAGCGTCCAGATAACGTTCTGCAACGGTGTCAGCGCATCTCTTCCAAGGCTGACAAGACGCAACATACCTTGTAGAAGAAGTTACTATGCATCTCAGCAACACGCTGATATGACCAACGACCGTGGACGAGCAACAACTTTGTCAGGAACCTGAACTGCCCAAAGGCGTAGTCCGCAGACATGGCGGCTTGTGAGCCTTCCAATCCGAACAGACCACATCCGATATTCGCCTCTTGAATCATGGCCACATCGTTGGCACCATCACCGATGGAAAGTGTCATCGCGTTCCGTCCTTCCTTGACCTGGGTGAAAGCTCAGCAAGGCCGGTGGAAGATGCAGTCGGAATGGCACTTACCAGGTTCACAGTCAAGGCCTTCTGGGCAGGAGAGACACGACAGCACACGACAGTTTCGCACTGGGTACCAAGATTGAGGAACAGCGTCTTCAGTTCGGGTGTGAGCGCATGTCGCAGAGTATCGCCATCAATAACGACTGCGAACGAGGCCTGCTTTCCAGGAACGAAACCACGCTTCCGAATGTCCCAAGTAGGAGGGCCCAACACCGACGCGATCTTGTTCAGCCCAGCCTCGATCTGAGAACGCGTTTGCTCCAGGGAGTCAGCGGAGATGATCATAAGGTCCATGTCATTCTTGAGGAGGTTGCAGCTGTATCCGATCTCAATGGCCGTCTGGAGCTTGTCGCCTGCATAAAGGCGTGTTAGTGGTATCTTTTGTACGAGAAAGATCTGAACATACCGGTAAGAATCCACAACTTGATTCCAGCACGATGCAGCGTTTCGATAGCTTCAGGGACACCCTCTTGCAGCTTGTCCTCCAACGCAGTCGCTCCCAAAATATGCAACGAGTGTTCTATGAGTTCGTTGGCCTGGTCGATGGCCTCGTCCCGGTTCTCGATAGCATTGGTGGCAGCGTCGTAGGTCCGGACCCAAGTCAAGTACTCCTCCTCACTAACATACCGACAAGCAATGCAAAGCGTTCGCAGGCCATTGTTAGCAAACGTCTCCATATCCTTCCTCGTCTGCTCCTTCAACTCCTCGTCGTGGTCCTTGGCGAGCCGTTCGTAGATGACGCTGTCCGCTCCCTTGCAGTACAGGATGATTCGACCATCAGGACAGCGCATGATAACGCTCATCCGCTTCCGGGTACTGTTGAACTCGAGCATCTTGAGCAGGGTGTACTTCTCGACTTGGCCCATGACCTCGATCTCGAACAGGTCCTTTGATCGATGGATGAACGGGAAGCCCACATCGCGGGCAGCAGCCACGAGCGCAGCTTCGTCCGGGGATTCAGCCTTGTACTCCAGATGGTACGGCCGCGTTTGGGGGTCCGGTTTGTCGGATAGGACGCTATGGCAAAGCGCCAACGCGCGGAAGAACGCAACGATATGGCTCCGCTGCGCGGACGACCGATCGGCGATATCCTCGGCGAACTTGGGGGAGATGAGCGTGAGCTTATCGACCTGCATCCACCGGTTCTTGAAGGTGCGTTCGAGAAGGGAGACCATCTGTTTCTTGAGCTTGCTGAGCTTCTCGTTAAGCTCTTTAGGGTCCAACGCGTCCGCCCGTCCTTCCCGCGTTGCAGCCCCACGCTGCGCCTCCGTTACACCCTCGCCGTACGCCACGCCGTGGATCGAACACCGCTGGAACTCCATGATGTTCTGGGTTAGAGTGCCGGTCTTGTCGGAGAAGATGTATTCGATTTGCCCGAGGTCGTCTGAGATGTTCCACGTTTTAGGTACGCAGGCCGTGTCATAGGGTTTATAGTACATGTCAATATCCTGAGAGATGAAGAAGGCTTGGATGGTCTTGACGATTTCGATGGAGATGTAGAGGGAGATGGGGACGAGGTTCTGGAAGGCTATCAAGCACGACCTAGAGGCAGCGGGTCAACATCGACAATGATTGGATAAAGGCGGGAAAGAAATACATACACAAAAGTGATCACGGCGTTCACGACATACGAAGACGTCGGGTCACTTCCCTCCTCGAAGAACTGGGCACTCGTCCCTGTCTTGGCGTCCTCGAGGCCGCTGAAAATGGCTGAGACGACACACATCACGGCGAGCAGGCAAAAGTTAACAATAACATTGAAGTTTGTTTCCTTCTCGATCTTGCTCCGTTTCGAAGGGGTATCGCCACCGTTGAGCATAATCTTCGTATCGGGACCCGTGAACATCACCAAACCGATGATCCAATTGGTGTTGCGTAGGATGCAACCTCGGAGTAGGAGCTCATTGATGGATATGGGCTCTTGCTGCACCTCGCCGGTTAGGGCATCGTTGTAACGTAGAATTGCGTGGTAGTGGTATAGGTTCTGGTGGGGTGGCTCGGAGTCGATGTAGAAGGAAGATCGCTCGATGTCTTCTTCTGACGAGAGAGCAGAGGTGGCCCGGACAGCCTTTCGTGGTTTCAGATTGGTCTCCCCGTCGAGGTTCTTGGTTTCCAGATAACACAGTCCGTCCGGATCTGAGGTCGCAAGTACGATGATGTCCGCTGGCACTTGGTCGTTGTCTCGTAGTAGAACGATGTCGCCGACTTCGAGTTTCTTCCACAGAGTGCGCTCCCATCGAGCTGTGCCGGCTGTGCGTTTCCCCCAGTTGACGACACCCGTGGAGGTTACCGTTGATCTGACCGAATCCTGGTACTGACTCAAGCCACCCACTTGAGCCCATTCTGTGGCTTGGGCCTTGATCATGGACGTGGATGCCTCTGAGAGCGACGTTTTCGACAGATCCGTGGAAGACCCTGGTGGATAACTGTGGGAGTCGACGCTTTGGATGTCTTCGAGTTTCCGTCCTTTGACGGCCGTGAGGTCCAGACTACTTTGGCTGATGTCGTGGGTCAAGACACTGGAACTGTCCTCGTTCTCCCTGCTCAGCACGATTTTCGCCTGCCCAGCCTCCCTGTCCCTCAACTTCCGCACTCCCTTGGTGACCTTTCCCGGTGCATTGAGACCCAACAGTTTCTCAAACCACGATCGTGGGTCCGTCGGTTGATTGACATTACGCCAACCTCCATCAAGTTTCGTCGCCGCCGAGTTGTTGACCTCCTCGTCTAGGACTCCTCGTCGATAATCTTCTATGCCGTCCTTGATGGCTGTAACCGTCAGGATAAAGGCCAGCGGCATAACCGCGACTGCGCCGCTCGCCGCACCGAATACGGGGAACACTGCCCTGTCGAGTTAGAGACTGACAGTGATCTAAATTGGGAAGACTCACGTTGGAGAATAACCAATGTCAGGAAGAACAGATTGGCTACACGCCGAAACTGCTCGTACAAGTTTTTAGGGACAAAAGTCAAGACAGTGTATTCTGAACAAAACCATCAATAAATCAATATGAATTCTTTAATCAAGTCGACTTACTTGTAGTCCGAACTTTGTTCCTGACATACCGCACTTTGGGCTCGCCGTTGTGGTCGACCTCCATCGCAGACAACGGGTAGTTGACATAGACATTTCTTCGCACTCCAGGCACTGTCCCCGGCGCCCCCGACGACGTTGTGGACGGTGTGGGGTCTGGTTTCTTGGGCGACTTGGCTTTGAAGAATCTCGACCGCGACTTCCTCATCGACTTTCTCTTCTCCGCGCGCTGTTCATGCTTGATGGACTCTTCGATTGCAGACGCTGCCGTCCGCACTGTGCGTAGCCGCAGTTCGGGGTCGATGTTGTTGTCATCATCCTCGACATCAGAATTAGGCTCGTCGACAATTGGCCGTCGCTTGAAGAACGACATGTATGGCCGCTACAGGGTCGTCCAGGGTCGGTGGGTATCCAAGGTATAGCGAGAGATCTGTTAACCGAGAGCCAGCACGGTATTCTGTGGTCCCCAAACGACTTTGGTCGCTGTCGTCGTCGTCGTTCACGTTCAAGTCTTTCCCTGGCTGCAGGCGGCCTGCTGTAGCCCTGCCCAGCATTGCCTTTTTCGGACTTCAGATGCCTCCTGAATGTTTGGCCCTGATTGGTGCCGGCACAGCTAAGTTTCCCCCTCGGCTCGGCGCAGCCACGTTTTTGCCCTTCCCCTTCCCCGGACGCCTCGCAAATGAACGGCAAACCGGACGACGATGCGAATGAAATTAGCCACTGCCTGCCCGGTATCGCACAGAAATACACCAGGCAACTAAAGCAAAGTCTGCTCCAACGTATGTGTACTATCAAATGCGGAAAGCACTGCTGAACAGGCGCAAGTTGCTTCTGCTGATCCAAGCCAAACTTTCTTTCTGGGCGGACTATTCACGGGGAGGCTGTGGCTTACTTGGGTTACGCCAAGTATACGCAGCACTATGGGCGCTCAACGAAAGTGTAGTCTCTGCAGAGAGCGCGGTGCTGACAATAGCTTCCAAGGTACGGCCCCTTGCGCAGGCGATTCCGAAGATTAGGTTTCGTAACTTTGCTTACAAAACAACCAAGGCAGTTCTGGTGCTGCCCGACATACCCTTTATGACACATGGTAGGAACAGGTTGAGGATGACCTCAGTCGCGCCTGTTGCACGAGAGTGGTGACTAAAGAGGAGAGCCTTGATTCGTTTACCGCTGGCCCGACAGGTCTGATGTGGACATACCCCTCCGAGTCAACGAGTAGTATCTTCCAAAGGCACCAAGTACCTTTACATCACATCATCTCCGGTCCTCCTTCGCTCCTAAGCCACAGCTTCAAACTTCCACCGCTCTTCAGGCAACTCATCGCCGCTCAACTGCTTAACCTCGACCTGCAATCCCAAATTCAGAAAGCGACTCCCGAACTCCAAAACCTCATTAATAATCTCCAATACATACCTGCCCTTCAGATTCACTACTAAGAACCCATCCCATATTCTGATAACTCTCATGCTTAACCCTACAAGCACATTACACCATGATCCACAGACACGTATTAAGGTATACAAGTCGCACTCACAAATATCCCTCACCACTAGACGCAGGCGTCACGACCCAGCCATTCATAGCACCACCGCCACTCATCATGGCCCGGGAGATTTCTTGCAGGAGAGACCCAAAACCAGCATTATTGAGAAGAGACGACGTAGGCCCGCTTTCGCTGATCTGATATACACCATTTCCTGATACTTCAACCCGCCACTAGGTATCGCTCCATTAGTTTTCCGAATAGCATCAGGTAGCAGGATTTGATTGATTGATAAACTGACGCGAGTATCAGAGTCCACCCAGTGGTTCGCATTGGCTATCCGTTTGGGAAGCAGCGAACGAAGTGGTACTAAGTCCTTGTAAGATTTGATGTAATAGTTACCGGATTGAAGGGACATAGTTCAGCTGGAAGGAGCAGATTGAGGGTGGGGAGGGGAATAAAGAAAAGAGTGTTGGATCTGAAATGGAAAGGCCGTTAAGTCATGACGAATGGTCGACGGCCCGTTTTATCATCTCATTACCCCGTGGTCTCGGTCACGTTCCCATATTCTCCCAACCAGGGACTACTCCGTAATTAGTTTAGTATCGATCCATACTGTCGTAAGTACTAATCATCACGTTCAGACGTGTCCATATATTCTCCAGCATGCCAATATCAAAACAAACATGGACTGAAGGAAACTGGGCTGGAGCGAGTAAGCTCCATTGTCGGAAGAGCCTCCAGAACCAGGATCGCCAGGGTCTGGCGTGGCAGTACCAGTCGGTGCTGCATTCGACAGAGCTACACAATATCATATCAGATGACCATCCACATGAGAACCAGAAAGAGATAGGCTGTACTCACCAGGGAAGTTTCCATCTAACCGAGCAGCACTAGCAACGGCAGCCCTCAGCCTCTGATCTGCGTCTTCCGGGACAGTCGACAGAAATCCCATACGGGGAGGATCCTGAGTCGGATATGTTATGTTTCCAAAGTAATAAGACGACACAACACTGCACACGCGCGAGCGAAAAGTCAGTTTTAAGGGCCGCGATTCGATGGGCGCCAAACGCTTACCTCTTTAGGAATGGAACCCCTAAACTCCAACTGAAGAGGTACCCTCCGTCGCCCGGCGGGTCCGTGCTCACAACATTCGGGACGCAAACACCAACATTGTCGACGTATATCTGAGCCATAAAATCTCGAGGATCCACGGGGAACAGCTTTCCGCCGATCGAGAATTCTAGCCTCTGGGGTTCGTCGCAGGGGAACAACGCAGCCAAGCGTGAAGATATTCTCGAGCCAGAAATTCTGCGGTATATTTCACTGACTACGTCTTCTGGGCCACGGATAAGCGAATTTCCCTGTTGGACATCAGGAAAGTAGTTGGATCCAGATACAAGAGACCCACCGTATCAACGAGAGCGGACAATTGAATCGAAGGTGGAGACAGGGTCGAGCGGGGAAGCTTCTCTCCATTGAGGTATACATCATCGATCATCACTTCCCATGCAATGGGATATTCCTACAAGACCGTTAGTGAAATTCTTCTCTGTACAGCATGGGCACCTACCTCCAGAGGCGAGTTCTGCGGTGCTGGAAGGCCGCCTTCCGCATACGAATACGCCCGTACAGGCACCCAAGTCAACTCATCCAGAGAAACGTCAGGTGGCATCTCCCCAATACTGAGCAGCCCAACGTTTCCTCCGACATCGATAGTGTTTCGTTGCATGGTGACTGTGACCATGGGGAGATCCAATCTGGACTCCAGGATAAGACGGGTGATGAACGACCCCAGCGTGTTGAACGAGTTCAGCAGGGCATACATCCCTCGCGACACTTGTCTCCGCACGGATTGGGAGGGGTCAGCTTCGGGGTGAACAAGATCAGCGAGATGGGAAGGAAAGCGAGAGTGCAACGGGAATGTCGGGAAGCGTTGAGAGCCATACTTGGCGCCCTGTGGTTCGAGCAATGTGGGTCCTTCCTGCCTCGACTCCAAACTGCGGCGTTCTTGCGAGGGTATGCTACCCCGCTGCTGCTGCTCTGTAAACAGCGTGTTCCAAATCACACTACAAAGGGATCAGCCGCTGATCCAACTTGGGCAGCCCCCAGCACCAAATCGCCTGACCTATTAATCGGGAAACCAAGGCCGAATATCCCTGTGCCCCCAGTGTCGATGATGCTGGTATTCGTGCGGTTGATTGCAGCAAAGTACTGGTCCTCCAAGGTCAGTCCTGCGAGACTGACGGTATCTTTCCCGATGACTCCGAACGCGCTGGTTCCGGTCATGGAGTCGCCGTAAAATAGCGCAGCCTCCAAACCGGTGGAGTCGAAGGTGGCTTGAGGGTATAGCGGCGCTCGCTGCCCACGGGCGGTGCACCCGCTTGTGCAGGCATCTGACATGAGCCATAGGTCGGTCGACCCAGTGTCTGTTGAACCATTAGCGAGCTGAACGGCTGAGAGGACCCTGTTGGAATCCTGAGTTCGTGACGCACCGAGGATTAAAGGGGTTGTAACGCCACCAACGGTTAACAGGACGCTGTAAATCCTGTATGGGGAACCAGAATCAGCAAGAAATAGCACAGGAGGATATGGCGACTCACACATCTACGAAATTACCCAACCCGATAGCTGCAGCATCCCGCCGTTGCAACTCCCCAGATGGCACTTCCCGCGGAACGATGGGTAGATGAATTCCTCCTGACGTTCTCCTGGTATACAGACGGGCGATCTCTTCAAGTGACGGCCCCTCCTCCTGGCTATCGCTTCCCGGTCCTTCAACATTCTTAGCGACGTAGGCGGTTGTTGAGCGGAGAATCACAGCAAACAGAAATAGGCGGCTGAGGGTATCTGGCCATATCGAGAACATCTCGACTCGCCTCGTCGGACTTTGGACGCAGTCCTCAGCTCTACGAGTCGACGACACAAAGCGAACAGAAGAAAAAGGAGGGAAGGGGATGAGGGGAGACGGAGACAGCGGTGCTGTGACCCAAATGTCAAGAAACGAATACTTACCCCACTCAGGAACCCTCGGCGCTTCCGCTTTTGGTGCCACGCGGAATATTCAAATATCGATCTCTTGTTTCTTTGGTCACGATCGGTGCCAAGGGTTTCGACGACATCGGGCAAAGTGCTCGTCGGCTCTTGAACTGCGATGGAGTTCAAATAGAATGCTGCATGGTCAAAACATCGCTGAATTTACAAGGCATTGACATTTCTTCCGTAGAATTCAAGGTGTCGGCGGCTGGGAAGGTGGATACCCAGAAGGCGCCACACTGTTTACTGCATTCTCGACGTCATGACAAAGCCTGATCCATAACCACTCCCAGATGTTTACCAGTCAACGTGCGCCCTCTGGCTTGCAAGAAAGTCAGTGAAACTGGCGCAAGCAGCTGTGGAGGGTTTCAAATGGACTGCGAAGCTAGAGCCCTCAACGCTGCCCGCGATACCCGTGGTCGGGCGCTTATTACGTGCATCAAGGACCCCCTGAGATGGTGACCTACTTCTGAGCACCTTCCTCGCGTTGATATACTACCTCTGGTTGTGTCCATGCATCGATTAGCTGAGTTTTCGAGACATAAGAAAGAAGAAAAGAATAATTATTGATAATGGGAAACAATACGCAGATTATTAGTTAACAATGTCCTCGATATTGCTCTCCTTCTACTGCGGAACCAACCTCGTACCACCCTCGTAGTACCTCTACGCAACGATCGTCGAGCCCATAGATGTAGGTAATGCTGTAGTGACCACGTCCCGAACCATAGCAACAGAAGACAACAACACAAACGACCTCGAAACCATGTGCACAAGAAGGGAGAACGCGATAATAGGATACGAGAAACCCAACGAAACGAAGCCGTCCTTCTCCGGAATAGAGTACGCAGCAGCAAGAGATGTAAAGAGCGAGAGCGCAGCTACAGACGCCGACCCACTCCACATCACCTTCTCCGTCAACCCAGCAAACTCAAGTCCCGACGACGGAGCCCAAGCCGCAACATTGCAGAGAGCCGCAAAAGCAGAGACGAGCCCCACCATGGGCGCGAGCGCAGAGTAACCAGCCTGCTTAACCGGGTTCGACGTCGAAGCGGCGGTTTGGATGTCCGTCTTCTCGGGCTGGTAGGCGTAGAGGCGGTTAGGGCGGAGAGCGAGTTCGGATGTGAACTTTTCGGTGTCGACGTCGTCATACTCGAGGGAGGGGTACATGTCCTCGGTTTCGTGGATGGTCTTGACACAATCAGGGTCCATCATTCCAGCTGCGTCGGAGAAGATCCACCAAGCGGAATCGAGTGCCAACATGATACCCTTCTCCAGATGCGAATTCCGGAGTTGGAAGCGGGGCTCTTCGATTTCGACGATTTTCCTTTCTTGATCATGAGGAGAAGAGAAGGTAGGGAGGGAGGGTGCAGAGGAGTCGTTTGACTTGCGCGAATCGGTTTTGTTTTGCTTCTCGTTTCGGTTTCGGATGGGGAGGGTGTAGGGAACAGCGTCTGCGGCGTTCGTCTCGGTGATTTTGCGGTGGATGGGAATGGAACCGTCGATGGAATAAGGCTTGTCCCAGCACAAGGCGGAAAGCGACCAACCAGCAAGGATATAGAAAGAGGAGATGACTTCGAGGTGGGAGATGGGAAGTCCGTGAGAGGCGCGGATGAAGGTTCGAGCGAGGACGAAGGCGGATTGGAAGATGGCGAAAGCAGTGAGGAAGGGATGTTTGGCGCTCAATTTCGCGAGGTCCTTCTCGAGGATGGCTGGCCACTTGGCTTCGCCCTTCTGAACGAGGTCAGAAAGCTCCTGGTAAGAGAGGATCTTGACGGGAGTAGGGTTGCGACCGAATTGGAACTTGAAGTCGACCTCGTGAAGAACCATGCCTCCCATCTGAATGAGATGAGCGTGAGCTTTGGACCACTTAAGGGATGGGTCTATTCGGGAATGCGTTAAGAGTTGTATCATCAAGACAGGGACTGGCGAACATACCAAATGTTTTAAGGAGCTCAGAGGCACCAGCTTGCTGGCGAATCGCCTGCCACATGAGGAATTCCGGGAAGAGAAGGAAGTTAACAGCCATCTTGAGCTTGTTGGCGAAGCGTCTCCAACGCGAGTCCTTGACTCCATCAGCGCTTGGGTGAATAGCAAGAATCGCAGCGCTCAAAATAGCCAGAGCACATTGGCCAGCGATGAGGGGAGCAGACCTGGTCGAGATGAAAGGAACGGTTTTCAAATCAGGGGCTGAATCCTTGAGGAAAGGTAAAGACTGTGCGATATCGTCCTGATGGGACGCCAGACCAGGAAGAAGGGGTGCGATTAGTCCGAGTCCGAGCGAGAGAAGGATCATGGTGGTGTCGATGCGAGTTGCCGGTGTCGAGTGTGTCGGGAGAGGTGGTTGGGACTGTGAATCCTGGGGAGTTCTGAACCGTCCATGACTACCCTTTTTAACTAGAGGGAATGGCGCTTCTTGGAAATCCGAGTTTCGCTGGAGCGGGAGCAACGAGCGGACTCGGGTGCAAGTGGGTGGATGCTTCCTGGCAGGGATAGGTAAATCGGAATTTGATGGACGCACGATAGAGAGTCGAACAAGGCTCACCTGTGCGCCCCACCTTCAACATCCGTCCGTTTTCGGAGGGTGGGGAAAGGCCTGGGCTCGGAAGCCTGGAAAGCTAGTGAATCGCCTTGCACTGGGTCATAGCAGCCCAAAATCGCGAGTCTACGTGTCGCGATATTGTACAATTCTTCAAACCAATAACAATGACCTGAATAAATAGTTTGGAGACCCCAAAATCAGTGGTTAGCAGTGCTGGCACCAGGAGACTGCCCGGTGGGATGAAAACACGTTCCACTATCGGAGGGGCAGAGCAGCGGGCATTGTTTCTCCGCTCTAACTTGCAAGAGTGATAGTGGCCCTCAATGGGATTTCGCCGCAAGCAGGTGACCCACATCATGATACGAGGAAATGTTCATCGACAGGATACCTACTCGTCCCCAATGACGTGTGATGTAGAAAAGCACGATAGCGGCCTTGATACCGGGCTACCAGAGGTCTATGGCGTTCAGCGTCGGTAGTCTGGAGACCCAGGGTGTCGGTGAAGAACAACCGGGTTCAGGTCTGGACGCGGTTGGAACGCCGGACGTGGGCGACATGCGGCATACTAGACAGACTCGGAGATTCTGCTCCTCGAGAATCGTATTATTGAAGTCTGAGGGTTGAGCGTTAGGACATAAGATTTTTGATATTTACTCGAAAGCCTTCTCACATGCTCTGAAGTTAGGTCGTACAGTCGATCGACATGCATCACGATGATGGTAGTGGAATGGCTGACTCGAACTTGAAGTCAGGGCCTGGGAAAATCGGTGGTCTCACCTGATGCGGCCCCTATTTCACGGGCGCTTAAGTTCCCATGAGCTCAGTCACGGTGATTTCTTGAATCTTCTACTTACCGCTTGTACCGACGAACATGTCTTTGGTCAAGGATTGGCTATTATTGGGGCTGGAATGATACCCGCACAATCAAGGTACTGCAGATCCACCGGACGAATCAAGTATGGATCAGACACAATGAACCAGCCCGAGCTGTTTCCCGTCTGTAGCTGGCGCACAGCAGCCTCTCTGTGAAGCTTACGAAGATAAGTACAAGCGCTCACGCGAAACAGAGAATGATTTCGATGATGTAATGATCAGAGAAAACACTGGGTAGAATATCATATGCCAAAAACCATTGAGTTTCACAATCATGGTCCCTCGAGGCGATAGAGCAAATGGGTTTAAAGAATCGTGGTCAAATGCTCGAATGCCTTCTATGGCATACGTTCTCGAGCTTATTGCTGTTTCTTTGGAGGGTGCATGGTGGTTGGTTGCCAGGACTTGTCTCAATTCTGGACGGAGCTTAGCCTTATAAACCCCGGCAACTTAGAATGCCGAGATCCGACCCCCATTCTACGCTTGTTCAATACCCCGCCCTCCCAGAGCCATTGCGCTGAACTTAGAGGCAGATTTCAAGAACGAGTAACTGAGAACTTATAGGTGTACCGAACGTATACAGTGCTCAAGGTAAACGATTAGAACCCTTAAAAATTTGAAATGGAACTGTCAGAATGGGATCAAGCGCGCGGATGCAACTTGTGGTTTCTGTGATTCCCTTTTGCCTTCAGCCATTCATGATCGAGGTATTGGATTTGGAAGGAATCGGGTGAATTCGGTAAAATGCTTGGGCTCTTGGGCTTTCTGACATTATTAGGAGTTGTGGCTCTACTGTCCGTCCATTAGCTTGCTTCTAGACCGCCATCATGCCCCCAATTACGACCTCAGAAACGCAAGAGCAGCAGCCCGCGAGCCCGTCGTCAGCGCCGATGCTGAAAGAACGGCGTTTCAAGTTGAGCAGGTGAGTTCCAAAGGATCCTAGAGTTTGGCCCAGGACTGAGATTTTGACATTTGATCGCAGGGCGTGTGACCGGTGTCGGTGAGTCTTATCATCGTCTTTGTCGTCGTCGACCACGACCTTGACGCTCCAAATAGTCGAAGAAGGATCAAGTGCGATGAGGGCCACCCATGCCAGGCCTGTCTCACCGCCAACTCTCCCTGTACCTTTGAGGAACCAGGGAAGAGGACGCACCCACATAAATCAAAGTAAGTGTTCAAATTTTGTCAAAGATGAGGTTGACTGAAGCACGACCTAGGCGAACGGCGACGTTGGAGGATCGTATGAACCATCTAGAGAGTCTAATCTCTGCGATACCAGCAGCCGTTTTCGCGGCGGGTGGCCAAATGGCTGCAGTCCAGGGCCATTCTGCATCTGATATCGCTTCAAGTCCACTGCTGCCTTTTATGCATCCCACGGGTCTACCATCGGGGGTGCCTCCACCGTCGTTACATGTATTTCCGCTCATGAATCCGTCCACTCATTTCACCCAATCCAACAATGATTCGTCGCACATCCGGAGAGAATCCTTTGGCTCGCTCCTCAGCCAGCCGTACAACATCACCCCGGACCAGCTCGCGGAGGAGACCTCGAAAATGTCGTTGACGGCGTCGTACCTGTATTTCGACGACGAAGGATATACGCGATGGCAGGGAGAGACGTCAGGACTCCCCGTCCTTGACCTGCTGGTGGAACGACATAGCACGCGAGAAAAGCAAGATTCGAAGACGTATACAGATCCTTCTGCGGTGGAATGGTTCCCTAACCGACAACCAAGGAGAACGGACGTGAATCCTCAAACTCTGTGGCGTCTCATAACATCCTATATTGTCCCAGATCTAATGGACAGGTATGGGATTCGCTATTCTCTATACAAACACGTCACTAATCACATGCATTCAGCCTTGTACAATGCTACCTTTCTACATCCTACTACATCCTACCCTTCCTCCACGTTCCCACCTTCCTCGCCGTAAGTGGACGCGAACTCTCGCCAATGTTCCCTATTCACCGATTTTATGTAGGACTACGGCAACCCACAAAAATGGGCTGAACCTGGATTTGCCGCCTTTATCGTCTCAATTTGCTGTCTCGCTTCTCGTCACATGGACGATCCTCGCGTTAGACCAGACCCAAACGATGGCATCAGTGCCGGTACACAATGGTTCGAACTCCTAGGCCGCCTTCGCACTCTCCCCATCGCCGATCGACCTACACTTTACAACATCCAAGCGAACCTAATTGCTGCTGTTTATGCAGTGGGTCTCGGCAAGCTTTCCAAGGCGGCTGCACTCCTCGCCGAAGCAGTCACCATGTCCATCGACGCTGGTCTCCACCGATCCGCCGACAACTACGATCTTTTTGACGCGATTGAGGACGAGGTGCGCAAGCGTACCTTCTGGTGCGTCTACATCTGGGACAAACAGCTGTCGGCCCACTTTGGACGGCCCAGTATGTTGCGCCTGAGGGACTGTGACGTCTCCGAGCCGGCGCCTGTCGACGATGAGTTCATCACGCGGGAAGGGGTTGGGACTCCTCCTCCGGGATCTTCGTGCAGATTGAGCGCGTTCATTGTTTCCGTACGGATTATGGTCGTCCTCGAAGCGGTCCTGGACGTTCCGCCATCCCGCCATTCCGACGATTCGAATTCTTTCTTACTCAAAGCCACCAATATTCTCTCTGGGGTGAGGAAATTCAAGGCTATGCGAGAAGAAGAAGCCCTGCTCGATGAAATCCATCGCAACATCCCGCCCTACTGGGCTCATACCCCGGAAACCCTCGCCAGCGACGATACCATTCGGCTCACCCAAGCTGTACGGCTCCACTGCGCGGAGCAGTACGTGCGACTGTTCATCTATCGACATCGCTTCTCCGAGATGGTAGCTGAAAGAACAAGCGGTCCAACGGAAGAAGAGCAGACCGAGCAGGAGAGGGAAGCCCTGGTGGCCGCTCATAATGCCGCACTGCAGATCATTGGTTCTCACCTCCATGTCGCAAAAAAGGGCTTAATGACCTACTGTGAGTGCTTCTCCCCTTGTCGACCCAAGTTCCACCCCTTCTCCCCCTGTCATTGGGCGTTTCACGTCAACTGCATTCATCTCGTTATGGCTCTGCTGAATATCGACGCGCCTACTCACGTCTTTACGTTCCCCTTCAGATGGCGTTCATGTGATCCATCAGTTGACTCAAGCTGGGCGGACGTTGGTCGCTGTTCTCCTTTGCTGCAAGTCGGAAGTCTTGCAACATCTGATCCCCCCTGGATTGGACGCGCTCCGTTCCTGTATCGGGCTATTGCGACGATTCAGCGGTCGCTATGTCTGTGGCCTCCGCTCGGGCGATCTCATGGAAGAATTCTGCAGACGTAAGTATTCAATTTCTATGCGACTTTGACGTTGCTATCACTACTGGTACGGCTACTAATTCGGTTTCGTGGATAGTCACCAATATCCCTCTCGAAACGAATCGTCAGGAAGGTCCTTCAAACTCCGCAAGACCACCGTGGATTCGTCCAGTCCGCAAAAAGACCCCATCTGTTGCTCGCTCCAACCACAGTGGGGATTCGCCCTCGCAGCACAGTAGTCCAGAGGCGTTCTCATCCGCCGACTTTTTCGCGGAGCCCAAGGCAGGGGCGACACCGTCGTTTGCCTCAGTACCTACACCTACGGCATCATCATCTTCCTCTGGTCAATATCCGAACGGAGGAGCTTCATCCAGTCAGTCAGGAAGCGCCGGTGGCGTACCACCAGCCGCGGGACCGTCCACATTCAATATGGACACCAGTGGAGGGATGAGAATGGATATGATAAGGGAAGACACGCAAATGTACATGTCTCCAGGGGATATGATGGCGTTTTTCAATGACGGGGGCGTGGATGTGAACCACCTATTCTCGGCCGACGCTTTCCTTCAGCAGTCTCCACAATCGCATCATACTCCTCAGGGCGCCCAGGTTTCGCCACAGACGACGGGATCTATAGGTCAGCCTCAACAGCCACCTCCTCCCGGCGGTGGGACCCAACCTGGTCAGCAGTCTGGGTTCATGAAGATGACAGGGCTGGTAACCTCGCCATAACCATACCGACCGTATTGCTATAACGAGGGGAAGACGGTTTCCCCTCGGGTTCCCCTGGTCGTCGACTTGGTCGACATCGAGACTTGTGGGATTGATACCCAGGGCGGCGTCGTGGTGGACACTGTAGTATGGGATGGATTCCCTCCATCTCATTTCCGAGATGGACATTACTTACAGTTGGGAAGAGGGGGTTGGACGATTTCTCGGATCTAGGCGGCTCTAATTTCGACTATCTTTTTCCCCGCATCATTTAGCACGTCTCCTTGCATTCTTCAATCCATCCGCCTCAATGATGATTTCTCCGTCTCGACTGTGTTGCTTTGTTGGGTTCCGCTTTAGGTTTATCGTCGAATTCCACCCGGCTATTCCATCAATATTCGCTTTGCCCGTCTTGCTATCGTCTTTGTTACCGTATCCTACTGCTACTATTCTTTCTCGGGCTTTCCGGTGAATTTCTATTCTAAAATTCTTTTTACGCACCCGCCGCTTGCTATATGTATCATAGACCGACATCCGCATGGGGGGATTGGGCATGGGGTTTTTACATTGGGTCTTTTGAAGCGCTTGATTCGCGGTGCTCCCGTGCGACTCTTCAGTCACTTCTCCGTGGACGTCGAAACTAAGAGTCTTTTATCTCACCTGCCCAATACTAACATGGTCTTTCAGTTTATAAATGGGTTTTTGACTCGACGTGACACCCACCATTCGCGGTGTATGAAAACGAAACGAAATTCTCATTCCCTCAGCCGTGTAAACGGAGTTGATAGCCACGTGGGACGGGATCTCCGATCTCTCCTCTTTCCTTATCCGCCAACTCCTTTGTTGTCCACGCTCGGATGGAAATGGACACTCCTTTGAACATACCCAGATTAATGCCCTCGTTTAATGCGCTGAAAGCCTATAATGTCCGTCAAATGGCAGTGGACGAGAGGCCTTCTTTGGTGCTGCTTCTCCGCCCCTCGAGCCCCCGTATTTCTTCACTGTTTCCTTCCAGTCGCTCATTAGCCCAACGTTTTCCGTTCGAAAGGTTTATCGGCCCACTCGGTTCCCTTGGTGCGTGTGTACTGTTGTGACGATACAGTTGCCCTAGCTAACAAAGGAGCGCAACCTTACCCACAGAACAATAAGCCCAGGTGGAATACCCGAGATGATCTTCTGATTTTGGCAGCTCAGAAACTCCAGTATCCTGCCCTGTCCATTGCGACGTCTTCTGTTCCTATTCTTTTTGTGTTTCGACCCGTCAAATTAAGTCAATCATTCGCTATAACAAAAAGGATGGAGGCGGCACCTTTGGAAGCGTTTCGATACTTAACGCTATCCTCGCGGTCGTTACATTCGCTTCTATCTTTCCACCCACCTATCCTCTCAAGTGGCGACCGCTTCAGTTATTCGACGACGAGGATGACGACCTACGCTCGACCTTGCCCGCCACCGATTAACACCCTTCCGGTGGAGCTGTTATCTTATATCTTTGTGTTGGGTACACACTGTGCCGACCATGGACCCTCTGGTGACGACATCGACTTTACACCTTCGTTTACGGCAGAGAGCGTCAAGACGCCCTTGGTGCTTGCGTCGGTCAGCCGGTATTGGAGGAGGGTAGCCCTCAACACACCGCGACTATGGACTAGCCTCTGCATAACGATGCAGATGGTCACTCCGTCCGAGGATGTCTCCTCTTCACCTACGACGCTCGACACCCGACACATTACCAGCTACCTTGCCCTTTCGAAGAGATACCCACTGGATATCCTTATCGACGCCCGAGATTACGAATGGGACTTCCTAGAAGATGGGTAAGTGTTATCGGTCGTTGATTGCAGGAAGTGGCAAACTCATCTCCTATCTTACAGTGTCACACAAGCTTCCGACGTGGAATGCTATTCTCCGCCCTTCTCTTCGTCGCATATGAAGACGGTGTTTGACCTTCTACTCCCACACCTCTCCCGATGGAAAACGCTGAGTATCTTGACGGATACTTGGAAGCCCATGCATACCGCCCTCCAATCTATCAACACCCCTCTCCTCCACCACGGCGCTCCCCTCCTCGAATCGCTCACCCTTATGCGGTGTAACGATTTTGTCAGCTTCTCCTCTGACTTCCAACCGGCCTCACTGAGGGAACCTGCTTTCCTTTCAAATGCAAAAGCACCATCGCTTAATCAATCGCAAAGCATCCTCCCACGACTGAAGCATCTTTCGCTGCGTGGTGTTCACATGGATTGGGCTTCGTTAGGGGCTGTATTGGCTTCTAGCGTCTCGGGGCTATCGTCCCTCGAACTCAGCTCGCATTGCCCTGACGTTCGACCCAGTGCATCCGATTTCCACCGCATCCTTTCCTCTAGTCCTCGCCTCCGGAAACTTATCGTTTCTGGCTCTGGCCCCTTTATTCCTGGAGATACCACCATCGACGCTCTCATCCGCCGACATGAACTCGACACTGTCCCCCTCCCCGACCTCACCTCCCTCAACCTGGGCTATCGTTCCTCCACCGAAGGCCAATTGGTCCTCCAACTCATCCATGCGCCATGCGTAACCTCCCTGACGCTGGAAGAGGCCACCCACCCCGCAGAGCCAGATGAAATCGACGCAGGGGGCATCCTGACGTACCTCGGAACTGGTGAGTTCCAGAGCGCAAAGGAGCGTGATCTTGCCAATTACGACTCCCTTCAAGGAGGATCCCATCATCATTATCACCAATATCATTCCAAGCCGCGGAAAGACTCGACGTCTTCCATCGCGAGCACTTCGACTTGTGTTGGATCCTCCGTTGAGATCGATGGCCGTCTTTATGACGATGATCATGACGATGACATGACTCTTGTAGACTTTGATACGAAGCTGCAGCCGCCGTTCCCGCTGTTGGAGGCGTTGGCGCTCAAGAGTGTGTGGGCTGCGTCGTCAAGACCTGTCGCTGCGTTTTTGGGGTCGCTCAATCGGCTGAAGCGGTTGGAGTTGGTTGATATGCCCATGTACGCCGTTCATGCTCTTATTTCGGAGCCTGTTCACGACGCGAAGGGAAGCTTGGAGTTACCAAGTCCTTCTACCTCTTCCTCGTCCACTTCTCTTCCCGCTCCTTTCCCTGTTCCCTGTTCCCAACTCGAGACTCTTTCATTACGCAACATCGACCTTCAGCTTCAAGACCTTCACCATATACTAAACGACGTCATCCCTGAACGACACGGCCGAGGAGGGGACAAGCTTCAGAATATCGACATTCACCTGTCGCCGGGCGCTCCAGTCTCCTCATGCCAGATTCAACTCGACGATGGATCAGTGTCGACCATCGAAGACGCCATCCAGTCTCAGGGGTCTGTCTCGTTTAAAAAGGTCGGCGTGTTGGTCAACCTAACTCTTCCCTCCATCTCATCCTACGAAGGCGAGGAAGAGGACTTGGAGATGGCGTTCAATGATCCTCATTTCGACTCTCATTATGATTCTGTTCTTTATGGGATCTAGGGTGTATATATCCTTCTCTATTTCTCGGACTCGCTCTGTTGTATCTTTTGCTATCCTTCCCCTTTCTTGGTCCAGGTGTTTATTTCCTTTTTGCTTCCTCAGGTTGTGTATTAGGCACACTTGCTTCCTGCCCCATGTTGTTGTATCGACTAGTAGATCACCCTGTTGTAGTTTTAGCCATGGCGTGTATTGCTAACCAACACACGAAAATAGAGCCTTTAGCCTCACCTCCCAATCGAAGTGGTCGCGTCGCGAGTCTGCCCCTGTCCCAGGCACCATGGGCGCTTAATCAAATGCCGATGTCGGCCATCAAATCCACCGGCAATTTTCCGACCAGCTCAAGCCTACCGTCACACTTCTTCGACTTGAACCACCATGTCGTCGCACAATTTCGCTGTCCAGGACCTGTCTACCGACCTCAAGGGCAATGTCAAGGGCTCTAAAGCTCCTGTCCCTCTGGCGGGATCATTCTCCACAAATTTCGAGCCGGCGAAGCACCGCTGGACGGCAGGGAATCCATATGTCAGAACCGTATCTCCATGTGGGAAGAACCTACCGAAATGGAAGGGCTCTTGTGTCCAGACAATCTAGTCGGCCAATGCGTACAAAGGGTTTGGCACTGGAGAATCTCTGACTTCTCTATTTCGAAGCTGTTGTGCCCCGGAGGCATCACTTTGAGAAGATCCATCGGCAGCCAACTTGCCAAGGCATCGTTTTCTGCTGTCGAACATTTGAGCGTCCGTGCCGTCGCGATTCGTCACTCTTCTCGCCGTTGCCGGGACTAGCGCTCGCAGGTTGGTTGGTACTGATATCCATCGTTTTACATCCCAGCCGTGATGCCAAGAGTGAGTCAACCGTCTCCGGGACCGGATTGGGAATTCAATTCTTCGCTTATAACCACGATGTTGCAGACGTTGTGAATCGTCAGTGGACAACGCGAACCATCCGCCATTCACTGCACTCGCCTCAGCGATGAAGATTCCCAACCCATTCAGGAGGGATCCCGCCCCTCCTGCCTTTGGGAATGGAGAACCCATTCCAGAGGACAAGGCCAAGTAAGTCGCGATCAGCCTTCTGACAACGCGACCCGTTACTGACTTTGACGGAATTAGCTGGCTTTCAGTTGTGGCCATGCATTGGCTGAGCCCTCTGCTAAGCGTGGGATACTCTCGCCCTCTCGAAAAAGAAGGTAAGGACTGTATCACATCACAGGCCGGAGGATACCCTAATAATACTGAACGGAACAGATCTTTGGTCACTCGGAGACTCTCGACTTACTGGTAATCTGGCCGACCGTGTGGAAGAGCGTTTCTACCTTCGATGTGAACCCAACAAACGCCCGAAGCATCTGCAAGAGAAGCTCGCGACTCTTGAAAGCTTGCCGCCTCAAACCCCGGAGGTTTCTGAAAAGGGTGTGAACCTATCGCGACGCTCAAAGGGGGGAGAACGCTAATGGCCCAGTAGATCAAGACACGGAAAAGCAGGAAAGCAAAGAGGACCCACCGACTGCAAAGGAAGCAAAGTCCCCATACGACGAATCGCTGTTCAAAGCTCTTCACCAAGTGCTGTTCAAGGAAATATGGACATCAGGATTCCTGGGCCTCGCATGCGACACTCTCCGAACGACGACTCCTCTATTGAGCAAGGTGCTTCTCGAATGGTTAACAGCATCTTACTTTTACTCCCGAGCCAGTCAATCGGAACGCGAAGCCTTGGGTGTGCAGCCACGGGGAATTGGTTATGGAATTGGATTAGCGTTTGCGATGTTCGTCATGCAAGGTAAGTTTTCCTTACGCTCTGTGCGGAAATGAATTAACAGTGCATCAGAGGCTGCTAGTCTCGTATGTCACGCCTGCCTGCTTTCAATAGCATCCACTGACCTAGTCTCAAGTTCGGTAACCATTCGATAAAGAGTAAGCATCACCAGCTCTTCCCGTAGCACCATACTAACGGCGTTCTAGTATCCATGGCCGCCGGTCAATCCCTGAGGGCTGGGGTACAGTGTTCAAGCTAGTCGCGGCGGTTCGACTTACCTGACTGGATTTAGATCATCGGAAGCATCGTGCGCAAGTCGTTGCGGCTGTCTGGACGAGCCAGGTCAGAACATACCGTTGGTCAAATCATCACAATGATATCCACCGACGGGACAAACCTGGAACAATTCATGGCATATGCTCACCAGTACGTGTATCTCATTTTGGGAAGGGGCAGTTCTGATCTCCTGCCAGGATGTGGGTGTCTCCCATTCAGGTATTTATTGTCCCCCGTCTCGTTGGGCTGGGGCTGAACGAGGTATAGTTAATTTTGGGAATTGGGCTTTTGATTGGGACGGTGAGCACTACCGGCCTTGTGTACTGTCGCCCTCTCACCTGTGAAACAGCTCGGTTACTCGGCCCTCGTCGGACTGGGAGTTATCATTATCTCCATGCCCGTGCAAGGAATCCTCGTCAAAATCTTCTTCAACCAAAGAGCCAAATGTATCAAGATTACGGACAAACGTGTGCAATTAACGAACGAAGTATTGCAAGGCATTCGTCTGGTCAAGTTCTATGGATGGGAAGGGTTCTATATCCAGCAAATTGGACAATACCGAGGCCAGGAAGTGAAGACATTGCGAACCAGCGCGTTAGTCCCCCCTTTCCCACCCGTATTACTCGACTAACTGCCAGTATCCTGCAGATTGGCTCTGGCAGCGCTCACTTGCATCTTCCAATTTACGCCTGTCCTGGCCGCCATCCTTTCTTTCGTAAGTGTGGTCTAAATGCCCTGAAGATCGTCAACTAACCTTGTCAATAAGATCACGTATTCCCTCACGGGCCATGAACTGGATGTAGCCACCATCTTCACAGCGTTGCAGCTTTTCAATGTTTGTTTTATCGTGTTCCCGTCTGCTACAAAATCCTCAACGAATTTCACAGATCATCCGAATTCCTCTTCTCGTCTTCCCGCTCGTCATGTCCAGCTTGGCCAGTGCCCTCATTGCTCTAGGACGTATTGGAAAGTTCCTCTCTTCCGAAGAGCTCCAAGACCCTTATCTTCTCCAACCCGATTCCAAGCTTGCCGTTGATATGGATGCTGATTTTACTTGGGAGGCTCTAGTCAAACCCGAGGAGAGCAAAGACGACAAAAAGGACGACAAAGTTGCTGAAAAGGAATCGGAAAAGAATGGTGATTCCAAGAAGAAGGGTAAAGGCAAGAAGGCAAAGAAAGGAGAGGCGGATGACAAGGAAGCTTTACCTTCGACAAGTCAGGACGTCGCGGAAGAGCCTAAGGACTCGGACTCTGCCAAGAAGGAAGAAGACCCGCCTTTCGAGCTGAAGAATCTTCGCTTGACCGTACCCAAGGGAGCGCTTGTTGGTATCGTTGGACGTGTCGGATCTGGCAAGGTACGAGGGGTTGGCATTAGTTGTGTTACCTTTCTGACTAGTTGAATAGAGCTCTGTTCTCCAAGCCATCATTGGTGAAATGAGGCGCACCCGAGGCGAGGTCCGTGGTTCTTTTATCCGGGGCCAAAGTAATGTCTAACGAGTGTCACCTTTCATCAGGTTACTGTTGGAGGGAAGATCGCCTACGTTCCACAGGTCCCTTGGATTCAGAATGCAACTTTACGGGAGAACATTGTCTTTGGGCAACAGGACGACGAGAAGCGATTCAGGGATGTTGTAACGGCGTGTAACTTGGATCACGACTTGCAGACCTTGCCGTATGGAGAGCAGACTGAGATCGGCGAGAAAGGTATCAATCTTAGTGGTGAGTGGCAGTTGTTCTCTGAGCCTTCTGTTTCATACCCATCGACTGACTATTCGCTGTGACCTACAGGAGGGCAAAAGGTATTTCTCTTTGGGAGTGGTCTCGAGAGTCATCTAACTTTCAACCCCTAGGCTCGTGTTTCTCTTGCAAGGGCGGCCTACTCGGAATCGGACATCGTGTTACTGGACGACCCCCTATCCGCTGTGGACGCCTACGTCGGAAGATCTATCATGGACAATTGTATCCTCTCTGGGCCTTTGGCTTCCCGCACCCGTATCCTTGTCACGCACTCGTTGCACGTCCTTCACAAGATGGACTTCATCTACTTCGTCGACCATGGAACCATCACTGAGCAAGGGACATATGATGTAGGATACCACTAACCTTTTTGAGGGTGTTTAGTGCTGACATGCAACGCAGGACCTCATGGCTCAGCGAGGTTCCTTCTCTCGCCTCATCGATGAGTACGGCCGGTCGGATTCTAAAGCTGTACAGCAGACAGCAGGACGCACAGGAGCAGCTCAGTCCGCGAAGTCTGAAAGCACCAACGGGGCCGACAAGGACGTCAAAGATGTCTTGATGCAGCTGGAAGAACGTAGTACAGGGGCCGTCACTTCTGAAACCTACAAGACCTACTTGCGGTTCGCTGGGGGTGTCAGATGGGTCGCAATCCTTGTCGTCCTCCTGGCCGTCGGGCAGGCTGTACAAGGTGAGGATCATGATTCATTAGCGGTGTACGGCGACTGATAGCCCCCATGTTCAGTTGGAACTAATCTTTGGCTTGGATTTTGGACGGCGGATGAGATCCCGGCATTTGACAATGGTCGATATATTGCTGTTTACGCCGGTTTCGGTACGTTGCTCCGGTGCCATCGCCTCGTTTGCATCACCAACCTTCTGTCCAGGTGTTGCCGACGCCCTATTCGCGTTCTTGCTCTGCTTTGCCTTCTTGTGAGCACTCTGTTCCCTCATTACAGCATCTGTGCTCACCCCTGCCTACCAGTGCCATGGGATTGGTGGCTAGTCTGAACCTGTTCAGAGCATCGTTGGCCGGCATTCTGCACTCTCCGCTTGCCTTCTTCGACACCACCCCGATAGGTTCGTTCTTCTTCTCCAGACATGTTTGTCAGTTTCCTAAGCGTTGCGCCAGGTCGTATTATGTCCCGCCTTACCAAGGATATCGAAACTCTGGACAACGAATTGGCACAAATCATCTACGCTGTACGTGAAATTGATCATGATAAGAGGGCGAGTTCTAACATGCTTTGCAGTTCCTGTCCACGTTTGTGTCAATTTTCGGTGTCATGGCTCTGGTATTCTATACGTTCCCATATCTCGGTATCATCTTCGCTCCCCTTTCAATCTTGTACTACATCGTGGCCCGCTACTATCGGTTCTCGTCCGTCGAGACGAAGCGTTTGGATTCCATCCTTCGGTCCGGACTTTACGCTGCGGTGTCGGGTGCGTCCTATCTTCCGTCTCCCTGGTACTTTGCTGACCACAACCTCGTATAGAAATGTTGACTGGCCTCTCCACTATCCGTGCTTATGGCATCCAAGTATGGTAACCCTCCTCCCCCTTCCGACGTCCAATTCTGATTCTTGCCTCAGGACCGATCAACCAACAGTGCCAACCAAGGCCTGGACATGCAGAACAGGGCTTTCTACATGGTGATCACCATTCAACGCTGGCTTGGTCTCCGCCTCGATCTTTTCGGCAACATCTTGATTCTCGGAATTGCGCTGTTCGCCGCAGGGTTCCGCGAGGACGTTAACCCTGCGAAGATCGGTGTCGTCTTGACGTACACCCTCAACAGTGAGTTGTGTCCGCTAGTCATTGGAGCTATCCGACTGACGTCCATTGTCTAGTTACCCTCGTCTTCTGTAAGTTCCGACGTTCTGGTGTTCCCAAGATCGATGCTTAACGAGCATTCATTACAGCCGATATGATTTCCCAGTTCGCCATGAACGAGCAGAACATGAACGCGGTCGAGCGAGTCGTCCACTATGCCGATCTCCCGCCTGAAGGTGCCAGGGAAACACCACAAGACCCACCCCCAAGCTGGCCGACGGATGGAGTTGTCAAGTTTAACAATGTGAAGCTTGCGTACCGGGAAGGCCTTCCCTTGGTTTTGAAGGGTGTCTCCTTTGACGTTAGGCCGCGGGAGAAGGTATGTCAAATACGATGTTCTCAGGAAACCCGTGTCTGATCCCTGGTTCTCTGGTAGGTTGGTATTGTTGGAAGGACAGGTGCCGGCAAGAGCTCGTTGCTCCATGCGCTGTTCCGGTATGTGCCTACCTCCTAAATTCACGGATTTGCATCTTGACTCTCCGGCCTTCCATAGCACCGTCAAGCTCGCTGAGGGTTCTATCGAAATCGACGGCGTCCCCATCGACCAAGTTGGCTTAGAGACGCTTCGTACCCGCCTCGCCCTTGTTCCTCAAGACAGCACGCTCTTCCTTGGCACCTTGCGCGAAAATCTGGACCCTCAAGGGCAGCGGACGGATGCTGAGCTCATCGCAGCTCTCCAGCGTGCCTGGTTGCTGCCTCAAGCAGGCACCTCCGATCCAGTCGCCGAAGCCAAGTTCAGCTTGGACAGTATCATTGGCAACGAAGGTGCGTTACCTCTTTCCTGGTCTCTGACATGGGGAGAACAGGATGTTGACTCGCTGGGTAGGCTCAAACTACAGCACTGGCGAAAAACAACTACTCTCCCTCTGCCGTGCACTCGCTCGAAACAGCAAGATCATCGTGTTGGATGAAGCCACTAGTAACGTCGATCTGGAGACGGACGCCAAATTGCAGAGGACGATCCAGAAAGAGTTTGCGGATGCGACTGTGTTGTGTATCGCTCATCGTCTGAACACCATCGGTAAGCTGGCCTTTTCCTTCCTTCTCGCCCTTCCGTGGTGCTAATGACCGGGGTCCTTACAGCTTACTATGACCGTATCTTGGTCATGGACGATGGGCGTGTTGCGGAATTCGACACCGTTCTTAACCTCTTCGACAAGGAGGATTCAATCTTTAGGTCTCTCTGTGATGAAGCCAATTTGTCTAGAGCTGATATCCTTCGTATCCGTGAAGAGCAAAAGGGTGTCCTGCAAGAGTCTTCCTCCGCGTGAAGACTCTGATTCCTTTGTGATCTAGGTGTTTTGGACTTTGGAACTATTGCAATACCCCTTCTCAATCGCTTTCGATTTTTGGTATATGTATTCTACACTGAAACACAACCCCCAACCCTACCCCTCTATCTACCTTATACCTTAATTATTCTCATACCTCCTATTGCGTCTGTACATATCTCCCACTTCACACCCCATACCCTTCAGAATATAGCTGTTAATTGACCCCCCTTGGATAGCTTACTGTTGCACTTTGTGGAATCAGTCTCATTTGGAAACAAGCAGGCTTGACAATGGATATTATGTCTTGATAGGCGATCCAAAGGGTGGCGTTTCGGCGGGGGGCGAAGGCGCGCTGACCAAAGCTGAAGGCGTCCATACGCACGCGAGGCCTGGGGAAGTGTGCTACTTTGAGGTCACTTGACCCCGGGACTGTGGGATGAATGTCTCAACCATCGTGTAACTCTTGACCAACTAGCGGTATTTTGGGACGTCTTCCTCACAGCCGACTCGGGGATATGTTCTGGCCCATTTCCCTGACGCCTACCCCCTGAGCTCCTGGAATGCTTGAATTCTGTACAGAGAAATCGAAGAATCGCTTTTTCCAGATTGCCAAGTACTCTGCTGGTGAAGGAAAGCATCGGCCTTGCTGCCACACATTCGGGATTGGGAATCAGACCTCGTTGGGTAAGCAACCCGGAAAACCAGGAAACCATTATTCCAAACACATTGTAAAGAAAACACAAAACACCATACTGTAAGGTAAGCGGTGGGACGACAACCAATTAAAAAGTGAAGATAGCAACCACAACCGAGAGAGAAGAAAAAAAATTAAATTAAAAGGATCCTGGATTCCACTGTTGGGAGATCAATGCAAGGGTCATCATCCGAGTGTGAAGAGAAAACGATGTACAAGAGCTGCGGAGAAAGAGGGGAATGGTGATACATACAATGTAGATTCGTACATGTTGAAGGTCCGTTCGTTAACGCCGTTACCGTTTTCTCTTGCCTCCGACGGTGGCATCCACTTCGTCCATCGAGACCACTCCGCCCATTTCACCATCCACGTCCATAGCGCGACTAGTACCGGGCTCGGGACTGGCCTCGTGTTCGACGAGCACGCCATCCTCCTCGACCGGGTCGTCCGTGAAAGGCGATCCGCGCCCAAACACCGTATTTCGCGCCGAGGGGTTCTGATTCTCGTTATTGTTTCGGCGGGGTCGGAGAAGGCTTGGCCCTGCATCGCCCTCAACCTCTGTCTCCGCGCCGGTCTCCCTTGGAGGGGCTGCCAAAGCGTCGGGATTCGCAGCAGGGGGCTCCCCCTCTCCCCCTCCTGCCTCTGCCTCTGCAGCTGCTGGCGCCGCCTCGCCCTCATCCGAAGCCGCGGGGTCATCGTCAATATCGACATCCATATCAACTTCGACGTCTTCTTCGAGATCGGCGAATGTGCGGCATAGGGGGCACGAAAAGCATGGGTGGTGGAGTTCGAGAAGTGGGCGTATGCATTTGTAGTGGAAGGTGTGGGAGCAAGGGGTGATGAACAAAGATTGGCGGATGGTCACCGGGAACAGGCAGATGCAGCAGTCGCCCAGCTGGGTCTTGGCTGGCTTGCCCCCTTTGAGGTTGTTCGCTTGAGCTAGAGGCCCTGCGATAGCCTTGAGGCTCTTTACTGCGCTTGTGCTGTATCTTCGTTAGCAAAGAAAAGAAATAAAGAGGTGAAACCCACTTGAAAGCATTGGCTGTAGTTTGCCACTCTCGTCCCAGTTCAATACGAATCTTGACACTCTTGTAAATGTCCTCTGCGCCTCCCTGATAGTCGACGCCGAGTTGGAGAATATCGCCGTCCTTGATCTGGAACGGTTTCGACTCTGAATTCGCTGGACTCAGCCGCACATGGTTCAGGAACGTCCCTGAACTCGATTTCGTGTCCTTGATGTAGAATTTCCCTCCAGCTTCTGCCCAAATCTCTGCATGAGCCCTCGAAACAACTTTGGACTTGAACGCCAGCTTGTTCGAGTTCATGGCGTTGACAGCGGCGAGCCCCAGGCCTGATCTGTCGGTGAATCGTCCGATTCTGAGGGCCGGGTCGCCTTCGCGCAGCTCACGGGTTATCGCCTCGAACCGCAGGTTTCGTCGATTGTCAAGGTGGGGGACGAGTCTGATTCGGTGAGAGGGGTTGTTGTTCGGCGTCGACACTGCGTTCGACGACGACCCCGCTGGGTTGTTGGTGTTCGCCGCTGTCGCTGGCGGCGCCGTCGTCGAGTTGGCCATCGGTATTGGCACTGGGGGCTGCGCTGGTTGGGCGGCGACGTTCCCCGCGCTCCTGCGCCGCCGCAACATGTTGGAGAAACCCAACCCGCCGTTCGAGCCGCTGTTCGACGGTTGTTGGTGCATGAGCCCTGGTACTATCGGCCCTCGTCGTCGTGGGTTCGGCGACGGCGGCTGCGGTGGCGATGGGGAGACCTCTCGAGGTTGTTGTTGCTCGGTGTTGATGTGAATAGACGAATTTCTAGGTCGACCACGAAGAAAAGAGCCTAAAATTGTTGTCCTCGACGGCGCGTCGTCGACGATGGGGGCCTCCATAAACGATTATCGCCGTCGTCGTCGTCGTCGACAGCGAGCAAGTGGCAGTCAGGAAGAAACCAAATCTGGCTTGGCGCGGCCCAAACAAGGTTGGCCGTGGGTTGGACCTGAACCACGATCACATTGTCAGTTTTGGGACGATTTTGGGCTAGAAAAATGGGTACTGACGACGGTTTTTCTATCTAGAAAGGTTGGTCAAGGTTCAAGTTTAAACAGAATCGAAACGAGGCTAAAACAGCTATAACAGCAGCTGCACAGGTGGCAGGGCATAGCCTTCAGTGCTGCGTCGTCGGATCCCTATCATGGACCGATATAAATCACAATGTCGGACTGATTGCAGTCGCAGAAAACGACCCCAACGGTGTCCTTGTGACTTGGAAACCCCCAGACTATTGTCTTTGTTTTTTTCTGTGTGGCAGTTCTCGTCTACACACGACAGCCGAGGCTTTCCTTCTCCCGTCAACATTTCTCCGATACATACTAGGCAACTCTGGCGGCTCCGACATGCAGTTTCACAGTCCTGAGCGATTCCGAGCATAGGCATTGACATCTGCGACTTGCATGTGGTCCTCGTGATGCCTATCCAACTCGGCTTACAGGGCAACATGTACTTATCACCCAATGTCTTCCACGCAGACTGTGAATGATTGCGCAACACGATTCACGTACGCGTTGGATTCAAGGGTTCCACTGTGACGTACATCTATCGTTTCAGCGTCTGATAAGTATGTCTTGACAGTGGTACTTATGCCTATCGTTCTCTGCGTTCTGTTTAACTGTCCAGCAGCATTCCCAAGGTGTGACTACCTCAACACACACCCACATAGGGCACCCTTCGAGACCCTGGCGATGGAGGTCACTCCTCCATTCCCGTGACGCCTCGCCTCTCGGACGAAGCCCCAAACCAGCTCATCCCGCGCTTTCGGGCGAGTGGGGAACCACTCCGATGTTCCCGGAGGCCTCCCAATCATGTCGACGCGGCTTCTTGCGACCTCAAGAACACAACCACTACCGCGAGGACACAACCACTTGCGTCCAGGAGACCCCAACGACTTGTGTACCATTACCTTAACTGGCAGCAGGCTTCAACACTATCTCCTCTCAATCGACTGCTTATCGACTATCGCCGGCTATCTCTGCTAGTTGGCCCAAGCTAGCTAAATCTAATCACCGTGACTCTTCTGGCGCGATGAGGTCCTGGGTCTTCCTCTCGTCACAGAGCCCCTGGGCCCCTAGACGCTGCCGGAACCCTGACGTTCCTGACCTCCGTTATCGTGGAACCAGTTCTGGTATGTACTTGTGGCTTTGGACGGTAGTAGCCCAGGAGGCTCTAGTGTGTTGGAAGGTTTCAGACGTCGCGGTCGGTGGAAGCTTGGTCAACGATATGGCCTTTTGCTCGGGGATAGAGCAAGTAGGAACGGCTGGTGCTGAAGCTAAAGCTGAACCACTATGGAGGGATTCAAAACCTCACGTTGACCAACCTTGGCTCAGCCACTCAGACCTGGCCTGCGGCGATGAGCCTGCCGCCCTTCAACTCGTTGCGAACAGGATTATTGGTACGAGCACTGGCCCTTCCCAATTCTAGATCCAAAGTCTAGTGTTTTCCTTTGGAACCCTGTCAAGTACTATCAGGTGAATAGTCTTTCCGGTCAATCAGTTCGATGTCGACTTGACGCTACCATTAGACCTCTATCGGTTCGTTTCGGTCGCTAAAGGGATTGAAAATCGGCCCTGCATACACTGGCAGTCAACTGCGTCTGACTCTGCCTCCGACACCATCTGATACTCTTAGGACCTACTGAAATTATAGTCGCGGGAGAGGCTTCATCGACAATGTAACCGGTTGCTCATGAAGAAAAATGGAAACTGCTTAACGAAGCAGAACGACGTACTGCGGGGGAATGTCTCACCTCGACGATCCTTGCTCTAGTCGATGCCTGATCAACTTCCTCCGCCAATGTTTCATTTTGACGTGAGACTCTGGATGCTTGAACAGAGCAACCGTGTGGTTAGGCCACTAGTCCTCCAACCCACCATCTAGTGCAAGGGAGGAGACCTTCTCCTTTCCTTTAAACAGGATCGTCAAGGATCAGCATTTCATCCATTCTATGTATGAGATTCTCCGTTTCCTTTGGAAACCTGTCAGCCTTCAGGTGTTATTAGACGGTGACTATGGGGTTAAATTGATGCTACCATTACAAGGACTTCTATTGGTACCTTTCGGTCATTAAAAAACTGCAAGTCGCTAACCTGCTCCTACCTTTCGTACGAGTCGTGGTCGATCATCCGCAATGGATGGGAACCTCAGAGTCAAAGACAGGCGGCTCTGCACAGGAACCCCGAAGTTGCGGTGATCTCAACGGATTCAGCGAGGGTGGACTCATTGGTTCAGACATTGTCTGGGAAAGAAGGGAATAACTGTGTGCGTCTCGACTTCATCTGATCAAGGGACTGGCGTTCTGTGAGAATAGGCGCCCACTATTAGAGTGTTGGGCTTGACCAGTGGGTTCGCATTTGAGTTCATTTTCTCACATCATTTCTGCGAGGACGCCTCAGCGGTGGCGTCGCGTTGTCTGTTGGCGTTTGGGACTCGGTAGATGAATTCGGAAATTTGTCTAAGATCTAGTAGACGCACTTTACGTGCAGTAAACATTTGCCACCCATGGACATGGGAATCAATTCAATGCTTACCACTGACCCTGGCCCACCGCAATATCTCTATACAGGGCCTTCCCTTTTTCACTGCCGGGACTGAACTTACTCTTTACTCGAAACAGGCTCGGGGACGTCAGCGTCGCGGGAACGATAATATGTCAAGACTATTTATACACAGAACGTGATGCCTATTTTCGTTCACTGCGGAGAAAGTAGAAGGTGCAATCATTACGGTCTGTGTCCTAGTACATACTACTTCTCCAACTGTACATAACGTCCGTTGCTTCGTGTTCCTAACCACTGGCGACCTTCAAGCTTCCCAACGCAGCTTGACAGATGAACAACAATCCCCCCACTTCCAACTGCGCTCCCATCGCCCTTAGCCCTCCTCGTACTTACGTGTCTGTCCACAACTTTCAGTTCTGACCATTCAGCCGATACCATCCAGTCGGGTATGTAGTAGATGCCAACATGGCGGAGAAGCGATTCGTAACGAATTAACGGTCCATATGTTCGCCGGCCGGAGATTGAGCGTCTCTACAGCGTACGCTGTATGTTGCAGCGTCGACTACTCCGTGATTCTCTCTGCCCTCAAACTCCCTAGACCTTCCAATTGAATGTGTCCTCTTCGAAACTTCTCGCTCCCCCGTTCTTTGTCGACAACTGCTCAAATCTGTCATAGGTCTTTTTACCTGGCTCACTCGTAACCACGACGAAGTCCAATCGAAGGGTGTCAACGAGCTCTCTCGCTGGTCTGAATTTGAGTACTTGCGGTCCTACCACGAAAGTCACGGGCGGTTGGTACAGATGGGATTGTGGACTCGTTACCTCACCCTGTCCTCATCGTCCCGCTCTCGTCGCCCCCTTTCCAGTGGCGCCCAGGGCGGAGGAAACTAGGTAGGCGTGGGAGATATGATGATCAAATGATCTGGGCCTTGCCGGTCACCAACGGCTATGCGTATCCGGCAAACTTCCAGAACGAATCCACCTTTGTTCTTCTACGGTGTGCTCTGCGTACATACTGAGGTGGGACGAGAACTTTCTCGTCTCAAGGGAAAAGTGCTCTCTCGGTATCCAGTTCTTTTCGCGGTGTGTGTCGGCGGCGAGCACCGAGCCCGGGACACCCCTGCCGTTTTCGCCACAGCAATTTCCTTTTCGAGTGACGACGATTCAATTCTATTTGCCCCTCGGCAAAATGTTTTGATGGAATGTCGACATGTCACCACGTAAATGTCTTCTGCGACAATTGAGGGGGGGCCCTGACTGAATATGCCATGATGGTGGACGTTTGAACCTTCTTTTCGTCCTCGTCTGCGGTGCTGGTGCTCGTTCTCGACATATAAGCCTTACGTGCATGTTGCATTAACGCCTCTTGCTCCCCCAGTTCACTGCGTCGCTTGGTAGCAAGACGAAAATGGCAGGGCCATCCCCTCCGGAGGACATGCCCTACGAGGAGATTCTCGACATTGCCCGCAAGGGACTTTACGTGCAAGGTATGCGCGGTTTTCTCCTCCTGACGATAGGTAACGCTTCTGACTGTTTTTTCAGTCGCTGCGTTGACGATTATACTCTGGGATTATTGCAAGTTCAAATTCTCTTCTCCAAATGGGATAGGCGGGGTTGACGATTAGGTGTTTCGGTTCAGTCACGACGTTAGATTTGGAGGTGTGCCCGTTTGAGCCTCATCTGTTACACTGGCGCTAATCATTTATAGATTGAATTAATCTGGGTATGGCCCGTTTCCAACGCCAGGTATACCTTCATAGCTGACCCTTCGCCACCGCACAGAAACGAAAATGGTCCCCTGTACACGTCCTGTATTTCATCGTCAGTTTCTTCTTTCGACGCGTAGTTCTTGTTTGTTGAACGTGAAGCAGGCTCGCTACATGGGAAGCATGGTGTTCATGTGAGTTCATTGCGCATTCGCCCCTCTATGTAGAGCGTGTGCTGATCTTCTGCTCACAAGCCACGGAACGATCTGTCAGTCTGGCTTTATTTTCCTGATGCCCTGCTGCTCATCCAACCCCGTTTAGATCAACTCTGGCTCTCAGGAGATGTGTTCGAAAGAGTGAGCAAGCAATTGGATTCAATATCTATCCCTGATACTAACTGTCGCCCACTGCACAGGTGTAGGTCTCGTCGCCTATATCGCCATTCTCATGATTTTTCATATTTTTGAAACGTTAGGTGTGAGTGCCCATCTCCGAAAGCGTGTTATCAACCTTTTCTAATCGCAATGCTTAGGCCAGAGCGGTGGGCTTGTCCAGATGATTCTGAGCATGATCTCGCTGTGGGCGATGCAAGGTCAGTCGCCTTGGACGCGCACGTACTGGCAGTAAATCCCTACCTGACCTGCCTAGGTATTATTATCAACCGACTGTGGTGCATGTACCGTCGATCACGGCTTGTCATCACTCTCCTTATGACTGCTCTGTTCGCGGAGGCGGCCTCCTCCATTTTCGTAGTCGCTCTCAACTTCCGTCTGGAAACCAGTAAGACTCTAGTACATACTGCCACAAAGCTGATGCTCACACCGCATCTGCATAGGGATTACGGAGCTGAACTCCTACCGAGATATGTGCTTTCCGACAGGGTTTGACACACATTTCTATGTGTTCTGGATTTTCATCCTCGCGTTCGACGCTCTCATCTTCACTCTGGCTTTCTTGGAAGCCATCAAATACATCCGCGAAAGTCAGGCCCGCAGGGCCCTTCACCAGGGTAGCGAGAGAAGCTTCTTGAACTCTGACTCCTGGCCCTGGGTCTCGCGTCATGGGAACTTCGTTCAAGTGCTGCTCCGCGACAGCATTGTTTTCCCCTTCATGTGAGTCTCTCCTCAATCGTACCCCTGGCACTAGTGTCTCATGCATCCGCAACAGAACACTAGTGAGCTGTCTGCTCAATATTCTTGCATGGTTTCAGGTATTGCCCGTGAGTGGAATTTTACCTCTCCACCTATTGCACAGCCGAATCCCAGAGCTGACGGTCCCCTCAACGCTCTAGTATGGCTGGCTGCAGAACACCTTGAATTTGTCTGCGGTTTGCTCGCCTATTCTCGGTTGCCGGCTTGTTCTCAACCTACGCGAGCTTTACTACGAACCATTCGCTGCTGAATTCCGCGTTTCAAATCGGGGAGAGGTGCCCAACTCACCTCGGAGCCCGATCGACAATTCATTCGAACTCCCAGTCGTATTTGCGAAGTCTAGAACGCAGCAATCGACGGACATGGACAGCATTTCCTAGATGACCGAGAGCGAGAAAGAGCCGACTGCCGAAGTCCATCTTTCCTGTGAGTCCATTTTCACTGTCCTCGGTTCTTTCCAGCTCAGTCCCGCATTTCATGACAGTCTTGTTCTCGCAGAGATCCCTACATGGCGTGCTCTCCCAACCCTTTCCCATCCCATCAGCAACATTTGGATTGTCGATTCATAGAGCTCCTCGACGAGTCACCATCATGGATTACCGGATGACTGTCTGTTTGGGATTGCTGGGGTTCTTTCACGCACCACAGTGCCACTCGGAGGCGCCGCAGCACTCGGAAGGGTACGCGTGGAATTGGACCTGCTTTCCAGATGGGCGCCGCTGAAGGTGGCTGGATGAGATGGTGCGATGTGCAACTTACGACGTTTATGACATTCCGGTTTCAATTACAATAGATTTGTCACGTGTGTAAAATAGGGATTGTATTCAATCAGGTTCCTGAAGGCTCGGGTGGGGGCGCGGTAGACCAGCAAGGATCATTCAGTTTCCAGGTTTTATGATCGTGGGCGTCTATTCGACGCGCAACGCCCGCCCGCCGCCTCGGGTCACCATCAAGCGTCTCGGCGTGATCCCACAAGGGATCAGTACCTTCCAGATTCCACCAAATCAGCTGCGAGGGGCGGGAGAATGGTCACGTAACCACCCGAGCTTATATGGAGCGGGGCGCAATAGCTCCCGATGGGCTACTTCTTCCTAACCATCTCCTGACCTCTCCAACTTATTTGAAGTGTTTTCGCACAACTTCCTGCCACGTCGTTGACGGCGCTGCGTGCGGGAGGAAGAATTCTTCACGAGACGAGCAATGAGTGGCCCTCGCCCACCGGCAGACTGGTCTCTGGAACAGATCCTCACAAGTTCAAGGAATGCGCTGTATTTGCAAGGTATGTGTTTCTTTTTCTTATCGTTGGCCTCGAGCTGAGACGCAATCGCTTCCATAGTCGCTGGTACTGTCGTAGGACTTTATGATCATGGCAAGCTCCGACCTCTCGATGAAATTTAATGGCAAACTTACGCGGTTAGGGGCTGTCTGCAGTGACAACGTTCGATCGAGAGGTATGGCACCGATCCTGAGTTCTGGCTGGAGCATAGGCTCTGACAAAATACTCATGCCTACCTCTTCAGGTTGAACTTATCTGGGTACTGTTCAGCGACCTGTGCTCCCTCGGCTGTGGACACTGAGCGTAAGGTGCTATTTCTAGGGACGGAAATGGTCGGTTACCCAGTTCCTCTATTTTGTGGTATGAGTCTACATCCCTTGCGTGGAATTCCAGCCGAGTTTAAATTCACAAAACAGAACCGTTATGCCGGAGGTGCCCTTCTTCTGTGCGTTTCTAGCTTTTTACTTACATCCCAATTACTGACATATTATCGTATTAGCCATGGCACTGCCTGTTAGTGTCCGTTCATCAGCCCTCGGATCCTCTCTCATAATTCATTTGCCCTATAGATCAATTATGGGTCGAAGGAGAAACATTCCGCAAAGTAAGTCAACTTCACCTGAGTGGACGGAGTGGGAATTAACCTTTAACCAGGCGTGAGTAGACTTATTTCTAGCATGCCCATCTCTCACTCACCGGGTCGCTCTATTCGGTAACTCAGGTGTAAGCCCTCTCGCTATTCACTTCAGCCCCTTTCTCAAAGGATACGCAGGCCGAACTGGGGGTCTGGTCCAAATGGTCCTCAGCATGATTACATGGGGAGCGATGCAAGGTGTGTTCCCTCTTCGCCTTCCGTTGAGCAACTTAGTTAAGCGCCCATCCCCCTAATCAGCCATCATGATTAACCGACTATGGTGTATGTATCGCCGCTCCAAGGCTATCCTTACGCTACTATCACTCGCCCTTCTCGCCGAGACCATTTGCTCCTCCATTATTGTCGCTTTGAATTACGAGGTTGCGAACGGTGAGTCCCGCGCTTACTTGGCGGACGTCCTGGTGGCTTACCTACCTTCCGCACCTTAGTGGTCGTTGAATGGTCTCCCAATTTTGTCATGTGTGTCCCAACGGGTTTCGCAAGCTCGTTCTACTTGTTCTGGATTTTCATTCTGGTTTTCGATATCCTCATCTTCATGCTCGCCTTGCTCGAAGGACTCAAGTACTTCCGAGAGGTAGCCAGACAAAGGGAACTCCATGATTCAGGACAGTTGGTGACATTTGGTTCGGTATTATGGGGTCCTCGAGAAGGCACTCTCCTCCGAGTCCTCTTGCGAGACAGCATCCTCTTTCCCTTCTTGTGAGTTTGATTCTTCATACCGCTTAGTAGGTCAGTACACTGACTTCCTGATAGAACCCTTGCCTCATGTATCATCGTCACACTTGCGTGGTTCGAAGTCCTCCCTGTAAGGCTGCTTCTCTATCCAATCGCGCTGTGACCCCTCACCAGTCATTTCACCTTAGCACGGCACCCTTCAAGCTGGCCTTGTTGTTTCCGGGGTGCTCGCCCCAGTACTCGGGTGTAGGCTCATCCTGAACCTCAGGGAGCTGTATTACCAGCCTTTCTCTGCCGAGTTCCAACCCCCAACTCAGAAAAACAGCGATCCGCCATTTTCCCCTGTGACTTTGGGAACTTCGGACTACTCCCTTGAACTCCCGGTAAGGCCCACGAGGCCTCATGTCCCGAAAGACGACGAATCGCCCAGGAAGCTCGAAGGTGGTCAACTTGCCCGCTCCCGTAGTCGATCGGGCATTTCGCAAGAAACACCAACCTAGTAATCACCTGAACGCGCCCTTCCCTTTGGTCTCCACTCAGCGTTCCAGCCCCTCTTCGGGCCGCGGGCCAGGTACCGTCATCACGATCACCTGAACGACGACCGCCGCAACGACAAGCAATGCGGGACGTCGACATATAGGGCTATACAGCCACACGACTAGTTTCCATTCTGCTGGAACGGATGCGCACGGCCTGCGCCATAACCGTATCGACCATTCACATCAGTCCATGTAACGACTGTCATGATAACGTGCTAGTGCAGTGGGAGGCAGGAGCACCATGTAGCTACGACTCACGAATTGAAGACGTTCGCGAAGCCTTTGACACCTGCTCATCCACTCATGTATGTCTCTATCCTGTCATTGAACCCAAATAATGCTTTAGTCGGTCGCGATTATGTATGAAAATTCGGAGCCTATCCTCACCCTGTCTTGGTTGAATTCTGCAGTGCACGGTGTCCCCTGTCCCCTCTTGTTTTACAAAATTGAATCTCCATGGACAGGGAAATCGTTCTCCTGTGCTCATTGTCCGGTATCTCCACTTGGCTTCCTCGTATCATGCGAAGGATCAACGTCCTGAAAGCGCCGAAAATCGCGGTGGGCGCTAACTGTGTTCATCGTTCCCACGGTAACCAGGCTTTGTTCACGGAGATGTTTGGGGATGTTCTGGAATCGCTACAAGTAGCTCGCGGCTGTACGTCTAAACCTCTCACTCTCTGTCCAGTTCACCATAGTACCCTCGGGCTCGGTACATTGGGAAAGGTGTGGAAATGGCGCTCCAGCACTATAACCACTTCAGGATGAAAAGGCCGGCGACCGTTCACCAACAAAATCAGCTGGTGAATGTCCTACGCCTGACTGCATGGGTTCAAATACCCGCAATTGAGGACCGCTGCCTTCGTTAAAGCCCCCCTCTCTGTGCCTCTCTCTCTCTCTCTCTCTTTCGATCACATTCCTCCTCCGAGTAGGCATAATGTCAATGCCGCCGATGCCCATCGAGCTTGTTCGAGTGGTGCAAAATGGACTCTATTGGCAGGGTTTGTGGATTTTCCTACTAGCACGAGCCCAGCAGTGGCTTATCTCAGTCTTCCATGGCCAGTTGCAGCCACGACAGCGGTTCTCTACGATCACGGTGATTATCAAGGTCATCCTTCGCACTCCTTTTCCATGTTAACGCGATGGGAACAGTCACGACGTTGGATCTGGAGGTGGGTGCTTGGCTTCGACTTCGGGCGTCTAGTGGTCACTTCCAAATAAAGCTTCCAGGTGGAACTTGTCTGGGTGAGAGTGCAACCAACATACAGTGGCACAGCATTGATGGTTGAATCTGACCCTCTATTAGAGGCGGAAGTGGACCTTTGTTCAGGTTCTGTTTGTGGTGGTGAGTTTCGGGGTCATCACAGTGTGTTATTCCCCGGCTCAACCTCCTCCTCAGAACAGATACTTGGGTGACGCCCTTTTCGTGTACGACTTCTTGCGCCTTCGTGAGCAAACCTGACCAAAAATTGACGTGCAATTCACCGCCGTATAGGCATGGGGCTAGTGGGTACCCGCTTATCCTCATGCCTCCGCCTAGTTTCCCTGACCTCATGTTATTGTGCTCCAGCACAAGCATGGTTCAGTGGGGAGATTCTGGAAGCGGTAGGTGTGCCACTCATTTTTGCGCTGTACCACGTCACTGAGATGTGTTTATTCAAAGGCGTAGGTGTCGCACCATGGACTGCAAACTGAAGCGCTAACACCAGTCGCGGTCGTAGATGTCTGTCCATTTTCCTTTCTCGATGAGAAGAATATCGAACAAGAATCCAGGTCCAAGTGGGGTACATATTCAAACATGGTTGGGAATGATTACCCTGTGGGCAATGCACGGTGAACACCTTTGCGAAACAGCAATTCGATAAGACACGTATTGACTTTATTCTGCAGGGATAGTAATTAATCGCATCATGTGCATGTACAACTATGCACGAGGGGTGACGGCCCTTCTTCTCTCTTTCTTCTTCATCCAGGCTGGATATGGCTTAATCGTCGCCGTCCTTTCCATCGAGAGGCCCAGCAGTACGTACACCAGCCTGTTCGAAGGCGAATCTAATCAGTGTCGCCTTACTAGGTATGGTGACGCTAGCCCCAAATTTCCGGATCTGTGCGCCCGTCAATACTGCTGACTGGTTCTGGCCGTTTCTCTTCTTCATGGGTGTATTCGACTTGTTGATACTTCTTCTTTCCCTGCTTGAGAGCATTCGCTTCTTCTTTGCAAGTTATCAGCTCGTGGCCAAGGGCAGTCTAGTGCCCAAATTCTCGTCGACAGGATGGAAGAGCCAAACGCATATATTTCAAATTTTCTTGCGAGATAGTGTGTTGTTTCCCTTCCTGTAAGAATCGCCAGCCTGGATTCCCAAAGACCAAAGTAACCTACACCAGTTGACAGGGGATTCGCAACGTGCATCGTCAGCCTCCTGGCATGGCTGCGTATCGTAAAGGTATGGTTACGCCAAAATGAATGCACTTGTTCTCAGCTGACCATAAGTACTTATTCAAGCCGAGCGCCATCCAAATCACCATCATCCTTACCACCATGGCGCCACCAATCCTAGGGTGCCGACTCATCCTCAACCTACGGGAGGCTTACTACAAGCCATTCGAGGACGAGTGTCGAACGGCGTTGATTTTCGCCGATCTTCCCAGCTCAACTCAATCTCAACCTCCTTCCCCTGGCATTAGTAGCCTCACCCCGGTCTCTACAAATGATTCGAATTGTTGAGAACTATTTTTAACTCGGACCCTTTCATTACATACTTACATTGTTCAAATGTAAATGGACACGGACTTGGACTAATTGAATCTTATCGCTAGGGATTGAAGCCACCCATCGTAGGCGCGTGCCTCTGTTGAAGTAGCGCTGGCTGTCATCTTGTCTTGCGCGATGTAGATATCATTGTGGCTCGGTGGCTTGAGAAAGGATTGGACCCAGACTGTCATTTCTGTCGTGAATTGGTGGATAATAGATTGTCCATGAATATCGACGTTCAATCACCTTTACCACACCCCGACCTTTCGAGGAGATGGATACTGTCACGATACCAGCGGTGGCTTCACCGTGGCGAGAATCCATGGCAATTCATGCGAAAAAACATGTTCCAAAAAGGACACGGTCATAGAGGGGTTGACTACTCCAGTAAAACTCCGAGATGCACACTGTGGCATCTGTCCTCGTACTCACGTAACGCGAGAAATAGTCCGAAGCTGGGATATGAGCTAGCGTTCGTTTCACCATGTCATTTCTGGCTTTTCCTCACACCATATGTACGAGCGCGAGGCGCGCTTGCCTCCCTTCCCCCGTCATAGACGAACAACTACCGCCACTTATAGACGAGAATGAGTGAAGCCGGCGGAGAGATCACTGGCTTTGTATTCCCGTCTCCAGAGGTGTGGGCAGCGTTGGCGAAAACGTTCCAAACTGGGCATTATTGGCAAGGTATGTACGATTACCTGGGATACTGTCCAAATCGTACTCTAATATCCTCGTAATACTAGCCGCAGGGACCGCTGTTGTGCTTTACGATCATCGTACGCTCCTCCATAGACTTTCCATTTGGAAACGCCCATGCTAACCTGGGTCCTTTTCCAGTGACGACACTTGACCTGGAGGTTCGTTACGAGAACGGAATCATATCGAAAGAATGCTAACGGTGTTGAATTAGATTGAATTGGTGTGGGTGAGTTCGAGCACGACATGCAGGAAGAGTACCTCCCTCAACCAAGCTCCGTAGAGAAGGAAATGGTCATACGTCAAGGTGCTCTACATTCTGGTGCGTGGTCTATATCTCCAATGCTCGACAACTTCGTGACCTTGCACCTAGAATCGATATCTTGGCGATGCACTGTTTCTGTGAGTGCTTGATGATAATTGTTGCGACCTGGCGAGTATTTACGAGTCCTGGCCATGTTTCCTTTACCCAGTCATGGCTCGACTGGTAAGTCCTAGCAAATCATCGAGGTTCAAATCGTCGTTGCTCAAATATAAACAACATTGTCTAGCCCAGTTCTGGATCACGCGTTGGGACCTATTTGTGAAAGTAAATTTGAGACTTTTCATTTGAAGAATGTTCGGTAACTGACTGGAAATTTTGTTCTAGGTGTACGTCGGGACTCATTCGTAGCCTAACACGATACAGCAGTGCTGAATTTTCGCAGATGTAAGCCCGATATTTCACCTTCCCACTTGAAATGAGTTACTTAACTAGGTATAGGTCCAAGTGCCATCCAAGTACAGGCATGGCTGGGGATGGTTTGCCTGTGGGCTATGAATGGTAGGTCCCGGGTCATCTCGCCCTTTCACAGAAGTTAAACAGTCCTTTACAGGCCTCATCATCAACCGAATTCTGTGCATGTATGAGCATCGAAGGAGGATACTCTACCTCCTGCTGACAGCGTATGCTATTCACATTACGGCGGGTACCGTCTTGACCGCCAAGGCCCTTGATACTCCTACTGGTAAGTATCGATTCATACACTATGCTTCTGCTTTGCTGAACATATTGTAGTGCCGGGGATGTTTTCACCAAAGCTACTCGTTTGCATGCCATCCACCCCACCTTGGTTTTGGTCCTACGCCTTCTTCACTGCCGCCTTTGAATCACTCGTTTTTACCCTGTCCCTCATTCAAGGTATTCGATACTATCGCGAAGCAAAAACTACGTATCCCGGCAAACTGCCATACCGACTTTGGTCGCGACAAGCCAACCCTATACAGGTCCTATTTCGGGACAGTATTCTGTTCCCGTTCATGTAGGCGTTTCTATACTTTTTCCCTTCTCCATTATCTGATAGTTACGCCCCTAGCGGCATGACCTTTGGTTTCTTTGGGATCCTTGCCTTCACGGGGGTGCTCCCTGTATGTTCTTTCCGCTTTCTCCAACATTTACCATCGCTCAGCAGTGTCACATCTAGATTCACGCGTTTCAGTACGTTATAATCATGTCGTCGGCCAGCTCGCCTATTCTAGGCTGCCGGCTCCTCCTCAACCTACGGGACGCGTATTATAAGCCTTTTAGGCACGAGGCCAACCTCTCCGACTTCAGTCATTCAGACCAAGGGCTGGATTCCCTGAGCGATCCACGAATGCCACTACCGGTCCGCCAGTACGACCTATCTGATTCAATAAGATAATTTGCTCCCCAGTCTGAATCGCTCTGTAAAACTATAATCTATGTAATATAATCGTTCCCCCTGCCATCATTCCAGCGACCCTTTCGACCTCACTAGGCCTCACTGTTCCTCACTGCCGTCCAATCTTTGATCGTCACACGACGCCAACAAGATTCGGCCGGGACTTCATTCCTCTTCACGTCCGCTCACCATCGTTGCCTGGCTCGCCGAAAGTAGGACTCTTTGCCCTTTCACCAGCTACTGACCTATGACCGTGGCACTATGCATAGTCCCGAACCTTAGTCCCCGAAGTGACATCAATCGGGAGGTGATATCATGAAACAAGCAGGCATAATTATAGGTCGAGTAAAGTGGGCGTTGATCGAACTCGTGTCTCCCCCTCCCAGTCATGTCGGCGCCATCGCCAGTTGCAAAAGCGCAGAAACGCCCATCTACAGTGGTTGTACAACGTCTCCAGCGCGTCGCTGTTGGCCTGGGTCTGCTGTACACGGGTGCTGTCCTGCTCGTGCTAACGCCGCTCATCCAAACTCTGTATGCTACACCCTCTCCAGTGCACACAACCGTTCCCAATTGATTATCGACTAGGGTTCTGTACGCTACACATATCGATGTGATTGGTTATTCCAAGTTTGAACATCCAGAGCATTACGGTCTTGCGCGTGAGTGTCGCTCGTACGACCACTGTCGCGACATCTCTAACTCGTCTTCAGCTGGCAAGACCATAAATATGGCATTGGGCTCGTCAGATAATGTCACACTGGGCGCCTGGTTCGTGTTTTCGGACCCCTTCTATCGGAAACTACCACACCCCCACCTGCAAACCTACCTGCACACCCGGGCACCCGCGCCACCTACAACCTACCAGTCCATCCAGCAGGCATCTAAGGACTTCATCCCCGAGGCACTGAAGCACAACCCGACCGTGCTCTTTTTGCACGGGAACTCGGGAACACGCGCCCACCATCTTCGCACTGACATCTACTCCGGTCTGACCGCCAGGTTGGGCGTGAACGTCTTCGCAATCGACTATCGTGGTTTTGGAGACAGTACAGGAGAGCCATCCGTGCAAGGTGTCGGTCGGGATGCACGGGCAGGTTTCGACTACCTAGTTCAGAATGGAGCCAACCCGGAGAACATTCTTATCATTGGCCACAGCCTAGGGACCGCCATTGCCGGACTTCTGGCGGCAGAGCTTGGGCGTGAAGGTGTCAGGTTTAGAGGAGTTGTCCTCATGTCTCCATTCTCCTCCGTCAGAACCCTCATGGACCAGTATCACCTGTTTGGCTTCCTCCCTCTACTCAAGCCCCTCTCAAGGATTCCCTTCATGCCGCGTGTGATCACTTGGAGCGTGAAGCACAATTTTGATACCCTTACCCTCGTCCCTGATATCCAGTCTCCAGCTTTGATAGCTCATGCCGGCAAGTGCGGAGCCCTCACCACCCACTTGACATGTACTCACCGATCACGATAGAGAACGACTGGGATATACCCCATTCCCATGCATCCGTCCTCTTCGACGCCTTCATAGAAAGTCATTATCATAATCTCACCACCGTAGCACCTCTCCGGTCTGAAATTGTCTCATCTACTCGGATTGCCGGCTATGGGACCCTAGAGCAAGTAGATCTTGGTCAACGAAGGGTGGCTTTGCTTAAGACGGAACGGGGCGGTCATCATATCGGAACGATCGAAGGTGTGCAGGATACCATTGGAAAGCTGTTTGACTTGTATACATTGTGCGGTTAGACTTATGTATGTAGAGTGTTAACTTATTATCGCGGCTGATTGATAAAATAAGGTTAAATAACCTCCTCATGTCCAAACCTCCGAGCGTTTCCCAATGTCGATGACCCGCAACTTGGTGTCGAAATCTGACAAACCGGCCTTTCGCATATGTCCGCGATTCACGAAGCTTGTAATTGACGGAGTTACAGATGCTATGGCACTCATGGCCTCCCAGTTGTGGGTTTGGCCTTGACCATACACCCACTGCTTGATTGTGAGATCATTAAGCGCCCAAGAACGGAAAGCCCCTGAGTGCCTTTGATCGCGGGCGCTTTGGACAACGCCTTTGATAAAGCCGTCCTGAAAGGCACAGTGCGGTTAGTATGTTGTAGGCCGTAAAATTGTAACATGCCTGATTGCTTTCACGCCGGTAGATGAGCGAGGAAGGCTCAAACTGCTCCGTCTGATCTTGCTCGACCAAAAGGGTGATGGTGAGTTTGAGATCAGCAAGGTGAGGGCACCATTTCGCGATGAGAGAAATTGAAGCAGGGCTAAGCTCTGATAGGGTAACTTCGAGCTTGCGGAGCTGAGTGGTGCGAGTGCCGGTCTCCCTGTCGGCGCGGGACAGGATGTCGAATAGGACCTTCAGATCGGAATAGTAGGAGAGCGATTTCAACGTCAACTCTGTAACGTTCTGGGAAATCGAAGATAGAAATGCGGCGGATCTGGAGCATTTGAAAAGGCGATCTGGGAGAGCTATGGCTAGCTTCTTCAGATTTGGTAGGACTCTCTCCTCCGTTGGGCTGATGGGTGGACAAGGCCAGTAGCTGATGATGAGAGTGAGGTCCTCGAGCTGTGTATTCTTGACGAGGAATTCGTGCAACTTGGAGCCGTTCTCGCCAGCTCGTCGAAGGAGAACGGAGTCTTCAAGGGCGAGACACCTCATTTGTGGAATGACTGGGAGGGCCTCGTAGAGACCGGGTATGTCAGCGAAGAGCTTCAACGATTTGAGGGTGTCGACGGTGTCGAAGGCGGTCTTGACGAAGGTGGCAACCGGCGAAGCTAGGTTCGCTAGTTCAGCAACCGGGGGTAAACGCTTTGTCGGACAGCGCAACAAGAGCTCCAGTCGGAAGAGCTGAGAGGGGAGGTTGTCCATCGTTGCTTGCGCAATGGAATCAAACGCCGAAGTTGGAATGTCAAAGGATACGCAACGCGCCGTTTGTCGAACCGAAGCCCATAGAGCTTGCATGCATTCAGAAAGGAAATTAGTATCAATGAGAGTTGGTATGCCGGCGTATTTTCCCAAATACACTGCGACTTCTTCCACATTGGAAAGACGGGCCATCCCTTCGATAAAGAGCTTCTTCCTCTCTAAACGGGGTAGGAAAGTGTTGGAAGTTGAGACCGGAGGTTGAACGTCGTTTTTGATGACTTTCCGTTTCATCCGGGAGAGAAAGCCCTCTGATTCGACCCTCTGCGCAACTTGTGCAGCGCGCCGGTGAAGTCTCTCGAATTGGTTCTTGTCGCTATTGATTGCTGCAAGCATAGAATTGGGCCAGATAGTCACAGTACGAACGCGCCGCGCCACGGTCGGGTTCCTAGGGGAATATATAACCTCTACTACTCCACAGCGAAGCAAGAAAAGACAAGCTCACTTTAAGGTGTTCATCGCTTCGATGAATACGCCTATGTCGGAGGAGACTAGGCTCAAATTTCGATACAATTGGTCCATAGCCAGTTCGAAGAACAGTCGATTCACTCCCAAAAGCCTCACTTTATCCTCCGGCTTCAAAAATTCGGCGATCTGAAGCCATAGCTCGACTGGAAGATCGGGAACCTTTTGGTGACAGGTCTCTTCAGCCTGAACATCCCCCTTGGGAGCCACGGGCTTCCTGACGCGCGCCATTTGGGCTAGTAATAAGGGTAGACTTTGTGGCCCGCGGGATGAGAGTCAAGGTCGAGGAAGGGAGCTGACAAGCACGTTGAGGAAGGGTTCGACACTGTCATTCAAGTATTTATGGTATGCGGAGAGTTGTAAGCTGTAAAAAAGCTGTGTCCGCTGCGTCACACCAGTGTGATAGATTAGGTGATAGTCTCTCACATATCTCAGAGACTTCGAAACGTGTAAAAGAGTAACCAGCAGGCAGCGAATGGGATTGTTCTAATCACAAGAGAGTTACGCTGAGGACTAACAGATATAAAATCCATTGTACCGAAGAACCTTACGAGCTAATGGGGTCCATCACCGAGCCAAGTATTCCGCCACCATGTCTTCGCAATGTCCCTTGAATGCATTCCATCCCCCCAAATATCCATGGCATTTAGTGTCCCAGGAGGAAATCTTCTTCAAGCGAGGAAATATCATCCTGACGCTCAACGCCAATTCCTCCGCACTCCCAACAATCCGAGATGCAAATAGAAACTCCTCGAGTTGACTCGGACTGTCCAAGGTGTTGTGCTGGTGATCTCTGGGCATTGTCGCATGTTGGACGCCGAGGGAGAGGTTCTTCAGCTTCGGGCAATGTCTGGCGAGCGAGTGCATGGAGGCGAGGGAAAGGTCGCCATTGGGCTCACTTCCGTTGATGCTCGAAAGGGAAAATGTGACCAGTCGAGGCCACGCCCTGGCCATTGAATCCACATCTCTGTCAGTGATGTTCAAGCAAGGAATACCCTCGAAGCTGAGGTAAGTGAGATTGGAAAGGCCTTCGAGAAGACGCAGTGAACGAACGTCGATCGTGGGACTCAATGCCTGGTCGGGTGCCGTTTCATCGAAGAATAATAGGTCAGTGCAAGTAGTGGGGTATTGGCGAACGAGAGAAGTAATAACTGCGTCCCACTCCTCGCGCTCTTGTGCATCGTTTGGTTCATCCGTCGATCGATACGCGTAGCCATAGGCCACTTTCAATACCCTCTCCGATCGGGTTCGCTTCAACAACTCGGTCATCTCGCGCAATCCCCCAATGAAACTGAAATCTTGAAGCACGGGAAATGCCCACCGTACGCCGACGGGTTCGACGGGCTTTCGTGGCCGGGAAATTACGCCAGGTCCTGTCGAGACGATATGGAAAAGCTCCAATGTGGGTATCCGTCCCAATTGGTCGAAAACGGCGAATATGTCGAGACCCTCGTTGCGTGGCAATACTACTTGGAGCCACCTGAGGTGCTTTAAAGAAGCCAATCGTTCCCAAGAAGACTGCGGGGCATATGCTAAGATCTCCAGGTCGTCGACAAAAGGTGCACGTTGTGGGATCGTCGCGATGAAGTGCCAGGCTGCAGGAGAGAGCGCGTCGACGTCTGTCCAGGGGTGGTTGACGTATATCCTTCTGAGAGAAGGCGATAGGAACAGGATGGCCTCATTCGAGCGCGTGGGCCACGCCAAAAGGAACTTGAGATTAGGAAGCAGGGGTTTTCCCTGCAGAAAGTCGGAAAGCTGCGTGATCGTAGTGGGATTGATGTCGTGGGGTTCGGTATAGCACAGATGGCGAACGAGGGGAGCGTAAACATTGAGTCGAGTGAAGGATTCATCCTTTAGAGGCTCCATCAAGACCTGGCCATACTACGGTTGGGTTGTACGTTGCGGTGGAACAAAGGTAGTACTCACCCATTCTGACACTCCAAAGGGTTGGACGTGGAGTTGACACGAAGCAGGAATGAGTTTTAACAAACAATAGATGTCCGTGAGGCAATACCAAAGAGCGGCAAGCGCCTGTTCCTTGAATGTACGTCCGCTCAAGGCTGCGTTCAGAAGGGTCTGTCTCTGCAACTTCCTCTCCTCGACATCCTGCCATCGTGATTCGCCATCGACTTGGAGGTGCCGGAAGATCTCTTTCTGGATGTCCTGACTTTCGAGAACTGGATGCATGAAGTTAAGGAACGGATTGAGATCTGCGATAGCAGATAAGCAGTGAAATATATATGGTGACGTGAAGTGCATCTTCTGTCACCTGATCCCACTCTCATCCGAGTCATTGTCGCAGCCCAGTGAAGGGCAAGGACAGCCGTTTAGTGACCCTCCCCCTGACCCGGAGGGGCGTACAGCAATGGGTTACAAAATACATTCGAATTTGCCTGCAAATCAAACAGCAAGTCCAGCCAAGCTCCGATTGACCATTTCCCAAAAGGTACCCATTCCTGCTTTCTTCCCATCATATACTCCCCTCCAGCGCCAAACCCGGACCAATCGAGGGAAGAACATTCGAAGATACGCTGCGACCTGGTCAGGGCGTTCAGCGTCTTTCGCTGCAATCGTCAGCGTCTCCAACTTGCTGTTGAATATCAGGGAGGAGGGGTCGAGAGGGTACTCCGGAATTGGAACCGCGGTATGAACGGCGATAGCGAGCGTCTTCAAATGCGGGCAGCGAGTGGCGAGTGGGAGCAAGCACGCCAACGAGGTGTCCCCATTCACGTCCTCATAGAAGCTGGACAGGGTCAAGGCCACGAGGTTGGGCCATGTATCAGCAATACATTCGACATCGTGATTGGTCAAGCCCACGCAGGGGATCGATCCAAGGTCGAGGTGGGTGATGTTGGGAAGCGCAGTGAGGAGGAACCGCAATTGACCTATACCCATGGAAAGCACATTCAAATTGGGGTGCCTCGTCCTCGGGCTCTGGAAGGACAGCTGTGTGCACGACGTCCGAAACTTGCGTTCGATGAGCTGCAGGAGATACGGCCACTGGTCTTCGTCGTCTTCGATGCTGTCGTACTGGCGTGAAGCATATACACACTCGAAGCTGATCGATGTAACACCATGCGATGGGAGCCGGCCCAAGATGGTCCGCATCTCGCCGAACGAACCGGAATACTTGATCTTCTGCAGGCTGGGGAAGGACTGTTGCAGAGTGAGAGGGTTGATGCGGGATGGCATAGCAGGTGTGCGCTCGTAGGACATAATCTCCACCTCCTCCAGCGTCGGTATCTCGCCCAAGCGGTCGATGAATCGGAAAAGGTCCCGTTTCGAGTGATAGAATGCGATGTAGAGGAACCTGAGGTGGTTCAAGGAGGCCAACTGCTCCGAGGACCGCTGGGTGACGTTGACCGTGATAACAATTCGAGCGACGAAAGGTGCCCGTTCGGGAATCTTGGAAAGGAGGTATGGAACTGCTGGCGAGAGTGCATCGGAGCCGCCAGGTCCAGCCGCAATCCTAATCTCCCGAAGCGAAGGTGAGAGAAAAAGGATGCCATCGTCTATGGTCGACGCGATGTAGAGCAGTTCGAGGCGGGGTAAAAGTGGTCGACCTTGCAAGAAGCCGTAAAGTTGGGTGACTACAGTTTAATGGATCGCCACGGGGTCGTCGTAGACGCTGTATAGCTGTCTGACGAATGGAGCATAGAATTCTAACCGACGGAGAGCGCTTGCCTCCAACAAATCAGTTAGAATCTATGTGTTTTCGTTAGTGGGCTACTAATGGGAGTTACAGTAGATCAAGTGATAACGTACCCATTGTTGCTCTCCATCTGGTTTCACAAAGTTGGGGAGCAGCTTAAACAGACAAAGAACATCCTCGATTCGCCACCACAACGCAGCCAATGCCTCGTTCATCCAGGCACGGCTCGTCAGCGCTGCGTCCCGGAGAGTCTGTTTCCGCAGCTTCCTCTCCCGGTCGTCGAACCGTATCTCTTCTTGAAACCGAAGATGCCAAAAGATTTCATGCTGGATGTCGGGGCTTTCGAGTGCAGGATGCATGGTCGTTCGTTGTGAAGGAGAGGCGACGCAGAAAACTCCTTCTTATCGCACGCCCTGGCCAGTTCTGCAGAAGGAAAACGGCTGTCAGAGATGCTTCGCAAGGCGGTGAAGACGTACATAAAGGCAAGATTCTTTGGAAACTTCCTTCTTGAATGGCCTCTCGCCAGCTCCGTCTCTGACCAAGTCACGATGCCGGGCACGAGGCGTCCACATACAGTAACCGCCGGTGGAAGAAGAGAACCAGGAGAAACGCGAAACTCACTTCGAATCACCTCAATCACCTCGATCTCCGCACCCCTATCCTCCAGATCCGTCATGCCTCGGCCAGGTGGTGTCGAATACTGCGAAGATTGGTCGGGAATCTTGCCATCAGGTCATGAGCAGACAGCGTGGAGGGCGTCGACGGGATTCCAGGGAAACTTATTTTCCGCAACCAAGTCAGGGAACGATGAAAAGGCCGGCGGTGACGTCCTAGTCGCATTTCAGGATGGAAGTCGCTGCGCGAACGCGGGGTACGCGGTTCAAAGCTTCCTGTTCGAGCCAACTATCGTAAGCAAAAAAGTGAGTTGAACATCCATAGAAAAACTTCACCAACTTACTCACTGGATTCACACTAACATGTCAGCTCAACGCCATACAGCCTCGCTTCATTTCGAGTCTGGCAGTTGAGTACATACGAGTATGAACAACTCATGAACACCTAGCCCAGACGACCACTGTCAATTTCGCGTTAGCACGACACGACTCATTCTCGAAAATGAAATGAAAGCCAAACTCACTGGTCGAACATGAAGTACTTAGACAGCGATGGGAAATGCAGCCAAACGAACGTTCAAACGTTCATGATCATGGTTTGCCTTCCAATAGAGGGAGAGCGACATCCTTATACGGGTGCTAATTTTGGTTCCACGGCGATCACAAATCCCTCCACCGTTGACAATAGCGAACACGCCATCGACGCGCTACCGAGACGCGAGTCAAGTAAAAGCCGAACGGAATAGGTTGAGGAATGGGTCCAAGCTTGATAGGTGGGCAGGTGCAAAGGCGCGAAAGAACCGAAAGAACCGACATGACGCTCCTGCCGTAACATCGTCAATTACCTCCGTCAAACCCCGACACCATTCTTATTGTTCACCACCCACCTCGAAGCATTCCCAACTTCCCGCCCGGGTTTTCCGAAGGACCCAATATAAATCACTGCGAACAACAATAAGGAGACGACTCGGATATGGGTTGGAGGAAATGGAAGTGGACGTTCGACGTAGACGTTCGAGCATATGACCCCTAGGGGTTCTGATTAGCCCAAACCTTTCTTGACAGCTCGGTGGGATCTTGGTTTTTCTTTTTGTTCTGGTGACTATGTATACTCTGGGTGTGATGGTGTGGGGACCAGCGAGTCGCTCCCTCTCTAGCTTGGGCTGTATACCTCCAGGCTATTTGCGGTGCCGAATCTTCGTCTTCGGCTGGGCGAGCCCCTCTGTGTTTAGCGATACCCCTTTCTCCTTTTTCTTCTTCTTCAGTGTCTCGTCCTCGTTCATCTCGATACCCCACGACTCCCTCACGCCCCTGACGAATCCGTAATGTCTTCCCAAACGAAAGTCGTCTTCCCGCCGCCCCCTCCTACGACCAACTCCTTGACAGCCCAGCAGAGGAGCCAGCTCTTGCGTAAGACCAAGAAGATTGAGCAGATCCTGGGTGCTGCTCCCCATTTGCTCGATACGGCGAGCACCGATGTACCGAGTGAGTCTATTCCAGATTGTGTCGATGGCGATAGTGGCTGACAATGACGACTCATAGCACCAGTGCACGTCTCCTTCCCAGCACAACGACCCGCCTCCTACTCGCACCACAAGACCCGCTCATCGATAGACTCCTTCGCTTCCATCTCCTCCGCATCCTCTTCTTCCGTCTTCAGCAGCACAACGGCTTCGACTGGGTCTGCCAGCCTTAGCAGGAGCTCGTCGCTATCGTCACCTTCCCGACAGGGATCGACACTGCGAAAACCGAATCCAGCACCCCGCCAAACACTCCCATCCGCGCCATCCTATGAGGACTGGTCGGCTAGCAAGCCACCTTTCCTCCTCCTCTCCCACCCCCAATCTCCTATCGACGTCAGCCCCTTGAACCACAGCGACAAACCCAACCGATACACCTTGACTCCCTCCATCCCCAAGACCGCCAAACAGGCCCTCCCTCCAACGATGAACTTCAATTCCATGGGCAGCACACGGAAGAGCAAGATGGATCGGATACGAAGGAAGCTCGGGCACGAGGTGCCGATTGAGCTGGTGTTCCCGACGTCCAGCGACAGCGACGAGAGCGATTCGACCGCGTCGCCTGCCTCGCCTTCCGCAGACAGCATCGCCGCGTTCGTCTTCCCTCCGCCGCCTGTACCCCGTACCAAGAAGACTCCCGGCACCATCTCCGGAGCACGAGACTCCCTGACGGAGGAAACCATCCACCACGCCAAACGAAACCAGCCACTTCCTCCCCTCCCACCACCGCGCTCTTCGAGAACGAACAAGGGCAAATTGGTGGCGATCATCGAGAGTCCGGAGGAGCACGGTTCGGGGTGCTCGGAGGAGTTTGGTCTGGGTCGCTCGTCGACATCGAGTCGACCGTTCGACGACCTCGATGCTGCAGAGATCAAGCTCTGGAGCACGAGGAGTGGGTACGAAGGTTGGGCACCGCCGGTTGCAAAGAAAGATAGGCGGTCTTGGGGCTACCGCAAACCCATCCCTGCCATGGAGCTCGAAGCCTGAGGAAAGGCTTGATGCTTTCCTGGTCATTTCTTCTTCATACACCAATCGTCGCGACTAGGTCGCTGGGGTCTGCGATCCGTTTCGTTTCTTCTTCCTGCGTGCTAGCGCGCCTCTTTTTTTTAGCACAGTCCAACAGAGACTTTATTGGCGTATACCACTGTACTTGTAGCACCAAATCGCGCAGGGCGAGGTTGTAATATTTGTAGTTTGGGTCAATCTGCACGCATATATCCGGGATTTCAGAACTTGAATGTCCTTGAGAACCGGGAAAACGACGTACCAAAATCGACATTTGGTTGGACGATGAGAAGAGGACGACGGCCTGGACTTGGCCGTCGCCGTCGTCATCGGCATGCTCAGAGACGCTTACACGCCTATAGGCAGGCAAGACCTGGCACGTCTTGCATGCCGAGTGTCGACAAATCGGTCGCCAGACGCCTCTTATGACTGTCCGGGGCGTTTTACGCTATATCTGAGTCTAGGCGATTCATGGACGTTCTCAGGACGTTAGGCCATCGTGGACAGTCGGGCACAATGCAAAATATGGCGATCTCGTCGTTGCTGATGATGGTCAGGAAGCAAGCTCGACTGTGGGAAAATAGAGCACCCGCGACTTTCCGTTCTTGCTCATCGTCGGCCCCGACGCCCGCCGCCATCCTTGTTTTGCTTCTCATCGACCATGGCCCAAACACAGCAGCACTCAAACCAGACGTCCGACGCCCAGTTCCCATCATTGAATACCGACACGTCTCCCAGGTGGCAGGTATGGTCGTCGTCATTGCCGCTCAACCTGAACATCCGGCATCGCTGAGCACCCGTCTCGATCATCGCAGGCAACGTCGGTGACGCACCCATCATGAACAGTGGCTCCAACGGAAAGCCTACCTTTTGGGAACGGCAGAAAACCCGTTTCGTCATTGGGCATTGTCGATGAAGTCATTGCTGAATTCTGTGGACTATAAAGCCTGAAAAGCGTTTATCCTCGTCGAAGAACTTGAATACGACGTGCGTCTCTCCTCGTCTCCGATGTTTGCTGCGACCCTGACGCGACGACTGCCCTTGACAGTGTTTACCAGAAGTTCAGCTACGCGCAGGACTTTATTGACTTCTCAATTCAAGAAACCCGCGTTTATACCACCTGTATATCGAATTCGAACGATGGCAAGCAGCTCGAATCCTCTGTCAGCGGCAGTCGCCGGCGACCACCAGGAGGTAGGCTTCGTTTTCTGTTGAAATTTGACCCAGGCTGACGAAACGCGTCTAGATGTACGAATACTACGACCAGTACCTCAAGAACAGGGGCGATAAAGCTGCCCAGCAACGCTGGGTTAACCAGCTCATTTGGGAGATCGCCCGCCATGCTGTTGGCGAGGAAATCGTCATCTACCCTCTCATGGAGCAACACCTTGGTGCCAAGGGTGTTGAACTCGCCGACAACGACCGCAGAGATCACCAGGTGCGCTTCCGTTCGTAGATCAGTCTCGTTCTCGGTGCTCAACCCAGTTTCAGTTTGTCAAGGAGAATCTGTACAAACTCGAAAACATGGAGGTCGGCACGGAGAATTACGATGCCCTCTTGAAGACGGTCATAGACCATCTTCGAGTCCACAACGACAGCGAGGAGCAGACCGACCTTCCCATGCTCTACGAGAAGATTGGAGCAGAAGGCGCACAGCAGGCCGCAGCCAGTTTCAAGCGGACCAAGAAATTCGCACCAACGCAGTATGTACTGCCCGTTCAAGCAACCAACGCGGTTACTGACATGATTCTCTAGCCCTCATCCCAGCGCGCCCGACAAGCCACCGTTCGAAACTGTCGTTGGACTCATGACCGCTCCTATCGACAAGCTCCGCGATATGTTCGAGCAATTCCCAAGCACCGAAGAGAAGAAGCAAGCTTCGCAGAATTGAAGTACATTGAACAGACCTTTCTCTATGTTCTCGAACCCTGTATAGTATGCACTCTGGAATCAAGAATAACCACACCTTTGGACGAAACTTCGACTGATGACAAAATCCATGACATACGGCCATCTTCTTCCAGTTCTATAGGCATCTTCACATTCGCATCGAATCCTATGAGACTCCTGGCCCTGATGCAGTACGCGTTCATGACGGTGTCTGACCGTCCCGCGTGTTCAGTTGTCGATCAGGGGTGGAGCACGTTGTAAACGCCAACTTTTCATTGGCCAAAGAAACATCTTCAATTCTATTGGTGAGATCATTTCCCTGCTTCGAGGTGGAGCACCTACCGCATTCGCTGAACCACCTTCCTTCTCCAGAGACAGATGATATCATACATGCCTCATCCCTTTGCTAGACATTCGAAACGGTTTTACCATTCAGATATAAAGGGTCAGTGAGACCAGTCTTCTTACCAGTTCCTTCTCATCTCGATTGTCAAGCCAGCCCCAACACCTTTATTTAATTTTGAGCCTTCAACATGACCTCCAACCCCTCAGCCCAGCACACACTCCTTCAAATCATCACGAGCGACCACCGTGATGTATGTCTCTCCTATCCGACCTGACATGGACTCAAACTGACCCCAACGCCCTAGATCGAAGCCTTCTACAACGAGTACCTCAAGAACGCGGGCAACAAGGACGGCCAGACAAGATGGGCAAACCAGCTGACCTGGACCATCGCCAGACACTCAATCAGCGAAGAGCTCGTCGTCTACCCTCAATTCGAGAAACACCTCGGCGACAAGGGACGCGCTATGGCCGAGCAGGATCGTCAAGATCACCAGGTACGCAAGCCTCCCTCCGGCCTTGTGCAGTCGAAACGGGTTTTCCTGACCAATGGGATTGTTATTTTTAGTTCGTCAAAGACCGCCTAAAGCTTCTCGAAGATATGGAGGTCGGGTCTTCGCAGTACGATGCTACGCTCAAGGAGATCATGACTGAGCTGAAGAAACATATGGCTTCGGAGGAGACCGAAGACTTGCCCCTACTCGAACAGAAGCTTGGATTCGAGAACTCTATCAGCGTCGCGAAGAGCTTCGAAAGGACAAAGAACTTTGTTCCGACCCGGTATGTTTCTTTCTCATATGCCTGTCTGTCTCAGGAGTCGATACTCATGCTCCGTATCTGTTTTTAGATCCCACCCTAACGCTCCTGCTAAACCCCCCTTCGAGACTTTGGCTGGTCTGCTCGCTGCCCCAATCGACAAGCTGAAAGACGCGTTCTCCAAGTTCCCTTCCGACCAGGCAGTGGAAAATGTCTCGCAGTCTGCGACTACCACTGCTGCACGGAACTGAGTAAATTGGAACTCTTTTCCGGCCCCTCCTATCAATCCCATGCGTAAGACTGCTAGCTCAGGCTGCAGCATGATGCTACTGAGACGTGTCGATTGTGATTGTTGCAAACCAGATGTAATCCAAGTAATGTCATTGTACGGAATATATTTTATGACATACGATTTCGAACGTTGGAAAACATCGATGAGGCATTGAGGGCACGGTGGCTTGATGCGGCAAAGAGGAGACAAAAAGGAGCTTGCCTCGTGGGCGCTTGACAAGGGATTCTATTGCCCGTTTAGGAAGGTAGGATACCTCATCATCGGACACCCCCGTACGCCATACCCATGCTGTCCAATTGACAAAAAGAAAGGCGATATCGACGTCGTTCGGGGACTTGCTACATGGTTCAACCTCGGGATATGACAGGTAACCGTAACAATACAAGATCGACTATTAATTGTTTTATCGGCGGTAGTATCAGACTGTCAGTACGCGCGACGACCAAAGACAATACGCGCCGACATTTCGCTATTCTTCTAGCTTCGCCCTGTCACGACAGCCTTCTCAGAAAACTTCTCTAATCATACGGGGTGAACTATGCTCTCGCATGTAGGAAGGCGAAGATATATAAACGCCTCCCGAATCCTGTGAGAGAACTCCCCAAGCGAGTTCCTCAGCTTTCAGGTTCCCCCGCCGCCGCGCTACCCCTCCTCCTCCTCTCTAGTCGCTCTCAAGCTTTCCTCATCCCTTCCACAAAGCACGACTAGCAATAATGGACTTCTTCACCACCATCTTCGCCTCCCAGGTCGCTGACCTCGAGCCCGTTTCCGTCCCCGCTGAGGAGGAGACCGGTGGTGGCCGTGGCACTGGTGCTTACTGCACCATTGCTTGAGCGCCTTCCCTGCGCTCCGGCTAAGTTAATTATGTATTGGATTTGAATCGGCATTTGGTATATTGCGATACCCTGCATTGTGAGTTGTGTGTTTTTTCTGGTGACGGGGAAGAGGACTCATGGAGTTTGGTTTGATTGTAGATTCTCCCCACATACTGCATCATACACGAACCACACCACCCACACCCCACCCACTCACTCACGACCATGAACAACGACACATACAAACCATTCCATTTGACATTAACACCCACTACCACCTACCACTCACTGTCCTTTACCCCCCCACTGGTACCCCATTCAACCTACTATGACCAACCAACCAATATCACACCATCGTACCTCGCACACACTCATTCCTCTTTATTTCGAGTTTTCGCTTCTGGAATCACACGCATTTGCATTATGTATACCACCGCATTACCATGAATTCGTTCTTTGGAGCCATTTACATTGGGCATTTATTTTGGAGATTAGTTACACAGTTCGGATTTGGTTCGGATTTGAGCTGGCCTGCCAGTGTGTTGCTATAGTATGTACTTGTACTGTGTACAGGAGTAGTACATCGTCTGGAATCTGGATTGATGATTGAGATTTATAATGTTGCATGCGATTGTAACTGGAGGAGGGCCCTGGAGCGCTGAAAGTAGCGCCCGCGCGGCCATAATGCTCTCACACAGGTGAACTTTGGCACATCTCTCCCCATTTCACGACAAAGGGACTAGCGGTTTCAGTGTCACTGAACTCTATTACTCACGGAAAGTAAGACGACGAGCTCGAGAGCGACTAACTATCAAAGTTGACATCCGAACTAATCTCCCTCCAGTCCTCCGCGATGTTAACCAACTTTGCCGCCTTCGAATTAAGATCATTCAAGCAATCCTCGCCCAGTAGCAGGTACCCAGGCCACGGCTTCCCTCTCGCTTTGCCCTCTCCTCTTACCACGTCCACCAAGATCTCCATCCCTTTGGCGGGGTCTCCTTTCTCTGTTCCGGGTACAGACTTGAAGCGCTTGATGCTCAGTTCACGAGCTTCGTCGTATTCCGGGAGGGATTGGGTTTGGACGTAGGATTGGCCGTAGATGCCTTCTGTCCTGAAAGCGCCGGGAGCGACGATGAGGACTTTGACGCCGAAGGGGGCGACTTCTACGGCTAGTGTTTCGCTGAATGCTGGAGAGCAGTCGATAGGTGAGTGAGATTGTCTGTGTGAGTGGACTGGTGTACTTGCCATGGACAGCTGCTTTTGATGACGCGTAGGCAGCTATGGAAGGGTGCCATTCATCATCAGCATCTAGTATTAAGCATACTATAAAATAAGGATCTTGCCTAATCCCTGCAGATTCGGTCAACGTCTATAATACAGGAGAGAGAGAGGCTCGGATCGACGCACCGCAATCTCGGTCTTCCACGCAGACCGACTTCCCACATTCACGATGGTCCCTTTACTTGCACGAATATACGGCAATGTTACGGTGACCATATCCACCATCGCGAAGACATTGCTTTCGAATTGCCTTCGGAAGAGGGTTGACCTGTCAGAGGGGTGCCAGTGTGAGAGCAATGATCACGAGGCCGTTTATAACCCCTTGTGATCCTTACCCCCCTTCCTCAAAGAACCCTGGAAGTCCGAATCCTAAATCCAAAGAAATCAGGTTACCATCTTCCCGGTATGCTTTCACTGCCATTCAGAACTGGATTACAAACCTGCGTTGTTTACTAGAACGTCGATTCGACCCCAATACGACGCAGCGTCCTTGGCTTTAGCTTTCAAGGAGGCTTCTCCTTCCGTGATATCGAGCTCGAGAGCCTTTAGATTCTCATTCAACGACTCGGGTATCTCATGAAGCAATGTCTTGGAGAGTTTATCGAGGGATCGGGCGGTGGCGATGACTCGATCGCCTCGTGATAGGACGGACTTGACTAGCCTCTTCCCGAACCCGGATGAGGTACCTGGTCACGAATGGTTAGATTGGTACCATGAGGCAAGGCGACTCTGCGAACTTGGATGGACTTACCTGTGATCAGCCAGACGAGCTGGCGTGCTTCGCCGTTCACCTGGGAAGTCGACATTCTGACACTGCGATGTACCGATCGCAAAGGGTTATAGGAGAGGAAAGTCTTTATTAGACCTCTACCATCTCCTGGAATGTTTATATACATGCTTTGTCGTACGGGCTTGTCGGATGATTTGATTAGCGGGACGACAAACTACTTATGATGTCAAGCCGGAAGTCGCGGCTATTCCATCCACCAATGCCGGACGACTGGTCTTGAGCTCGAGCGTCTCCGACAACGTGTTTGGGTGAACTGAGGTCGGAAACTTGAAGGCAAGGTCAGTTGATCTGGACGCATACGTATGTAGCACGGCATGCCAGTAGTATGCGCAGTCTTTGCCGTTTGGCAGTACGTCCCGGGGAAGGCCGCTCTGCGAACTCGATGACGTTGGGGTGGTCAGATATTGCTATCCGCGAACAAGACTCGCAGGTCTGGATTTTTCTTCCTACACAGTGTAAAGGGAGTATGGGCCGGAAGGGTATGCTGGGATGAGTGACATCATGATTGGAAGATCGATTTGGATAATTGGCGGATCGTCCTGCAACCCCCCTATGCAGTGCGAGACTATTTCGATCTAGCTGATCCGAAGCATGGGCGCTTGTGAAGGAATCGCGTTCTTTACGCTAAACCACTGGGCATTTGGCGCTCTTGGTCACAATGTGATGCCTCTACCTGGATACACTGGTCGATAGGGATCTTTTTTTCGCCTGGAGTGAAGCATTGATCTTTCTACCGGGGAGACAGGTTGAGGGAGGAGAGTTAACTCTCCATTGAATAACGTAAAACAGAGTTTCATCTTAGCCATTGCAGCACTTTCACCCCATCCCTTAGCCTACCATACAAGCGCGGGGAGAGCGACCTTGGGCGCCTGATGTTCCTTCAAGGTGTGGGCGCTTAAATGTCACCGGTAGAGTCCGGCCGAGTGGCGCTGTCACCGCAGGGCGTGTTCCATATCCATCACAGGGGCTAACGTCCATCAGATCCGACGAGCCAGCGCTCGAGATATTTCCTCGTCGCTGCAAGCAACAGCCTCTTCTTCACGAACTTGTCCCAGCTCGTCACCCACCCTTCCGCTCCTTCATGCATTCCTAGCCCGAGGCCAGGCAAAAAAGTGTTGATTCACGACGATTAACGACCAATTGTTTGATACAATATGACAGCAACAACGAATAACCAAGTTAATGGGGCTGGCGGGTCCACCCCAAAACAGTTCGCCATGTCGCTTCGAAACTCGCTGGCCGAGTGGAGAGTCTATCTAGGTGTGTATTTCTGCTCTAGTGAGTGCAAGGCGGTAGTTAACGAAGGTTGCGCCCATCCAGGTATCGCTACCTGCGTTGTTGCGCTTACACTCATTCTCGGAATCATCACGCTGTCGTTCGTGAAGCCCAAGGTTGAACGTAGGTTGCTTCCGTCTTCAGATGAGGTGTCGTTACTGACACTTACCTGCTATGCGCTTAGCGCTCTTGTTCGGCCTGGACATTGCTGCTATTCTGCTCTCACTTGCAACATTTGCGGCGCTGTGTTTCTTGTAGGTTTCCTGAGGCTTGTCAGTCACGGACTGCCTGACGACCATCTTTCCCCAGCATCCAACGTGCCAAAGATCAGAAATACGGCGACCAGCCATACGATCCCAACTATATCGATATCCTCATTGCTCTGGGTATCGCAACTTTGTTCGGGCGTACGTCTTCCTGAAATAAACGCTCCACTCTTCCTTCGATTCTGATGTTTGCCTCGTTATCTTATAGTCACCGCTCTCGCAGAACTCAAAGAGTTGCCACAACGATGCTACTCTGGTCCAAACGAAGATTTCAAGGCGATTGGGCCAGAGGTGTGTGGTGTTTTTACGACAATGGGTGTACTCTCATGTCTTGGTGGTTCAATCAGTAAGTCTCCGTTTACTAACTGTGACGAGACCCTCATGCTTCTCCGCGTTTCAGTGCTCTTGACATGCATTCTAATTGCTGTAGCAATTCGGGAAGCCATTGAAGTTGCCAAACTTCCGCCTCCAGTGTTCCCAACAGGCGCGGAGCCAGCGGTGATGCGATGGCTTGACAGAAACGACCCGTTCAACGTTTCTAGTCGTGACCCCCATAGGCAGAATAGCTATGGTCCTTAGATATCTCTGCGTGTAACGAAGTGGTCGTAATAAATTCTTTTTGCCAGGCTTAAACATGGACTGTTGCAATAAAGGATCGAGCGGCAGTGGGTTCGAACTTGGAGCTTCATTGTGAAAAGATGCCGCCAATGCCGCGGTGATGGAGCGGCCTTTTCCGAATCGGCGCTATAAAAGACTTGCCATCGTCTTCGTCTTGCAAATTACGGCTTTCGAGCCTACCAACACCTTCCAGTACTATTTTCACTGCTGATTGTCGTTAAGCCAGAGTAAGAGAAGCCAACGGGGAACAATCCCGCATTCCTAAGTTCAGCGCCATCCATTCACGACAACGGGTTAGTATCATCTGGGACGATCTCCCCATTCAAATAACTTGTCTTTCGAGCCTACACCCCTACGCGAAGCATCGGTGCATCGGAGCTGGTCTCCAGGACACCATAAGTTCTGACATTACCCTTCCATCCCTCGATATTGTTATTAGCCGCTCTGAAAACAAGGTTGGAGCAGAATAGGTGTGTAGCTTTGTCACTTCCTCCCTGCCTGCTCTGTTTTTACTCATGCGATGCAGTTGCCACCCATCCGAACAGCTAGGTGGCTTGTAATCTTTGAATTGGAGCCTAGACAGGTGTGACCGAAAGCTGGAGGATGATCTTCGCCGGTTCGGAGACAGAGGCGCCCTCTTGTCGGCTTGCTGGTTTTAATCAGTTCTAATGGAGACATCACTTCACCCTGCTGACCACCGTTTGACTTGACTTCAGGCATCAAAGGCCGCCACATGTTCAGTCGTTCCTCTTCACAGGAGTGCATTCGTGAGGTCTTTGGGCCGCGAAAGACCGATCTCCTGCCTGCCTGCGCTCAGGATTTCGCCGACATCTTCTCTAATCCCTTTCTTTAGCACTTCAGCATCCGTGATTGCTCAGCGCTTTAAACTGGCTTGGAAGATTTGTCCATATTGATGGCCAATATGGCGGAGGGGCGGGTCTCGAGGGGGCAACGAGTTGCAATGAGGACATCGGGATAAACTGTCGGAGGTCGGGACGGAACACCACAGCGTCGTCACCATCCCCAGTTTGACCTTTTAACCTGGCGCACGTTCACAAACACATACCCCGAATTCGAGGGTTCATATGACCTCAAAAGAAGCTAAAGAATCCTTCAGAACCTGATATCTCCTGGTCTATCGCCAACCTATGGATGGAGATAGGCCAGTGCCCTTCCCAGGCACCGTGTCAGGCTAGATTTAATGGCACACGACCACAAAATCGCAAAAAAGCGGCACACGACCAGAATGGCGCGATCTGATTGGCTCCCGCTGTGATTTCTTGGTTTTCTGTGATCGAAAAGCGCGCCGGAGGGTTCCCAAGAATTCCATTGCTCCATATCAGTAGCGCCAAGCCAACCGAGATCATGAACGACAATCGAACGTGCGCTCCGGCTTTTTCATCCGTTGGGCTCTCGACTCCAAGACTCTCCACGGACAGCCTTTTTTTCTGGCGTATTAAAGGTTTCCGACATGGCGGGCCAGGTTCTTCAGCTCTCAGCTCCCCCTTCCTCCCCCACCTCTTCTTCCCTCAACAACCCACCACCTCACTATGCCTCAGCACCAGTGGGACTACCTGTTCGCCATTGGCACCATCTTCGCCGGCATTGGCTCGTACATGATCGGAGCCAACGATGTCGCGAACAGCTTCGCAAGTACGTCTTGTTGTCGCTGCCGTTGTATTTGCAGTTGGCTGACGATTCTATAGCATCGGTGTCGTCGAAGTCCCTGACCCTCCGTCAGGCATGTCTGGCTGCCGCGGTCATGGAGTTCCTTGTAAGTGGTCGTACGACCTGAAATTCCATCCAATCTGACACCGTGTCTATAGGGTGCAGTGCTGGTCGGTGCTCGTGTGACCACCACGATCAAGAACGGGATTGTCGGTGCTGAAATCTTCGCCGACAATCCTGGTGTCCAACTCCTCGGCTTCACTGTCGCTATCGTCTCCTCGTCCAGTATGTCACCGATATCGCATCTGTATCACAGTTATTGACCAATTCGTTGCAGTTTGGTTGACCATTGCTACCCGCATGGCATGGCCCGTCTCCACTACCTACTCGGTAGTGTCTGCGATTACTGGTATTGGTATTGCTGCAGGAGGCTGGGACGCCCCACGATGGGGATGGCATGGGGCCAAGGGCCTTGCCGCCATCTTCTCTGGTCTCATCATCGGTGAGTACCTTCCATTCTTTCGCCGCATATCGTAACCGGTTCTGATGCCCGCTTCAGCTCCTGCCATCGGTGCCGCTTTCGGAATTGCCATCTACCTGCTCGTCAAGTACGGTGTCCTCCTTCGCAAGGACTCCGTCCGATGGGGAATGATCACCGCGCCCATTGTCTTCTTCCTCGTCGGTGCCGTCTTGACCATGTCAATCAGTATGTCCAAGGCCTCCTTTTGCGTTTATAGCATTCGCTCACCTTGAATCCAGTCTACAAGGGATCCCCCAGTCTTGGTCTCGATGATCTCCCATCTAGTACCCAGGCTATCGCCATCTGCGTCACCGCAGCAGTCGTTTCCATCATCTCCATTCTCTTCTGGCTCCCATACGTCTACACTAAGATCGTCAAGAAGGACTACAGTGAGTATCTGACTCTTGATTGTTTTGTGTGACGCGCCTCACCGTAATCCCTAGCCCTCAAATGGTACCACTTCTTCTTCGGTCCTTTCCTTCTGCGACGTCAACCACCTGAGGATGCTGGAGAAATGTCTGCTGTTCCCGACTACCGAATCCGTGCCGAAAACGACCTCGATGCCCCAACTGGTGAGATCGTTCATTTCCTTTGCGGTAGACCTCAACTGAACATTGTCTGTAATATCTAGCCCCTGCCGCCGCCGAAACCGATTCTGAGAAGGTCAAGAGCGAATCTGAAAAGGTCAAGGAGAGCGGCGACAGTAGCACCGATGGCGATGTCCACCCCAGCAAGCTCGCTGACGAGATCGAGAAGCCTGTCGTCGAGGGTCTCTGGATCAAGCCCAAGAACCTCTGGATTCTCTTCCGATACCACGCCCTCCCCTGGTTGACCAAGCTCCTCTTGCACGGCTCTTCCGTCGACATCCACGAAATGCAAAAAGACAAGCACACCCTCGAGGCCCACTCCCGCGCGAAGCAGTACCCCAACGAGACTGAGCACCTTTACTCCTTCATGCAAGTCATGACTGCTTGCGTCGCATCCTTCGGCCACGGTGCCAATGACGTCTCCAACTCTATTGGTCCTTTCGCCGTTATCTACCACGTTTGGGCCACTGGTCAACTCTCGGGCGACGACACCCCTGTTCCCATTTGGTCTCTCGTCTTCGGAGGTGCTATGCTTGTCATCGGTCTTGCTACCTGTAAGTTTGAACTTGACTCCCGACGTCGAATACCTTGCTGACTCCTTCCTTTCGCAGACGGTTATAACGTCATGAAGGTTCTCGGAAACCGAATCACTCTCATGTCCCCTTCGCGTGGCTTCTCTATGGAGCTCGCTGCTTCAATCACGGTCATCCTCGCCTCGCAGTACGGCATCCCCGTCTCCTCCACCATGTGCATCACCGGCGCCACCGTCGGTGTTTCGCTCTGCAACGGCGACTGGCGTGCCACCAACTGGCGTGCCATTGCCTGGATTTACGCTGGATGGATTCTAACCGTCCCCATTGTCGCTACCATCAGCGCATGCATGATGGGTATCATCATTAACGCACCACGATTCTAATTTCACGCACATTCAAAAGCCTAGTACTACGCATTGACTTACGATATTATTATTCACGGGTGTTGTAATCCAGCCTGCGCATTAATTTTTGTGGCAGGGAGTAGATGTAGAAAAACCAAAATGTACCATAGTATCACATCATCACAGCATTCATGAAACAAGCACCTTTGGCATTCATCTGGCAAACCGGAGCGAAATTTTTTGAGGAGTACTAAGCGCACTTGACTCACTGTAAAGGTATGCAGGTAACCTTATTAGGCGAAAGTCCCTGATCATCTCCAGTTGGAGAAGACGGATGGGCGTTCACCCCGTCCGCATTCGTAAGAGGATGGGATGCAAAATCTATCCAGGAAATGAACGAAAGTGTCTCCTCGTCACCTCAGACCCATCCTTACGATGTGGAGGTCCCTAGGTGTGTGGAAAGTTCTGGATGCGCTCTGCATCGCCTCACGGGCCCCGGAGTTCCACTCCATAATATTCGAAGTGCTCATGGACGAAAGGGCTACATACTTACCAGGGCTTTAGGTATGGCGGAGTATCGGGATACACTATAACCCGAGAATGTGATTCAAAGTGAATAGACGAAATACCAAAACAACAACCCAATGTATTGAAACCGTGTCACGGTACCCGGTACCCTCACGTGACCAGCTATCGCCTGAAATCGACGGTCTTTTCGACGATTTGGGAAGTGGGAGGTCTTTTGAAGAGCAGAGGTCCAAGCTCGAGCGGATTTGGCAGGCGGTTTGGCGCCGAGCGATGCCGGCGTCCATTTCGGGCAGCGAAGTGCCCGTTTTGGTCGTTTTTGATGCGGAGCTTGAATTGGAACATTTGAACTTCACATCTCTCCCTTGCTCTCGATGGCGCTCGGTGCGTCTGTACATGAATTTCACGATTGATTAAGACGCAGATAGATTCTATCTGTACTATTAACTTAGAAATGGGCTCCCATCCCATGTGTAGGAGCAATAATCAACCACCCAGGGCTCCATTGGCCAGAATTTCGGGTTGAACTGGGAAGAGACATACAATGGACGAGAAACCAAATGGATGGGGCACAGAAGACGTTGAGATAACGCATGATCAAGCTGAATTAGACTCTGAGAGAGAAGCAGAAGAATTGGAGGAGGGTAAAGATGAATTTTCGCACCTCTGGCTGTAGGTTGATAGGGGCTTGTTTACTAAATCAATCAGATCAGCCGTTTCTCGCTTCGGTGGTGTTCGGTGGGTATCAGGGTGGTAGATTGACAGCGGGAACCATGCCAAGGGCTCCCATTATACGGTATAATGCTACTGTGTACCGGTACCCCACCGAAAAAGCGAGGGTACCCGGGGGTACCCCCGCTAGTGGGCAGTATGCCTTATATCCTATATATAGAGACATACAAAGTGACTCGGACTCGGAACCAAAGGAAGGGAGATCTGGACATATACTACTAATGGACTTTTAGGATCCGGAAGGAGAAAATGCTATGGTCTGAAGGAACGTGCGATAGGGCCCAGCGAGGGTACTATAGATTGTGAATGTGAATCGTGATGCTCGTAACCACAGCTCGTGAAGTCGTGAAGTTGTGAAGGGAGGAGTCAATTACCGCATGTCAAACTGAATGGAATGTCGCTTCCACGCCCCATTTCCCAACGCCTCCATATCATTCCCGTCCTCTCTCCTCCTTTGCCACTCCTTCCTACTCTGTACAAGACGTAGGAGCCCCGAAAGGGCACAGAGAGCGAAGCAGGTGTAGGCGAATACCACACGAAGGTTGGAGTTGACAATCCAACTTTTAGGCCGAACCCAATCTTCGTGTCGTAGATTGCCTTCGACAATGGATAGCCATGGCGCAAGGATACACCACACGAGGGCCAGAGCCGCGTTAAAGAACAAAAGCCGTCGCATGGTGGATCTCGAAGGCGAGTACCGGCGTGGGGGGAGGCTGGTGGGCATCGGAGGCGTGGTAGGCGATGACTTCTCTCCAATGGTGGAGGCTTCGAGGGTGCGGGGATTGGTTGAGACAAGTGCCTCTGCATCCCAACTTGACCTATGTCCATCGTCGGGATCAGAGTGCAATATGGGCTGCATGCTCGAAGTCGAATGTAGCCTTGCTCGATGAGTCCTGAAGGCAAGACGTCGTCTCGGAGGCCTGTTCATGGTTGTCCCAGATGCAGGGAATCTGCTTCGAATGGCGAGAATGAGAGTTGACGCGCTGAGGAAGACCGATGCAAAGCAGGCGATGAGGGCGATAACGAAACAGGTTTTAGCCGATCCTTGATTCCGGGGCAAGGATCCCAAGAGGACACCGACGCCGCCGAGGGCGACGTAAAGGATGGATGAAATCAAGAGGCATAGAGAAACACATTGAATGTATAAATCGCATTGCGCGCCTATAACGGGTGGCCGTGAGTTGGCCGCTTGTTGCTGGGCAAACTGAACGGATGACTGGGGAGGGGGTGTTGGTGGCTGTGATTCTGGCCCTACAATGGTTGATCGTGGAAGTGGAGGAGAGAATACCCTCGATGGAACAGGGATGGGAGCTTCCTGGGGAACCTCTTGTATGAGATCGTTGGAACTCGAAGGCAGTGATGGTAGCGGCCGAGGAAAATTCGTGGGATCAGGAGGGCCGAAAGCAGGGTTTGTGGTTGCAGAGGGACCTTCGGCGGGAGTGAGGAGATCGACTTCTTCTGGGCTTGGATTCCAACTGAGAATAGTGACGTTTCCGACTCGAGAGATTTTATCGTCCGGCCTGCGAGACGCCATTGCACCCTAACGAGCGGTAGTCGGGGAAATGTAAATTCTTTTCATTCGATGCCTCATTTTATGGCCCTTTCTCCAATTTGTTTGTGTATGCACAAAACCATCAGGGTTTTTTAGAGGGCGGAAGTGAGATCCCGGTCGTATGGCGCCTGTCTAAGCAGGGCTGGTGAGAAACCCGAGATAAGGCAGGCTAATGGGCCAAGGGAGAGGTCATCTCGGAGATTTTGTGCGAGGGCGCAACATTTCATGGAATGCCAAGCAACGGGCTTGGGCGTCTATCATGCTTCACTGTTTTGGATGCCTCAGGGTCGCTCCAGGGGGTGGCGGAACTGCGCCGATATAGGAGATACGCTCAGGGCCTCCTTGTTTCTCCCGAGAATACCGGGCTATGTCGGAAATTTGATCCCTGGCTCCCAACGCACGGCCTGTTGACAGCCGTGTGACAGGCCGTTCGCCGAAAATTAAATAGGCGCCGGTCTATCATTAGCCGTTTCAGGCCGCGTTTCCTACACGTTAGAAGACCGTTTCCAGGCCGTTTCAACACCTTTTGGGGTTTGTTGAAACGGCCATCCCGGAGGCCTTCGTTAAAAGGCGTTTTTCGGCGTTTCCGGCGCCGTCTCAAATTTCCGACATACGCCATTACAATATGGCATTTGCTGCCCATAGCCAACTTGCCGAGCAGAAAGAGTAACTTCAGGGAACCGCCCTCACTCGTGTTGCACAGCGACGAGACCTCCATCAGTGTCCACAAGCGCCCGTCGTATTTCTCCTTTGGGAAACGCGGCTAAAGTGTCTTTCTGCTATATGGTACAATGGGACGGGCAACCCGAGCATTCACAAGTCCAATGCGTGCACGAGGAGGGAAATGATATGTAAAGCATGAACGTACTTAATAACGATGTTGTCGGAATGCTGTTTGTACACGCCGGAGTCGCATGTTCTTCCCGTACTTATGGACGTGCTGTATCTCGCGTGCCCACAGCACAGATGAGCTGGGAGACAAATCGTAACGTACGCCAAGATCTCGTGTGTGTTCAATGGTATTGTCAAGGGTCGAAAAGACGAGAAAAGGCATGGATATTATTTGTCGAAGTCTAGAGCCCTACATGACGCTGCAGCTCCCCTCTTCCCTTTTTCCATTCAGAAGCTCAACCGCTTTCTTTCTGTCGTCCTCCGCACTGCTCGTCCACACCCACTCCCATGCTTCGCTGATGTCCGAGAACACCTTGTCCAACAGTTCATTTGGGACTTGATCCCCTTCCTTGAAGTCTGCTAAGCCAGGGTGGTCAAGTTCACACCACTTTCCCTGATCGCGAGAAGCAAGGAGAATAGCGTTGGCGGCTGGACATCGGATTGTGTTGTAGACTTCAGCAATCTTGGGAATTGATTGTCGACCCCTGCAAGATGGGTCCGTGAGCAACGAGGCCAGTATGTAGGCGTCCTATTCGTAAGGTGAGTGGGAGAACTCTGATGAGCGAAAGGAGGAATTGCCTACTTCGATAGCTTGCCCAGCGCCGGCACCCTGATGAGGGGTCATTGCGTGAGCCTACAAGAGAGCGCGAGATTTAGAGTGGTAATATCACGGAGAGCTCCAGAGCCTACAGCGTCGCCAGCGAGGAACACGCGATGGGCGGCGAACCTCTCTATCGGATTGAGGTTATTGATCACCCATTTCGTTGGTGACTCTATGCACTGCCAAACGACGTCAACTAGGGTCGAAGTGTGGACATGGAAACCAGAACGCACGTTCAACAATGCCTGAACCTCGGGCTCCCATCCATCGTACTGTCCTTTCAATTCATCCTGTGACGCACGAGACGGAGCCGGTCCCGTGTATTCGATACCTTCTCCAGAGGGGTCGGTAATGAAACAAACCACGTTGGTATACTTCCCATTGGACAAAGGGTATACAACCAAGTGCTGTAAACTGTGGTTGACGCCGAATTCTGTAACTAGGAGGAAAGAGAATGACCTTGTATTTGCCGCAGTACTGAATGAAAGAGAATTGTATCAGCGTCCATCCAGTCAGCATTAGGAGTAATCATGGACTGACGATGACTGCTCTCGACTTCGCTCGATGACCAGGGAACTGCTTCTCGATGGCCTCATGGGACAGAAGACCTCGGTACGCCAGGCTTCCAGACCACACAGGATCGCAGCCCGACTCCCCAACCGACAACCCCTTCCGGACACTCTTCAAGAATTGCTTGCGCACAGCAGACTTTATTCCGTCTGCGGCAATAAGCACGTCGCAATTCACAAAGGAGCCATCCGCAAACTCGAGCTCGACGTGGTTCTCGTATTCAGAATACCCGATCAAGCGCCGGTTGAGCTGGACGACGTCTCCGACCAAAGACATCAGGGAAAGCTGGAGCTCGGCGCGGTGGAACCGCATGGTACCTCCTGTGGGTAGGTGGGTACATGATACCATACGGTGAAAGCAGCGTCTACGCACCTTTCATCCACAAATCGCTCATGTGCACGCCTTCTTCTTGATCGCTTTTTCTGAGTTGAAATACGAGTCCTAGTGCATGGTTAGGTACGGGTAGACCATGCATATTAACCACATGGACTCACGCGTCTTCTCTGTTGGAGGCTCTGTCATCATCTTCAACAGCGTTTCCTCCAGGTCGATGCGTTTCAATATGTCCCAGCTACGAAGCCATAGATTGATGCCAGCACCGATCTCGGCGAGGGCGGGGGCAGCCTCATAGACTCGGACGTCGAGTTTCTTCTCCTTGTCCATATGTCGAAGCGCCTGGGTCAGCATCAGACCGCCAATACCTGCCCCACTGTAATAAAAACGATATATGTCAGCCTTCTGGCATGAAACAGAGAAATGCATACACGATGGCTACCCGTAGCTGCTGAGGATGACTTTGTGACGCCATTGAAACGCGTTGAATAAGAGAAAATGCTGGAACGAAAGAAGATATATGCCAGGTATTGGAAGAAGAGGAAACGGGCTGGGTCAGCTCGACGAGTGGATGTCACCTTTTTAAGGGGGTTTGGACCCAAACAACGATCGAGGCGCAGACCTCTCTGAGCTACTCAATCGTGGCTGCCAGGATCCAAATTGCGGCAGTTAGCCGGCATATACGTGGTCAGCTCCTGGCGGGAATCGCTTGATTCTCATTCATGCAGGAGTAGAAGGGTGAATTCGCATGGACTGCTGGAAGAACAACCGTATGACGACGTCGCGATGAATTTCTCGGTGGCACTTGCACTTACCAGGGCCGATCATACCCACGGTGCGCGAATGTCCGAGCCATCCCTCAGTCGATCTGTCTTTACTTGGTATCTTGACTGAAGATTCGTCTACAGGTGCTGAAACATCCATTGCTTTTTGGACACAGTCTTGACCACCCCGCACGAAGAGAGCGCATGCTCGATCTGTAAAAACCATCTCGCTGCTCCGAAAGGGAGTACGGACTAGCCTGCTCCTAAACTAGACCTTGCGCGTCAATTTAGTCCAGGCTGGCTGGAACACGGTGGCCTCGGAGCCGAGTCTTTTTCCTAACTACTATTTCTGATTCAACTGTAGGAAGGTCTCATCTCATCTAGGTTCTAGGAGATAACTGGTGCCCTCGGGACCTACGTCAGAATTCTGTCATTAGCTGCCTTCATTCGAAGAGCGCGAATTCCGGAAGTGTGCCAAGTTCTCCGCTTTGAGCGCTTAACTCTGGCGGGGTGAGTGGGCGCTTAAGTACTTGCCAAAGTTATGTAATCAAAACCCCCAACAGAAGACCCGTGCGAAGCTGGCACGTCCGCGTCAAGTCTAGTGGCATCCCCCCGACTCAATGTCTTGTAAGTCCTCTAAAGTCTGAGAGAAAATGTTCACCCACACCTTGTAACTGTCGACGTCAGCATGTTTTGAATTTCGCTTCTGTTTTCCCGGTGAAGTGAGGGCCTACCTCAAGATACCGCCCAGATTCCCAGAACGGTTCTCGGGGAAGCATTGTGTCGCCCTTGGGAGTGGATCACGTTGTCTTCTCTAAGTCAGATTCTCAATTGTATGTTTCGTAGGCTTACATTATGCTACGAGGGCCATCCACTCGCAGGCATGCTTCTGACAAACCTGCCGTACGAGCTATGGCTACTGCTGCACAACAAGCCGTTCTTGGTCAAAGTCGAGCTTTGGCACTTCTTTATCACAGCACCGGCTCTAAGATTTGGTGCGTGGGTGTCTGGCATGATATTCCTTGACCAAGTTCCCAATCTGCCATCGCTCCTAGGAGTCATTGGAACAACGCTGTCATTGGATGGCCCTCGACATCGAGTCCGGGACGATACCGTGAACCACTACTCTATCATCAACACACTGCCTTCTGTCGAAATCAGTCCATCCTCGAGTCGCACTTTGACATGGCTTTCCTGTGCAGCGGAGGATTATGTTTCTCGTTTCACCCAGGAAGCACTTAAGGGCGGCAATATCGCTACCCCGAGTTGCACTGTGTGCCACACGAGAAGCTTACGCTTCCGACAGCCAAGGTATTCTGTGGATCTAATTCTCCGGAATGACTTTCTCAGTCATCGCGGACAATTTAGGCGTAGGTGGTTCTCTCCTTGAACCAACCACTTCGGTCGACAGCGTGTCCTGTTCTTCTTTTCGCAGGTACATACTGTCTATGGGCCTTGACTGATCCATCGGGACACATGTTCTAGCGCTTTCGTCCTGGACTAAACTGACTGTTCCGCAAAGCACGAAACTTTAACTAACCGCTGGTCTACTTACTACGGTTTTATCTCAGAAGCCTGTAGAACATCACGAGGTACTATCCCAATCCTGGAATGAATTCTAGCTTCTCAGATACCTGTGATAAACTTCACTCGTACCGCTTTGAGCTTCTTCTTTCAGCACAGAGAAGGATCAGGACACGGTCCGCTGTTTCCCGCTTTTACAAGTCGCCTCATTAATTCTCACCTACCCATACCTGTACGTGTGTACTGGTCGGCATATGAATTTCTTGCAAACCAGGGTTTTAAATTTGGGCGGCGCTAATACTACCCCTTGATATGATCCGCATGCGAAGCTATTAATATCCCAGGCGCTGGTCGTTTGAGATTTCCTTCCGATGCTGGCAGGGGATCGCAGTGTTCCCAGTATCATGTAGAATGGTGTAGACCCGTATTGTGCCGCTGTCAGCCAACGCAATGTAGCGCCTCGTCCCGGTTACGACCACTCGTAGATTCAAGCCCACGCAGTTGCAATGTATGGTGATTCGAATCATAGCGTGTCGATGGAAGTCCTTTGCGAATCTCCGCCCATCTTTATCAATGATGAGGTACGTGCTTGTTAGATGTCGAGCTACTTAGGAAATTTCCTTTTCTAGTCCTGGCGAGCTCATCTTCGGCGCCTCTTACACATCCATGCACGACAGTCGATGTCATCCTGAGGCCAAGACTGACCCAAGTTGTATCAGTAAATTGGGAATCAAATGAATGGCAGATGGGGCTTGGTGGGGGTGCTTCGAAGGCCATTGGAAGGACAGCCCGTTCTTTATACGAAACGCCGTCTTGCGTTGCACCTATTTAAAACTCACTCCATCGCGCTCACAGGGCTGTTCGGGGACCACAAATCTAGATTAGATCATCAATGGAGCCCGACCGCAAACGTTTATCATACACGCGAGGATTCGAAGCTAAATGCTGGAAGCGGTGTTTTGTTCTTCTGGACAACCATGTGCGCGTTCGGTGATTGCACTACCGTTGTGATTACATTCTCCTGCTTCTCTGACTTGGAATGATTGATGTTACAGTAGCGACTCAACTCATTAGCTCCCTTTCACTGTGAGTGGAGAGAAGAAACTTCACATCGCCAGTCATGTTGCAATGATGGCTGATTCAAGCCAGTGCGGATATGTGAGCTGCATAACCTTACCAGATTAGTGTGACCGAGTCACAGCCCTTAGGCTGTAAAATTTGGCCCTTTCAGTAATTCCGGCCGCTGGGATAAATGAAGTATATAAGACACGATCTCCCCAGTCTCGGAACCAGAATAACCAACCACCCACATAATAATGCTGCAGGCAGTCATCCATCACCTTGTGTCTCAATACAAGCTATTGAGTTACCCATCGAGGCTTCTGAGCCGATTCGTCCCTCCTTTGTTCTTATCGCCTACCCATGCCGCGTTAGTCGAAAAGAGCGTAGACCGCTCAGAAATTTATCTAGCGGGACCTTCATCTGCCACCGGACAACTGGTATGGCTAATTACTGGTGAGGTCATACTCTCGTTATGCTGTCATTCACTGCTGAAGGGATGTTGCCATTCAGGGACCTCGACAGGGTTCGGGCGTCGTCTGGTCACTTCGGCTCTGCGACGAGGCGACCTTGTCATTGCGACAGTCCGTTCAGTGGACGACATGGACACGCCAGAGGTCACCGACCCATCGCTACTGGACAACCTGAGGAGAATAGAGCTCGATGTTACGGAAGGCGAGGATGCACTCAGAGCCAAAGTGGAGGCAGCTGCATCAATCTGGGGTCGGATCGACGTCCTTGTCAACAACGCTGGTACATCGCTTACTCTTATCATCGTCGCTGTAGTCTCATTCCGCTACCCTCTTCAATTAGGACAAGGCTTGGTGGGCCTCTCGGAGGAAGGAGGGTGAGTCTGACGCTCAAGACTGGGTTTCTTTTGGGACCCAGGTTAACTGATGCCTATCCACTTAGGTCTACGCTGTTTCGCCGGACCTTTGATGTGAACGTGTTCGGCCTGGTAGATATGACGACTGTGACACTGCCATATCTGCGAGCGAGCAAAGGCTGCGTCGTCAATATTGGAAGTCGATCGGCTTGGAAGACGGAGATAGTAGTAAGGGGTTTTCTCTTTCGCTCATGTTGATTGATGTAGACTGTGCGTTGCTCTCTCTTTCTAGGGCGTCGGTGAGAATTCGGCTCTTTTAAGCCGGAATAGGAACTCAGCTGACCAAAATAAACGTAGGCCCCTATTCAGCGTCGAAAGCTGCCGTTCATGGTGGGTTGCGCAGAATGCTGTCATATCAGAGACTGACGCGGTTTAATTCTACACAGCGCTGTCAGAGACCCTTGCGGTGGAACTCGCACCATTTGGCGTGCGAGTCATGCTTGTCGCTCCAGGTGCTTTCAGAACAGAAGGGATTCACGCCAAGCCGTTTTACGAGGATCGCCCTTTGGCAGAGTATGACGAGACAAGAAAGGCAACAGCAAAGCGATTTGCCTCAATATCAGGAACGCAAAGGGGAGACCCTGCCAAAGCCATGGAAGTGCTGGTGGACATAATCCGTCAGGAAGGCGTGGCAAAGGATAAGCCTTGGCCTCGACATCTCATCCTTGGAGAAGATGCGATCAACGATGTACGCGCAAAGTCCACTAGCATCATCAAAGAGCTCGAAGAGTGGGAGGTCATCGGGAAGGCAGTGAGCTTCTAAATCTTGATCAGGGCATTGAGTGTGAAGAAGTCTTTCATTTGATTCTATGTATATCATCAGGCCATTCTTCTGCATAATTGGACATTCTCTTGTATCATTGTACGACATTACTTTCTGTAGCACCATTCGTTAAATTATTCTCTGTTCCAATGCTGAACATCGACTACGACAATTGGGATTCGAGGAGTCAGCAAATGGGAAAGGCCTACCTACACGTGCTCCTAAAGATGTTCGCGGAGTGTCTACTCCCCGAATCATAAGCGTTCAGGAAGCTGTCCCCTCATTACATTGACGTGAGGGCAAGCGCGCAGTAGTATGTATAATGCCGGCACTCGGTTGACGTCTGTGGCGTGACTTTAGCTCGATTGGGTGTCATTCCGATGGAGAACCCGACTGAAGCAGACCACGTTCGTCAGAGACCTGAGAAAGTCCCTTCTCTTGACTTTGGTGTGGTCCAGCACGGGGAAGGTCCGTGTCGAACGAGAATATTGATCAAGATTGAAGCAATACTCCTCGGTCTATTGTAGAGGGAGAAGGCATACGTGACTAGCGAGGTCGGCAGCTGGGAGTCGAGTTCATATGGGAATGACTTCTGGTTCCCAACTTCCCATCGGTGGAATTCGAATGCGAAGATCAGGTAATACTATGAGGTCGGAAGCGACGCACGGAGAGTCAGTAGACCTGTCCAATAACGACATCTTTGCGATGCTTGAGTGCCACCTGGGGGACCTTTGGTAGTGGGCATCGGTCTTCTTTCTATCCCGTCGATGAGAGGCGTCGCTCTGTTTCAACAATGCACCCGCCTTTCTGAGATGCATTCGATGAACTACGAGGGGTCAGGATCGTCACGTCGTTCTGATTCACGATGTAACCGTTAGAAAAATACAGACTAGCCTCGCACAGACCTGCCGATATCTCACGCTTTCCAGGCGACTTTCCGGACTGTTTGCTTGAGATAACATGAGGATGGCCTAGACAGAACGCGAGGCTGGATTTTGATCTTTCTGAATCCCACCCACGTGATCGCGAATATGATCATTAGGCGCGCGTTGTCCATCACATCCGGTTAGCAAGCGCTTGAGCCGCACCTCAGGTCATTTTCATTTGTCGAGCAATTTGGTCTTACGATATGCCCCACGGGGTACCCGAGTCATGATACAATCAGCTGAAATTCGTGTCTCGCATTTATACGAAATGCGAGAACAACATTCCGAGATGAATTATGGGGAAGTGGTAAATGAAAGGTGTTCTCGATCCAGCATGAGTGTGTTTGATATGCCGTCCTCGGGGAACCGGCAAATAACAGTGAAACTCAAAAGCTGGGAGTAAGCTCACCCCATAGAGGATGACCCTTGTGGTTATCCAAGTTTGAGACTTCTTGTGCGTTCGAATCGTGGAGTCAACAAGCGAAACCACGGATCGATGCGAAGGCGCTTCATTCCTTAACAACTCGTCAACCCTTGGAAGCCTATGGAAAGAGCCAATCGTGGACTGTCTTATTGTACTATAGGATGTTTGTTTCCCAAGGGAGTTGGCCTCAAAAGGAAGTGGCTGGGGAAAACGGAGAGAAGCCTGCACATATGGAATGACCGGTTGTCCTCAGGTGTGGAGCCAGATAAGCACTCGCGACTTATGTTTTGCGAACTTCGGTTCGGAAAACATGTCCGATGTAGCGGAATAAACTTTCAAGTTTCCTTTCGTAGGGACGAGAGTATCGGATGGAACGGTTATCCCAGATTCGTGAGATACAAACTTCATGCTCGACGCGGAGTTAAGTGGCGTCCATGCCTTCTCCATTCATTAAGGGCTTTTCATGCGGATGAATCGTTGCCTCGGGAGGGTCATGTGGCATTTGTGTCGTCATACAATTGCGGGGAACATCATTTTGAGAGCGTCGACACGGAGAATATGTCCGATGACCTCGAGAAGTACGACTAATACCATCAGCGCGGATATCGGAGCGCCCTGACCCGCGCTTGCAAATTCGTTCCGCCGTTTGCAGTGGTTCAGTCACAGAACGTCCGTAAGAAAGGCGACCCGAGCAGAGGAGCTGGATAGAGGACGCAGGAGAGGCTTAATTTTCGCCCCGTCGGGAGAGTGAGCAGCCGCAAAGATATGGACCCTTCCGAGTTTGTCATTTCCATCGAGCACAATCAACGCGAGTAATGCGGGGTAGGAACGTGCACCGTGGTCGACGCTCCACAAAGAACCACGAAATCCATTTTCGATAACCTTGATCAGCGAAGCGGCGATTCATATGACCCACTTGACGATCAGTGTGGGGAGGCGTAGGAGGCTAACAGGGCACAAACCGTGTAAGACGGATAGCAGAACTTGGGAGATGCCCTTCCATAAATAGACTAGAGCATGTAGTACTGAGCCAGAGTGTAACCTGAAAGCAAGAGTTCAATTCAGTAGCACCATGCTGCAGGGTAAGCCAAGACAGAAGTTGGCGAACCAGTCTTTGGGTTCAGGTAGGTAGATATCAGAGGAGAGCAGGGATTGTCGTATGGATGGTGGTGAAGCCGAGCAGAGTTGCCGCTCCAGAGGATCCCATGAATTGTATTCAAGGTATTTTGTTTATCGAAATAGAAGCTCTCCAAGACGCCTGTGATATCTCGACAGTGTTCAATCTTTGCTTCGAGTTCGGTTAGTCTTCGGATTTCCATACGAGCAAATGGTGAGCAGAGATCCGGCTAGGAGAGGGCTCTCAGAGCCAAAGCAGTCCAAACGTGTGGTTAGTTTGAGACTATTCCAGTTAACCTGTAGGATTCAGAGCCACATCCGAGAGCCTTGTTGGGCACAGAAAAGGTTGAAGGAGGAAAATCGACTGTTTTCGGGATTTCGGCCTGCCAATCGGAGACTCAACATGCCGCCAAAGTTCACACACGGAGTGGAGGCGGCAGGCATGCCGATTCCCACCCTACATGGGTTCTTCCCGACCATCACCAGTACTGTACCTGACTGTACTGGCCGTCGTCCTCGTCGTCCTCGTGAAGCAACCAGGAAGACTAGTATTCATGAAATCGTGTGAGTCAAATATTGTGAATTTTGGCTTCTTTCTCGGTGTGTCGTAAAGTTGCAGCGGGGTCCAGCAAGGCATGGTTCCGGCATCGTGGAAAACCAAGGTCACAGGAACTGTATACGGCCTGGTGGTTACTCAAAGGAATAATATCGTCCAATTGTATCAGCATCGAATAGGGTATCAGCTGGACGTTCATTGATGACCTAGCAACCAAGAATACTGCATCGTGGCACCTGCTCACAGCGACCTCATCCAGGACGCTTCTTTCCGTGACCCAAACGCGGATTTGTGTGCCTTGTCGCCTGCAGAAGGCAAGAAGATCCACACATTTCTGTTTATCCGCCACCTTGTCACTACGCAAAAGCGGCAAGAAGCGTTGGGACGCGAACCGTCCAAGAACTGCGGCTGCATTGACCAGACCTGCAGCTCGCTTCCATGCTTTTTATCATTCCATCAGTATTGCCGAGCCTGAAGCTTGGGTCTTGCTCGAAGGCTACTTTGCAGCCAAATGAAAAGACTTAAAAGCCGGGGCCATGCATGCTGCAAAACTTAGGTCGCTTGTTGACTTCTCCCCACCTTCCTGTTTCCACCATGGGCGTCTCGACGTCTATGCGTCTGTTCTTGACCACAACGCTCCTGGCTTTATCTCTCGTGAACGTCCATGCTCAGGCTGACCCCGACGCCCCAGTCTCCGCAGACATTGCAGGCGACTTGGAGGTAACGGAGACCCCCAGCGTCCCCAGCCCAGTCGATGTGGCCGCCACATGCTCGGAACCCTTGGGCAATGGACGCGCTGGGCCAAACGACCCTTGGTGGATGGAGACTATCAAGCACCAAGGAACTTCGCCTACCAATCCGAACCCTAGGGATTACCGTCCTTTCCGGAATGTCAAGGTTAGTTCCATCGGTTGTCTACCCCAAACGCCGAGGCTGAGGTTTCTTCTCCTAGGACTTTGGTGCCGTAGGCGACGGTATTCACGACGACACCAGAGCGATCAAGTAAGCACATGGCTTTGACATGACTTAGGACTGTCTTGACCACGTTCTTTTAGTGAAGCGATCGCCTTCCAGAATCGCTGCGGTCTCGGGTGCAACTCGTCCACGTATGTCTCCCGTTGTCGTCGTTGCGCAGAGGCTAACCAATTTCTCCAGCGTTTCCCCTGCCATTATCTACTTCCCGCGAGGGTGAGTTTTCCTCTGGTTGTAAATGGTTTCAGGTATTGAACACGCTTTACAGAACCTACCTCGTTTCGGCTCCTATCATCCCATACTACTACAGTCAGCTTATCGGTGATGCGCGAAACCCGCCTACGTTACTTGCATCGGCAAATTTCGACGGAATGGCTGTTATTGGTGCGTTATCCGACTGAGACTATTCCTGCATTGTGCTTATCAGCCCTCCTAGACGCCGATCCTTATATCCCTGAGGGTGGCGGAGCGCAATATTGGGTGAACCAAAACAACTTGTACGTCCTCCTGTTCTTGGTTATCAAACCTTGCTCTAAATTCATTTCACAGCTTCCGCTCAGTGCGAAACTTCGTCATTGATGTTCGACGGTATGCCGGCTTAATTTCATCTTGTGATTGCAAGCCTCATTATACTGCAGGGTTCCACCGGAGAGACCTCAAGGAACTGGTTTGCACTGGCAAGTCTCCCAGGCGACTTCGTTGGTCAACATCGTCGTTCACATGTCTGAGGCCCCCAACACCGCGCACCAAGGTATGATCAATGGTCACTGAAAACATTCACCATTCTGACTTCTGATAAAGGTATCTGGATGGAGAATGGAAGGTAAGCAATTCACAACGTCCGTCGACGTGTTGGTGCTGAGCAGGCCGATAGTGGCGGCTTCATGGGTGATCTTGTCTTCAACGGAGGTCGCTTTGGTATCTGGGGCGGAAACCAACAGTGAGTTTCTGTCTAACCTTGAGCTTGACAACGTGACATGATCTAATCCCCGCGTAGGTTCACTGTCCGAAACCTTACCGTCAACAGGGCCAAGACCGGTGTTTACAGTCTTTGGAACTGGGGTAAGTGGCACCATCTCCGCGGCGTCCTACCAGATATTCATCTCTTGTATAGGCTGGACTTACCAGGGTGTTACCTTCAACAACTGCGAGGTTGGCTTCGAAATTGCCACAGGAGGCCTAACCATCGAGGAGCAGGTAAATATTCCCTCAAGGAGCGTTCCAATCAGAAACCGACATCTTATTCCCCGTCTAGTCCACCGGTGCCCAAGCCATCATCGATGCTGTCGTCATTGACACTCCCACTTTCATCCGAACCACCAAGCCCAGCAACGGCGCCCTCGCTGGCTCTCTCGTCATCAACAATGCCAGGCTTGTCAACGTCGGTGTTGCCGTCGGAGTTGAAGGAGGTGCCACTGTGGTTCAAGGTGGCACCAGGACGATCGCCTCGTGGGGCCAGGGCAATGTTTACCGCGGTAGCGACGGCACTCGTCGATTCGTCCAGGGTGAACTCCCCGTTCCTCCCAAGGATGCCAGCTTGCTTGATAGCGCTGGACGCATTGTCGGACGTGCTCATCCCCAGTATGAGAACTACCACGTTTCGGAATTCATCAACGTCAAGGACTACGGTGCCCGTGGTGACGGTGTGACGGATGATACCAATGCTTTGCGGGAGATTTTTGCTCGGGTGAGTAGTTCTCGTTCCTTGGAAGCCTCAGAGGGAGGTAACGCTGACTGGTGATCATGATGTAGTTCGCGAACTGCAAGATTCTCTTCTTCGATGCCGGCCACTACATCATCACTGATACCGTCCTCATCCCTCCCGGAACGAGGATGGTTGGTGAGGCCTGGACTGTGCTCGCTGTCCGAGGCCCCAACTTCCAGGACCAGCACAACCCTAGGGTCGGCTTCAGGGTCGGCAACAGGGGTGACGTCGGCGTTGCTGAGATCACTGATATCGTTTTCTCGACTGTTGGGCCCAGTAAGCATACGTCTATACTCGTTATCTTCAGCGATATTGACCTCGCCCTTAGCCCCCGGTGCCATCATCATGGAATGGAACATCAGGGATCCCGCTGGCCAGAAGGCTAGCGCCGGTATGTGGGACAGCCACATCCGAACTGCTGGAGGTACGTCTCTCCTTCACTGTCCTCACTATATGAGCTGACCTCAACTACTCTAGCGGCTGGAAGCGAACTCGAAGGCCGACACTGCCCCAAGTCCGGTGCTGCTGGCTACGAGCGCTGCATGGTTTCCTTCATGAACTTGCACATCACCAAGGGTGCAACCGCTTATCTCGAGGTCCGCTTTAGCTTCCCTTCTGCTTCATCTGGCCTTAACTGACGCCAGTTAACAGGGCACCTGGGCTTGGTTGGCTGACCACGATTTGGACGGCGATGGTGTTTCCCAAATCACTGTCTACTCCGGACGCGGTATCTTGTCCGAGTCTGAGGGTCCTGTTTGGATGATTGGTACTGGATGTAGGTATCCTTCACCTGTACCTCCTCAACACAGCGACTGACACTTCGTCGCAGCTGAGCATCACACTATGTACCAATACCGCCTCGTCAACGCCAGGAACCACTACATGGGTCTGATCCAAACTGAGAGTGTACGTACCAATCTTCCGTTCTCGTATGCGCACCATCCTCACGAGGTTTGCCGTTTAGCCTTACTTCCAACCTTCCCCTCCTGCACCTGTCCCCTTCGTCAAGAACGACGCCTACCATGATCCCACCCCCTACGACCCTGTCAGCGGCTCGGCATGGGCCCTTTCAGTCAAGGAGTCCCATAATATTCTCATCTTCGGCGCCGGTCTCTATAGCTTCTTCGACGTTCGTCCCCTCCCTTTTCTCATCGTCGTCCTCTTCTAACCACTTCTTCCTTTCCTCTGTACACAGAGCTACAGCCAAGACGTCTGCATCCCCGGCCGCAACTGCCAGCAGCAGCTTGCAGACATCGACAGCCGATCGGGTGTGCACATCTTCAGCTTGTCCACTGTTGCCTCGGTTTGGCAATTGAGCGTCGACGGCAGGCCTGTTATCAACCAGGCTGATAACATTAACGGCTTCGCGTCTACTGTGACCTGCTGGAGCAATAACTAGACTCTTCGTCGCCCAGATCGTGTACTCGTTCTTGAACCCAAAGTCGAGAATAGAGACTGGGAGCGACTAGTTAAAACTACACCGTATACGCCAAAGTAATTAAGAGTTTTTGTCATGTGTTTCGATACGTCCAATTTGATATTTATGCTTCTTGCTTCATGCCACTGTCATTGAAAATATCTCGCTGCCTTTTCCGCCAGTGGATTAGACCTCGGATATCAAGTCAAAACCGGTCAAAATCCGAACAGCCGGAGGATCATCTTACCTGGTTGTGACACCTACAAGCCACTCACTTTCACTCACGTGGCCATTTTGAGAGAAGGGCCAATCCGAAAGGCGAATATCACAAGTACAGAAGAACTTGTGCTTGTGCACTTGACTCTCGAATCAAGGTGGAGACGCCAGATTCCACGAAAAAGCAATCATCTTGTCGAAACGAAAGACAAGTCATCCATGCGATACAAGTGAAGAACGGGCAGCGCTAGAACGCAGGAAATTTCAACGGTGGAGAGGGGAAGAACGGAGGATGGGGTGGTGAAAGAAATAACAGAGGAGGGCGGGGCAACAGCGGTGCTGGAGCTGGTGGTGAGGGCGGTGAAAACGGAGGATGGGGTGGTGAAGGTGGACGTTGTGTCACTGTCATTGTAGCGGCATAAGACAACTTGAAGACAGAATGGTGTACTCAAGAGTGCATAGGCCTTGCTTCGGTCGTGTGCGTGGATTGCATATTTCTCCGATATTCAGGAAGACGAAAGATGAATGGGTATGTTTGTATCTACAACTAGCTAAACAGGTCATAAAAGGGCGTCATCCAAACGTGCGTGAAATGGAAGAGATAAATTAAACAGTCGAGTCCTGAACGTTTAATAAGCCTTCTCTGAATGTTCGATGGTTTCCTTTGCAGATGAAGATTCCTCAGTGGCTGGTGTCGTTGATGCAGTGGCGGATGCGGCCTTCAAGAGAACGGGGACAGTGATGATGGCCGAGGCGATAGAGAGCCAGGGGAAGATGGCGAGCAATCGGACTTTGGGAGACCACAGTTAGTTCGTTCTCTACTAGGTGAAACGAGCAAAACAACGTACGATACCACATGTCCTTGTACCGGGTCGAGTGTCCACTCTTCTCCTGCATACTTTGCACCAAAGAGTCAGGAAGCCTGGTTTCGCCGATGAATGCCGAGATGGAGGCATGGTCATTGACAAAGTATTTCATGAAGGGGATCATGCAAACGAAGACCCAGACGGCGCTGAAGGCGATCAAGCCAGCTTGGAGGCGAAGGGTTTTGTTGGCCCAGCGGCGAAGGAAAGGAAGGAAGGTGATACAGAAGGAGATGAAAGCGAAGGAAGCGAGGAGGATGTTTCCGACTGTCGCGACGATACCGGAGTTTTGGATGGCTGGCAAACCGGTTAGTCGATGCTGGAGGAAGCGACCAAATATTGTACTCACAGCTGGTATCGATGACGAGTCTCGTGGGAGGGGAGACCCTACTCCTCAACGCAGTCTTGGACTGGTTACTCTTCACCAACGCGTGCAACCCTTCAGTAAAATTTTGAGTAAAGTCTACGAAACCAACTTGCAACATAAAACGAACCAATGCAGGCAGCGACGGTAGCGAGAGCCGCCGTCAACTGGAGAGTGACGATTCGAGCGGTCTTGAGGGGGATGACTTCCTGGGTCATGGCGATGAACTCGTCACACTTCGTTGAACGGGGAGGTGGGAGAGAGGCAGGTGGGAGGAACCCTAACGAACTGGTGCCACTTCGACCTCACTTTATGAAGCTGCATAATTTATGCCTGCCCATTGGAGAAGCGCACGACATGGGGGTAGCGGAATGGGGCAGGAGCTGCGAAATTGCGAAATGGCATTGCAGATCAAGATCTTGGGAGTTTTCCTTGAGACCTTTACGATGTCTAAAGTAGTTTATCCATGTGTTCCCTGATCATGGGGTCACCCCGTTCTCCTATTTAGGACATAAGCGCCCGTGATCGAGCTGGATACTCAGGGGGGCCGACGTTGCCAAGAGAATCCATCATTCGCCTGATTTTATTCTCCTTCTCTTCCCCAGCTGACGGCGTTCCAACGCATTCCAAGAAGTCAAGAACGGTGATCCAAGGTGTCGAAAGAAGAAGTAAAAGCAGCCGTAGAAAGTGCTTTTCGCTCGAATTTCGACTCGACGTATGAAGGGTCGCCGTTGGAGGCCGTTGGACGACATAAACACGGGGATACGCGTCGTGGGGAACGTGGGGTCGCGATACGGTGTCCATACGCTCAGGAACCTTTGAAGCCTACAACGCGGGGGCCCACCATGTGGGACGTAGACATTGTAATCGTTGGTGTTCCCCGGAAGGAGATTTAACAAGGCGCGCGCGCTCATGAAGGCCGAGCTAGCATCCGTAAGTGACTGCTAGCGTCGCGATCCATAAACCATGGTCTACTCTAACCTGACGGGCGTCGGAGCCGTAGTGTAGATTAGCATTGGTAGTCTGCATCTTCCCAAATTTATCTGGATTCATTATACACAGCATCGGGAGGACGTTAGATCCGTAGAATTGACTGGCCTGTCGCAATTGAGGGTGGAGTCCGAGAAAATTGAGTGGCACGATGTCCAGATCCCCGTTATCGACGTCCAGCTGTGATGACAAAGGACTTGGGCAGCCACTGTGCTTGAGATTCTTGATACTTGGAGTCCCTCCCAGCGAGCTTCTTTCAAGGGGATCATGCACGCTCGCCTCGCGTTGATACGGCTGGCAATAAAGGTTCACATGAAGCCTGTACACCTACAAGAAAGGCATCCCAGTAGCCCTGTTCAGACCTCTTTTGCCGGTGAGAACGCTTCGACGCCCCATTGCCTTGATCCGCTGCGCCGACTTTACATCTTTGTCATGCTCGAGAAGATACTGTGTACACAACCCCCTATCCCAATACTCTCTGGGCGCAATTTAACTAAAATTTCCTTCGACAAATCTCGACACTTCCTCCAAAGCAATGAAATGAATCAGGACAAAGAAAACGTTCAACCAGGATGCCTTGCGCCGCCATACATACTTGGATTTGTCCATGTCCATCCCATCCATATGCATCCCCTATTTCCTAAACCGACGGCCCTCGGTCTTCAAGGATGCGGGTCCCGTTACAAATGAATTACAACATCCAAGATACCTCCACAAACACGCTTTTGAAATGGGCTGGAAACATAGATATCTGGTATCACAATGGTCCCGACGTCGATACGGCTCACCTGGGTGGCCAGAAATGTGACAGATGCGCACGCTCACCGTGCTGCTGTAACTCGTTTCGAGATTCACGACACCATCATGAGAAGCACAGTCCCGCAGTTGATTCAATGAAGCATTGACCTGGATAAGAGCCATCTCAGTTAGATACACCAGCGCCATTTGACAGTGGACACCGATTGCGAATTGAGGTATCCGCGAGGATGGCAATCGAGCGTAGCCCTCAGCTCCAGAGCCTAGGAGCCGGCGTCCTGGACAGTCTGTGGCGTCGGAGCTGGGCTACACCAGTAATGCTCCATCCCAAAAGCTGCTCCTCCAGATGATCCAGCAGCCACCAGGAGCCTGAGGTGGATCCAGGTAGAGGCGATGAGGACTTGAGCGGACGGAACCAACAAGCCGGTGACAGGGATGACGTTACAGTCTGAGGCGTCTATTCAATGTCAGGAACGAACATGGGTATCGGAAAAAGGTTGTCATAGGTAATGAGAGGAGAGACAACATCGCAAGTGAGTCACAAGATAAGGGTGGATAACCAAAAGGTGATGAATTGAAATAAACACGTCAAAGACCAAGCTACAGGGAATCAAATAAGGCAGAATAAACAAAGCCCACAAGGCGAGCACAGGGAGTGGTAAACATCAAGGCTTGACCACGGGTTCAACTTAGCTGCACATGGCAAGAAGGTAAACTAAAAATAGAGAACGGGCCCAAACAAGAAAACCAAAGCGGGGCGAAGACAAATGCGGCCGACGACGTGAACAAGGTGTGGCGCCATGGTTGCATGCGAGATCAATCAAGGTTGTCCAGAGCGTCACCACCGATATTGGGTATATGGCCCACCGACACCATATGCGTGTACAAGTCCTAAAATCCCGAAGAACGATTCGACAAAATACTCAGTCAGCACAAAAGCGAACGAACGCGAAGATCGTGGAAAGCACTCACCTGCTTGGATTCGAAGGTGTGGTTGCATATGCGGTTGTCTGGATACCGGAATTGACATCGGACAACGAGAGTAGGATCGGTCGGGGTGGGATCGGGCGGCAACGACGCAGGAATACTCGTTCCGTTGAGGTGCGGACTTGGTTGGGATGGGGCCACGATGGGCTGAGAAACAGGAACAGGCTGAGAGACCACGGGCTGGCTGAGCTGAGAACTGCCGCGACGCTCCGTCAACAGTCTGACTTGTTCCCTCAGCTCCTTCACCGACTCGTGCAGTTTAACGTTCTCCGTCCTCTCATCCGCCAAACTACCCTCGAGTGCCTCAATCTCCCCATCCCTCTCCTCCAACACCGCATGCAGATTATCCCTCTCTTGCTCTAGGATAACCGCCTTCTCCTTGTACTTCTGGTACCTGCGCCTAACCTCAGGCTCCTCGGCAGCCCTCCTACGAATGTCATCATTCGTCCGCTTATCCTTCTCCATGATAAACTCGGCAACGCGCTGCCACTTATCCCTGTCCTTCTTCAGATCTTTGAGCCGACCGTCAAACATGGCACGGATCGCAGCAACGCCCTCCACAGTCTGCTTCTTCGCAATCTCCAGCTCTTTCTGCAGGTCCTTCTTCTCCGACTGGAGCTCGCTCGTGGCCGCATACGCTTTCATGTACTGCTCCCTGAACGAGGCGCAATCCCGATCCGCCAGGTCCTTCCTCTCCATCGCACGCTTCAACTCCAACTCCAGCCTAAACTTCTCCTCTTCCCATTTGATGCGGTCGGCTTCGTAGGCAGATTTAGTCGAGTCGAGTTCGGCTTGGAGTTGGACAACGGCGGCGGACTGGTCTGGTTGCTGAACAACCTTACTCGTTGCGTGTACGAGTTCGTCCTTGGAAGTCTCGAGTTGCTTCGAGAGCTCTTCGACCTTGACTCTTTCATCGGCGAGCAACTTCTCCAAACGAGCGATCTCTTCCGATTTGACGTTGAGAAGGGATAATACGGCCTTGAGGTCCGCAGATTTATCACCTGTGGGTTGCTATAGCGGCGGTGAGTACCAGACACGAGGAACATCTTATAACTTCGGTACTCACCGAAGAGTCGAGGCTTGGATTCGTGTCTTGCGACGAGTCCTGATTGCTCGAGGACGTCGCTGGAATCTCCTGAGATTCCTCTTGATGACGAGGCACTCGCCTCTCAGAGGGAGCTTTCGAAGGAGGACGTGATGGACCGGGCACAGACATGTCGACCTCAGGTGACAAGTCGCGACGTTGCGTTCCAGGCTGCGGTATTATCGAAACCTGTATTACCAAAGCAATCAGCTCAGCGACCATATAGTAACGACAAAAGAAGCAAAAGCTTACGTCTTGCATCATCTCTACATCCTGCTGGTCTTGCCCAGGTTCTTGTACAGGTTCAGGCGAGGGTGAGCCGACACCCTCGCTGATCGCCTTGTGCACCTCCATCTCATGCAACAAATCCTGTGTCGACTCTTCTTCTTCCTCCGGGATCGCCTGCACCGGCTTCACCTCCACCACATCGTTATCGTCATCCTCGTCCATCTGGGTCTCCGTCCGCGTTACATCAGCCCCAGTCTGCTGCTGCTGGTGCTCCTCGAACGAATCCTCCACCTCCACAACCGGCACCTCAGATGGCCCGTCCACATACTCCAGTCCCCCAAACTCGTCTTCTTCATCAACCACAACTTGCTCCTGCTCCTGCTCGTCTTGAACAGGAGGGGGCGAAGAAGGTGGATGCTCCTGGGGTTCGAGTGACCTCGTCCGACTACGGCTGCGCTGACGTTCCTGTTCCTCGTCTGACGGCGCGAGCGACGACCTCGAACGGCGGATGTCCTCCAAAGTCGTCCGCGGACCCTTGAAACTCCCTGTCTCACTACGCCTCTTCTGCTGGAACTCCTCATGCAGTCGTTCTGCCCGCGCCCGACGCGGCAAATCTGGAGTGGGAGGTTCAGATCCTTGAGCTAGCACTACATCCCCAGTCCAGTAGTCAGAATCAGCTTCAGACCCTCGTCGACTGGTCTTCCGCCCGTTTACAGAGGACGAGGCAGTGGATTTAGATGTAGCCACAGCGATCGCAATCCGAGTTTGAGGTCGCTTTTCAGGCGAATCGAATTGCTCGATCTGTTCAGCAGAACTTTGAGGGAGTTGCTGCGAATCGTCCGGGTTTTCGATCGTCGAGTCGTTCTGCGACGAGATGTACTGAGCGAATTTGGAGGGTGAGAGTTGCGGGATGGGATGGAGTGTCTTTTGCTTGGAGGTCCCCCTGGGCTTGGATGAGGTGGAGGCGGCGAGCAATTCGGGCGGTGGCGGAACTGGGTCAACCACATCACCGACGACAGGCGTCCTCGAGGCAGATGGCGTCTTTGGTTTCATCTGTGTGATCAACCGCGATCGCGACGGAGTCGCGACCAGCCGCCGCGATTGTTCTTCGAGAGATTGCGTCTCGGGCACTTCCTCGTCTGTATCATCGTCTGTCCTTCGTTTTCCCTTGGAATTCCGTTTGGGAGATGCTGCAGCATCGTCAGTTTCGGGAGGATACATGAGTTCGTGCGCGTTCGAGTCAATGTCATCCTCGTCATACACAACCGGAGGCAGGGCAGTCGATGCCTCTGACCGTTCAGTCCTTCTCTCCAACTCCTCGTCTGCCATGACATTGTGAGCAACCAAACATCTTAACCAGGAGAGAAAGGAACAAACCTGAAGAGTGGTCATCCAATGAAGTCCCGCCTTTCTTCGCACTGGCGCCCTCAGAGGCTGGGGCTTTCTCTTTGCCTTTTGTCGACTTCCGTTGACCGTTGCTCGCAGATGAGTGGGACTCGCGGCTCCTCGACAAGGCAGCTGTTTCCGCCACGGATTCCTCCTCCCCTTCCGACTCAACAACAGGTTTGGATCGTCTGGAGGGACCGGCCTTATCCTTCGACTTGATACTCTTCGGTTTCTTCGGCGGTCCGACTTTGTCAGAGAGCTTGAAGGGCTTGCTCACATCGCTCGAGCCAGGGAACTTTGACTTCTTGGGCCGTGCCGGTGGTTCTTCCTCTGAATCCTCCTCCACCATAAACTCGTCTCCATCTTCTGGTACAAATGCCTCCTCAACAGGCGGTGATTTCTTCTTCCTCGGACGAGGTTTATAAGACACCACCTTGACCTCCTCTTCATCCTCCTCATCCTCGACATCCATGGCATCTTCATCCACCCAGTCTTCTTCATCGTCATCTTCGTCAACCTGCCTGCCCTTGCCCTTCCAGTCAGTCTTGACAGGCTTGGATTTATCCCTGGGCCCAGACGCTTGCTGGTGCCTCGCCGACGCGTTCTGTGGTTTCGTCGACACCTGCTGCCTCCTCTGAGGTGAAATAACAGCGGCGACCTCCAGCTCGGAATCATCGTCAGAAGAGGGTTCCGGGTCTGGAGCACGCCGTGGCTTTGGTCGTTGAGGAGGTGCTGGTTGCGCCCGTGTAGATGACCGTTTGACCATCGAGTCGGACTTTGCGTGTGGGTGGTCGACCTTGAGCTTCTTCTTGGAAGGACCGGGTTTCTCGTGGGCGGATGTATAGGCTTTAGCGAGGGCGCTTGGCCCGGTGGAGCGGGTGTCCTCGTCGTCCTCGTCGTGCGACCGTTTCTTGCCCCGTTGTTTCGTGGATGGTTTCGAGGAACCCACTGACACAGGCTCCTCTTCTCGCTTGACTCTGGGCGAGTGGGTAGATATAGATTCCCCAAACGTGCCAATAGCTTCCCGGTTTTTCGATACCGCAGTCGTCGACGTCGAAGTTGACGCACGAGCTTTGGACACCGTCGACTTGGTCGCGGTCACAACGCTCTTAGCCTTGCCCACCGCACTAGTGCTAGCGCGTTTCGCACTTTTATTCGAAGCTTCAAACCAAACCACAAGCCATAGGAAAAAGGAAGAGGACGCGTTTCAAAATAATGAGTATATTTATCATCGGTAATATAAAACAATTCAGACACACATCGTCTCCGTTTCTGCTTCTCCAGTTGTTTCTGTTCCGCAGTGCGTTTCTCGCGCTCTGCTAGGGGCAAATCGTTCCAATCGTCCTCTACATCTTCCGTAACGTCTTCCTTGGGCACCCAACTGTCAGGCCAGGGCCTCCCAGTTTTCGGGTCCGTGCCATCCCAGCGAACTTTATACCGTTTCTTGTCTTCAGCAAGAATTCCGACAATAGGCCAGAAATCCTCTTCAATGCCTTGTTCAAGTTCCTCTTCTGAATCCGAATAGGCCATCTGATATACTGAGTTTAATAGTTGCTATCAACAAAATATACTTGTTTCCTCACCGTGTGTAGCTTCAAAAGTCCTCCCGGGAACGGTCTTGACGGCGTCGACGATGTCTAGAGTGTGGCAATCAACAAGGTTGCTCGGAGTCGCTGTGTGAATTGGCGAGCATCATGGATCGGCATTTGCCGGTATGTTTTCTCACACTGCTGTTTAAAGCCTCTTAGCCCCTTTTCAGGACCAGGTTTCCCCTGCTCATCCCTGCGTCGAGGCCTGAAATCTAACAAACGGGAGGTGCTTTAGAGGGAATAAAATCCAGAAACTATATTCCAATATTTACAGCGACATTTCTGACCCCTAAATCCCAACGTTCATCACCCAACCACCAACATTCATCCTACCCTCCCCATTCCAAACTCACCAATACACCAACAACGCTCCAGAACACTCCAGCAATACAAGGAACCCTTCTTCCATATGCGCCTCCATCGCTTCTACTTAAGCTAGTAGACCTAGTAGCAGCCAGGGAAGCTACAGGATCAGGTGTAACAGTCACAGATACCTTCAGCGGCGAGATTGTGCTAGCTTCACCACTCGGTACACTCGTTTCCATACTGCCGGTTTCCGTGCCGTTCACTACTCCCGTCTCCAAAGGAATAGTCAAAGTCAGCATCGACTCGTCCAATGATACTGTTTGGTTGTCCAGTCCAGGATCCGGTTGAGTGCTAACGGCCAGAGGGTTCGGAGGAACACTAATCTCTATAACCCCCGCCGTCCGAGATACGAATATAGGATATCCACCAACGAGACTGCCCAGCGCTGCGTCCGTCTGCTGCGCTCCCCGCCCAAGCGTGGTCGTAATACCAGCCGCTCCATCGATTATCTCCACCACGGTCGGTTTCGATTCAAGTTCCCTATCCGTACTTCCGGTTGGCCTTGACGCCGTAGTAGTAGTTCGCGCCTCCCCAGTCACAGTAGCTCTCGTGTGTCTCGTCGCCGGAGTCCCTCCTCCGCTACGCGTCGCAGTACGGCTAGCAAGATTAACCTCCTCCACAACCGTAACAGTAGCCGTAGCATAACCCGTCCGACTACCAGAACCTTCCCTAACTCTCGTACCCGCCGTCCCTCCCAAATCCACACTCGCCTCAAGACCAAGAGTCGTAACTCCAAAACTCCCAAGGACCCGACTAAGCGTCCCGACACCCGTAGCCCCCAGATGCGCAGTAGTGTGCGAAGTAGTAGCGGACCGGCTTTTGGAGGACGACGACGACTCTCGCGACGTCGTCCCTGCGTGACCGGTGGGACTTGCCTCCTTCGTCTTCGACTTCGAACTCGAACCTGAACCCGAGCTCTTCGAACCGGGACTAAACCCCAAACCCACAACACCCTCCGCAGCAATCACAAAATCCGCAGAATAAATCGTCAAAGGCGGAGACGCTGTTATAAACCTCAGCGTACTACAACAACAACAGCGACACGCAGGCATTGACGAGCCCGTTAACCACAGTCTCATGAGAACGAAAGAAAAGGAGAACTCACTAATTCGCAAAATCAAAAGGCAAATCACTCGGAACATTAACAACCACACTCCTCGAATCCGCAACAACGTCCTCCGCAAGCGTTCGCACAAGCACGTCCTATCCCACCCCAATTTATCCAGCATGCAGGGCACCCGAGAAAGCAGAACAAACAACAACAGGACCGACCGTCAGCACAACACATTCGCCCATTCAAAGTGTACCATAAACCAGTCGACACTCACAGAATCCGCCAAATACAAATCAACCTTCACCAACCCCGTATCACTCAACAACGGCCGATGAGTATCATCAATCCAAGTAATCGCCTCACTCCTCCCCGCAATAAATATAGTATTAGCAACAGGGTGAGTGGGGTAGAGTCGGCCAGCGACCGGTACCATCAGAACCAAAGCGAGAAGGGAACATCGCCGGGTGAAGCAAACCATCACCGTCGTCGTCGTGTGGTACCGCCAGGGTATAGTCAGCTAGTGAGTAGGGTGAAGGCATCGACTTGAAGCTGGTCATCGCTCTCCTCATACCACACCGGTGGCTGACCCGATGCAGTGGAGCCCCGAGTACTGTCAGGCAAAAGCGGATCGTCATCCTCCCCAGTGATCGGGACCTCAACCTTACTCAATGGTCAACCCCATGCTATCATCTCCCTGGCCCCGGGAAATCCCTCTAGGGAATCTGTGGTATTAGTATGCGGTAACCAATTACATATCGTAAAGATCTAAGTGAGCAGCGGTGGTCAGCGCAAGGGCGTTTTACATGTGGATGGGCTTGCTGTAAGCAGCCATGGCAGCCTCCTTGAAGGCCTCGCTGAGCGTGGGGTGGGCGTGGGTGGTGCGGGCAACATCCTCAGAGCTTGCACCGTATTCGATGGCGAGGACACCCTCAGCAATCATCTCACCAGCGTTGGGACCTGAGAGAACGCGTCAGTTCAGGGGCTGAGGGGTAGAGAGGAATAGAACACACCGATGATGTGGATACCAAGAATCTTGTCAGTCTCCTTCTCAGACAAGAACTTGACGAAGCCATCACTGTCCAAGTTGGTCTTGGCACGAGAGTTGGCGCTGAAGCTGAACTTGCCGATGTTGTACTTGACACCAGCAGCCTTCAAGTCCTGCTCAGTCTGGCCAACCCAGGCAACCTCGGGGTGGGTGTAGACGACGGACGGGATGGCACCGTAGTTGACGTGTCCGTGACCGTGCTTGATGAACTCGACAGCAGCGATACCTGAATGAATGTAAGATAATGATCATTCCGAGGGGATGAGGATACACACCCTCCTCCTCAGCCTTGTGGGCCAACATGGGACCGAAGGTGACATCACCAATACATTTGATGTTCTTGGCAGAGGTGGTGAACTGGTCGTCGATGACAATGCGGCCACGGTTGTCGAGTTCAACGCCAGCAGCCTCGAGGTTAAGGCCATCGGTGTATGGTCGACGACCAACAGCGACGAGGACAACATCAGCGTCCAACTGCAATGATCGTTAGTCTATGTGCGACGCGTTCTTGGGAACATTGACTTACGGTTTCCTCCTTGCCGCCCTTGGCAGCCTCAGCCTTGAGGAAGACCTTGCCATCCTTCTTCTCAGCCGAAACGACCTTGGTGTTGAGCTTGAACTTGAGGCCCTGCTTGGTCAAGAGTCGTTGGAATTGCTTCCTGCATCGGATTTGTCAGGGCGGCGGATGCGTCCAAATACGGGATCAACTCACGAGACTTCCTCGTCAATACCAGCTCCTCCGATAGCACCCAAGAACTCGACGACGGTAACCTCAGCACCGAGTCGGCTCCAGACGCTACCCATCTCGAGACCAATGATACCACCACCAATGACAACCATCTTCTCAGGAACCTTCGTCAACGAAAGGGCACCAGTCGAGCTGACGATTTGTTCCTCGTCAATGGGGATGGCACCGCCAGGGAAGGGAGCAACTTCCGAGCCGGTGGCAATGACGAAGTTTTTGGCGTCGACTTCCGACTTTCCACCATCAAGGAGGTCGACGGAAATCTTGTTGGCGTTGACGAAGGAGGCAGCTCCCTTGATGTAATCGACCTTGTTCTGCTTGAACAAGAACTCGATACCCTTGGTAAGGCCGGTGACTGCACTGTCCTTGGCCTCCATAAACTTCGGAAGGTTCAAGGAAACGTTCTCGACTGGTTCCGAGAATTAGTAATTTGACGATAAACCACGCGTTTCAATGCTCACCGTCAATACCGCGTCGTGCGAAGTCGTGTTTAGCTTGGTGGTAGAGGTGGGAGTTGTTCAACAAGGCTTTCGAGGGGATGCAGCCAACGTTCAAACATGTTCCTCCCAATGCACCACGTTTCTCAACACAGGCAGTCTAAAAATGTTGTCAGTATACATTCCAGCGTACAATGGGAGTGAACGGGTCCAGTTTGCAACAACAAAAACCGTTCCCCAACAGATTCGGAACCCCAGGTATATATTTACTCACCCTCAAACCCATCTGTGCGGCCTTGATAGCGGCCACGTAGCCACCAGGACCTGGAAAGCTCTTCCTTTGAGACTCGCCCATAGTCCAAAACCCAGAAACTGCTCACCACCGCCAATGACAACTACGTCGTATGGTTCCGACGCAGATGCATAACCCCGGCTCGACTGCCAGGCGCAAACTTGCACGCTGGCCTGGCGCAACCGCCGGGCAGAGGAAGAGGCGTTCTACACAGTCTGTCAGTCATCGTCGTCGCCGTCGTCGACGTCGCGAAACTACGCACCCGGCGCGCTAGTCGTTGAATTTGGAGCATCGAGGAAGGAAGCAAAAGCAAGTTACTCTCCTTCGTCACCGACCGGATCCTGTTCTCTCATACCACCTGATTATGTAATTGAAAATGCTAAGTCAAAATCGGTCAAAATTGGACTTATCTGGTTCATCTCGGTTGACCTACAACCGCGACGACGACCGCGACAGCGAGCCAGATTTCTCGAGTTTTGGACGGCGGAGACGGTATATGTGTACCTGATGCATGTCTCTCTCATGGCACCAACGGAAAGCTCGACTAGCTGCGCTAGTTTTGAGTCATGGGGACGAAGACGCCGATGGAACAGCGGTCGACCGTCTTATGCACGGTCAGAACGCGATTGGCAAAACGGGTACGTCGTGGACTTCAATTCTCAGTTAATTGTAAAGCGATAGGCCTAGTTTCTGCAATCGTATTTGTAGACCAACAAATCGACAGGGCGCGTCTGCCAAATGGCAGGTGCAACTGCCCAATGATGCATTGTGTGGTCCAATGTCACCAATGTCGTTGGAATGGGTCTATCGATTTACCATTAGCTGCGTGAGTATCCAAATTGACCTTTCAACCACAGCCAAAACCGCAGAAATCGACTCTTTAAGATTCCAAGATAAAGACCTGCAAGTTGTTGGCACACTTGAATACGGCCAATTCGGCGTCGTAAGATTTCAACCTAGATCCCTGAATTCTCGTTGATCTCTTCTTCAGATAGAAGTGGTAACTTGCAAGCTCAATAACCGAGTTTACGTTCGCAAGTCTATCGAGAAAAAGTTCGCGATGCGGACGCGCGAACAGTGCTCTCCGCAAACCGAGCGAAACATCCTTGTGGCGGCATCTCTGACTGAATCCCCTTGGGCGCCCCATCTCCTAGCCGCATACCAAATGCCCACTCACCTCCACTTGGTCATGGACTATGCTGAAGGAGGAAACCTGTGGGACGTTCTCGAGTCTAGCACCGGCAAAATATCCGAATCCGACCTCAAATGGTGGGTTCCTCAGGCGGTCAGCGCAATCCACTGGTGCCATACTCAAGGGTTCGCTCATCGCGACATCAAACCCCATAACTTTGTCCTCACTAAGGACTCTCGCGTCCAGCTGATCGACTTTGGATCGGCGGCTCCCTTGCTTCCCCCAGGGCCGGATGGGTCCCAGAAGCTGGCTCGAAAGCACTGCCTTGTACCCTGCGGAACTTGTGACTACATCTCGCCGGAAATCCTGGAAGCCCATGAACAGGCGCTCGTCGCGCTTGAAATGGATGACGAGGACGAAAATCCCCTTGTGATAGAGGATCCCGAGGGGTATGGGGTCGAAACCGATTGGTGGAGTCTCGGAGCCATGCTGTATGAAATGGCCTACGGTGTTGCACCTTTCTTCGCGAACGAAATCAGACACACCTATCAGAGAATCCTGAACCACGAGGTGAATACAATCTACCCTTCCACTCGATCTGTTTAACGCCATGTTGTAGAAATGTTTACGCTTCGAGGACGGCGTGTCGTTCGAGTTGCAAGACTTGCTGGCACGCTTGCTAACGCGTGCCGAGAAACGCTTGGGACGCCGCAACATCATGGAAATAACCGATCATCCATTCTTTCGTGGCACCGACTGGACGTCCCTTTCTTCCCAATCTGCGCCTCCCGACCTCCATCTGCCCCAATTCACATACTCCATACCCCAACCTACCGAAGCAGCGAACCACGTTCCTTCTCCGATGGATGTCGACGACAAATCAGAGTCGTATTCGCAAGGCTTTGCGTTTTCCGCGTTTTTCCAATCATCCCACGGATCGGTTTCGCATAATGCCTCGTTCCTCCGACATAGCATCACCCCACGACCACCGCGACCTTCGCCCCGAGATGACCCTAGTTCGGCTTTCATTGGGTTTTCCTGGGGACCCTTGATCGACGCTTTTCCCGACCAGCCGCTGGGCGTTTCTCAAAACAGCGATCAGCGTCACCTTTCTCCAATTCCGTCCACTGGTCCCGCCACTACACCCACCTTCCCCGTCGTCACGCCAGGGTTCCTCACAGCGGACGCTCTCGCCACTCCGCTTCCTTCGAACCGCTTCGCGGATCAGCATCCGTTCGTTACCCCTGTCCGCCCGTACACCATTTCCAACTCTCCTATGAACACTATCCGCCGAACCAACACCATCCGCCGCACGGTTGGAAGACGTGAAGTCTCGGATCGTGAAGCGATGAAGCAACTCGTCGATTGTATCGGAATGAGCGCGCGGAAGAAGGTGTTGGAGAGCGGTCGTAAGCCCAAGATCCTTACCTCCTACAACCTCTCCAGATCACTCCGTCGTCGACCAAGCGTCAGATCTTTCTCTCTGACGGACAAAACCACCGACGGGGCACCAAACACAGGTGCTACGAATAGCAATGGTACACGCAAAGAGCTACGGTTCTATCCCACTGTCATGCCGATACCCATGACGGAGTACACCGACGACGGCGGTACGGAAAGCGACAACCCCTCACAGCCTACCCGAACGTCCCGCCTCCCCCCTCTCACCCTCGCACCCGCCATGACCAACGGCCGCTCCAACAGCCGCATGCTCGGCGACTCCGACAGTTCAGAAACCGGCGGGTACGGGTACATCAACTACCCCTACTACTCCAACAGCGAGTGCTCTGAGTCCGAGGGTCCGCCTAGTCCCAGTCCCAGTCCACGCCCCGGGTCGGCGATGTCGTTTATATCGACTTCGAGGAGGAGTGGGACGCCTACGGTTACGATGAGCACGTTCTCGTCTAGATTGCGTTCTGCGAGTGGGTCGAATTTTAATATTAGTGGGATGGGGATGTTGGGTGTTCCTTCGCCTTCGTTGGGTCCTGGTGGGCCGTGGGGTAGGCCGTGGGAGCATGAGAGGGATAGGGACAGGGATAGGGAGAGTGGTGGGATTGGCATTGGCATTGGGAAGGTGGAGGAAAGGGATAGGGAGAAAGAGAGGACGTTTATGGCGATGCCGAGGAAGGTTTCTGCCCCTCCCGTCATTGACGATGTGCAACCTGTGGAAGAGGTGGAATTCCCAAGAAATGCAACGACCAAACCACGTATCGCATCCGCCATCCCGCCGAACAAGCCTCTCCTTTCGAATTCTTCTCTGAGGAGGACGTCAGTTGCGACCTCCACACCCTCGGTACACGAACACTGTTCACATTCATCTGGATCGCGAACGCACGAGCGACGACGGGCGCACCAACCGCCACGGACATACCAGTACGACCATGAAGATACCCAACATTATTCTGATGAGGAGGATGTGGATCTTCTGTTTCAGGGGATATCAAAGTCGGAGACGGATGTTGGTTCATTGTGGGATGAATTGGAAGGGAGACATGAGAGGATGATGTATGATATCAGGATGTTGGAAGAGAGGTTGGAATTGGTTTCGCGGACTGTTGGTGGTGGTAGCGGACGGATACGTAGGTGATTGCGGTATGTAGTTCTGATGTAATGTTATTTCTGTTTGGGCTGTTGAACTGGGAGACGCTTGATGGTCAACACGCCCTGCAGGTCGTTCGGGTGTTTGGACATGACCGCTCAGAATCTCGATTGTCTGGCTGTAGGCGTTCTGGGTGCCCCCCATGCTGGAGCTGTGCACACCATGGGATTCCCGCCGTCTCGAGAGGCAGCTATAATAGGTTAACAGCCACAGCATTTCATATAGTTGCGTTAACTTGCTGTCAATTTCAGTTCCGTTGGCGTTTGTGGACGCAGTCAAGTATGGTCAAACATGTTGGCGTCCATAAGCCTTTACTGAGAAGTCGTCGAGCTATCGACATTTTTCACTTTCATATCCACCATGAAGCTCTTTCAATGCGTTCTCTCAGCTGGGACTTTGCTGGCGATTATCCCCCATGTACTTTCCTTTGAAGCGTAGGTCCCCGTTGATTATATGTAGTAAGCTCTTCCACTAGATCAACTGACCACGAATCAAGAGGACACGCCGAGGATCTCGTCGCCCGCGATGTCGATCTCTTCGACGAAATCCTCGCTGCTCGGGAGAGCGACTTCTTCGACGCCCGAGACAACGAGATCTACGAGGCCCGCACCTCACCGCTGGACGACGACCTCGAAATCAGAGACATCCTTGACCAGCTCGACTCGCGTGATCTCGCTGCTCTTGAGCTTCGAGAGATTTTGGAAGATCTCGAAGTGCGAGATCCATTGATTATTGGGGTTTTCAAGGCGCTCGTTTCGAAGATCAAGGATGGTATCGCGAAAAGGAAAGCGAAGAGGGCTGCGAAGAAGGCTGCGCAGGCCGCTGCTGCTGCCAGAGGTCAAAAGCGAAGTTTTGAGGATGGATGGGGTTTGGAACAGCGAGGGTATGAATGGGATGATTGGTATTAGAGGCCTGAGAATTCAGTCCTTTGTTGCTTACTTTTCTGCTTCATGGGCGACTGTCTATTGTATCCACTGTACTTGCTTAGATTAACTCTGGAAATTTGGTTGTGTGGCCCGCTGTAGATGACCTTGTGGGCAGGCCTAGGGAGAAGGTATTGCTTTCTCTATGACCAGTTCCGTGCGCTGGTGTGTCATCTTCGTAAACGACACTCCTGTCGGGCTCTCGGCGGTCGGAACTCCGCGATTTGAGGATATACACATAGTTGTTGACTCGTGTGGGCCGACGATCACTTCCATTTCAAGATACCAGCGCCGGCAACTGATTGTGGGCGCCTCATCAAGCGCCGAAGCTGTGATGCGCTGAAGCAGCGACCACACAAGTGTTGGGAGTGGACTTAATGTAACGGCAGTGCACCTCCCAACTATCACAACAAAAGGGTCGCCTTTCGAGAATGTTAACGAGAACTTTGGCCGGGGTGGCGAAGCAAAGACAAAGGCAAATGCAATGTCCCTCCCGTTTCTCGGAGTAAGACCGCACGGTCCGCCATTCCTCAACACGTTGCACCTCTGACCCTTTAACCCAAAAGGTGTCGGGCAGCGTGGGTCCCTGGGAGGGCTTGGTATCTGAGAATCAATCCGCCGCCACTGACACCACGTTCCCTAACAGCTACCACTTCCAACGAGACTTTCAGCCACTCAACGAGTTCACGACGGCCAGAAGCTATGGGCAAACTACCTCTGGAGATTATAGACCTTGTTATCACCGAATTATGGCGTCAACGGGATGCGAAAGGTCAATCAGCTTGCTCTCTCGTGTGCAGGGCATGGCTACAATATGCGAGCGACAGGAAGTTCTCCGCGATCGTGTTCGAGGGAATGACTAAAGGCGATAATCTCTGTTACACCCTTCTGGAGCTTATCGATGGAAGACCTGCACTGGCACGGTCTGTTCGATGGGTGTTTTTCTCAGAAGATCCCGAGGACGAGGAGGACAGTGACGATGACGACGACGACGACGAGGACGAGGACGACGAGGACGACGAACTCAGTTCTGTATTCCACGAGTGGCTCCAACCTTCCCTGTATATCGCGCCTCTCCTTAGGAAGTTGACGATGCTCCAGGGGCTGTGGCTCAATATGACACTCAACTGGGCGACGCTACAGGCCGACCTGAAATCGGCCTTCTACGATCTGTTTGCACGACCAACCATGCAAAGTATTTGCCTTAGGCGGATCTCCGATATGGACATCTCGCCGTTCGTTCAGTACGCTCACATTTCTGAGCTTTCTCTACGTGCCGTCAGTGTCGTCCCCTCCAACAATCGGGGCCTGTCCCTCAACCAGCACGAAATGTCGCCCACTGCAGTGGCGAGCAACCTTCGCAAATGCGACATCAACGCAACCGCTGCAGCTGCCATGGACATTATCCTCAAGGCGCCCAATCCGAAACTCAACTTCCGCGGCGTTGCAAGACTTGAAGTTTCGACCGATCTGTGGGATGACATGACACAATCCGTCTGGGACAGGGTCACGGAGCAGTGTGTCACAACATTGACCAATTTGCGCATTATGCACTCGGTTGGCGGGGTCGATCCTAGTCAAGGTGATACTCCTTCCAGCTTTTATGCTTTATGTTCGTTGACATGTCATAGCCTCCCCGTTCCCCTTCAAAATCCTCGACCATTTACGCTTCAGCTCACTGTCCACACTTGTACTGCACACCAAAGGGTACCTCATTGATAACGTCGCAGGACACAACATCCTTCCCCACTTTCTGAAGGCACTGAGGAGCCTGGCGTCCGTGGGCAACGTTCTTCAGAGGCTGGAGATGCAAGTCGGTTACGAGGGGGAGCCGTACTGGAAACCATGTTCCCCTTGCGCCATGCAGACGATCAACAAGACCAAGGATGCCTGGCCCTACTTATTTTGGACAGAACTCGATACTGTCCTCGTCTCTCCCGGCTTCAAGATGTTCAAACTGTTTGTGCTGGAATACTACACAGGTTGGAACAACAAGGATTTTCCTTGTGATTCGCTGGAGCAAAGCTTGAAGGAGCTACTCCCTCAGCTTGTGAAACGAGATATGCTGGATGGTCCTCACAGGTTCTTTTTCTTTCTTCAAATCGTCTTGTCCTTGTTTGGCTGATGGGACCACCAGGCGGGAATATTGGACAACATGGGTTTCGTAGCCACACTCGCGGGATTCAAGGTAATACCGGAAATGTAGATCAATAAACTCGAATGAGGTCTAGTGTAGAATACAGGTCTGCTGGATAATAAGTATACGATGCGTCGGGGTAGGCTAGGACAACTCGATGTTTTTAATTGAATGGGCCCAACGGCGTACCATACGCTTTGTGAGATTTCTGGATCCAATTACGCCTCCATCGCATTCGAACGTGGCCACTTCTTTGCACATATAGGCACTCAGTCGCCAGTAGAGAAAAGATTTCGGAGGCGATCACTCGAATATCCAAGGTGAATGGACTCGCATAGTATTAGTAGAATCCGGACCGCGGGAAAATAAGTAGTCACAAGCTTGAGAACGTAGAGGCGTCACTGGGGAGAAGAACAATGGGGAGGAGAGTTGGAGGAAAACAAAAACATTGTCCCAGGGAGGATTCGAACTTCCGGCTTCTCGGAGCAGACCGAGACCACAACGAGATGATTTAACCACTAATCGACAAGGACTTGAACGTTGTGCCAAGACTGACATCCTCGGTAGGCCATTGAGGCCGACCAGTCGAAAGTGGGTCGATGCAAATTCGTGTTCACCCTCGACTTGAGATCTGCTCAAGCTCAATGGTATTGCCACTGCGGCCTTCCGAGCCTGAATGGAAGACATGACTGGGATAACAATCATTTTTCCCCCGGGACGTGTGCTGTTTTGCAACGTAAAAAAAAATACAACCTAGGAAATATAACCTAGGGCAACCGCGCAGCCATACCTCCCAACGGCAAACAAAGCTTAATCCCCTTCCACTCATCCTCCGTATTCCTCAAATACCTCCAAATCTCCAGTTCGCCCCGGTTAACCCCAGCCCACATCAAGTCCATCATCAACGACGCCAACTCCTTCTGCGTCTCGTCCAAAACCGGGTACTCATCGTCCGCGAGAAAGTCCTCTACCTCGGTTTCAGGATCGATAGGGTAGAGCGAGACGAGTCCGACCATGGAGCAAAAGTGGTCCCAGATGGATCGAGCGTCGGTGTCGGGGTAGGACGGTTCGGTGTCTTCATAGGGCCGCATCTGCCGCTGGTTGAGCCCTCGGACGGGAACTTGGAGACGCTCAGGGTCGTTGTTGTTGTCGCCGCCTCCGCGGCCGTCGTCCTCGTCGCTGCTCGGTGCCATCCCAAAGGCACGGTTGAGCAGTTTAGCGGTGATGTCCCTGAGAATGGGAAGCGTAGCCCCGGCTCGCTCTTCTCGCTCGGCACGAGTCAGCTGCTCTGGAGTGCGGTTGTTGAGGAACGCCAGGGGCCCGAGAAACGCAGCGCGGAAGATGTTGTGTTGGAGAGGCTGCAAAAGCGAGGATTTGTCGAACCACCAGCGCAGACCTTCAGGTCCAGAGCACAATGGAACCCACTCGCCAGAAGTCTTCATCCTGCCCCATGGAACGTTATCTGAACGAATGTCAGGAAAAGACCGAGTAGTACTGTAATGGGATTGCTTACCTATTGTATCCACGATGGTCAACGTGTCTCGGTAGCTCGCCAGTTCGATGAGCCGCCGGTGATCTTGGTTCAAACTGGCCCAGTCAGCGTCGCCGAAAATATGTGACATGAAACCGTGAAACGTGAGTCGGTAGAGTGAGGGAAGGTGCGGTAGCGCCGTTCTTAATCCATTCATCAACTGACTCTACAAGCCCAGTCAGAATCGCGCAACAAAGTAACCAGGAATACGCACCTCCGGACGCCAATCACCAATGAAAACGTGGCGAAACGAGAGCTGCGTCAAATTTCTGAGTTTGGAACCGAGGCCTTCGAAGATGGACGGGTGGTAGACCGTAAAGTCGACGAATGTGAGGTTTGTGACTGGAACAGTCGACGCTTCCAATGCGGTTACGACCGTTTCAACGGCGCTGGCGCCTGTCACGCAGTCGTTGACGAAAACCTGGTCGACCTTCGAACCAGGAATAAACATGGGCATCGCGTCCGTTGGCCCGTAGAACCGGCGGAGCGAGGGCATCTCTATCCGCTTGGGAATCGTTTTCCCCCGTGCTGATGATGCTTCAATTCGTTCCCCCACCGAGAGGCTCTCGATGTGGGAGTTCCGCTGCAGGAAAAGGACCAGTTCTTTGTCAATTGTGACCCTAGTGTGAAACGTGGACAGCCGGGGAAAGGAGATCCGTTTCAACAGATACGACAGGTTGAAGGGGCAGGCAGTGAGGTCCAGCTTGACTAAGCTGGCAGAAATGTTCTGTAATGCCGCTCGAAGCGTCCGGTTGAGCACCGAGGTGGTTTCAAATGTACTGGAATTGCGTTGAGTTCAATAAAGCGTTTAGAGAACGTACGAAGAGAAAACTGACCTATTCAACATGATCGTCAAGGACTTGACATGAGTGGCAATCCTCTCGTTAAAAGCCAGGGTGTCAAAACATTGTCGAAACTTGGTTTCCCCGACCAAGACGATCTCCTTGTACAAAAAACGAAGGGTGAGCCCATTGAACAGCCGGGAAACGCGGGTCAGCGTGATGATGTCCCGGTGGGGCAGACCGTCCAGAATTTCAGTAAGAAGCTCTAGCGGTAGCTTTGGTACATTTCTGTCCATGTCCTGGGTTTGTCGTCGTCTCGATGGTGGTGGTCCTGGACCGAAAGACGCGCGACAAGATTGGAGATGCGACGCATTGTTGTCAGCCCTAGGGCGCGAACTTTCTCACCCCTGTTTTCGTAGGTCCGAGCAAAGCGGCGTCGGGGTTCTCGATTCTCGTCCTTGTCTCATACGTGAATTCTTAAAGGACGAGAAGAGTCGAGTCCAACGATGTCGCCAAATAACAATTCATTTTACTACGAACACAACCTACGGCGCTCGACGCGAGATTTTGAGCTAACGTGGCAAGCCTGGGGTTCGAACCGAAGGCCAATCCACCATCTCCCATCACGCGACGCGTGCTCGCCAGCGCTCAAGTCGACATCAAAGTCCATCTTGAACCAGAACCACAACATTCCGACAGACTTGCAGCAAGTCAACGACTTCACACGACGAGAAGAGATGTCCAAATTACCGATAGAAGTTATAGGTCTTGTTATCGCTGAATTATCCCGTCAAAACGATTCCAAAAGTCTATCGGCTTGCTCTCTCGTATGCAAGGCATGGCTACAGTGGACTAGCGACGCGATATTCAACACAATCATGATCATAGGAAAGCCCGACATCGCAAATCGCTGCAAAGATCTTCTGAAGCTCATCGAAGCAAGACCTGCACTGGCACGGTCTGTGCGGGGGATGTTCCTTGGAGGAAACTTCCTGGACCTCGAAGAAAACGGGTGGCTCCAAACCTCACCTGATATTGCACCTCTTCTTCGCAAGTTGACGATGATCCAGGCGCTGTGGATCTGCGGGATGCATATCCACTGGTCGACACTGCCGGATGACTTGAAATCAGCGTTGTATGATCTGTTTGCGCGGCCTACGATGCGGAAGATCTACCTTGACCGGATTTCCGAGATAGATATCTCACCGTTTGTTCAGTACGGCCATATCTCCGAGCTTTCGCTCAATGCTATCAGTATTGTCCCCTTCGACGATGGGGACTTGTCGATGAACGAAGGCCAAGCTTTGTCGCCCACGGCCCCGGCTGGCAATCTTCGAATGCTCAATCTGGCCCCGACAGCTGCAGCTGCCGTGGACGCTATTCTCAAAGCGCCCAATCCAACCCTCAATTTCCGCGGCCTCGCGAGTCTTCAGGTCTCGACGGAACTCTGGGATGACGCGATGCAATCGGTTTGGGACAGGGTAACGGCGCAATGCGCTGCAACGGTGACCAATTTGCGCGTCACGCACATGCTTGACTCGAAGGAATTATTCGGAGGGGAAGGTGACTCTACTCTTTCCTGTTTCTATCTTTTACATTCGTTGACGTGTTATGCGGATATATGTTCCTGTATAGCCTCCCCGTTCCCTTTCCAGATCCTCGACTTTACGCGTTTCAGTTCACTATCCATGCTTACTTTTCACACCAACGGGTACTTCATCGATAACGTTCCTGGGCACGACATCCTACCCCAATTTCTGACGGCGCTCAGAAGTTTGGCGTCCGTGGATAACGTTCTCCAGAGGTTTGAGCTCAAGGTCGGGTACAACGAGGAGCTGGCTCCGGAGCCTTTGCCTTGTATCATGCAGACGATCGAGAAGACGGAGGGTGCTTGGCCCTATATGTTTTGGAGGGACCTCGATACCGTCCTCGTCTCTTCTGGCTTCAAGATGCTCAGAGTGTTTGTGCTGCGGTACGGCACCGGCATCGGCAACGACAGTGTTCCTTGGGATTCGTTGGATCAAAGTTTGAAGGAGTTGCTCCCTCAGCTTGTGAAACGAGGTTTGCTCGATGGACCTCGTAGGTTAGTTGTTTTCTTGGAGTTGTTTCTGATGCTTTTGACTAATTGGTCTTTCGTAGGGATATGTTCTGAATACAATCCAGTCATATACCACTGGTCACTGTCCGTTCACGCAGCTTAGAACATGAATAGGACGAACACCTCGCTTAGCCCGTATGATACCCACCACCGGCGGCCACAGCGCCGAGAAGTGCCTATGTGGGTTTCCCTTCGAGTCTCACTCGTATTCCGTCGGGTGATCTCGAACTGTCCCTCCTACCATGACCAATACCATGACCAATACCAGGCTCGAGCGCTCGAGCGTCAGTCAAGGATGTTCTTCACCTATTGCCTCGTTTGATCGAGGCCAAATACCGGGCGGCCCATGGCGGAGAAGTTTGAACCGGCTCATGGTCCGGCGTCTATTCGTTAGGAATCCTGGACAATCTCGAACTGACCTTCCCCTCCCTCTGACCAATACATACCACAATCGAGCCTCGCTCACGTATGTTCTTTACTTATATTGCCTCGTTGAACAGATTATGAGTACGAGTGTCTAATAGCCGGATGATTCATTTTCCGTAATGAGAATGACGTTCGAATCCTTCCACTGAGGTTAATGCACAGCAACCTGAGGCTCAAGATCGAGGCTGGGTTGAATTGGACACAAACTAGAGCCATGATTGGTACTATCTCGAAGGTTAGAGAACCGACGGCACCTCCTTGGTGTCGGATATGGTGGTTCTACCCGACGGTTCGAGGACGTTCGTCATTGTCTTGGAATGGAAGACGGAGTAATGTCATCATTTTTTCTATTGGCCCATCCACCCTTCTCCTTGTACCCTTCTAATGCCATTGGCCTAAATTCGAAATATAGAGTTCCATAAATCCCTTTGGAAGCAATTGCGATCACGTATGTACGGCGCCCTCGATGACGTCACATCGAAGTTTATTTGGCCGTATTGGCAGTGGCAGGCTTATGCCCTGGAGGCCACAAGGAATCGGAAGGTTTTATCTGCCATCATCTCGGTTTGCGGTGTAAATATCTCTCTTTCCACCTTGAATCATAAATGCGAGGGGCTGACGGTATTGACAGGTTCGGTGTTAGGAGCAGCGACGACTATGGATTCCCCAGACACTCCGGATGCTATGCACCCCCTTAGCAGCGAGGAGCTCGAGCCAGGCCTCCTCTACGCCGTCCTATCCTACAGAGGCGAACTGGCGTCCTGGAACTGGGCATTCTTCGTCCCAAACCCCGCACAGAAACCAATAGGTTCGTCAGGGACCATCTTCCACGTCGTTGACAGCGCCGACAGCATCGGGGAGTGGAAATTTGAGAAGGAGCAAAAGGATGTGATCAGCTCTCCTCATGTAGTGGCTATCATCCGGCTGGCTGATGTTGGGTTCTTGGGGAGCTACGAGGATATTGTCGGGCCTGACAGTCTTACACCCATGTTCAAGACGGTCGTCATACCGGTGCCGGGCACGACTGCGAACGCCGAGTTCAGCTCACGGGTCTGGTTCCTCGATGCGATTGGTATTCTGCACGACTGTGGGGTGGTACAGTGTGATGATGGGTGGTTACTGGAGAGGGAGTTGAGGAGGTGTGCGTTCACGGCGATGGACAAGTTTTTGGAGAGTAAAGGTGCGCCCGTGAATCATATTTGCCACTCGGGTCTGTGCTCACGGTTTGGTCTCATAGGTTGGACGGCCTACAGGGCAGAACATTGTACGTGACCTCTTTAGTTCGGCTTCACGTTTATAACAAGTACGTGTTCTATCGGTCTATCTAATACCTAGCGCTCACATCGAATTCCAGTACTAAATCTCCAGAAAGGTCACTCATAGATCGGGACCATCACACAGGCACACCATCCGCCGGCCTGCTTCGACACATCACACACGAGCACCAATATCGCATCAACCCCCACCGGCCACCACCACAGTCACAGTCACAAACAAGGACTCCACGAGCCTCTCACTAAACCGCAGAGGACAACGCATCTACATCTTTTCTTGGGAATTGTCAGGGTTCTTCTCGCTTTCGTACTTCTATGTATTTTTCTTTTCGGTGTGTTAAATTTCAGGTGGTCCTCAACGTCATTTTTGGAGGCATTCAATTCAGAATTCTCGTTTTCAAAACACTTCTTGTTTTCTCTTGGTAACACGAGTACATAGAGGGTTCTCTGTCAGGTTCTTTGGGGGATTCGAACTAGGCTATGTATTTGTCTTGGAATAGAAGGTCTTGACCGTATCACTGGCTCAATCATGTCACAACCGTATGTGTCTACTTACGTGTGCATCAAAGTGGGGATCCGATGTAACGCCTCTCTAACACGATGCTCTCTTCTTCGAGCACCCTTAGCCATTCCAACACGACCATCTGGCGAAGTACTACTGCCTACTTAGTCCCTTTCGACCCGCGCAAACCGCCATCCCCTCGTCATTGGTGAACATCCTCGTGGCCAAATGGTGTCAATATTTCATTCTCCGCGAAGGTGTATATGACGCACTCGAAGCTTAAAATACCCCGGTGGAACGTGGGTGATATCCTCACTATCAGCGCTTGCGAATCCATGTCGGTCAGCCACCGCCCGATCGTCGCTGACTGAATGAAGCGCCCGCGGGGATTGTTGTTTCCGCCGACCATTCAAACGTCCTCTCCGCTCATCTTTGTCTTGATTGAATCTCGCGCTTTTGGATTATCTGATCAAATATGCGTATTTATCTCCTAATCGCCCTTGGGCTGGCTCACAATCTCGTGGCGGGCCCCGCTTATCGACTGGGAAGCAGACAGGAGGAGGCACTGGTGACCTCGCCGGATAATATGGTCTCGATAAACGGACCCGACAACTACTGGTCAGTTCCTTAAGCCATAAACTCCCCTGATATCTTCTGACAATCCAATAGTTTAATCGTTCCCAAGTGCGTTTTCATCCATCCTCATCCCTCGCTTTTCGGAGCTCTCACCAAAGCCACACACACACTCCAGAACAGAATACACAGACGTGGGCGAGAGTGAGTTCCCCGGCGGAACGACGACATACTGCTCGCCTTTAGCGAGATACGATTTGAATGCTCAAGGCGAGCTCCCGCAAGAGTTTTGGACGAGCGTGGACTATACCACGGGGTCGGGTGTGAATGGTGTGCGGTATACCCAACGTGCGTTCAAGTTCTACGTGTCTCTACGCCGCGCCGACAAGGAGTTTGTGTGCGAGAACTGATGGTCGTCTTTTCAGTAACGGGATGCATAAACCCCAGTCTCCTGGACCGACTTAACGTGGGCGACGAAGGCGGGCAGTACGACTCGAGCGGCGGGTCGAACGGAATCGGGAACCCCGAGTATAGCGTGTGTACCGGGTACGCACCGTCGAAGTTCTTTATAGCAATCAATTCCTGAACTAACGCCAAACACATGGCATAATCGTATCATCTACAGCTACAACCACTACGTCGAACTGATCGAACCATCAGCCAAGAGAGCGTGCCTGCGGTGCTGCGACGACCCCGATGATTGTCCGACCAAACAAGGTAATAGTCCATCCTTTTTCGTAGCTGGGCTAGGCCCTGGCCCCTTGTCACGAGTCGTCGCTCAACTGCTTTTTTTTTAATTGATCGTTTTGAATGTTTGTTGCTCCTTTCCATTCGCTGGCTCTCGTTGGTCGAGTTTAGATAGGGAAGGATGTCCATCTGTTATCCCGGGGAATTATTTCGATTGCGAGTAGTAGGATGTAGGAGTGGAGTGCATACATGGTTGGTGTAATGGGTTTGCGATTTGTGCGTATGGTGTGGGGACAGTGGATGGAGGGGAGAAGGTCAAGCTAAGAGGTGGTAGAATACGTCTACTTCAGCGTTGTACACGTGGTTCTCCCACCCCGGAAACTTGAAGAAGAAGAATGTACCATTTTCTCAGTACATACACGCGTCCTTCATAAAACATGAGAACAGGGACGACCGCACCTTTGCACAGGCATAAAGAGAAATCTCAGAGTGGGCGGTAAGAGCTTCGAGAAAGCCAGCGCCCGATCCTTGACCCGACTTTTCGTCGATGGCGGGGGAGTAGTCCACACCGCTGGGTCGACTAACTTGCTCTTCTTCCCAAATGATTTCGTGCGGTCTGCGGTAGCGCGATGCGTGGGCGTTGTATTGCAAGTGCCATCGTCGTTCCTCTATAGTAGCCAACGGGCCGGTGGATTTGATTCCCACTTCGAACCACGACCAACACTGCTGGTATGTTCCTACCAGGGACGAACACCCAGTTCCGGCCAAAGTTCAGAGAGAGGAGTGTAAATGCCCACCTCTGAGTTCGACAAACCCACTTCGCCCCTGATCGCAACTCCTCAACCGGAAGATCACCTTCCGGGGTTTAAACGACAACTGCGAGTCGTCGTACTCGCCGCAGCCTTTCAAACCAGACACAGGAGGGACAGAGAGATACTTCTTCTCCGCATACACCGCCGGTTCAGAGCTGTCCGACATGGTATTATTAGTATTATGTGCGACTATGGCATGCTCTTCGGTGGTTTTGGAAGTGGATTGTTTCATCCAGTATTCGGCGAGGTCGAGGATGTAGACGACGAGCTCGCTGGGGAGGTTGAAGTGGAGGAGGAGGAGGCGCTGTGTGGCGAGGATTTGGTCTAGGTTCAAGGAGATTTGGGGTGGGGGCGTGGTGTTCATTGGCCAGGCAGGCCGCTGAATGATTAAGTGATTAGCGTTTAGCTTTGAAGGAGGATGGGAATCGGTGAAGGTGTGGGATGGATGGAAGGCCAGGCGAAGATGAGGAATGAATGAATGTTAATAAGGAGGGAGGAGGGAGGAAGAGAACTCGAGGAATCGATAAGAGGGCAACGAAACCATTCTATACAAGGTTCGAAACTAGTTACACGTGTGGTGTGGTGTATGATAAAGTTTTTCATGAACTAGATATGAAAAACCGTCCCAAAGGAAGATGTGGTGGAGAGAGATATGTGCCAAAAGCGGCTGACAGTGGAAGACGAAGGAGCATAGTACATAAATTCCGATGAATAACATGTGAAGTGGAGATTGTGATGTGAAATGGGTGAAAGGAGAAGTCTAATAGATGGTAACAGAGTCCGGGTGTTTCGTGAAAGGAAGCAAACAAAGTAGGGGTGGTTGTTGTTGTTTTGTCTAGGGGTCGTGAAAGGCGTCGTTGCGTAAAGAGGGTTCGTCTAGGCTGGAGAAGGTCGAAAGGGGGGCAGTCTAGCGAATGGTTTCGAAGCGTGAAAGGAAGGAAGGATCATATGGAATAGTGAATGTCGGTCGTGATAGTATACACGCAGTTCATCCACCCGGGAATCTGTTTAAACGCATTCATTCATGGTCAGCCACCGTTCTCCATGGATACAGTGACGCGGAAGGCACTACTCACCAGTCCCCGGACCATGACCGCTATCCTATCCCCCGAAGTCAAATTGTGAAGGAGGGGGTCGAGTCCTTGTTTGGAGCCCTCGGCGGCGTCATCTTCGTCCCAAACAATCTGTTCGCGCATGCCTTCCGGCCAGGTAAACGCGATATCTTGTACGAGCCATCGTTTTGGATTGCTGATGTTCCAGCTGTGGACCGTCCGCTCGGGATACTCCTCCACTGGGTCCCGCATAATGTTTTGAGAAATGTCCTGCGGTTTGATGATGGCTGCGTGGAACAAGGTGAACGTCGAACATATACCTGAAGTATGAGACTATGAGTTAGTTACATGGGTTTGGCGGGGCATATTATAGGAAGAAGGAAACGCACTGTCGTACGTGCACTCGGACACGCATTCGAGGTGGAAGGTTATTCGTCGTGGTTTGATGCCGCGTTCTGGGTCGCTGGGGATGGGAGGAGAGAGTGAGTAGCACCATTCGCCGTCGCTGCCTCCTGTGGGTATCACCCCCGGTCCGGAGAACGCTTCACGCGTCGTCGTGACTCTGGGCCAGTACTCTGCCAGCTCGACGATGGAGATGGCCAGTTCGGCAGGCACGAAGTGTAGGAGGAGGCGGCGGACGGAGAACACGTCCTCGATAGTCGGGCTATACGCCGACGCTGCTCGCTTGCAATTTGAATGCGCGCTCGGGTTACACGTCATAGTGGTCGTGGTGTTGGTGGTGTTGGTGGTTGCCAGTGAGGCCAAGAGATGGGGATTGTGTCCAGTTGTAGATATATATATATATATATACCCATAAAAATTTGGGTGGTTGTCAATTTGGGTGGTTGTCAGTCAGCCTCGTTGAGTTGATCGCCCTTGAATGTTGGGGATATTGTTACGGGATGATGTTGGCGGCACGAGAGGGACCCTGGGATACATCGTCCGCCTTATGTAGCCGCCCTTGTAAGAAGATCCCAGGTTTGGAGCTTCGTGCAACAACGCTGTTGCGCATGAATAAACCCTGGAGAAATACAGGGGCGCCGACAGCTGGGCCCACGGAGAATGGTGATAGAACCGAACAAACGTTTGCTGTGAATTCGAGAACAGTGTGTCAAGGGCCCATACCGTTACATCTTCGCGAATCGCGGCGGCTCGGGAACATGACGAAAGCTTTTGTGGAAAAATTGGGTGTAAGTATGTATAAGGTTTGGGTAACACTTCGTTCAATGTGAAGTTTTGAGCCTAGGCTGGTGGAGCGCGTTGAGGAAAGCTTGGTAGAGGCTGTGTGGCTAGGCGCAAAACTTGATGTGGATGAGTCATGGCGGAGATGGTCCGGCCACATACCGGCAGAATAGGGGTCTTCGTCTGACCACCTGCGACCACCTGCGACCGGACCATCCACGACGACAATACGTAGCAAGGCGACTGAGGCGGACTGCGAAGACGAAATCACTGGCGGCCGTAGGGCCCTCAACGGCACAGTGGCCTCACGAGATCCATAGGCCATTTCTTTGTTCTCTACGACTTACGGGCAACGCTTTTCAAGGACGTCTTTCCAAAGGCTCGCCTTGTACGCAGTCTGCAAGGGTACGGAATTGAGCTCACTTGACTCACAAGCGATGCATAAACTCTAGCCGACAGCTGGCTGAAGCCAGACTATTCGAAGGTCGCAGGCCCTGACCGTACACGCTCGCACCCTATTCTTAGTCCGCGATATCGGTAAAGTGTTGATCCAGGCCAACACCCTCTCCTCTCTTTAGCGAGCACGTTTCGCAGGGTGCTCTAGGATCCCTACATTCCGTATCGGTAGAATGCACGAGATTCGACGGGGTTCGACTTCGCAGAACCCTCTCTACGACAGGCTACCTTCGAATTCGACCGGGCCGATGTATACATGCCGTGTCCTCCTTACAAGCCCTGAACTTCGAATTCTAGTCACCAGACGTTAAGCTGTGCTTTGACGAGATAGACCAATAAAACATGTTCGATGCGTCAACGCGTCCCTGCCTGCACGAGACGCGCTAATTTATCTAAGCGCCCTCCGAGGCGCCATCAAAATCGTCACCGAAGGATCCGCGTTTGGGGCTTCTTTTCAACCCGATTTCTCTTCGTATTTTCCTCTATTTTTTCACGTTGCTCTCATCCGTCGATCCGCCCATTGGATCCCCTCCTCCTCCTCAGTGATCTCCTTTGCGGGAGCACTGTGATATCACATCGCTCCATCGTACCATCCTTCGATCGTCTGATGTCAGAAACGAGAAGATTCGAGGGTCCCCGCTACTTCATATCGATGCAATGAACGACTGCGGTGAGGTGCCTTGTGGATATATTGTAGCCCTCTGACCCAAGTCATCGGCTAACGTCTATTCCGTATCCAACTGGCTTCATTACGGCGGAATTTCCGAAGCCTTTAGGCCCCCTTCGGATACCAAAATACAGTCGTACTGGGGCTTCATTTTCATTTCTGCGCCAATGGCTTCATCGATGTCGACATCTCCACCAAGAGCGTCTTCCATGGTGTTTCATTTCGATTTAGCAACATTTTGGTTCTACCCGATGTCCTCAATAAGGGGGCCTTTCGCTTCGCCCCCTTCCGCGGATTGGAATGCTGACTTCAGTGGAGTATTGCCGGATAGAAACGCATCTTCAACCTGACCTCAATCACAAATACTCTGATAACTTGAGCATGTCAGAACCAAGAGGGTCTGAAGTTAAAAATAGGCGCCTTGTACTCTGAATGACGGAACGCTGGGAGGGCTGGTGTCGGAGGCTGTGTGGCTCGGCACAAACGTGATCGTGATGACGGAGATGGTGGACCTGTGCATAACTCCCGGGTTCACGCTTGATTAACGACCACCACAACAGCTACTCCACGACTGCGGCGGCGACGACGACGACGGGGAGTGTAACGACCACGACGAAAACGAAGACATGTTCAAGAGCGCGGCGACCAAGATCGCCCACAACACGACAATTCCGTCGCTTGGGGGCAATGCGGACCTACGACCCCTGCAGGATCTCATAACGCTTGAGAAGAGTGTTTTAATCTCGTATGTATTCTGTAAAGTATGCAATATAAACTTACATATCGTCATAAAGCTTGCAAAAGCTGTCTTCGGACTATACGAAAGCTGCTGATGCCCTGAAGATTTGGGGCCAGACGGAGGGCGACGACCTCGGCGTGAGTGCAGTCGCACCCTTTCAAGTGCGGTGTTGACATTGATGCCCGATCTCAGAATATCTTAACTGCCTCAGGAAACCTCCTACTTCATTTCTCAACTGCATTGTCGCAGTATGCTGCGCACGGGCATGTCATCCGTGAAAACCTCAAGTCGATTCGGTCGCGTGAGGAGGCGCTGGACGAAATGCGACGACGGCGACGGACGGTATCACGAAAGGCAGACGACGCAGAAAGGAAACTCAGCAAGATGAATCCAGAACATAAGAATTTCGACTCCCAGACGGATCTCCTCAACCGTCTGAAAGACGAGATCAGGGTTCTCGATTCAGACATTATGACGGAAGAGGCGGCGATAGGCGACTACAAGCGCTCATGTACGCGGACGTGGATGGGCCTCAAGTTTGGCGGACTGCTGGAATGCTGCGAGAAGGGCAAGATTGCAGGGGAATTCGGAAAGCTGCTCATATCCGAGATTCCGGAGGAGTTTACACAGCCTGGCATGCCCCGAAGCATGTACTACGGGCACGGCAAGGTCGAGTCTATCATGAACGAAGCCGACAGATGCATAGGCCAGGTTTCGCTTTCGGCAACCCCTGGTCCGCGACAAGGTCCACCACCGCAGCTGGCGCCCCAGGCGCAAGACTTCAACGTTCCTCGACCAACCATCAATACCCTCCCTCTGCCACCCAAAGGACCCAACCGTGGTCTCGATTCCCCGGCAACCACCAGTGCTCCCTACAACGTCGATGAATTTGGGGCACCGACAATCAGCACACCAATCGATACTACCTCACCTGGCGGGCGGTTCGCCACATTTCCAGTGAAGCATCGACAGGATTCTTACCCACCGCCTGGTTCTTTCTTGTCAGGCCCTGAACCACCTTCTCTGACAACCCGACACGAACTCGGAGATTCCTTCTCCCTGTCAATAGCTGAGGCACTTGAGGCCAAGACCGGGACAGAGGATGTGACCAGCTCTTGGCGTGGTCGGCTGAGTGGGGAAGCCAACCTCCCTCCACCAGAAGCTTCTCCCCTTCCCAAGATACCTCCTGCGCAAGATAATCCTTGGGCCGCTAAGGATGATCGACTGCTGTCTGCGGACAAACGGCCCACATCGCCCATTTCCGATGACGACAATGCTCTTCTCGCGTACATGACTTCGGTCGACAATGCGCCTTCGTCCCCGGAAAGCGCCCAAGCACCGCTCCCAGAGACCAAGAAAGAGCCGGAAAACCAGAAACCCTCGTCGCCAGCACCGCCCAATGCCCCAGCTCCTGTGCCCGCGCTGGAGATACCGCCGCCTGAAGAAGGATCGCCAGAGAGTAAGTTGTAATTTGATTTTATAGAAGCGTTCTCACATACCGGAACAGAGCATGTACGGATCAAGAGCACTCACGTCGAAATCATTAATAACGACGACGAACCTCCTGAAGAACCAGAGAAAAAGTCGACAATTCACCGTGTTCCCGCACCCACTCTGGGACCAGAAGAAGAACGCGCACTCGACGCCGCAGCTGCACGAGGGATCAATCTCGATCTCGACAACGGGTTCACACCACCCAAACTCTCTTTCCCTGGAAACGATGAAGAGGACTCGAAGAAACCGGACGCTGAGCCGTCGGACACTACTGACCGTGGCCGCAGTACCGCGGCGGGTGGCCAGGCTGCGAATGAGTCTGTACCCGAACGCGAGCCATCTCCTCTTGAACCCCCATCTGCACCGTTCGCCCGCCGAGAGGTTTCTCCCCAAGCTTCATTTGATAGTATGTCGCCGCGTACAGCAGCACAAACCTACGCCCAGTCGTATCAGCCCTCGTCTCCTCAAACGAGTCCTCGAATTACGGCCGCACAAGCTTATGCGCAATCGTATCAGATGCAGTCGCAGAATCAATCGCCAAAGACTTCAGAGTCTGCTCCATCGCATGGATATCCCAATCCCTACGATTCGCCGTCTCCTTCGCAAGACTCTCATACGACGTTGACGAATTTACCTCCCCGCCTCCAGTCATTGCAGGCTCAGAGTCTGGGTGATACGGACTTGCCACCCCGCTTCCAGGCGTTGCGCCATCAGAATTCCTCTTCTCATCTCCACCGCGAACTTCCTCCCCGCTTCCAAGGTACTTCGGCACTTTCCTTGTCAGACGTGACTTCCCCGCCTGCGTCTGCTCTGGGATCGCCGGAATATCGGACGCCCAATGAGTATCCCACTGGACAGGGATCGAGTCCTCTGGTGAGCAACCAACCTGCACCGACACGAGGCTCGAATGATACCCTCCCGTCGCCGTTTATCCCGCAACAGCCCAGTCGCACTCCACCTCCCCCGATTGTATCGACTGGAACGGGTAAGATTTCAGCGGCGGCTTTCAAGAGACCTCAGCCTCCACCTCACAGGGGCAACACACTGGATAATGGGTCGACACCTTCATTTGGTTCGCCGAGCCCGTATTCGCCGGCAGCGCCGCAACCTTCGTACCAATCCCAACCAGCTCCCCCTTCCCTTCCCCAGCCTCAAGAAGAATACTACCAACAGCCGCCACCCCAGTCGAACTTCCATCAGAATAATAGCTACGCTCAACCGCATCAGCAGCAGCAACAACCGCCTCTACAACAACCGCAATCGCAGTTCCACCGACCTGTGAGCCGCGAGCTCCCACCTCCACCACCTCCGGGTGCAGCAGCCGCACGTCCTCTCTCGCACGTCTCGGACGAGTATAGTCATTACGACTATATTAGCGCGTACCAATCGAGTCCGCAGGGGAGTCCTTTAAGCGGTGACTTTGGTTCGAGGATGGCGGCGGGGCAGGGTGGTAATAGGCCGAATAGTGGGTACTATGGGGGCTCGCAGCTTCCGCCGACGTTGCAGGTTGGGTATGGAGGAGGAGGGCAGGGGTATGGGAAGCAGCATCCACAGCAGCAGCAGCAGTCGCCGTATCTCCCGCCTGGAGCTGCTCCGTCGCAGCCGCCTGCGTATCAGTATGGGAGGTATCCTGATGATGGAGGGCTGCGCTAGGCGTTTGTGGCCCGGCATTGATATGTTAGGTGTATTTATTCCGTTGTATGATTTTCCACTTCATGACAGACTCTTTTAACTTATTTGACGCATCAGGCTGACGATTTGTATGTAGCATATGCTGGATTACTCTGTACCGGTAACCGCTGTACCTCGACTGCAATTGCAAAAAGACGTCCCTGGCCGGTTCGAAATTGCGGCCTCGGTGCCCAGATTTTTTAGGGCTCGGTGACGTCATCTTGGCATTTTGATCGGATCTAACGACTTTGATCCTTCCGTTTTCTCCGTCCCCGCTCGCGTGCAATGACATTGATCTCGATTGGCTGTGCCCTCCTGAGCGCTTGTTGTGCTGCAGCAGTCTCAAACCCTTGCCCTTGTTCATCTTCTCGCGCACTCTGGACTTGCGAGAGTAGTGACGGATTTAGATTTCTCGCCTCCGGAAGGGAAGGGTTGATCCGACGATGGTTTCATTGGACAAGTATTGTCTATCTGAATCCAATAAAACGATGGGAAGGCGGGGTAGGATGCGACCTTCTGGCTTCTTCACGCCCTCTCTGATACCTAATTTGCGTCTAAACCTACACTGTACAATATAACGATGGCCGAGCCTGCTCGTCCTGCCGATGCCGCTGGTGAGTGATACTCTTCTAATATACTCTTTTTTACGCTGGCTGACAGACTTGAAGCAGCGGAAAGCGGTCATAACCGTCCCTATCCCAAAGGTGAGCATCCGCCCTGAGTTATATGACTGTCTCAATATTGATTGCTATCTCGAACGGCAGTGGTTCTTCCTATGAATGTTACTCATGGGGTTACGGAGGGAAGCAAATATGTTTCGATCTTCATGACGTTTGTTGGATGGGGTTTGGCTGTTGCTACTATTGGCGTTAGTGAGTATAACTTGAACTTTGGTCTGTGTTTTGTCGTTCGGATTCTTATTCTTGACTTTTAGCTGCGTATGGGTTCGCAGAATACAAGAGGATCAAGAATGAACTCAGGAACTTGGCGCCTCCCCCAGCGACGATTGAAGTCGAAGCTCATAGTACGTTCAAGTTCAGCTTTTGAACGATTTTTGGAGCCTTAATTTTCAATACTATCACAGACATTCTCGCCAGCGGAATCATCATCCTCGTCTTCGCATGCCTCATCTGCATCTTCCTCTTGTCCACCTTCATCTGGCTTATCTTCAACCGTGCGGGCCGGCGAGCTCGAGGATTCTTCACAAGCGGAGCGTCGCTCTTCATCCCCGCATTCGTCGTTTTCATCTGCTCGTGGCTTTACTTTGCGGATCTCGCGGCCTATACGAGGTTCCTAGCGTCGAGCCGGGCTACTGTGGAGATCGTGGTGGATGGAATGGCTAGGGAGGCGGACGAGGAGTTGATTGACATGTTATACGTTACGCTTGGGATCAGTCCCTACTACAACAAGTGGGGTTTCTGTGAGTTTTTTCGTTCTTTTATCTCGTGTTCGTCACGATCTGACTTGAAGGCGCGCGACGGTTTAGTGAGGAACATTGCGATTGTTGGATGGATTTTCTGGTTCTTCTCGCTCTTGACGTCCATCGTGTTGTTCATGGCAGCATCGGATGGTGCAGAGGAGAACGATGTCCTGCTGGATGCCAACCCTCCCGAACAGGATGGCGCAATGCGTCCCGCTACGTATGGTGCCCCAGCTCCCGGTGCAGCGACTGCAACTTCGGCGGCGGTAACCGAGAAACCAGCAGAATCCACTGCAGCCGTTGGTCAACCTGCACCTGCGGAGACTTCTGAGACGGCCCCGGCTCTTCCCTCTGTGCCGGTTGACAGCAGTCCTTTGGCTGCTGCGCCCCCGGGCCTTGAAGCGGCGCACAGCACTGGGAGCCATTACCCTCCCGAGAGTACGACGGATGAGACTCCTGCTGCTCGTCAGTAGGGAGCGGTTGTTTCGTTAAAATTTGTTTGATGATTGTTATGCTCGAGTGTACGGTATGGACTCTTCGATTCTGCTTGGACTTTTTGCCTTTGTCTTTAGTGGATTTGTAGGACAGATATGAATCAACCCATGGACCTTATTTAAGGATGTTGTATTTTACCAGTTCCAGTGGCTATTGCTATTAATTTATCGATGTCAAAAGCGACTGGCCTTTTCGATGTCAAGATCCTCCGGGGTTCGAACCGACGACCTTGATAGACCTTGAATCGTTAATCGTCGGATCAGGGTCTGGGAAACTTCCTTCCACCCCGACCCATGACCACAGACTCAGGAATGTCCTCTCCATTCCCTAATGAACTGGTCGACATTGTTATCCGGCAGCTCGCTGCAGAGGAGGACAGCAAATTCCTTTCTGCAGCCGCCCTGGTGAACAGAAACACCGCCTCCATCGTCCGAAAGCTCCGTTTCAGCGTTTTGGCTCTGGGACCTCATCGCGGGGAGGAACGCTGTGCTCGCCTTTGGGACCTGATACAGACCAACCCAACGCTGGTGCACAACGTGGAGTCATTGACATTGATAGACGATTCGAGCGAAGCGGACGAGGTGAACGCGCCGAGCTGCGGGTGGGTTACCACGGATTCCACGTACACGAAATTGGGAGACGTCCTGAAGGCTCTGGCGGGGAACCTGACTACTCTGGAGGTTCAGTCATCGTGCCTTCAGTGGCATTATGTCGAAGAAGACGTGCAGGAAGCTCTATTTGACCTCTTTGCGGCCCCGACGTTGACGACCCTGCGGTTGGTTGGGATTCTGGGCATGGAGATCACGCCTATCCTCGACTGCAGCAATCTCAAGCGGTTGTCGTTAAAGCGCGTAACGATCATAGAGAACGAAGAGGACCTTGAAGCTGAAGAAGAGACGCGGCCGGATGGGGAGGTGGGCCAGTTGGAAGTCCTCGAGGTTGTTGAGTCCGACGAATGGGCTTTTTATTTCCTCGTGTCCTCCCTTCTGCGCGCCGACGCAAAGTTGTCTCTTCGAAATCTTCAGAGGCTGGTCATCGCTATGGAAAACCCGCGCAAATCTTCTCCAAATACGACTGTGCTGGATAAGGCACTGGACCAACTTGCCGGTATCCCGCTTAATTCTCTCCGCGTAGAACACGCGTCGCACCCTTCCTTTCAAATTGACCAGAGTGAGTGTTTTCAACGGCCTGCCCTTGATCCTCACCGATTTGGCTGACTTGTTTGGCTGGATAGGGACTTGTGTATTCACCAGGTGGCCGAATCTTCGTTCGCTGGAGATCGCTGTCAAACCTTTAAATGGGGTAGAGTCGTGGATATCGCCAGTCTCACAAGCACTGCACCGAATGAGAGCTCTCGAGGATCTGACGTTGGAAGTAGATCACTCTGATCTAAGACCGCATGCGACCCAGAGGATTGGTGTCTGGCAGGAGTTGGAGTCGGTCTTGATGCTGCGAGACTCGTTCCGGCGTCTCGTTGTGATCATCAACATGGATAAATCTTTACAGGAGCACGCGGCCATGGAGGATACGCTGAAATCATGCATGTCTTCCCTTTTCAAGGACGGGAAGGTTCAAGTTATTGTCAAGTGGTAGGTCTTGTCAAATTAACCCCCCGGTCTGGAGAACCGAACTGATACCTTCGTGCAGGAGACATGTTCAGATGAAGACGTCCAGGGCTGTTTGAAGTGCGTACTTTCCTTCGTGTTTGCAATCGGTTTCTTCGTCGAGAAGCCTCTGGGACTGACTCTTTTGTTGCAGGCACTGGATAGCCCCAGCGCGATGAGGGCCAATCGCAAACGGTATCTCTTGCCAGTCGCCAGTCATGATCGGGAGTCTCTTGTCTGTTTCCTTATTCTCCATGTCGTTCATGTCCATTGTTACTCGAACGATTATTGGTATGTCGTTCATGACTCTATCGGGTCCGCGGATATTGGCTGATGATCGTCGAACCTTGCGCTTCTACCAAAGTCCAAGTCATCCACCTGATTCGAATCTCCGATCTGGCGTTACTACTACATTTCACGTCAGAATCGAGGAAGATAAAGATACCTCGACTCGACTCGTCTCCTCCACCGTCGCCATGGCCCCCCAACCTCTGTCCAACGAGCTCGTCGACAAGATCACTGCCAACCTCGACCCGAAGACGGATACATCCACCTACTCTTCACTCGCGCTGGTCAACCACAACGCTGCAGCCATCGTCAGGAAGATTCGGTTCAAGGCTGTTACATTCGGTCCATCGAACTGGTGCCGCCGGGTCCCAGGCTTGTGGGACTTGATCAAGGCCAATCCAAACATCGCGCTCAATATTGTTTCCCTCACCTTGATTGACAGCGGTTGGGAAACCTTCGGTGAAGGCGGCTACACGTCTGATGATGATCAGGAGGGTGACGACGAAGGAGACGATGGCTACACATCTGATGATTCAGAGTATGACGATGAAGAGGACGAATGCAAAGAGGAGTACTTTTACCCGGCATACCAACGTGGATGGCTGTCGAAGAAGGATCCCGCCTTCCCGGGGGTGGTCGAGCTGCTGCACGCTGTCAAGCCTGTCCTCCAAGAACTCGAAGTCTGCTCCTCGCTTAGCTGGCACCGCTTCTCACCCAGTGTTCAACGGGCTGTCTACGAGCTGGCATTGTCTCCAGTACTTCAAAGCCTCAAGCTCCACCAGTTTGTTCAGATCCCTTTCTCTCTTTTCGTCGCTTGCCACAACCTAAAGCAACTATGCTTTGACGGAATCCAGGACGATGCGGATATACCCAAGCTGTTGCAAGCTCCATCGTCCGAGGAACGCGTTGTCGTCGAACGGCAAATTCAGTTGGAAGTCCTGGAGATCAAAGACTGCTTATGGCCATTCCATTTCGGCCTCGGACGCCTTTCCCGCGGGAGCGCCCCGCTGCCGTTCAAGAGTCTTCGCCGACTCATCCTTGGATTTACCAACACGCAAGATTCGATGCATGGCGTCTTACCGGGACAGGGACATCTCGAATCAACGTTCATTGTGTTCAATGAAGAGGATAGGGAGGCTGCGGAGTATGCTACGCCTGAAGATACCTTGGAGGCGTCTATGCCGGAGCTGTTGGGCGCTGATGGTAAAGTCCAGCTTTCCGTGGAATGGTGAGTCGTTCTGTTGTGATCGGGATTTCCTTGGCTCAGACATTGATTATAGGCTTCCGTACCCTCGTCACTACTTCTGGCCCATATAGAGGAGAGCGACGTTCTATTTCACTCTATCCACCTACCCAACTCCACATCTCTTTGCCCTGACATCCGAGTCCTGTCTTGTTCGCGCTGTTACTTGAACGTTTTGTGCCCGTCGCCTGCTGCTCTCCCTCGTATAACTGGATGGTCGTCTCGAGTGTACCTTGTACGTGTAGTCGAACTGAACGATAATCACAACCCCTCTGAATGTATTTCTCTCTCTCTCCTCTTTTGCAGGCCTGAAGGGACGATGGCACTTCTTATGTAGGCCATGGTGAATCTTGACGCCCACTGCCAGTCAAGGCAATGGCCCGACGTCTGACGTCATGTGTCGCAGTGATTCGGATCAGAGATCGAATGAGGCGCCTCGTGTTCTTCCATTCCTGCCTTTTAACCACCATTGTTGCCAGTGTTTGGCTGGGTAATTCTCGTAATTATAAACCGCATCTCGGCTCGATGGTGATTCCAACACTTCCTTCCCGACACACTCATCTCTAAGGACGTCCTCATCCAGAAACTCGTGTGCGTACATTGACTTTACTCTCCAAGAGGTATGTCGACTATGGTACGACCTCAGGTGCATGCTTGGGCTTAACTGTATTTTTACCTAGCACTATGTTATCTCCGTCTAACGTTCGAACCAGTAATGGTCACGACTGCGGAGCTGATTCCACCAGGGAGTCTATCCGACGCAAACTTCGAGGGACCTATGCCACCGACATTCCCTTGATCGACTTCGTTAAGAATGTCTTTGATGTCGAGCAATCAGTCATCTCTTCCCTCGTAGGCCCGGGATCAACGGTAACCTACTCGTCGGAGGATGTCGCCGATTCCTATCGCCGTCTTTCGAGCAAGGGAGAGGCTGAGTGTTGCCCATATCCCCGTTTCTTTGCATTAGTCGAAGACCTGTTGCCTGCCGTGTTTGACGTCGTCAAGAAGGAGCGTCCGTACTATGGGAAGGAGGCTTACGAGCTGGGCCCTGAGGATCTACTTGACTTGACGCGGGGAGGTAGAGGGGTTACATACGCCAAACATGGGATCTCCAGACGGAAGCTCGACGTACTCTTCCTGAACGGACTTGATCATGCATCTTACCTCACCGAACACCCTGGAGAGCGCGAACAATGCGAGGTCCCAGAGTCCAGGGACAGTACGAGTCGTCCTCTCTCGGGTGACGTTCGAGTTTCGAGGGCCTGGACCATGGGCGCGTCCGGGTCGTCCTCCATCGCCTCATCCAACTTTTCGTCTGCAAAGTTTACTGAATTCGAATCTGGAAACGATGACGCGACACCTTTGACTGGCACTAAACGCGCTCGTTCTGACTCTGACGCCACTGCTCAGACTAGTTCCGCGGGAGGACATGTGGACAAAAGGCCCAGAACGGAAGGGATCGACAGCGAGCGCCTAGCACAACTTACCGAATGCGTGATCGAGTCCTTGGGCAGCACTGAACGATTTTATCATGTCGCTTTCCTAGTCGACAATTCGAATGTCTGCCTCGCCTACGTTGATCACATGGTCTCTTTGCGCTCGGAGTGGATTGATTTCATTGCAAGTCCACATCTTTTCTCGTTGATGATCGTCGGTTTCTTCTTCTCCACTCCTCGACAAGCTGGCTGCAATCCGTTCCTTCAAGCGACCCCAGTTACTGAGTTCGACAACAGCATTGTACTCCCACAGACCTTTCCGCCGGTAGCCTCCCCTCTCCGCTCTTTCTTCGCCTACAAATACCCTGGCTCCAACGACCACGAAGTCGCCAAACCAACCTCAGGCGGAAATAAGCCGTTGTTTTATAAACCTCGAGGTTTATTTGGACGGGCGACCACCGTTTATGGGACTCTAGCAACCTTTGTCGACCGATGCGTTGACAATGCCGCCTTGGAAGGCAGTTGGCAACCCTCCATTCGGGAGGAGTCCAACATCATCGACCACCTCCGGAAGGAGAATTCTGACTTTAAGGTGCACTTCCCAGAGGTGCTTTACAGCGCCGCCTTCAGTGACCGAATGGGTAACATCCATGGCCTTGACTTTGAGAAGCGGAAAAACTCGCGTATCATTGCATCCCCCATGTACCAGACACTGTGGGAAGTCAAGACTGTCGAGGAGTTACAGAAGGCCTGGCTTGATGCTTTCAAATGTAAGTATTTTGTCACGCTCTCTCCTCGAATTGTTTCATACTGACGTATGTCCTGCAGGTCATCACGTCGCCTGGAAGACAGGGGAGGTCCTACATCGCGATGTCAGCGAGAACAACATCATGTTCTTGAGGAGGTTCTTCAAGAACGACGAAACTGTCGTCGGAATCCTCAATGACTGGGACATGGCTTCATTCCTGGACGAAGCGTACAATTTACGCCAGTCAACGGCCAAGCATCGGACGGGAACCCTTCCCTTCATGTCCGAACTTCTTCTATTTTCGGATGTGGAGGATTCAGATGATGAAGAGGAGGAGTACCAGACGGTTCATCACAGCTACTGTCACGACGTCGAGTCCTTCTTTTGGGTCCTTCTATGGGCTTTCATTCACTACCCACTCGATGGTACACGCAGGAAAACACCCGACTCTCTGAGCCAATGGATCTCCGACGACACCGAGATCGTCTCGTTCTGGAAACATACCGTTCTCACCAAGAAGAAGGCGGTCTTCAACAGGATGCTCAGAAACCACGCCTTTCCACACTTCCAGGAGCTCAAGCGCGATTGGCTTGTTCCTTTGTATGACCTCATTGCCGCGTCTCGGCTTACGGCTCCTAAGGTCGAGTTGACCTATGAAGCGGTGATGAAGGCTATTGGAGAGGAGGCGTAGGGATTTAGAACAGTTTTGGTGTCTTTTTTCTTTTCTTGTTTCAGTAATGCGCACTGGTCACCCAGATATCTTTAACCACCTTCACATCTGTATTCTGACTGTAACTATTTATCACTGAGCTTCATCGAGATCTCTTATTTATTCAACAACCCCTTAATTATTACTACAATCCTGTACTCTCGTTACTGTACTTCACATTGAATTGATACATCATTCAGACAGGGGCATGTTTGTAGCCTAAGCTTGGGTGTGATAAGAAGTCGAGCGTTGGGACTTGCGCAAGGCCCTTTCGGTAGAGTCAGTAGCAGCGAACGTCTGCTGTCGTGGCCGTGGGAATGAAACCACCCCTATCAGAAACTTTGTACCGCCGGTTGGATCGGAAGCGCGTCTTGTCCTCCAACTAGCTCGACGACGAGGGCGACGGCGACCAGGTCACCACAGGAACCGTCTATATATCAAGTATAGCCAAAGGCAATGCCCTCGGGCGACTGGAGATCAAGGTGGTATGCACTGGCGCGTTTCATTCGTCACGGTACGGACGGCGACTGGAGTGCCGCCTCCAGACGATAGCGCAAACGGAGGATGCTTGGTCGCATATCCTGATGGGCCGTATAGGATCGTCCCTTCGACTGCATTTTTTGACAAATGAGTCTGTAAGGACATATTCTGAGGGAAAGCGGGTATTGGTATGTCTTTTGCTGCTCCTGTGCGGTCCGCGGATATGGGCTAACCAGTGACGATCGTCCCAGAAGATGTACTTCTATTGTACCAAAGGCCATGCCAAGACAGCCTTCTTTTTTGCTTTACCTTTCACCCTGTCAAACATATTTTCGATGCCAGCATGCATATAAACCGTTGGGCCCCTGCTTTTTCGTTTTCTTTTCATCCCCAAACTGCTCGTCCAAATGGCCTCTGACCCCTTTCCCAACGAGCTCCTCGACGCTGTCATCGACGATCTCGACCCAAAGACAGATGCACAAACCCTCTCCTCTCTCGCACTGGTTAACCAACACGCCACGACTATTGTCAACGAGCGCCGGTTCAAGAACGTAGCGTTAATTCGAAGCCTTGGAGGGCGTCGATGCGAAGGACTCTGGGAACTCGTCAAGGCCAACCCGAACCTCGTGCACAACATCCTTTCGCTCCAGTTGGCCGACAATTCCATTGATGGAGGCGGTTTTTTCTTTGGAGTGTCTGATGAGTCCAGTGATGAAGACGATGGGGACGAGTGGACCTCGACTGGTAGGGTTGGATGGCTGGGAGAGAGGAGGCCTGTCGCACCGGGTCTTGTCGAACTCTTGACGGCTGTCAAGCCCACCCTGCAGGTACTCGCAGTCTGCTCAAGACTTCAGTGGCGTAGTCTCTCGAGGCCTGTTCGACGTGCGCTCCTCGAACTCGCATCGTCGCCTGCACTCAAAGTCCTCAAACTAGGTCGCTTCATCCAAATACCTATCTCCCTCTTCCTCACCTCGCCTCACCTCAAGCAACTCTCGTCGAAAAGAACCTATATCTCCCCCTCGAATTCGCGTACCTCTAATGAGCCATCACAGGTCCTCGCCGACGAGCTAGGGCAACTCGACGTTCTGGAGCTCAGGGACTCGTTTTCAGAGCTCCAGTTCCTCCCGTTATCTCTGTCAAAGTTGCGAAGGCTCGTCGTCGAGTTTAGCCCCGAGGAGAACATGTTCACTCAACGTATGCCCCACGACGTGAAGGACGCTTTGTGGAATTTGCTGGAAGACCTTCCGCTGAAAGAATTCCGCCTGCTTTTTGTTCTCCCGTCCCATTTCTCAGCACAGCTCTCTGCGCTCACGCGTGAGTTTTCTCTTTCCTGATAGTTTCCCTTTTTTTGTGGAGAGCACCGGACACTGACTTGTACGCCACCTATCTACGCAGAATTTATTCTCTTCACGAAATGGCCCCTTCGTGTGCTGGAGGTTGCAGTTATCTACAGAGACAATCTCGACGCTTGGATGGGGCCTTTGTCCTTGGTGCTTGCGAAAATGAAGACCCTCGAGGAGCTGCGACTCGAGGTCTATCCGATCTCCGAAGCTCGGTCAGATGCATATGATCGAAGGGGTGCGACCGACATCGAGTGTCGCCCTGCTTGGGAGAGCCTCGAGAAAGCACTCGTCCAGCTCAGCACCCTTCGGAAGCTCGTCATCGTGTTTGACGAGAGGCATAGGGAGACGGAGATGTATCGCGATCCTGAGGATACGTTGAAAGCGGCGATGCCAACTTTGCTTGGGGATGGTCGTTCTCTTAGGTTTGCTGTCGAATGGTAAGTTTTTTGAAGTCTCTTTCTGGAATGGTGGTGTTTATTCCTCTCCTTCGCAGGAACGAACGCCCCGAAGTTTATTATGACCCTGAATGTGAATAGTATCCTCGAGCGGAGATGTAATCGCCTTTTTACCCTGCGGTAGGCTACACATAATTTTTAAATTCTCGACCATCGCTGTCTGCATGTCGCTCTAGCCGTTGTAGTAACGAGACTCTCAGCCGTATCAGCCTTGTGTCGGAGCTCACATTCCGCGTTTTTGCTATGTTTTACGAGCGCGTCGAGTTCGAATAAATGATAGACATTGTTCTCTCACCTGTTAAAATGTCCAGTCAGCGAAGAACTCCGCGTTCCAATGAGTACCTCCCGAGTCTCCGGCGCCTATTGCAAATGGCGCCCAGCACAGAGATGCGATCAAGTCACAGTGATCTTTGATCGTTCAACACCCAATTTAAATACATGTCATCTTGACTTAGAGAGGCGGAGTCGCCGTATCGTTTTGTCTCCCGTATACCAGATCCTATGGGAAACCAACAATGTTGCGGAATTTAAGAAAGTTTGGCTCGATGTTTTCCGATGTATGCATTTCCCGAGCTCTCCCTTCTAAATTGCTATGTAAGGCTGACGGTCCACTAGGCCATCATGCTGCTCGGAGAGCAGGGCATGTTCTCCATCGCGATCTCAGCGAAAGTAATATCATGTTTGTCAGAACCCTCGTAGATGACGAAGTGACTGTCGTCGGGATTTTGAACGACTGGGACACGGCGTCTTTCCTGAACGGGGCCAATCAGGTCCCTCAGTCTGCTGCGCAAAATCGCACCGGTACGCCTCCCTTCATGTCCGACCATCTCTTATACGGACAGGCTCCGACTACCACCTCCCGCTTCAAAAGAAAAGCGACAGAGCCCGTCCGACACAGTTATCAACACGACGTGGAATCATTTTTCTACATCCTTTTATGGGCTGCGATCCACTACCGGTTTGACGGAACAAAAGACGACACTCCCTCGAGGGTTGACAATTGGGCTTCAAGTAATGTCGAAGCTGTCCGACGCTGGAAAGTCGAGGTTATGACAAGGGAGAATTACTTCCTCGACGAGGTCTTGGAGCCGTTTGTTCTTCCTCATTTCACCGAACTCGGCCAGCAGTGGATCGTTCCGATGTATGACCTCATTGTGACATCCCGGATGAAAGGTTCCAATGTGGAATTGACCTATGAAGCGGTGATAGAGGCTATTGGCGAGGAGGCGTAGGTGGGGGCGCATTGTGGATTTTTTCGATTCATATTTCTTCTTGTACAAGTTCTAAGCCCCTTCCATCAGTCTGACAGGAGATTCCATGTATTATAAGCACCACTGCTGCACTTCGTGTGTTAATAAATCCACTCATCAGCACCCTTTTATATTCCTGCGAGCGTCTACCTGGCGTCTACTTCTGGCGCTCAGGCTGGCCCTTGGAGCCTGCCGTGATCGTGGGACGAAAAACACTGGCCATCAAATCCTGAGAATCGCGCCAATTGGAACCGCCAGCGCGTTTTGCTGACCGCGACTAGCTCGACGACCACGACGACCAAGCTGCGACAGCAGTCGCCTCTACCCCAACGACACACGCCGAGATAACGACTCGGGAACGACGATGGAACGCATACGCGTTGCTCCCCCGCTCCCTCCTGAAATCCTTTCAGAGATTCTGAACTATTTCCCCGATTGGGAGCCTAATGACATTGTCCGACTTGCCACGGTGTCGCGGGCGTTCTATGGGGCTTGTACCCGACGACTATATCGTGAAATTTACCTTTATGGTGAAAAGCAGTTTCGAGGGTGCATCGAAACCCTGGCGTTCAACTTGACCGCATCGTCCTGCGTCAGGACGATTGATATAATCATCTGCGAGTGAGTTTTTGTTCCTCTTGATTCTAGAAATGCCTTGATTTGAACTTTTGGATTATCTTTGGCAGGAATATTCACCTAGACAACGCGTTCAAACGGACATTACGCGCAGCCATGCAGAATATCGCGCCTTCCGTCACAGCTCTTTGTTTCAAGCTGTCTTTCGAGTCCCAGGTCGACCCTCTCCTTAGACGGGTGTCGTTCCCGCGTCTGTCGAAGTTCTCCACAAGGAGCGGCCTGACCAAAGACGTGGCGCGGTTCCTTAACCAACACAGCACGATTGAGGAGCTGATGATTGGACCCGGCGTTGACGTTCCCAAGTCTTCTTCCGAGCGGTCTCGCAAAGACATCTGCGTTGAGCTCCCAGCTTTGCGCCGCTTCTACGGCCCCTCCGAGGCGCTTGCTATACTTCTTCCCAAATCCCGAGTAACTCATGTGGCGTTCAAGGGCGCTGTCTGCGACGGGATTATGGACGCGTTGGCCTCGTCGGAGATACCCCTCAAGAAATTGACTTTTGAAACTGCGCTGTCGTTCCCTGTGCACACTGCTTTTACTGACTTCAGCGGACGGTTTACTCATTTGGGAAAACTGCGCTTTTATTCGGTAAAGCTTGGGGAGTGGTCGTTCAATGTGAGTACCGTTTTGGAGAATTGGGCTCTCTTGACTTAGTGTTGTCCCGTAGTCTCCGTTTTTTGCTAGTCTAAAGTCTGCTATACGCCACATGCCCTCCTTGAACCGCTTGGATGCCCTCAACGCGTTCTCCTTCCATTATCCAGATGTTCCCCGATCTGCTCTGGAAACCGACTATCGCTGCCTGATGGAATTGACGCACGTTTGCCCCTCACTATCCTTCTTAACATCGCCGTGTAAGTTGATCTCGAACTTCACTCTCCAGAGTCCTATCTTACGGATATCCTTTTCAGATGGAATATGGTGGGGAAGGCTCAAAGGGTCAGGAGAATGGACGCCACTGTGCGAAAACATCGAAGCCTTGAAGTGGTGGTGGGAAAGGACGTCGCTGTTGCTCTGTCTACAACGACGCGCGTTCCAGGTGTTCGTCAAGGAGCCTTCCCCGGAAACTGCTTCCCAGACCGAGGAGATCGACTCGCTGAATCGCAAGGTTGGGGATATCGCATCCCGCGTTCTCAACCGCGCCTACGGAAAAGACGGTACAGGAACGACACTGCTCCAAGTCCCGGTACGAGGTACGCGGCAACAGCTAGTGCAGCCCTATGAAGAAATGGAGCTAGAACAGATCCCCTATACCCCCTCCTTCGTCTGGCACCATTTCACCACCAGCATCGGCATCGCCTCCCTCTACCCTATCGACTTGGGCGACTACGACGACGATACCTTGACCACACCCTTCCTCAACGACGACGATATCCCACTTCTGGATGAGAACCAGAAGGAGATGATGGATTTTGTGCTTGATTTGTTTTGGACGTCGATGTTTGGAGGGGGTTTGGCGCTTGGTTGGTATGTGAGGGATCCGGTTGGGGATTGGGGGAAGAGGATGTTGAAGTTGTATGTTCAGTCGCTTTCTTCGCAGTTTTTTAAGAGGCATGGGCTTCGACCGAGGGCTTCATCCCAGGTGTGATTTTGATACTGTAATCGGGATATGAAATTTGTTTGTTTTGGCTTGAAGGTGGGGTGTCGGTCACCGTTGGTTAGTTTTTGACGTAGTTCTGGAACCCAATTGGCGCGTTCTTCTGCCTATGGGAGAAGCGGGCGCTTAGCAAGTCCAGAACCCGTGATGCAGATCCCCGGCAACTGTTCCACAATCCAAGCGTCTCTAGAGGCGGCAACCTTGCCTCCATGAACTCTCCTTGATCAGGCTCTGGCAGTCCATTTCAGTCTCCAAGAGTCTCTTGAGTGCATGAAGAGACTTCCTCCACCACATCGTTCCTCTTGCACCATCGACTAGTGATCATATCTCTTCTTTGCGCGCGTGAATTGGAGATCAGGAAGTGAGGAGCTTTGTGCGTGAAGCCTGTTGAGCGACGGTACCATTCACAGGAAGCCCAATTCCTTTTCAAGAAGGAAACCATTGGTCCTTCTTCCATCGTCATCGGAGAAGTTATCCTCGTCGTCATCCGTGACAGGTCTAGACATGAACGTTTTGAACGGTACCGGCGTTGTGAACTTCCTTTGAGCTCCGTTACCCTGTTTTTTCAACACCTCCAATTTGTGCTCAGCCTTGAACCAGGACCAAGTCTCCCCCCTTGAGACCGCATGGAATGGATGTCTCCTTCTTTTCTTGTCTTGACAGCATCTGACACACTTTTTGAGAATAAATTGCATACCAGGAAACGTGGTTTAATTTGATTAATTCCCGGTTAAAGGCCATTTTCAAAAATCGAAGCAGCAAAGTTGTACCGTCAGCCTGTCAGCATCGGCATGTCGATATCCATCCTTGACAGGACACAAATCTGGCGCAGTTGCCCAGATCTCACCGTCGTCTTCTTTCCGTTCTCTCTCATTCGTTCTGGCATCTTGAAGACCATCCGGAGACTCGGTAGCAACGACGGATTGGCTGGTCGTGATTGCTAGAGCAACCATCAGGCACAATTTGTCCGACGATTGACACCGACACGGCGAACAAACAAGAATTATTGCAGTGAGAAACCATTGTTACCGTCAGCTCCGGTATGCTTCTCATGTTCCCCAGCCTCGAGGCTTCGTCGTTTTGAACCCAAAAGCCGACCACATCACTAGCGTCTGGATGTATCTGCGATGGCGAGTTTCCTGCGCAGAAAGTCGAAACAGGAGCCGCCCAAGCAGCCCATAGTCATTTCGTCGCCAGCCGCGCCGACGCCGACACCACTTTTCGCAAAATTCGCGACGACGGGGGGTAGCCATGGCCAGCAACCGACAACGCGGATGGTTTCGTCGCCGATGACGCTGGCGAGCGGCGCGAGGAGGGAGAATTCGGTGCATGGAGGAGGTCGGTATGGTTCGAGCTCCGTCAGTGTCGCCAGTAGTGGGAAGGATCGCAGGTTCAATGGAGGTGCGCCTCCGTCGTCGTTCCCTATGCCCATCGACAAGCCTCTCCCATCGAACCCGACGCCGGCGAGCCCAACACGGTCTCCTTCGAATCGCAACATAGTCCACACGAAACTTGCGCTACGGTCCCGGACTTCATTGAACATCCCCGACGATAAGCCTCTACCGGTTCCAACGTCCAGTGCAGCAGGACGTAAACTGTCCGTTCAAACAGACTATGCAGCACCACCGCCAGCACCCTTGGAGAACCGCGCAGGGAACCGTTCGCCTGTCATAACGAACCTAATGGACGACGAGTTTGATTTGACACCGACCGTTGAGCAACCTCGCGAACCAGTCAACACGAATGGGGATGCTGCACAACGCATGTCGTACGCCCCCGACCTGCCTCCTGAATTTGCCTTATACCAGGTATGTGTTGGTCTTGTCAATTATGAAGCCTCGCGGGGACTTGAGTTAGATCTGGGCCATTACGTCTCATCATCCATAACCGCAAAGCCTATGCCATCGAGATGGGAATGGCGAATCTACGCATCTCGTTATGCCCTCTTTGTGTTTCAAGCTGCTGACTATCCGCAAACTTTATCAGGAGTACGGTGCAGCTAGTTCCAGTCCCCCAGATCGCAGTACTCCAAGCGATTCTGGCCGAGCTTTCCCTCCGCAGAAGTCTACTGGCCGATCGGTGAGAATGCGTCTCTGTCTATTCAAACATGACATCACTTGCTAATAATACTTTTTTAATTATAAGGACGGTACTTATACCGCTCCCTCCAAACCAAGCGTATTCGCCTCAGCCTCGCAGCCTGCGAACATGGGGAACAACACAAGCGCCCTCAATGGCCATGCCAACAGCCTCTATCCATCTGCCATTGGTTCATTCCAGACGTCGCGCGCGTTTGTGAATCCAGCCCAGAGCACATCCATGCCACAGTTCAACGCGGGCCCTTCCAAGCCGTCGTTCAGACGCCCGGGTCCAGCTTCTTCACCGCCGCCACCACCCCCAGGCGCAGCGGCTCCTGTCCCTGGGTCCATCTATCAACCAACTAGTGTGCCGACCCAGGTCGCCCCGATCGTCCAGGGCAAACCCCGGATCTTTGCCGCCATGGGCAACGTCGACGAGGCAGACCCTCCGAAACCTGTCCAGAATTTCACGGCCAATGTCTCCCAACCGTATCCATCCAATCAGTCTCCTAATCAACGACCAGTCCAGGCCACGACCGGCTACAGCCCACCGACGACGACGACCGTTTCCTATAGCAATGGCCATCACCCTGTTGATGTTCAGCGCACTCCTCGCATGAGCGAGCCTCGACCTCTCCCTCAGTCACCCCCTCGCACTCCCCAGCACCACCAACAGCACAATGGACCAGGCATTCAAAGCCCTCCTCGTTCGCGGAAGCTCAGCAAGGTGCGCCAGCCCTCTGACGTTTCGACGACGCTTCCCAACGTGTCTTCGACTTCTATTATGTCGGCTTCGGTCGAAAGTCTACACTCGACTGGACACGGCAAGGTTCACCAGCACAATGGACATCGTACGCTTGCCAAATCTCAGCCTGTCCCTTTACGTCCTACTTCGTCTTCTGGACATAAGCGAAGTCTAAGCCGTTCGCCGACGAAACAAGAACAGCTTCAGCAACAACAGCAGCAGCAGCAGCAGCAGCAGGAAGAACAACCGGCGCATGTTGATGAAGAAACTATTAGGAAAGCTGGGATCCCACTCGACGATGATCCGTTTGCCAAGGTCGAGGGCGTGAAGATGCTCAAGCCCAGCTCGTCCCCGTCTAAAGAGGGTTCGATCAAGCGCCATCGATCGAAGGGGAAGGACGAAGTCAAGTCTACTGCTGGCGACGATGCCTCGAGCACGGTTACACGCGAGGATCAGCAATCACAACTTTCTGTTCCCCGAGATTCGACTTCGCGAAGGACCAAGGACAAGGACACGATCGATTCGGCTTCAGTCGCGGCTAGCGCTACGAGTGCCCAGACGTCTGAAGAAAGGAGGAGGGAGAGGCGAGAGCGCAGGGCCCGGGAGAAGGAGGAGCGGAAGGCGAGAGAACGGGAGGCTGCAAAGGCTGCCGCTGCGGCCCAGGCGGAAGCTGAAGCTGCCGCGTCCAGGGCAAGCGATAATGTGGACCCCGAGTTGGAGGGTGAGATCGAGCCTGTGGTGGATGAAGAACTCGAAGCTCTCAATAAACTCGAGGAGAAATTCTTCCCGCTCACGCAATTCATTGGAAACCCTCAACTCTTGGGCCACTTGCTTTCCTTCATGACCTTCTATGATTGGTGTATCCTCTCGAGTATTTCGCGCGAGATCAGGATCATGCTGGTCCAGAGTGCTCCCTTGCGGGAGGAGGTGTTGGAGCGGTTCCTCAGGACGGTTGGCTATTCCCGATGGACTTGGGAAGGAAAGGACCCTTTGTCGCTATCGTTACAGGCAAGTTCATTTCCTTTATTCTCTTTTCCACCTTGTTAATGCGCGAAGCAGGACCTCGCGGACTACATGCGTGGCGTATCCACCCCATCTCATGAATACGCTCGGGTGGCCAAGATGTACGTGCACTCGCTGACAGTGCATCCTTCTGTTCGAGATCCATCTCTGGAGCACACGATACGATGTCTGACGGCATCCACTCGAGCTTACACGCGTGTTGTCCTTCGATTACGCGCCCAAGCCGAGAAGGAGGCGAGTGTTGCCAGTGCCAATCCCCAGCGTGCCGCCTCAGTACCTCCACACCCTCCTTCCGCCGCTGGTGCTGCCAAAGCGGCCAACAATGGCTACTACGGAAACATGAACGGCTATTCATCATCTCGCTCGCAGTCCCGGCCATCCAGTCGCGCCCCATCTCCGACCATGTCCAACTATTCCCACTCTTACGCCTCGTCGCAGTATGGCCACAGCAGTCAACCTGGATTGTCTAGCACCACCATGATGCACCAGAATTCATCTCAGACGAGCTTGACGTTCCGTTCGCCATTGTTCCGACTCCGTCGTGCACCGCTGCTTCGCGTCTTTGTTCCTTCACCCGAGGGTGATTGGCTCTCGGACAAGAGCGTGTTGGACTGCGAGGCCGAGTGTAAGAAGGCAGGCGTGCTTCATTTGATGAGGATGGGGGATGTAGTGTGGGATATTGCTGTTGGCGATGAAGGCAATGTTGGTCGGCTTGTGTATGATGGCAAATATCTGATTGTGAGTTGCCACGCGCGCGTGGTGTTGAGGGTCTTTATCATTGCTTCGATAACTCATGGCGTTTCTTCTTCTTTTTTAACAGGACTTGGATTACACGTACAATCCGATTGGCGACCTTCCCAAGTATATCCCCACTTTGGCCTTCCCTCCCTCTTATTTCCATCGCGTTATTCGGACGGGTCCTGTCACCAGCAACCCGATTGCACATATCGATATCTCCCCCTGGGGTGAAGAGATTGCGGCTAATCTCCAATTGTTGCAGGATCGAGTCAAGACTGAAACGTAAGCTCGTTCACTTGACTACCCTGTCTATTTCACTATATCACTAACGCATCATCTTAATTCCATATCTTCATTAGTCCTCAAGGAGCATACCATAATGTCGTTCGCTGGGTGCACCGGTCCTCGTTCGCGATACGACCGCCTGCGCGTGTGATGCAGAGGGGTACGAGTGTGAATGGGCGTGCTCAGCCGCATACGCCTCGAATTCCGATCCCTGAAACTGATAATTTGTTCATTGATTCGGGGTGGTATGGGACGATTGTGGTGGAGACTGAAGGGACGAACGAGGCGCTTGCTGATTTGCAAGAACGGTGTGGCCCGCGTGCGTTCCCGCCGCGACCCAAGCCTTTGAACCCGGCCATGGCCAAAGCGAGGGAGGAGAACCGGAAGGTGTTTAGGATTCTTAGAGAGAAGAGGTATGAATGTTTGATTCTTTAGTTGGATTTTGACTGAGGGTTCTTTTTACTTGTAGTCGGCCTGGGGAGATCTGGATCAGGGCTGTCTCGATCAAAGAACGACTTTTGTAAAAGTTGTGCCCAGTTGCCGGTCTGGTATTCGATGCTTCAACGCCTCGAGGACGTTTGTTCATCCTTGTTCCCGGTTCAAAGGACTGTCCAATTCTTCCATTGCTGATGGTACAATACGGTATAATGGCTTCCTTCCCTACACGCACCTTTCTCGACGCTATTCATGATTCTTTTTTTTTTTTTTCTGCTTCAGCATTGTAAGTTATAGTCACCAATTGCATTTGTACCTTGTAGTACGACCTAGACAGCACGCACGCGCATCGGCTCCCTCTTCCGCTTCTTTTTTCCATTCAACATCGTAGCTACCCAAATCAATCGATCCTTCCAGCTGTACAATTTTCATATGCTTTTTTTCTCCCTTCTATGCACTTATGGGCCGTGTCATTCATCACTGTATAATTTTTTCCTGCTCTGGGTTTCCAGGAATGAGAACTGGTTTTTTTCCGTTTGGACTTTTTTGTGATATCAACGCAGGGTGCCGAACCCCAAGCTTCAAGTACAACGATGATATCATATGATCGACGCTTTTCTTCTCCTCGTCTTCATTCCAGCTCCGACGAAAGGTTATCTTTAGCTTTCATTTCTCGGTCCGACGATTCATCCATCCATACTTGCTTCATTTCTCGTCCCGCAGTCATGTTCTCACTTACCTGGAGAGGATCCGGGAAACTTGTCTTGAAGAGCTTAGACTCGCGCTGTGACATTTGTGACATCTTGACATCTAGCCAGCTATGGTCGAATAGGAGTCGAGATATGGCGTCAGCGTTTCACTAGTATTGTTCGAAACGAGGATAAGTAGCGAGCCGATAGCGCTCAGCCCTGTTGGTTAATATTATTGCTTTGCTTGCGCCGCCAACGACTCTACTGGGTTATATCTGCAGTCTTGGGCTGACGGCTGGGTGGCATCTCTTCGCTGGTCTTCTCATCTACCTCTGGACCAACTCGAAGCTTCACGACCCCCGCCTTAATCTATCGACGTTCAATGGCAACTTTTGCCAAATCGACATTCAATGCGTCCATCTACGCTTCTTCTCGCCCGACCTACCCTCCCAAACTCTTCGAGTATATCCTCGAATATCATTGCCAGGGAGGAGGAGGAAGAGGACTAGGAGGAGGGGAAACCAACCCCAGATTGAATCTGGACCATGCAGTGGATCTGGGATGCGGGACGGGTGAGTCTTTTTGTTGAATCGTTTGGATCTGTGATTGTGGTACCTGCTAGGGTGCTGCGCTAGCCGCCGCCACTTGCACCGAGTACCAGGTGGCTTCAAGGCTTGTGACCGGTGGCATGGTGCAATGTGCGACTCGTAGTCTTATCTGTGAACTGATACACTTCATAGATGAAGGTTAATTCTCATTCCACCGGCTGTCAATCTGGGTTTTGCGTTCTTCGACCGATCGTGTATTCTCGTGGCGACTCATCTCGACTACCGTACGGATACGGTGCTTTGCATTTGGAATCTTTGGGGCTATAGGTCAAGCTACGGCACGGCTGCAAGGACTGTTCAGGCATGTAACATGTGTTGACCCTTCTGCCGGGATGTTGGAGAAGGCGAAGGAGTTTCTCCTAAACTCTGGCGTGGAACCTGTCCCGGAAGAGGGATTAAACAACGACGCCAGCGCGAATAATAACGATGAGAAGCAAACTCCAACTACCTTCTCATTTCATCAAGGCTCTGCTGAAGATCTCCGCCAAATTATACCTGACGGTGGCACTGTAGATCTCTTGATAGCTGGTGAGTGCAACTTTTTTTCTTAAATAATCTCCAGAAGTGTAAAAAGAACTGAAGCATCCATCATCATCGTCGTCTCTCTTCCCTCCTTCCCTCTAACCTTGAACCCTATCAACCCATTTGTATCTCAGCCCAAGCGTGCCATTGGTTCGATTGGACCAAGGTATGGCCTGAAACTCGCCGGGTGCTACGAAAAGGAGGGACTGCTGCCTTTTGGGTACGTCCTAACCGCCACTTCGTCGAGCTTGTATAGAAGTAACTAAAATTTTGACTCTACGATTGGGGAAGGTGTATGGCGAGTTTCGTCTCCCTGCTTTTCCAGGTTCGGAACCCATTATCGCAGCCTACACCGATCCGCATTCGCCGACGAGTGTTGGAAGCTACTTCGAGCGTCCCGGTCGAACTATCCTTGAAAGACTCTTGGTCGACGTTCCTGCTCCTGAAGACGTTCTCGGAATTAAGGAGTCCGATGGCTTGAAGGATTTCCAAAGGGTTTATTTCGCCGGTGAGTTGAAATCGCCCGGGCTTGCCGATATCCTTCGATGCTCACTAGTGGTTCATGAATCACAGAACCTGATTCGATCCCAGATCGAGAGGAGAATTATGCCCATCGGCCTGGTCTCGTACACCCTGTCTTGATGCGAGCCTCTTGGACATGGCTTCAATTATTGGGCTATCTGCGCACATGGAGCGCTTTACACGCGTACCTCGAACGACATTCGGAAGACCTGAAGCACGAAGACGATGCTCGATTTCTGCAAGACGACCTGAACGCCATTCGTGAAATGAATCACAGCCGGGAAGCATACGTTCGAGGAGGCGATGTATGTGTTCGATTCTGGAAAGACTTGCGCGAGGTTGCAGAGAAGCAATTGACGTCGAGAACATGTGCAAATGGTTCAGGGGACAGTATTGGCTTCACGTTGATGGATAAAGTTACAGTCGAGTGGCCGCTTAGTCTACTACTTGCCAGAAAGGCGTAACACGTATAACCTATAGCGTCTAGACACCTTCTCCTGGTACCTCTCCAAAGCCCATGTCGCAAAGGGACGCCGAAATAGCGACACTAGAATAACAACCTGGGAACCCGTACTTGACGCTGCTTTTCCACCAATCCCATCTCGAAGTTGGGAGAACATGTTCCAAAAATTCTGAAGATGCTTCTGGACGTTTCTTTTTGCTTGGATCCGTTGCTTCGCCAAACTGACGAGCCATAGAAGTCCAAGCAAAGAGATAGTCGCAAAAAGCGATGGGGGATCCCCCGACGACACAAGCCGGTACTGCAATAGCAAGGTCATCGCGTCCTCGAGTTGCAAGCAGAGCTCGAGGAACTGGGGCGGCAAAAATTAGATAACCAAAAATGAGGGCGGTGCCCTCATAATAGTGGTTAAACTATTAAGAACAGATACTACACTTGATCTAAGCCAAAAGGCCAGAGTGGTAAGGAATCGAGAATGTTGGGGGATGGCTTATATAGGTTTTGGGAACGCACGGACCATGTTGTTCTTTGTTTGGACTTCGGAGTTCATGACTCGAGCTCGGCACTTCGGCAACTCCGACTTGGAGCTTAGCGCCTGAGGACAGCGAATGAGTCAAGTCTGCTCCTTTCAGCCGAAAGAATAGTTACAAAAAGGATTCATTGACTCAATCTATGTGTGTGTGTGTGGCTATTCGTTGTCCACCTGCGTCTCCACATCTCCCATTAGCATTTGTAAGGTCCACATACTTGGACTGAGTCGATATCAGACGTCGGTGCACATACATAGGAGTATATTGGAATTCTCCACGTTCCGCGTTGTATTTTCTAGAAGTATATACGACCAGGCACTAGACCGTTGTAACAGAGTCGAGTGTATGAAACATACAAGTCCCAGTCCATTCCTGCTCCGGGTTCCTCAGGAAATGCCATATCTCCAACTCCATACTACACATCGCACACCACAAAAGCGTCATGATGAAGTCCAGAGTCTCTCTCTGGGTCTCATCAAGCACAGGGATGTGATCGTCCCCCAGAACATCGTCAATGTCAGCGAGCGCCCTCATCGTGGTATACTCGACGGGATGCATGGCAGCCATACCGAGCAACGTGCAGTAGCCATCCCAGATTTCGGTCATCGACTCTGTACCAGGGAGAACATCTCCAATTCGATCAACGTATGGTCGATGAACCCGGTTGTTGCCACTTCGAATCGGAACTCGAAGTCGCTCGTCCTCGTCCTTGTCCTCGCCCTCGCCGTCGACTTTATACACTCGGTTGAAGAATTTCGCCGCAGCTCTCCCAATCTCGGTGATCGCCGCGTCCTTCCGTTCTGCTGTTGGCTCCGGTGGGACGGTGCGATCGATGACATTGAGGATGGCGGCTGGGCCGATGGCAAAGACGCGGAAGATGCGGTTCTGGAGGGAGAGGTGAAGACCGGTACGCGCGTACAGCCAGCGTACCGCGTCCTTTTGGGAGCACAAGGGGATCCACTGGCCGCTTTTCTTGAGTCTCGCCCATTGGACTTTCACTGGATCTTGGTCAAATCGCGCTCAATGTGTGAACGAGTAAGAGACACACATACCCGGCGTCTCGATCATCGTCAGTCTTTCCTGGTTAGCAGTCAAGTTCTGTATACAGCGATAATCCTCTTCCAGCGTTAAGTAGGTGGGCTGTCGAGATGTCCATTCGTTGAAAATCAACAAGGAACGCAGTTTGGGCAGGTTTGGGACTACGGCTGCGAGTTTCGTGACGAATGGGCTCTTTAAAGACTTGTAAATGCATTCACGTTCGTCGCGAGGCTAGAACCTACCTGAGAGTCCCACTGATAACAGTGCATTTTAAGCTCTGTCAGATGGGTAAGGTTGGTCCGGATGTGGTTGAGCACCGCCTCCTCCATGACGAGGGAACATTTCATGGAGAGCACCTGGAGCGGTACTGCTGTCATGGACAGTGCTTCCATCCATTGGGCAGTCGTGTCTCCAATAATCTCGACCTCATCGACAGACGAATTGGGAAGGAATATGGATAGCGCCTGTGAAGGACCACGAAAATGGCGCAATCGAGGCATCCCGATACGCATGTCGCGGTGATAGTCCTTCGCTCGCCCGCGTCCCTTCACGGGAAGCTCAACTCTATAGCCTACCGACAAGGTCTCTATTCGGTCGTTATTCTGGAGGAAAACAGCCAGCTCCTTGTCCAAGGGTTCGTTGATCCGGAAAACCGAAAGTTTGGGGAATGATATCCTCCTAAGCAGATGGCCAATTTTGAGCGAATTGTCGGTGCAGGTGAACCCCAGATGCGTGACGCTGAGTGCGACGTTCTGAAGCGCCGCGCGGAGAGAACGGGTGAACATGGGCGTCACTTCTGCCCTAGGAGCCTTTCGTTAATTTCTCGCGAATTAAAGTGGCTGGCAAGGACGAGCTCACCCGGAAACCAGTGCCGCCAGAGATTTGACATAGGAGGCCGCTGTCTGGTTGAAGGCCAGGGTTTCTACACATAATTTAAAGCGTTTGAAACCCTTCAGATAGACCTCTTTGTACAGCTTGCGCGTACATATCCCGTGGAATGTGCGAGAGACGGTTGTAACATCGAGAAGATTGGATTCAGGCAGGTATTCCAAGATTTCGGAGAGAATTTCGACAGGGAGATTGGGCGTTTTTCGGCCCATGTTTCTGCTGGGCTAGCGAAGACGAGACCCCCGAAAACACGACAAAACAGCTGTCGCTGTCGGTGGATATGCTGATGGTGTGAGGCGGAGGCGCAGCGGTTTGGTCGCGGTCATGTCATGACGGCCTCGCGTTCGTTGCGTTGTATTTTCTGAACGCGTTTGCCAAACAAAGCGAACTGATCGCGCCTTGTCTCTGGGACTTGATATTGCATAGAAGTCAGTTGAGATCATCCCGATTCCAGTCAGCTCCATCTAAAATAATTGCCACATACTGATAGAGGAATCCAGCGTAGAAAATGGAAGAGAGCCAATCGTCAAAGCCGCACAGGTGCATGAAGGACGTGAAGTGTACAGATGCTCATTGGGAGCAGGAAGACAACAGTGTCAGAATCGCTGATTCAAACCCTATGCTTTGCCAAGGCCTAAGTCTGCACCCTTGCAACCCCCAAGCGACGTATGTAGCGTAGGAAAAGCGCCCATCACGCGCCGAACCGCCCTTTGGCTGCAACATGCTGCCTCAAATTGGCAGGCGTTTACAATCGTAGGGAACCAAACACCGCTTTTCTCTTCAGTGACTGGCTCTGAGTACTGGGGAAGACCACTGTTTATTTATGACATGGATGATCCTAGCTTTGATACACATTCCATCAGGTCAGACCCGAACCAATCGCGTCGGAGAGCTAAAAAAAAGTGTCCCCCTCACAGATGAGTCTTGAAGTCATCGCCGTTGCCAACACAAGGATAAGCCTTGTACAAGTCCCAGACTCTCCATTGGCCTGTTTTGTCCGTGTAGGACGCGAGCCACGCGTCGATTGTCGCCTGGTCAACATGGCCTGGTTTGGAGACAAACTCTGAGAAACGCGGCATCAGCTGTCGAAAGCCCATACGGATAGGGGCAAATTACCTATAACAGCGAGATAGTCAAGTACGTCGACGCGCTTCAGCGACTCGTCTACAGCTGTGATCGCTTTGTCCAACGCCTTTACGACTCGAATCCTGGCCCACTGCTCCACACTCGATAGTCGCTGGACCCAGTTATTGAAAGTCGATTCCTCAGGGCGGGTAGGAATCTCCACCGTCACGACGAATGTACTTGGATTACCAACGTTCATCCCAGTGCCCTTCGCGTTGTCCTTCCCGCTGTCATAGACGACTTCGCAGGTCCTTCTGTCCAGAACACCTAGCCGCTGTATAAGCTCCCTCTCCCTGTCGCTCCGTTTCTCTCGAAGAATGGTATAACTCGGATCCTGGAACGCCGAGACGCTCTCCACTTCGTACATCGCCAGCCATCCTGGTTGTTTCCCATCTGCCGCAGCGTACCTCGCCCCGCTCAAGAAGGATTTGAGATGGTGTAGTCGGAGTGGGATGTGCTCGTTGTTGTACCAATCTGAGCGGCGATGTTCCGATGGTCAGAGGCAGATACCGGTCCAACGGTGTACTCAGGTCTTACCATGGAATTCTTCGAGTGTGGCCTGCTGTCCTGGGTCCGAAAGCACGGCGAGGAATCCAGACATGACTTGCCCAACCTTTACGAGTGAGGAGAATGGAGAAGATGTTTTGCCGTCGCACCAGAGGGCGTGCTTATATACCTTTGCGATCCGTGCCGGTCCCGTCGGTCCCAGCAGGTCCGGTGAAGCCTCGACGAGTTTGGTGTGGGTATCACCCTCGTTCTTCATGCAGATACGCATTCAGGTTGTGACATATGCTACGAGCGCTATCAATTGTCGCAATAAGCGCCTAGCAGACCGAAAGCGACGCGGCTGTTCTAATGAAAGCCTGATAGTTATCTGCACCTTGAATTTGAACAATCTTCCTCAAAACGGTTGTATCGTATTGAAACTGAGAATGCCCAACATATGGCTATTCACAATGTACTGCAGAGCTATGGGTCGCTTTGAAGGTGGTGACCACCACAACAAGGACGTCGATAATCATACAACAGCTCATTGGGCTCTAAAGTTACATCTACTGATACAACCCTCCATCAGGATTTATGTTACAAACAGGATACAAAAAGAGCTTCAGACATCCGCCTTCCGCCTTCCACTCGGCTTCACAGCAAATAGGGTAACGCTAGCGGTATTGCTGATAGATAGAACCTACTACGACTTCCCAGCTTCGTGTCACATTACAGCAACGTGAACCCATGGCTCCTCGACACATCCACAAGGTTCTTCAACTGCTCGAAAATCATGAAGATCAAGATCGTTGTAGGTTGGAGTCGAGTCCAAGCAGGCACCCATCCCTTGAACATGAACATCGGTCCTTCCGTAGCCATAGATTTCCGGATGACTGCCATTGTCGACTGCGATTCCGAAGCTTCGTTAGTTTTATCAGATGAGAGGATTCGACAGCACTTACGTTTGACCCAGGACCCGACGCGTTCATGATTCGCGACTGTTCAAAGTCGCACTGAATGTCAGCTAAACGGCTCTTCAAAGAGGAAGTAGAAACTGGCCTTGAGAACGTCGGCTGGGGAACAAACAGTTGTTGCCACAGTTCCCTGCGATGGTAAGATGTGAGAACGGGAGTTAATAGAGAGATAAGACACCTACCGCAGCGAAACTAGCAGTGAAGTGACAGACGATGTTATCTTCGAAGTACTTCGTGCTGAGGAGTTCGGCTTTGAAGAAGTCGTACGAAGCCAGCTGGCTGGCGTTCATCAGGACTGCACGGAAGACGTTTGGCCCCGCGCCTCGAGCAAGTGATGAGACTCCTTCTTCTCTGACCATCTAAAGGGTACATGTCAGTATCAAGAGGCATTTCTTTCAGCGGTCTAAGCGCCCTGCATGAGGCTCGAACGCGCGAGCAGGCTACACGCGAGATAACCAACGAATTCCCCGCATACGTCATAGGTTCGCCAAGTCCCCGCCAAGAGTAGCGCTCGCGACAGGATAGGGGTCAAAGCCACTGGCAACGAGGAGCGGAAGGGCGTGCACGAGACCAATGTCGAGCTAAATTCGACTTACCCGGAATAAGGCATCGAAGCAATGCTTATAATTGAAGCGCTTCTCGGGAGGTTTCGCAAAATCGCCCTGCAGCCGGACCATTACGATTTCTACAGAAGTCGAGAAGTGTGTCAATAGTGTTCCAGACGGTGGCGGACGAGCACGGCGGGCGCACCTCCTGGGTTGCCGACTAGACCAGCGATTCCTCCCGCTGTTCTCTATTAAGCATGGACAGTCCGATTGAGTTGCGGGAGAACGTACCCATGCTGCCTGCAAGAGCCAGTTTCCAAGCAGGAGCGTCTTTGCCGGCACCCACAATCTTCTTGCTCTCGTCGTAGGCCCAGAAGCGACAAATAGAATAGGTCATCTGTCGAAGCCATGTCCCCGAAATTCCATCAAAAAGACCTCGAACACCTGTCAATGAGCACACATTGGCGAATAACGATGGGGTTAGAGTGATGTGTGTGAGATGTGAAGTGGGGAGCAACGGTGGGTCAGATGAGATAGGGGAAGTGTATTGGGTGACGTGAAGGCCTACCAGCTGTTCTGACCGTCTTCTTAATGCTCTGGATCATGCGCTTGTCGCCTGAGGCTTGCAGTCTGACTTTGGTGAGGTCTAATGGGCTATAGAGGATTACGTTCTCAGCATCTTCGAGAGGGTGAAGATGATAGCAACCTACTGGGTAATTGAGGCAGCAATTGTTGCAGCAACGCCTAGCGAGCAAAGTTAAGCCAAAGCATAATCTCGTGCACCATATCGTGCGCACCTCCCAGCCAGAACGGGTAGGGTTGTTTCTTTGGAGGTTGGCTCCTGGCCGCATCTATGGTAATGGGGGATGGCGGAACAGCAGAGACGGCGGTGGTGACCTCGGGCATTGTCTAAGGCGGGCGTCTATAATCAGTCCTGTAACAAGGGCACGAAAGACAGGAAGGACTTGAACGGTGGACGAGCGCACCAATTAATACCAGTTCGGATAAACTCGGCCTATGTTGTTCTGGGAACGGTCAAGTGGTTTGAGGTATATATTCAGAAAGAGAAGCGAAATGTCAATGCCGTGACACTGGGAATGTGGTGCAGTCAGAAGGTACAGGTTCGTTGAGAAGGAGGGATGTTCAGGATCAACGGAGCGGTTCCAGGTCGTTGCGGGCTTCCTTCTTATACCGCCCTTTGCTTGCGGAGTGGGATAGTCCCCTTGGTTAAATACAATGCCTCACTCGGTCCCGCTAAGGATAATGATAGCAAGGTCGTCATTGCAATGACTATCGCGCGCGACCGGTAAGCAGAACACACCTTGGCCGCGTTCCCGGGTCGTTGAGATGGTTAGATTGCTGACTAGATGAGAGATGGAACTAGATGTGAGAAATGGATGCGTACCAAGGATGTGAATAACACGCTTGTGGTGCATTTACGACACAGCAACCCTGCACATGCCCAGGACAAGATCGACTCCGCGACCCAGTTAGACTAAATAGGGGGCCTTCCTGATGGAGAACGTCAGGCGACCTGCGGCGATTGCCGCATTTGATGCCGACTTGCTATCTTTTTAGGGAACTCACCCCTATCTGCTGACTTTGGCTGTCTCCTGGAGTCCCGTCAGGATGAAGGCTTATCAGAAAAGCTGAGTGGTGGATAGACATGTGGCTATATCCTGGTAAATACACCAGTGTAGGACCTGGATAACTGCCATGTGCACAACACAGGAATTCCAAAGTTAGCATTCCCGATGTTCAACTTCCAATGTGCAACAAGGACGAAGATCGTCCTTTCTGGCAACTTAGTATTCGGAGGGCCGTTATTATGCTTTGATGTGCATTTGCGGGAAGTTATCTGGGACTGACTCTTTAATCTGGTTGCGATGGCTGCAGTAAGTGTTGGCCAAACGACATGGCGACGGTTAAGCGCCGGTTCTGGTGACGTTGGTCCAACACCATCCGCCGGGGAGAAGCTTTGACGGGTGATACAAGCAGCTCTGCTAGGTCTTTGTGCGCATAGAAGTGCAGAAGTAATAGCACCCAATAGTAGCCTCAGCAGATTGGCTACAGTTCGATGAACTTTGAGCTGCTGGGAGGACTTCAGTATTTCTTTCTCACATTTTAACTCTAAATTACCGTTGTGTTCAGTGTTTTATCTCAGAGTTTTCGCACATCATGGCGAACGATCTCAGTGTGCTCTTGCGCCTTGCGTTTAGCCATCAGTGTGAAGAGAAAGCGCGAGCACTGTCCGATCCGTTCGGAGCGTTGTGACTGGTGGCGATACGCAACGAGGAGCGCGTTTCTCAGACATCAACCACGACGTCGGCGACATCTGACACAGCGCTGGCACCTATTTCGCCTTTTCTAACGTGTTTACGAGTCTAATCATGCTATAAGTGACTGACAAATCTCAACTAACCCGACAACAACAAACTATCGATAACTACTGTTCGTTATCAGCGACCCACGACAATCCAGACGAAGACCACAACTGGTCGATGTTTCAGACGCTTCTTACACCTCTAAAGGCCCGGTTCGACCAGTTGACGCCGCGTTCTCCTTCAGCGACATTCCTTCCACCAACAGACGAAGACGAAAGTGTCCAAAGCCCTGAAGACTTTGCGCGCGATGTGCTCGTTCAGCTTATGCGAAACTCGGTGGAGAACCTCAAGATGGCGGAGGGCCAAGGGGTGAAGACAGAGGTACGTTGAAGCTTTTAGCAGCCTGGAAGATGCTCATTATAGCAGATACTAGGCGAGATTGAACGGTTCATCCAGCAGGACCCAAACACCAGGAACGTGTTCCGAGAAATGGACGGTTTCTTGGTCGTAATGAGTGTATTGTCTACCGTACAACCACGAGGGGGACCCAAGGCTCCAGAGGACTCCAGCGCCTCAGCTATTGAGACCACTCGGAGGGTATTTGTTGTCCTGGACCAGGCAATAAAAGACCACCGCAACGACGAATACTTTCGCGTAAGCTTTTCCACATTCGAGGGCATGTCGCTTCTCTGACCCAAAGATTTCAGCGTCATGTAGGGTATGAGTCGCTTGCCCTCGCTCTACGGAGCCTCTTGTCCGAGCCTACCACGTTGGATGCAACATTGGGGCTTTTGCTTTGTTTCGCCATGTCCAACTTTGGGCTATCGGAATACTTTACCATCTTACGCGCCTCGGAAACGCTGGACGATGCCGTTGAAGCGCATCTGAAGGTTTACCTTCCCAAGTTGAAGACAGTGGCTCGACCGGAGCCTCTGCATATCATATGGACTACGGTTCTTGCGTTGTCCAAAACCCCCAACGCGACCACATCGTCAGCTCCAATTCGTTACGGGTTGTACAAACTCTTCGAGGCATTATTCCACGTCAATCATCGAAATCAGGGCGTCCTGTCATCGCTCAACCTAGTCCATTCTCTCTTTACCCAGTTCTACCAATCGCGGGGCGACGCAAGTGTTCCGGAACGCGAAAGGCACGCTCAGGGAAAGCTTCTTCGCCGCCTTCTGGAAATGGGAGCAACCACAGAAGACGCTAGACGGACTCTGCAGAAAGCCGTCGTTCAAGAAGAGACACAGGAGCGTCTGGACACGGAGGTTCTAGAGCTCATCCGGTATGGGATGAAGTCGAGATGGTCTGAACACTTCTCTTTGGAGGGTCCAGCAGCCCTCGTCGTACACGATACGTCGACTGCCTGTAAAGGGCTTCCTGTGGGTGGCTTCACAGTCATGGTGCGTCCCGTTCATTGCTCTGGGTGTACCTTTGCTCATGGACGTTTAGCTTTGGGCCTATTTTTCCTCCTTCCCATCCGGCGCACCTCGAGCTATATTCACCGTTTCTCTACCCTCCCGCGTCCTCATCAAACTCTCCCTTCGATCTGACGGCAAGCTCGAGTTGCTTTCCTCCAGCCAGGCTGAGGGTGATGTCCCTTACATCTCGTCTGCCACTATCCGCAAGAACCGATGGGCCCATGTTTGCCTTGTGCATTACCCGCACAGGGGTACAAACCCCAGTATCCGTACGTCGCTATTGACATCTCTGTGTCCTTTAACTGACCGATTTCAAGGACTCTTTGTTGATGGTGTGCTACACGACATGCTCAACTGGCACTATCCCAAGGGTGACCCGTCACCGTCCCCAGTGGAATACCAAATTGGAGACTATGGACCGGGCGGGATGAATTGGAGCTTGGCGTCTGCTTACCTGCTGTCGATGCCGATCAGTAAGTACCTGGTCAGTTCACAGTCGACAGCGAGCTTACTCCCCACGTAGATGATGATTTACCAAGGTTTATCCACCACCTCGGCCCTCGCTACTCTGGCAATTTTCAAGACCCAGGTCTCGTCAAATTTCTCACCTACGAAGCCTCGACATCCCTCAACATGTTCCTTACCTCCGTCGCCTCCAAGAACTACGCGAATCCATTGTCTCCTTCCGCGGTCTCTCCCTCAACCCCTAACGCACCGTTCTCCATCGCCTCTGCGTTATCTTCGATGTCTGCAACAGCAGGGGTGCCACCCCAAATCCAAGCACAGCAAAGCCAGTCCGCGCCAGAGTCAGCGTATATCCCAGCCTCGAAGCAAGCGATCCACCAATCCGGCCTCATGAAACTCGTTCGCTACGGCACTGGTATCCCGGAGAACCGAATCATGTTTTCGTTCACTGCGGGTGATTGCAAGAATGGAGGGTCTGCGCTGGGACAGACTATTCCTCTGCGGGGGAAATTGAAGCCGCCCAAATCTGAAGTTGTCTCTCTGAAGAGCCCCATGATTGAAGAGGAGCAGGGTAATGGGCGAACGGGGGCGGGCGACGGTGTGGAAGTGAGAGGAGACGTTTTCGTTGTTAAAGCTGCTTGTTTGGATACGGCGCTTTGGAAGATTGGCGGGGCGGCTGTCGCACTGAGGCTAATTCAGTTGGCCAAGGTGGGTTGAACATCTCTTCTCGGAAATACAACTGACCTAACGTGATTCAGGGTTCACATGAGCTTTCCCGCTCGATCGGCGTGCTCGTGGATGGGCTGAAGAGCAGCTGGCAGAACTCGGAGGACATGGAAAGGTTGCGCGGCTACGAACTGCTCGCCGAGATGCTTCGCTCCAAAGCGCAAATCATCAACCTGACTGCCTTCGAAACTCTGTTCGAGTTTTTGGGTGTCAACTTCAGCTCCCCCGAGCATTCTACTGTCACCAACGTCCTCGCCTATCGTTCCATCGCACTGGACTTTGACCTGTGGTCTCGAGCACCCAAGGAGATTCAGCAAGTCTACCTTGAACATTTCACGACTCTACTGCACACCAGCCGGTATCGCATCTTCAACTCCCGGCAAAGGCTGAAGAAGATGGGCGTCACGAAGAAGATTCTCTTTGCGCTACAGGCGGATTGGTATAAAGGCGAGATGAGCCACTTGCTGGTGAAAGTGTTGAAGTTGTCCATGGAAGCCAACTTTACGCCGGACGATGCGATCAAGCCGTTAGTGTCATACCTCGCCGCTAATCTTCATGAAAGTGAGTGGTCATGTTGTTGTCGGGGAGGTACCCTACTCTGACCGTTCGCTAGATGCAAGTAATGGTGCAAGCTCCCCTTACTCCATCATCTCCCGCTTCGAACCGAAGAACCCTCAAGAAAAGGCAGAACGTGTACTCGTCGCACTCGTCTCAGCCCTCTCCATCCAGACCAATTACGCCAAATTTATCTCCGCTCTCCCAATAACTCGCGTGTGCCTACTTCTATTAGGCGACCGCCCCTCGCCATTCGTTTCCTTCCAGATTCTCAAACTACTACAGACGTGCATGCAGTATACGCCTGCATTCAGCCGCAAGTTTGAGCTGGTTAGTGGGTGGAGTGTGCTGAAGACTGTGGTGCCTACGTCGTGGAATGAGGAAGTGAATACTGCTGCGTTTGATCTTTTGTTGGGGAGACCGGCGAAACCCGTGGCTGCCGCCCCTACCTCGGAAGGTGGGACAGGGTCGAAAGAGCGGGATGCATATACGACTGTGGTGTGCCCGCATATTGTCCCGACTATTCTTATGGCCCTGCAGCATGGTCTCAGTACTGTCGCGTCGCGAGCACACCTGATGGAGGATGACGCCGGTACGTGGTCCATTGCTTCGTTTTTTTTCTAGCAGAAAAAGTAATGACGGGTCTATGTAAGATACCTCCCAGTTGACATGGGACATGGAAAGCACCATGAGTGATCTTCTGGAAGAGATGATGGGCCTTCACTCGTCCAGTGGTACATTCAGAGAACTCTTCCGGTCACAGCAAACGACGCAACTGTATATCGACGCCTACAAGGGATATGTTTCAAGATTGAAATCGGCAAGCAAGATCAACGTGTGGAACACCCGCATACTGGAGAAGCTTTCGCATCTTGGTCTTGCGCTTGCGTTGGATAATGCTGTTTCTGGAAACCAGAAACGCGAGGTGTGTCAAGGTTTTGTTTTCATCCTCGGATTAAAATTGACGGAGTTCTAGATCCTGGATACGCTTCAAAGTGCAGATGCGCTCATTAACCCGACCAGTCCTACTCCAGCTATCGACCCTGCGTTGATCGTCGACAATCGGTCTATGAGGCAACGGTTTGCTTCAGCTCGTCTCAGTCTCCAAGTGGGAGAACGCACCGTCATCAAGACTATGACGCGTAATGCCGATTGGAGAAAGACCATCCAGACTGCGGAAAGCAAGAGACTTCGAAAGACGATTCTTGATATGTAAGTATGGTATGTGCCTCGATCGGACACGTGTTGACTGGTGTTGTTTCCTAGGCGAGAGAACCGGAGACAGATTTCGCGTTTGACAGAATGGAGTAACATCCTCACGTCTGAGCGAGGACTTTGGCCTCGCACTCAAAATCGGAACTGGCAGTTGGATGAGACGGAGGGTCCCCATCGGATCCGGTAAGTTTTATAACCTCAGTTCGGAGCTTTGTGTATTGAATCATGCTGTAGGAAGAAGATGGAACCCTTGGACGACAGGCCCTCGTCAAGTACGCGGATAGACGCTGCGGCGGAATTGGTTCGGGACGTCGTCGCTCCGGAGACGGACAACCTTTCCGTGCATCAGCCTGAGGTACCGCCTTGGGCTGAAAGCTATGAGGTTGCTTCAACTGATATGGACGGTACGTTTATACTCCGTCTTGGTCTTACAAAGTTGCCTGACTTTACTGCACCCACAGATAAGCAACTGACGGAGGAAGTGGTTGACGATAAGCTTCGGCGTATTCGACATGACCTCGAACCTGGAGATGTCATCGAGGCGGTTGCAACAGTGGCGCGTATTGTCGGAGTAGACTCTTCTCGTGAGTTCCTTGGAAATGGAATCCTTTCCAAGGTACTGAATCCGATCATCTGCAGCTGGACTCCTCATCATTGGCAAGACGCACGTCTATATGCTGGACGGAGTCGTTGAGAATGATGAAGGGGAGGTGATCGACGCCAGCGAAGCACCCAAGCGACTGCTCTTTATCCCGGGTAGCACAGTCGAGATGGACGGCCCTCAGAAGGCGCAGAGATGGTTAGTTCTCGTCCACGCCTAACAATATGCCTCTTCTCACTCCTCAATAGGGCACACTATCAAATCGCAACCTGCAGTGACAAGCGGTTCTTATTCCGTGACGTTGGGTTGGAGATCTACTTCAAGGACAGCCGGTCGCTCCTGGTCGTGTTTTTGGACAAGAAACGGCGGTCTGAGATGGAACGGAAGATCTCTAGTATCATTGAGCGCAATAATACGGACCCGTCGGTTGCTGGAGGTGCACCTAGGACACCGATCTTTGGTCGAATGGGGTCTAGGGTCTTGTCCAACTTCCGCGCAGACGAGTTGTCTTCGGCTACGAGGCGATGGCAGGCCAGGGAGATTAGTAATGTAGGTTTTTTCTTTCTTTTCGTCTCTTGTTGGGTGTTTGCGTGTTGACTGAGTTGTGATAGTTCACCTACTTGAGTATTCTCAACCAGATCTCTGGACGGACGCCGAGCGATGCGACGCAATATCCCATCTTCCGTGAGTATTACCATGCCTCGCATGGACTTGTTGCTGACTGCCTTGTAGCTTGGGTTCTGTCCGACTACACATCCACGACGTTGGACTTGACCGACCCCGCGTCCTACCGAGAGTGCGTGCACTGCCCATCGACCAGCACGAGATTTTCACTAACTCTTTCTCTAGCCTCTCCAAACCGATGGGAGCTCTCTCACCCGAACGACGCCAAGCAGCCGAGACCCGGTACAGCAACCTTCAAAGTGTCGAAGAAGAGCCCTTCCATTACGGAACGCACTTTAGCTCCTCGATGATCGTTTGCCACTTTTTGATCAGGCTGGCGCCGTTTACGCATATGTTCAAGACGCTTCAAGGTGGAGATTGGGATCTTCCGGATCGGTTGTTCAGGTGAGGACGAAGTCTCCGTGGTGAAATGTTTACCTTGTCACACTGAATGATTGGTATAGTGATATGGCTCGCGCGTATTCGTCTGCTGCGTATGACCTACGGGGAGACGTCCGTGAACTTATCCCGGAATTTTTTACTTGCCCCGAGTGAGTCTTCCGAGAGCTTTCCTTGTTGGATCACGCTTAACGGAGGATGCCACTAGGTTCCTCGAGAACTATCAGAATCTCGACTTTGGTGTTCTGCAACAAACGGGGGAAAGGATCCACGACGTCAAGTTACCTCCATGGGCTCGAGATGATCCCCTCCTCTTTATTGTGATGAACCGGCGGGTACGTCTCCCTCTTGAGTACCGATGATGCCTCGGATGTACTGACTGAAGTTGCGCAGGCTCTTGAGAGCCCGTATGTCAGTGAGAATCTGCCACAGTGGATCGACTTGATTTGGGGCTGTAAACAGCGCGATGCTGAATCGCTGAATGTGTTCCATCCTCTCTCGTATGAGGGCTCAGTTGGTGCGTTTGTTGCGCGTATACTCTGTTAGGATTGTTCATAATCTCTCTTTTAGATCTCGACAAGATCAAGGATGACCTTGAGAGGGAAGCGACTGTGGGCATCATTCACAACTGTCGGTCTTTCCGCTGTCATATCGTTTCCCTAATACTGACATCACTGCTAGTCGGTCAGACGCCTCGAAAGCTCTTCAACACACCCCATCCGGAGCGGTTCAACCACGGACTTTCCACCTTGCCTATTGGGACTTTGCACGGTATTGAAGAAGACCCGCATTTGTTGACGCAGAATGAGAGGTGTTTCAGAGGTATGCATTCGGTCGATTGGTCCTCTCTTGCTGCTCACTTGGCTGAATATCTGTCGATAGATCTGGGGCCTAATGCACCCGTTCAGAGTTTCGTTCTTGACTCGTACAGCGATAAGCTTTTGCCATGTGCTGAAGGGACACTGATCATTCCCCGGCATCCCCACGAACACATCGAGTGGAGCCCTGAAAATCCCGAACTGCGGGTACTTGTTGACAACAAGGTTGGTGCACTTGAGGACACGATAATAGGACGGCTCGCTAACTAAAAAGTAAACCAGATCGTCCAAGTCATCGAACACACATTCACCACCTGCGCCGCCTTTGCAGACCCCTACATCCTCGTGACAGGTTCGAGCGATTTCACGGTTCGACTATGGAAAGTCGTGCGAGGGCACCACGCGAGCGACCTCCGGCTGTCGTTGTCGAATATTATGCGGGTGCATACGAATGATGTGTTGTGCGTTACTGCGTCGAGAGCGTGGTCGGTTGTTGTGAGTGGGTCGAGGGATGGGAGTGCGGCGCTTTGGGATTTGAATAGGGGGACGTATGTTCGGTCTGTTTGGCATGGTGGGGAGGGATTGGAGGATGAGAATTGTGCGGTGCATCTTGTTGCGGTTAATGAGAGTACGGTGGGTGTTTGTTTGTTTGTTCTATCCGGTTCATTGGATTCGTTCACAACTAAGATGCTGACATTTTTCGTATTCGTATTCGTACAGGGCTACATCGCGACCTGCTCGCGCCTCAAACTCTGCCTGCACACGATCAACGCTCGTCCAATCGCCACCCTCGACTTGACCTCCGAACCCTCTTTCTCGTCTCTCGTACCGAGCATCTCCTCCCTCGCCTTCCACGAGCGGGATTACTCGCATTTGGGTATTTTGGCTACGGGTGGACCTGATGGGACTATTACGCTGAGGACGTGGACGGCGGATGGGACGCCTGTTGGGGAGAAAGCGCAGTGGGAGTTTTTGGTTGTGAGGGTTTTGAAGGCGAGGAGTGGTGGGAAGAGTGGGAGGAGGAGTGGGGTTAGTGCTTTGAAGTTCCTTGGGTGCGTTTTTGGTTTTTGGTTGTTTCTTGTGATTTGAGACGACGGACTGATTGATTGATTGTAGGGAGAGTTTGTACCATGGAGAAGAGACTGGCAAGTCGTTTATTTGGAGTTTACCTGAGTAGAAGGGGTCTGGTTTTCTCCTGTTGAGTTCAAGCCGGCTTCAGTGTATATATGTATTTTCTCCCTCGTTCAGTCGTATTGCTTTTTATGTTTTTGTAAATTGTAGATGGATGTTACACCCTGGGTTACTACTACTACTACTACTATGTGAGATTGAGTCGCATTGATAAGGCATCTTCGCCGTCCCCGTCTGCATTTTATCATTGTGTTAGCCGTCGTGTCGCATTGAACATTGAAAAGGCGGGTGGGTATCTGGTCTAAATGGAAGGGGAGGGAGAACGTACAGTACTTTTTCTCCACCTTTGCAACTGAGAACCCTAGTGTGTCGCGATAGAGGGATATGGCTGCGATATTGGATTTTCGGACGTGGAGTGAGACGTATTGGGCGTTGTAGATTTCTTGCATTGCTTTTTCTGTGTGGGTGTGGTTAGCGCGGGTAGGAGAGGGGACGAGGAGGAGGAGCAAGTGTAACCAAATGCGGGTACGGGCAATGGCGGGTACAACCAACGGCGCGTACAACTAACGCCAATTACAAAGTAGAACAACTCACGGGAGAGCAGCATCAACTTCTTTGCGAGTCCTAGACGTCTGTAGCTTCGGAGGACGGAGATGGAGTTGACGTGTCCGTGGGTGGGTTCTTTGCCGTCTTCTGAGGGGTCTTCGCTGTGGGGTTGGGGTTGGTGGGGTTAGTTGGAATGCGAGGGGAGGGGGATGTGATGTGATGTGATTTGATGGGCGGGGGATGCGAGGGCGGGGGTATGCCAGGGACAGAAGGGTTGCTGGGGGATAAGGTAGAAGGGGCGGGGGATGCGAGGCGCGATGGACAGAAGGGATGAGAGATACGAGGGATGAGGGATACAAGGGACCAGGAATGCAAAGGGATGGGGGAGAAGAAAGGAAGGAAAGAACGTACATTTTGGCCAGTACGTATCCCACAATCCGGCCCTTTTCGTCTTCTGCGACGAAGGAGATTTGGGGCCATGTCATGGCGTGGTATATCCCTGTTTGGGTCGAGCGATAGATGGCGCGGGTCCGAGTGGATGAGTGGGGAGCGGATGTGGTTGTGCCAAGGTGGATGGGTGGTCGTGCCAGGTAGGGTTGGAGGCGTGCCCGGGTAGTGGTAGGTGTCACACAGGGCAGGGCGCATGAGAGGCAGGTCAAGATTGAGTAAAACCATAGTAACAGAAGTACGGGAGATTGGACATTGGAAGGTGAGATGGGACGCACAGAATCTCATCACATAATTCTCCGGCAAGTTCTGCAGGTTGGCAGCTTGCATTCCTGCTAGGTCGTCTACCTGCACCCAACCACATATCGAAACTTGCAGTCAACACTAGTCGTTACATATGATTGAAGTATCAGCGATTGTGGACTTACGCGTGCTAGTCGGATGTTCATTGCTATCCTTTCAAATCAAGTCCCTACGGGTCTCCTTGTTAAATCTCCTTGGTTGGTTGGATGGGGAGGGCGTGGGTTGGGACTAGAGGGTGTAGTGGGATGATATGAGGGGATCGGCTGCGGGTGGTGGTGGTGGATAAGAAACTTGAAGCGCCTGGACGGATTAGGGGAGTGGGTGCCCCTAACCCTATCTGTGTGGGAATCTTGGTTGGCAGGTGATAGGCGCCCAGGTTTCGGGATAGGGGTGTCGCCTCTGGTCCATTGGAAGTCTTTGGTGGTGGTGACGCTGAATTTTTGTGCTGCTTACATTTCTGATTGGCATTTGTGACTGAGGGTGTTAGGAAAGGTAGTGTGGGTGGATATGGATACTGTACGGTTTGGTGAGAAATGAGTAAAGTCCACTCGGATATGGCTGGTTCTGGGACGATGATTTAAGGCAAAGCCTCGCGCCTGCGTTAGCCTAATTGGTGGAATTTACTTATGCTAAGGTGTGTATAAGATTCGTTGGCGATTCACGAGAAACTTGAGCGCTCGTCGCTACTAGGGCCGTCTGATCGCGATCATGATCTCTTCGCTCGTTATCTTATCTTATCAGAGCCCAGACGCGTCTAGGGGTATCCGATGCGTCATCGCGCCCGACGATATCCGATCTACCCTTGAACCTCTACATCCACCACCAATCTCTACGGTAAGCGATCTACTCTTGTCGTCCAAAATCCCTAGCTAACGTTTCCGGAGTCAAAAGACCATGACTCGCTCTTTCTTCGTCGGCGGCAACTGGAAGCTCAACCCTACCAGCCTTTCGGCTGCCAAAGCCCTCGTCGAGGCTTTGAACAAGGCTGATTTGGATCCTTCCACCGGTAAGTAAACGGATCGTCGCTTTGGCTCGGTCTTTATCGTCAGATTTGATTGGTGTCGGGGTGTTGATTGATATATGTGTGTGGATGTGGATGTGTAGAGGTCGTCGTTGCGCCCCCTGCTTTGTACTTGCTCCCTATCCAGGAGATCGCCGGCAAGGCTGTCAAGGTTGCTGCTCAAAACGCGTACTTCAAGGAGTCTGGTGCTTTCACTGGAGAAATCAGGTCAGTGCGAACACCAACCAACCAAACCAATTATCCAAACCGTGCGATGAGGGGTTTTTCGATTCTGACTGTACTTGTGTTTATCTTATAGCCCTAAGCAGATCTCTGATGCTGGTATTCCCTACGTCATCCTCGGTACGCTTTAGTGGTTCTACTATGCCTAAGGGCAGATAGATAATCGCTGATCGTCGATTCTAGGTCACTCTGAACGCCGCACCCTCTTCCACGAGACCTCGGAAGTCGTCGCTTTGAAGACCCGCGCTGCGTTGGACAACGGGTTGAAGGTCATCCTCTGTATCGGCGAGACCCTCAAGGAGCGCGAGGAGGGCCGTACCGCCGCCGTCTGCGAAGAGCAACTCAGCGCTGTCGTCAAGCAGTTGAAGGAGGAGGACTGGAGGTGCGTTTTACTTACTATTCTTTTCCTCCTTTTGGAGAGAATCCGGGAACATCCTATCTAATCTAAAAAAAACAATCACTAGCAATATCGTCATCGCCTACGAACCCGTTTGGGCAATTGGAACCGGCAAGGTGGCCACGACCTCCCAAGCGCAGGAGACGCACGTTGATGTCCGCAAGTACCTCGCCACCGCTGTCTCCCCGAAGGTCGCGTCCGAGACGCGCGTCATCTACGGTGGAAGCGTCAACGCTGCTAACAGCAAGGATCTGGGTACGTATTTTCCCGTGTTCTGTATCTTGCCATCTCATCGCTCATTGCTTGCTTTGGTTCCCCTCCTTCAGCCTCCCAGCAGGACATTGACGGTTTCCTCGTTGGCGGTGCATCCCTCAAACCCGAGTTTGTCGATATCATCAATGCTAGGAAGGCATAAGAACCTTCTTTTTTGGAGGTTTGGAAGGAAGTAAAACAGTCAATGCCCGCCCCCCGCGGCTTCTGTGTATGTATGTACATTATTCAATATTCAAGTCAGTATAGAAGATTTCTCTCGATGGCATTACTAGTGACGTTGGAAAACACATACACGCGTTCCCTATGGGTTCGAAACCCAGGCCTGTTCGTCGAGTTTCGTCTCTGGGACAGGAGCGGCCAATCGAGCGATAATCAATATCATATCAGATCAAGGTTTTCTTACGTCACCTCAACCCAATAAGTAAAGGCCAATCAATCGATCAAAATATTTCCCAATTCCGAGCCCCTTTTTTGCCATTTTTTCTTCCGCTACTCCACAAAAACTCTGCAGGGTTCTCCAGAAATATCCTACACCGAGCTCAACCCCTGCGATGGGTTACGTCCCTACTGCCTCAACGCCAGTTCAAGTTGCTACTCCCTCGACGACAGTTCCCAACTCCTCAATCTCAAGCTCAAATTCAGCAGCACCACACACGCTACACCTCAATGGCGACGAGTCGGACAGCGCACTCCACGTTATCAGCGACACGCCCTACGGTGGACGAGGCGCTTTCGCCACCACCAATATCCCCAAGGGTACGCTGGTGCTGACGAGCTCGGCGCCATACGCCAGCGTCGTCCTTCGCAAGTTTCGGAAGGAGGTGTGTAGTTGGTGTTTTGGGTATTCGTTTGAGAAGGGGAAGAGGAAGTGGGATGTTAGGTTGGGAGGTGAACGGGATGGTGATGGTCGTGGCACCAATAACTCGAATGGAAAGAACAACACGACGACGATGGCGACGACGATTTTCTTTTGTAGCGTCGAGTGCCGCGAGCGGTGGGTTGGGGATTATCGAGGGCCGATGATGACGACGACAGTAACGACGCCGGGGGAGTCGGGTGAGGGTGATGGTGTTGACTTGTGGTTCCAGCTTTACTCGTTATTGGAGAGGACGTTTGTTCAGGAGACTGCTACCGCATTATCCAAGTCCAGATCCAAGTCGAATTCGAAAGCCAAAGCCAAATCAACTGCTAATCGCAATAACAGTCACACAAACTCGACTTTGAGCACGACTTCCGAGACGTTGATTCACCGTCTCGAATCGCTCACGGCTGACCAAGTCTCGAACGACGTCGTTAATAGTCTCTGGAGTCTTGCTGATGTGGTGTTTGCTGATGAGAAGGGTGTTCTTGCTGTTCTTAGGCAGTGGGCGTTGGGAGGAGGGCAGTATTCGTCTTCGTCCCCCTCTGATACGTCCTCCTCGTCCTCATCCCACGGCTCAGAGGGTGGTGGTGGTGATGGAGGTAATGCTGGTGGTAATGCTGGTGGCCACGATGGCGTCTTCCTAACAGAATTCGAACTCGACTGTGCGCGATTCGTTCTAGACGGGTTGTTCAGACGTGCTTTGCAGGAGTATCGACAATCTTCGGTCTCGTCATCGTCTTCTACTACGACTACTACTCAACCGGACAAGAATGGGAGCAACGCGGACCCCGATGTCATTAACGACGGCAAGACGAGGAAAACGGGTCTAGGGTTATGGACGGATCTCCTAAAGCTGCAGGACAACGAGGTGAACAATGTCCGTTGTAGACCTTCCATCCTCGCTTCGTTCATTCGGGTGTTTGGGTTCCTCAAACATGTCGTGTTTATGACCTTTAAGAATTCACGACAACGACAACGATCTTCACGACAAGGACAACGATCTCCGGCCGCTTCGAAGACGAATGGGAAATGTGTGGATATTAATGGTGTGGGGGCCAAGGTGGATGGAGTCGTGGAAGCGGGCGAGAATAATACCTCAAATGGTTCGGCCGTAGTCAACGACGACTCGGAAAAACCGTCGTCCGAGTTCTCAGTCTCATCGCCCATCCTCGACATCCTGCGGAAGTACCTCTGGCAATCGGGTGCGGTACGCGCGATCACTGCGAGGGACCATAGTAATGTGTTTGGGATATGGGAGCAGGCGGAGGAGGAGGAGGATGCGGATTGTGAGATGTTGGGTTGGGGGATGTATATTTCGGGGGCTTACTTTAATCATGGTGTGTGCTATGTCTTCCCCCCCCCCCCCCCTTCCTCCCTCCCCTCACTCACTTAAATACCTACTTACCCCCACTCTCCCACAGACTGCTCACCCAACCTCAAAAAACGGCGCTCCGGCCGCTCGATGCAGTTCTTCACGATCAGGGACGTCCAAGCTGGTGAGGAGCTGTGCACGAATTATATTGATATTGGGGAGGAGTGTAGTGTTGAGATGAGGAATGAGGAGTTGGAGAGGGAGTGGTTTTTTAGGTGTGCGTGTGGGCGGTGTGTGAGGGAGAGGGGGTTACGGGAGGGGTAGAGGAAGGCGGGGAATGGAGAGGGAGGAAGGGAACAAAAACTGAATTCTAGACTGGAGTCCTATGATCGTCACCGTCCTCCGACTTGGTTTTCTTGCTCGATTTTGGTTTTTTCTCGTTCGCTGACTGTCTCTTTTTCACTCGTTGACTGTTTGCTTGTTCGCTTGGCTTTTATCCTTTCTCGCTCTTTCTTTCTCTTTTGGGCTGTTTCTGGGTTCAGTGGGTGTTCATGATACATCGTCGTATAGTTTGGGTTCATAGTCTATCGTCGTATAGTTTGGGTGTTCATGGTTTACCGGTTATATCAGCGTACGCATGGGCAACGGGGCTTGTTGGGAACGTTCTTTTCCTTCGTTTGGTGGAAATGGCATTTGGTTTTGTCAGCATGGAACGCATAGACTACCGTTTGTATTTTCTATCGTATTCCTCACTTTGGGCGATGACTCTTTTTCTTGGGTGGGGGGTTTCTTTGTTCACCTGTATGTTCTGGTCTTCTTTGGGGTTTTCGGCGGTTAAAATAATAACACGTCCCATGGGCGTTTCACGGAGCTATTTTCTCTAGAATTTAGGACTATCGTTTGTCTCTTCTCGGGCGCTGGGCCCTTGCGATGGAGTTATCGATTTCATGCCCTCGGGCGCTAAAGCAGAACATGGCACAAAAGTCTGGAGAAGGCCGTACTTTCGAGTATGGCCCACAGAAGTATGTCGAACGTGAGGAGGAAGAGGTCTTATCGCCCGGTGCCCAGCGCACGCTGGCGTCAATTTCGGCCGTTGCCATCGGGCGCTTAAGCGTATTGCAGTCAACCGTCTCGCCCTCTGCTCAAAGAACGAATGCTTCTTCCACTATTTTGCGTTTGTTTAACATCCGTCTTTCCTCCGGCTTGCGGAAGTTGGATAAAACTACAACAGGTGAGAATTACAACGGACAGTATTGCGTGAGCATCGTCCAGTCTGACTACGGGAGACTAGTAGGAAGTCCTATGGAGGAAGGTTGGCCACTAGCGTCCTGAAGGGACATCAGATAGACGACAACACGAATTTAAATACGCCAGCGAATAGCACATCGGGCAGCAGACTCAGGGGATGGATCCGGAAAGTCGGATTGAAGCCTTGTCACTGGGAAAGTTGTGTCAGGACATACCGAAACGGGTACAGGGGATGTCAGACTGCGCGTATAAGCGGATTAGGCATCGGAACCAGATGGGCCCGAGGGCGGGGGCACGAGGGAGAGGACGTCTTCGGAGACTCCTGTGGCTTTGCCCCCAACGCAAAGACTGTCGGAGACCATCATCAACAGGTAGACCCTTTCCATGCGTTCCTGTCAAGTCGGGAATTAGCGTTGAGATGACCGTATTTGGGAAATTTGAAGGTTGTTACTGACGGGAGACCAGTCAGATTTAATAACCTCTCCTGTCGCTCCTGCTACTACTAGTAGCTTCATTTCCGCAGTGATAATGTCCTCGAGAACGAAGACTGTCGCTCCGTCAGCGAACTGTCGCAAAGAGATGGTAAAGCGGAAAGATAGAGACTCGGATATCTGGAAACCTTACTTGAGCGTCTTGGGGCTCGATTGGCGAGTCCATCACAAATCTTTCTGGTGTTGCCAAGCTTTGCAGAGACTCGGAGAGGGGAAAATGCTGGACGACACTTACAAGGGAGGGGGGTTTAAATCATAGAAACGGCGTGGCTGGAGCATGTCTATCAATCTCTGAAGCTCGTTTCAGCGGGTTTAATGTCCTACACGCGGAAGAAGCACATACAGTGGACTATAAAATGCATAAGCGCCGGAGTGGCAAAAGCGGAAATTGATGGCATCATGCCAGCGTGCACCAGGCAATAAAGAGGCAAACATCAAGTCAACAATGTCTCTTCGAAACGTCTTCCTCCTCATGATCGCCATGCATTCGTGGGCCATACGCTGTCTCACAAGCAGCAGGCTGGTGCTGTTACCCTCAATATGGAGAACTATCTACTGGAGTTTTCATAGCTGGTGGCATCGCTATTGGGTTCCCACAGACTGGAAATCATGGACATCCAAGGGACAACTCAAAGGCCTACAGGAAGAGCTTGCGGCCACAGCAAAGCGATGGTCTGACTTGGCGCCATTTTTTGCCAGTCACAATTATTACCTTTACGAACGCACGATCGGGCATCGCACCTATCCCTCCTCCACTGGGCCCACGCGCTTTCAGGGTGTTGCTGAACCTCCTTTCGCTCGTCCGAAATTCAAAAACGATGAAGACTTGGAGTTCACCGACATCCAGGTGCGTTTCGGAGAAGCATCCAGGACATAAGTATATCAATCCAGCTTCCTTGATGTGTTCTTCCAGGGTTGTAGGGTGTGGGCAGCGCGTGATGGCGCAGGCCGGGAGGTCGTCATCAAGTGTGTAGTTGCCTCGAGCCAACGAGTCCGATCTATACCTGACCTACAGCCAGGCTCGTTGCAGCCCAATGGGAGGAGTCCGACGAGCTCAAGATCTATCGTCGCATTAACACTGCTGAAGCGAGAGCAGACCCCCGCAACCGTACACTGCCAGTTCTGGACTACATCCACTACAACGGCCTGGTATTTGTTGTTACTCCACGGTAAGTCTACCAGTTCGTCTACTCTTCGCTCGAAATTCCTGACGTTCCTTTAAGGTGGGGTCCAATTATGGTCGGAGCACCGCCTTTCACCAAGGTTGAACAGGTGCTCTCAATGGTGGAACAGTATTTCGAGGTAACCTCCTCTTTGCACACGCCCCTTTGGAAACGTGCTCACGCACTCTTGATCAGGGTCTGGCATTTCTCCACGAGCATAGAATCGCACATCGCGACATCACGAGCGGGAATATGGTGATGAACGTCCTCTACTACCTCTATCGCAACCGTGACACCTTCGAGGACCCTACAGAATCATCCACCGTCCGGTATGCATTCATTGACTTCGAGGCTTCTGCAATACTTCCCCTCGAAACCGACATCGAGAAAGTGGAAATGACACGGGACATGAGGACCGGAGCCAGAAATGCCCGCCTGAAGAGAGGCGAATCTAATCCATTCAAAGATGACGTCGCTATCCTTGGAAATATTTTGCAGCGCTGGAATCGTGTAAGTACCCTCCACCCCGGGACCACTCGCTCAAAGTCATGACTAGACTCAACGGGTTCCAGGTTATCGAAGATGTCGTTCCCGAGATAGGGCCATTCTTTGACAATCTTGTGAAGGACGGCTGCACCAATCCGCCAACCGCCGCCGTGGCCTTGAAGAATCTGCAGGACATCAAATCAAGGTTAAACCATGACCAACTGAACAAGCCTCCGTCCGGTCGAATATGGGACAAAGGTATGCATTGAGCTTCCACCCGTCGTTAGACTGTCTGTTGATTTCTCATATCTTTCATCCAGGCAAGGTTGAGCCGTACCCGTACGAGCGGTACCAGGTCTAGTACGTACCCGTAATGGCAACTGAGGTACATGCATTCAATGTACTGCAATCTTGTACTGAGACGATCCCTGCCAGTGAGATGCTGTGGCTCGGAGGTCACACTGGGAGCAAACGAAAGCCAGTCCTCATTCAACCTTAGAAGTTCGTTTGGTCTATCACCGTGGTAGGTGGCGGGGAAGGATACTACCCTCTACCCTTCCCTCTCCCCTCCAAGTTGGCGCCCTTACAAACGTTTGTCATACCCCACCCCGTCTCCCTGATGCATGGAGTTATTTACGAGCGGAGACGTCGAGGTGAGGATTTGTGTATGTTATACCAATGTTGGGCAGGGATGCATGCCAGAGGGTGTGATTTCGAAATAGAGTCGGTTTGATCCAACTCGAAAGTGCATTCTGTCCAAACTTGACGTAGAAGAAGGTAGTTAGAACCTCTGGACTGTCAATGGTCACTGGATTCCAGGACACGAACGTAGGGGAAGTCTAATTTTTCATAGATTAGGAGATTGGGTTGGTTTCGATTCGATTCATGCGAAATCATCGTCCTATACGTATACGCACCCCGCATTCATGGGTGATACGGGGTGATACGGACGAGGGTTGACGTTGTCGACTTCGTCCGCCGTTGAAAGCAAGAACGTGACGAGAACAATATGTTCGAAAATGCCGTCATCCTCCCTTCCACTAATTCAATACGAACAACGTCTTATGAAGTTCTAGGTAGGTTCAACGAGCATGTGGAATTCTCCGGGCCTTCAGATAAGTACAGATGTACAGGCACCCTGGAATGTGGAAATGAAATCGATATCATGCAAAACGAGAGGACGGAGATTGGGGTACTGGTACTGGGAATTCGTACCGGTGGGCCATGGTATGTCTTGAATTCGTGACGTTACTGGCAGAAGATAATATGACTTCCACTTCCATGTTTGCTTTGAAGAGAACATTATCGTGTCCAGCAACCTGTGTTGCATCAGCCCTCGGAGAACCAAGCTCGGAGGATGGTAAACAGCCAAGGAGCGATGTGCGGTGTTCTGAAGTCTGAACGCCGCTATCTCATATCTGGGTCGCTATCGCGTACATCTCTCTCCAACGACCCCACACCTCAGTCCCATTGGCGGATGATGTACCCCAAGTCCCAACCCAAGAAATCGAAATTGGAAATTCAATTCAATTCAATTCAAAATAAAAAACGAGGAGTCCACACGCATGCCCTTGCGAGCCTGGTGTTTTTCGTCTCGTCTTAGAACTCGACTCCAGTGCTTCAAGTTATCGTCACCTCACCCAACCTCTCTCGAGTCTCGTCACCCAGTCGAGGACACGACGGTAATGTGACTTGTAACCCGAGTAAACGACAGAATCCTAAACTGGAAGATTTCAGACACCAAGTAAGAAGACAGCTGCAGCATGCACCTAGTCGACTTTGGGTTTCTGAATCATGCAGTGTTATCCACAGTACGGGGTTGGGAACAGCCGCCATGGTGCACCGAGATACGCTTCATTCCATGGGACACCCCCCACCATTCAAATTCACTTCGAAACTTGAGAAGATGACCGAAAGAGTTTAGCGCGCGGTGGCTGCCAGTGCCAGTGCGGTGGTGGTGGCTTTTCATTTAACGAGGACTCTTGACCCAGTTGGGATGAAAGTTCTCTTGTCCTTGTGAGTGTACTTATGTGGTTATTATTCTCTTGTCCTTGTGAATGTATTCTCTTGTCCTGTGAATGTCACTCGAAACATGAAACCTTGAAAGGCGTGCAGTGCGGTGCGGGTGGTTACAGTCGGAATTCGGGGTTCGGGAACCAGCGGTACATGCATACACGGGGGCCTCCACAATTTCATATCGCACTTGAGACTTAGACTCGACACGAGGCCCGCGGTGCTATAATGGGAATTCCAAACTGGTCCTTTTCGTCGTTGGAGGACTCAGCTGAATAGGAATTGCTCCTCCGGGCGGACCTGGGCACCGTAGACAACGCTCCCACCCCGCCGCGTCCCAAGGGGCGCGGCAACATACATTGGGACTCGGGAGAACAGGACCCACCAACTCACAGACAGAATCGGACCATCCCGCCACGGACGAGACATTCGGAGGACAGGACCCCCCTCAACTCATACGGGGACCAAACTCTTGACGGAGAACACACACAAATGACTGCACTGGTTGCGGTTTCTGGGCTTTCTGAATCGGGTAAAGCACTGTTCGCAGTGCACTCGCTGGCGCCCGTTTAGCGGCGAGGCTCGCGCTCGTACTACTACGGGCCCATAACCAGAGTTGCTGGCCCTAGCGCTATAGGAGTGGATGGTACGATGAGGTGACATCGCAAGAGGTAAAAGGTTCTGTGCCATCACATCCACCCCATCCACCAACAGCCACCAAGACATTGCTGACATCATCCCGAGAAATCGGACATTTCCAAAAAGAGCCTTTTGACCTTCACCCCTTTAACCCTGTAGCACTACGTGCCCAGGAATAATAGGTAGGAATCAAGTGTGTTGTTGTAACCTCTTGGAGAACTTTTGTCCTCGGAATTTTGGTGGAAGATGAACACTGGCTCATGAACCGAACAGGCATCTCCTCTCCACAGCATTTCCACCAAGTGCTGTGAAGAAGGAAGGATGGAAAAGGTCAATAAGCGCTCACCGTGGCAGAAAAGGATAGATGGAAGTCCATCTCGACTCGGCGCGACGAGTCAGACAGATAGGGTTGATAACCTTGCCCTCGGTAAGTGTCGTGGACGGTGGATGTGATAGGGACGCTGTCATGGAATAGAACAAGATAGCTGTCCAGCAGTCAACAAACAGTCTATCGCATATCCATCCAGGACAAATGACTACACTCGTCACCAACACTGGGCATAATCACCCAAACCAAAACCCTGCTCGACACCTAATTACCGCCTATGCTCGTTCCCATTCCCACCCAAAGCGAAAACGTGGTAAACGCGTGTTCAGCTCAGATAACCGATACCAGTGACGCCGATAGTAACAGTATAGAGTACGTACCCTACTTACACACCTTTCCACCGTCATCAGTGGTCGTTGAGTAATGCCTTGAGCGCTTGAGCATCTTTAGGCAAAGATGGCGTGTTGTATGGTGGGTTTGGAGGAAGAGAAGTACACTTCGAAGCTTCGGGGACAGAAAACAACTCGTGTATAGCTCCTGATATGGTGCGCTTCCCCGGACAAGAAGGGGAAGCCGTGTTGTATTCCGACGTCGCGAGGTACAGGTGGGCAGGGTGTGAGATTAGGTGGGAGCCTATGGAAGGTAGAACTCATTAATACAAGCGTAATTTTCAGAGCATACGCAAAAAACTCACCGCTACCAAGGAACGAAAGAGTCCCTTTTGGAATTGGGAACTTTTGGGGGGACGATATGGCGCCTCTTCACCCAAGATGTGACGTCCAGGGTGCAGAATAGCGTAAGATACCCGGGTGGCTGGTTTGCCTGATACACCGGACTCTACGACCGCCAATGCGCGAGCGGTGCACCTACACGATCACAGGCGTATGTTCTTGGGCATCCTTTCCCAGGACCCCCGAAAACCAACTATGAGGTCTCTGCTGGAAACAAAATCTGTACCGGGACGCTGGTCGGGCGAAAACCGCCGTTCTGTATCCGGGTTTGCCAGAAAGCTTCTACCAAAATCCGAGATCTGTACCCGGGTTAATGGGAAGATACCTCAAAATATCGGAATAAATAATGAAAAAATCGAATATATTCTAATTAGCGCGAAATCGCCTACTCTACGTCGCTTTCTTCGTCGTCGTCGCTGTTCTTCGCGGCAATCTTCTTTACAACAGTCGAAATCACATCCTTGCTCGCTTTAATCTTCTGAAAGATGTCGAAATCAGCGGGGAGGACTTGAAGATCGCCATTTGGCATCGTCCGAGGGGTTGAAAGAAGGGAGATTAAGAAACGGAAATGCGGTATCAAGGCGAACTTGTTGACATCGAGGGCTGCGAGTGGTTTCTTCGTGTCCCATTGGTGCTCGAAGAGTTGAACAGCAATGTTGGAAGCTGAAGTGATCATGGTAATCGACTACATCCATGCGATTCTCATTCCCTCGCTCTTGCGCGCTTGTCAACGCGCTCATTGTCGTGCACATGTGCAGCAATTAGAAGCAGCAGGATATGGGAAGAGGATTCCGGAATCTGGGATAGGTGACGTGTTGACGAGTGACCTCAGGTGACCTCCTGATTTCACGATTATACCTTAAGTAACTGTTTTTTCCTTAGAAAATCAGATTTATTCTTTTTATTCTTTGACTTGGGACATACTTATCAGATCCAATAAAATAAAATATGTCGAAGATGGGGTTACCCCCGTGTGGTCTGCACCCGGACTGGCGGAAGATACCTTTGGCTTGGCATCTGCGTACCCGGACCAATGGCCAGATACCTACTTGATGAGACCCCCCGTTCTGTACCGGGGACGGTAAGATAGATACCTGCCCAAAACCCCCCTTCTGTACCCGGGTTCCGCAGAGACCTCATAGTTGGTTTTCGGGGGTCCTCCTTTCCCTCTACCGATCCCTTGATGAGCGTGTACGACAGCGAGATCGTCATCATTCGCATCAACGACCTTCATGTTTTCCTCGAGTTCCACTAGCACTAGTAGAAGTTCGAATAGTTCGCCGGCACCCTGGGTGTTGTCGCAAGTACCACACGCACATTCCGACCTCGCATCGCAAGTTCCCAAGGCGAAGCCACCAAATGCCCGAGTCCAATCCAAGCTCGACGTTTCCGGGTAGACCTTTCTAAAAACAAAGTTGGTTCCTTCTCTTTCGAGGCTAGTTGAGTTGACAATTCTGGTATCCCTGTCGCAAAGGAAAAGCTTCGCCCTGATCTACGGAATTTGTGTGTCAAGCTTTGCCCAGACCCTGCGGTGGCACGGCAATTCCTGATCGAGCAGCGGCTTTCGGATTCGGAAAGACAACGTGTGGTGTGCGTGGTGTTCAATGAATGGAAAGAACGATTTTAGAGTTGGAAGGAGAGCGCGTGTTTGGGTAGTCGCCCGCCTTGATGTGAAGGAAAGATGGAGAGCGCTGGAAAGCACAAGTGAACTGGCTTGGTTTACACCTTTGCGAGGTCCACGAGGACCGGGTACGTCGAGACTTGGTAGTACAACCTCGTCACACGACTACATAATAGGCGCCGGAACCCTATTGGTTGTTCAGAGATTCACAGGACGAGCGAGCGTGGCCAATAGCGTTAAATCCCTGATATTGAAGAAAGGCAGCATATGAATAATAATATAAGGAGCCCTCACGACAATACTTTTGGTACAACATGGGATGGCAGGTTCGCGTCTGCCCTCAAGCCTCTACACCCTGCAAGGTGTCGCGTGTACAGTCACCACCATGGACTATCAGTATTCCCCCGGGTAGCGGCCGTCATAGTACATGTGGGTGAAGTGGTATAATCGTAAAAGAGAAGGTCGAAAGTGCGTGGCCGGGCCAATTACTTGGAGAAGGCGCGGATGACCTTGGCGGAGATGTGGAGGAAGAAGATGGAGCCAATGAAGGATAGCGACAGGACGAGGACGATGAAGGGGTCACTGCATATCTTGTTAGATTGGTTTGTAGAAGAAATAGAAGAGATACGCACATTCGAAGACCTGGTGAATCGTCCGTGTAGAGTTTCAACATCGTATTCGATGAACCGCCAGCTCCTGCGGCCCGTGTCGAGTTTGGCCTTGCTGCCTGAGAGGCGCCTGCGGCACGCCGCCTACAAAACAAGTTTCAGATACCTCTCTACATTTGTCGAAACCCAAACTTGCTCACCGAATCTGCGCTGCAGGGGGTTTCGCAACCGAAGAAGTGCGACTGCCAGTTGGTCGGGGAGAATCAGAGTCGGACTATGCGCAAACCGTCAGTTTCACGAAACCATTAGCTTTATGTATGTACTCACCATCTTCAATTCAAGAATTAAAATAAAAGGAAAGAAAGGCAGTCGGCGGGTTAGGAAAGGCGAAAGTGTGCTGGCGCAGCGTTTTGGTTTCTGGCAACACTTGCATTCGCTGTGCGACGTAGCAAGTAATGACCGTGGGAATTTGGACAGCGTGATCGACACGTCGTCCTCCACGCGACCCCAAACCGCGACAAATCAAACTTGTTCCCAAGCTTCTTCCTCGTTCTTCCTGTCCTTGAGAAAACGGCTAAAATTCCCAGAACGACGTAGATCTCTCTGGGCTGTGGTAGATGCGCAAATAACTAGGCCTCTCTGGAAATGTTTTGAGATTTTCTGGACTTCCTCTTGGGATTATCGCGTCGGGTCGGTAACTAATTCCACTGCAAAGCCGGCGCTATCTCCTTTGGCCTCAGATCTGTGCTGCTATCGTCTCTGTATCTCGGGCTGCTCTTGTTCTACTTGGTCAATGCTAGAGAGCGCGTCGCTGCAGAATTTCCGGATTAGACACCCCTTCGCGATCGAATAGCCTGCTTCGAGGAAACTCTTATCCTTGTCTGTTCCCGTTCTTTCTTATCTCCCCGTACCTGGGTACTGGCGCGCCAATCTGTCTGACATATCTGAGCCCACTGTCAGCAAAAAGCCACAGGGGCTTCATTTCCTGGGTTGTGGTTCAAACCTTCATCATGGACCACCGAAAGCGAATGTATTTCTCCCTCTTTCTGGGGCGAACGTTCTTCACGTCAAGACCTCGTTCATTTCCTTTCACCCCTAGAGACCTGCTCTGACGCATTTTAGTGGTTCAATGACATGAATTTTATGTAACTTGTCTTTGAATGACTCGCTGTCTGTCGAAAGCAGCCATTGTCTGGAGAATACACCCCAATCTCGCAGCCATTAAGTGAATATTGACATCTAAGTCAAGTTCGAACCAGGCTCTGTGATAGGTTGGCCTTTGTTCTCGCCCACGCGCGCTCTAGAAGCCGTCTTTCGTCGTGCAGAGCACAATCGATAACGATTGTGGAGGCGATAAGCAACCGGAAGACGGATAGAAATTTCATCCACCGTTATAACCGAGGCGAACATTTGCCAATCCCATCTTCCTTCTCCAAGTATACACCGCCGAAAGGTTTGAATCATGGGATATGTGATAAAGAAGAAGAGACTTGCAAGACCTGTGAAAAGGTCCCTGAAAAGACGAAATAGACTCGAACTCGATTTTTGATTGCTGCGAGTTGGGCTTCTGATGGACGAGTTCTCGAGTTCTGTCGTCAGCGTCAGAGGCGGGAATTGGAACTTCTGACTTGTCGGATGAGCGAATGCGTGATGCGGAATAAAGGAATAAGTGGTGGCGGCCCTTGGGCTTCACATGAGGCTCACTTTGACTCGGATTTGGTTAGACCACGAGGAAATTTCCGATAATTAACAGCTGCAAGACAGGCGCACGCGAACACCCACATCGGAGTGTCTTTTGTGTTTCTAAATTAGTGTTTTAGAGAGTACCTGGTCAGTTGAGGGTGGTCGCTCACTTTATCCGAGTGTCCGATGCCTCGTCCTCAGACCTGGACCTTTCGATATCCCAACGTCAACGACTGCGAACGTTGGATCCATTATGCCAAACTACAAGAATAATGCGCATGTGGTGTGGATTCCATGCGAAACTGAGATAACAAACACACGTATGCAATGAGTGATTGATATGACGGAGCGAATTGCACAACAGAACAGAAAGCTGATAAGAAAAAGGGAACAGCGACTGGGCTTCAGTTGCCTACTATAACGAACAATTCAGTGGTGCTCGCGATAGGGAGGGAGGGGTGAGAATACCCTTTTCGGAAGGCCCCTTCACGTGCTCAAGACGGACCGGACTGCCACCGAACTTCCAAATCGAGGCGCCGACAAGCATTCCCCCTTGTACCCGTACTACGACGACGAGTATTCTAGGGAATGCAGGGGACCGTCGTGCTTCCCAGGACGACTTGGGGTCGTCAGCGTCGCCGACAGCCACAGAGGGAACAGCCAAGAGCGTCTGTGGTCTCCTCGCTTGTTTAGCAGCGAAATCGGATTCTGGAAGACGATGAATGTTGGTAGGCAGGGTATACCGTATCGCTCGAACCGCCGAAATGAATTGCTATGTACGGGCGTACTAGCCGGAGGCTCAGCACCGGAAGCGGTCAGGTTCTCGCAACAAGGGCTGGCCAAGCGGGAGAGGGAGCTCCATACCAGACTTCGAACTTCGATGGAAAACGTCACAACATTATTGCGAAATCCATGTGCGATGTTGGTCGTCAGCGCTGCTCTGGAATCGAGAAGAGCCGTTCGCGACTGCCCAAGGTTAGCTAGGTGAGCCTTTGTATTTGGGGTCGCCTCTGTCCTGATCCCGACCGGTGGCGATGCGTTGAACAGAAAGACATCTTCCCTACAATTGCGACGAGGCCATCGCCGTTCTTCACCGCCCTTCATTCTCGGAATATGAATGAACGAAGATGAGCGAGCAAATCTGCAGTTTACAGGAGGCTTTAATGCTGAAATTACAGGGCAGCGCGTACCGCGAACACGAGGTCGCCTCGATCCGTATTCCGACAGTTCAATCAGTCACGCGGAGTTGAGCCATTGTGCCCCCAGATCAGTTCGACCCACTCACCCCTCAAGCCAGTTTGACTCGGTTCCCCGTAACAAGGGACTTGAGAAACGACAGGGACCTGCGCATTCTCAGCGTCTGCCTTGAGAACCGTTCTATTCTGTCTTTCACAGTCACTCAGTCTGCCAGGGAGGCTATATTGCCGTCAATAGGCTGCCCACCCCCGCTATTACGCAAGAGGGTTGTAACAGGCTGGGACCGAGAGACCTTGGGATCTGTCCGAATCAGTCCAGGTCCATGGGGAATGCCCAAATCCGGATGGTCTGTGCCAAAGCGACAAATTGGATTTGTGTTCTGTGATCACGAAGCCAGGGACCTCCGGTATAGTTCGATTCGGAAGTCTCGATTTGACGATTCCCCTCACAGCCGATCCACCCTTTGGCTTAACGGCGGCCTCGTGCCCAGACTTAGCCATACACACTTATAATACCGCTGGCACGGGATGGTCAAATATGTCAGGACTTTCGTCCTTTCATACCCCACCCCCGACTTCACCGTACCGTCCCCCCTCCAACCAAGTTTATACCCGACCTTCACTGCCTTGTCCTTCGTCGACATTGACTCCCTAGGCTGAGCCTCCCCTACACCCGGTTGCCATCGACTGCATCCGGCCACTTGACTGCTCTCCTACGATGTTGGTTGCTGGTTCTACCTCTGCATGCGATGTCTGCCTAGAGCCGTTCGGTGGCGATAGCAAAGCACCGTGCACCATCACCTGCGGACATGTCTTCTGTGTAGAGTGCGTCATTTCCCCCCTCTTCCTTCGCGCGTCTTCTCACGATCTCTTCACTCCACGTCTTTAGCTGTCTCGCAAACATTAATCCCCCCTTGTGCCCTTTGTGCCGCAAGATTTTCGACCCGCGATTCACTGTCAAGCTTCACTTGGATCTCGACAACGTCCGGGCACCTCCCTCCCCCAACGGCGCTTCTGCACCCAACGATGATGACGCCCGCCGACTCTACCAAGCCATCTCGAACATTGCCGAGGCAGGGTGTTCGGAAACGCAGGTTAGGCAGTTGATTTCGGAGGGAAAGTCGTTCTTGCAGAAACAGCCAAAGGACTCCGTGCGTTATCCTTCGTTTCATTCAAGATTTTTGAGGGCTGACGTTCTGGTGCCAGTTTAAGGATCTCCGAACGCTTTACCGAATGGTCGCTTACCTTTGCGAGGTGAAGACGACCCTCCGCGCTCAGAATGCCGCAAACGAAGCACTCAAACGGGAACACGCTCAGCTCCAAGCCGAGAAGAACGAACTGGTTGCGAAGATTGAACAGCAGTTGCGAGTACGAGAACAAGAGCGCCAGGCTGCCTGGGCAACCGAGAGTAGTTTGCGGGATCACTGCACAAAAGCGCATGAAGCGTATGAGACTATGGTGCAGTAAGTGGGTTTATTCCCTTTCCGGGTTATTGTCGCTGACGTTGATGTAGGCAAGTAAGTTACGATTTACCGTCGCCTGAGGCTTTGGATTGATTTGTCCCCAGTACAATTACGTTGCGAAGGAGTGGACGAGGATGAACGAGGAGATTAAGAGACTGCGAGCAATTGCGAGCCAAGAGCGGTTGACTGGAAGTCCTTCGTTGTACGCCGACGCCCGGTACTCGCCTCACGAACTCGATCAAGCCAACCTTGTCGGCGCTGCTGTGCGAGACGAAGGTTCCATCCTCATTTCCCCGCTCCCTCAATTCACCACCAAGTTCAACACCACCATCTCGATGTTCAAACCCCTGCCGGATCTCGAAGAAACCGATGAGGAGGAATACGAGGATGATGATGACGATGAAGAAGCGAGCGAAGAATCCGAGGTTTCTGATATCGAGAAGGCGAAGTCACAGCCTTCGGCAGCCAAGTATCAGCCTACTGCCGCAGTGCTTATCCCCGCTGTCTGCAGTCATCCACGACACCCTCATTCCTGTGGCTGCGTTGCCCCTGCTGTTCCGTCTGACGATCTAACCAAGTCTCGGACGACTATGGCACGCGCCAGCTCTGAACAATTGTCCTCTGCCCCTCGCGTCGAGACGATAAAGCAGGAAGAACGTGCCTTCCAGATCCCCAGCCCCAGTGGAATCTCGAGAACTGCTCCGTACGCCGAACGTCGATCACGGTCTCATTCCATCCCGAGTCAGGGTTCTAGTAGCCGGACACCATCTTCTAGCCGACCTTCCTCTCGTTCTGTTTCTCCCGCTCGACCTCCTGTTCCATCTCGACCTGCTGTGCAACGCTCAGCCCCTTCCTATGAGGCTTCCGGTCAGAGGTCCGCTGATAACGACGGCCTTCGATCGCGTCTTCATAACATTCTCGCCGATTCCTCGTCATCATCTCCGCCAAAGGCCACGCTATCATACTCGACGTCTGTGAGAGAGAACAGCCGCTCTGCGCGCGAGGAAAGGAGGAGATCCACTTCCAGATCCCCGTCTCCCTCTTCTTCTGGGTCCCGAAGGCAGACTAGCCAGATTCGGCCCTCTCAGCAGCAGCAGACGACGAGCACGACCGATCAGTTCTCTAGGCTATTGGCATCTCATCAGCACGCTTCTTCGGGGATTGCTGCCCCTCTTTCCACATCGCCTAATCCTCGAACGAGCAGTGCTAGCGATGCGGCACGGGCCCTGGAACAGAGCAAACGGGAACGACAGCAGGCCGATAGGGAACGCCGGATGGCAGGGCAAACCGAGCGAAGCTATCCCGATCGAGAGACCGAGCGGATGCGCCACACTCCTCACCCTCATGCGGCAGCGTCCCAACGCGATCCTGTTTCGTCGACTTCTCATAGCACGTCAACGTCCGCCTCTGGCACTCGTTCGTACACTCAAGTCAGCCCATCGAAAGCGATGCCTGTACCTTCTTCGACTCGCGACTCCAGCCAAACTCAGTCTCAATCTCAGCATCCGCACCAGCATTATCAGTCTCGGCATCATACCAGTTACTCTCAATCTCATGCACCTTATGCCCCCAACGCCCCTGGGCTCTATGTCTAACCACCTCACATTCAACTGCATTCGTTCCCTCGTCACTTAATCTATATCCCCACTCTTTTTCAAAACGGCCTCTCCTTTACACCTTAGACCGACATCCTTTGAACCCTGCCCGCTTGTCCTGGACAGAAGGAAGAAGAGGCTCTACTTGACGAAGCGCGGCTTGCTCTTCGAATATCTTTATTCCACTTCGACATTCGCTTGCTCGCATGCTGTTTGCATCGTCGACGGCTTCAATTTGTTGTTCTTTTTCCTTCCAATCGACTATCTTATTAGGCCGTCGACGACGACGATGATTCTTGCTTTTCCTTCCATGTCATCTCCTTTCTTTCTGTCAGACTCTCTCTGTGGACTGCTTGTTCCAAGTTGTAGTAGTACCTTATCCCGTCATCTGCCTGCCGCTAGTCCACTGCATACTATAACCGCTATGCCGTTCGCATCTGCATGTATTATTATTACTTACGGTCTCCTTTGCATCGTCATACTCATCATAGCATCTTATCGCATCGAGTTCTGGTTCCATCTATTTCCAAGTATTCGCTTGGGGTCTTGTGAGCTCCTATCTCTAGCAACGACGTGGTAAGTACATCTGAAATCAACGGAGAGTAGACATGACTATTGTTGCCCTCTTACAGCCTCTTTGAACCACGGCGAAGCCAAGCCCCAAAAGGTCATCCCAGCCCGAAACACTTAACAGAGAACGGGAGAATGCGGGGTAATAGGCGTTGCGGAGTGGTGGTCATGCGGACAGGGCGTCTTGTCTTTTTCGGACGCATCTATCCGGGAGAACAAGGACGATGACAGAATGTATGTCGTCAGGAGACGTGTGGGATCTGCTTTGGCTATTGAATTATTGGTTGGTATTTCGCCACAGATGCTGATGCTATGTAGAGTCCTTGAGGACCGCCACTATATCACCAAGGTACCAGGTGTGGTACCGGTACTGGTGCCATGATCACAAGTGCGCTGTGGTACCGACAGTGGGAGCGAACGACGGACGGACGGTCACTGTGGGTGGTTGCACTCGGGATGATGAATTCAGCCAGCTGCGCTCTGAACGGATACATGGGGGATCCAGGCGACTCTCAGGCCTATCTACTTCCTCCTCACGAGATCCGGCACTCGTTTAAACGCCTGTGGAGTACATATAGAGTCGCAAGCCTATACATATGTAGAGTCTGCGGAGTAAATAGACTCTGTGCCTATAGAGCTGAGCGAGTGGTGACTGAGTGGTGGTAAATGGGAAATAAAGTCACCGAAGTGTTCCAGCGGCGTAATTATCAGAAACCTCCACCCACTTCGCCACCGTCACACAAGTGGCGGATTCTTTGAGAGGGAAGGAAAAGGCAGGACAAAGCCGACGGAGGGAAAGAAAGTATCAATGAAATCAATACCGATAACGGGACACTCATGTGGACGCAGCTGGTGTTCTCTCCCACCGTGGTCTACGTTTACACTTGTCGACGTCACTTGGGTTACCCAGTGTCTCCACTGCATTTGAACCATTTCGCCATCTTACTGTCAGCCCGATGTCGTCGAAGTCTTCGTGCTGGACCAGAACGTCCCTCGAAGCGCGTTCGAGATAAGCCGGATCTTTGTCTGACCAACGGCGGGATTCGAGCTTCCGGTGGGGTGTAGAACGGGTCTGGGGTGTTCTTCTAGCGTTTGGACGCGGGGTTGGAAGATGGTCTACCATTCCAGAGATAAGATGACGGGGAGCTTGGAATACTCTTTCTGTATAATAAGATTAGAATTGTAACACAGCTGTAGTAAATTACCCTCGAGTCGGTGAATGGGGAAATACACGGGTAGTATGAGAGTATAAATCGGCGTCTCGAGGTCGCATATAATGTTCGTAGCGTAATAAGGTTGGTGGCATGGATGGGAACAAGCATAAGTAGGTCCGTGACGATAGTATGAAGGGTGACCGGTGACCAGGGTGCTTCTCGACTTCGGCGAGTATCTCAGTTCAATGCGGAGCTGTACAATGGTTGAGACCAGCCCCACAGAACTGTGCTGCCAGAAGATAAAGTAAGAACTGCACCCAGATTGGTAAGTAGGTACGGTTGGGCGGAAAGCATGATGCACGCACCAGGGCAACGAAGCAGGATATGATGAGAATTCTTGTGTTCTTCCACCACATTTGACGTCTCGCCGCTCGAGCACCCCGTCGGAAAGCAGTCGCCTGACCTGCCATGACATCCGTCTTATCAACGAGCAGCTCTATCCTCTCTCCTCGGCTTAGGATCTGTTCGACATTCTGGACCATGATGCTTTTCACTTGATTCAATTCATTCTGCGCTCGAGTGAGCTCGTCGACCGGTGGTGAAGTGTTGAAAGTATGCATGAGGTTGGAGAGGGTGGGACCAAACGAGCCTTGCAGCCCATAGGCTGGAGTGTCATCCAGAGATCCGGAACCTGTAGGTGTAGACAAGAACTGGGAGAACAGTTATTCAACAATGGAAGAAGGCTTCTCTGACAATTTGAATGTACCTGTCGCTGTAATTCAGCCAGGAAGGCGAACGGCATCCGTCTGGATTTCCTTGGTAAGTAATGGACCTCCTGAGCCTGATGAAAAGAAGCTTACCGTCCAGCCGCTTCATCCGCCATCACCAAATAGATAAACCCGCCCTCAGAAACATAGTGGAAGAGGTATTGTTCCCAGACATATGTTAACTTGCTGCAGCCACTGTTAATGACCCGGGTCTAATCCAGTGCAATTAAACGCCTCGTGCCTGTCCGTGGGTGGGATCTTCGACAGAATCGTGGTCGTTGCTAGAATTCCAGATGAGTTTTGTTCATTTATACACTGGAACCTATTCACCTTGAGAGAAATCTCGCTTTCCAGCCTTGTGCTCCGCAAGGATAGTGGTTCCCCTCGCGACTAGTGCGTGAATCTATTATCAGGTCAGATAATAGCTTTAATCTATAGAGATAGAGCTGCATTATACACACCAGCGACATTGTTCCAGGCTCTACAGGTTGAGCGGGTTCAGGTTCGAGTGCAACGTGCTCCGACCCTCTTGTTCGTGTTGCATCATGCTACTGCCCGCCGCCGCGGCAAGGCGCGGCATCGTTTGGTTAGGTTTGTTCCGGAACGCCCACGGCCCGATCCGGCGGCTAACTGCGTCGGTTTCGCTTTCTGACGGCCTCTTTCGCGATAAACGCGCTTGACGCGCCTTGTTCAAGGGTTCCCATGAGCAAGAACGACAGCGCCACGAAAGCTAGTGATATGCGTTTCACGGTCCTTACCACTACCGACGGCTAGCGCAGTCCAGCGTCACAGAAGCTTCGACCGTGTTAGACCACCTGCCAAAACCCCTGGTACAATCGACCAGCAGATCCTCGGTACTTCTCCTTCCCCTTTGGCATGCAGCCTCATTAAATCCTGTGCACATAGTGTGATACGCGCTCACATGCCATCGAGCTTCGAACGTTCTTTCAATGAACGCCTGCCAGGGGGAGACACTGCCAGTCAACAGTCACGACTCGACTTCTCATCGATCGAAGAAGACTTGATTCGGAAAGTCGGTTCTTCTCATGTTTCTTATCAGCAACTCCCAGTATTTCCCTTGGTCCAGCCTTACCACCTTCGCTCCTTAATGGGTCTTTATCCAGCAATCTCTACCCCCATCTCCCCAAATGGGAAGGGAAACCTGCTGACCCGAGGAACGAGCGCCTAATTCGAGTTTTGTTGATTGTTAAGCGCTACCGCGGGAAGAAGCAGCGAGGATCTGTTGGAAAATTGGGTGGCTCGTTTCCGATTGTGCGGACAAGTATGCTGATACTTACTGAATGCATGCAAAACATGGCTTCCACGCTGAACTTTGTACTTTGTGAACCGAAGTTGCTCCAATGCAACGTTGCAACCATTGGAGGCAAGGATCGAGGGTTGTGGCCGCTGCGATATCGGTCATTCCCTCGCGCACACGGCCTTTCCCTTAACTTTGTACAGTAAGTGTACACACAGAATCTATTAAAGGCAACGGAAATGCGCTTTCCAACCCCGCTCGATTTATCCGTACACGAACATTCTTTCTCATCGATAAGTCTTTTACGTCGCGACAGAAAGGAGGACAATAGGTTACCGTGGTCGATATGGGGCGATAACCCTGCAGTACGTACGTACCCTGGGTATGGCGGGCGGGTTTTCGGACTAAGTATGGGCTCCAGGCTTGCAGCAACGCGAGATGAACATTTTCATACTCAGAGACCGCAGGTTCATCTCATCACTTTTGACCGAACAACGAGGGGTCCTCGCCGACCAAAAACGAGAAGAAGCATCCTACTTTTTCCCTGAATCCTCACCCTTTTTCGCTCATTACATGGGGCATTGACGTGTCCCAGGTCATCCGGTCTCGTCGTGTGTACTCTCTACCAGAACGGAATCCACGATACCTATTGGATAATCACTAGAAAAACCGCGGTTTGAAAGAACAAAGGGTAGTCTTCGAGGTCCTCTCGGAGACTACGATCATGCAGTGTCATCACATTGCCAAATGGGCGCCGAAATCGCGCTATCTGGGTATTCGAAGATGGGAAGGCATCTTGGACTCTATTGGTTGGTAAGATTTTGAAAAAGAGAAGGCAAAGCAACATGTACGAGGGTGGCTCGTCGCCATTGGTCGCTGAACGTTCAATTCACAGAAGAAGTGGGAAAAGGAGATCCTATTTTCGAAAGCAGGACGACACCAGACAGATATACGTTAGGAATAACATCAAAACAGTTGAGATATACAGTAGTCGAAAAGCAGAAATCGTCACTTGTTCGAATTCGAATGGTATCGTAATCAATCATCACTGGGTCATAACAGTCAAAGGCAAGGGTAAAAGTAGAAAGAGAACTGAAAGGAGAAGAAAAGAAAGAAGCAAGAGGGGAAAAGTAGAGAGTCGTGAGTCATAGTTCGCAAAGAACGAATCCGAGGCAATGAAAGCGAGATGTTACAACATAGATAACCAAGGCAGGCCTATATCGAGGAGAAAGCGAGGTGGTTGCACAACACAGCAGACTGAGATAAAGGAAAATCAGGCACATCTAAGATGTTAAACAAAGAATTACCGAAAAAAATCAAGCATAGTCTTCATGACTGAACGAACGCAAAAACGCACGACTCGACACTCTAGGTGCAGGTGCGCTAATGGGTATTTGTCCATCGGGATGTTGAGCGCCGACAGCCCAGTTGGGGGGTATCGCGAGACCGAGGGCGTTCCCAGTGTGAGCGGTACCGGGAGGTAAACCCTGGTTCTGACCCACAACCTGACCCTCCTCTTCGGAACTGGAGTCCTCTTCATCATCATCATCTTCCTCCTCCGACGAGGATTCCGGTTGGCTGGTCGACGGCCAGTTGACAGGCGCCGAGTTGGGAGGAGGCGCACGGAGACTGTGGAGAGAGAGCGAGGACAGGGAGGAAACAGCGGAAGCCATGACATCGGGAGGAGCAGCGGAAGAAAGTCGTCGAGGCCTTGGATCACCCTTCACATTCGCCCCATTAACATGTCCATTGGTGTACACATTGAGTTGGACCAGGTGGTTAGTCTGGTGCGAAAGAGGGTGGGCAGTGTGCGGTTGCTGCTGGGGAGGGGGATGGGAGTGCGAGTGGGAATGGCCACGGTGTCGACCGGTCTCATGTTGTGAGCGCTGCAGCTGTTGCTGGGGTTGGACTTGCTGATGGCGGTGACTCCTTCCGTGCGACTCTCCGGCGGACCCTGAAGATACAGCGACGCTGGTAGGCCTCGACCCTTGATTCTGGTAGGGCAACGTAGGGTTCTGGTAATGATTGGACACGGTCATCGCCTGGGTATGTCGGGATCCATGAGCCGGCGCAGAGGTGGGGTAAGAAGGGGCGGTAGGAGCAGCTGAAGCTGACATCTGGTACGGGGTGCGCTGTTGTCGATGTTGGGAGTGGTTAATGAGGTTGCTAGCAGTTTCCGGGCGCGTAGGAACGGGTGCGACGAGAGTGGCAACGTTTGTGTGACTATTATTCCTTGAGGGGTGGTGTCGACCATTGGGTGCAGGCTGGATAACGACGGGAGAGGGATCCTCTTGCTCGTCATCGCTCTCCTCCTCGCTACTACTTGATTCCTCCTCTTCCTCCTGCTGAGTAAAGTGTGCGCGCCGAGGACTTCTCTGGGGGTTGGCATTGCCATTAACCTGAGGTTGCGCGGCATTCAAAGCCTGAGCAGGATACCTCGAGAATGTTCGAAGGTTGAGGGATGCGAAGCTGTTTGGTGTCGCGTCATTGGGATTAGGTCCGCTTGAAACTGTCCCCCACGAGCTTGCGCTGGCATCGCTCTGGATGCTGTGCCTCGAAGCTGGAGTTGCAAGAAGAGGTTCACCCCCGACGGTTGGTTGAGGCTCGGGCGGAGGCATTGGCGGTGGTTGCGCCGGTAGACGGGGTGTAGGCTGGGCCAAGGGTACCGTAGATTGAGTAGGGGCAGGTAGAGCTGGTGGGTTAGTTTGAGGGTTGCTTGGAACGATAGTTGGCTGTGAATCTATTTGAGGTGCGCTAGTTGCAGGCCGTGCTGTAGAACTTCGACGGGCGCGCGAAGGGTTGTCAGAGAGGATACTAGCCAGGGTGGCTTGCGCCTGTGCCTGTGTCCGATGAGCAGCGTCTGCGTCCGAGGTCCTACGCCGACGTTGTCGTTCACGATTACTGGATGAGGGCCCTTCTTCCCGTTCCCTGTCCCTTTCCCGTTCCCGCTCTCGCTCTCTGTCTCTTCGAGAACGGCGCGTCTCAGCAGATGAAATAGCTGCAATAGCATCGGCGAGGTTTTCCGAGGTGGGTTTGCGGTGCTTTCGTTCCCGCCTTCGTTCCCTCTCCCGCTCACGATCGCGCTCCCTGTCTCCACCTTCACGATCCTCATCCGAGGGTCGCTCGCGACGTCGCTCCCTTCGTTCTCGATCCCTTTCTCTGTCCCTCTCTCGATCCCTACGCCCCTCCCTTTCCTTCTCCCTCTCCTTCTCCCGTTCACGACGTCTGCGCTCCCTCCTCTCCGCCCTCTCGTCCGGCTGCGTTGAACTAGACGCTGACGCAGACCCAGATCCAGACGCCGAAGTGCTCGCCTCCGGCTCCTTCGACGACCTGCTCCCCGAGGCAGCAGCATTCTGAACAGTCTGCAGTGCCGACGAGAAGCCTTCCGTATAGCCGTTCACGTATTCTGGGAGAAGCGCGGCAGTCAAAGTGTACGGATCGACCGCATCCCTCGCCGGGTCGAATAGTGGCTTGGGCGTCTTCGACCTCCTACTGGGCGACGATTCTGGGGTTCTATACGCATGGAACCCTCGCTCCTTTTCGTTCTCGGGGTCGGGCGGCATGAACCCAGAAGCCGCGGACGCGCCTGGTATGATCCCAGGTTTTGTCCGAGGCGTTTCCAGCTGGGACGTCGAAGGGACTCCATTGGACGATGTCGAAGCGGCAGCGGCGGGGTTGGCGACGTACACCGACCGATAGAGCTCCGAGTTGGGGTCGCTCGCTTTGCCCTTGCGGTCCCGCCTAGCACCATTGGACTCGTTGAGCACATGGTGTTGGTTCTCGCGCTCATCATCCATCCAAGGCCGGACGTACGCCAAGCCATTCGGCGGGTACTTCGTGGGCATCAACATCGACTGGCCGGCATCGTTGTACCATCGAGCCGTGCCCTGGTTAAACTTGGGGTCGAACGGCGGGTATCGGGCAAACGAAACCGGTTGTGGAGGTGGCGGAAGAGGGTTTTTGAGTGTACGGCGGTGGATTTCTGAGCGCAGTTGTTCGAGTTCGGTTCTGTACGAGTCGAGCTGGATCTCCAATCCGTCCTTTTCCTCCAGTAGTCGTCTTTCTATCAGGCTTGCCTGGTCTTTTTCCGCCGCCATGACTTGCCTCAGCTCCGTAAGATCCTGCCTCAACCGCGAAATCTCCCGCTTGCTCTCGATGCCCATAAACCGTAGCTCTTGGTATTTGTCGAGTGCCATTCGCGCCTTGCGTACCGGTAGACACTGAAATAGACGTCGTAAGGACACTTGCAAGAATGTAAGGAATACACCACGCACCGATTCAGGATCCTTTTCCCTCAACCAAGCGTCCAACTCCTCCACCAACTCCTGCAAATGATCTTCCGGTGCATCAAACGACAGCGCTATCCTCTGCAGAAATTCCCCCTCCTTCGGATCATCCATCCCCTCCGGTCGATCGACATGTAGCTTCTTCAGGCGAGTTGGGTCGTAATTCTTGCGACATAGAGGGCATTTGGGCGGAATAACAGCTTCCAGACAGCTTTTTTGTCGTCGTACGACCCGGATAAGCGCGCAGCAAAGCAGAACGACGTTAGATAAAGGGAAGGGCACAATCAGCACCACACATGCAACTAAAGCGCTAGGCACTTACGTCTTGCAGAATACATGTCCACAGGGGATGGCAAACGGAGCCATCTCCGTTTCCCAGCTGAACCCTTCGAGACAGACATCGCAGCGACTTGAGGGGTGAAGAACGAACATTCGGTTCGCTGTATCGTCGTCGGCGGGTGTATTTCACGGCGACGACGAAAGAAATAAGGTTTTAGAAGTCCAATGGCTCCTGGAACGACGTCCTGCGACCTGTTCCTGGCCTCAAGAATTCCTCATGCACGGCACGGGGAAAGATTCGGAAGCAAGTTTCGAACAAGCGATGTGTTCGTGGAGTGTCCAAAGGCCGGTAAAAGTCGTGTCCAGGGTGGCCAGAGCCCCAAGGTCGTCGTCGACGATGATAATCAAGCAAGACGAGAAATGAGTTTGGGGTTTGGGTAGAACGTGAGCATGAGCGCTCTCGGCAGCCTCGAGGCAGGAGCCAAAACGGATTTTCGGTTTCTGATGTCGTAAATCAATTGCAATCAAGACCAACACTGACTTGGCTGAAGTCACACAAAACACCATGGTTTTCAGAGGTTTAGAAGAACAAGGATGGTGACGGTGGTAGGGAGGGTTACAGAAGAAAATCAATACATATGTTTCAGGTGGCTACAAAACAATAGATACAGGATAAACAGTGACATCCAACGGGCTCCATGATGGCACAGCGCCCTGGTGAACTAAATATTCGTCTGACTTCTTGTCCCCGCAAGCAATCTAGCAAGAGAAACACGCGCATCGCTCACAACAACGCAGGTGAACTTCGGACTGGCGACTCGAACCTCCTGACAGCACAGCTCCCTTCTGAACCAAATACGCCTTCAACTCCTTGTTCTGTACAAGCAATCTAGCAAGAGAAGCGCGCGCATCCTTCCTCGCTTCCAACAACGAAGGTATAAGCTTGCTCGCAGCAATCTTCGGAGGTGCTTTGGCATCCAACACACCCGCTTCAGCTTCCCCATCCTCCGAAATAACCTTCTGTCTGATGAAAGGGTTGATAACAGGATAGACTGGTTTCGTGTAAGGTCCAAGGTCCACCGTTTGGCCAGTGGAGAGACAAGCCTTCGCAATCTTCCAGAACGTCAAAAGTCTTTGAAGCCTACGCGGGAGAAGTCAGTAATATTTCACCCAACGCGAAAAGAAATGGCTCACTCTCTGTAATTGGCTATAGAAGCGGGAGAAGGGAGGGGTCAGCACGCTTCCGCAAACCAATCAAGCAGAAAAAAACAAATCACACTCACACTTGACGAGCAAGTTATGCCATTTGGCCAGCACCCAAACACCCAAATACGCAGCACTAATACCCTGCCCAAAGGAGGCCCACAGACTCCGATGATCGTTCCCTTCAAACACGAGACGCTTCAGCGCGCTACCAGGTGCTCGCCACAGAAGACCCAGAATAACAGACAGATTGAATGCGATTCCAAGCCCTGCTCCAACAGATTTGAACTGGCACTGGGCTTCCTCCTCGAGTGGGTTGGTGAACGCTTTCGAAGCGAGGCGGCCGGTGATGTAACCAGGCCAGAAGAGCGCGAGGGAAGGGAGGAAGGCAATGAACCGCACCAAGGTGAGGGGAAGGCGTGCGATCGTGGACAATATGGGTGGAGACGGCGTGTCAGAAGAGTTGAGAGATTCCAGGACCGAATGTCTGACGTCCGCGTGGTAGAGCAGCGAGTGGTATTTCACCAGTGCGGTCTTTGCTTGAGATGCCGGTCCTAGTGCTTCTGCGAGACGCTGGTTGATACTGACCCAGTCCTGCAGTCGGATTCTGTCTTCGTCACCCCAGAGTATGTTTCGCGCAGCTTTCACGGCGCAGATGGTTTCCCTGTGGGTCGTTAGGAATGGAAAATGTCTTCGTGGAGTAAGTACGAACCAATCTGGAGCATTCACCGTCATCCCTACTAATCTCTTCTCCATTTCCGCCGTGATCTTCTTCACCACCGTGTTCGCTGCGACATTGGGTTCAACTTCCGGGTCGAATAGCTCATCGTAGTACGAAGACAGTAGGATAGGCTCTCCATATCTATCTTGGGGTTAGAACACGAATGTAAACGGACAGAAATAACTCACCGGACGTGTATCCGACTCAAGAACTTTGCTTTATCCGTATACGTGATCGCAGTGGGAACAATCGCGACCCCCTTCTTCTCCCTCCCCTTTCCAGACCTCGCATGTTCAACACCACACCACGCCGCTCCAGGTAAAACCTGAAAGATCCTCCACCCAGTATAACTTCCACCTTCGGGGAACAATCCTACAACCCCTCCTTTATCAAGAACTTTGGTCGTTGAACCAAATAGAGCAGCCCGAGCGGCCATATCCTCCGCCGAAGTCTGCGGTTTCGAGGGCGAGGATTTGCCAGAGGTCGCGCCGCTCCTCGATGAGGCCTTATTGGGATTTCGGCGGACCGGAATGGCGCCTGAGGATCGAAGTATAGCAGCTGCTATCGGGTTCTTGAACATGTCGGATTTCGCCCAGAAACAGAGGAAACGCCATTCTCGGTGGGGGACGGTGACCGCTAGTCCATCGGTCAGTCTCGAGCGGGATCCTCGAAGTCATTGCACACACCCAGAGCAGCAATATCGATCATATCATTCGAATGCGTCGAAGCTCTGCAGCATTGTGAGTACTTGGGCGGAAAAGCCAGCCAAATCGACCACGTACATAACAAGCGGGCCCTCAACAGGCACATTCTCTTTGCCTTCCACCACGACCTCCGAAAAGTACCCATCCAAAATCCAATCCGAAACCTTGCGAAGCCCTCGATAGACCAGCTTGAGCTCCATTGCCGGCGTGGCTGGTAGTACTAGGTCACTTGAACGTGCTGAGGTTGCTGGACAACCCGTGGTGGGAGAAATAACAGCAGCACGCCCGAGGATGTCCAAACGGTGCTTATTTATTTAGACTTTTCGACAACAACACGTTGATTGCGCCTGCTCAAGACCCGCCCATTTCAAATGGGTCCCATGACACCCGTTAATGGCCAGAGCGTTCGTTGCCTTCGGTGTTCGTGGTCGCTGGTGATGATGCACATGTTTGTCGTGTTGTCCGTCGATGCTGGCGACGATGACCGGACAACATCGGTATCGTTCATGATGGCGGTGGAAGAGATGACCAGCTGATTCAGTGATCGTCGATTGATGGAATTCGCTGTCCGTGAAATCGGTCGTGCCAGGCCCAACCGCTTAGCGCTCAAGCTCAAAACTCGAATTGCGTGCGCGAATCTTTGTGAGAGGCGGTGATGAGAGAACTTAGAACGCGGACGATGATCCTCCAGTAGGTCTGCCAAAAGGGCGATGTTTTGAAAATTAGTTTAGCGAACGCTCGGTGAAATAACATCGTCAGCATTCCCATTCTTCAACGCATGCGTTGAAGAAATACCACTTCCAATCCAAATGGACCGAACGATGCTCGCAGCTGACTGACGATGAAAATGATTCGAAGAAATGGCGCCAATTGAATGATAAAAAGGGTCGACCACGGGACGAGTTACAAGAGTAGACTCGCTGCGCGTCGAACGGCGACATATTGTGCATTCTACCAGATCCAACTATAACAGTACAAGTGACATTTTGAGACGACAAGCGAATGCAATGATGGAACGAGGAGAAACCATTTTGATGTGCGACGCGAATGCGATCACAGACGACGTCCACGGCGACCACCCTAAAGGAAGAAACCGATTGTAAGTCAAAAATTCATTCCATATTTTCAGATAAACATACCTTGCGCCTGGTAGAGTCGGTGGGGACGGGGGTGACGTCCTCAATTCGTCCAATGCGCATACCAGCACGAGCCAAAGCACGGAGAGCGCTCTGGGCACCGGGGCCGGGGGTCTTGGTGCCAGTTCCACCGGTAGCACGGAGCTTGATGTGGAGGGCAGTGATACCGACTTCGCGGCATCGGGCAGCAACGTCCTGGGCAGCCAACATGGCAGCGTAGGGGGAAGACTCATCACGATCGGCCTTGACCTTCATGCCGCCTGAAAATTGTAGAAAACTCATCAAAAACGACTTCAAATTTCCAGACTTCAAAACTTCAACGCACCAGTGACACGGGTGATGGTCTCACGACCAGAAAGATCGGTAACATGGACGAAGGTGTCGTTGAAAGAGGCGAAGATGTGGGCAACGCCGAAGACGAGCTCGCCATCAGCGACCTGAGGGCCGAGCTGGACGGCGGCTTCTTCCTTGGGGGCCTTGACTTTCTTGGGGGGCTACAGTATCGATTCCATCGTCAGCACCGCTGCTCATCACCATCCGACGTCGACGACCACGATCCAACTCAATTTCCATCGTTTTCGTCCCGAATTTTTGAGGAATAACGCGCTCGTCGACGTTTAATGGTAGGTTCAGCAGAAATTCCACTCACCATGGCGGATGGTCTTGACGATGTGCTTGAGGACGGCGGTGGAGGACAAGGCAAAAGTGCGAAAATAAAGTTTTGTGTACTGCTCATGCGACGGAAGATCCCGATCGGCAATCAACTGGTGCCGAGCCCCTATTTCAGGGCGTCAAACCTTTGGCGCGCTTGACCCAAGGAAGAGGGTACCCTCAAAGATGCTTCCTAGGGTTACACGTGGCCTATCAGGACATAAATATACCTACCTAATTACGCCATAAAGGTCGAAAAGGGAGTGACCCATCCAATTCCTTTGATCTCGCATTCGTTTAGAGGGCATTAGTCCCTCGACACTCACGCTGGTGACTAAGTCGCAGCGAACCTACCATCTCTCTGCAGCCAATCACGCCCTCTTCCTTTGTAATGACCGTGCATTGGAAGCTGTTGGAAGGGATACTGACCCTCGAAAGGGCTTGCATCTCTTATCAGGAGATCCCATGATCATGATCAAATGATCTTGCCCATCGTCTTCCGTACCGGGGTCTGGTACTTAAAGGGTGCCTCTGCACCTGAGCTTCTTCCCCAGACCTCATCCTCAACGACTCTCACTCATTAACAATGGCCCCCAACCCACAATGCGCTGCCCTCGCCGCCGCCAAGGCACGAACTGGTGAGCGCCTACCCCTGATATCGAATATCTGCAGGCTCACTGACGCGCCAATGTACAGGCCTCTCTTACGCGGATATCGCAGCCAAGATCGGCAGCACCGAGCAGCGAGTCACTGAGAGTGAGTGGCCTTCTCATCTACTTGACTTTCGCAATGGGCTGACCATGCATCCGTACGTCCAGTTTGCACTGGTACCACTCGTCCATCGGCAGAGGAGTTCCAGAAGCTTGCCACTGCTTTGGATATCAAGGATCCTGTGAGTCCTCGAGTTGCAACTTGTATATCTCTCGTCGTCGCTCACCTTGTATGTCCAGATCCCCTCCGACTCTGCTCACACCGCCTAATCAACTGCAACATACTGTATTGAAACACAATCGCAATGTACATTATCTCATTACTTCAACAATCTACTTCATGACCAGGATCATTGCTGCTGGGACTCAGTTTAACGCAAGAACCTCATGATTTCATCATCGATCGGCGCGCCCATTTCGAGCTTAGCGCCTAAATCTTTGATGGAGCAATAAAACAACCTCCAAACACTTCTGATTGCATTTTAACCTTTCCTTCTCACCTCCACCTCGTTAACGAGGCTCTCACCTTCTTTCCCTGAGCCTGGTACTGACGATGTGCGAGTCCGACACTCTGAATCCATGAGAATCGGAAAGACGGAACTACATTCCCGCCGCAGTCGCTTTAAATCACTTAATTACTACGCTTTAAACTAGGATCCGAAGCTACGATCCTGCAACTAACCAACACCGTCGGGTCATTCAGTCCACCTCCACTGCACTCTAGCCTAGCCGTACATCTGGATCCATCGCCTTTCCTCTATACGCGTGGCTTTTCACGTAGCTGGGCATCACAAGTTCCTTCCGACGGGGCACGCTGCACTAGTCAACACCCTGCTTACAACTCATCGAACTGGTTCATCGGCTCTCGATCGCTCTTGTCCTCCGGTCCCAATGGTCTCTGAGGACCATAGACCCCACCGTTTGCACGCTCTTCTACCAGCAGCCCCCCATCGCTGACGCTGAAACTTGTTTTACGTGGCACCAAGCGACCAGCATCTCGCGTTCTCCCATAAATCTGGTGCCTCTGCGCGTTGTTCTATCTTGCTTCCGGCGGAAATATGCTCATTCCAAGGGCTTCCTTGACCCGCGGTGAGGTGGATACTCTAGCTCTAAAACCTTGCGAGATGAACTTGCCGCGGTAGGTGGTGCTGGATACTCGATTAGCGATCCCCAGAGGATCCAGCAGGAAGAACTCGCCTATGTCTTCTTGGGGCCGGTGATCAAGTAGACGCCAACTGTCCTTCTCCAGCCTATGTATGTCACACTGCAGGTGGCGCACACGGCTCTGTAAGCACACACTTTTACTTGCCTGTAACGCCCAGTGACGTATGTATTGACTTCGAGAACGCAGCCACAGAAACGGATCCAGCGCTCACGCAAAGCGTACACCTCCCAAACCCGCCTTTCTCCACGCGACTCCGAATCTCTCGCTTCATCGTGCTCACCGCACCTCGCAGCAAGCACCTTTGGATTGCCGGACTGGCCCTAAAGCCAATACTCAACAATAACGTGGCGATTTGGACCTCCTTACGTCGGATCTCCGGTTCACTTCATCCAGGTCGCTGTCGCCCCTGACACGCCCACCTGTGATCCGTCTCTTCTCTCGCGTTCCACATCGACCCTTCGACCCTCAGAACCTCGTTCGACGTCACCAAACCTGTCACCCAACCTCTCCAAACGTTAACACCCATCAAGGGTCCCAACGATCGACAGTACCCACTAATTAATATTTGAACGGGGACGTGACATCGGAACCTCTTCGCCAGGCGTATTAGGTGCGTTCGACGCGTTGCCGTGGCGTGGTTTCAATTAACGACTGGGTCCCTGAGGTTGGAACTTGGTCTGGGGTAGCGATTGACTATTCCGTGTGTATGAATGGGGAGAAGTGGGGTCTCGCCTGCGGACTGCGACTTTCTGGAACGATCAAACCCTGGATTTTTGACGAGTAGCCTGGCCATTAATCCCTGGTATTGCTTCCAACAACCCCGTAAAGGCGGGTAAGGGTCAAGAACTTGGGTGTGGGCTTGACTTAACTGGCTGTGATGATGAGGGCAGTTTGATCCGCTTTCTCTTCCCGTCTCTGGACACGAATGTTGTCCAGGCTTGGCTCCTCGGTTCTCAATAACCCGAGAACAAGGGATAAGTATACCCTGGATCCCTGTTCAACTCGAGTCCAATCTGCCAGGACGCCAACCAGCATCATCAATGGAACGGACTTTCCACTCGTCTCTGGATAAAATTCCTACCCGCGAACACATTTCACCGAGCTCGGTTATCCCTTTCCATATCCACTGCCATTCTTCCGCCCGACGTCGAAGGGCGAAGGTGACTCTGGTTTTCCTTCCTCCCTTCCTCCATCCCCGGCGTTCGAAGTTACCTCCGCCTACTTGCCTTCCTTCCTATTGTCCTTTCGAAGTCCCCCTCTAAGTACCCACTCGGGGAATTCTGTCTTCTCCAGATGATACCCTGTGATATCCACCCCAATGCTTTCCACGATCCTAGCGCTCTTCCCAAGTCTAATCTCCATCCCTTTCTCACCGCCGAAACCCTAGTAATCCCGCCATAGCCCACCTCCCGCATCTCTTCCGTCGGCATCGACGAACCCTCGTTGTTCGAATGCTTTCAATACTGATTTATATCCACTCTCTCCATCCGCTTTCCAAAGGTTCTTGCCGTGATGACGTGGGTGTGACATCAAGCGCCCATGAGGGAAGTTCTTCTTCTTATGTGTGCCTCTCGTCTTCCATTGGTTTATTACACCTTACCTTACCTGTACCTCGACAGGGATACAAACCTATACATGGTATACAGTACCTTCCATTCTAAACATCGAATACGGTACTTGTTTCCAGTCAATAAACACTCTTCTTCTTCTCTTCCTGTTCTAAGTAAGTAACCTTTGTTCGAGGGGTGATTGAAGGCCTCGAATCATATGCTTCTGGGGAAGGAAAAATTCCAAAATTAGCGCCGGTCGATACAGCTACTTGCATCGCTCTGAAGTTAGTCCCCACGTCGAGAGAGAGTTAGCCTTCCATGCGCGATCGATTCACTTCTAACTTGAAGGATCATCTACTCCCGGTCGTTATACCCCCTGTATCGCCTATTTCGGTATGTTTCATGTGCTCTAATAATGAGGACTCTGCTGAACGGCTTCTTTGATTTCGCAATGCGCGTGCTACTAGTACTCGTGTACTATTAGCGGGAGGTAAGTGGCCACTACATGGGGCTCCTTGTCAATGTTATCGAATCGATTGTCGATGGTTAGTTGAATCGATCTTCTTCAACAGCGGGCAAGTGCCAAATATGAAGTAAGCAAGTAGGGACATGGTAGTACCTATCGTGGCATGTAAGACTTGACAGCGAAGTTCAAGTTGACGGGACTGCCAGTGATGTCGTATGTCTTTCATACTCTGAACCTGTGTCTGTCGAACTGTTGTTACACCGTTCTCCCGGCGTGGTGGGATGATATCTCTGGTAACGTACATACCACTCTCGGCGGTTAACACCAAAAATACTCCTTTCCGGGTCTAGTCAGAACCTCGAGTTCCTTTGTCTATCTTCCCATCTTAACCGACCACGGATGTCGCTTCCCACCTATCACCGGACACCCTCTAAGTACTTCCTTAAGAATGATCCAAGCCCTCTCAGTGATACACCAAATTCTGAAGGACGGACGAACGGAGCTATACTCGTATATCCAAATAGCAATTTTCTGACTCGGGAACTCAGTGAGCTTCCAAGTTGTACACACATAGTACGTCAGCCAACCATCTGTTGCGTAGGGAACTTTCGGGTCGTCAAACAACCACCCCAGCTACATACTGTGTATCAGAAAATCAACTGCAATCACGGTCTATACCAAAACGTTTAAACAGGGTTCATGAAGCTTGCCGCTTCCATTTCCATTCCCGTCCCTTGAAGCTTCTAGTAGGCTTTCGCGGTGTACGTAGTATACGCCCGAAAGGCCTGTATATATAGCATATCTACTCCCCAGAAAACCTAATTAAGTTGACACAGGACATGAAGCCAGCAGAGAATCCCATCGTTAAGTTGGGCGTCCAGGGCTGAGGGACCTGCGTACGACGAACTAGGTGTAGGGATTTATCCCATGTCTTCAAGCCAAGTCCCAACAACAGCAACCTATCGCTTCCGGCTATGTTGACTGTGTTGACTTGACGTGACAAGGGGGCACGGCGTAACTAAGTAAGCAAGTACCACCAATGGAATGTTACAGTTACCGCTACTTAACCCCCCGAAGGAGGTTGATTGAATAGGAACGTGCTGCTAAGTATAAGCGCGCGTCTATTCACATAATTCCAAACTCGACGAACAAATCGCTCGAAGAAACAATTGCGTTCAAGTACTGCAACCGAGAGGTCCTAGAAAACAAACCCAACACACATCCCATATGTACAGATAATAGGAACACCAGATTCGTATACTTACTGTACTGGTAGCGCTCAATTCCAATCACGCGAGTCGGAGCCCAGAGGCGCCACGAGAACAAATTGAATAGCACCCTCCCCTCGTCGTACCTCTCCAGATTCCAGCGACTCCATTCTTCCACTCCGCCACAGGAACCACAGGAACGAGCTCTATTCAAAGGACTTACTTATCCTCGTTCTCACTCTAGTTTTCACACTCAATTCTCGCTTACAGAGCACGATGAATGAATGAATGAATGAAACCCAACTGTATTAAAAGTCTCATCCAATCACACAGAACTGACACACCTAACACAAACTAACGAAACTAACTAGGACACATCGTAAAAGAACTATAAAAGCAGCTACTAAGATAAGCAAGCTACTACAGTATAACGCGAGTAAAAACACAACACAGTGCACACACAAGGTGGTGGTCATCGACCATCGTCGGAGGGGGAGGGGAATCGTCGTAACGGGTGCCCTGTAGGCAGGATTCCAAAGGGAGGGTGGGTCGTAGCAGGATTAGAAGGGGACGGGGGTCGTGAAAAAGCAAGGTCGAAATGGTCGTAAAACGCGACTCGTCGTCGTCGTCGTCGTCGTCGGGAAGGTAGGAGAGGGAACGACTTTCTACCAACCCGTGCCCCCAAAAAGAGTATACGCATCATCTACTACCCCTTAGTAGTACCCCACGTTTTGAAAGAACGAAAGAATCAAAATAACAATAAGACGAACGAAAGAAGTAAAGGTCTAGTAATGGTATGGTCCCCGAAAGAAACCCGCCAAACGGCGTCGCGTAGATGGGGTACCAAAGGGTCGAAATCGAAGGGGTAAGCAAAACCGAAGGGATGATAAGAAAAAGCGTTCCAGCAAAGGAAAGCAAAAGCCCAAGACGGGCAACGCGTACACACAACACAACCTATGAAACAACCACGGGTATGGGATGGGGTGAGATATGCCCAACAGCACACCGACAACCAACAGCACAGGACAATACGGAGAGAATCGAATAAAGTGAATTCGAAGCGAAAGAAATTAATCGCTGTAATAACGGCAATGCATAATGGGTCATACGAAAAGAGACATAGGGTATGGTATGTACGCGTAGCGAAGATCGAAGAAATCGAAAGCAAGAGTTCATATACAGTAGCAAAAACAAAAAAGTTCATGGGGTACATGGAAGATCGAAGATCGAAGGGGGGTATAAAAAGGGGGCAGTAGTAGTACGTAGTAGAATATGTAGAGGGGCATGATAGGCAGGTAGAAAGTCATCTGGGGGTCATAACGGGGTGTGAAGGAAAGTAAAAAGGGGTCATAGCAAGGGAGTCGTAAAAGGCGTAACAAGAACCAAGGAAACACTACTAGCAGGCAACATGACAACAGCGTGGGGGGCGGATTCGAGGAAGGAGTAGGATGGAAAAGGCGGGTGCGAAAGAACAGGGTAGGGAGGGGAAAAAGGAAACAAGGTCGGAGCAGAGCAAACACCCCAGTCTCGAGGGAAAAATACCCGAGCCAAGGCATCGCACGGGGTAACCAAAGAAAAGCCCAGTCAAAAAGAGTCATCGGGAATATAAAAAAGAAAATCGAGGCGTAAAAAAAGGGAGGCAATAAAAAATCAATGCTACAGATGGGTTGATCAGACAGTGGTATCAACAGAGTGAGAAGAGAAAAAAAGTGGCTGGGAGGAGGATGTGGCCCGGGAGTCGCCTGGCATTACGATGTTTGTAGGATCGTAGCCATCTAATGGCGAGTAGCCCGGAATACATAAGCGAAGGGTGAAGGGGAGATACGTCTATGTGGTCGGGGCAAAGGAAACAGAGATCAGGAAAAAAGGAAGAGAGGAGTAGAAAAATGAGACACGGACAGAGGAAACATGCAGAACCGGTATACCACTAAGCAAATGCAAGAGGAATAGTAGTAGGACTAGGTAGACTAGAAAAAAAAATCGAATGAATCGGAAAGGGAAAAAAATGCGTGAGCCAAATCATCAATCAATGCAAGAGAGAGAAGGGAAACCGTGAAACACGCACATCGTCAAAAAGTGATGTGAGCGTTGCATAATAAAATAGTGTATAATCGATACTTTTTGGGGACCGGTGGTTGAGGTCGGTCTTGATTAGGCGGTGCCACCGCGTGCGGATGCGGCACCAAGCGTGAGTCGTGTGAGCGGTGGACCCAGTCTACCGCTCGGAGAGAAGCCGGGACGGGAGAGGAAGAAGGAAGAGAAAGGGAGACGGAGACGGAAAGGGGACAAGGGACAAGGGGAGAGGGGAATGAAAGGGGATAGGAGAATGGATGGCGATAGGGGAAGGGGGAATGTGCAGGGAAGAAACAAAAGGAAGAAGCAGTTAAACGATGATAAGGTAGTACAATGCAGAGCAGAAATCAAACAGCACAGAAAGCAGATCCAGAAAGACGAAAAAAGATGGTCCGAAATGCAGGACGGGGGTGAGTTCGAACCACATACATGGGTTCGAAGGGATTAGTAGGGTGCGGGGGACTTGGTGCCCAAGTTGAGGTCGCGTAGGCGGGACGCGGCGTATGCGGACGACGAGAAGCCCCGCTGAAGCTTGCTGGGGTCGTTGGCGAGTTCGGGAGGAAGCCAGCGCTCGTGTGCCTCGGCCTTCTCTTCCGACATGGAGCGGGCCATCTTCGGGGGAGAAGACTGGGACAGCCGGCGAGGCTTGGGTGGGACCAAGGGTGCGGGTGTGTATGACCGAGTTGGGGTAGGTGTCGCGGCGTAGCGGGTGGGGATGGAGGGGACCGGAGGCACGTTAGGGCCCGGCGTGTACGAGCGCATCGAGGGCGTAGGCGTTTGTGAGGATGCGCGGAGGGACCGCGTATGGGACCGGGGTGGGGACGGGGCGACGGCCGGTGTGTGCGAGCGGGAGGGCATCATAGGTGTTGCGGCCGGCGTTGTGGGACGGGAGGACATGGAAGCCGAGCGGGAATGGAACCGGGAGATGGGCGTCTGTGCGGGCGAATAGGGCGAAGGGGAAGTTGGCGGCGATGGGGGCTCCTCAACGATTGGGGTCGACTGAGGGAAGCGAGTCGGGGAAGCGCCGAGGGTTGTGGCCAGAGACTTGAGTTGGCTGATTTCCGCGCGGAGCAGCTGGCATTCTTGGGATTTTTGTGTGTATTGTAGGCGCTAAAGGGACGTCAATCGAGGGACTAACAATAGAGATAGAGTTTGGCTTACTTGGCTGTTAACAACAAGAATGCGCGAAGATCGGCGACAGTTGGTAAGGCATGAAAAAAAATTTAAACGCTCAACGGAGGACTCACCGGCGTAACTCCGAATCGAGTCTCTCGTTACTGTGTTCGAGCTCTGCGATCTGCTTTTTGTACGAGCTCTCCTTCTCTTTTGCGCTTTTGCTGGCTTCGGCGTGGGCCATGTGGTTGACGAGGATGGCACGCAGGAGGGCGGCGCTGAGGTAGAGAGACGAAGTCTAATAGACACAGAATGAGTCAATAGCGAGTCAAAGGGACAGAAATGCAGCACGCACCTGGTCGTCCTTCTCCGCCAACAACCAGTCCTCAAGCTCCTTGTGGAGGGCAGAAACCTCTTCCACTGAGCACTTTTTTGCTGCCACCTTGGCCACCTTGTCCTCGAGACGGCGGGCTTCGAGTCGTGTGCGCGAAAGCCCGTCGGTTGTCGAGAGGAGACGCTCTGTCCGCCTGGCCAAAACCTCGCTGTTGATGCCATAGTTGGTTTCGATGGTTGGGAACCGCCGTGGAGTGCTCCAGCCACTGGTCGTAAAGTCCATACGGATCATGCGTATTTGGTCGCTGGAAAAGTGTTCGCGGCAGAAAGGACAGCTTGGCGGGTGTCGTGACGAGGTCTTTTCGACGATGTTCGTGCAGCAACTGGCGCACAGTACATGCCCTGTATCCTATTTTTTAGCGAAATCGAAGAATAAAAGAGAAAAATAATGTTTACCGCAGGGAATGGAGTGGGGCAGACGGTGAGGGCCATATTCCTCAGCGCACACGTCGCAGGAACAGCCGTGAGCAAGGGTGAGCATGAGGCCAGCCAGTTGAAAGCACCCCGAGGGTGGTGGGGGGACGACTGAAAAACTTGGATAGGGCGAAGGGGAAATTCTCGCGGCACCAAATCCAATCCGTGTATATGTACGTTCACAACGGCTTAATATCCCCATTGGGACCGCACCGCCACACAAGTCCCCGCCAAACTTTCCTTGCCCTTTTCCCTTCTTTCCTCTTTCGTCATTTCCATTCAAATCTCTCGAATGCCAGATCGATTGTCCGCGTCCTCGAGGCTACCCTAAATGGTCCAATCCCTTCCGCCAGAACAGATAGACACACCACCAGGGTTGTGGGCAGTATTCCCCGCTTCTCACGTTCACCACACCCATCATCAACTGTTCGGTGATGCATGTCATCTACGCTTCTTCAACATGAAACGTGTTACGTTCTCCTCGAAAGATGGCGCGCCCAAGAAAAACTTTTTTTCTTCGCTTCCCTACTTCCCACCCTAAAAAAACTCGGGCGGACAGGGGATGGCACACACACAACTCCAGAAAACTGGCCTTTCTCGTTCTAATCGATAATCACTTGTCTTTTCGAGAGGTATCAAGAAGTAGTACTCCGCGGTCAGGTGTACCACCGCGTCGGTCTCCCGACCCGAGCTCGAGCCACGCCTCTCGAACGCAGCAATTCGTCGCGAGGCAAAAAAATCTCTCGAGTTCTTTTGGCTGGATTTTCCTTTCCTCTCTTTCTCGGATAAACTCCGACCTTGCTGCGATGGCGATATCTCAGATCTTCCCTTTGCACCCAGGCTCTCGAGAAAAAGAAAAAGAAAATCTCTGCGGCAACGTGTACTCATTCACCTTTTCTTCGAAATCTGTGGCAGCGTCTTCGAATCCTTTGTGAAATCTGCCGCTCATCCGCCTGTGTGTACTCGATGACTCGTTCCTACCTCACCGCCCCCACTGTGTCTTTCCGTTCACACAAACGGCCCCGCCACCACTCCAACCAAGCCCAGGTCTTCTTCTCCAAAGGGACGATGACGTCGCCTATTCCTTACCCACCCCTCTTGACAGTGACCCAGACGTCTAAGTAATCTCCACTCGAAATCGCCAATCGAACTTATCGAATCGAACGAACGAATGAATTGAATGAACGAAATCCCACCCAGTGCGTCACATCACAAGCAAGGAAAAAGAACCCGGAAAGCCCCTTGGGCTTCTGAATCGGGAAAACCGCGCTACACTGGACTTATTGCCTTGCTTCTTGCCTTGCCACCTTGCTTCTTGGCTTATGCTACTAGTCCTTACGACTATGGATGTCACGGTCACGGTATGTAGGTCCTGCTCAGATGCCCGGCGATACCGATCCACCCTCCACTTCGCGGCGATAGCGCCAATCGTTACACGTTACACGTTGTTTCCAGGCATCGCAATCGCACGTCGAGAAACAGACGAGCGGGAGGATCGATTTTCGATGATCCTCGCGCGTGGACCTGTGTTATTGTAGGTATGTCGGATTGCAATAAAAACGCTATGCTTATTTTCTGTCCGAGTCTAAACTTAGGACGAGTGGTTTCTGGTGCCGCTTGCCCTTGACCTCGCCCTTGACCTCGATTTCCCCTGTGGATTTGCCCTTGACCTTGGTCCTTGACCTCGATCCTATCCTATCCTTGACCTAGGCCACTTGTGGGCCACCTGTGTCCTACCCACTCCCTCCCGATAGATCTCGCCATCCCACATACCTAGACCTATTCACGTTGACTCGCCCGGCAGTACTCGATTGCTGAACCCAGAGCCCAGAACCTTCGTTGTTTTCAACCAACCAGCCTGCATTCCCTTGATAAGAGCGATCGATATGAAAATACCTGGCTGCCAGTGGCTGGTTGGCTGGAATGACTGGTGTGGTCACTACATTTCGTTGGAAATGACTGACTGGCGACTGGCGGACTGGTGACCGGCTATTTCATCTATGTACTGTCTAGTGTGACGACTACACGACACACGACATTATCTGGGCGGATATATGATTATCTAGACGGACTGTTCTAGAGCGCGCTCTGACATCGACAACTCAGGTTGTTTGGATTGTTATTATCTTGTCGATCGTCCAGGGTGACGGTGACGATCGACACCGAGTGATTAGTTGGCTGACTATCAGGCAAAGTACTCGATGTCGGATGTGAATACCAGAGGTACGCACCCCTGTTCTTCTATTCACATTCACTTCATGACCTGTGTGTATCGATGTAACAAAGGGTTCGTTCATTTCATTCTCCGCGCACAAACTCGTTCATGGGTTTGGCTCTTGCATTACTGTGGCTTCATCGAGTTGGGATTCGTTGGCCCTTGTTTTCTGCGCCACTCAGTTTACTCAAGTCTTCTGTTCTGACCTTTACTTCCGTTTCTGGTATCCCCCATGCTTACTACTTACCCTCTCTGAGTTCCTCACCTTCCCCTGCAACCCCGGTCCCACATTCTCATTTGAATCTATTCACTTCATTTCGCTCCTTTAAATTAATGAAAGGGATTAAACAAATGTAGAGTGATTGGGCCTTGTTCTCCAAATTTGATCGCTTAGGGGACGTAATAAGGATCGGTGGGTGGGAGGTGCCGCCGTCGGTTAGTAAGTAAGTATGTACTATAGTATTCCGTCGGCGGTGGGATGGATGTCGATGACCCTCGTTGAACGGTGAACCCTGGAGAAATTTCTAGATGGGTCCAGCATTCAAAAGCCTGGTTGAACTTTGTCATTTCGAGTCAACTAGGGTTCTGTGCGTGCCACTTTATCCATGAGGGATGGGGGATGTGCCATTCGCTCCCTTGGCCGTGTGTAATCCAATCCTCCTAGGGTTTTACTATCAACCGATTACAGCAAAGTGGTATCCAAACCCTCGACCCTCGCTTCGACCTCACTAATCAATAATGCCACAATGCCACCACACAGGCCTGTAGAGTTTCTCTTCTATCCGAGTCTGGTATGCATTTCAGTAAGACAGACCCGTGTATGACGAGATTTGACTCGTCCCCCTCCCACCATAGCTCGACCCTGCATTTTGTTCCGTGCTCTGTGACCCGACATCCGAAACGAGATCCTAACAATATTTCAATCTCATCTGTAGCCTCATGTGTAGCGTGCTCAGATTCCAGAATGAGAAATAAACTTTGAGTCTATAGCCTCGTGACCTATGTATGTATCCCATCCGAGTCTCTTTAAAACTTGGACGCTCCCGACGTCCCGAACCCCACTCGGGAATCGGGTGGTCAGAGCACCGCGCAATGCGGGTCTCTCGAACAACGCGAAAAGCCTTAGTAGGGTGGTATCAAAACACGATGCGAGAAAATAAGCTGGAAGGAGTAATTACATACGAGCTCTTAGAACTCGTCCTCGTCTTTCGGGGAACGAGAATCACTCGGAATAACGACACCATGGTAGAGGTAGAAAGAAAAAAAACGAAACCCTCTGCCCTCCTCCCCCCGAATTCTATCCGTACACCGGACACGCTTCAGTAACATAACTGAATACTTAGAAATGGGGTAATGTACTTGGGTGTTGATGCGGATGCGGATACGGGAAGGCCAGGAGGAGGAAACGAGGCGCGCGTTCAACACTGTGGGAAGCTGTTCCCGTGATTTTCACGGGAATTAGGATTTCGGACCGTGAAACTCACGGCATCGACCGTGATCCGGAGGCCGTGAATCTGATCACGGCCTTTCCGAACCTTGACTTTCACGGCCCGTATCTCAGGGCCTTGAAAATTCACGCCCACTCTCCTTCCCGACCGTGAACTTTCACGTCCACTCCCCTGTCTGACCGTGAATTTTCACGGAGTACCAGACGGTCACAGAACAACCTCCCCTTGAGGTCCAACTATCCGTGTTTATGTTATTTTGCGACTTGACTTCACATCTCAGAGCTCGCACCCGCTAATGTATGTCGGCATATTACATTCTGGTATGGGGCAATACAAATCAGTTTCACATATGGTCTGACCCTGATCTATGTATTCCTATAACTACCGCAAGTTTGAATACACAGTCCTGCCAGCAACGTCTATGCTGGCAGCTGAACTTCGACTCTACAGCTGAGGCACTGCCGGGCAGCACGTACGGCGCGGCAGAACTTGAACGGAGAAGTCCGAGGAGCATGTGACCGCGTTAAATCTCCGACGTCCGACGCGCGACGCACGTCGACCACGGTCCTCAGAGTCATTGCCCTCAACCACCATGATCTCTTCTCGTTTCACCAGTCCTTCTCACTTTTACGAGCCCGCCGTCGACTATGTAGCCTCAAGATGCTTTGAGAATGTCAGCCAGTCCTCAGCGTTATCGGATCGACCTTCATCGCATGGACATGTGAACCACGATTTCACCAATGTCACTGGATATATGCGGCGAATCTCGCCGGCGCGCAGAGGAACGATCGCGTGGGGCTGAGAGAGCAGGTGGCACACGGTGCAGGCGTCAGAATCGAGGTGAGAGGAACATCGTGGTCACGACTATTCCGAGAACTGATGCAAGTTACTGTCCAACGGTCCCAGATAGAATCAGTGTCTTTCTTTCGCGTATGTTGTCCGCCCTTATCCATTCTCAGGTGTATGTTGAACTTTGGCTTCTGGGAGCTGCAGCTACAAGTTAGCACCTCGCCCTTTCGAAAATAGGATGAATCCCGTGACGGTACGTGGACTCCGTGTTTCTCTCGTGCAATTACTGATTTTCAGGTTGAGCCTGTCATTTAGAACGCAGGGTAAAATCTTCACTCGGTAACCCTCTCTGTCTCC